AAAGGGGAGGAGGGTGAGAGAAAAGTGCGGGAAGAAGAGAAACTTGGCAGCAAGGAAATTGAGTGGCCAAATGCTTAGCTCTAAGCACCGCGCAAGGCTTTGACTAATGTACCGAATATCAAGATGTTAGCTTTTTGCATCAGAAATAAAAGGGGAAGTCTTGGGGAATATGTAGAAAGATCTTTGGGAGTGCAAAGGAAAATCTTGGGGAATTGGGGAATAGGTAGAAAATTCCTGGGGAAACGTAGACAAGAAACATACACTTCATTAGTTCGGAATATCTGCTTCGGGCTTTATTCTTCTTGGCGTCTTCATCACCGGCCTGCCGGCCGGCGAGTTTCTGCGAACCGTTTTGTCCGGGTTGGTCGTCATCATTGCTGCTATCGGACTCTTCACTATCATCATCAGAAGAAGAGGAATTGCTGCTTTCGTCGTCGTCATCATCATCCTCGTCATCGTCGTCCTGGTCCGCGTTACCATTACGACGGTTGTCAACGTGATGTTTGTCCTTGGCGCCGATGACGCCGTTTATGCCTGGCTTTCCTGCACTCCTTGCACCACTGATCTGCAGTCGAGATTCTGACTGAGAGCGAGGCAGGGAGGTTTGAGAGCCAGCGAAGCGCGACGAGACAGGCTGGGGTTGAGAGCTGGGCCACAAGCCCATTGCGACGTCCTTGGGCTCGTAGCGGGGCTTGTGGAGCTTCAAGGCGCTTAAGCTTGGGTATTTGGGCAGCTCGGGGCGTACTTTGGAAGGCGAAGGAGGACGGGACTGAGACGGTTGGGAGTGGGCTTGACTTTGACTTTGACCTTGACCTTGACCTTGGAAAGACGTTTTCGTGGCACGAGGGGGCGTTGGAGATGATTCCTGACGGGGCTGAGGCTGAGGCTGAGGCTCGACTGAAGGGCTGGATGATGGAGAAGGTCGTTTCCAAGGGATTTCGTCCTCGCTGCTCTCCTCACTTGATGGCGAGGCGTTTCTTTGTCTGGGCGACGGGCTAGCTTGGCTGCTTTCGCGGTGGAATTGAGGATTCCGAGGCCTTGTCTCAGAGAGATAGCGAGGAGGCGTCACTTCGTCCATCTCTGAATCTGTCGACGGCGTTCGTGAAACAAATCGGGCGGGAGATCGGCTGGAACGGGCTGCGTCGCGAGTGGAGGGCGATGTTTCCCGGATTGACATTGGCGATTGTCCGCCTTCGTCGTTCTCATACGATTGGACATGTACCGGCTCAGCGTTCACTCTTCCAAGAGAAGGGGATCTGTTTGCTGGTGGATTTTCGGCAGAGGATTCAGACCTACTACGGTCTTCATTAGATGGTGATCGCCGGGATTCTGGCTCCGCCAGCCGGGCCGAGGGTGAAGGTGATGCAGAGTTTCGAACTGAAGTGAGTGAGTGACCATGGTTGCCGTTCGAGAGAGATCTGCGTGAAACAAGATTTATCGCTTGCGGCGATGGCGATGCCGCTACTGAACTGGCAATCGGCGCAGATGCTTTGCGTGCAGAAGCTGCATTCTCGGCGGTTGGAGATCTTTGCGGTTGCGAGGCTTTGTTCGTACTTGGAGTGGGCATTCTTGAACGGGGTGCTGATTCCTCGTCGGAGGAATCCTCCTCTGAAGAAATTGCCAGGTCTTCCACTGGCTCAAAGTTTGGCCGAAGGCTGCCTTTTCGGCCATTGGAAATGGATAATCGAGGAGACACGGCTGTTGAGTCACGACGTGAAAAGGCTCTTTGGCCTCGCATCAAGGCCGGAGACTCTGTATTTCGAGACGCTCGGCGGGCTGTCGTCGTAGCAACTGCGTTGGAAGAAGATTTCCTTGGCTGATGTGATTGGTTTGCGGATGGAGTTGCAACTGGCTCAGCACGGTTTGCACCAGAGCGTAGAGATCTGGCAAAAGGGGTCCCGGAACCAGCATTGGATGAACGTCTTCGATTTTCGATGAGCTGAGCTGATACCGGTGAGGAATACTGTCCACTCTTTGCCGCAAGCCTTTCTCGGGCTCTTAATGCATCTTGAAGAGCCTTATTCTTTGCATCATCGTAAGCGCCGCGCGCAACGGGCGTTCCCCTGACCGAGTTGGGCACGGATGGAGGTACGCTATGTAGGAGACTTCTGTCGTCTGGCGATTCGGACTTTGTACCGTATCCGTTCAGGCGCGGCCGTTGAGAATCTTCGATGATATGCATCGGCGAATGAGCATCTTGTTCCTGCCAATTTGTGGCAGCCAAGCCTATTTCGGAATCTTCCTCTCTTGAACGAACGGGTGTATCAGGATGGATTTCTCGCTCAATCTCTTCTGAAACGTTATCTGATTGCCGGGGGCCAAGGCGTTGTCGTTTACTCAGTTGGTGCGGAGGTGATTCTCGTTCGTCTTCGTCGATGACTTCTACCTGTCTCAGACTGCTCTGAGGACGTGACAGATATTCTTGGTGAGCCCGTTTTACACCAGCGATAGGACGAGCGAGGAAACGCGGGCGAAGACCAGACTCCGGCGCGACTGAACCTCGCGAAGGGCCTTGGACAACTCGAACAATGTCCCTGTCATCGAAGACGTCGCCCACAGTAAGAGTTTTAACTTCGAGGTCATTTTCATGGCTGTCCTGAAGCTTTTTAATATTAAGCGGCCTACATCAACGAGCACCACGTCAGTCTGAACAAAACACTTTCTTTTCAGAGCGCGTCACCTACGGTCTGGCGCTATAGAGCCTATCGTGTCTATCGCAAATCCTTTTCCAGAGGTCCTCGAGAGGTAATTCCGCTGGACACCGAGGCTCTAGAAATTTTATGACACCATCGGTATTGCCCACACGTCGCTCGCTCTGCTCCGGAAGTATGTGAATGGACAGACGAAGATCTCGCATGATTGCGACAGTCGGCTCAAAAACCCAACGAACGTGAATATGCTAATGCATGAATAATACAAAAATATCAAACGCTTGACTTGAGAGAAGCCTCTGCCTGAGTGCTAAACTTTGCGTCACAGGCAATGATTGTACAGAGAAAAGTTCGCGAGTAAAAGCGAATTGTTTGTTGGGTCCACCGGAGGGGAACAACTTCATCTCAAAAGGAAGCTTTTGGAGAGTTTTGATGTTCTTGGTCCGTGCACTGTAGTTCCGCGCGCGATGAACTGCAGAACCCGAGTTCTCGCTCTTTTAGTCCGAAATCCCGTCTAACTTTATCACGACTGGTGTGCGCCTACCACTGACTGCCCACCCAAAAAGAACTGATATTGGAGACTCTAGGACACTGCCTTTTGTTGAACATAGCCCCTTGCGATTTTGATTTATAATTTACCACAAAGGACAGATAGCCTCTAGATGATTGGAATGTGCATCACAAAAAGAATTATTAGACCGGATTAGTATTACAATGGCGACCACAAGGGAGCGTTGTCTGACAGCTCACGGCTTATGTGGCAGCCAGTAGCGGTTCCTTATTTGCACATTAAGGGACGAACAGGAATGATTTATGAAATCAAGTAATCATAGGCCGAGACTTTCAGGTAGAAAGTGCTCATCAACATCAGACTTGCCATTGTAACACGCAGTTCCGACTACGGGGTTGGCTGAGGTACTGAACTTGGGCGAGATGGAAGACCTCCTTTTGTTGATTATTGTGAAGAATCAGGCCGATATCTGAATCTAGAGATGGCATCCAAATCATACACAAATGACATTACGCGTAGACATTCAGGCAAGGTCGGGCCGGCGTCAAGGGCGGAGAACATTATGGCTGGCGTCGGCAGGATAATTCTTGCACCGCATCCCTCAGTTCACAGAGAACAAAGCATACAAAATTTCATGGCTGTCGTTTCCAAGCAAATGCACCAGGCTGTGCCAAATATGATCTGAGAAGCACTTTGGAGCGGATGGGAGAAATGCGACATTCCGATGGTAGTTTATCTGCGGATACACATGCAGAGAAAAGGAATGCCATGCCTGTTTGCACGAGACCCGAGGGTATTGTTCGAAAAGCCATATCTGCACTGGAAAAATGTCGAGCAATAGCGGAGAAAATCGAGCAACATAAAGCGGTATCGTCGAGTATTAGAGGGCGGCTGCGACAGCCAATTTCTGTATTGTTTGTCGCTAAGGAGATGACATGATTTTCCCATCAAATACAATATGCGCCCTTCTCTGGTTCCCAAACCGCCCCGACCAGTACAACCATGATTCGTTTATCGCAGTCTTCTGGCCTCACGCTCAGACTCGAGCAAGCAGAGGATGTCGTCCTCACGGACTGCAACGCAAAACTCTGGTTAGTAATTTGACTCTGACACCAAACTCGCAGACAGCTAAGATTTTGATCGTGTCGTACCTGGGCCCTTGACGTTTCGGATGATGCTACGAGTGGTGTCGTCCATGAACTCGACACGGACCTGGGTAACACCACCACGAGAGCCTATAATCGCACAAAATCAGCCCCAAACTCCTCTCTTCCACTGTATCTCTATTTTGCGGACGGATATCGAAATTGTTCGAAGGAGCGCGACGTACCGGTGCGGCCAAGGACACGGGTGACCTTGACAAGCTTGACGGGGACCTTAGCGGATTCCATGGTTGCGAACTGCTGCCGTATATGAGCGAAAAAGTCCGGGTGACAGAATCTCGACTATATACTGACTCTGATTTGAAGCAGCTCACGGGGTTGATCGGAGACGGTCTGGCGCAGATTCGGGCTCCTGTACGGGCGATTTGACGATCCTGGTAAATTCAAGATGGTCTCGCGTAAAGTGCGTAGTAGGGCAAGCCCTCGCGTGAGCGAGTACAATAAAACGGCTGCGAGGCGGGAAACATCCCTTCAAGCCACACCTCAGCCTTGTGCTGAAAGATACTCATTGTAGCAGTAACGTCCAGTACTAACAGTAATTGGGCATTCAGGTACACCAATCATCGACACCCCGCGCCGTCATCGGAGGGGCCCGATAGATGCAACAAAAGATCTGCAAGGCCTTTTGGCAGCAATTGATACAGTAAGATCATGATTCATAGGAATAAATAGATATATTCAACCAGGAGAATTACAGTATAAACCAAGACCTTTAAATTGTATAATAAAAGTGACGGAATCTGTTTGTACGGAGTCGACGCTGGTTGGCCCCACGTGGAGAGATTTGTGTAGCCCATTAGACAGGAGATTCTTCGCTTTCAACCCGCAAAAGTCCAACTCGGGCCGTTTGACTCAACCATCTCAGCTCCAAAACAAAGAAATAACGGGGCTTCTCTCAAACTCAACCACGAACTCCATATACGCTTGCAACGAAATTCTTTGTTTTACTTTCAAATTATACCGTCAACATGGACCTCGTCAATCAGTGAGTTGGCCTTGTTGCAGCAGGGCTATGATGCGGCGTATTTTCTAGGGAAGATGTTAACACTCCAATAGCCTGACTGACCGCTTGCTTTTTGCGGTGCCCAAGAGTAAGGCGAAATGCTTCCAGAATCTTTTGCAAAGCCCCCGCCAAGCTCCGGGCTTTTTGCGTGCTCATAGACTGACAATGCGATTCCTACAGAGGGCAGACTGCAACAAGCCGCGCTCGACCTCCTCAATGGCTCCGACATTCAATTCCGCAGGGAAACCCGTTTGGATATTGCGCTTGTCCGGAACCTTCCGATCGCTCTCATTTTCCTGCCCGCGGCCGACATTCCTACTTTTGTTGGAGAGGGTCGTGTTGACATTGGTATTACCGGAAGAGACCAGGTGGAAGAGCATGCTGCGACGACACCAATCAGCAGTGAGGAGCAGGGTGTGGAAGAGATTTTGGATCTTGGCTTCGGCAAGTGCAAGCTGCAGGTGCAGACACCTGAGAAGGGTTCATTGAACGACCCCAAGGATCTCATTGGAAGAAACGTGGTCACCAGCTTCGTCGGTCTTACTGAGGCCTACTTTAAGGAGTTGGAGGGCGTATCCGGTGACAAGAAGATTAAGACGAACATCAAGTACGTCGGTGGCAGTGTCGAAGCCGCATGTGCGCTGGGCGTCGCGGACGGCATTGTCGATCTTGTTGGTATGGCAATCAGCGTTACTGTATCATGGCACCCCAGATCTACTGTTTTGCTGACACACGTTACTAGAGTCTGGAGAGACTATGAAGGCAGCTGGCCTGCGAGCCATCTCGACGGTTGTTGAGAGCACTGCTATCCTCATCAAGTCTAAGCGCCCTTCAAATCCCCAGCTGGTCGACCTAATTGCGTCGCGAATCAAGGGAGTTATCAGTAAGCCGATTCTTTTTCATTATTCAACTCGGATCAAGTGTCCTAACAGTCTACAGCTGCTCAAAAATACGTTCTCTGCCAATACAACATTCACCGATCGAAGCTCGATGTTGCCACAAAGATCACCCCTGGAAAGCGGGCACCCACTATTACTACCCTTGAAGAGGAGGGATGGGTTGCCCTCAGCTCCATGGTCGAGAAGAAGCAGATTGCTACCGTCATGGATAATCTGGAGGCCGTTGGCGCCAGCGACATTCTAGTCTTGAACATTGGAAACTCGAGAACTGGTTGATTCACAGGCCAAAAATTGGTCCGTCAAACCCACTTTCGGGCGTGCCCAAAACTTCCCAGCAAGGACTTGAGCTGCACCTGCCGGGAAGCACATATACTTCTCTCAACCTCCCGCCCATTCGCGTCTGCGGCACGATATTTTTGTCCTTTTATGTCCCACTCGGGTTGGCACGAGTGAATTCTTGGAGATCACTTGAGAAATATTAGACCTGCTCTTGTCATGTAGATAGCGCTATGTTCAGCCTTTTCAAGAAATTTAAAAAGAAGAGAAGAGCTATTTTCAAGGAACTCCCCAATTGCATGAAACGCACTCTCAATGCAGCTCGCATTTCCTTCCGTGCCAGGATATAAGCATATCGAAAGCTGACTTGACGACTCATTTTATATGTAGAGCAGATTCAAAAACCAGACATATGAGATAAGGAATAAATGTCAAGGGAGAAAATACTCCAATAACACACTACAGCCTTCCCACGATTCACAGGTAAGAGACAATGTTTTTTCAGTGACTGGAGATTGTGTTGTGCCGCCAAAGTGACATCAGAATACAAGTACTCCCCTCCTTATCCCTCGGTCCATACACGATACGTTCGGCTAACCCTACAGCCCGCAAAAGCGCATTTGGGCTAGGTTTCTGCAGAGTACATGCCCCCTCGCCCGCAGCCCAAGTTCCGCCTTGCGTGTCGCTACTCTTAGCCGCATCCGCTCCCAATTCGCGAACAAGCGCCCAGCCCTCCGACCATTCCGAGCCGTTGTACCGTAAGATGACGCACGATCCCCAGGGCCCCTCCATGCCCTAAAAACAGAGCACAGCTTCCCCTTCAGAGCTTTTTTGAGGGAGATCGTCAAACAAGCAACTCAACGCCAATTGTCTCAATCTCCTGTTCTCTTACAATTGACAATTTTCTCTCTCTCTTCAATCTGCTGAAGCCAGCAAGGTTCAAGAGAACTATAATTGTTCGGTCTCCAACCACATCCCCCAAATATCACGTTCAATTATAGTCGGCATTCAAAAAAGACATTGTCATACCTACCAACACCGACACATTCATCCAGCACCACGCGCAAAGGAACAAAAAAATACCGTAGTCGGCATATATCAAGACATAATTTGACTAGAAATCAAACGCTTTCCGCCCGTTTTTCTTTAAAAGATAAGAAAAACACAATAAGCAATAAGGAAATATCCACCGCAGTCGGACGTAGAACGAAAGAGCTGTACTAAATTCACCTACGTCCTGCGTATTGTTATTCCGATCAACTGCTGTCATATCAGCATATGGGGCCAGGACACAATTCGACAAGCCGCAAAAGAGTCCCCTGTCTTTATCAACCAGCAGCTCCGAGCTACTAGCTGCACACCGCGCCAACCCGGACGGGGACAAAGAAACAGAAACCAAAATCTTGTCCAGAGCTTCACACAATTGAAGAGGCGCAACGATATCGAAACCAGGACCGGCATACTTTGTTTTCAACCCTGCTGTACTGCACGCTGAGTCGCGCAACGTCACGCTCTCCTCCCCTCGGAATATACGGCAAACCGTTTCCCAGCAACAGCAAAAGCAAAACAAACCAACAAGAGCCGATATACCCTTTGACCAAGACACAAGTGTAATCGCGGGCCCGCGCGACCACTACGTAGGACCACTACCAAACACGGAGGCGCATCTCCGCGCATTGATGTGTCATTGCAGGACCCTTCCTTGACTACATCATTGTATTCCCCCCTCCCTTTTTTTTTTCCTTTTGTACTGGGTGAATATATCGCCACACGATGACGGAGTCGCAGTCACAGCTCGGAGTACCGACCCGGGCTCCAGCTGCAGCTCCAGCTCCAGCTACACCTGACTCTACTCCGCTTCACTCGAGAAGAAGGACGCCGTCGCCGTCGACGTCGCCGCTGTCCTTTAAAATTCCCGATGTTGGCGCTTCTCTCACATCTGCCCTCCCGTCATTCGAATCCGACCACCATCACCAGCAACAGCAGCATGAGCAGAGTATGCACGGATCTTCCAACGGAATTGAGACTGACAATGAGACTGAGAGTCCCATGTCATTAATGGCATTTGCTCAGGTGCGTTCCCCCCCTCCCCGCTCCATCTTTCTTCAAATGTTTTCCCAATTCAAAGTCTTACTTATATTATGTTATAAAAATACAGACACTTCTTACGCCGCTATACTTTATCTCGTTCCTGCTCTCGCTTTTCCTGATCGATACGCATCGCCATCCTTCGTCTTCATCTTCATCTTCAAGCTCGCCAATGATGACGACGAGCAGCCACAAGGGCGATTTCTGGTTATCGTCATCGGCGACGATCAAAAAAGGGGGGACCGGCTCTTCAATGTCGCCGCCGCAATCGCCTTCGGCCCGGTCAGAGTCTGGATATGCTCATATGCACAAGAGCAGCAAAGATGGGCAGTCCTGGACGTGGGCGTGGCGCAGGGGAGACAGGAAACTGATCAGACGCGAACTAGTCGATGCGTTTGATATGCGTCGCATGGTGCTGACTGCCATGATATGCAGCGTCATGTTGATCATGGGCGCTGGAGCTGTGAGCGGATGGTGGCTGTGGAGATGGGGCTGGGGCGTTGGCGCGAGTGCATGATCGGTCGATTTATAAAAAAGAAAATATTAAATTGTATGCATGCGTTATCAGGAGATTCTTTTTTTTCCTTTCCTCGGATGATTCGATGATTTGAGCGTCATGATTTTCTTAGGGTGTATTGTACTGTAATGTACAGATAGGCATGTAATATACGTAAAACATAGCCATGAACATATTGGGATTCGATTCGTATCGTAGGATTGGAAATTTGATAACTCTTCATAGTATTCGTCATTGTATTTTACTTCTTCTTCCTCTCTGTTTCGAAAGATATATATGTGACGTCTAGGTATAGTACAAAATCAAAGACATAAAAGTCGCTCTTGCTTCCTGTACTCATACAATGCCAAACGAATAGGAAATCATCGTGCTGCTGTATACTCTGCCCCAAGAAAAAAAAGCCAACTAATTTTCCAATTGTATAAAGAAAAATAGGCTTATAGTACATCATCGTCTTTAGTGGACGGCACGTTGCTGTTGTCGTATATGCAATGTTACATGATGCATCATTCAATGCGAGGCGGTCCACCGCTCGCCTGAGACCTCCTGGAGTTTGCACTGGGACTATATTTTGAGATTGAGAAGGTTAGCAAGCCAGTCATTGGGCCGAACATAAACAAAATAGATGGAATAGAGGAATAGATGGAAGAGACGGGCGGACGGAATGACGGGTGCACTCACGATCGTCTCCGTTCACCTTCTTTACGAAATCCTTCAATTATTTTTAGCATTTCCCGGCGTCCATCGTTGGTTTTTGGCAGTTCCTTTTCAGAAATTGCCATGGTGATCTTCTCCTCCTTGTTCGTCTTCAATAACCGGTCCAGGAGGAGCACGCGCATCTGCATACACACGTAAACACCACAGTCTGTCGAATTTTCTTGTTGAGGCGTATCCTCAAGGTCCAAAAACTTGAGCGGCTGGTTCTGCATTTGACTTTTAACGAGTTTGCTGATTTTCTCGGCCACGATGCGCGCGGAGGAGCGGTTCGACGGGTTGAGCGAATCATAGTGAAAGGCTACGCCGTCGATGATGCTGACCAGCAACAGCGACCAATGAGACCCGCCTTCAGGGGTTTCTACGTCGCCGCAGTCATTGATTGGAAGAAATATATGAGAAGCCTTGGAGAAGTCCGGGAGGGCGCCCTTCAGCGTCAACGGGTCGGGGGTATGTGTAAGCATAAAGGACATGGAAGGGCGGAGAAGAACGATGTTGATGTTGCGCATGCTGCCGAGGTATTCTCGCTCGAGATATCTAATTTGGGAGAAACGTCAAAAAATCTTGTTCGAGCCGGCGATCTGAAACTTTCAGGGGGAAAAGGTCGAAACGTACTCCTGCCAGAATGCGATGATCTGAATCGATCAAACAGTCAGTTAGCACGATTGGACTTCAGGTTTTCATTCAGGAGTGGCTCACGTTGTCCGTTAACCAGTCATCCTTGAGCGTTTCCACATCTTCTCGTGTTACTATCAAAGAGAGTCAATGTTAGTTGACGGTCGCATGGTATGGGGGCCGAGGTTCCGGCGTCATACATCGTATATCGTGATCTGAGGTGGGAGTTAGCCCGCTAATGTTGCCGTTGTACGAAGATTGTTGGCGCGTTCACTCACAGCTAAGGTATGCATCGTCAGGACTTAGCTATATGAAAATTTCATTAGTAAATTCTTCGTGTGCGATTCAAATTGGGGAAGTAGTAGTCGCATGGGCGCCAGCTGCAGCTACGGGCATGCAGGGTCTATACCGAGTCCCTATTCCAGCGCCGGCTCAATCGACCCCCAAAGGGATGAAAGCCGCTGGATTGCGACATGGCTTCCCGCCTCAGAAATAGGAGCCGAAATCAATTTCTCGCTGAAATGTTGCCCTTGGTCTGTGTTATTGTGTGACGTCTGATGCGGCCAGAGGCAAGTGCCAGCTTTTCGAAGGCGATCTCAACGCGGGCGGGAACAGTGCGATTCGACGAAGAAGAGATATATAGGAAAAGTACAAACAAAAGGCGCAGAAAACCGGCTGCGACGCTTCGAATAATCAATAAAGTATGAAGGAAAAAATATCTACAAATTTGAATGCAAACATCGGAAGATGGAGAAAGATGGTGAAGCCACGCGATGTGGGGTGGGGTGTAGGGTACCCTGAGTGGTTATGACGAGCCAGGGGTTACCGATTTCAGGGAAGTCTGGAGCATCCGATCCATCCGCTTCTGGACAACTCTGAATATTGCCCGACATGACATGACTCTTTTCATCCACCCACGCTATCAAGCATCACAGCACGTGAAGAGTCATTGTCGTCTTGCACATAGAGACAAAAGAATGCAACGCCATTGCAGGAGCATAATGCGGCTCGGCCTGCGCAGAAAAAAAAATGAATTGTACTCCCGTTATCCCGTTCACAATAATGCCCTTGGAAACCACATAATACCTTCTTCACTGCAACGCCCAATGAGCCAACTTCTGGTGTAGAGTCTTCCGGGAGCTCAACTGAAGAGGTCTCAGAGCTCATAGTCAACTCCGAAGAGGACAGTGTGCTCGAGTCGACTCTACAGGAGACACCCCGGCCATCCAATTTAGCCACAGTTGCCACCCAAATCATTCAGGCAAGCGTATGCTTGCCAATAGAAAGGGAAATAGTAAAAACGAGAGAAGAAGAATAAGGAGAAAAAGAACAATTAAAGGACATCTTTCTTTCACCGGAGACAGCAGGCGGACCCGTTTGTGCGGTCGGTTTTCGAGAGGTTCTTGCGCTTTGCGCTTTTCTCCTAGAGTTGATCTTTTGACTGGTGGATTGCGGCGAGCCTTTTTCCTGACCATGGTGTCAATGTCCTCTACTGCTTTGCGCTTTCTGCCATGGACAGGCTTCACTGGCCGGATCGGAAGTGTTGAGAGCATCGAAGGCTCATCTTCTTCGCTATGAAGCTCGGACTGATGAATGTCTGCGGCTATGTTGGGCTCTTCGTTACTCGGTGAAGCGTCTAGATTGCGGGCTCCCTGTTAGCTATCAAGCTCATTGGTCTGGTCAAGAGGGTATATACTTGGTGTGTTAGCACTCTGGTCCAATACACTAGGATCAGACACTGGTTGATCAGCCTGAGAGTGAACAGGTTCCGGAATTTTTACATCATTGATCTGAGGACGTTGAGAAGAGTTTCCGATACTTTCTTCCTTTCGGTGAGAGACGTTTTTATATTCGTCTTCCTGTTCCCCACGCTGTGCCTGGGCGTTTGAGGTGCGGAACTTGGTCGACTGGGAGGCCCCAAAACATTCCTCGGCGTGCAAAGCTTCTTCAACACTCGGGCGGTTGGACGAGGAAATGTGGGTGCCTTGAAGGGGGATTTGCTCTCCAAACTCATTAGTCTCTTGGGTACGTTTCGAGCTCGATCTTGCCTGGCTCCCCTCTTCGTGGTGCGCTGTTTGGAAGCAACAGTTTGTGATTCTGACTTCTTCAAAATCTTGGCTTTAGGGGCCAGAATTCTTGCAATCTCCGAGTTTGCTTTCTGTGACGCTGTTCTAGTGCTTCTCCAGACGGGGTATCTCGCTGCATTCGAATTTTCTATCCCCTGAGGTCCTGCCTTAGGGCTTGAGTTTTCTTTGCTGGCAGGGATTGAGGCGGTGCTTTCCGAATGACCAGATAAATCGATGCAACCTTTTTTGAGAGACATGTCCTGGTTCGGAATTTCGTTTGACGGTCCGCTTGCAAAAGAGAAGCTATCGACCTGCTCTCGTCCTCTACTCCTCCTAAGGTTCAAGAGTTCAATGTTTTGGCTCACTTTGAAGAGGAGACGAGGTTGAGACATATGGACAGGCTATGAAGAAAATAAAAGAATGCAGTGTCAGAGAAGAAACAGTGTAAATTTCAGCTTCAACTGGAAAACGTGGAAGCGATGTGATATGGAGAAGTGTGGGAGAGGCCTGGCATACGCGAGTATATAAACTGTGTGTAAAGTCGCATCGTGAATATCAATTGACATTGAGCGGTACAATGTGGTTTGAGTCCCGTATTCTCCTATTCAGGAGTACAATTACCAGTGGGATTCACTTTCAGACTACCTTACTTCTCTTGCCTGATAAAACTTTGGATCCGCTTCCATTCTTCTATTGTCCGTATTTCCTTTTTTTTTCCCCTTATTCATCACATGCTCAATTGCTCCATTGATTCCGGTCTTTTTGCATCTTGTCCCTTCACAGAAAGCCATTGAGGCTGAGCAGAGATACCTGAACAACCGCTGAGTTCTGTGTTGCACGACCAGCCCACCGTGTGTTCGTTATATGGACATTGTACAATCTCTATTCACCGCTATCTTTCCCATTTATGGAGTATGTAAACAATGCGTTACATGCAATATACAATATATATCAGTGATTCGGGAGAATTATGCACATGTACTATGCTTATGCATAGCTAGACTTTGCCTAAACCCTTAAACTAAGACACACAATAACTGTGTATAGTGGTCCCGGTAGGCTCGGAATAGTCGTAGAGGTTTAATTACCATGGCACCAGTATATTGTGATGACAGAAATATATATTGTTCTAGTGTCATAGTACTCATGAGCTGAGCAATGGCCTGACACGGACGATAAGAGCCCAGGTCGACATTTCATGACTGTCTAATGTTCCAATGGCAACAGCTAGACTCATATATTGGATAGAAATGCATTACACAGTATGATTTCACTTCTCTCAGCAACAGAAGCCTATTCACTTTTATGTTTATACAAAAGAAATACGTTAAATAACCTAAAATTAAGATGAAGAAGAATAAACACAAAATAAGAATTTTTCCTCGGGGGAAAAAAAGGAAAGAAAAGGGACAATAGTGAAAAAGGAAAAAGAAAACGAAAATAAAAGAACAAATTGTGACAACCATATATTTCTATTCGCACAATCGTAAAGAGTGAAGACATGAGGTTGAGAATGGGTAACGGAGTACGGAGGAACTTGGCATATGCAGCCCGGCATTTTTAGTCAGCCGACATCCAGCCGGGGTCTTCCGGATCGACTGTATACCCGATGCCGAGGGCTCGGAGATTGCCCCTGAACATGGGAACCCCCAGTCAATACAGGTGCACTAGCTGCTTTTAGTTCCCAGATCTCGTGCACGCCCCGCGGGGTGAGCTGATGACAAGGCAAAGTTACTTACCTTAGGTAGGTTACCCTAGTTACATATTACTTGTACGAGTAAGCTAACCCTCGTTGCTGACCGAGACATCAGCAATCAATCCCTGCCTACCTTTATCTATTATAACGTTACGCAAGGGGAATACACGTACATATATAGCGTCCAGATCCCCCAATCATTTATTTTCTCACGTGTTGCTTTATCAATCAGAGTAGTTCTTTTTTTCCCTCCTTTTGAAGTGGACAGTCCAAATGCTCTCAAATATATAACTACTCTCACAACCCAACACGCCGCATTCGACTATTTGACGATTCGATCGTCCCGAACATACAAGTACACAAACATGTCTGCAAACCAGCAATCGCATATCAGCGACCCTGCACAAGGACAGCCAGAGCAAGGATCAGAAGCCATCGCGTCTCTGCAGAAAGTCGCATATACCGACCTTCCCGCGGGACTGGCACCGAGCCACATTCAAGAAAAGGACATAGAACGAAATGAGCAAACGAAACAAGACGCGCAAGCTGGTCCGCAATCCCAAACGGTTTTATATCTCGCATATGGATCCAATCTGTCCGCCGAGACGTTTCTCGGGAGAAGAAACATTCGGCCGCTGTCCCAGCAGAATGTGGTCGTTCCTGCCCTGAGCCTGAGTTTCAACCTTCCTGGCATTCCGTACATTGAGCCGTGTTTTGCGAATACTCGGTTTCGCAATTCTTCACCATCATCACACTCACCTACACCGTCATCAACATTATCTTCATCATCATCACCACCACCACCGCCGACATCATTGCCTGGCCCTTCTTTACCAGGAGCACCAGAAAAGTCTCCCCTGCTTGAACCTCCCACTCACTCCCAGCGGCATCGTCCCGAGTACCACAAGGACCGATGGCACAAGGGTCTCGTGGGCGTAGTCTACAAAGTCACGCGCACAGACTACGCCAAGATCATCGCGACCGAAGGCGCCGGAAGCTCGTACAAGGACATTCTAATCGACTGCTACCCACTTCCACAAGGGGTGGACATTGTCCCCGAAACGCCCGACACGGTGCCGTTTAAAGCGCATACCTTGTTTTGTGGACACTTGCCGCAGACTTTAGCAGCGATAGCGACCGGTGCAGCGACGGGGACAGCAGCGACGACAAGAGAACCAAAAATGGCGGCGGAAAAGTCTGAAACGGCAGTAATATCAACCATGCCCCTCGAGCGGCCCGACGGCAGCTACGCGCAGCCATCGGCGCGCTACTTGAAACTCATCATGGACGGGGCCGAAGAGCATTCCTTCCCGCTGGAATACAAAGAGTACCTAGCCGACATTCGCGCGTACACGATTACGTCGAAACGGCAAACATTCGGGAAATTCATCTTCGTCGGCGTGTGGGCGCCGCCGCTTCTCTTCATCTTGCTTTGTAATCGGCTATTCTCGGACCGCAGAGGCCGTGCGCCGGCCTGGCTGGTCAAAACGACTGACGCGTTATTCGGGACTCTCTGGACGAGCTACGATTTCGTGTTCAGGCGCATGTTTGGCGACGGCGAGCGCACGGATTATCCCGACGAACGACTGAAGCAATCCTCCTCATCTTTTGGGAGGCTTTCGAGATGTTCAACAGAGGAAAAGAAGACGATATCAGAGATGGTCTAGGATGGCTGCTACGTCGGAGAAAGCAGTTATGGGAGTATTATATATAAAATACTTTGTACGATATAAATCACGTTCCTCTAGCATGGCGGGTTTTCCACGGGGTGTAATAAATGCGGAGATTAAAAATATTCGATATTTTGATACTGATATGCAACCTATTCCGCTCTGCTACTACGCTTGCCACGCGACCAGCAATAATGAATTGTAACGTTAGTTTAATGCTTAAACGCACGAGGATGAAGTCACAAGTTCCCCCGCTCGGCCTGCTCTCGCTCAATCGCTTCAAAGAGACTCTTAAAGTTCCCTGCTCCGAATCCAGCAAAATTGTTTCGTTGGATTATTTCAATAAACACCGTTGGGCGGTCCATAAGCGGCTAGATATCGTTAGCTACTTTCACATCATAATCCACAGGACTACAGCAAATGGAACTCCAGACACTTCAACTGCCGTTGTCAAACTACACATGAATGCAGATGGGACATTATGCACGTACCTTTGTAAACAGCTGCAACAAATACCCCGACTGGTCAAAATCAATCAGGATATTCAGGCGCTGAATCACGTCAAAGTCCTCGTCGAGCTGCATTCCCGCCGCCGCCAGCCGCTTGCGCATAGCAAGATAATACGTCTCCGGAACAGAAATAAACTCGACCCCGCGCGCACGCAAATGCGTCACGGCCGTCACAATATCCGCCGTGCGCAGCGCAATGTGCTGGACCCCCGGCCCGTTGTAGAAATCGACGTATTCTTCGATCTGCGACTTGCGTTTTCCCGGCGCCGGCTCGTTCAGCGGCATCTTGACGAGCTCGTTGGGCGAGGCCATGACGATGGAGCGCAGCGCGGAGTAGTCTGTGCATATGTCCTTGTCGTCGACGGACCAGAAGCGGTGGAAGCCGAGACATTTTTCGTAACTAGATTTCAATTAGCAACAATCCTAAGGTGCATTCAGGTAAAAGGTAAATCTTGACGGGGAGAAAATAATAATAATAATATAACGAACTTGACGGCAGGGAATATAAAGGGGAAAAAAGGGTCTCAGGAACGACATACTAGTCACACACGGCTTCGACCTGGTTCCAGTCCTGATTGCCCACGCAATGATCTACGGCTTCGAGGGGTACATCCGGAAGTAACTCGTTCAACGGATCAGAAGCCTGCACACGCTTGAAGCCGGGAAGAAACACGCCCCGGTATCGTGACCGGTCAATCAGGGTATGCGTCGTATCGCCATACGTTTTGATACTAGCCATCACAATCGTGCCATGTTCGTCTGTGATAGTCGTGGGCTCGGCCGCGCCGGAGGCACCTCGCTGGATGGCCTGCGAGTAGATGGCTTCGACGTCGTCGACTTCAAAGGAGACATCCTTGACCCCGTCGCCGTGTTGTTCGAGGTGGGCGTATATCTCTGCCACTTCTTCTTGTTCTTGTTCTTCTTTTTCTTTTTTGGGGGAGCATTTATCGCCGCTTACCCTGGTCCTGCTGGGATGTGCGCTGCCGCCGCCGCTGCTGCTGCGTAACGGCGAGCTAAAAACAAATGTCACGGCGCCATTACTCACGACATGGCTCGCAATATGGCGCGACCCGGTCTCGAGGCCCCGGTACGCCACCAGCTTGAAGCCGAATCTCGTCACGTAGTAGGACGCCGCTTGCTTTGCGTTGCCCACGTACCATAGCACGTGTCCGAATCGCTGGTATCCGCTTCTCGCTGACCTCGCGGCGTCTAGGTCATTGGGCGCGCTCGAGAGAGGCAGCGTTGTACCGTTGCTGGTTATGATGCTGGGCTCGATGACTGATGGGGCCATAGACACGGACGATAAATACTTTCTCGTGTTAAATTTATTTTATTGATATATATTTTCGATTCTTGATAATACACGGTTTTTGAAAGAATTCGATATGGATAGTGAATGAATAGAAGACTTTCTTGAGATTTATTTCTACGATAATCTCAGCGTAAGCACTCCACAGCATCTCACACCGTTTCCGTTGTCTGAATAAGACAATAGACTCAAACTCCATGTTTATTCGGCATTCCGCGGCTAGGCCCGGGCTAAGGAAAAGCATGGCTGGAGTTAAGGAGGAGCTAAGTTGGAAGCGACGCGGGGGGCGGGGTCTAACCGTAAGTCACTACGGCAGTAAATCAGCCGTCAAGGGCCCTTGCACTGTATAATTGACTAAACCCCCACATTCCCCGAAACGGGGCTTGCGGCATGGCAAGAGGATGGGCATGGTTTTAGACCGTGCCACTCGATTGTAGTTGCCTCATTTGCTTGTAAGCTCAATGATGTTGTCAGCATGTTACCCGATGCTACCCGCACTATATTTTACCCATAGCGCTGGTATCATGATCTGGCTTGACTGCTTTGAATTGTTTCAATGTTATATATCCATATCTAAGTAATCCCCTGTATCAGAGGTCATCAACGTTGTCAGGTGTCTGGAGCGTAACAATGAGCCACAGGATCAACCTCACAAAGAAAGATGCATCTACTCTAGATCAAATCTTTGACCCGGAATCAACGCCCTCGCCTGCAATCAATATCAGCTCTGATGCCCCAGATGACCCCCACATTAAGGACTCTCAATTGCTAGAAGAGCTTAAAAAACGAGAAAAAGATGCGATTGTGCTGTTAGAGAAGAATGTCAGTTCTGAGTTAGGCGGAAAGGCGAGAGTCGATCCGAGCATTTACAAGCAGGTCTTGGATGAACTGTCGGAGTTGATATCGGAAGAGCCATCATATGCAAGCGTGCGGAACAATCGTGCTCAGCTGCTTCGATTGCAACACGGAGACCACGTTTTGGTGATAGCTTGGAGTCCAACGGCGGCGGGGAAAGAGAAGCAGCAGGCTTCCATTGCGGAGACCATCTTGACTGATCTGGACACGGCTCTTGACTTGCTCACGCCAACTTCCTCGACGGTATCACTCTCACGAAGCCAAGCACGTACATTGGCGCAAGCACATACGCAGCGAGCAGCTCTATTGTATACAGCATCAAAAGATGCAGCGTCGCATGACATGATGAAAAGACAATGGCGTCCCGTGGGGAACAAATTTGAAGGTTGGACCGCAGACAGATTTGAAGAAGCTGCATCACGCGATTTCTTCCTCGGTGGTCTTTATGGAAACGAACTGTCCAAGGCCATGGCCGTACATACTAATCCGCATGCCAAGTTATGCGGGGCAATTATACAGGAAGCGTTAAGAAAAGAATACGCGCCTGGGTTAGCATAGGTTGCGTCCATGTCTCTCGAATTTCTCTTTGAACATTTGAATTTTGGTTGAGAATGCACCTTTTATCATTCAGCTATTGGTGCTTAGACAAATGACTCATGACTTATATCCTATGTATTTCTTACTCAAATATAAATTCCGGGACCCTACTCTGCACAAGCGTCAAGGAGCTTCTTATGGCTCTCCATGGCTTCTTTGGCAAAGTCTTCCAGCTCGTAGTCCTTTCCTTTGCCGTTTGGGCCGCCGTCAAAAACTTCCATTGAGAAATATCCTCTAAATCCAGTCTTCAGTACAGCCTTGGCCACGTCCACGACGGGCAAGTAGCCGCCATTAAATGGCACAGGTCGGAAATCGTGGCTCCATCGTCCGCGAGGGCGCAGACCGTCAATGGTTTTATTCTCGAATGGCTCCTTGGGCTTATATGCGTCAGAGATCTGGAGGAAATAAATCTTGTCCTTTGGCACGGTCTTGCTGAGTTTATCGAGACTTTCATGGAAGATCACGCTCAATAACTCGCGACCCCCGAGGTGCTCACCCTCGAGCTCATTCAAGCCGGATAATGTGGTCGGATCAGCCCATTCGCCTCCCGCTGTTTGGAACGTGTCTAGGCACAAGCCAACGTTCGGCCGATCTACTTTTTGGACAATTTGCCACACCTCTAGCCATCCCGGCGCGTGAGAAGACCAACACCAGTTTTCATATGCTATGCGGAAGCTATGAGGTGCGAGAAGGTCAGCCAGCTCTCGCAGGTCGGCTGCGACCTCTTCTTGGGATGGCTTGAGGTTGGGAGAATCTGTAGACCCGACCTATCGTTTCAAATACGCATTAGCTGGGAATCCAACGCTGACAACAGAGGTTTGAGATCCTCGATACAGTCTAACTTGGGATGCTCACCTGCAACATATCGGTACCAACGGCTTGCATTATCCTGATCCAGCCCTTTGCGCGAGTGAAGGCATCCTCCCGCTCCTTGGAGCCCTTGGGCCAGCCCTCAAAATTTGCAAAAGGCTGAAGGATTAGTATCTTCAGACCGTGATCCTGGCATAGCTTTCGAATTTCCTCCCCGATTTTGCATAGACTGTCGTAGTCATAAGGGTCAATGTCTTTGCCGAGATGTTGACTCCCAAAGGAGAGGATATCCGGGAAAGACAGCTCAATTGCAGAGAAACCAGCAGCAGCGATCGCTTCGAGCTTTTTAGGGAGCGTATGTGAGGACTTGCAGCCAATTGAGCAGCTGGCAAAACAAGTCGGGATGTTGGAGAGTGAGCTTCGTGTCAAGGCCATGGTGAGGATATTTTGAAGCGGATAATGCCAATGCTAGCGACCGTTCTATCTTTGGTGATAAATGGTGTTGTGTTAGAGGAGGTATAGTTTCTTATATACCTTAGTTGTTGGGGTGTCTGGGCTATTAGGCAAGGTTGTCGAATTAATGATGTTATGCCTATGAGCTCCCGCACAATGACGTCTTGTGGTCGCGAGCAACACCCCTTCTGCGGAAGCCCGCAAACAATTCACTTTCATGAAATTAAATTGCAATTGAAATTCACGGAGAATTTGAATATATGATTATTGCTACGCAAATTAGCTATCGATTTGCCCAAATTCCGCTCATACCATAGCACGAATTCAGTATTGGCCTTTGATGTAAGATGTGTTGTAATTGTGAGCTCATCGGAATACAGTAAGTTACTCATTGATGAGATGCAATATTCGGCTAGATAAGATAACCAAGGTTGTTCCGCCCCTTTCACTTTCGGGGACTAACAGACGCCGTCTTACACCCTAACTTAACCCTACTCTCGAGAAACTTTGGTCGCTTTCCCTAGAGGGCGACCTGGCTGGAGGGATTCGACGGTCCAATCAAATCCGTGTTTGCTCGCGATGTGGATGTCCTGGCTCAATCCAAGTCGCTCTCTGCCGTACTCTAGAAGGTGGCCTCATTGCAAGAGCGAAAAATAACAGCTTTGCCGAAAGTCCATCTGACCGCGTATGTTGCGACACCTAGGATATGTCTTCTTCGTTTCAGTTACAAGATGAAGCATCTTTTTATATTTCTTTTTTACATTTCCATCGTGGCTGCTCGAGATTTGTGTTCAGATCTAAACCTGTCACACCGTGACACAGCGTACAAAGCAAGGGAGGAAACCCGGGTACTTTTTTTCTTTTGCATGGCAGATTCACCCACATGGCAGTTGACAATTGCTGAAGCCAACGGGTATCTGCAGCCCAAACAGATGTGAACAAAAGTTTTCAATCATAATGTTAACCTGAGACTTTTTGACGGTACTTTAATAAAATAGAGGGGGGAAAGCCCATAAGCACCCTTCCTCTTCAAGAGCGACATTAATTGACATAAGGGCGTCTAACAAACTATCGAAGAGCAGACTAAGCGACTGGGTGCAGGGCCTGGTCATTAATGTAAAAGCACGGCTTGCTATGCATCTGCCAAATGGCATCGCAAGCCCCAAATGTAGCACCCTCTTTCAATCTCATGGGGCCATGTCTTGCTAGTCGTTCCTGGCCTAACCGGTACTACACAACAGTTGGCTGAAATGCGGAAATAAAGAATGAAAGGGAAAGGTGGGGAAGGAAAGGAAGTAAAATAAAGTGGAACAAAGTGGAATAATGAAACGAAAGAAAGTGAATAAACAAGGTACTGATTGGATCATTAACCGATATTACTGCGTTTTGATTCCTGCATAGAGACCAGTTCTGCTGCAGCTAAAGGTAACGAAGAGGAGCCCCAGCAAAGCAGAAGAATACATTTCAGTCTCGGCCGACAAAAGAGTCCGAAGAAAAAAAAAAAGAAGAGGCACATTTGCTCTCATGCAGCCCATATGCATGGGTCTACAACCATCTTGACGAATAGAATCATGCAGCGACCGAACATACGCTGCCGCATCATCTCCTTTTTTTTTTCGACAGGATACGCAGGCGTAGGTGCGGAGTGTTGCCGGTGTTGTGGCGTTGTGGTGATGCGGTGATGCGGTGGAGCGATGATACGGCGGACAGCGGCGGAGCGGCGGAGCCCCACGAGGTCGCAGGTCTAACTAGATTATACAAAAAAATCTACTTTATGTACCTATCGAGTAGTCCTTGCCGCTCGGAAGTGTAGCAATTGCATACTGGTGCGCTTTAGAAGGTTTCGTATTTTACCGAGTTGGCTTAACGCATTCATGCATTCGGCGGTTGGATGAAAATTCATGGGAGACGGGGGGAACAGACGGGAGGAGATACGCTGCCGTACTAGACGTATCTAGCAAGGGCACTACAAGGAAGGGGTTGCGCACGTTTGTTTTAGCTTTAGAGTGTCATGAAGCGCGGAGATGATCAACAATCCAAATTGGCAAGTTTCCTCACCCACAGCCTGTCGAGATCTGTAAGGAACAGAGCAAATGGAAAAGTGGAGAATACGAAACCATGTTTCTTGTCCCTACTCCGTATGAGACCAAGTCGTTTAGGGTAGTTTGATCGACATTGGATGCCTAAACCCAACGGCACCGAGCAATCACCCCGCCCTTGCGCAATGGAGTGGTCGGTTCACACCGACGACGCCTTCACATTAACGATGCCAAAGTATAGGCTCCAGCGGGGCCGCCTTCTCCTCGCCCGGTGCCGACATCTCCAACCGGTCTTTCGTGCGGTTGCCTGTCGCATTCAACAATCATAAAAAAAAAAAAAGGCTGGGTGTCCTAGCCCGTGGGCCCCTCGCCCGGGGAGGCGTTTTGCCTGCATGGATAAGCCCATGCTTGTGCATCAGGCCTCGTCCGCGTACCTTTTTGGCTCCCAAGGAGGAGGTAGTTCAAGTGACAGGTTTTAGCGAGGAAGAATCGACAGTTTAAGTCGTGACATGCTGGCATTAGAGACAGGGGAGGGATACCAGATCAAAGCAGTACATTTCGAAATCCAAAAGGCCCAATATCCGTAATGCCCCTTTATGCCAGATGGCCTCACCAACGAAGAGGACAATGAAAAATTGCACAAGTTGTTTCCCTCTCACTCTCGCTTCTTCTTCCCCCTGTCCCACAAGAGCCAATCACTCATTGTGATCGGCCTCTGGGGAGTCTCAACATGAGGGAATCCGCTCCCTCAATCCGCATTGATACAAATCCCTGGCGCTGCCACACCATTTTGACTTGACAATGCCTGCTCCCCAGAATCCACTCCGAAATTCTAAGAAGCATCGGGTTAATGAACCCATTTCTAGTGGATACAGTTGATTTCGGTTTTTCTTCTCTTGAGAGAAGAGAAGTGACAATGACAAGAAAAGGAATTCTCACCAGAAGAACCAATTGCAGATGCTGTTCGTTGGTCAATCTAAAAAGGAGGCACCAACGGTGTCCCGCTGGCCGAAATGGAGAGTCCGATAAAGCCACGCCTGCGCCAAGGTGATCATTGACGGACTCAAAGATCCAGTTCAAACCGTCATCATCCCTGTGTTGCGCACCTCATTTACCAGGGGCGGTTACCTTGGCAAGCCCGCAAACTCGGATAGTCCAAACATTCAGGGCCTTGAAATAAAATATTTTTTTCTATCACTTACAATCACAGATATTTTACGCAGATCGATGATCCTGGTATTACTAATCTGGGGAAGGCTGCGCTCAGAATCTACGACACTCCCGTGGTCTATCAAGCAGCATTTTTGATGAATGGGCCCCCATCTAGGTAACCAGCTAGTCGGCGCATGAACGAGCCCAGCATAATGAGCCTCCTCGGCCCGGCATTTGCGGCCACGAGACCAAACACATGCCCGATACAGTAATTTGGCACCGTATGAGCGGCGTTACTGCACCTCGGTGGCCTCGGTGGCCTCGGTGGATCGGTCGCTCTGTGGTAGCTTGAGAGCCAAGGGGACAGTTGGGCGGGCTGTGCTTTTGGATAGGCTGCAGGCACCACTTGACGATTCTCCAACGCACCGATAGGATATTGAGTCTCCCACCGCCTGCGCCCTTCTGTCCACACATAGCGGGCCGCCACTTTCAAGATCTGCTGGGCGGATGCGGGAGCATGGTCTGTTGCAAGGATGCGATCTGACAAAACCCACACCAGCCGAAACCCAAAATCCAAAAAAAAAAATCCAAAAAAAATCGAAACCGGTCGCAAGCAATTGAGCGGCCCCATGGGAATGGAGGATCCTCACGCGCATCCGAAGAAAAATAATGTGTTTCAGAACACTCATTCATATCGCCCCTGAATATGTAAGCTCAGGCGTTTCTCTGCTCCTCCCTCCGGCTTTTGGATCGCGCCATCCTTGAATTCTTTCACCCATGCCATGGCTTCGCACTGGCGACCATTTGTTGCGGACCGTAAGCACACAAACGCACACGCGCATAACGCACACGCACACGCACTTGCACACACACCCCCCCAACTATCATTATTAGGAAACACTACTGCGATCCGATTTATGTAAGAGGATGTGGTTCTTCATTTTTTCACCTTGCCATTTTTGCCTCTGCTTTCTTGCTTGATTCCCACCTTTCCCTGGGCCCTCAAGGTGTTTTCGTTGTCTTCTCTTCCCTAACTCGGCGCTTGACCCCTTTTCCGAGTCCACTTGATTCCGGAGGAGCGGAAGATTTATAAGAGCAGTGGGATCCGCTGAAGCAACCGCTTGACTTTGCTCCCTTGCAACAAAGCATCCTCATCTTGTCCTCTCAATCTTCTATTGCCTTTCTTTATTTTGTCTTTCCGACCCGAATGTGCTGTCGGAGTACCTGGCCGAACTCAGCTTTCACCCGCCTCGACAACCTGGTTGCTCCTGTCCGTCATCGGTGGACATTGTGACCGCCCTTTCCATCCACGATGCCGTACCTGAACTCCCAAATGTGTCCTCGTCATGCAGGGCAGCCACGGGATCAGTGCGAATATTGTGCCAATCTTGATGGACAACGCTTGGAAGCTGTTGAGACCGAGGGAGGGTTGAGTATGTCTGCAGGACCATGGGGAAGTTCTGGTCAGTATCTCATTTCTTTTTCCCGGTACCATTATGGATTGCAATCACATTACAATTATCCCACCGTTACGCTTCCAGACTCAAAGCACGGGTTGTCTTTCTACTTACACTTCTTTTATTTTCTAGGATTTGGTACCCCTATTCATGATGGCCATCAGGGGGACAATTTGTCGGGTATAGGGCCTTTCAACGATGATGATGGAAATGGTGAGTGAAACTTCTCCATACAGAAAGCAGTGAACCCAAAAGGCTTACCTACTCCCGTTTCTTTTCTGGAACAAAGTTCCATTCACTCCAGCTTCACTTTCCACGCCCCGCTCAGTCTCAACGAACAACGTTTCTGATTCTGACGAAAGCGAACGCGACGGAGAAAGCGAGTGTGACTCCCGGGACAGTATACGGGCCTTGCCAAACCTGGATCACGGTCGTCGCGGTGCTGGCCACAGCCGCCTTTTCGAACCTGTTTCCTCGTCTCCTGAATCTGGGCAGGGCACCGACGGTAGACTTGCCAATCACATCGTTACCTCATCCCCAGAGGCTGATGCCGTAACGAGATTCAATGAGGTCTTGGCCGCTCGGGCTACCGAGGAGAGACCCCGCGAAGAGAGTATTCAACAATGGCTAGAGCTGCCGGATTCATCCTGGTGGGAGCCCAGAGAGTCTGACTCTACTGTGATGATGATGTCATCATTCCTTGTTGGAGTGGATGTACTGGTCAACGGTGTGATTATCGAAGCGGGCGAGGCGGCTATCGAGGCGGTCGAGTCCGAGTCGAACTCGGATAGCGATTAAGCCCTGGACATACCGGCTGTCAGTTTTGGGAATGATTGATTTACCAGAAATCTGGTTTTAGAATTGTTGCGCGATTTTCGGTTTGACTTCTCCTGCTACTGCTGCTGCTTCTTCTGTTTCATTGACAAAAAGCATTGGGTTTTTTCTTCTTCGTGTTGGGTACAGTTGGATATAAGTTAACACAGCATATAAACGTATTTCGGAGAAAAGGCTAGAATAATTGGTAAATGGCGGGCATAATTTTGGAAAAAGAAAAAAAAGTAGTATATTTGCTGGTGTATTGATACAAAAATACAATTTGGATTCTTTGAACATTGGCTTGACTTGAGCACGTACAGCAGGCCACAATCGCCCAGTCCTTTTCGCCCGTGCACGCATCTTTCTGCTTCTATCAAACAAGGAAAACAAAGGAAAAGAGACGCAAAATACGGTGGCGAAAGTTTACAAGCGACACATGACTTTAGCCATTCGTGGAAGAGGGACGCGGAATTTAGTGCTTGACAGGAGGGTTGTAGACGATCTTCCGGGTCTTGATAGGAGACCACTTGTATCTGTAAAGCGGAAAAGTTCAAGTTAGCATTTGTGAAAAAAAACACTTGTGTAGGGGCCAAAATATGGTGGCGCCGTCAAAGAATAAGGTAGGGGAAATTCGGGGATTTCTGCACATACCGCTTAACCCAGACGCTGAGAGCGAAGAGGACGGTGCTGACAACAACGACCTTCATACCCATCTTCTTACGCTCGTCCATCTCGGGCTCGGCAGACCAGTTCAAGAACTCAACAACGTCCTTGGCCATCTGGGAGGCGGTGGCGGGAGTGCCGTCCTCGTACTCAACGAGACCATCGTAGAGCTGACGAGCCATGGCAATACCTGTTTGAATCATTTATTAGCATATAGGACTCGTAAAGATGCAAATTAAGCCGGGGCCGCGGCTGCGTCATGGTTTGGGTCGATGGGGTCGTCATACCAGTTCCAGGGAAGTAAGGGTTGAAGTTGAGGCCAGCGGGGACGGCGGCACCAGCCGGGGGCTCCTCGGGGTAACCAGTCAAAAGGTCGAAGAGGTAGTCGCAGCCACCGTGACGGGCCTTGACGATCAAGCTGAGATCCGGGGGAAGAGCACCGCTGTTGGCAGCACGAGCGGCCTCGTCGTTCTTGTAAGGAGAAGGAAGAGGGTCGGAAAGCTTGCCAGCGCGCTTCTCGATCTCACCCTCATCGTTGGGCTCGGTGTCGTACTCATGCTCTTCGGCCATGGTCTTGGCCTCGTCAACAGTGTGAGTGGCACCGACCAGAGCGTGCCAAGCCACACGATTCAGGGAATGGCAAGAGGCGCAAACTTCACGGTAGACCTGGAAACCACGACGAAGACTGTATTAAGCAACGTTAGTGAGCGGGATATTCCCGAATTGACCCGGTAAAGGGCAAAAAAAATGGGGAAGTCTTACGCCTGGTGGTCGAAGGTCTTGTTCCACTTAAGGTGCTCCCAAGGGTAAGAAGTAGGGTGGAGTCTATAGATTGAAAAGAAAAGTTAGCCTCGATAATCAAATACATTCTAAATATAAAGTTGAATGGCAAGCGCAAGATGCCGGAACACCTGATTCCTTCCGAGCCAAAATAGCTCAACAAGGCTCAGATCGGCCCGTTGAAGGTGAAAACGAAGCCATTGGCAGAAATTGAAACCAGACGATACTCACCCTTCCTCAGCCGGAGTCATGGCATAGGCTTCCTGGCCGAAAAGGTGGAAATACCAGGCGATCGAACCGACAGCGACAGCGGTGGCTGCTGAGCCTGCCACGGTCATCGTGAAAGAGGACGCCGCGCCCTCAGACGAGGAACTGGTAGAAGCGGAACGCTACAGAAAGACTCGTCAGCATCAATTGCCATTGACCAGCACACAGCCAGATAAAATCATAATTGAGAAGCCAATGCCGAAGAGCACATACCGAAGCCGTCTTGCTCGCGACATTGCGGACGGGCGCAACAGAGCGCGCCGAGCGCAGGCAGGTTCGTGCCAACATGGTGAGCGAGCCGCGCTTCCTTCGGCCGACGAAAGTCACGACAATGGAGAAGCTCAATTGAGGATGAGACGGCGATTGGAGATGAGCTCCGAGTCGTTGATCAAGTAAGAGGGAGGAGGTTGATGGTTCAAGTTTCGATGGAACTAATCTTGGCGAATCTCTCTCGGGTCACGCTCATTGGTCAGTTCCGGCCCTGGATTACCTTTGATCTGATTGGCCCTTTTCCGACCTCAGAAATCTTCTCTGTGTGGCTCCTAAGAGTAACAGATGGTCGAGATAACATAGCGATAAAAAAAAGTCGGAATCGAAACTATACACGCAACTACACAATTTGCTGGCTCAACCACAACCGGCAAAATGTCAAACGATAAGCCTACGGAAGACATCCAGATGGATGGAGTGCAAACGACAACTGCGTCTGCGGACGAAAAGCATCAGCGGTTGTGAGTGTTTCCAACAAGAGACGAACGAAAATACCCTCTGGTCTTCTAACTTTCAATAAGGCCCGTGAATGTAACAAAGCCGACGCCGTATACGTTCGACCTTGGAAACATGCTTTGCAATGATCCGAATCCACTCAGCTCGACCTCGGAAGACGTCCTATGTGATACCGCGCGCGATGCAGCTCAGGGTCTTCTCAACCAACTTCTATCGACTTGCCCTATTGCCTCCACATCTGCTGGAGTCCTTTTGACTCTGCCGGCGCCCGAGACTCCTTTACCGCGTGAGAAGCCTCTTCCGAGCGACAAGCCGATGACCAAGTGGGAGAAGTTCGCCGCAAAGAAGGGAATCAAGAACAAGAAGCGAGATACCAAACTTGTGTACGATGAGGCGACGGGCGAATGGGTGCCAAAGTGGGGATACAAGGGCAAGAATAAGGCTCAGGAAAACCAATGGTTGGTTGAGGTTGACGAAAAGAAGGAGCGTGCTGGTGAAATTGGCACCGAAAGGACCGCATCAAGACATGAGAGAAAAGAAAGGGTGAAGAGAAACGAGAGACGTATGAGGGCCAACGAGAGGCGATCCAGGACGCAGGTTCCTGGCCGGTCATAGAGCATCCTGTCATCATATATTTCAGTCAGGTGTTTCATACGGCGTTAAGGATGGGTAAAAAGCTAAACGGATGAAGCGAATCATTCCTGGAATTATCTTGACTGCTTTGCTCAGCGCGGGCTATATAGTTTTTCTAAATTTCCGAGTGATCCAATATATAATTACGCCCAAGGAAATATTGTCTGTCTTGCGTACATAGGAGGACAAGTTCATTTAACTCGCTGGGTTCCATTGGATGCATGTAGTTGTAATGCAGTGAAGTGATTAAAGTTTTGTGCGCTTAAGTGACGTTATATTCACAACGAAACACCACTCAAAGCAGGCAAACATTCCGCTTAAAATGTTTATTTTGGCTTAGGATCTAAATTAATTCCCTGCCTACTAAAGACCCGAGCCGTACGCCAAAACCACGCCCGAATCAACCCAACGAGTGAGGCCACTGCTGCAATGGTGCTAGAACGCAAGGTGAGGTTGGGATTTCGGGGGTATTCAAAGAGACATGACTGCAAATTTAAAGGTGGAAAGTGCTGAAAACACAACGCTAATGCTCAACAGAGAAAAGGAAAAAATTCTGAAATCGCTATGAAGGAGAACAAGACATCTGCTGCCAATGTAAGGTGAAGATGGATATTGAAAAACAGAAAAAGTAAGATCTTGAAAGTTCGTGATCAAAGTTGCAATCAGCACTGCAGGTCGCACTGAAAGAAGCTGCCAGTCATGGTAGGAATAGACGAAAATAATAGTTAGATCCCAATAGGTGACAAGGGTTTCACTGGAGACAATTCCGGTAATCTAGAATTAGTTCGAGTATGTTCACTCTTTTTTGAAGGGGTCTGTGGTGTCTCTGACGCGCCGTGCGAGCTTTCCTGCTGCTCTGCGCGAGGTTTCCCGGAAGCATTTTGGGCAGGTAACTTTGCACTATCCGATGAGGATAAAGATCGCTCATCAGTAGAAGTAGTGGCAGTGCCGGCACTGGATGGCGCCTTCGCCAACTCAGCGAGCCGATACTCTTCAGCCAAAGCTTCCTTTTCGGTCCAGCACCCCTGCCAACAGTTTTTCCAATCGCAGACAAGGAACTGAAAGCAGAAACCGTCAATTTTCATGCAAGGCTGAAAGCAGATGCACAGGTTGCGGTAGTCCATCTTGTTCTGATCCGCATGCGCATGCAGCAGACTGATATGACAAGTAATCGCAAATAGAAGGTAGTAATTATAAGGCGGCAGCCGAGACAGTTCATCCTTCAACATTTGCGGCGTCTTCGTCGCGCCCGCGCACTGTTCGGCAATTTTTGCTTGCGTTGCTTTGGGGAAGATTTCGTCTGGAAGCTCGCGAAGCCATGCTTTGAACATTGATCCGATAATGTTGATGTCATAGAGATCTTCCTCGTTGAAGAGATCGATATCTAGCTCTGTGGCAAAATTTTAGTTTTGGGAAGCGGTGAAAGAGCGGAGATTCATACCGCTATCAAATCGGCGCTGATAGGCCCTTACGCGAGGGCCACTGCCAGGTATTCTGTATAAGCCTTCTTCCTCGGTTCCTTTCAGGTTCAGATAGCTGTCACGATTAGTATCCTAGATTAGGCTGTCTACAAGGGACCGACCACTTACTCGATGCAGCGCCAGGGTAGGGCAGGCATCCAGAACTCTGTCTTATCCCTAGAGATCTCGAGCCGCTTTGAAATCCGCGTTCGACGCGTTTGCTCGATCAAAGGCAAGTTGATAATCGTGCATACGTAATTGTCGTCTGGCACGATCTCTTTCTCGTGGCTACTGCCGCTTCGGGTGAGTTTTATGAAGATCCCTTTCCCTGCTTTCCCAATACCATCCGCAGCTTTGCTCGAAGAAGACTTGATATTATTCAGGAAACTCGTGCCACTCCCATCTCGGTATGAAGAACTTGAATTAATATCCTTCTTATTGTCCTTGGATGAAGCCAGACTTTCATCTTCGGAGTCTGCAGATTGATGCCTATCTGCTGATCGATTCCGGATCGTAGAGTGCATCATATCCCTAAAAGACCTGTCGCGGTCATGGAGCGGAGCGGTCTTCAAGCCACCCGTTTCAGGGGCCGTAAGAGCTCTGCCGCTGTCTTCGACACGCAGGAGTCTCGCTGAGGCAGGATATCTACCCTTGGCACTCGCGTCATCAACCCGAGTGGAGCGGGACCGTGTCAATAGATGCGTAAACCGAGGTTTCATCCTTCTGACAGGGCCGGCCTCTGCCGGAGGATATGAAGAGAGCGTATCAGACCCAGCCGATCCGCCAGCGGGCCGACTTTCGGAAGTATTTTCTTGACGATCATCCCCTGAAAGGCAATATTAGTCAAATTCCGACACGACTTCTGCCCAAAAAGGCCTTACCATTTTCGGGTATATCCTCTGACTGAGCCAGGAGACTGGACTGGAGTAAATCCGGCGTTGAGCTCAGCGTTCGTCCTGATGGATATACTTGGATGGTCTTATCTCTGCCATGCTTCGCGGCTGGCTGGCTCTCTGTCATCTGCTTGTTAGAAGCCTCTGACGGTTGAATGCGGCTGGACGATTTCGAGGCTTTGAAATTTGAAAAGAATGCTCGCGATTGCCCCCTAGTGTGTTTGGGAGACTGCAGAGTTTGAGACGAGGGAAGTGAGGTGGATGTCGAAGGCTTGTCTATCTCTTTTGAGGACTCGGGTGGAGTTGACTGCGGTTGAGACGTTGAGTTGTCTTCTACAGCCTTTGCGACATCGTCGGCAGCGTCCCGAGTACCAAGGCGAGGAGAAAGAGGCGATTTTGGAGTTCCAGGGCTTCGAGGACGCAGAGGACTCAGCACCGATAGATGGCCATCTTTAGAGGAAGCTGTCCCGATAGATGTGCTCAGGGAGAGCTTGGAGGGTCTAGGCATTTTTTTGTTGCAATTTAGATTGACTTCTGGCAGTCACAGAAATCAGGGTCTGGTGGGAAACGAATAGTGCAGAATATAAGAATGAGAACGATTCGAGAGACGTTGGAATGGAAAGCCAGATGATCAACAAGAGTATGAGCCGAGTACACTCGGCAGTGCAACGGGACCAAGTGAAGTGCAGGGTACGGTCACGGTTAACCTATAGCACTTCTTATAGAGTTAGCAAGTAAGGCTGCGGAGATTGTCTTTCTCATCATTTTCTCACCAGCTTTATGGAAGTGCGGTCCAGATATTGACGGAGCTTGTAGTTGAATATTTCTTGCGGGGGTCGACCTGCCACGGCTTGCTTTTGAGATAATTTCAAGAGAGGATAGCTTCTAAGAACGGTGGGCTTCGAGGCTGCAGTCAAAATTAGCAAGTCATGGCAAGTGAGGGCAGATTTGCTGCCCGGTAATAAGCGGCTTGATTCAATAGGTTCAGGAGCCTCAATAAGCCACATGGTCGAAAAGATTCCATAGAAGACAATGAGAAGCGTGATACTATAGTCGTCCATTAAAGGGACAAGGCAGCCAAGAGTTCGAGACATGTGCTCGGTAGAAGACAAAGAGAATTTAGGTATAAAATAGCGTACCTTTTCAAATAATGGGACAGTAGACGACAGCAACATCCCCCTCCATCTAAGACGGTTCCTGGAGAAAATAATTGGCCCTTGGCTCTCACTTTCTGACCGTTGGCTGTCCGTTCAGCAACTCCTAAGGTCTCACCTCACCTCTCCCTTGGCTCGACAGTCTAGCCGTGGGACAGCATGGACGTCGGCAGCACAGAGAGCTGGAATAAGGAAGGACTGACGCCGTTGACGGTCCGTGAGACCAGTGGAGAAGAGGACGGTGATTGAGCAGGGTCCAGCGGCAAGCACCGATGGGGGTTGTGTGTGTACATTCAGTTTTTGGTGTGGGTGTGTGCGTGCGTGCGTGCGTGGAGCAGGGGATAATTTCCCCCAGCTGGCTGATACCGTCCTTTTCGAGTTAGTCACCATGGTACGTTCTGCCAAACGTACCATCGTGACTAACTCTTTAGGGGAGTGAATTGGGTTCGTGGGTCCATATCGGCCACCATACCATGAAATCCTCCTGTCGCCCCTGCAACTTCTAACCTAAAACCACTGTCGCAGAGTATCTACGCGAATTTACAAAAACTATCTAGACTACACCGATATACGGAGTAAACAATACTTGCAATATCCTCTCCCTCCCCAGTTGCTTCCTCTTTTTCAGACAAGCATATCGGAAATTGAGTGCATCATGGGCGTTCAATAAACTTGCTTTGAAATCCTGTCTATCGTGATGCCATTGTACCACGAAATTGGATGCGGGCACAATATCTGCTTTGGAGAAAGAATGTGGACTTTGCGGCCAGGAAAGAATAGTCACTGTGCGACAAGCGGAGCCTTCCGGTCCGGCGACACATTCTTTGCTGTCCGCTACGGAGGAATCAGCCATCACAATAAATCAATTATAAATTTCTGCGATATTTTCCATCATTTCGGAGTTGCAGATCCTCAAAATCTGCTGTTCTATCTTCTCTCTCACCCCTCTTTTTTTCCTCCCAAGTTTTTCCAAATGATATCACTCACGGAATATCACGTGTATGTATGTACAAATATTTTTGAGTTGGTTGAAATTAAACCCGTGAAAGAAATATCAATGGAATCTTTTTCATTATTAACCTTGTTTCATAGTGAAGCTTAAGTACTAGCCTTTGCTGCCAGCAGAAAGCGATACGAAAACTGAACGACTCCTTTCTATACTTTTTCTTTTTTTGCTTCAGGCAACCTGCCCTTATCTCTTTTTTGAAAGATTCGCTCAGGGTCCGTGAACTATGGTCGCTAAAAGCCGTCCGGGCATGGCTAGTCAGGGGCTGTCCCCGCTCAGTCGACAACGCTGAAACAAAGCCTTTCAAGCTTTTCGAACAGTTAGCCGAAGGGAAACGTCACCGGCAAGCAACCGAGTCAAAAGTGCCACAACCCGTGACTACACATACACTATTCAATCAATCCTTCGCGCATATTTAAGAATGATATGTTTAGTCAGCCATAACCGTCGTCAACTTGCCCTCATACCTTCAGGCCCCACCAAGAGAGCTCTTTCTATTCAATACAGAAATCATGTCGCTAGTATCAGGACCAGGACGAGGAGGCACACACGCCCACGACCTTCATCAGAAGCTTGATCTTTTCACTGACAAACATGTTACTTACATCAAAAGCTTGGACACTGTACGTGCCGTGTGCCTTGACTGCGTGTCATGCCCGTTGGCTGATCCTGTCAACGGTAGCGGAGAAATGAATTAGAGTATTGGCTCACTGAGCATCTTCGCCTTAACGGTGTATATTGGGGTCTTACTGCTTTGCACTTGCTTGGCCATCCCGAAGCTCTGCCACGCGATGAGACCATAGACTTTGTGCTTTCATGCCTGCATGAGAACGGAGGCTTTGGTGCCGCCCCAGGCCATGATCCCCACATGCTCTACACTGTTAGCGCAGTGCAAATCCTAGTCACCTTGGATGCTATAGACGAACTATCGACGAGAAATAAAGGAGGAAAGGAAAAGGTCGGACAATGTAGGGAAATCGTCTCGTCCAAGGTTAGATTGATGCTAATCCACACATCAGTCATTGCTAGCCTACAAGACGTTCGCACTGGCAGTTTTTGCGGCGACGAGTGGGGCGAAACAGATACACGCTTTCTCTATGGAGCTTTGAACGCCCTCTCGTTGTTGCATCTCACTCACCTCATAGACATGGAAAAAGCAGTCTCTCATGTCGCCTCCTGCGCAAACTTCGACGGCGGTTATGGTATATCTGCAGGCGCCGAATCACATGCGGGCCAGATATTTACTTGTGTCGGCGCTTTGGCAATAGCTAACCGGCTGGATCTAGTTGACAGAAACAAGCTCGGAATTTGGCTTTCGGAACGCCAGCTTCCCAATGGTGGCTTAAATGGCCGCCCAGAGAAGCTGGAAGATGTGTGTTACAGCTGGTGGGTTGCGAGCAGCTTAGCTATGATTGACAGGCTACACTGGATCGACAGCGAGAAACTTGCAAAATTCATCCTCACATGTCAAGTACGTTCCTCGGACTCATTCTTGATGCCTATCATAAGGTTGCTGATTGTTATCATCAGGACCCTTCCATGGGAGGGCTTGCCGATAGACCTGGGGATATGGTGGATGTTTTTCACACCCACTTTGGCATAGCTGGACTCAGCCTTCTTCAATATCCCGGTCTCGAAGAAGTTGATCCTGTATAGTAAGTTTTCTTGCTGATTACAGCCATGGAAGCGTTGCTGATGGAATAATGAAAGCTGCATGCCGCGTAAGGTGACGAGACGTGTTCTCGAACACAGATAGTCAATTTGTTTCTCAAACTCGCCAAGATCCTTTTGTTGGAGGACCTTCGAACTGTGCTTGACATTTGGGTTCAATCCCTGCCGCTCAATATGGCACTGCATGAAGGGCCGTTATCACTTAATTCGAGATTTGCAAGTATTAATAGAATGAAAGAGGTTCCACACAGCTCTAGTTGCTGATCGAATCGAAAAGACATGCTTCAATTTCTCAGAGGGCTGCTTCCCGCCTGGCATCTCAAACCGAATGAGATGTAATTAGAGACCTCTCATACATACTCCCTCTATCTAATAACCCGCGTGGTCTTATATTTATGCATGCTGGGATACAAAGAGGGAGAAGAAAAATCTTCTGCGTTCTTTTTTCCGCTTCATCACGTCGTGGAGCCCCAATAAGTCGGGGCGCTAAGGCGCACGAAGGACATGACTTAGTATTCGAAATGCTTCTGATTAATCTCAGTATAATCATAGACCCCAACGGGTATCCTTTCAATCAATTTTCAACCAATCTCGGCAAATTTAATTCATTCAAGCTTGCATCTACAGCGTTCCTTGCTCTACTCGTCAACAACCTTATGGTTGGCGTCCTTGAGACATGTGTATATCCCGATTGTGGACAACCCCTTCCGTAGACGACCGAGTTGGGCACCTCAACCCGACCCATCGTTCCTTCTCTTTCCGGATGCTTGCCAGCTCCACGACTTGCGACCTCCCGAGATGTTTGTTTGGTGTGGTTGGTAAGCCCTTCACAAATCCGCCTTTCTATCCTAGCTCCCCCCTCATCCTCAATTCCATTCCATCGTTCGTGGGAAGAAAGAGACAAGCTTGCAATATAAGTGCTTGAGCAGGAAGCTTTTTCTCATTCGCCTCTTTTGTTGCTTCCTCAATAAATCGAGCTTGAATCATGGCTTCAATTCCTCTTCGTTGCAATGTTTGCCCCAAGAATCCCAAGTTCAGCGATGTCTCTCACCTTCTAACTCATATCGCTTCGAAAGCTCATCTTTCACATTATTTTAATACCCTATTCCTGAGCAAAGCAGACAAGAATGCACGAAAGCGGCTAGACATCTATGAAAAATGGTATTTGGACTATGGACTGGAAGAGCTTCTTGGGAAGAGGATTGCTTTGAAGGAGAAGAAGAAATCAAAGGCTGATCAAGGGAACAAACATGCTGATGTTGCGCGTTTACATCATCCACCAGAGCTTCTTGGTGAGCGGGATAGTGCGATGCCATTGGAGGCCCGTCAAAAGCCGCAACTGGTTCCTGTAGAGCCACGCCGAGGCCAGCTGGGGAAGATTTCTGAAATCTCGAACCCAATGCCATTGATAGAAGTACATCCTCCTGAGAATCTGACACGAAGGTAAGATCAGTGCGCACTCAAGTCTTACCTACTTGACGACTGCTTCAGACATCAGAATGATTCATCTGACAATCGTGCAGAAATAGTGATGGACCTAACTCGCTTTTTGTACGACCACATTTCGGAAACAACGGATATGTTCAAGAAAATACTGATATCCTCGCAACCTGTCCACTCTTCCCAACACATCCTGGGTATACAAATGCAGGGGCAAAGGATGAAAGCCAAGGCCTTTCTGCCAAGAGTTCACCAGAAGAGTTGGATTCTCTAGATGATGACAGTCAAGGCGGGACGAGATTGAAGGGCATTCTCTGGCCTGGCATGGACATCTTTGACTCTGCGACCGTTGAGATGAAGCGTAAAAGAAATCAAAAGAAGGATGGCTCGATCTTGGAGCAAATGAAGGTTAGCAGCCTTGAGGTTGAGCCAACCGAAATGGTTTTTACCCCGAAAGGCTCCTTTAGCAAGCAATACCTCATAACGGGATCAGCGGATGAGGATAGTCCTTTATTGCGTCTGAAGACCCTGCCGAAAAAGGTCCGCCAAAAGAAAAAGAACGCAAATGAAGGCCGAAAAGGCGCCTCACCTCGGAAGGTCACAAAAAAGATTTCGAAAAAGAAGGCAAAAGAACTTGGACAGTTGTCCCAGCAGGTCTTGGCCATGCTTGAAAACACACAAGAGCCCACTCCTGAAGTTGCGCAGCCTCAGTTCACTGCCGATGAAATGGAGGAGTTCAGGCTGACAGTGGGGAATTTCCCACCGGAAAAGGATCCCACCTTCACAATCTTTGAGGATGGCAATAGTGAAGAGCTTGAGCAATGCAATAGTGCCTCTGCTCCGATGGAATTTGTACCAACGTATGCCGGCAGCTCTCTCCCGGAATATCATGAGACGGAGCATTCGACCCAGAACCACGGCCTTTCACTCCTCAACTCAGAGTTTATTCTGCCTCAGAATTTCCATTTTGCTCCAGAGGAGATGATTCCCTTTGTCGGCCATAGATCACAGTTTCCAGCCTTGAGGAATACTTCATCTCGCATTCTTCCAAGTGATAAAGAGAATATCGAACCTCATGGCAGTCGTCAGGCAAATGTAAGGTATTGGCCCAACCAGACCTTTCCCGGAAAGGGGTTTCAATCCTATGATTTCGACGCTGGTGCGATCCAACAGTATCTCACACAGATGCCGGCTCACCACACTGATATGGAAATTGCCAACGTTCACGGTTTTTATGGACAGTCAGCTGCATTCAACTTTCCGGGGACGAATGCTCAAATATGCGCTCACACTGGTTGGCCAGACAAAATGCCTCAATCGAGTGATGGGCTCACTTCTACTACTAATCAGCATGGCAACGCTGGGAATATTGGAAACCTATCGAGAACCTCTGGCTGTACCACCCGAGCTACTCTTGCGCAAAAGAAGAATGCTGTGACGGACAACGGCGCAGCAAACTCTGGGTATCACCAACTCCCTTACTCAACTATTCCTGGGTTGCAAGAACGAGCTGTCGATATGAATACTTTTAATTATGCCGCTGCTGACGACAATAATAATGACGCTAATGCAATGCACGAAAACGGTAACGACCTTATCTTTTCAGGAATCTAAGCGTCTTTGGAACATCCAAGGTACTCTCGAGTTCCAACTTTTTCTCTGATGACAACAAAATTCCTTGCCAGTGTCACCCATCCTATTCGCTTTTCTCGCTTTTGTATGTATTTTATTTGGTTTTCGATTTCGATGATGACGGACTCTCAATCAATGTATTTTCTTTGTTCCAGTATTCCATTGCATCTTTACAACCAGACTGGATCGGGTATACGTTATGGGGCTGTTTCTTGGGGCGTTTTTATTATATTTTACCCGGAGACTGATGTCAAAGGTAGTTGTTTCGGTGTCTAAGCCAAACCTTGAAGCCCTTCTGTTTATCTCCGAATGCAGGGTTATCTCCGCGCAGGGTGCGTTAGTTGTATTGCATTAGCTACTACTTTTCACGACTGTATACGTACAAGTCTCCAGGCTGTACCTCAAGTGTGTTCTATAGACTTATACAAAACAATTTGCTAGCTATCATTTTCGAGCTCATTGATTTATAATGTGTGTACGGTTAGTTCCGTCCTCTGGTATGTTTAGATTTGTCAGTAGCTCTGCGACTACTCGGTCCGCCTCAGTTAAGAGCCCTCTTTGCTTGTTATATAAGGTACCTTCCACTGCCAATTCAACTTGCATGATCCTTGCCTTCACAATAATTATAATAATTAAAGCGCAGTTTTGAAATACAATCGATATACAATCATGGTATCCGTGTGGGACTACATCGAGTTGTTCTTCAGCTGGCTCTTCGCCAACGCCAAGGGTCGCGACGATAAGCTCTTCATCCGGGGCCCCGCATTCGCTGATCTCCCCGACCCCACACTGACCGTTGAGAGCCCCGACTGTGGACCCTCCCATTCGCACATGAAACCCGAACACACGCCTTTGGGACCTACCGGCGCCAATCGTTTCCCAACGCTTACTTGGACCCTTTCTCGTCCTCCTCCTAGTACCTCCTCACCCTCTTCTCCCTCTGCGCCGCCTCCGTCTCGTAGCGAAGGCAGGGATGTCGTCCAAGAATACCTTGTCGTCGCAGAAGATCCTGACGCGCCTATGCCCACCCCCATTACGCATGGAATATACTACGGCATTCCCGCCACCAGGACTAGCATTACTCCCGAAGATATCGAACTTCTCGCCGACTCGGGCGCGGGTGCGGGCACTGGAACCACCCCCAAGGTGACGAATGACAAGAATAATAGCAATTTGAAAGGCGGCTTCAAGCGCGGCGCAAACTGGAACAAAACCGTCTACAGCGGACCCCGACCGCTACTTAATCACGGCCCGCATAGGTACTGGTACCAAGTGATTGCGTTGAAAGAGCCGCTGGATCGCACAGTGCTGAGTAGTCCCCTGGCGACAAAAAAGGAAATCGCGCAGGCGATTCAAGGGAAAGTTGTAGGCTGGGGAGCTTGGATTGGTGTGTATGAGCGGAAGTGGGAGTAAGGGGTTTTGTTTGCCACAGTGTATCTTGCGCTTGTATGTTAATTTATTCGTAACTTTTAGCCGCTGCTAGGAATGAGATCCATGTTGTTCTGCTACAGGGATTTCAATTTACCACCGCAGTATGCTAACTACGCCTACACAATTACATCATCCTTGTTTTGGTTCAGGTATATAAGAAGTATTTAACAACGATCAACGAACTCTTCGTGGTCCGACCATAACCATTTCATCTAGTACACACTGCTTTGGCCCGGCATGTCTTCAATTCCGCTCTTCTGTACTGCCAATGTACCAGGTGATGTAAGGTTATTCTGATTCAAATTTAGAATGATTAGCTACCTAACGCTTGTCTTAAATGTCCAGGTGCTCTCATCCATTCTTCACGAGGCACATGACTGGAGCGAATATCTCAGTGGCGACAAAAACCCAGCTATTGCCATCATCAAGACTGTTTCCATGCTTGCTGAACCACCACCACCATGTCGCCCACCGATCACAGATTTTGAATCGCAATTTCTTGACAAACAGCCAGAAGAGCTGGCCAAACTACTAGCCACCCATGTGCCTGATCCCGGCCTAAATAAACTTTCTGTCTACGAATTCCTTATTGCCGACACACGGACCGTCGAGGATAAATCAGTCTTGTTTGTGCATAAAACTCGGTCAGAGTCCGGAGATAATCTGGACTATGTACGTCTTGCGGCTTCCCAGGCTCAAATTATGCCCGTTGCCGCCGCCGTCGGCACCCTAGATGCGGTTGAGCTGCAGCGAGCCGTTGATGAGGATGGCATATTGCGCGGGAGCCCACCGCGGCAGAAAGGAGGGAAGGCGCCAAGAAAGCAGCTTCAGGCAAAATGAACAGACAAGACAATTCTTGTCTCTTTATTACGTGATGACGCATTACGTCAAGCAGATTGGTATTGGCAGTATAACTCTCAGGAGTCGAGGAAGAATCACACTGTACGGGATATTGGAGGCAATTTCATGAGGGTCTTGAAATACTTTAAATTAGTTATGACTATTTTCAACCAAGAAAAGAATTGAGACGATTTGCTACTGCTAGTTCGAAGCGCGATTTCCCTTCCTCGGAGCCCGAAATTTCTGCCACTTCATTGCTGCCTGGGGAAATGTCTTCATCCCAATCATATTCCGGGCCGCGTCCTTTCAGATTGCATAGTACTGCCATGCGGTAGTGGTGCTTTAACAGGGCCCTGCTCGGTTGATACTTTTCTGGCCAATTAGGGTTTCGATACGGTATATAGACCATAGGAATCTTCTGGCGTCTTGAGGACAATAGGTAACCAGTCTTCCATATCATTCCAAGTCGCCGATCCATGCTGAAAAGAACCTAGGACCTCATTATTCTGTGTACGGTGTCCGTTGGTCTGGTCTGGGTCGGTATTTGCCTGAAATTTCCACATCAAGATGGTCTTTGGCCTGGGTTGATATTTAAGGTAAAGACCAACCTCCAGACCGGGCGTGGGTAGCCTTTATAACTATAACCATCTATGCATAAGTCTGGTATAGATGTGAATATTTCGGGCAAATTACCAGCATTCTCAGCATACCCTTTCTGAGTGATTGTTGATATATTTACTAAATGGGTAATGCTGGTGGTGATCACAGACCGGTGGAGGCATGTTTAAAAGACCGACCTAAGTTGGTCTGGTCCTACTTTTAAAATTTTACACTTGGTCTGGGTACGCTGCTGCGCTGTATAAAAGAGCAAAGACCACTGGTGTCCACCGGGCCCAACGGACACCCTAATCTGTCACATCTAGAAACCAATGATTTTCTCTATGACATGGTAGCTTCTAGGCTCCTCTTACTCGTCATCTCTCCTGTTTCCCTTAATCAGAGTTCAATAATTAATTTACCGAATGTTCATATAGATACAATCTATCTCTAAGAGTATTTCTAGTAGAATTATCTTTTCATATTCTAGTAAAATAATCTAACCCTTATGATCTTATCCTTTATGGTTTAGGATATTCTATAATTATGGAAAGAAGAAAATATAACCTTATCGTAAGCCTTACATACATTTTACACACTAGAAAAAGTAGAACTAGTATAGTGCTACTTGAAAATAAGTAGATTGTATCTGTTCGATATTGACTACAGATTGAATGGCTGGCAGGTAATTAAAAAGAAGCTCGAGAAAGACCTATTTCTAGCGATGGTTTCATTTCAATGTTATAATAGATTTCCAGATTTGTTCTGGGTTGCATCTATGTTGATGAAGTCGATAAGGATTCAGGGATGTATGCTTCAACGCCAGCGACAATGGTTATTTCAGAGATAGCAGCTGAGCTGACCTCCACTTTACTCTCCAAAGTAACGATCGAAGGGGCAGAATGTCAGCCAAAATGTCTTATGCCCATGATAAATTTCTAATAAGAATTGAGTCTATTTAAATACCAAAATGCTGAATTTTTAGAAGTAATTTGAAATATCTAAACACTCCGAACTGTGTTAAGAAGGTGAGTAGCATGAGAGTTGCTATCAAACATCTCACCGCTTATCTTCAACAAGCACTTAAGCAGTTCTGTTACAAGAAGGAACTGCGACTTCGATTTCACTTGTTGGGAGAGAAGTGATAGGCCAAATTGCGAACGGTACTAGAGAAAGAATTTGGCTTTTATGCAAAGTACATGCCACTCCAAAAGGAAAATATCCTTGGTCCCGACTCCCGAAAATCTAAAGAATGTTGAGTGAAAATCGAGACTCCCCTCCACTATGCTGATAATGCTCATGTCTAACCCAAAAAGAGACGTAAAATGCAGACCAGTGAGCATGAAACAAACGCCTTTTTGCTCGATGTAGCATACAGATATCTGGGAGTACAGAATGCATGCCCGTAGATTATGAACTCAGAAAACACCGAAAGTCTAGAAGTGGCTTGAACCATTACAATCAAAGCTGATCAATACCGGTAACAAGTTGCTCAAAGTGATCACTGGCGGATTCTGCCATTACATTTTGCAAGAGCGTCGAACTGGAAAGCAGCGTTAGCGTTCTATCTTTTTCAATATCACAAGTTTTCTTGCGGAGTTAGCTTACATATTGGAGAACGTCTTGTCCTTTACATTTTCTTCCAATTCCTTAGATTTAACAGCGGCAAGCTCCAATACCGAACTAGGCACGTTGGCTAAACGAGCAACATTCAAACTGACCAGTGTAAGCTTGTGATTATGGTAATTATCAGGCGTTGATATAAAACTTACCCATACGATCGATGGGCGACACCCTCACCAATTTCATAAAGAAAGGTAATATCGCGACCGTCTTCGCCCCTCTCAGTGAATTTCATATGCACATTCTTTAGCTCGCCATCAGGAAACCCTCGAGTCAAGGTACTTAGACTCTGATAATGGGTGATGAACAGAGTTAGGCTCTTGGTCTCGCGAACAATGTAATCAAGGACTGCTTGAGCAATAGCAACACCATCGTGGGTTGAGGTTCCGCGACCAAGCTCATCGAGAATGACAAGGGACCGCGATGTTGCTTGCTTCAGAATATCTGAAGTTTCCGAGAGTTCTACCATGAATGTTGACTCTCCGGCCATCATATTGTCGAACGCACCCATCCTTGTAAATACGGCATCCAGCATGCCGAGCTTGGCGTAAGAGGCAGGAACATATGATCCTATTTGACCCATGATGGAAATCAGAGCTACTTGACGAACGTAGCTTGATTTACCACCCATATTGGGTCCGGTGATGAGAAGCGCACGAGTGGCATGGGATGAAAGGTCAATATCATTAGGAACATAGCTTTCGAGCAAAAGTTGCTCAACCATAGGATGACGGCCTTCTTTAACGCAGACGCAGGCGTCGTCTGTATATTCTGGCTTCACGTAGCCTGGCTGACCAGCAACCTCGGCCAGAGAGACTAAGCAATCAAGGGTGGCCAGTGATTGAATACAATCCCGAAGGTCTTGATAGCGCAAGGAAATATCTCTGAGCAATGATGAAAAGGCAGCATCGCAAGCTGCAGCCAAGGATTCCTTGTGCTGATCGCGCTCTCGTATAAGACGAGTGACCTCGGGCGTATGAAACCGAGAGACTTTCTTCGTGCCACTGACTTTGACCCACGAAGCGGGCACCTTTTTAAGCTGGGTATTGTCCATTTCTATAAGGTACTGCAGCGTATTAGCTATGATTCAAGGGGCAGGAAATCTGACACTTACCTCGATGCCAGCTACTGTCACATAGTCAACTTTCCGTTTGCCCACCTTTTCAGCAGCAACAGCTCGATGGTCGTCAAGCTCATGCTCAACTCCGGCGATTCCCTTGTTATTGTTAACTGTAATACGGCAATCTCTTTAGGGCTTACGAGAAATACCATCTTGTGTTCTGTAATATCTTCCGTTTCCTCATTTTCACGGAAAAAGGAATATTTGTCATCGTTCTTGGCGGCCTCCGGGTTGATCTTCTCTAAGAAGCCGACAATAACTTCAGATATCACTGGAAGATTTGCAATAGCTTTGCTGATAATATCTGACTTAAATCCAGCATTCTCTGGGGATTTGACATGGCCAAATTCGTCCGCTATTCGCTGCAGCGTCTGGAGCACGGTCAGAAGCTCATGACGGGTGCACTGCAGATATATCAGTTCAGTAATCGCAAACATATTCCAAGGCGCCGACTCACCTTTCCGTAATATATTCTTATTAAACTTTTCTCAAGATCACTCTTCGTCCTTGAAAGCAACCCTTTTAGCTTTTCGACGGCGGCACTTTGGTTACCTTCCAGAAGCTCTTCTACAGCGGCCACTCTCTCCTCCAATTTTCCTTTATCCAGCAAAGGCCGACCAACCCACTTCCTCAGAAGACGTTGGCCGAACCGCGTCTGAGTTCGATCTAACGCCCAAAACAAGCTTCCCTTCTCATTGTTATCTGTCTGGTTTTTGTAAAGTTCCAGACTTGTAAGAGTGTTTCCATTCAGAAGCATGTGTGAGCGAGCACTGAATGACTGAAAATATTTGGTCAGATCGAAGACGTGCTCGAGGCCATAGTCGGTTAGGTGGGTAATCATCGCAGAGAGACATATAGTGACAGGCTCAGAAAGGGCGAGGACTTTATCTAGAAGAGTGCTCGCAGAGGAATCCGCTTCGGAGCTGGATGACTTCATCTTGCCGGCATAAAATTTCGCTACATGACTGTATGATTGAGCAGCCACGGTCTTCGGCTTTCCAACTCTTTCAACACGAATGCGATCGCCGAATACATTGGATTTGCTTCCTGATAGGTGATGAACGAGCTTTTCGGTGGCTTTGGAAAGCTCACCTACAATTAAAAACTCGCAGGGCGAGATATGCAGAAGTCGGGTTTCAATTTCGCTTCTCATAAATCCGTCCTCAAAGTCATCATATATGACGTCTCCTGTAGCTGGTTGCACTGCTATGATTCCAACATGAACCTTTTCATCCGTTCCCCAGCCTTTGGCATTGGTTTCGGTGATACACAATAGATGACCAGATGCCGGAGCTCCTCCAGATGGCCCATCCACAGACTCGCCCAGTCCCTCAATATCGTCGATGTAAGTGCCCTTGGTATAAAGATTGGTGAGCTTTCTTACAAATGGGGCGTTCCGATTGTCGCCTGCGGCCTTCAGAGCAGCAGTCTCCAATTGCCGGACAACTCCAACTTTATGACCAGCAGCAACTAGTCGTTTGACATGAACATGGAGACGGTGTACAGGAATACTCGCTGAGGCGAACCGATCCAGGTGTGCTTCGGACGGGTCTACAAAAAATTTTAGAATTTCCACATGAACGAGGACTAACACGAGCACTTACGCTCGTCGAACCGCATCTTCCCAGGTATACAAACGATAGACAATTCCTTTGCAGCAATGCGCGCATCTTCGCCAAAAAACCTGAATTTGTATCCAACCTCAACGACAAGAATCGTGTCCATGTGTTTCTTCTTTATCTCGATGACTTGCCGCTCCATAGGCGTCAATTTGCTCGATGCACCCTTTCCAGAACCACCTCGTTTTGCTTTTGGTTTCTCTGCAGGCGCTTCGTCTTCGTCCTCTTCGCCCTCTGCGGCCTCTGTTCCTCCACCGTCTTCATCGATGATCCGATTTCTTCTCCTTAATTCGGCAAAGCTATCTGGCCGGCCAAGCTTCTTTATAAATTTCCGATGCAGTCTATCTTTTTCGGCCTGAACCTTTCCATCTTCTGCTTCTGTGGGAGCGGGAACGGGGGAACTGGAGAAAAGGTATTTCGAAGTTCGATCCGATTTGTTGAGCTTTTGTGCTGTATGAGAATGATGGTGTTGCCGGGAGCTTGCATTTTCACGGTCATGACTTGTCGGGACTAGATTTGTCACTGTGTCTTTAAGAGCCTTGGATCTTTTCGCCGGTGGTTCAGAAGTATCGTCATCATCTGTATAGTTAAGGTCATCGCTGTCTCGGTTTGGGCCTCGTTTTGAGGCCGAATTTTGACGGCGGCTGCCCGAAAGTGGTGGCTCTTCGTCATCACTTAAAAACAAGCTGTCGCTATTCAATTGCCCGTTGGGCCCAGCACTTCGCAAAGCATCTCCGGAGGGGGCTTTATCGGCTTTCACTGCTGGAGGAGCTGAGCATTTGGGGGTGAAGAAACTTGAGATTGTCTGCTGCTTTTTGGGGGTTTGGCCAGATGACGGTGAGCTTTTCGGAATAGGCATACTGAAACAGCAGAATTGCGAAGAAATCAATGCGGCCTGTTCCGTTGGTTGGGCCTAGATTATCGCATCTTTGGAAATACGGAGGGCTTAATGGGAGACGCGAAGTCGTGACGGGAAGACGCGTCTAAAGCGCTTCGCTAACGCCACCGCCATATGAAAGCCACAGCGAGTGTTGATCATTACATTCTCAAGAGACATCACACTTTACGAGGCTTTTGTGAAAATAAGGAAGACCGCAAGCCCATACCACGCCATGTTCAAGAGTAGTTCAATTTCGGTTTATAGTATAATTACTATCATTGCTGCCAGCTATATAATGTCGCTCTACGGACGATGATGACAGATCCAGACATTGCCTATCAAGTGCCAATCATACGAAGATCTAAGACACACCTAGGTATGTCCTTATTGGATTTGCCGAATATTATGAAACGTGTTTTTCTCTGAAAAGAGCCAAAATGGATACTGTTTAGGTACTGGTAAACTGTACGACAATTTACTGAGTCACCCGCAAATCATTGGATTACCAGGATAGGCAAGTTTCGTCAAGTGCGTCATGGCTTGTCCCACTAGAGAAGGCGGTGAAATTCTCCGTCCGGTTAAAGCCGCTTGGGAAAACTTACAGCAGTACAGTAATTGCCCATTGTTTTCATCATATCGCAAAAGATAATCTTCTAGCATTGCCACCACCATAAATCCCACGCCTTTTGCAAAACCTCCTGCCTTCCTCAGATGAGCTCTTTCATCTTGCCGTGAGTCACGACGGCATTCTTCCTTGAATTCCATATCATTTCATTGCGTGGGAGCCTCCAGATTCAAATATAATCGCTACCCAATCCTACCAACCTGATTTGTATCATATCTTTTCTTACTGAGATTTCCACCTACCATCGGCCACGGCGCCCCTTCGTTAGATCACAATAACTCACAATTCATTCGCCACCCATCGACCGTCCTCCTGAACCTACAAGATTTGAAATGACAACAACAGCGGCGGCATCGCAGCCGACCCAAGCACCTCCACGCCCTCCTCGTCAGCGCCAGAGGTGGCGACGGCCTCGGCGAACTGCCGAACCAGCAACTCAAGAAGCACAAGCATTTTCCGAAACTCCTGGACAAAATGCGCCTGTGGGTGTGAATCCAGCGACATCTGGCATGCAACAGACTGCGCTTCCTTCACATCAGATTCCTCCGAGTGCTCCAGCGGCCATCCGAGGCCCAGCTGCGGGCTCTGGCGAAGACACTTCCGCAAGAGAAAACAATTCTTCTCGAAAACCACGAAATACAGGTAATAGAGCGAGGGGGAAAAACAAGCCAAAAACCGGCAACCGAGAGGATGCCTCTGCGGGACAGAGGCAACCTATCAATTCTTCGAGGCAGTTCAGAGGAGCAGGCACAAGGATAAATCCGGGACGGACATTCGGTGGTAATCTTACGGTTGAACCATCAGCAGAGCCAGGAAATGTCTTCGCGGAGCTCCAAGCCGATGCTCCTGAATTTCAACCCGGCCAACCAGTCTTACAGCGAGCAGCGAAGAAAGATCAAAAGCCGAGGCGCCCAGAAGCGAAAGCTACTCGAGGCTCTGGGCCGGTGAAAACTTCTGGAAAGAGAAGGCCCTCGCGGTCGACAGCAGAAGATATTGGAACGAGGACGCACGAAGACATTGACAACGCCAACTACGAGTGCCCAATCTGCACAAATGAAGTGGCACGGAACTCAAAGGTCTGGTCTTGCAAAACATGCTGGACCGTCTTTCACCTTGGCTGCATCAAAAAATGGTCAAGGAACGATGATTCTGCTTCGGCCCAGCGTCAGCAGGAGAGCGGTGACCTCCCGGCGCCCCGACAATGGAGATGCCCTGGATGCAATCTACCTACGGAAGTGCTGCCATCGGCATATACTTGCTGGTGCGAGAAGGAAGTGGATCCTCGCTCTATCTCAGGTCTGCCTCCTCATTCCTGTGGACAAACCTGTGGCAAACCCAGGCCGTTGCCCAAAAAATGTCCGCATCCGTGCGACTTGATTTGTCATGCTGGTCCTTGTCCTCCTTGCTCCCATATGGGACCCACACTCAGCTGTTTCTGTGGGAAAGAGATCGCAACAAGGAAATGTCTCGACACCAACTATGAGTCAGGCTGGAGCTGTGGTCAGATATGTGGAGACCTGATGCCCTGCGGAGAGCACTATTGTGAGCGACCCTGTCACGAGGGTCTGTGCGGTGCTTGTGAGGTCAGGGTTGACGCTCGCTGCTATTGCGGCAAGGTTGAGAAACCTATTATTTGCTGCGAGAAAGGAGACGAGAAAGACTGCAAGGAGACCATCTTTCTAGGTGACGGAACAACTACGGTTGATGGTTGGACTGGCCTATTCGATTGTGAGCAGATGTGCGAGCGGCTATTCGATTGCGGCAAACACAAATGCGAAAAACCATGTCATTCCCAGGAAGAGAAACCAACACATTGCCCGCGCTCTCCAGATATTGTACATCTTTGCCCTTGCGGCAAAACTCCGTTGACCGAGATATCCGAGCAACCTCGACGCTCCTGTGAAGATAAGATTCCAAATTGCAACAAGAAGTGTTTGAAAATGCTGGCCTGCGGGCATCCCTGCCAGCAAGTCTGCCATTCAGACCCGTGTCTTCCCTGTTTGTTGACAGTACCTATTGCATGCCGATGTGGCCGCGTACTGTCATCTACAACTTGTCATCAGGGGACAGAAGAGCCGCCACAGTGCATACGCATCTGTAAAACTGCACTCAGTTGTGGCCGACATGAGTGCGGCGAGCGATGCTGCCCCGGAGAGCGAAAGGCAGTAGAGCGCCAGATTACGAAGAAGAAGCTGAGACCTCTCAACGCCCCTCCTCGCCCATTCGAAAACGATTTTGAAGCCGAGCACATCTGTACACGAATTTGCGGCCGGTTGCTCAAGTGCGGCACGCACACATGCCCTGAGCTTTGCCACAAAGGCCCTTGTGGTAGCTGCAGAGAAGCAATATTTGATGAAATCAGTTGTAATTGTGGGCGAACTGTGCTGCACCCTCCACTTCCCTGTGGGACGAAGCCGCCGCCTTGCAGATTTGACTGTGAAAGACCCAAGCTTTGTGGCCATCCTCAGGTCCCTCACAACTGTCATGGTGATGAGGAGAGTTGTCCTCGATGTCCATTCCTGACGGAGAAACAGTGTTTGTGTGGTAGGAGAGCACTGAAGAATCAACAATGCTGGCTGGCGGACGTTAGGTGCGGTGAAATTTGCGGAAGGAAACTAAAGTGTGGGTCACATTTCTGTCGGAAAACTTGTCATAGACCCGGAGACTGTGAAGATGCCGGACGGCCATGCCTGCAAGCTTGTGGGAAGCCCAAAAAGACCTGTGGGCACTCTTGTGAGGAGCCATGCCATGCTCCTTCGACATGTAAAGAGGATAAACCATGCATTCACAAAATCATGGTTACCTGTGACTGCCAGCGCCTCAAGCAGGAAATGAAATGCAACGCATCCAACAGGGACGAGGGAAACTCCCAAAAGGAGCTCAAATGCGATGATGAATGCGGAAGACTCGAGCGCAACCGGCAATTAGCTCTTGCCCTTAGAATCGATCCAGAGGCTCACCAGGACGACCATGTTCCGTATTCCCAGGACACTCTTTCAATGTTTCAAGAGAATGCGAAGTGGGCGCCTGGACCAGAACGTGAGATTCGCATCTTTGCCGCCGATGAGACTCAGAAGCGCCTGAGATTCAAGCCCATGCCCGCACACCAGCGAGCTTTCGTCCATTCCCTGACCCAAGACATTGGCCTTGACAGCGAGAGCATGGATCCTGAACCTCACAGACACGTTATTGTGTTCAAAACTCCCCGCTTTGTGGCAGCGCCCATGAAGACGCTCTCGGAATGTCTCAGGGTTAAGCCGACAACCTTGAACCCGAGCTCTGACTCTGGATCTCGCAGAAAACAAGAAGCAAGCCAGAATATCAACCGACAGACTCCGTACAATGGGTTTCTCATGACGGCACCACGTTTTGGGTTGACCATTGAAGAAATCTCCTCTGATCTGGGCCCACTCCTGGTTGATCCTAGTGGTATCGAGCTCGAGATTTCGTTCCTTCCCAGCGAAGAAATTGCACTCAAAGCTCGATCACCTCCTGCACTGGCTGAGCTCACAGTTGAAGCCAACCTCAAATCTATAAAGTCTTCATTGGCGAAGACGGTCAATTCCAAATCTCTCGCCGGCAGCATCCAACTCTGTAGCCTCGACACAAGCCTGAATGTTCTCCGCAGAGAAGCCGACAGTGCCGGCGGATGGAGTCAAGTTGCGGCCAAAGCCGCGGCGCCAAGGCGTGCTCCCGTCCTCCCAGCCGTCGGTAGTGCCAGGAACACCTTCACCGTCCTTGGAAGCCGCCTTGCCGATGCAAAGAAAAAGAAGGCCGAAGCCAAAGCAAAGCGTACGACGACCGAGGTTGTTGATGACTGGGAGGCAGCAGAGGCCGAGGAGGAAGAAAAAGAAAAGACTGAAAAGGACCACGCGGAAGCTAGTGATGCCGAGCCCACCTCCGATGTCCCGCTTCTAGACTCTTCAAATCTTTCCCCAATTGATGCTTCTGCCTCTCCTTCAGCCTCGGCCTTTGCTTCTACATCTGCTACCCCACCCGCTAGCGAAGATGTAACCGTTCCTGTACCTGCCGCAGCAACTCCCGCTGTAGCAGCTGCAGGTCCTCTCGACGTCGCAAGTCCGGCAGACAATAAAGAGGAAGAAGGCGCTGCTCCTTCCACTCCAGCTGCTTGAAAAGAATATGATGAACCTTTGATCTCTTTTCCATCATCATCATCATCATCATCTTCTTCTTCTTCTTCCCCTCCCCCCAAATATTTTCCACATCTACATACATTGCCAACCCTTTCATATTTCCAAGGAGTTTATCGATCACGAGCTTTGTCTAATTGCACTTTGTATCTTATAAAATTTTATTTGCTTTTATTTCTCTGCATTCTTTTAGAAACGTTAATGACAGTGGCAAGCAAGCCGAATGGGACATTTAAAACAGCGAAGCATTTGAGAAGAGGTTGAAAGGGGAAAGGGAAAAAAAAGGCGTTTTCCCACTAGCTACGTGAGAGCACATATGACATAACATCTAAGAAAAATAAGACAAGAAAAAAGAAAAGCACAATATGTTCCTCCCTGGTGACTCTGTTGCGCGTGGAAAGCATATGTGTAGTAATGCGACGTACCCAGTCTGCGTATTCAAAGTATATGCATGTCAGCGTGTTCATGGCCGTAGTAATACTATAAGCAATTGGAACAACAGCAATAGTAGTACTACAGTACACATTTTGATTTTGAGCGGCTGGAGAAGGAGCAAATATTCATTTTGGCAGGGGTTTGGTCATTTTACTGAATAAGGGGAATGGAAAAGAGAGAGGTAGAAGGTAAGGTTGCAGGCGTTCAGACGGCAAGGGGATTAGAGTGTAATATTTCTGACTTTCTCACGTTTCTGTTTGCAATTTGTTTTTCTACTTTCTTCTTTGCAAGAAAAGAACTTGATCATGTAGACTCTAATCCATTGAATTGATAATTTTGATATAAGAAAAGAAAAAGGACAGGAGGAAAAGGAGAGAGAAGTGATATCTAGGACAGAATTTTGGTATTCTCTTCATCATCGTAACTCGTTCTTGAACTTTAAAATGAAAAGCTTCCGTCGACACATTCGAACAAATGAAGAAAACAGAAACATATTAGAAAATGATAAGATAGGATATGACAAAGTGACAGGTAACCTATTCAACAGCAAAGATACATGGCGGTGTCGGAAAGAGAACACTCGAAAGCGAGAAAAGATTGATTCAGCAAGAAGAAGAAATAGGAAGGCAGCAAGGGAAGGAGGGAAAGAGAAAGAACAGGAGAGAAACTCAGACAGCTAAATGACAAAATAGGAAAAAGATGATGGGGATATAATACGCGTTCGAAGTAGGACGAGAAATGGTAGATAAAAAAAGACCCTGATTGCGCCAGTATGGTTATGCGTAGGACCACAGTCCCTTTCTTGGCTTTTCCGAGCAGATGTCCGTTCAAAAAAGCACAACCCTTAGCCAGAACTAAACCCAATAATGTGGAGTGTAAGAGAAGATAAGAAGCCGTAATAGTCGTGTAAGAACCAAGTTAGGTAAATAAACTGTCGTGAACATAAAAAATAAATTGTGGCTCGAGGAAATAAAATGACGTGGCCGTAAGGTGATCGTATATTTGAGTGAAGCGGTTTTAATCATTGGTGAGCTTTGCAAAGTGACGGCTCCAAATCCAACCTAGCTGTTGTGTCGGATCGTCTTGATTCCTGGCAAGCCACAGCTCGCCCTTTTCCGCAATGACATCAAACACCTAAATATACCATAAAATGTCAGTTGATCAGGCGGTTTTTTGTTTAAAGAAAATAGAAGGGGGGAATCGGCGTTCATCATACCTCTCCTGGAACATAAGTCAAATAAGGATACCCTGCCTCCCGCCTTGCCCGGTCAATGTTGAATTCATAAACGCTGGCGGCGAGGAACAATACGCGAAATTCTCTCTGGCTCGATTCGGCATGCACTGGCGAAGTCGGCTGCGATGTGGGAGGAGAGTCTGACATTGGCATGGCCGAAGAGAAGACCTCGGAAAGGAGTCGGGTGGGAGACGCCAACGGTGGATGTTCCTGATGTGATGCGGAATAGACGGAGCCTGTGCTCGACCGCGGAAAAGTGGGACGGGCTAGGTCCTGAGCAACTGTAGTGCCCGATGATGATCGCTTGCCTAGTGGTGGGGAGGCAGGCGTAAAGAACCCAGAAGAATTTGATCCAGTTCGCATACGCTCGAGTGCAGACTGGCCGAGGAGGTGAGAGCCAGTTTGTTGGCCAGTCAATGGGCCCAGGATAGGGGAAAGACTGAAGTTTCCGCTGTGACGCTGCCCTAGGTCTGGCGGTGGCAGAGACGGCGACGCATCGCTTCCGAGGGACAGCCCGCGACTTCGTGAGCCTCCATACAGAGAAGGGCGCCGTGACTCGTCATTGACGAGCGTAGTTGAAGGTGATAGGAAATTGGCTGCCTCAGCAAGCATTGAGCCATTGCATATACCGAGGCAGAGAAGCTGTGCCTCAGTGAAAGAGAAGTCTCCAGAGAATTGGTCGATGATGTCAGAGATTCGGCCAGGCGATTTTATTTGTTCAAGAACTGTCTCCAATCTGCTCTGCCATTCAGTCTGCCATTGACCTTGGAGATGCACGAATTTGTCCAAACATGCCGCAACGAGGTTTGCTGTAAGCTTGTAGAGTTTTGGCAGTTCCTCCTTGAGGGCATCGTTAAGCGCCATGAACTGATCGGCTTGTTCTTGCGTCTTTTTATCAGGTTTATCCCCTCGATCTTTTATCGATTTGAACCGAGAATAGTCGATAAGACGCTTGTTCCGCTTTTGCATGACCTTTTGCGGCCCTTCGTGAAGGGCAAGCAGACTTGTCATAGGCTCAATGATGTTCTTTCGCACCGCATTTTGCTACAATGACGAGCCACAATCAGAATCTGTAGCCATGACCAAAATCAGAAGCAATGTGTACTTACATGTTCGGGTAAGGAAATTGTCGAAATTTCTCTGACCACCTTTGCAAAGTTTCGCCATCTCCTCTCCACCTCAGGATGGTTGATGTGACTGACTTCGAGAATGCCTTCAAGCGCTGATGCGAAATTGTGAAAGCAGTCTACGTAGGTTTGCACATCAGTAATGTATGAATCCACGTCTCGAATCACCACATGGAGCTGGAAGAAATGAGGTCCAAACTTGGCTACAACTTGGTCATAGCCTTTGTCCTCAATAGCATCTGACAGTCCAACCTGCTGCCGGAATTTCTCTGTTCGGCGGCCAATAGCTTTTGAGAAGCCTCCCCGAACGTCAGAATCTTTTCGTTTCCGGCTGACCACCTGCTCCACTAGTTCAGCCCTTCGTTTCATTTCGTTGATCCGGTGGGACGTGTCCTTCATTTCGCGAATCGAAGATTCAAGGGATTTGTAATCAGGATGGTCCTTCGGAGTCTCCCCTATAAGGTTTTGCAGTAATAACGGATACTTTAGTATTCGCTGAACTGGTTTGACGAGCAGTGAGTCCAGATCCCAAGCAGAAGTTATGTCTTGATGGCAGGCGTGACACTCTCGGAGCCAGATCGCGACTTTGGGGTGCGGAGTGAGGCTCTGCAGCTTTTTGTTTGCCGCTTCGTGATTTCTCAAATAATCGCCGTACACCTTTTCCATAGCACTGAGGTGTTGCATGAACGTTTCTCCGATAAGAGTTTTTCTATCCTTTTCCTCCTCAGTGGATTCCTGCCCACCAGTTAAAACACCTTCGTTTATGACACTGCTGTTGGCTGTAGACACACTTCCACTTTTGAGGCGCCAGCGACTCTGCTTGGGCATGACATAAACACTTGCGGCGGCCTGTTTGAGCGCATCAAGGAATCCCTCTGAAAAAATGACTATCTCGTCCGTATTTCCGAACAAGACTCTGACGTCATCAGCAGTAAGAATGTCCACTGCTGATGAGGTTTCCTTATAAATGCTCTGAATGACTTTCATGTCCTGATTAAAGGAATATTCCGTATCAACAAGTTCCTTAATGAGAAGCCGGCGTCTCGTAAGGCGACGGTGCTCTGGTGAGGATAAACTGGCATGTCCGGAGCTTGCCACAGAGTCACGAAGGACCTGCTCCTGACTGCTCCCCGGTCGACTCGATTCATTTTCTTGTTGTGTCGTCATGTCTTCGATAGGAGGGAGGCCTTCCTCCACTGTTGGCATCTCGGTCAGAATACTCTCAAAAGGCGCAGACGACAATAGGTTGGAAGATGGCTGCTCACTATAGACGCTTGGAGATGGGGGCGAAAACGCAGTAGCAGACCGGTCTGCCAGACTTTGCATCGTCGACTGGGCTGGTAGAGGCGGTGGATATAGGTTTGGAAGGGCAGGCACGGTGGGTGAATCTCCCGATGATTCCACATTGATCGCAAGACCCAGTCCTGCGCCAGTAGAACCCAAAGGAGACGAATACAGTCCACCCCGCTCTGATCTCGCAGCCGTGGCAGTTTCATGCTTTTGACCAGATTCACCCTTTGCCAATGAGATCTTGTCAGGTACCGCAGGTTGTTCATTCTCCCAGTCCTTCGGCGGAGGTGTAGGCCTGTATTCGGGAGATTCTTCGCCTTCCATGAGTGGGAAAAATGAGGTGTTTTGAAGAAGACCCCAGTCCTGCTCAGACAAAGGCTCAGGCAAGAGTTTGTACGGATCGGCTGGGCTATCTTGAGGATCCCGAGCCGGTTGCTGTGACTTCATCTCAGATTCCTTTGATAAAGCTGGACTGCTAGACGCCGCATAGGTATTCCCGATCCCTGTTGAGTTTGCGTCTGATTCACTGCACTCTGCATCGGTCGTCGTGGCTGGAGTGATTGAAGCATCGTGCGGTGCAATCATCGGAGTTGAGAGCAAATCATGCTTCTCAAGGCTATCAAGCCTCAAATTAGGCGGTCTTGCCGGTGACGCAGCATCTCGCCATCGATTTCCAGAAAACCCTTGCATATAGAGTTGGGTAACTGCCTTCTGGTCCCAGCCAGCTTGTCGAGCAATCTCCGGAGAGCCAGATAGCAGTTGCTGTTGCAGATTTTGAAACAGCAAGGGACTGACACTCGTTGAATCTTGATATGCATCTAGGACTCGATTTATCGTACTATACTGATCACTATCCAAAGTCCAGCGGCCGGTTCCAGGGGTGGGAATATCGCTGGGGGGAATTTGGTGCGGAGTTTGGTCCTTTGGCTGGCGTTGGCCCCCGCTAGTCTCTGTATTATATTCTGGCAAAAGTGATGTCGTTTCGAGACACCTTCCATCGGAGCCGGCTTCTGCTTTCTGCGATGACGATCCTCCCAAATTACCAGGCGAGACGTTCACCAGTTTCGGCGGCTTTGATATTGTAGAATGTTCCGTCGCGGGCACCGGTTGATCAGTGTCGTTCAAAGTTGAATCCTGATTTGGAAGATTTGACATCTGTTCAAGCATTATCTGGATCGACTCTTCACCTGCCGACGACACCAGCGATGTACGATCTCTCAATTGCAAGACTGAATCAAACATGCGTTGGCTTTCCTCTTTGTTCTCCGTCTCAGCTGCTTGGCTCTCAGAGTACTCATTGACACGTGCCTTCTCTTCTCTATTATTCAAATGTCCCATTCGTTCGTGATGAGGCAGAGACTTATGCTCAGGCGAAACTGATGAAGCCTCATGGTTGTCAGGAATTCCGAGTGTGGGAGACGCGTCTTCTTCAAACTCGGTCTCTCGAGTCATTGTTTCTTCGTCGCATACTTGAGGAAGGCCAGTCGTAGTCAATGTCAATGGAGCAATGGCATGATTGCGAGGCTTCTGATCGATGCTCTCGTTCTGCACCTGAGGCTGCGCCTCCATCGGATCGGACAAGGCTTCTTGATGCGAATCTTGCTCGGAACCATTGCGAAGTACACCTCGGCCCACGCGATCTGTATTGGGCGTGCTCGAGTTCGTTCTAGTTTCTGGAGTTCTAGAGCCCGACCTCTTGGCCTTATTCTGGTCATTTCTGTCCAACTCACGCATGCTCGAACTCAAAGCTCGCTGTATCCTCTCCCTGCGAGCGGCGAGGTCGATGCCCCCTAGTTCTGGTATTTTCTTCGGCTGGACATTACTGTTTTTCGCGGCCGAGGAAGCAGCCGACGAATTGACGTTTGATAAGAATCGATCAGCAACTTTGGCACGGGATGCCACAGTAGATGCTGCAGATACAGGCATCCTTGGGCGCGAACTGCGCAGTGGAGGTGATTTTTTTGGAGGTGGAGCAGACACATAGACTTTCAAACGCGCATTACCACCGGGGTCTTTCTTCGGGTTGTCATGGCGAGATCGCACTGTTTGCGGAGGCGGGAGAGCCGGCTGATCGGATGAAGTTGCGGGTTTTCCAGTAGGCCTCGGTATACCACTGATACCTTTTGGTGGCGAGAAACGATGAATGGGAGAATTCTCTGCCAGAGAACTCCGTCGAGTGGATGGAGATGAGCCTCCCGAGTTGGTCGCCGAACTGAGCCGGCGCGTGCTCAATGGTATCTTGGATTGCTGGCTGCGGCCTCTCTTTGGGTTTGTAGGGCTGATAGGGTGCTTTGACCCATTTGTCGGCGATAAATGCGAAGCATGTAAATGGGCTTGACTTGAAGTTGGCGGGATGGCCGGTATGCCGGTAAAGTCGCTTCGAGCTCTTCGGTGGTGAGCACTGGGGCGCTGAGGTCGTCTCGACATGTTGTCCACGCCTTCGAGTGAAGGGGTCACTCCCAGATACCAAGCAGTAGGAGAGGACGGAGACACAATATCAAGAGGACTTCTTCTTCCAGACGAAAACACAGGGTTCGGACTGTGCATGCTCCCTTCGGACCCTCTGCGATATCTGCGCGGTGCATCGCCATATGGCAGCCCAGCAGGCGGATAACCTAAATTGAGAAGCAGCTCCCCAAACAGTGGCGGGCGGTGTTGCCGTTCGGCAAAATGGTTGTCAAAATGATTATCGTGTTGTAAAAAGGACGAGTCTCGATAGAATTCGTGAGGATCCGGAGAATTGTCATCGCGTCGAAGACCCGCCGCGATGGCACCGAAATGAGAATCCAGCGGATTACTCCTGATGTTTGTGTCGATTATTGGACGCTGTGGCTGAGCTGATGCTGTCCGCACATGAACCGCTGAGGGTATCGGCGGAAGAGGACTGGTGGGCGGCGGCGAGGATGGCTGGGGATAGGCGTTGTTGACAGCGGGTAGATGGGCAGGGAACGGATAGGACGATGAGCCATCAGCGGACGACGGGGTTGATCCGTCATGGCGAAGTGGAAGCCGGGCGTAATGATTGTGATCCAAATTGGTCGAAGACATGCTGAAGGTGAAGCATGAGGCGTCAAGAACCGTGTCCGCCTCTGCTGTCAACTCTGACCATCGGCATCGCTCTTCGAATCGGCGTCTCAAGAGGGCCGGGGGGGTTGTTTTTTGGCGATGAGTTGTCAGGGGATTTGTGGGGATCAGGGACAAATCGAACGAATTGACACCTCAGCAACACTCACAGACCACGTCGGACATGTCGGGTTCAGGAAATTATAATAAGTTGGGTAGTGCGAGAGGTGCTTTGCTGGTGTCTGAGGAATGATGAAAGGGTCGTCAGAAGGAGTGCTGGGACAGCGGTGCAGGAGTGGAGCTGGGGACGAATCAGCGGCTTGGAGTTGTTGTATGCCGTACGGTACATACGGTAGACTATGGGGTAACTATGAGTACTTGTCGCGTTTCGTGCAACTGCTTATAGACTTGTCCCCGAGATCTTGTTGAGAGCAGCCAGAAAGTGTTGCCCCGTTATCTCGTCTTCAACCCTCTTGTTTATATGTGAGAAATCGGCACACGCTATGCAATATTTAATGTCTGGATGCCCTTCTTCACCCCAAAGGGAGATCCATTCTTGGGGCCGAAGCGAGCGGGCGGACAGGGGTCTTAGCCGGAGCTGGTTTGTTGATCGTCCATTTTGGTCTAAAAATGGTGAAATTAACATGAGTGGATCACTCCAAACGACCCGCTCTGAATAGGAGATGGCCGTTTGTCTAATAGTTACGGAGTATTTCGTACTGTGAATCTTGTGGCAGCACCATAACAATTGCACAAGGCCACGGGGTTACACCTTCTACCTCTTATTTCCCATCCAATTATCATGCACACACGATATGGACCAGTCCCGTTTTCCGGAATAGCTAATCCGGGTCTGCACCGCGATAATAATCATGCGCAGAAGCCCCTGCAGAGCGGTGAACCAAAGCAGGGGTCACTTCCGAATTTCCTAGCACGGGTACAGTATCAAGACGCGTTGCTAAGCACTAACAAATAGGCTCATATATTGCCATATTTGAGTCGGTTATAAGATTTGAATCAAGCCCATTATATGGGTCGGTTAACAGGAGACCAACAACTGGCGATGGGTATGGACGCTAATCGCTGCAGATGGTACATCGCGGGTTTTCACCAAATCTTAGGGGGTTTGGTACGAGTAATAATACTTTTAGATAGAGGCTATCAAACCCATAAATTATTTGATTCCCGAAAGCAACCTAAAAGACAAACGAGAAACCCAACTTAGTGAGCAAAGATGGGAAGCACCATGCTGAAGATGAAAGACTCACCGCTCTGACTGGGGGCATATATTTCGTTGTCGGAAGCGGTGGCCAGTATCCGATGAAGACTACTAGTTATATGCTCCACAATTCCAAAGCTACCCTAGCTTAGACATCAGCATCGTCCCGACGCACACTTACTCCCAGGTCCGAAAAAAACCATTCCAAACATCACAGAAAAATAATCGCCGCGAAGAAAGAAATTGCAAACGCTTTCTATGAAAGGTCAGAGGTTAAGGACATGCCCAGCTAATGAAGAAGTGCACTTTTTTTTTAATCATCTCCTTTTATTTGCATTCTACAGGGGAAGCTGGCTGCTAGATTTGATATTGCTAGAATAGAATGTATCGCGACCCTTGTTGTCAGAGATGACTGCATTTGACGCTCTGAATTGGCTGCTACGGAGTACTCTTCTTTTCTTTTCCCATCTTCTCTCCTCCCTCCTCTCTTTTCTAGCTTCTCCCGTTACCTTTTGGGAATCCACCGCGCGAACAAGTTCATTGTTCAAGACCAGACCATAATCTTAAACGGTGTGGCTGAAACAGGTGGCGGTCTACATCAAAGAAGCTTGAAACGCGACTCGCCTAGGCGCGTTTCGGGGACCGACTGTACCACCATCCCGTTCCTGCCGTACTAGCAGTACACTCTAGCCGACAAATGAAACGCGCCTAGAGTCGCGTCGACATCAAAAACGCCTATCTAGGCATGTCGTCTCTAGAGCATTGAGCTATCATCCAAACAACGACACAATTTCCCTGGACGATTGCTAAAACCCAATTGCTTAGATGCAAATTGCTCAGATATCTCTCGATTGCTCTCTTCCTCGTATGGCTTGATTTTCATTGAGCAGCCTTTAGGGCATCGACGCCCTATCTCCGATGATCACCCTCGGAGATGGTCCGCATTAAAGATTTAGGGTTAAAGAAGTGATAATGGGAGGGAAACGGAAACTCTCACAATTAAATGAAGACTCATTCCCAATTTTGAAGCGTGCAAAGCTTAAGACATCGAGTACGGATGACTTGTCTCTGACCGGCTTGCCGCCGGTCCAATATCATTTACTGTCGGGCTATTATGTTCGTGTAACAAATCTGAAAACCTACATTCTAGACAGACTTACTGGAGCATCTAAAGCGAGAAGACGAAAAATAGCTTATTTATCGTGTAATGATCTCTCTGGCCTCGGGAGCAAAGATCCAAGAGCACATCAAGATAGGATTGCCCTAGCAGAGCTACTAGACTCAACTCTGATAGGAGTTGCACCCAGCTTCTTTACTGATGACGACAATACGAGATTGAAGGAGCTCGCATTATTCTCACAGCAACAGAGATCAGCTGCCGGTAGTACCGAAAAAGCAAGTGTCAGGACGCAAGCAGAGGTATGCAATTTCTTTCGAGTCTTGCAGGTGTTTTTCTTTCTCTGTCAATGGTTTCTTTTCATCTTGGAAATTTTCGTCTTGTCATTGGCTGTGTCACAAAGAGATTACAATGATGAAGCTTTGGCTGCATCAAATATCCGAGATGTTTCAGTAACTCAATGGCTAATTCCATCAAGGTTGTGGATTTCGCAATTTGGTCTTTGTTTAATACAACCTTTCGCGCTGTGTCTAGGCCATCGCATCTCCTATGCCAAGGATACCAACGCTCTTCTACTAGCCATTCCGCGAACCAGAGCCATGCCTCCTTGGCAGGAATTCCTGGACTGGCTGCAATTCAAGCGAATCCATATGTCAGCACTCTGAAAAGCCCTTTGTGGTCTCAGCTGCTTGCAATTTTGGGTCATGGGGGTGAAAAGCTCATGCTAGAATTGATTATGGATTGCGGCATGTTTGTTCCAGTTCGAGCGGGTACTGGAAATTTCTGCCAACTTAATGGTATGAGGAAGCCTATTTCAGAAAAACAAAATATTCATAACTGAACGCCATTAGGTATTCCAATCTGTGAGCTCAAAAGTATACGCGAGGTCTCCCATATTGCAAGACGAGATAATGCAAATACATCGAATGATGTCGAGTCACACGCACCTGGAGATATATGTTTTGTCCGGTGCCGCATGTTGTATGCCCGGCCGGTCCTTAATGCAGCCGGCAAAGTTAAGTTTGGTCTTTGCCATATTCGTAAGTGTGAGGATTCGAATGCTCAAGCAAACTTCCTAATTTACTCACAGATGCATTCAACCGGTTCCCCGATTGCGCCAACTATATGCAGAATGTTCATATCCTAAAATATATTTTCCCGCGTCAATTCAGATTGCACAATGTCTTCACGTGCTCCGTTAATAAGCTGGAAACAGCTCAGCCATTCAAGGATTATACTTTAAGGGAGCACGAGATCGCGTACAATCCACGGCGTGGCGACTATGACGAGGAGTCAAATGATGGCTCCTCCACTGCAGCAAATGAAAAGCTCCCTAAGCGTTTGCGCGGAATGCCATTCTTGCTCGTCTGTAAACTGCGGAAACGCCATCTTCAATGTGCCTATACTGAGCTTCTAAATCACTACTGTCCACCTATTGTAAGCGCCTTTCCTCTACTTCCTCTAATTTTCTCCAGTCACTGAATTGAATAGAGCAACGACTACGCCGACTCTGAGGGGCAAAGTGGACCGCCAGTCGAATTTGCAACTGCCGTACCGTGCGTGTCAGCATTTTGCCGCAATGTGGTCCGCAATGTATTCCCTAATGACGTTTGGGGCGTCGGTCAACAAGGGCGGAAGAACAGTGACAAAATCCTTTGTGATATCGATCGATTCGTTCATCTTCGAAAATATGAGAGCTTCTCACTTCACGACGCTTTTCAAGGATTACAGGTATGAAATAAAAGGAATATCATTCAAAATTACCTCGACAGGCTAATTGCGTTTCAAGCTTTCCTGTATCTCCTGGCTTATTCCCCCTAGTCAACGACTGGAGGATAAATCTTCCGCAGGCGAAACACGAAAGCGTCAAGAAATATTTCTGGAACTGTTATACTACCTTTATGACTCGTTCTTGATCCCATTAATACGATCCAACTTTTATGTTACTGAGTCGAACATACATCGAAATCGTTTATTCTATTTTCGTCACGATGTTTGGCGCGCATTGATGGTGCCATCATTGCAGGAACTGCGTCTTTCAAGGTTTGAATTGATCGAAACCGAGAAAGCTAGCAGAACCCTCGAGAACAGGGCCCTCGGCTTCAGCCAGGTCAGGTTGCTCCCAAAGAAAGATGGAATGCGACCAATCATGAACCTCCGCCGGAGGATCCCAAAGGGGAAATTCGGGCAAGTAACACTCGGCCGCAGCATCAATTCATGTATGGCACCATTGAAGACGATTCTTAATTATGAAATGGTAAGTTCTTATTCGCGTCGCATTTTCTCTTTTTTTTCCTTATTGCTAACGGCAGGCGTGAAGTCAACCCGACCTGAGGCGATAGGATCAGCGTTGTTCTCTGTAGGGGATATCTATTTAAAGTTGAAATCCTTTAAACAGAATCTCCAGATGCAGATTCCATCTAGCACGAAGCTCTATTTTGCTAAGGTAGATGTGATGTCCTGTTTCGATACCATACCACAGCGGGGCGTGATTCGCTTGGTGGAGAATCTTATTTCTGCGGACAATTACTTTATTTTACGACACGCGGAAATGTTACTGCCCGGAGATATCCGGAAATGTCTACCCTCTGTCATGACCTCCAAACCCTTCAAAAGATTCTTGACAACCGCCTGCACGATTGAAAATAGTTCCAGCTTTCTGGACAGGGTAGAGACACGGATCGGCTTAGAGAAGAAAAATACGACGTTCATCAACAGCAAGGTGCCCTCGCTCGAAGATAAAAACGAGCTTCTTTGGTTGTTGGAGGAACACATTACGAGAAACATTGTCAAGATCGGGAAAAGGTTTTATAGGCAAACGGACGGTATTCCTCAAGGCTCCATTCTTTCGGCCCTTCTGTGCAACCTGTTTTATGCCGAATTGGAACGCCAATACCTTACATTCGTCGACGGCCGGAAAACGGCACTTTTCCGCCTCATTGATGATTTTCTTCTAGTTACATCGAACCCCGATCATGCGCGACGTTTTCTCCAAATATTCCATGACGGTATTCCAGCCTATGGAGTACGGGTGAATACCAATAAAAGCCTTGCAAGCTTTGCAGTTGAGATCAATGGAAAAAAGGTGCATAAAACCAGAAATGAGAAATTATTTCCCTATTGTGGCAACCTTATTGATACGAGAACACTTGAAGTGCACAAAGGCGGAGGCAAGAAAAAAGAATATGGTATTTCGCTTCATTGTCGTAGCAAATGGCACTATATTGCTAACTACATTCTAGAAATGGCTGATTCTCTTACTGTGGAATATTCACGTGTCCCCGGAAAGACATTTCACCGAAAATCACTCAAGTATGGCGTTTCTCTGGATACATGTTGAATCGAGACTAATCTGAACTCCGCGAGCAGTGCCTTCAAAATCCAAGCGCATGGCATGTTTCTTGACACCGACCTGAATAGCTTGACTACGGTGCTCAGCAACCTTTACGAGTTATTTTCGATTGCAGCGGATAGAATGTACAATTACGCTAAAAGTCTGCCGAGAGGAAAGCAGCCGAAACAGAAAATTATGATCGGTCAGTGGCCTATTCTTAGCCTTGAATCAAATGAAAGGGAGGAGATCATGTAACTTTGACTGGAAGCTCGGGGCGGGATCGGAGAAGAGATCTAAATATGGCTGAAACAGCTTTTGCATTCCAAATCATAGCGTGAGAAAGTGGACCATATCTTGGACTGACGCTGGCTTTACATAGATACTATCCGCGATGTTATGCGTTTGGCGTTTGTTTTGATGAAAAGCAAGTTGAAGCACGGTAAATTGCGAGCAGTCAATTATCAAAACTCGGTCAGCAAAGCCCAGATTAATTGGTAAGGTCTCCTATTACTATATTCTTGTCCTTCCTCGCCGGATAAATTCTAATTCTTGAGATAGGCTTGCGGCAACAGCTTTCCAACGGGCCTTGAAGAAGAGACAATCCGTGTATGGCATCATTTTGGCATACCTGGATAAATGTCTTTCCTCTTCGCAGCCTAAATCGACGGCTGAAAAGGCTCGTATGCAAAGAATCATTCGAACAAATTGGACAAAGAAGTCTTTAGAGATGAATCGAGCCATCTAGTGGTAGATAGAGAGGATTGGATATGAAATAAGCATTGCTGAAATCAAATTGAACTTAAGCATATTTATATACTCATATACTTTTTCCATCTAGGTTGATGGTCCCGGCAAATCCAGGTACCTGTCCGGCCCGGGATGGAAAGCACCTGGCAAATAGTGGGCTACTCAGATGATCAGAGATCACGACGATCGGTGCCTGAGACTCTATTCCTGTTCTGTCCTCGAGATGGTGAGTTCATTATGCAGGGTCTCTCAAAGAGTGTCAAAGAATCATCTCATCTGCTTCTATTATTGAGACACTCTTATCTTATTTATACGACACTTGAAGTACGGTACGAATTCAAACAATAAGGTTTGAGTAGAAATCCTGACAAACTCGCCCACCAGAGAGGAATCAAGTAACGTGTAAAAGTCCCAAAATAACAGCCGCGGTATCCCTAGAGCGGAATCGATTGCTGAAGCTTAAAAGGTATTAATTACCCTAGACAAGAAATCTAAGCGAAAAGGATGGGTGACTAAAAGGGGGTGAGAAGAGCAACGTGAGCGAAACAAAGGAGAAGGCGACTAATTTGATCGGCTTTAACTGTACAGGGTTACTTTTAGGGGACTTGCCATGACCGTCTAGGAACGAACCAAAACGTTGGTGTTTTCCCCTTGGTCCCCTTTGAAGGATCCTCGATCCGGCAATGGACCCAGCCCGCCAGCCGCAGCCTTAACCCAAATTGGATCAGTTACCCTCGTGTTCACGAAAACACACTACTCAATCGGTGGTTTACTTTGGTTATAGCTTGCCCCCATCCACGCTGTAACTCTTCCCGCACCAACACAGCCCTGAATAAATGGCTGCACCCGGTCAGAGGAGAGCCATGGCCGACTCTGACGCTGGCGGCAGAACAACAGCGGGAAGGCAAAAGAGGGATCCGATCGTATAGAGACTGCGTGATAATAATGTAGGTTTTATGCCGGCTGCAGAACAGTAGGTTCCGTAGTTGGTAGAGATTTGACCACAGGCACTTGATTCTCATTTGAACTGCCAACCCCTCTCCTTAAACCCTGAATGTTGATAGCTTCTGGTAATTTTTGAGAGAATCATATGCAAATGATCTACCGCTGTCTATGTCATGATGAGTATTGAAACTAGAATCTTCCCCCCGTTGTGGTATTGGGTTTGGCGGTCATGCCATGGCGCAACTTTCTCCTCCCTACCACCCCCATTATTTAGTCCAATCAGCCTGGGTGCTGGCGGGAAAGATGATGTTCCCGGATCCCTGTTTCTTTTTTGACTCTTCCCGAACAATAGGCTGCCGTCGGGGCTGCTAGGTCTCCACCACCATTGACCACCACTACCATCATTGACCGTCGTTTGTGGCTCCCTAACCACCCGACCCCGGCCTCATTCTACTTCCGCCGGCAATCGCCCTCCTCATCTCCGACCTCATCCTTCATACCCACTTTCGTTTATTTTCACACTTCTCATAACCTCATCCATATCCCGTCAAAGCTTTCGCTCGCTTTTGTGTGTGTGTGTGTGTGTGTGTGTCTGTGCTACTGAGCCTGCCATCTCCAGCCTCACGAGTTTCACTCTGAATCTGCTGACCGTGCCTACACTCGTTTTACGTTTGCGCCCCCACCAATTTCTTTCAACAAGTGACACAAGCCGTTCTTTTTTTTCCCTCTCTGTGTTGTGGCAGTTCTCGACGCCTCCAAAGCCTCTATTTGATATCAACGATTCTCGGCGCCAAACGCTTTTTGCAGATTACACGACAAACTATACAATCGTTAAAAGCTGCAAGAGAAACCAACACCAAAACGCAATCAGTCCTATATTCGTGACAAGACCAAAACCGTGTGAACTTCTGCCCGGGACCAAAATAGGACGGAGAATAATGACACAATGAGCGTCGTTCAGGTCCCCAGCTCACCTCCCGAACTTTCCCGTTCCAAGTCTTCCAAGTCCTCTTCTTTTCGTTCTTCGAGTCAATTCTCCGTCACTGACGGGTATTTTGGCGAGCTCTCCCATTTCGAAGAAATCGGATTAGACGACGATTCGCTTTCGCCCTCTCAGGACCTCCATTCCGACGTCATTGCGCCTTTAGAACGCTTTACTACGACAAAGCGTGCTTCCTTTGGCAAGTCCATGGCTACAGCAACACGAACCATTACCCCCGTTCACGGTCCGCTCAAGGAAATAACATCGGCCGGCCCTCGGGGCCCCGCAGCTACGAATGGCGTCGTTAGAACAAACACGTTTGGCGGCCCGGTGAATGGTGGAAGTCGAACACCGAGAGGGTTGGTAAGCGCCTCGACGCCTTCGTTGATGAGCAGCGCTACCCTTCGAAATCGGTCGCCCTCGCCCGCACCAAGCGGTGCCAATGGGTACTTTGCGCCGACCTCATCAGACAATCGCACATTGCGGCCTTCAAGCAGTCAGCGTTCCTCGTCGCCCGGGCCGACGCCGTCTGCTCGCCGGGGTTCCTGGCAGATGAACAGAAAGACGATAGAGGAGCTGGAAGAAGAATACCATGATTCGGACGAGGACGTGCCAGATGATGCTGTTTTCTGGAACGTGCCAATTTCTCCTCGGCCACTCCAGGAGCGGAGCATTTCTGCAGCCGTATCGCCAGGTACTAGCCCCCCAAAAGACGACTCGGCTTTGAGCCAGAACGGAACCGCACCCACCTCGCCCGCAAAGCCGCCTCTACCTCGAGCAGCGACAATGGGCTCTATTCCGGAGCCAATGCCCTTTTCCCGACCGCGAATCAAGTCTTGGACGGCAGCTTTATCGGACCTTTCCGAGGAAGCAAAGACCCTGACGGTAAAGCTTGAAGCCCGCGCCGAGGAAGAAGAACGAGAGCATGAGCAACAGATTCAGAATGGTGCCGTCGCGCCTCAGCCTAGATTTTTAGATACACGATCCAAGTCGTCTGCGGCCATTGAACTCCCACCCTTGCGAAAGGGAGATGTCATGATCGATCCCTTGCCCATTAGTCGAGAAAAGGAGAAGGTGCTGTCTCGCACGAGACCCAGCTGGCTGCCTCCAAAATCGGCAAAAGAGGAGCGCAAACACCTTAGAGAATATCAACACATGATGGCCATGGCTCTTGAAGCTGGTACGCCCACCCCTCTTTCACTCTTTTCTCCCTGATCAATAAATTAACTTGAGACCCATACTCTTTCCCATGGCTAACATTTTGCTCCGTCAAACCAGAAAAGAAACGTGCTGCCAAGGAACAGGAATATCAGAACCACCGCGACGCGATGAAAACGTCGCTTCTTCGCATTTGGGACCAACATGTTCTGCCGAACTGGGAGACAGCGGTTCGAGAACCCAGGACACGGGAACTATGGTGGCGCGGCATTGCGCCACGGAACCGGGGAGTGGTTTGGCAAAAGGCTGTCGGAAACGAGCTTGAATTGACGGACAACAGTTATTCTGCAGCGCTTAAAAGGGCCAAGGAATTAGAAAAGTTATTTCATACGGGCAAAGACACTGAAGGGAAGGTGTCTCGCGAGGAGGAGTGGTTTGAGGCCATTCGAAGGGATGCAAGGGATACGTTTCCTGAGCTTCAGATTTTCCAACCACAGGGTCCTTTACATGAGTCTCTGGTAGACGTGTTAATGGCATACGCCGTGTACAGACCCGACCTTGGATATATTTATGGCACTCATGTAAGTTTTTGGAGAAGTTATCATCATTTTGCAGTCAATCTCGTGCCCGCTAACCTTTTTTGACCCACTTTGTAGCGTATTGCCGGAGTGCTCCTCCTCAACCTATCACCGTCAGAGTCCTTTCGAACTCTGGCAAATCTCCTCAATCGTCCCCTTCCACTGGCCTTCTTGACTCGAGACGAAAGCGCCGTTCATCGCGCTTACGACATTACCCTTCGAGCCCTACAATACAAACTCCCACGACTCTACGATCATCTGTGCAACCACTTGATGCTTCACCCAGATGCATTTATTGAACCCCTGTTCACTACTCTTTTTACCCGGTGTGTCCCTCTCGACATCGTCACGCGCATCTGGGACGTGTACGTTTTTGAAGGCGACAAGTTTCTCGTTCGAACTGCCGTGGCGCTGCTGGCCAAGCTCGAAAGCAAACTGTATGGAAATCGCGGCGAAGTGCTCAAGGAGATTGGCTGGTCCAGCACCACAACGTGGGATCTTGGCCGCGAAGACGATTTTATGATGAGCGTCCGGAGCGCTGGAAAAGAAGAAGTCAAGCGTGCTTCGTCATGATAACGTTTATACCCTCTTTTCATATATATGAAATTCTCATTCTAGTAAATGCATTCCGAAGCGCTCTCTCGACTTCTTCTTCTTCTGCTTTCTCTCTTTTTCTTTTGGTCTCTTTTCTCCTCTTCTTTTCTCTTCTCTACTTTTTTTTTCTCCACTTTTCTTCTCTCTTCTTTTTTTCCCCACGTCTTCTTTGGTCCAGGGCTTGTGACTCAAAGCAAAGCATTCCTTTTATTTTATTTTCGATCCATTTCACCACCCAAATTTTTCATATATAGGGCACACTTTCTTTTCAATTCTTCTTACATTCGGTGGGCAGTGCGCCACTTGTACTTAATTCTAGCATCTGGATGCCACATTGTCGGCATATCTAGAACCAAGATTGTCAATATAGGACCTTTTCATTTTACTTTTACCTCTTTTTTTTTCTTTCAAATTAGGGTTATGCCACTTTCCATGTATCAGAGTGCTACTCTTTAAGCTCTTGTATTTATCTACGCTCCCTCTTTTTTTATTTCTCCTTGCCAATAATACAACGATCAATTTTCGGACCGCAATTCATTTTAGAAGACCCCGCATCAGCCAAGGATCAAAGAGAAGCTCCTTTGCATTGGCTCTTTCTTCTGGTCGCCAGCATAGCATTCGTCGGAGAAAACGTAGAAAGTCGGCCTTTTCATCACCCTTGAGTCGCTCTTCCAGAGCGTCGAGATCACAGTGGTCTGGTATAGGCGCCGTGCCTTTCCATGTACCTGATATATAACAGAAGTTCAAAGATTCGTTAGCGCAACTTTTGAAAATTAAAGTTAAAAAAATTAAAAGTAAAACGGACTAAATATATGGCTCATGTTTATCAAGGTTCCTCAGGGGAAACGAGGAGGACAAACCATTTTTATCCCAAAACTGGAGGCTCCTTTTGCTCCGAGCCAAAAAGTCAGGAGGTGGCGGGCTTCCCAGGACTGCCTGTATCTCAGCGAGATGGTATCCATCGTCCAGCTTATGTTCGGGATTGCGAGCCCGAAAAAGGTGTCGATGCTCAAACAGATCCCAGATCTTGTGGGTGTCACATATTGTTAGACTTTACTTTCATTTTTTGTTGGCGGTGGCGGGGCGGGCGGGCGAGTTGTTACAGTATAATAATGGATAAATGCAAGAAAATTGCAATAGAGGAAAACAAATAAAATTCGTCACTTACCACCATCCCAACATTCCAAATGTCAACTTTGTAGTCCCAGCTCATGTCCAAGATGACCTCTGGCGCCCGGTAGATATCGGGCATGATATCGCCCTGTTGGCCGTCGGTGCCCAGGCGAGCCTCGCCCAAATCACAGAGAACGGGCGTGCCAAAGGAGATGGGCAGCGGTCGTGAGAGGTAAATGGTACGATCCTCGAGCGTCTTACGCGGCACAGGCGCTTCAAATTCTGCTTTTTCGAATCTGGATAAAATTGAGTTGTCTCTGATGCCCAGGAGGATGTTGTTTGGTTGGAGATCTGTGTGTATTTGAGTTAGTTACTCGCTTTGAACATGTCTTTTAATGTAGAAGGTTTGGCTTTTGTAAAAATAAGATAAAGTAAAGTAAAGTAAAGTAAAATAATATTTTTTATTTCAGAAAAACAAAAACCAAAAAAATAATATAGTTATGTATATATAAAGAAAGAGAAAATAGAAAAAGGCAAAGGAAAGATACCCACCGGTATGTATAACATGTGCTTCCGTGTGGAGGAAATCCAGCGCGGCAAGGATATTCCGCATCGTAGTTCTCACAATTTCGCTACTCATGACCCCATCTGGGAGCAGCGGGGTGAGTTGATCGAGGCTGATCCCAAGAGGCGGATGCACTAGGCAAGTATGAACATTATGTCCATCTGGGCTCTGGGTCTGAAAGACCTCGATCAACCATCGAAGGCAGGACTGGCCCGCATGGTCGGACTGGAGTCTTTTTAGATGATTGTAAATTTCAACCTCGCGGGTTCCTGATGTTGACGACGCTGTGTAGATTTTTAATGCTACATGACGATGGTCACTGCCTCTGTGTTAGATGATTTGAATGTATATTTATATAACATAAGGTAAATGAGATGGGAAAGGAGACGAGATGGGAATAGAGTTGGGTAAAATAAAACTGTCTCTTACAAAAGGTCACGACATAGCCACACTGTCGCGCTGGATCCATAACCCAACTTGCCGACTACTTGATACCGGTGGTTGAATACCTCACCGATGCGAGCCGGGTAGAACTTTTCGGCTCTGTAGGTTGGAATTGCTTCCTCTTCAACCAGTAACGAAGGGTCGATGCTGTCCCATCCTAAACTAGGAAAGATGCGTGGTTCTGAGGGAGAGCGGGCATGAGCGAGACCACGCTTTCTGAAGTTTGTACGAGTAGTAGAAGAGGCGGTATGCAGGGAAAATGAGAGCCTTGGGGAATGGAAATGGGAATGGAAATGGGAAGGAAATAATAGATGGGATTTGTTTGTCAGGGGGTAGAACAGCCGCCTTTTCTCCATGGTGCTGTACTGGATGACGAGGAGTAGGTACTAATTAATATTATCAAGTCTATTTTTTATGAAGTATTGTAATATCTTTTGCGTGGACAGCTTCAAATAAACATGCCCCTACAACATTCTCTTGAAAGTGATATCTTTTAGTAGTGATGGCGACCAAGCTCAACTGAATAGAGTTTGGGAAGTGATGTGCAAACTGTAACGACGGGGATTTTGGCTACAAAGATATGACCACGACGTGGATATTGCCGTTTTAGGAAATAGATAAACAATGCATCGTCAACACATAATCTGTACAGATTCATCTGTATGTGATCATGGATAATTGTGCATATGGTACCATAATTTATCCATAAGGTGGGATTTCTTGAAGGGGACCACCTACGTCCTGTCTGGAGTTTGGTCTCTAACCTACGGCAAAAATTTGATCCGTTTATAGGTTGTCAGGAGAAGAGTAACAGACAAAAGGTTGATGGACACCCTAATCCATATGTTCATACATTCATACGTTTGTCTCGTCGTCGTCGCACATTCGTCCATACGTCCATACGTCCATTACGACGATAAAATTGTTATTTCCCGCTGTTTTCTTGGAGACATTCATAAAATTGATAGATGGCTTCTGAAAAGTCACTATTCCCTCTTCCATTTTCTATTTCCTTTTCATTCAAAGGGGGAGTGTATAGACATTTGTGAACAAAGAAGTCCAAAAAGGACAATGGTGCATAGAATGATAACGATGCTGCAAAAGCATGATGATGACAATTGTTATGAAAAGAAAAGTGACAACAATGAAGAGGCATAACAAAAACGCTAGATACACACATGCATTAGCCGTCAAGTCAAGCATTTGCTGGACGGGGCGAAAATCTACGCCGTGAACGACTGTTCAGAAGGACATGCTCATCAATGAATTCGGCGATGGCGTCAAAATAGCCTCGCTCGGCAACAGTATCGTTGTGGGTGCCTTGTGGGAACGATTTCCAGATTTTCGTCTTGGCGCGACTTATGGTGTAGAGATGGCGCATGTGTGAGGGACTGCATTGTATGGTAAGTACGCGTATGTGGATGTGTATGGGGGTAAAGTGTATATTTGTCCTTGGCACATGGTAAAAGGCTATAAAAGGCCAAGTGAGGGGCGACGAACGAAAGGGAAAAGGTTATGCTTAACGGGAAGATAGAGGGAGGAAAGAGGACAAGGAGTTTGAGGAAAACTTACGGAACAATCTCGTCTTGTAATCCGCTCAGGAAAAGAATAGGTATACTTTCAATTTCTGGCAGAAATGTTTCGCTCGGCCATACTTGGTGGCAGAGCCGCGCGAGGTAGCGCGCTGGAGGAAATGCACTGTGAAGAAACAAGTCAGTTATCAAGATATGGATGATATGGACATGGAAATGGACATGATAGCATCAATGGCATAAAGAAACAAATGAGATATATACCTAGGAATGAGCTTGCGCATAGAAGTAAATGTATTCTCAAGTATGAGCCCTGCAATATCCCCCTCGGCGTGATTTTTCGCAGCGAGCTGAATACTGAGCGCCCCGCCCAGACTCTGACCGTAGATCACAATCTTTGAGTTCGCCGTCTCGGCGCGATTGCGTAGATAGTCGAGTCCCGTTTGGCCATCGATCAACAGTCCTTGCTCACTGGGCGAGCCCGTCGATAAGCCGTATCCACGATATTGTAGCATCAGCACATTGCATCCAATGCTTTCCTCGAGGACCCGCGCGATGGGCAATCGGTGCCCAATGTTGCCAGCGTTCCCGTGGAACATGAGGAGCGTCACATTGTTTGCGAATGAGCGGTTCGATGGCCGGATGAAGAATGCGCTCAGGGATTCCCCGTCCGGCGTGGGTATCGAGAGCTCTTCAAAGTCTGTGATGCCGAATTGGGGCGGGCGAGGCACTTCGGTGCGCGATCCAAGTGGTATATTGCGAGGATAGATTAGTTCACTGGGGAATGAAATGTCAGTGTATTGATTCCGCTGGTAGGTGTGCCACTGATTACAGCGACTAATTTTTCTGGAGAAAGGCCCAAGGGAGGACTCTTTGAAGGGCGATGGGGAAATTGATAATAAGTAACACACTTTTGTTTAAAGTATAGTAATCCGCTGAGCACAGCGGCGATTCCAGAGGATGCGAGCACCGGTAGACGCAGGTACGAAACAATGTTGGATGCGGTCGATGTGATTTGGTTCAGTATGCTATTTGGCTGGGCCCCTGGCACCGCCATCACGAAGATATCTCGAGTAGGAGCAGTATGATGAATACCCAGGGGGGATTATATTGGAAACGTAACCCACGAGATGCGCAGGACACAATGGGGGAGGTCTACAAAGCGGGATGAGCCCATAGCGAGAGGACGCTATGTTTGTTGTATATACGGCAGTTTCGTGCTGCAGGAATAACATATGGTGGTGACACAAGACGCCTCGGACCGGCGATTTTCATAGAAATCTATTCACAAAATATATAAAATTAATTAACTTGTAATCCGTGTCCTGGATGAATTATTGTTTTGTATATTGCTGCTTACGGGGCTTTGTATTATCAAGTGGTGGCGGTGGAAGTCACTGGTGTCTGGGACGTGGGGAAGCTTGGGCCAATGCGAAACGCGTAGGTTGTGCTGCCTCGGACCTCCGACATATCAGATCAGCGACAAGCTTCCATCATCATCACTAAATCGACTATCACCACTTCACCATCTAACGAATCGCCATTACCACCACGACGCATATCGCTTAACCTTCTCCAAACCATTGTCCCAACCTATTCGTCAAGAGCTTCCACTACTCGATAACAAATTTCATCATGATGGACCATCCCGCTACTGGGATGCTCGGTGCAGGTGCGTTGCAAGCTGATTGTATGAAGTTGGTGCTTCTATTGACACTCATTATTCAGACGGCATCCATGTTGATATGAACCACCTGAAGAAGGGCGAGGTTAAGTAGGTCGTCTTTGATATTCCAAGTATCCGTGGTATTTGTTGCTAATGAGCTTTCTGTTGCAGCCTCGGAACATCAATGTACGTCGGTTCTTACCTCCATTATTTAGCATCGAGAGAGCGTTAGGATCTCTCGATGGACCTCCCAATACTCGCATATCAATTTTCAGATTCAAAATACTCATTTGTGCAGCATGGCCATCAACTTCAAAGACGGTGTCATATTAGGAGCCGACAGCCGAACGACAACTGGCGCTTACATTGCGAATCGAGTGACGGACAAGTTGACCCAAGTGCACGACACCATCTGGTGCTGTCGATCAGGATCTGCCGCGGATACTCAGGCGGTCGCGGACATTGTTCACTACTACCTCCAAATGTACGACATTACCAACAACGAGCCCCCGACGACTCAGACGGCCGCTTCTCTCTTCCAAGACTTGTGCTACGAGAACAAGGATATGCTTAGGTAGGGACACACCAGGTTCCTTTGGTCTGTTTTTGGGACATTGAATATTCGTGCTGATGGACGTTTGTACAGTGCTGGCATTATCATTGCAGGATACGACAAGCGCCACGGTGGACAAGTGTACTCGATCCCTCTGGGCGGATCTCTCCACAAACAATCCTATGCCATTGGTGGTTCCGGTTCGACTTACATTTATGGATACTGTGATGCCAACTGGAGAGAAGGCATGAATGAGGAGGAGGGCATCAACTTTGTCAAGGGCGCGTTGCAGGAGGCCATCAAATGGGACGGCAGCTCTGGCGGTGTCATTCGACTGGCTGTGCTTACGGCAAAGGGTGCCGTAAGACATTTATACCTGCCCGACAATGGATACACGGCGCCCGGTCCGTACTGAGCGGGTTGGATCGTCTCTGTTTGTTCGGATTACGCTTTGCGCCTTTTCTCTGTGTATTATAGAGGGATCCATTTTCAATCCTGATGTCGTATGGAAAATATTTTGAGTCTTTTTTCATAAATTTCGCTTGTTCCAAATGCAAAAAGGGAAAATGAGGATATGAGGTCAAGAGTCAAAAAATAGTAGATGTTTGAAAGCTTCAATGATGTGCTTGCGCCGAGGCTCCGAGCGGAGCCGAAGAAGCGGAGGATGACAAGATTTGGAGGTTATATTGTTGCATAGTTGCGCTTTGATGAGTGCCGGTATCCGTCCACTTGTCAATCTCTCATCAGGCAGAGCTCTCTGTGTGATTGTCATGGTAGAGCTCTTAACGTGTAAAATAAATGACCATCTGCCATACATTTATGGGTTGCTTGTTATACTTACAATCAGAGCCGAACAGTATGGATACTCTAAAGATTACAGGACTATCAAGGTTGATTGGGCAATGGAATGGGGGTGTTGGATTGGCCTAGCTGCGACCACACCGAGACCGCCATACCTCCCACACAAATGACCACGACCACCACCATGACAAGAGTTGGGACGCTAGAGGCTGTAGATGGCTTACCGAGACAGCGATGATTACCGGATTGACCTCATCAGTTCTTGTTTGCTTTTTCTTTTGAACGAGATTGTATCATTCTGGGAGTCAGTAGCTGATTGGTGAATGCGCAAAAGGGCAAAGGGGGGTGGGATCCCGGTAATCATTCCTTCTTTTTCCTTTCTTTCTTGCCTTTGCACTCTTGTCCGTGACGAGGATGATGCATCTTGTACGGGTTTTATACAGCATGTGTAAGTTTATGAAAGGTCGGTTTCGGGAGGCGATAAGGAGGAGGATTGTTATCTATGAGATCCTCATCACCCTCGGCCGTTGTACGGCATTAAGTTACCAACATTACGACCCTTTGTTCTAGACCACCTTTGGAAGATGTCCCTTCGTTCCTTATCCCATTTTTCTTTTTACTTTGTCCACACATCACATCGATTCTTCGCGAAGAGGTGAGATGGCCCCTGATACGAAGAATTGAATTTTAAGTTACCTTTGACCCCAAAGGCAACAGATTGACGGGGTCAAGGTAGTGGTCAGCCTCAGACATTTTAGTCGAATCTCTAATCTCCCGCCCGTGCGCCATTCGTGACATTCTATTTGCTGCCCGTGTCGACTGTGTCAAAGACAAGCAATGGGACTAGAAGCATATCCCCTTTTTTCCGTCTCCCCCACCAATTCCGTGCCTCTCTCTCTCCCTACATCAATTGCTGTTGCGTCGACAGGAGATATTTCTCAAAGAGTTGATTTTGACGTTGTCAGCGCAAAAAGAGAATCAAGCTCCATCTTGAGGTCGCTCGCGTGGTTTTTACTGGGGTTCCGGATCCGCATCTGTAGTGGGTTCTCGCAGGGCTTTCCGGGTGGAGCAACGGCCAGAGAGAAGTCCTCCTTACAGTTAGAGTATCTCCTCAAGTTATAACTAGTACTGCGTTATACCAGAGTAACCACGACAGTTATGTTACTCTCTCTCTCTCTCTCCGCTTTCACCACTAAAAATGAACCGCCATCCGGTGGTTATTCATCCCGTTAGACCGTAAGGAGAGACGACGAAGATCCACCTACATAGTAGTACTCGTAGGTAGCCAGATATAACTTGACAAGCTATTCTCTCTTGTCTCTCGCCTGCGCCTACGTAGCCGTATCTTTTCCCTCTGGTCCCCCATTACACGCATTACACACATTACACACACCCACACAGACACACACACAGAGTCTCTCTCACTCGCTCTCTCACTCCTTGGCTACTCCCTTCCCCCCCGACGACCCCCAAACGTGCAAGTGCAGCTAATCCACCAACAATACACACAACCCTTCCTACCTAACCTACTTACCTCCCGACATCATCCTCGTCATGCCCAATCTGCCTCTAATCAAGGGCGAATAATAATAATTACTGCCAGCCTGCATAATCTGCGCCATTGTCTTTAATTCCGTTTATTCTGTTTTAGACTCTTTTACGCGCTTGGTTCCTTTTCGAACGTGGGTACAGCAGCTCTGAGCGAAAACGTCACCATCGAAGCCCTTCTCTGCGCCCGCCCACGCGTGTGTCTAGACCCTCCTCGATACCGACTCTCTTGTTCACACTTGCCCACGTCATTATCTGCCAAAGCATTTTGCAAGTTTTTTTTTTGCTGATATGGCCGTGTGCTAATCAGCCATCCTGATTCTCACTTATCTCACTTCTTCCTCCACCATGCTCGGTGGAAACACGCTGCAGGCTCAGCAATCCACCGCTGAACCCCTCTATCGTCCTTCACACTCGACCCCAACACGACCCAACGCCGATTACTCTGGCATACCGACGCCAGCACCAGCCGGCGCATCACGATCAGCAACATCAGCAACGTCATCATTATCCTCATCGTCATCAACGCCATCACATTCTGGTCCACAGCCTGCCAAAGTTAGCAGTGCCGCCGCATCCACACCCGGCGGTCTGCAACAGCAGTCTCGTCCGCCGTCTGCTGCCCAGGCCCACGGAGGACTCTCCACCGCGCCCTCATTCGCATCTCAACACCCGGTGCCACGATCGGTACCCATTGCAGAAGACCCCTTGTTACAGCACTCCTCTCGCCCGTCGCCGGTGGCCCCGGGATCCGGTGCATCTACGTCCTCCCCGGCAAGCGGACGCGGTGCACCGCAAAGGGGCGATGCTACTCCCAGTACGCCCCGGCGGATCAAAGTGCGGGACTTGTCGCACATTGAGAGCTTTGCGAGTGAAGAGTTTCTATTACAGTCCCGCTCCGCACATGGCGCATGGCAGGGATCAGACGAGGTGGGCTTGCAGTATGAGATTAGCGCAATGCCCGTGACCGATATCATTGAAATGGTAGCTGGCCTCTTGACCAAAATTACCTCCACCAATGATCGCCAACATGAGCATCTGCATCGACACATTCCGCCGGCCGAAGGAACATCAGGCCTCAGCCAGCAAAGCTCGAGCGTCTTGGCTTTTCACGGCAAGAACATTCCGAGCATCACCATCCTGAGCTACCTAACCCGAATACACAAATACTGCCCGACAACGTACGAGGTCTTTTTAAGTCTACTAGTATATTTTGACCGAATGACGGAGCGAGTCAACACGGCTCCTCTTCGGAGCCTTGCTCAGACCAAAGCCGCACAACAATCGACTGAGCACCTGGGGCCGCGAGACGAGATTGCGTCGCCAGCTGAAGCCGGCACTCCCGCCGGCACCGCATCAGTACCACCACCACCACCACCACCAACAACAATACCGTCGGGTGGAGCAGCAGCAGCAGCAGCAGCAGCAGCAGCAGCCACACCTCCTTCGTCAGGTCACTTGGCCGCGCAGGAGAGAGCCGACGCGCCCTCTCCATCAATACCACCGGGACCCACGCCGCCAGCGGATCCCTATAATCTGTCACATTTCTTTGTTGTGGATAGTTATAACATTCACCGGCTCGTCATTGCCGGCGTCACTTGCGCCAGCAAGTTCTTTTCCGACGTCTTTTATACCAATTCTCGATACGCCAAGGTAACGTAGACCATTTCCCCCCCTTTCCACTTCCTCTTATTTTGCATGCAAACACTTACTCAATGGGTGCGTGATGTACAGGTCGGTGGACTACCTCTTGTCGAATTAAATCACCTCGAATTGCAATTCCTAGTGTTGAATGAATTTCGACTTTCTATACCAGTAGAAACGCTAGACGCGTACGGCACCATGCTGGTGGAATTCTACGCCCGGGAAATCATGGAACAGCGGCTCGGAGACCAAGCCATGGAAATCCAATCGCCCACGCCGCCTTAGCCTTGGATGAAGGATTTGTTCGTCTGGAACATCATTTGGTTGTATGTCTGGTGTATCATTTGGCTGTATGGCTGGTTTATCATTCGGCTGTACGGGCTGGGAACTATCAATCCGCGTCTTTATTTCCCATTCTATTATTTTTTGGGGATTTTTTTTTTGCCAAGGATAGAGAGGGGAGATTCTTTTTTTTTAACAGAAATCACAGATATCACAGATATCAAAGAGCTGTTTTTATATCCCGTCTTCATTACCGCCTCATTACCAAACTTTCATGTACAGTTGTATCTTTCGTCCCCATTTTCAACCATTTTTGTTTGATTTAGAGGCCATGATACTGATACCCCCCCTCACTTCTCACTTCTACCTCACTCCAAACTACCGACAGACAGACAGACGAAGAGAGCGCAACTAGGATGGCCCCACCTTTTTTTTTTTAAACCCTTTTTTTTCCCCTTTCTTTCTTTCTTCTTTTTTTTATGTTATTAACATTTTATAAATCCTTTATAAATCCTTTTCCTTTTTTCATTATTTTTTGCTGCTGCTGCTGCTGCTGGGCTTCTAAATGATATCGCGAGGATCTTTTGTACAAGGTATGGTATAGTATTTCTCGTTCGTGCAAAGGCCATAGTGTTTGTTATTCAAGAGATGTTATGTTATATCTTATCAGGCATAAATGTTGACCTGACGTCAGTGACTCAGTGCGTCGACCTGGTCGTCTTCTTTTCTTTTTTTTTCCTTTTTTCTTTTTTGTTCTCCTTTCTCCTTTTTCCTTCTTCCTTCCCTCGCCTTCACAGTGCACACTTGCATAGCAAATACAAATACAATTATAACAACAAGAACAATTTATTATTAAAGTTGTGGTATACCAACTTATTTATTTATTTTATTTGTTCATTTCATGGGGGTACTTTGAATAATTCAAATGCAATTCATCTTCTCTCTCTCTCTCTTTTTTTTTTCTTTTCGAAAATTGTTTGCTCAACACGCTGTCTCTCGAGAGCGGACGACACGGGCGGGACGGACGGGATGGTAAGTCAAGAAAGACAAAGTTAACACTGACAGTATACGTGATGTATAGTAGGTTTTAAATTCTAATACTCCTATGATATCTTAACATTGAAACATTTAAACATTGAAACATTGAACATTGGGAAAAAAAAAAAGCTGGTCTGCGTGGACGTGACGTTCAAACATGAGGATATGAAAAAGTCGACAACGTAAGAGGGGACGCGGGTCAGGTCAACACGAGAGTCCTAGAGCACGATAAGTGTGAATGGAAATGGAAATGAAAACGTAAAGGGAAATGGAAATGCAAAATATGAAATATGAAATATGAAATACAAAGTGAACAAGTTGAAAGGAAGTGGTAGACTGCGACTGAGAGTCTGATGAATTGTACTGGCAGTACTGCTAATAATAAAAACATGGGTAGGGGAAAAAAGAAAAAGAAAAGAAACGAAGCAATGACGCATATATCGCATGCATCATGAATGAGCCATGAAAATGAACCATGGGTTTCGTTCGGATGGAAATAGAGTTACACGGTGCCGAGTCCTCGTCGATACACATCGTCAAGTGCACCGTTCAAGGTTTGAAAGACCCGATAATTCGAGACGCGAGGCTCTAGCCTCTACCAATGAGCTTCAGATGCTCAGGGATCAGAGAACGCACGATGCACCATTACCGATAGTTGAAATGATATAGTCTGCCGCTGCGAATGCGTGACGAGCGATGCGAGCAGAGAAAAGCTAGTAAAGTGATATCTTCGAATGATAGAGGACCAGAAAGTAAAATTGGATTGCTCTACAGCACGCCCATCTACGCTAGCAGGTGTGGAATATCTTCGACTTTCGCAGAGCCTTCAAGGATGCCTAGAGAAAATTTTAGTACATGTTCTTCATGGCTCCATATTGAAGGATTGGTCATTTGAAAAGGAGCCGGGATCGAAAAACGAAACGGCATGGAAAAGAGTGAAACAAGGGAAATGTTCACTTACGATAGACGGCGGTAAGCAAGGGAAACTCATCCTCCTGACCCTTGGCTTTCAAGAACTCATTAACTTCCTTGGCGGTCAAGTTGCCCTGGAGGCTCTGACCGTTGAGCTCGGTGCGCTCGACTTCATCTAGAGCGACACCGCGCTCAATGGACAACTTTGCGCAACGGAAATTACGTCCGCCAGAGCAACTGGTGATAAGATCTGCCACACCAGCACTTTCCTCGGTAAAAGTGGCTGGCCGCACAGACTCGGAGAAATAGTACTGGCCAAATTTCACCATCTCTAGCAGCCCAACGCGCATCACGGCGGCCTTGGCATTGTCGCCCCAGCCCATACCGTCGACGAAACCGGCTGCTAGAGCGACAACGTTCTTCAACGCTCCGCTCAGCGAGACACCTGCAACATCCGATACCATACGCACATGAAAATACGGGCGGTGAAAGAGCAGCTTCAACGAACGGTGGTCCAACGGCGGGTATTCCGATGGCAACGAGACCAGTCTCGGCTTGTACGGAGTGTTGGTCTCAATGGACTCGTCCACTGCAGCCAGATCAACCACACCATCGGGGATCACGTCGCCTTCTTGTGTCGTGTGGACTGGCGTGGGAGCCTTGGAGTCCTTGGGAGGTGGATCGTACGCAACCGTCGTCTCGGACCATTTCTCCTCCGCAATCTCAGAGGCAATATTCGCTCCAGAGAGGGCTCCGCAGTAGATGCCCAGAGTTGATCCAATCACTTCCGAGTGGAGCCGCACTCGATCCCGTGTCACATCGACTCCCTTGATGCAGGATATTCCTCGGGCGAATGGCAGGATATGGCCTTTCAATTGATTGCAGATTCGGTTGATGAATTGGTGAGGAAGGTTGAAGATCAGAATCGTCGAGTCCCTGACGGCGTCTTCGAGAGAGGGCACCGCGATGAGGTTCTTGGGGAGCGCGATTCCGGGGAGGTACTTGACGTTTTCGTGGAAGTGATTGATCAGCTGCGAGAGAGGGTGAGGCTTGGTCGAGAACTGCGATGAAGGGTCATAATATTTTGATTTTTCCGGCACCGTGACTTGCTCCTCATAAACCCACATGCGCACGTCACGCTCAAAAAGTTGTGGATTTGCTGCCGTATTCTCTGCGACAATCTTGGAAATGACAGATCCCCTGTAGTAGAAACCAAAGCCGTTAGTATCCAGCCCGCCAAAAAAAAAGGTCCATGATTCCGTAGCAGTAGGCAGCAATGAGCGAGGAGGCCAAAGGAGACGCTCAGAAAACGAACCAATTGCCTGAACCAATGACGGTCACCTTGTGTTTCTTGTGTGCACCACCCAGCGTTGCCATGTTTGCGTGTTGAATGGAATTCAACGGTTTCAGCTTGATCGGAGAATTTCTGAGAGCAAAAGCCGGCCGACGTGGAAGAAGGCTTGCAAATAATGAGATGGGCCGAACAGATATCACGCGTGGAACGGATGCTGCTTGTACGCTGGTCATGAAAGGGCAGGTATTAAGTAGTTGGCTTTAAGGGAAGAGGATCAGCAGGAACGAGGCTATGATGTCGTGTTGACGGTCCAATTGTGACGGAGCTGATGACACGCGTTGCACAGCGTGACCAAAATGGTCATGAGCTTCTACGTCTCGTAATAATTATATTGTAGAATTGATCTAGGTCTCGCAAACCCAAAATTTTACGAAATTACCTAGGCACTCGGCCCGTAGATTTCCTCGACTTTGTTGATCTCAATTTTCCTGTTCTGTTGAGCTTACCAGTTGTGTCTAGGCCAGCTTTTGCTATTACTACAGTACTGGGGGACCCGCTTCACATGCCCCGCTTGCAGCCGAGGAGCTTCGATGGGGATCAATCGGCTTCCCCAGGGAAATTTACCTGTAACTCTGTAGGGTGGGCTTGTCCCGGTACTCTAGCGACTGCCTCGGAAGCAGGGTCCGCTGACAGCTAGGTAACTTATTGCTTATTGCTGCTGACGCTCAACTGACTACTTTGCATCTCGAACAAATTGCTTTTGAATCGATGTATTTATCAATTGCACATAAACTGCAAACACCAGGAACGTTGAAAAGTATAAAATGATTGTTCAGAAGAGACGCTTGCTCTAAATACTAAAAAATGCTAGTATTTACACTAACCCCAGACCAAGCAATGTGCCTGCCTTCTTAATTCGGTTAGCTGCGAACGGGCGAGCATCAACACCACCGACGACACAAGATGGCAGGTATGGATACCAGCAGGCCAGTAACCAGTGGGCCGGCATTCAGATTGTTCCCTCTTCTCATACAACGTTATATCAATATTGCATTATTAGAGTATTTAATGCTCACAGCATGTGATGGGAACACGGCGTATTAAATTTCGTATCGTGTTCTGGTTTTTGGTTTGACCCATTGCGTTGCTTGCTCGGATTTATTTCAATTGTTCTGCATGTCATTGATTTTCACTACTGAATGTTCCTGTGGCATATTGAATTCCATTTTGCTTGGTGGTTGATCATTAATTTGGCATTCTAGTTGCATATTCTCATGTACGCCTTCTCAGCCTCAAAATTAAATCTTCACCCTCGACGGGCCCCATGATGCCGATACCGGGTTTCAGCTCATCCAGTCGGGGAAATTTCTGGCTAGGACTTGCAGACTTCACCTCGATATCATATCGATTTGCCAACATTGCCATCATAGCAAAGACCTCTTGTTTGGCCATAAAGCGCCCGGGGCACATGGTTTGTCCACCACCGTAAGGCCGGAAACTCGGATTATGTGAGAGTTTCGGGTTCTTGAGGAACCGATTGAGATCGAATTCATTCGCATCTTCTCCAAAAATGCCGGCGTTGAGATGCAATTGCCGGTATGGGATCAAAAGCTTGTTACCAGCCCGCAGAGTGAAACCGCCAACCTGCGTGTCTTCTTTGATGAAGCGTGCAGAAGCAGATGAGTTTGTGAGTCGCAAGCTCTCAAGGTAGAGTGCGTTCAAGTACGGCGTCTTGTTCTGCAAATAGGCAAGATCGAGGGAGCCTTGTGAGTCAAAAGAAGCACGGAGTTCTGCCTCTATGGGACCTCTGATGCTGGGCGAAGAAGGGTGATGATAAAGGTATGATAACATCCAGAAGCATAGCTTGTAAGCATTGGTATTGATACTGAAATCTCATATAGTTAGAATTGCCCCTTTTTTTTCTTGTCTGCTATGCACGGCTCTTTCAAAGCAAGAATATATCAAACTTACACCCAGTATATCATGGCTACTAATTTCGCCATGTCTTTGACCTCGACTCCCAATGCACGCTGCTCCATTTCCTGGGTTTGCATAAACCAATTGGCGCCGGGTCTTTCGTCCTTTGGTAGACTAAAGTAAATCTCCAGAGCACGAATGAGCCGGTGCTTGGCGCCGTGCATATCCTTGGCCAAGAAGGTTGGCAGCCGATACATGAGCTTCCAGCTCAAGCCGTCATATTGCAGAAAGGACTTTAACATATCCGGATCGATTTCCAATAGTTTGTCACCAAAGAAGGAACGGGTGGCTGCATTAAGGAGAACATGTTCGCAGAGATGCAGCAAAGAGATGTCCTTAAAGTCATTGCCTTCGGCGACGACATATTCCGGACCCGTCATGTTGTTCCAAGAAAGATACATGCTGATGTGATCGCAGACGAGATTGCCGAGAGTTTCCATTTTCTCTCCTGGGTGTAGCTGTTGGCGGTAAAGATCCGTGGTCAAATGAACCAACGACTTTCTATGAGGATTTGGACTGAGTAGAGTTTGGCCGCTGCCATCTGAGCCTGGGTGCCAATACATCTTGCCAATCGCAGCCGGAGATATTTCAAACCCTTTCATCAGCTCTTGCAGAAAGATGTCCATTGTCAAGGTTGCAGTATTCTTATAGGCGACCGAGACATCTGCTGGTCCTGTGATGATATACAGCTTCTCCCCCGCCAAATTGAGCGCAAACGGCTTACGGTCATTGCGAAAGTATTCGCGACCAAAAGTAATTGTCTTGAAAGAATCTCGAACGTATGAGACTGCATGGCCTACAAATGGAATCCAATATGGAACCTCTTTGGGTTCGCTCGGGTGAAGCGCGGGGTTGATGGTGAACCTCCAAAGTCGCCAGAGAAGCAACAGCACTCCTGCAAGCACGATAGGATGAGCTCCAGTAAATTCTACCTTTGATATCTCATCCCTCCACCACAAAATATGCTCTTCGACTGCACTAGAAAGCATCTTGAGCGTCAACGTGCGCTAAGCAGAGATTAGGGAAATATTTTGCTCTATATAATGGTCCATGTATTTTGGATGGGGGCTCTTGTTTCCTATGTAGTAAACGAGCATTTCTTCTCACCAAGTTCAGGCGGGACTAAAGAGACAATTTTAGCGCTTACCATTACAGAAAATATTCGGCGACCTTTAAGGGAATTGGATCCTTGTGCTTTTGGTCTAGGCAGGCAGTAATCCCATGTTGGTCTCCACCCGGCCCGATGCGTGTGAGAGGCGAGTATTCCCGCTCCAGCTCTCGGCCCACCCTCTTACGCACCAACATTGACACATCAGTCATAGGCTAACATCTGCTATTACAATCCCCGTCGATGGCTTCCCGTTCCAACCTTGAATACTTCGGCATGCTATCATTTGAATTGCCGGGCTTCATACTGCCAAGCGTCCTATCATCGGCCTCAGGAATCGATTTCTCTATCAAGAGACTGGGGACCCTGACAAAGTTTCATGCCTCATGGCCCCCTAGCTTAAAGTTTTCTTTACAATCATGCTGATCCTGACCCAATAGGAAGAATGTATTTGTCCTGGTATCCTAGAGATGGAATCCTTTGGAGGTATCTGGTCCATTTCGGTATCAGCGCAGTCAGCCTTACGTTGCATACACAGAGCCATGACAGCAATCCCGCAGCTTTGCCTCATCAGCGTGATGAGAAATTATGGAAATAGATGTAGAACCAGCCACCATGGGGGCTGGATCCATCACGCACAAAATGGATGGGCAGCTGGGGGCCATACCCCTCATCCCCTCCTCAGCTTCTATCGATAGTGCTGGCTTGAATTGGCTCAAATATGCCATTGGCCCTCCTCAAGTGGACTCCACATCGCCTTGTAGGTTTTCTTACATTGTGATCATGGACTCACAGCTCTGGCTTGACGTTTTCTCCAACTTCAGATATGCCGTTGGCGTATTTCTTCTGCTATCTTTGTTTCTCTGGAAGTTGGTGAAAATATTCAGTAACGATAACCAGGTATGCTTTCAAAAGAACTATTCAGAGAGATGTATCCTGCTAACATCTCTTGCCACCCTTAAGTCAAAAAAGAGATCATTCAAGTCATGGCTGTCCGGTTATTCTTATATTATTTCCGCTCCAGAAATCCTTCAATCGGGGTTTGAAAAGGTCCAGTCCTCAAGAATAATAGCTGCTTCGTTCGCCGGAACTACTACTCACCTGAATCTCTAGGCCGGCAAACGGCCATACACAATTTCTACTCCAGAGCATGACCAGGTCATGCTTTCTTCAGAGAAGGATGTTGCAGAGCTCCTTGCAGTATCCGAAGAGATTCTATCCCTTCATGCAGCAGCAAACGATGTAAGTTGAACTACTTTTCGTGCAACACCTGAAACAGAAACTTACCTAGTTTCGAACAAAAGCTATTTCGGCCGAAATATACCATGGGAGGCTTTGAGCTCCACGACAACCCCAAGGACAACGAGCCGAACATTCATCTGCGTGTCATTCGAGTAATCCTGCCATCCTATTTCCCGATTCTGCAGCCAATTCTGGAGCAGAAAATAAGGGATACCTTTGCGCATGAATTGATTTCAAAAGCTGGAACAGGTAAGTTGATTTGATCAAAACCGCAGATCTGACAGCAAACTTGGTAATTCGAACGATGATGAGCTTTTGAAGCTAATATGAGTTTAGAGTGGAAAAGTATGAAGGCATTTAGCGGAATTAAACGGATTGTTGCTGCAGTTAACAGCGTATTATTTGTTGGAGAACCGCTTGGTAAGCTATTACCCGCGAAACTGGAACAACACTCATAAAGGACTAAAGCTAGCAATCCGACATTTGTCGACGCCGCCTTGCAATTTCCAAATGACGCGTTCACAACTGCAGAGGTGATTAGAATGCTGCCGGCTGTTCTATCAGCGTAAGGACCATTCCTTCAATACACGAAGCCTTCATGGCAATAGTCCGATTACACAAATCATTTTCACTGACCAGCTCAGACCGATATCCGCCCTTATGACCAGGCGAAGCGCTGCAATCAAGACAATGCGAAATTTTCTCTTCCCGCTTGTTGAAGAGCGCATCTCAAAATATCCCCGAGATACAGATGCTGCAGAGAAACCGGCAAGTATTCGATTTTTTCACGACGAAGAAACCATGTCATGTCAGACTGACTTCTTGATAGCTGGATTGTGTACAATGGCTTATTGACTCAATTCCAAAAGACCGACCGTGGCCAACAGAGAAAATAGTTGCAAAGATATGTGCCCTTTGGTTTGGCTCAGTACATCAACTAGCCATGGTAAGCTGGTCCATCTCTCGAGAAATTTGGGACAAGGCAATCTGATGGATGGCAGACCCTTACCTTTGCATTGTATGATTTGGGCACTTACCCTGAATATGTGGACCCTTTGCGAAAAGAACTTGAAATGCACAACACCGAATCTGAACTTTCCTCGTTGAAAGAAAGATGGCGTGCGTTCGATCGATTGCCTGTGCTTGATAGCTTCCTCAAGGAGTCGGCCCGCCTCCACCCGTCTGACTGCAGTAAGACACCACAGAACCTGCCAATGAGCTGTCCATAAATATATCCGCGGAACAGGGGGACTAACATTGAATCAACCAAGTCTCGGTTCGCCGAAAAGCACTGACGCCGCACATGTTTACAAGCGGGACCCATATTCCCGAGGGTGCATGGGCTTGTGTTCCTCAGGCAGCACTTCAGAAAGATCCAAGTTACTACGCCAATCCCGAAACATTTGATGCATTCCGGTTCGTGTCTGCCCGAGGAGATTCTGGAGACACTCATACAAGGACGAGCAATTTCACCGACGTTGCCTTACCGTTTCCATTCTGGGGCATGGGCAAGCGAGCATGGTGAGTATCCATCCGGGCGTAAGCAATCGGTATTGTGAGAATTACAGCTGAGCTAGATTTGTGTGTAGTCCGGGACGATATCATGCTGCCTGGGTCCTGAAACTAGTTCTCGCACATGTTGTTCTAAATTACGACATGAAATTTTCTGATGACAGGGCATCGCGATCGTTCAAGTGGCGCTCGGCGATAGTACCTAGATCGGACACAACATTGCTCTTTAAAGCTCGAGGTCCGGATGCACCGGGAACGTTGGAAGTTTAGAACGTGTATATGCCACACAGAATAGCTAATGATTGGGCCTTCATTGGCGGGCAAGTGCTTGGCTAGACAAATGGGCCAGGATCTCGAGCATGTGGGCCGGTAAGGCGTGGAGGAAACTCTGATTTCTGGCGCTAGGTAGCAGATATTCAGCTCTTTCTTAGGTGGTCCGAATATTTGGGCTGGAATCTAACTCTTAGGCTTGTATATGCATTCATCTTGGTTTTTTGCATTGAGGCGTTCGAAGTGGCGAACCCTCTGAATGCTCGGTTATAATCTTCAGCTTTAGACGGTATGGAACGCGTAATTCGATGTTCGACTGCATCGTTTGCCAGGGACGGGACGAATGGACAAACTGGCTCACCTGATATCGGCAACTGTCTACCATGTATTCCTGCACGGCTTGATTTGTTAAAGTTATCAATCCTCTTTCAGTTCCTTTTGCTCTCCGTCGCAAGGATTAGTACAATTCTAATCTGAAGACCTCCGCACCTATCATTAATCCTGCCTCAAGTAGTCATTTTTATTGACCTAGAATTACTATCTAACAACTCAATGCGGACAACTTCGGCGAGGTGGCCTTTTAGCGTGGGAGGTTCGGATCTCGGCTTGGAGAATTAGTTCGGGCTGATTAGAGAAGTGTGGGACCCGCTGGGCTCTTTCAAAGTTGTCGGCCGCTCCACGTGCGGCGCAGTCACGCAAGTTAGTTATAGTATTTACTGTGACTAATACACTTGGAGAGCTGGTTAACGGCAGATTGAGCATCATATCAGCCAGGCGATACAGTACTGAAAGTTCACCAACCAGAAAGAACTCGCCCCCAAAGGGGATCGAGATTAGTTCCCTTTAGCTCCCGAGGAAGTTGCGGTCCGGCTACTCGTTTCGGGCACCTCAGCTCTCCGTCTGTATCCACTCGCACTACCCGCAGAGTGATCTCTGCCATGTTCAATTAGTGCTTCACATGAATTTCTGGTCGCCTATCAAAGAATTGGGAGCAAGATAATGATTACGAGGACTGCATCCAGCCCTTTTAATGGGTGTTCATTCGCAGTATGCAGTACACATCATTCCCTCTGCTTCCTTACAGGATGGCCCCACATCATACACTGGGATGGCCCATGTACGCCGAAAATTGCGACACCTGGCGAATTGAACATGACTAATTGGAACTTCTAGGGGTACAGAATATCTGCTGCCTTTTGATCGTTTTAACTAAGGGGTTCATAGGGTGGTTTGGGTTGAAGCTAACGCAGATGACTGGACCGCAATATCAAGAAAACTTAACTACCCACCTAGCTACCTACCTAGCTACCTAGGTATTCATGGAAGATGCATCCAAACGTGCGCCAAGAAACATTGAAACGTTTGAGCGTTTTTCTATGCGCGGTATGATCTGACCTGGGATTATACTTTATCATGGATTCGGGAAGAATTTCCAATCACATTGACCGGCCCAAGTTGCCTACCCTGGCTCAAGCTGTGCCGCAAAACCGCCAAGCGTGAGACATGGGAGGCCATTCCGCTGCTCGTATTACATAGCAAAAGACCAGCCCTGGTACAGCTCAGGGTTTCGCTTCTCAGCATCTCCAATCCAACCTGCCCTAACGCTGCCGCTCCCTTTGTCACGCTCGCATCAATACCAATTGAGCCACATCCCTCTCGAGTAAAGTCCACTGCATCTCAAGCGTGTACAAACTACAACGCAATTCTTCTCATATCTGATTCATTGGCTCGTTTTGTACTGTAATCGATGATGGCTACATCATCTCAGTCTGCGATGGCGGCACCTGCTTCGGCAGGACCTGAGTCTAGTGCAGTGGACTTCTCACACCCCGTGGTTAAGACTCTAAGCTCCTTGTCTGGGTGGCAAGTCATAATCACGGCTTTCTGTTTGCTGGTGGTGTACGATCAAGGTGAGCCGCAACCGGATTTTTCTCCTCAAAATCGACCTCAGTATATAGGGAGGATTGATCGAATTGATGAGAAACTGATTCTAATTCCATTCCGCCAAACAGTCAAATACGTTTACCGCAAGGGAGGCATTGCCGGCCCATCATGGAAGATCCCGTTCATGGGACCGTTTCTTCAATCTGTAAATCCCGAGTTCGAGGGATACCTGGCGAAATGGGCCAGCGGACCTTTAAGCTGCGTCTCGATCTTTCACAAGTACGTCGTGCATTTCAATGAATCTGTTGACAGTAGCAAAGAGTTGTGACTGAGCCCTGCAGGTTTGTTGTCATCTCCTCGAACCGTGACTTAACACGTAAGATCTTGACTTCTCCTGCATTTGTCAAGCCATGTCTGGTTGATATTGCCGAGAAGATACTTCGTCCTAGCAACTGGGTTTTTCTGGACGGCAAGGCCCACAGCGAATATCGCAAGGGCCTTAACGGTCTTTTCAGCCCAAAGGCACTCGAAACATATCTTCCGGGCCAGGAGGACGTGTACGATGAGTATTTTGACAAGTTTTGTGAAACTTCCAGGAGCAGCAATTATCAACCAGTCCCTTTCATGTCAGCTTTCCGAGAAATCAACTGCGCAATATCTTGTCGCACATTCGTTGGGAAACACTTGTCAGAAGAAAGTGTAGATCTTATATCCAGTGAATACTATAAGATCACTTCTGCGCTTGAGCTGGTCAACTTTCCCATCATCATTCCCTTCACCAAGGCTTGGTACGGGAAGAAAGCAGCGGACATGGTCTTGGCAATGTTCGAAGAATGCGCAGCCAAAAGCAGAAAGCACATTGCTGGCGGAGGGGAAGTTACCTGCATCGTGGACGGTTGGATTAAGCAGATTCTTGTGTCGGAACAATACCGGACGAAGGTGGCGAACGGCGTAGATGTTCCGTCTGAAGAAAAGCCCACCATGATATTGCGCCAATTCTCAGACACGGAGATTTCTCAGACCCTATTCACCTTTCTTTTTGCTTCTCAGGATGCGTCGAGCAGCTCCACAACGTGGCTTTTCCAGGTTCTAGCCGACCGACCAGACGTGATGGAACGAGTGCGCGAAGAGCAGCTTCGCGTGCGGGACGGAGACAGAAACAGGCGAATCGACATGCAAATGCTGCAGCAAATGACATATACTCGAGCTGTCGTCAAGGAGATTCTTCGTTACAGACCGCCTGTCATTGTCGTTCCCTATGCTGCCAAGGAAAACTTTCCCATATCTGAGAACTACACCGTACCAAAGGGTAAGCCGACCAGCGAGGCATAATGAATGCCTTTACAGACTAATCGCCAATATCTCTTCTATTCTGGTACTGACATCCATGTTAGGATCTATGATTGTCCCATCCTTCTATCCAGCTTTGCATGACCCAGAAGCGTATCCGAACCCGGGCGAATTTGATCCTGACCGATGGATAACTGGTAATGCCGACAAGGCAGTGAAGAATTGGTTGGTCTTCGGCACAGGTGCCCACATGTGTATTGGCAGAGATTACTTGCTACTGAACATGATGGGATTGATTGGCAAGGCCTCCTTGTTCCTTGATTGGGAGCACGAGGTTACCCCACTGTCGGAGAAGATCAAAGTCTTTGCAACTATTTTCCCAATGGTAAGGTCCGATTACAAGTATTGAAAGTCCCGGTGCTAATATCTGTACCAGGATGATTGCCGGCTGGTGTTCAAAAGGCGGGAATAGAGAGGACTTCTAGCTGAAAAAATCATACGATAGACCCGTCACCCTTGCTTCTAGTCACATGAGAGTAATAATTTTAATTATCGCAGAGGGCCAGGTAAGCAAGAGGGTGGTCGTTGAATGTAGAGAAGACGGTTTGTTGATGGGAAGGAGACAAAAGCTCTTCCAAGAGAGTGATGTCTTCAGGTGTAAAAGTATAGTGTCAATGCGAGATATATTATAATATCAGAGTGATATGAGCCGAACGAGGCGCTTGCCCGAAATGGTGAAGTTGGCAATAGCTCAGAGAGCGCCTATAACTACTTGTATAACCTACAGAGCGAGCGACTCGGCGCGTAAGATGCGGCGTTGAAGAGAGTCATGGCAAGTAATTGCAATATCCAACTGACTAAACGCTGTCTATTCGCTGAACAACCATTGCTGTGGCAGCTCCTCCACCATTGCAGATGGCGGCACAACCGTATTCTCCGGGATACAGTTGATGCAGCAATGTAGTAAGGATTCGCGAACCAGAGCTTCCCAAAGCATGGCCAAGGGCGATGGCACCACCTAATGGGTTGACATTCTCGACGCTCAGCCCGAGTATCTTAAAGATAACATGTTAGTGTTATTCAAGCGCTTACGCAGATTTTCTTGTATTGAATAAAGGGAACAGCTCACCTTTTGGTTAGCCTTGATGACCGCAGCAAAAGCTTCATTGAATTCCCAGACAGCCACTTGCTCCTTGGAGATACCAGCGCGTTTAAGCGCAATAGGAACTGCTTTGGCAGGGGCGACTGGAAAGTCGATAGGATCAACCGCAGCATCGGCAAAAGAGACAATACGAGCAAGCACACGAGACCCAGAGCCATACTTTTCAGCTAGGCTCTGACTCCCGAGGACAAGCGCTGAAGCGCCGTCATTGAATGAGGACGAGTTGGCTGCAGTAACAGTGCCTGTCCCGTCTTTTACAAAGGCAGGCTTTAGTGTAGGCACTTTCTCGAGCTTTAGACGATCGAAACCTTCGTCTTTAGATATGACTATCTCTCCCTTTTTACTCTTGACCGTAACTGGTGTGATCTCCTCGTCGAACTTCCCCGCCTTCCAGGCCTCTTGTGCTCTCCTATAGCTTTCGATGGCAAACTCGTCCTGCTCTTCCCTACTAACATTGTACTTTTTCGCAGTGTTCTCTGCGCAATTTCCCATGTGAATCTGGTTATATACATCCCACAACCCGTCTTTTATCAGGCCATCCTCAAGTTTCATCTCGCCAAATGGTACCTGCTGACTGGATCGAGGGAGGTAATAGGGGACTCGGGACATGTTTTCCATTCCACCTGCCACTTGAGCTTCCGCCAACCCAAGCTGGATGTTTTGCGCAGCAATTGCGACCGCTTTCAAGCCAGAAGCACAAACTTTGTTAACAGTTGTCGCGTCCACCGTCGGCGCAAGTCCAGCCAGAATGGAAGCCTGCCTTGCAGGTGACTGGCCTACATTGGCTTGTAGAACATTGCCCATATAAACATCTGTGATTGCATCAACCGGTACGTTCGATCTCTCTACGGCAGCTTTGATTGCGGTTGCGCCGAGGTGAGATGCCGGAACATTTACAAAGGATCCATTGAACTAGCGCATCTTTATCAGCATATTTAGCTAGAGACGTGCAGAGACAAAACGGTGATAATTACAGAAGTAGTGGGTGTTCTAGCAGCACTTAGAATATAAGCATCTCGAATCTCCTTTTGCGTTGCTGTCGAAGAGCTGAAATGTCGCCGCCCTGCAGTAGCTGGTATTCTAGCACATGATGACCGAGCGCCTCGCCGCAGTAATCGCAGGCTCATCTGGACCTCCCGGCCAGTCATTTTCTATTCACGCGAGAGATAGAATGTAAAGTAAAGGAGTCTTTGAAATAGAACCTCTTTATTCGTATGTAAATGAGGAGACGAAAGCAGAGCGCACGTATGTCTATATTAATGGGTAAGGCAATGGGACGGAAGACCCTGGAATCATTAGTTTAGTTGTGGGGTAAGGTGGGCTTTACTTATGATGCACGGGCTAAGGATTTCCCCCTTGGCTTAGCCGAGGAGCTTGTGATCTGACGTCCTAACAATAATTAGTCGCCTCTCGTTCGTTCCTCGGCCCGCCTAAGCCGATAATGCAGTGAGAGCTTAGTCATTTGGTCGGATCTCTATCTGAGGTCAGCTTCACCAATAGATACAATATTGGACCATATGAGCTGTTTAGGGGCGTTCTATGCCCGCAAAGAGACTACGGTCATCAGAATCTTTGATTTGTCAAGTCATGGAGAGATAATATGAGTTATGCTAATCCTCCCTCTTCTGCGGCCGCATCGACGGCGTCAGCCGGCGCAAGTGGCAGAGTGCCTCCCGTTCTGTCCACCACCGGGATTTCGGGGTTTAAGAGAAAGGTTCAAGCGACGTTTGATGGTATGCATCTCCTTGTCCCGAAAAACTTTCATTTCGAATATTTGATTTTCATGTTTTTTTTTCTTCTCTGCATCTCCTTTTTTGACTTTCACGTGTTCCAATTTTGATTGCTATTGGTCCATTTATATCTCAACGATTCTCTCGGCGTATCAATATCAACTGTCTTTTATTCTTTTATGCTGCTATTTCATTGACTGTTTCAAGCTCTCTACGGTTGAAGGCTCTGTTCCAACATTCATACGCTGACATTCTTAAGAACCCGCGGATCTGAAGCGAATGTCGCCACAGACCTATGCGAGCAAGGTGCGGGTCCAAGACAGATACAAAGTCGTAGGTTTCATTAGTAGCGGAACCTATGGTCGAGTGTATAAAGCTGTCAGTAGACATGGGGATACCAGAGAATTCGCCATCAAAAAGTATGTATCAAAGTTGGGACTTTTTATATATTCGTATCTGACGCCATCTTTGAAGGTTCAAACCAGACAAAGAGGGAGAAATCATCCAATACACGGGAATTTCTCAGTCCGCATGTCGAGAGATGGCTCTTTGTTCAGAGCTGTCCCACCCGAATGTCATCCATCTCGTTGAGATTATGCTCGAGGAAAAATGCATCTTCATGGTCTTTGAGTATGCGGAGCACGACCTTCTCCAGATTATCCATCACCACACACAGCCAAGCCGACGTGCAATCCCGGCGCAGATGATTAAAAGTATTCTTTTTCAGCTCTTGAATGGGCTTCTCTATTTACATACCAACTGGGTCCTGCATCGCGATCTGAAGCCTGCCAACATTATGGTTACCGGCGAAGGCGTCGTTAAGATTGGAGATCTTGGTCTGGCCCGGCTCTTCTACAAGCCGCTCAATTCACTCTATAATGGCGATAAGGTCGTTGTGACTATCTGGTATCGTGCCCCGGAGTTGCTGCTTGGTAGTCGACACTATACACCGGCCGTTGACTTATGGGCTGTTGGCTGCATTTTCGCGGAACTTTTAGCACTTAGACCAATCTTCAAGGGCGAAGAAGCAAAAATGGACTCAAAGAAAACGGTTCCTTTCCAGCGAAATCAAATGCAAAAGATTGTCGACATTCTCGGAGCACCTACGAAGGAAAAATGGCCCGGCCTCGTCTCTCAGCCAGAATATCATAGCATGCAAGCGTTGGCTGCAACCATGCATTCTCGTGGCTCGAAACCTCCTGGCTTGGAAGGTTGGTATAATCAGACTATTAAAAATGCTGGGTACCACTCCTCATCATCCCCCGGGCATGAGGGCTTTGCTCTTCTTTCGGCTCTGTTAGAGTATGATCCCAGCAAACGCTTAACGGCGCGCGAAGCATTGCAACATCCATACTTTACTTCCGACATGAGCAGAATCAGCATGAATTGCTTTGAGGGTACAAGGATGGATTATCCACACCGGAGAGTGAGTCAGGATGACAATGATATTCGCACAGCGAGCCTTCCAGGCACCAAGAGGAGCGGTCTACCAGACGACAGTCTGATCTCGCAGCCTGCGAAGCGACTAAAGGAAGGATGAATCGGCGTGACCATTTGGGCACAGAGATACAATGACTCTAGACATGGACTTTGTCATTCATAGCGGCATTAGCGGCGTTTTATAACATTGGTTTTCTATTGACGAGGTAATTGGCGGTTATAAAATAACAGAATTTGGTTTCTTTCATGCTGTGCAGTCGCTGTGATGTACTAAAAGTCTGACCGCCAGCGCTATGACATGGAGCGAAAAAAAAAGTGCTGAAAGCAACAAAATGTGCTCCGGCTTTTGGGATTTTGAAAGACCACCACCGTAGAGAAGTGTGTGAACGGGCCGTGACTAGAAACTTGCTCGGACAAGTCCTTCAAGCGTTGCTACGCCTGCCTTAACGCCATCCACAATTCGGACCTCGCTGCCTTTTGCTTCTCCCAGCTCCTCAATACACGCAGTTCTGACTATCTCGTCCATGCCGGACATGCCTGCACAGCCTAGACATATAGCTCCCACAGCACCTTTTCCAAGAAGACGCTTGGTTGCATTGATCATCTTCTCGCGCACTACATCCGCAGATACGTCATGCAGCTCTACCGCTGAAAGACCGGTTGTCTCAACACCAGCAAACCGTTTACTCTCGCCACCGCCGACGGAAGAGGTACTGATCTCACCAAAACCCAAAAAGTGTGCAGTGGCGTTGGTCAATATCTCTTCCCAGACCTTCCCTGTGCTGACTATGCCAAATTTCTGCCAAGGATGCATCAAATGCAAGGCTGCCGTCACACTTGATTCGAATATCCCGGTTACTGGCTTGCTTGTCCGCTCACGCAAAATCGGCACCAGAGGATGTTCGCTATAACAAGCTACTAAAAAAGCATCGTGGGTCTCTAGCATTGGCAGAATGGAGGGCACACAATGATCGACGCTTACTACTGCATCTCCTTCATCATTGATGCTCTTCGGGCCTGACGGCGCGGTGAAGAAAGTATATGTTGTCTGTCCAGCATTGTTAATATCCAGCATGTCTACGTCAAAAGGTTTACACTGCGCATTATTCCAGCTGGAGAACCTGTGGCCTTCGCGAAAAGGCTCCTTAGTGGAAGCTCCTGGGAAGCTGAACGGCGCAGAATACAAGGGTTAACGAACCTTGTCATAACCTAGGCTTTCCACTAATGGCTTCAAAGCATCGGTCATGGCCTGAGTGGAATTGGGATTGATAATGAGGATCTCCATTTTCCTTTGCTCTAGATTGCAGTGCGGTATTATAGCCTTCTGTTAAACACGACGGGGATATAGTTGTTGTTTTGTCAAAAATTTTCGTGGAGCAGTCATGGGGTTGTAGAGTAAAAAAAGACCAACAAAGAGCTTCAATCCACCTTAGCTTCGGTTTGACATATGGTGGGGTTGTACTTGGCAAGTCGCGGGGTCTGATAACGAGTTTCGGTTAAGTTATCGCATGACATCTCCAAAACCGCCACCTCCCTACGGGGCCCAAATAATTTCAAAGTGGATGCACTGCTGCTTACCCAGCCGGTTATGGGAGAAGTTACTGTACATCGCTGCCCAATGGTCCCCGCAGCTTTCTAGCTACCTAGCATACAACTCAGCAAACCGCTCTCTCCTGCGGAAGCGCGTCCTTTTATTGTAACACTTGTGCCTGCTCTGATCGAATATTACACTGCGCGAAAGCGTACCCTGTTCGATTATTGAATTTTGCATGAAAATGTGCTGAAGTATCTATGGGATGGCTCGAGTTGACAAACGCGTCGTGTCTTCACGACCGGCTCGGACGAAGCACAGCAGTCACCGCACTAGGCCCTACAAGGTTGTCTTCGAGTCCGTAACGCAAGCAAAGAAGAAACTGCTCACTGTTGTGCGTGATTGAGTGTTGAGTGCTTGTATTTCCACGAAAGTGTCTCAGCTGACTCGATCGAATAGATTTCCTTTAAAGCAGATGCGCCGCCTGGTTTTACCTTCGTCCCCATAGGCAACCCGAAGCTTACACAACAATGCAAAGAATTTTCCAGAGAAGAAGGCCGAAAAGTTTACATTGTTTCTGTCTGAGATCCAGTCAAATTTCTAGGGAATTGGGCGGCAGCTAACGATTTCGCAGGCTGCACCGCAGAACAAGGCGCACAAGAATGCAAGCAATATTTCGCACCATATCCACAGGATTGGGCATCATTTTGCCAGTACGGTTGTGGCCAAAGCGTGCCACGAGCTCGGGTTACATCTCACCCCGTCTGGGCGAGCAGTAAGGTACTCTGGCCAGAGGACACGTCCGATGCAGCACCTAGATGCGCTGGAGGACAACAACGGACCGTCACTTAGATCGGGGCTTTCGCAGAAAAAGATCAATGCTGAAGCGAGAGATGCCATTCGCGATCTATTCCCCAACATTCCGAAGAAAGATCTTCACGAAATCATTACACGTGCATTCAAAAAGGTACTATTGTTCCTGCTCGCGGTTGCGGGCAATCGGCTGACCGTTTGAAGGGGACCCAGAAGGTTGGCACTGCAGAGGAGTTGCCACTGGCACGGCGCGTCCAGTTAGCTGTTGTGGCTCATATCCGGCATGTCTATACCGATTACGATAGGCTACTTCGGACTGACACATACCAAATCGCGCGTGGAAAAATTGAACAAGCCTGCCTCGATAAACTCGTGCAGTGGCGGGGAGATGAGGGCAATGGTGCGAATGAATTGGAAGAGATCCTGCGTGAGGTTATCGTAATTTCAGATGATGACAGCGAGGGAGAAGAGGATGATGCTGATATAGATGAATTGGCGCGCATGGAACTGACTGACAGGGATGCAAGCGTGGAAATCATTTCTAGCCAAGCATTTGCCGAAGAGATGGCCATGAAGCCTTCGTCCAGACCACGGGAGCCATTAACTCCCGAGGAAAGGCCTTTTGCCCAGGCCGCGGAACCCGTTCTTTTGAGTGTTTACCGATCCGCTGCGCCCCGTCCTCCAGACAGCGAGGAGAAGCGCAGACGCCGAATTGAACGGCGTGGCTTTTACCGCTACCGTGCTTGGGATCAAGCAATTGATCGGTATAGAAACCAACCAAGCCATGCTACCATTCATGGATTGGGGCATCAGGCCGATGCTGTTGAGAGGATGCCAGCCAGGATCTCGTCTTCTGGGCAAGAACCTCGGACTCTTTACTACGAACGCTTAGAGGAGCCTGTACTCCCCCGTGTTCACACCAGGGCAATGCCTGCCCTCCGGCAAGCAGTCGAGCCCATTTCATACTCTGGAGAACCATGTGTCAGAGCTGTTGATCCTGCACGAGATGCTATCCATTACGTAGAACGGCCGCTGGTACCCGCCAGGGTCTCACAAGCCGGCCATGACTTTGCTGACCATCACAGGCATCGGACTTTCAATGAACCATGCATGAGTTATCCTGTCCATGAAACTAGCACTTACCAAACTGGAAGTCATGGACCTTTTAGAGCCAAAGAGCCGCTCCAAAGTAGCTCTACCGTATATGGAGAGCCGGTGGACCGCCGCCATGGTCTCCGTGAATCCATTTATGAGAAGGCCCCAACCTGGGAACACCCAACCTCTCACGGCCGTAGTCAACCGCTGCGGCGTGTGGAATATCATACTGCAGACGCTCCTATCTGTTCCATTGAATACGACAGGGCCGGTCCGGCAGTAGCGCCAATTCCAAATGGAGGGTACTTGCCCAGGCACAAAGAGGTAGAGCCGCTCAGAAGAGCATATGTTGAGGACCGTGTACAAGTTCACCCGTTACCGGAACGCGCACCACGAGGCGCACCTAATGTGAGAGAAAGTGTGCAGCTTCACCCTTTGCCCGAGCGTGCGCGGCCTCGGCAAGAATATTATGTTGAAGACCGTTTGCCGGTTCAACCCCCAACGGAGCCTGTCCGCCAGGAGCCCGAAATTATCTATCTTGGCCCAAGTACAGAAGTCTCACGAACACAGTATTGGGTTCCTAAGGAACCCGTTAGTGCTAGACTTGGCCCTGCTGGGTCATCCTACGAAGAGTGTCGCATTCCAGAACCTGTTCTCTCTGATCCTTACCATTTTCGCCGGTATGTTGTGTACTTGTTGACGGGATTAACATGCAACTTATGAATACTTATAGGGCGGCCAGAGACACACAAGACCGCCGGATCATAGATGACCATGTTATCCCCATGCCTGAACGGTATTCTGCCATACCACAACAACGAAGACGTCCCCCGCCCAGACCAGAGGATATTATTATTCTGGATTGAGCAATCTAACACATTTCCAACGAATTCTGTCTATATTTCGAACAAAAGAAGCAATTCCTTTAAAAGCATTTGCATTTATATTGCGGCATACGCGGGCGCTCCGGATCGATTACCTCAGGATATCCATTGATTTTTCATTATCTCTGTCTTCTCATTTTAAAAGCGCAAGTACTATAGCATTGCATGGTCAGAATGAGCTCTAGATTGCGAGGAGTTCTTCAGAGGCGTTATTGTACTGTGGCATATTATTCTTCAAATGTCTAATATATGGGGCCGAGAAACTATTTTGTATTTAGCATGCCAGCGAGGCGGATCATCATTTCTCGGCGTTGGAGATGCGTTCTGCATGTCTCCTTGCGACCTCGGGCACAATTAAAGATTCTATCTCCACTTCTCGATCGATTCCAGTATCATCCGTAGAATCGGGCGTGACGACTGAACCATTGACATGCTCCGCCAGACCTATCTCCGCTTCCCGTCCAGAGATACTCTTCTTCCGTCGATGACGCGGGACGCGGATCCATGCATTCTCCGCATTCCGCGCTACAAAAACCACTTCCCACTTCCGAGTGGAGAGAAGATTGCCAATGACCAAATGATGAGCGTACCGATCAAGGGCCTGCCTTGCCTTATGTACCAGAATCGTGGGATCCGTCTCCAATTTGAAACTGACAATCATGCTCTCGGGCGCCCAGCCATCGACGAGGCGCTTGAGGAACTTGGGCACCGGATCCAAATCCACAATCAGCTTCTTGCTCTGTCCCTGCGCCAGGCATTGCTCGTCGTCCTGCTGGGAGTCCGCGCCAGCCGCATCACCAGACCCAGACCCAGCGGCATGGGTATGCAACGGAGGCTTATTCTGCTCCGACGACTGGATCTTATGCTCGGGCATCCTATCCTGGGGCACGAAAAAGTCCGACACCGCCGCCGCGAGATAAAACAGCCCCGCCGACCGCAGCGGCTGCATCAGCTTCGCAATTTCTCGGAGTTCCCACAAATAGTCCGTAATCGTCGTAAACGGGAGCAGCAGCAGCATGTTGTTGCGCTTCGCTTTGCGGTACTTGCGCAGCACCGAGAGCATTTGCGACTGATATTCCTCATTCACAAGCACCTTTCCTCCGTCCTTGCTGTTGTTGTTTTCTCCGCCTTCTTCGCCGCCCTCTTCGCCGCTTTCCGTCATAAAGTCCAGAAAACAATTCGTCGAGTGGCTGTAGTGCCGCGAGTACGGCAGCAGTGAAAACTGCCGGTGCAGGAAAATCACCGCATATCCGGCCTCCAGGAAATATTCCGCGCTCGTTGCGCCCCGTGTCCCGTTGGAAAAGTTGTCGATGAATCGCACCGTTTGGTTTTCCAGTGGAACTGTCGTGCCCCCCGAGGTCACTAGCACTACTCGTCGCCCTTCAGACAGGTGCCGCTCGATAAATGCCTTGGCTAACGTCGCGTGGTTTTGCAGAGATTTCGGAGGCGCGTTCACGGTGAAGTAGTTGTCTTCGGCCAGCTCCGCTTTGGAGCGGTGGTCTGCCATGTTTGGTAGTGCTTTTTTTTTGAGCGCGAGTTGTTAGGCGTCGTGGGTATGAGGGACTAGGCGGACAGGTTTTAAACCATTTGAGAGCGGCCGTGAGACGAACGGATGGGCTTTGTGCAATTGCTATTGTGTCCTTGTTGTGTGACGCTGAGTCAATCGGCGGGGTGCATCGCGGGTTGCTATGGTGGGGTTGGAAAGGTCAGGGGTCGTTGCTGAGTCGGACTGCAACAGGCGAGCTTGGTGCTCCGTACGTGCGAGAGCGGTGCCCGAGTAAATGCTGACGGTATGCACTAGGAGATACTGTCGCATCATGATTTTCTTTTGGACAATATTATCAGTTCCGTGACTCTGGAAAATTTTAGAGAATATTTTTGGTTTAAAGATTGGAGAGATAGGTTATGTGAAATTTCTCATCTATTGCATGTAGGACAGTCATGGAGAGTCATCTTGTAACCAATCCTTTTCTCATTCACAGTGTTTATCCTTGCCTCTTGCCTCGTGGCTGGTACGACCATACAGAGAACCCAACTTAGAGAATGCAATCCTATATGATATTCCATCCTCTTGATCACAATGGATTTAATTAGACGTGCGGCGAGGCGCAGTCTTCTTTCTCTTCGTTCGAAGCCGGCTCCAGTTCCTCGTGCCGGTCGTGTCTTACCTCAGGACGAACGGGTCGATGAGGAAATTTGTCCATTTTACAACTTCATGGATTACTACCCAGCCAAGCCTGGAGAAATACTCGCCGATCGGTATCAACTGGTGGTTAAAATTGGCTGGGGAACTCGTTCGACGGTATGGCTCGCTCGAGACATAAGAAGGTATAATAACACTGCCCTTCTTCCATATTATTGGCCCGCATGGCTTCAAGCTTCTGACGGAAAACTTTCATGAGATAGATACAAATGGCAAGTTGAACGCTTTGCGGCGTTGAAAATCAATGAACTCAATAGTGAAGAAGCTCAATACGAGCGTGACATTGAAGACCACATTGCCAAGAAGGACCCATTACACCCAGGCTATCCGATGATCAGAACATGTATTGAAAGCTTCGAAATCACCCGTCCCGAGGGAAGCCATATATGTCTGGCATATGAACCTATGAGAGAGCCTTTTTGGCTTTACCAAAGACATTTCAGAGATGACAAGCTTCCCTTTCCGGTCGTGAAGGCGTATTTTCTCATGCTTCTTGCTGGCCTTGACTATTTGCACTCGGAATGTCGAGTCATTCACACTGGTAAGCATTTCTGAATCCGTATTCTACATACAATAATGAGACTAAAAAGTTTTTCAAGACCTAAGACTTGAGAATATTCTAGTTGGGTTCGAGAATCAAGCTGTCATCGAGGATTTTGTAAAAGCACAGATTGACGACCCCATGGAATACAAGATTAATGCGTCCGGTCAAACCGTCTATCGACGTCACAATTATTTTGGGCCATTGCGAAAGCTGGAAAACTTGCCAAAAATCATTGACTTCGGCTCTTCGTGTCGAATTGATAACCCGAAAAGTGTGGGCATGCTCCCTATTCAGCCAGACCACTATCGTGCTCCAGAAGTCATTCTTGGTCGCGGCTGGACATTCAGCACAGATATATGGAATCTCGGCGTGCTGGTCAGAAGTATCCCCGCGTTTGCGCAATATGGACGCAACTAATTCTGCAGACACAGATGTGGGACATACTCGAAAACACCCAGCTATTCCAACAAGCTCATGACACGACTGGCCATTATGATGCCAAAGCACATCTAGCGGAAATGATAGCACTGCTGGGGCCACCTCCGAAGACCTTGCTGGAGAAAGCTGATGCAATGCTCCGGGTCGAATGGCCTGATGCTATCCAAGGCGAGGGAGGCAAGCTCTGCAGGAATGCGCAGCAGTTATTTGGTGGGCCATTTTTCAGTGGAGAAGGCACGTATTACTCAGAGGGTACAAATGAAGCCGCAGATTTATTGACGGCTGCTTACAGGGAAATTTCTCTATCCAGATTTGATACCGGCCCGACAACTCAAAGATACGCTTCCGTCTTTGGAGAAAAAGGATAGGGAAGAGCTATTATCCTTTGTCAAGAAGATGCTTACGTGGCTCCCAGAGGAAAGGAAGACGGCTCGTGAGTTGATGGAAGACCCGTTCCTCACCCGTTCCTCAAAGCTGGAAAAGGCATGGGATAAGTGAAGGTATCTCTATCGGGTGCGGAAACATTTTTTATATTCTCTCCTCTCTTTTCCTTCCTTTGAACTCTCTACTCACATAGATTTTAAAATCGTAGAAACGTAAAAGCTTAAGAGTTTCTTCATCGCCACATATTAATTTTAGCTGTCTCTGAATCCTATCAGGAACTGCAATAATGAAAGACTACCCAGCAGCTGTTTTAGCCCATTGAGTTGCTATTGTAGCGAGAAAGCTAGACGGAGCTAAACCAGGTAAAATCCGGAGTTAGCGTCCCCCCCATCCACTAAAGTCCCGGCGGAAGTTGAAACGACGACCCGTTATCCGCTCTCTTTATCAACCTCGCGAAAACCCCAGATTGATGCAAGTAATCGGATTTGTCATGGGCATACGAGTACCGGTCGCTCGCAATCCTCAGTACAATACGACATTTCTTATCCAGCTCGAAGAATGAATGAGACAGCTTGCTTGGAATGACGGTTTTACGTCGAACATCTCCTTCCTCCTTTCTATCAACTTACAACCACCAAACGCTCTTCTCACGCGATCATCTCTCGCCACATCTGCCGAACTGGAGGTGCTATCGTGATGTCGGCCCTGAAATCACTTCTTCGTCAGAAAAACAAAACATGGACGGCAGAAGACAGTGAAACGTTCAATGTCACTTTTGTTCCTTTCGAGAAGATATTTGACGTCGCGTTGCCCAAAGACAAGGAAGAACGTAAGCTCCATATGTCTCTATGTCTCCATTCATTTGATGACCTGTTCTGATGGCGTGTAGGCTTTCAGCGTCTTTCCGAAAGATTTACTCAACCCGGGGAGGATGAATTAAAAAACTTTTCCTCGTATTGCGACTCCTTTGCGGAAAACAACTTCCTTGTGACTTTCACGCATTTGGAAAATGCAACAAGAGAGGATAGTGATCCTATAGAGTCAAGATTTGCCGTCTCAAGCTTCCTTAGCATAGTCATGGCCGGTCTTGGACTGAGTCATCTTTCAAAGTGAGCACAAGAATAATCTCACATAGTTCTTCGCTGATAAAAGAAAAGAAAATCGGTCCAGTCAAAAGTACGTTGTTACATTGAGTCACTCAAGACACATTGCGCCGTCAAAACGGATGGGTACATATTTCGGTCAAGCACAGTACCAACGGGGGCAATTTCACCACCACCACTTCCTCTCACACTTCTGGTGGGTTTGAACAGCTTCATATTACAAATAAATGCTAACAGAGAATTGCAGGCCCAAGAAAGCAAAGATGCGCCACTCTCCGCTACTGAGATCTCCCAGATTCTCATACAAGCATATCTCGCTTACGTAGATGCGCCGAATCTCCAGAGCTACAGAGCATTTGTTTTACGCATAGCAGGAACACATCTGTCTCTCACCACTGCACAATTCTCTCGCCCTTACATAGAGTCTTTATTGCGAGATACACCATTGGCATCGCATCTTCTGATTTCCCATTCACATTCATATGAACTTATAAATGTCAATGACAGAAGGGAAGCTTTGAAGCTCATTTCGGCAGTCTTGTGTTCTTTTCCCACTAGCGTTCCTTCCCAGATCACTTCTTAAATATTTGCTGCAAGAGCCCTACTTCTGCTTCGCCACTTCGGAGGTACTCGAGGAGGCCAATGCAAAGTTTCAGAGCACCCTCTCTTCCATCCCTCTCCCTTAGATTGAAGGGAGAGGAACGCCTCACCCAAGCCGTTTCTTCCGCTGGCACCAGTCCGCTCTTGACATGCGACAGATAAGCGGCATCGAAACGAGCGGCTGACAGTCTGAGAACGGCTCCGTGAATACTAATAACAAATGACTCTTGGTCATTTGTTTTACCGAGTTGCTCGTTGTGGTTGATGGCTTGGGCCAAAAGCTCCGCGACTTCCTGAGCCAGGACAGTTGCTGAATACTTCTCATTCTCTCCTCCAGGACGACGAATGTTGCCCGCGTGACGTCGCTTAGCCTGGCGGAGGTTAGAACTGATACATGGCTCCACCTGGAATATCTACTTACCTCGAATGATACTAGTGGAACTGTTCCGTATCTGTTGGAGCCTGTATATTGACCCGATCGGATGAGATAAAGGCCTCCGTCATTCCTTACTGTCACAGTGTTCTCCCCACGCTGCAATTTCATATCTGTGCTAGTTACGTTTCTGCTGCCATTAGTTATTTATACCACATTGAAGGACAAGGAAACGTACGGTCTAATTCGATAGTTGATACTATTATACTCCATGGGTTTATGTTTCAGAGACGCGGTAATCGGGTTGAAAAGTCCGAAAAACATCTGCCTTGAGGCCTCTTCGTCCTTGTCTTCGGCGCTGGAAGATGATAGATCACTCTCGGGACTGGGGTTTCTCATCGCACCCTGTGTTCCGGGAATGTGTGCTGGGCGTGTCGCGATTGCCTCTGAAATTAGACTGAAGAGACCGAAGAATCTGTTATCACTGTACGGGTCCAGCAGGTCCACAGATCCCTTTAGGTCATCCTCGGAAGGTGCCCTGATTGCTCGAACCAGCTCCGAGTATGCTTAGACTAAGAGTCAGCTTGCTATTATACATTATAGCTATTGACTTTACCTTGGTGGTGGTCGGAAGGGATAAACTGTGACGGAAACAACCTTTCGAGAGCTAGGTTGTCTAAATACGCCACTCGAAGTGCTTCAAGGTGTTCTGACCTCCATTTCGACCCCGAGCCCTTGGATAAGGAGATGTTTTGATCGTCCCGTTCATCATCGAGGTGGGTTATTGCGTGGCCCAATTCCTCGGCTGTTGGCTGGAATTTCATCTTGAATGGTGCGTGTTTGATTATAATAAAGGTTTATCAGAGTTACAACATGTAAAATAGTTGCAAGTAATTAGAGATTCAAAATAAGTAAAATAGATGGCTATCTAAAATAATGAACAAAGTGGATGCAGGACGAAGCAATGTTGGATATATAAGTGGAGCGGAGAGGGGGAAAAAACACGTGAGCAAATACACCCTTGCTCGAAATCATTTATCCATGTTCACATTTTTATGGATGGTTCAAAGATATTTGCATTGGTGCAAAGGCAAGTAGCTGAGGATGTTGAGAAGAAATGGTACGAAGAGCAATGGCCTTATCGTATTCAGAGCTTATATAGTCTGCAAATGTAACAGTGACTACCCAGCTTTCTGTTGCCTTGACTGCTTCGTCTTCTTCACTTCATATAGGTAATATCTACTGCTGTTGCCTCATCATCTTGAATGAAGGTCATTCATTGGGCATTGGCAATCACAAGCTTTACACAAACATTTCATTGTCTATATTCAGGCTTACTGAAATTTATGCCTGTCAAAGCAGATTTCTTGGTTAGATCGGTTTCTCAAAAAGTAACGGGAAGTTAGGTTAGTTACGCTTAATACTGTCAATTTAGTCTGAGCCCGGGCCAAAGCACAACACCGTCCAGTAAGGGGTAGCGGATCCTCGCATCGAGAATTATGCTCTGTACATAAAGTAATACGCTGGATAAAGTACAAGGTAAGGTAGGTAAGTTAGAGGGTGGAATGGTTTCAGCTGGGCCGAGGTACCGAGTAGCTTTCTTGGGCCGAGGCACGTTGTGCAGGATTGGTCATAGGAACTGCAGAAACTGTGAGTGGCCGAGTGACGACGAAGGCGGCATCGGGTAAGTTAACTTGTAAGTTATGTATGGTCTTTTATTACTAGGGCGACCGAAATATTCAGCTTTCTTTAGCTAGGAATTGCGGGGCCCCACGTTTTTACGCACGCCGACTGCCGACTCTAAACGACTCATGACCGTCATCACCTATGTCGGGCACTTGTTTTCCGCCCAAGGTATACTCCGATAGAGAAGCATGTGAAATGAACCCTCGGTTGCTCCCATTCCGTTTCTGCTCAGCCCCATAAGCCGAAACATTTTGCAAGCTACTTCTTCAGCAGCGCATAGATCTTGTCTTTCTTTTCGACTTCATTCTTGCTCTCATTAGTTCGACCAGTCATTGTTCCCTCACCATTTATCCTCCATTGTTGGAAAAATGTCCCAGACATTCTCCAAAGACGACGTCTCGTCGCACAATAAGCCAGACAGCCTCTGGATCATCGTCGACGAGGATGTATATGATGTGAGTAAATTCCAGGATGAGCATCCAGGTATGTCTGCAATCACATTACTCTTTGTAAACGTGAAAGAACAAATATCTAATTTGCGACTGGCAGGTGGAAAGAAGAGTTCGTTATGAATATGCTTAAACTCCGAAATAGGAGTCTGGTTATATTCCGGCTAACCCTTAAATTAGTCTTGCAGCGAGTCGCTGGAAAAGACGCTTCCAAGCAATTTTGGAAGTATCACAATGAGGGTATCTTGAAAAAATACCAGGGACAGCTTCAGATTGGCTCTCTCGACTCCAAACCCAAGGTGGAAGCCCCGCCTACTCCGCCAGCAACGCCTCCAGCAAAGGAGGACACTGTTTCCCCCGAGTCCGCAGGACCAGCTGCTCCCGAACCGGCGCAGACTGTGGCGGAGGTAGGAGAGGCTCTGGATCCTTTTGGCGACCTGATCCCATATTCGGATCCTTCGTGGTATCAAAGCGTGAGTTTCCGCATCTCGCTAGCGGTCTAAATTCCACTTGCTAATAGAATATCTTTTCCCAGTATTACTCGCCCTACTTCAATGAGACACACGCCGCACTTCGTGCCGAAGTTCGCGAATGGGTCGACAATGAGATCCAGCCCTACGTGACCGAGTGGGATGAAGCGAAAAAGGTCCCCGATCATATCTACAAACAAATGGGTGAGCGCGGCTACCTTGCCGGACTTATGGGCGTGCACTATCCCACGCACCTCACAAAGAGTCGTGTGAAGAGCGTGCCTCCAGAGAAATGGGATCTTTTCCATGAGATGCTTTTTACAGACGAGCTCTCGGCTGCTGGTAGCGGAGGTCTTGTATGGAACTTGATTGGCGGCTTTGGCATCGGCTGTCCGCCTCTTGTGAAGCATGGCAAAAAGGAGCTCATTGAGCGCATTGTGCCCGGTATCCTCAGCGGTGACAAGCGCATTTGCTTGGCCATTACCGAGCCCGATGCGGGAAGTGACGTTGCCAATCTCACCTGCGAGGCCAAGCTATCCGAAGATGGAAAACACTATATCGTAAATGGCGAGAAGAAATGGATCACCAATGGTATTTGGTGCGACTACTTCACCACTGCTGTTCGGACCGGCGGTGAAGGCATGGGCGGCGTCAGTGTTTTGCTCATTGAACGTGCCTTTGAGGGTGTAAGCACTCGTCGTATGGACTGTCAGGGTGTCTGGAGCAGTGGAACTACGTATATTACTTTTGAGGATGTCAAAGTTCCCGTTGAAAATCTCATTGGGCGCGAGAACAAGGGTTTCAAAGGTCAGCTTCCCCGCTCCTTCTCAAAACGTAGAAAATATACTGACGTGTTGCGAATCAGTCATCATGACAAACTTCAACCACGAGCGTATCGGTATCATTATTCAATGTATCCGCTTCTCGCGCGTCTGTTTCTCCGAGTCCATGAAGTACGCGCACAAGCGCCGCACTTTTGGCAAGCGACTCATCGACCATCCCGTCATTCGCCTCAAGCTCGCCCACATGGCGCGCCAGATCGAAGCCTCGTACAACTGGATGGAAAATCTCATTTACCAGTGCCAGCGCATGGATGAGACAGAGGCCATGCTCAAGCTCGGTGGTGCTATTGCCGCCCTCAAAGCTCAATCGACTACCACGTTTGAGTTCTGTGCTCGTGAAGCTTCCCAAATTTTCGGCGGCCTCAGTTACTCCCGTGGTGGCCAAGGCGCGAAGATTGAACGTCTCTACCGTGATGTTCGCGCGTATGCCATCCCTGGCGGTTCTGAGGAAATCATGCTCGACCTTAGTATTCGACAGGCCCTGCGTGTGCACAAACTCATGGGTATGAAGTTATGATCGGAATGTTTTATTTTTATTTGTTTCTTTTTCTTTTAAATTCTCTCGTCTTATATATCATTTGATTTCAATGTATTTGGTCAGACTATTTGAGTATATGTTTTGGACTTTTCGACATATGAGAAAGAATTATAGCTTACAGTTGTTCACTTTGTTACTCTGATGTATCATTACAATACTATCTACTTTCCATTGGAACAGACACTTGGTCATAAGAACAGCGACATGGGCTCATGGCTCGCGAATCGAGCAACTCTCCTTTATATGTATTAAAGTAAACTCAAAAAAAAAATTATACGTATCTACCGTATATTCGCCAACTTTTCATCTCATGCTAATTTTAATTCTAATGCAATGTGGCTATCCAACTAGGCTCTGATACTGTGTACGTATAAAGCAAAAAATTTTAGAAAAAAAAAATAAAAAAGGAAGGAAAGAATGAGAATAAAATGTAGGGGAAAACCAAAAATAATAAATAAAGAAATAAATAAATAAATAAATAAATAAAACCCAGAATGAAAATGACGAAAATGAAGAATAACCATTTTTGAAACCTATTGGAATTCTACACGCTCAAGGCCCAACTCGGCCACATTAACTCATATCAAGTACCGACACAGTCAGACTTCTGGCCAGGACTTATCCACTTCATCTTTCCAAGCCTTAAGCCCGCCCTTGATGTCGCCAATATACCGGTTCCCGCCCTGTGCGAGGCCCATTTCCTGAAACCGCCTCACAGCCAGCTGCGAATCGTTGCCAAGACGGCAAATCACGTGGATTGGGGCGTTTGAAGGGACATTTGGAAACCAGGTAGCATCGTTACCTGCCTCTTGCAGATTCTGCGTATTCTGCGTATTTTGCGCCTCAACAGAAGAAGAAGTAGGAGTAGAAGGAGAAGGAGAAGGGGAAGGCATGCGTCGAGACTCTGCGACGATAGTCGAATACGGGATGTTGATGCTGTTATCGATATGGCAGATATCATACAGTACTTTTTCTCTCACGTCAATTAGAACGCCCTGTTCCTTGCCAGTGTTGCCGGTCTTGCGAGCGTTGTTGTACTCTGTTGCGGTTACTCTCTCGTCTGCGGCTAAGATATTCACGGGTTTAGTCACGCCGCAGAATTGCACGTAGTCAAGGGAGCCCGAGGAAAGTGACTCTTTGGTAATACAGCCTGACTCTGGAGAAAGTGCGGAACAAGCAAGACAGTTGGCACGTCGGGAGCGAAGCCGGATGCTGCGGAACGGAGGGGATCCGTATGCTGAGAATAAAAGAAGACTGGGCGTGGGCTTTTCAGGAGACCCGCTTGCAGAAGAAGAAGCAGCGCGGCGAGTGATAAGTTTAATAGTCTCTAACGCTTGTAACACGCCCATTGTGCCCACTACGGGTCCGAGAATGCCGCCTTCGCCGCAGCTCACGAGGCTTTCGGCGGGAGGAGGTCGAGGAAACACGCAACGGTAACATGGACCCCCGCTGGGATCGCCCCGGGGTAAAGGTGGGTCGTTGAGGACCATGAGTTGCCCTTCGGTTTTCAAGGCAGATGCGGATACGAGAGGCTTGCCCAGCAGCACGGCCGTGTCGGAGATGAGGTAACGAGATGTAGGGTGGTCGGTGCAGTCCAGAATCACGTCGTATTGTGCGAAGATGTCGAGAGAGGTAAGTGGGGTGAGGTGCTCGCGGTGGGCGACGTATTGTATTGTCGGGTTGAGTCTGTATGATAAGATGTTTGAGTATATATATATCGAAAGGCAACGGGGAGGGTGTTTAGGGAGGAGTTGAGATCGTACCCTTTTAGACTTTGTATGGCGCTGTCTACTTTCCGCATATCCACCTTGTGCGTCCCGTGGAGTATTTGCCTGTGCAAGTTCGAGACCTCAACGGTATCGCCGTCGACGAGGCCGAGCTTGCCAACCCCTGCGCCAGCCAGGTACGCTGCTGCGGGACATCCAAGCCCTCCAGCGCCAACGATCAGGACTGAGCTGGACTTGAGTTTCAACTGGCCTGTGTTTCGGAAGAAAACGGGTTAGTTTATGGGAGGTAGTGGTGAGGTCGCACGTGGAAGTTGAACGAACCCTCAAGACCAATCTGAGGCAGAATCATTTGTCTTCCATAGCGCTTGTACTCGTCTGCTGCGAGCGGCCATGTCCATCCGTCGGGCGTGAGACCGTCGGTTGAGTCAGGGTGCGTGGGGGTTTCGAGGCTCGGAGATGGACGAGCATTTGCGGCGGCGAGATCAGACTTGAGCTCGGATAATTCACGCTCCAAGCCTTTGACTCTTGCTTGAAGAGAGTCAATACTCTCCTGGGTCGTGTCTGCGCTGGCCATCGTGAGAATTTGTTGTTTGTAGCGGAGAAACGTCGGACGACTTGGCGTTTACTTTTTGCCTGTGAAGCGTGCTTATCGATAAGACGCGATAAGATATTTTCGATCTTTCGATCTCTCACATTCAACACAAGAACACATTTCACTCAATTTCCAATTCTTCGCTGTGCCAAAACCCCTCCTTTGTTGAGAATGGTAAGTTTATTCAATCAAAACATTCTAGCGTCATGTAATTTGGATACTGAGATTCATATAGGCACCCACAGCTGGAAAGCGATCCTCCATCCGAAGCCGGGCAGCGGCGAAGACCAATGCAGCGGCCGCCTCAAGACCCGTTGCGACAGCTTTTGATACGGGATTTGCAAACACCAAAAAAGACAAGCGCACGATCAAGCATTCTGCCTTTCTGTCAAAGATTGAGAAAGCCAACTCTAACACCAAGAAGCGCAGACGGCCATCCAAGAAGCTGGTGGCGGACCTTGACTCGCTCGTCAGCGCCTTGCCCGACAATGACGATGACGAGGTGCAAGATGAGACTGCGACAGCGCGGATACGTCACAAGAGTTTGAAGTCCAGACCTGGTGCTATGAAGCGCAAGGATAAGCTGGAGAAGATGGAAATGGAGCGGTTCGCAAGGAATATGGCACAGATGGTGGAGTCTCGGCCAAACCAGCCTTCATCTAATGATGCTGCTTCAAGCGTCCAGGCTGCACCGACACCATCTACTACCTCAGATAGATGGGCGGCGTTGCGTGGATTCATCTCCCAGACGATGGAGCAGAAGCCGGAGTTCAAGACGGCATGATGCGTCCAAGCTGCCTGCGATTGGGTAGAGCGACCATGGTCTGGCAAAAGAGAGCACTTGGACTGATGCATGTTTGGGAAAGGAATGGAGTACGCTCGAGATGAGCGTTACGAGGGAATTGCATGATTTCTGAGGCGTCATGAATGGAGTTTGTTGATTGTTTTTTTAAGCTAGTTCGGACTTTTCCTATTTATATACAGACGTGATAGATGATTGTCTTTCATGTCGGACAATTCATCGTAATGGATACTTTTGAAAGACGTATTTTTGAATCCACAGGAATCGGTGACAACTGTAGGGTCTGAAATCATATTTGTTCTGGCATCTTTTCAAGGATTTCAAAGTCATGTATGAGATATGGGGTATGATTTGCAAAGGACAACTTGGAAATACCACATAATGAATACAGGAGACAATTCAAAATCATATGAATTATTCATAATATAGGATTCTGCTCTTCTCTTGTGATGGACATAACATTGCCAGATATTCACAGAAAAGTAAATGCCATACGGCTCCGGCTAAAGTTGCCCAGCGTAGCGAGAAGCGCCGACCTTCGCTAAGACTTTCGGCAATTATGACGATAACCACGGCGAAAGAGCTCCGTCAAGCCTCGGGGAGGATCAGGCATCTAATAGACAACTTCAACTCTCCGCAATCCAAACGATCAACCATGTTGTGCACGACATCTGCATCTCCGCTGCGTGCGGCGGTGCTTTCAAGCAGAGTTCAATCAGCACCATTCCAGTTTTCCAGCGCTTTCTCTACAACCTCACGGCCGTTTGCTCGGAAATTTCCCGTTGAGCGGTCACCCGCTTCCATCACCGTCCAACCATGGTGCTCTACGGCGACGTCGTTCTCCTCTTCTGCCAACGTCACGCCAGTCAGAATCTTGACCAGATATGCTTCCTCGTCTTCTACCTCCACCTCTGCGCGATCAACGTCTTCCGCCTCCACTGAACCTGCTGAGGGCAAGCTCGATTGGAACACCTTTCTGCACCTGCGCAAGGTCCGTCGGCGGTATAATCTTGCTGCATCTATCGGATCGTCAATTACTACAACGATTGTCGGCATGTCGGTCCTCTCTCAGCAGGATCTAGATCTCCTCAATGGGCAATACTTTGGCCTGGATCCATTTGTGATATTGGGATTGGTGACTGCTGGATTCGGAGCGCTTGGATGGCTTGCCGGCCCATTTTTGGGGAATGCCATCTTCAAGATCGCCAAGAGCAAGCAGTCGAATCAGTTTGCAATTGTAAGTTTTGAACGGCATCTCTTTTGACTGGCGAGACATATTGTGGAACGGAGAGAGTGTGTGCTAACAGGAATCTTCCCCTTCTTCCGCCACGAACAGAAGGAAAAGGAATTCTACAACCGCATCAAGCGTTACCGGGTTGATCCTTCTTCCCAGTCCTTCTCCAACCCGGTGCCGGACTACTACGGTGAAAAGATTGGCAGCGTTCAGGGTTACCGCCAATGGCTAAAGGACCAGCGGGCCTACAACAAGAAGAAGCAGTCTTTCTTGTAAACTGGAAGTGCACTTCAATTCTTGTGAAATGTTTTGGAGGATCAATGGTTTGGTCGGGGTCAGGTGTTGCACCTTGCGTTGAGAGCAGCAGTCAGCAATTGTTGAATCATTTTGATTTGTCCAAGTTAATGGCGTTTTTTCCCTCTTGTTTCTTTATTCAGTTGTTTTAAGCTCTCATTGTACAAAGAGCATGAATCCATGTAGGAGAGCTTGATAGGACGAGCATTTGCGGGGTCGACAAGGGCTTTGATAGGAGACTCTCGTGGCTCTCAGCAGCGTAGCTTGGCGCCAGAGCGCCTGAAGTGTAAGAAAAGAATGATATTCAAATTCCACTCCTGCAGATAACAATGTGACGTGCAAAACGATACAGGCGATTGGAGAATTTTGGAGGATGCACCCCGCAATAAATTTTTCGTTGGCATACATGGCAGCTTCACAGTGACAATTCATACATATGTAACACCAACTTGCGCTGCTCATTTTCAATGCTATAAGCCACCAAACATTTCCGATCAATACTTCTTGGGAGCTCTCTCATGATCGCAAATCTCACTGGCCGTGGTCGACTAGGTTTGATGTCCAGTTCCGTTCTGTGGCATATACAGTGCATACTGTGAGCATGTGACGGATAAGACGTTAGCATTGAGTGAGCGGGCACAAATAGGCACAATGCCGCGAATGCAGGCTCGCAATTGAATCGAGGTTCCGATTGATCAGCTTATTAACGAGGAGATAGATCTTCCCCTGGATCCTGCAGCATCACATGTGCTTTTTATCGGTGCACTGGATATGCAATGACAGCGAAGAAGTTGGCCGTTCCTCGCCCCACTGGGGGTGAGCAAGGCAGCAATGGTAGCGAGGCGGGTGTGCCCGATGTTGGTTGTGTTATTATTATCCCCCAGGGGGCTTAGCTTTGGCGAAGGATGAGCTTATTACTGTGTCGCTATTAGTTCAAAAGAATTGAATGGGTGACATGAACTCCAGCCGCGTGGGCGGTTGTTGTCGTCTCGTTTAAGCGGTTCATCTCTACCTCTGTCCGTTGACCACGTCAGGTCCACAGATGGGCGAGATAGGTAGAGGATGCAAAGACTTCTCGAGCGAGATGAATTTGAGACCAAGGCCCACTTCCTGACCTCAAAAACAATTGACTCCGTGAATCCTCAAAAAGCAATTTTTCTCTTGAATAATCAAAATTCAAGTGTCGAGACCAAAATAATTTTTGGCTATAAGTGAGCAACTTGTATACGAAGCGCTATCCCACACCCTTGACAGACGCCGCAGGGGCCAATGAAGTGTCATAGCCGGGGGCCAACCACCTCCAGCTAGCCGCCAAGTTTCCCAGTGACCTAGTCACTCCACCGACCGCCTTCGTCCAGGACTACGCCCCATTTCGATAAAGAAATGCCGTCCAAATATCGAGAAAAGGACATGAACGGCGAGAAGAGCCGTCCAAAGTCCTCTCATTCATCGCGAAGACCATCTTCGAGCACCATCAAAGACTCTCACCGTCGATCAGTTGCCCACAAGAAATCAATCACCTCGGACACGCAATCGAGCATTCACACCCCCGCCATGTCAATTCCGGAGCTTGGTAGGCGTTCCTCGATGACGTCTTCTTCGTACCCATCATTCTCCAAAGCACACAGCAAAGAATCAGTTCGGCCCGGTGCAGCACCATATACACCCGAATCGACCGCCTTAGATGGAAAGACTGGAGACAAAATCAAGCGGACTTCTTCGTCAAAAGAACAATCGAGACAGGCCACCAGAGATGAAGCTCCTCCCAGCCCACCGCTTACTGCTGTGGAGCCGGATGGGCCACGGAGTGGAAGCAGGAGCAGCATGAGGAAAGTGGCCGAGACAGTCAGGGAGGAAATGGAACAGGGCCGGCGGAGTGTTGATAGCGGCTCACGCACGACCGCACGACCAAAATCCAAATCCTCAAGTGCTAGCCTACGGAAACGGTCAAAGGAAAAGGAAAGCAGCGGCAAGCTCTCGTCAAGATCATCTGCAACCAAGTTGAACTCTTCGGGAAGCGGAAGCAAGCCAAAGCCTGCTGTGGTTGTCGAAGAAAAATCGGACATCTCGCGCAATGAACGCCCATCCTCAGCAGGGATCAACGTGGAAAGAATACGAAAGGCTGGCTCAGCACTGTCGGTCGACTCTCAAGCGACTTCAGTGGCTCGAGACCGCAAGGCAGTACCCCTGCCTTCTGGTCGCTCATCAAGAGGAGGTTCGTCCCCTGTATCATGTCAAGATTCATCTCCAAGGACGCCCACGGGCCGAGAGCCCCATTTTGCGCCCATTGAGCCTACCCGAAAAGCTACCCCAGTTGTCGAAGTGCACATTGAAACAAATAATAATTATGACTATGATTCTACATATTCAGCGGGAGATCCGTCTGCCTATCCTGCTCCACCTCCGCCGCCGCCGCCACCGCCACCACCAGTCGTGCCGCAGGATGTACCGCGAGTCGACTACCTATTACAAAATGGGGGACTGACGAGCGTGGTTCCGAGGAACTTTATGTTAGCAGGGCAACCCGCTGTAGCACAACAGTTCCCCGCGGCGCGGTTACAGTCTCCCCCTCGGGCTCAAGTCGAAAAGGTGTTTTCTCCATTCAATGATTTGCTCGAAGACTACTCCACCGTTTTATCAAAGAAAGGCTCACTTGCTGTTGCGACCGGCTACAAATCCATTGCTCGAAGGCTACTCGACCGGCTCGAAGCTGTTTTCGCGCGAAACATATCATCCGAGCATTGTCACTGCAGCCTTTGCCAGTCAAAGAATGATACAAAAGAACAAGGAGAAGAGACATGGGTCAGTTGGGGAGAGGTTCTCGAGTTTGTGTCAGGTCGTCGGGAATTGCCTCAATGGCCTCCATTCTCCCTTATTAATGAAGACGTTGGGTTGGGCATTCACAACTCGGAACGGCGCACTCCAATGCAACAGCTTGACATTGACGTACCGGAAGAATTTCGGGAGCACTACATTCGACAAAGTCGCAAGACAAAGGATGTAGTTGACAAATGGCTGGCCTCTCAGCCCGAGCAGCCCTCGAGCGCCCCGCAGGAGGTTGACGACGATACACTTACCTTTGCTATTCTTACACGTCTTGAGCCAGAACAGCGCCAGGGCTTCATGAGCCTCATGGGCCGATCATCAACATTTTCAGGATCACGCGCACCAACGCCAACGGTCAAATCTATCAACTCGGAACAATTATCCAAGACGGGCCTGGCCTTGCAGCGATTATACCGACTACCGACCCCACCACGCGAACCAGAAGCTGCAGTTTATCTCCTCAACAACTCTAGTCTGCACGTTGTACTTGCCACGCTCGCCGCCATCAGCCAAGGAGAATGGGATGTCCTCGTATCAGGCCGCTTCGATGGTTTCCTCTGGAGCGGCATCGAGTACCCCCCAACGGCATCGATTCTCTCTAACGGCCCTTCGCGAGGTCCGACGCCACTCAGTAGAGGCCCGACACCGTACAGCCCTGAACGAGGTAGCTCTGCAACACCCTTCCGCACATCCACGCCATTCTATAACAACAATACTGGTGCTGGATCATCGATCTCTAGAGGCGCCACCCCTGCTCCCGGTGGGCCCGGCGCACCTCTTCCAATGGATGAAGAAGCCGAAATTGCCGTGCTCGCAGAAGTCGAACGCGAAATCTACATGGGCATGGAAGCGCTCGAAGACGCTTTCGAGGCCCTCCACAGTAAAGCCGAAATCGTACGGAGCGCAATCAGAGAACGAAGTACCGGTTTAGCACTCGCCTCGCAGGCTCGAAAGGGTTCTATGGCTTCCAATCTCGACGCCCGACTTGGCACGCCGGCAAGTGGTATCGGTGGCTGGGAAAGCGAAAATGACGAATGGATCGACGACGGCCTCAGCGAACTTGCGCCAGATGATTCGGCGAGTAATGTCAGCAGCTCGCGCATCCGTCGGCCGAAACGAAGAAACGAGAGACGAACCCCCGCCCCAGTGGAGGAAGAGGGCAGCGATATCGAAGCGGAAATGGCGAGGCGGTAGTCGATGACTGAAGCATGATGACGTTATAATCTTTTTTCCAGCGTCTCCCTTTTGTGTTGCATTGATTTTTTTTTTTTTTTTTTTTTTTTTTTTTTTCTCAACTTTGACCGGTAATGATTAATGCCACCGCTTCTCTTTTCCAAATGTAACGCAAATTTAAGGCATGACGATGGTTTACGGAGTTCTATTTCTCCTTTTATCTTTGCTTATTACATGTCTATACCTCTTCATTCACGTTATCTTTATTTTGCTCTACTCATCGCAATCTTCATTCCCCTTGAAGCATATCGCTGGCCATTTGCTTCTACCCGTTTTACTCTCTTCATGAATATATCAAAAATAACCATCACGACTACGGAATATGGGCGCTTTAACTAATATTTAGTTTTAATTTAACTTTACTTTGCATGACCCTTCTCTCTCTCTCTAGCTGGCTACATTATCATGCACTACTTCTACGGCACGTTACTCAGCTGCCTTAATTCTGACAATTGAATTTGAATTCGAAATCTAAAACTTTACTTCTAGTAATACTAAATCTCGCTGTAGTCCGCAACAAGTGGATATCACATGAAAACAAAATATGTTTCTATGACAAAGACTCCTACTCCAATCAACTATACCCCCTGGCCCGTCTTTTCTTCTATTTCTTCAAGGGTTATTCTTTACGACGTCTTCAACTCTTCAACTCTTCAACTCTTTTCAACCTCGTTGCCCTGCGGCTCTTCTACACTTTTCTCAACCCCTTCTTCCTAGTCATTCACATCACCTTTCGCATCTCGTGGCGCACCCTCAAGCGGATCCACGTCTTCACCGACACCCTTCTCCGGCTGAGTCTCCTGCTCCTGACCCCCTCTCTGTTCCCACATCTGCTCCTGCTCCTGCTCCTGCTCCTGCTCCTGCTCCATCTTCCGCGTCCCATCCAAACCCATCTCGTCAAGAACAATCTGACCACCACTTCTCGTAGCCCGGTCAATAACCTCCCTAGACGCAGGCCTTTTGTTACCAGTACGCGGATCCCATTCAATTCCCTCCTTGAGCCACATCCAGCGCAGAAAGGCAGAGAGTTCTTTGTCTGCGGGCAGGACGCGTTTCCATTCTGGTTCGAAAGCTGGAGACGGAGCCGGAGCTACGGGGGGTTCCAAGGGATCGGAGGGAAGTGAAGGGGGTAAAGGATCGAAAGGTGCTGGAGGAGTTGAAACGGCGAGAGAATGTGAGGGAGTCAAAGAATGTGGAGGGACAAGGACAGCTGCGGGAACATGCGTGGGAAGAGGAGGTTGTAGATGTGGATGTGGATGTGGATCTGAATTGGAAACTAGGTCTGGAACCGAATCTGGGCTCAGGTTCAGGTTCAGGTCCACTCGTGGCATCGAAGACCTTGAGTCGTGGTCTGGGACGACAGGGACATGGGGAGAGGAGAGAGGGACTGCAGATCCTCCTCCTCCTCCTCCTCCTCCTCCTCCATCATCTGCTGCTGCTGAAGAAGAAGCATCGCCACCACCACCACCGACATCGACCTTCCCAGCATTCCAATCTGGCGCTTTCCCGCGTAAGGCATCCCTACAAAAGATTCTCCAGCTATCAATCGCATATGGCCCCGTGGTAGGCAAATGGGCAACCTCCCACGCTCCATTACGCGGATCCGTATCTTCATCGGGGACTACCTCGCGGGGTTTGATATCTCTACCGTCGCCTCGGTTCGGGTAATGGAGCTTACGATGGCGTCTTCCCGGGCACGGAGGATCTTGAACCCACGTTTTAGCCAGCTGGACGTATCGTTTGGCGCGGGTATTATGGAGACCGAGATGCTGGATGAGGCTGGCGACGTCGGCTTCGTCGGCGGCAGCGAGGGCGTGGGGAGTGGGGTACCGCTGCATGAGTGCGTAAAAGGCGGGGATGGCGTGGATGCCTTTGGTGCGGTTGAGTAAGGTTACGGCCACGAGAAGCTTGAATGGATCGTGCGCGTATTTTTCTTGGATGAGGCCGAATGTTGGGGAGGTTAGGGGTGGGAAGGGGATACAGGAGAGTGGGTCGCCGGCGGTCAAGCAGGGGTTGTTGGATTCTTTGGGTTTTCTGGATTTCTTGGGGGATGCATGGGACGCAGAGGATGATGGAGGGGATAAAGAGGACGGAGGAGCAGGTTTGCGTGGAGAAGTAGTGAAATATGGTGATTTTTTGGCGGTTTTGGTGCCGGTGTTGGACGAGGAGATGGTGGTGGTGGTGGGGTCCGCGGGCTGTTCTGGGAAAGAACGACTAGGCTCTGTCGGAGTAGAAGAAGAAAAGTAAGGAGACTTCTTAGAGGGTCTTTTGGTTGGTGATTCTTTTGCTTTTGCTTTTGCCTCGTCTGGTTCCTTTGATGGTGACGGCGCACGACTGCCTTTTTCGGACGAGTAGGAGGAAACTTCTATTTGCATTTTCGGGCTATCAGAGCGAAAAGGAGGAGAACAAGGAGGACAAGGAGAACTTCTCTCCAGTGTCAAGGGAGAAAGCACATCATCAAGCCGGACTTTCTCCCCTTCAGATGGACTACTGAGCTCTTGCTCAATCTCCGATGCCTGGCTTGATGTTAACGTGACCTCATCACCAATTATGCTTGCCGGTGAATCATCGGACTGCGAAAACCCTGCTTTTTCTGAGGCGTCTCCTGCGCAGCTTGCTTTCTAATGTTTTCCTTATTCTTCTCGTTCTTCTTTTCGACTTGAGACTCGGCTCCGTTGGAAGACTCTTTCAAGGGTGTTGAATCGCCCTGCGGCTGTGCAGAAGAAGACTTTCTCTTCTTTCTATGCCTCCGTTTCTTCGGACTGTCGTTTTCTCCTTTCTCAGGCTTACTAGGAGTCGCACTCAGACTAGCATTTCGCTTGTCATCAGCTTTCCCTTTAGCAACAGGAGTTTCCGAGCGCTTCTCATCCGATTTATTGCCCGGCCCAGTCCCTGCTTCTAGCTTATCCATCTCGAGTTTGCGCTCGCGTTTCTGTCGTCGCTTGTTCCGGTACTTTTCTTTCGCGGGACTGCTGAAGCCGGTCGCTTCATTTTCAGCCGCATCAGCTTCCGCACGACGATCTGATTTTGACGAAGACGAAGACGAGGACGAGCGACGGCGCTTCTTTTTGGTGGTGGATTTTACTTGGGAAGTGGCAGGGACGGGCTCGGGTCTCATGAGTGCTTCCATGTACTGGAGAACATCCGCAGAGTCATCAATCTCGAGGCCGAATGGGCTGCCCTGGCGATACCAATGGTCTGGTGCCTCGAGCTGTTGAGTCTTCTTGGCCATCTCGTTGTAGCGCTTGATGAAGACAGAGCGTGCATAGCGAACGCTGTCTGCTGCTCGTTCGCTGCTCAGCTGAAGCGCACGAGCGTATTCATACACATTTGCCGTGAATCGCCGTCTCTCGGTCTTTGTATGAGGTGCAAGAGGGTTCGCGACGAAGGGGTGCCGGAGGACGAAGGCCTGGATTCGCTCTTCAGCATCGCCAGCAAAGGAGACAGTGTCCGGAACGATGGACAGAGAGGCGCTGGCAGCATCGAGGTCGATGATAGATTCAGGTACAGTGCGAGGACCGGAGCTGCTTCCTTTGCGCTCAGATTGCTCAATGAGCTGGGGCGCAGCTTTCCTCAAACGCTCTTGTTCTTCTGGCGGGGCCATACGAAATATTTCTAAGAAATCTTCCTTGGTGAGACCATTGAGATCGTATTCGTCTCCGAAGAGCTCATTCTCGCTACCATTCCCACTGGCACCTGCTCGACCCATTTTTCGGGTGGACGTCGTGAGATGGCTGAGGTGGTGGTTTGTTTGTTTTGTGAAAGAAACCCTCCAAAAAGGAAAAAAGTTGCCCGGCGCTTACTCTCGTACTTTATCCGGGGAGGGTCTGGGGTAGCCGGTATCCGACTCGCTTACACACTGGGCAAACTTGTTCCTGTTTGGCTCAAGGCACCGCTGCATACAAACAAATGTAATGCAGCTCTGCACGAAGCACTCTCTCACGCAATCAATAAATTTAATGTTCAGATAATAGATACAGCTTCGGAGGATTACTAATGTGGGCGCAAAATATAAACGAAATTGATCCTGAATTGGGCACTTGAAGAGGCAAAAGCTATATAGCTGCAAATTATTACTGAATATCACCGATTCATGGTGCGCAAGACCCATATTAGATATGAAGACGGCAGCGTTCCAGATAGACACACACGTGCACTGGACACCATGTGCAACGCCAAGACCCTGACTTTTCCATCTCACCTTGGTATCTCTGGGACACTAGAGCGTATATAGGAAATCTGGCCTGCGCAATTTATTAGATACTCAATTCTTTGGAAGCCTAAACTTGTTCAACTCACCTCTTATCACCAAGCATTTCAATCTCCTCCTGGCTCTTGCCAGCTACCCAACCGTCTCTTTCACCGGCACGCCTCTTTGCATTCTCTCGAGCAAGAAGAAAATGCTGCACGATTGAGCCGCAAAGCAAGAAGAGCACCAAATATGCCAGTACAACGGCATGTCCAGGAATGTACCTCGGTGCATCTGACTGCCGGTATATATTGCTACTGACCACACCGTTGAGGTTGCCCCAGCCTATGACGAATCCCAAGGTGACTCCTCTCTTGTAAACTCCTTCAGTATTGTTACTGGACCAGGAAATGGTGTTGGGAATACACGGATAGATTCCCAAGGCGCCTAGAAATGTGCCGGCATATTTGACGCCAGCGGATTTGCCGCCTAAGAGCATACAAAATCCGGTAATGCCGAGTAAAGACGTTGCCATGTTGCAATATCCACGTTGACGAGTACGATCAGCAATGTATCCAACAAGAATTGTTAGAATGCACGCCGCAGCGTAGGGAGGGACGGAAAGTAATTGAGCCTTGATAGATGTATAGCCGAGCTCATCGATGATCGAGGGCAAAAAGAGAGAAAAGGCGTACAGGGCGCCGTCGGCACCCATGTAGACAATCGCAGAGTTCCACGTCTTCCAGTCCTTTACACTAGCCCAGAAGTATTTCATCTTGAACTCTTCATGCTCTGCGCTGGATTGCTTGTCTTCCTTGAGTCGACGAATGACTCGCTCTCGATCTTCAACAGACAAAAAGCGAGCCTCGTCGGGAAAATCATGGACCATCCAAAATGAAAGGACTCCGATAACCACCGTTGCCAGTCCTTCGAGGATCTTAAGGTGCGGATATTAGTCGTGTTCATCTCTTTGTGGAGATTAGACGGTGAGAAAGGGGACTCACAAAGATCCATGCCCAACCAGGCTTTCCACCAATACCATCCATTTGGATAATGGCTGCGGCAAGCAAGCCACCAAAGGAGCCTGCCACGGCTGCAGCGGAGAAGAATATGGCAGATCGAATGCCGAATTCGCAACGCTTATACCAGCACGATAGGTAGTAATTCACTCCTGGGAACAGGCCGGCTTCTGCAAGCCCAAGGAAGAAACGCGCAGCAGCGAGGCCTGAAAAGTTGTGGGTCAGGCCCATGGTGGTCATGCAGATTCCCCATAAAATCATAATTATGGGTAGGAAGACGCGAGGTCGCAAACGCTTCAGCAAAACATTGGTCAGAGGCTCAAAGAGCGCGTACGAGACGAAGAAGACAGAAAGCGCTGCACTATACTGTCCATTCGTCAAGTGCAGATCCTTAGGCAAGCCAGCAATTTTTGCATTGCCAATATTTGTACGGTCAAGGAAGGAAGCGAGGTAAAGTAGGCAAAGCTGTCAATCCACAAGTAAGCTTTGGGGGCGCAATCCCAACATTCGTGAAGAAGACGAACCCATGGAATCAATCTTATATCAAGCTTCCAAAGCAGCTTGCGATCCTGTATTTAGTTTCAAGCAAAGTCAATTGAGATTCAATACACGAAAGATATTTTGTCCAGAATATTTCCGTACAATGCGTTTTCGTTCTTCCTCACTGAGTCCAGCGTCTGGATCTGGCGGGAGATCTTCAAAGCGTTGGTCAGCGATGTGACCAGGGGTCGCGCCTTCAATCTTTTCCTTCTCCGAAGACCCCCGCCCGTTCTCGAAATCTTCAGAATGCAGTATATTAAGCTTCATTATGGTACTATTGGCCTTGAGCAAAGAATGAAATAATCTGTAATGCAAGAGTATCACGCAAGGGCGACTGCAAGAAAAGACCGTGACTCCAACCCTCGGATCAGCGGCAGGGGATTCGTCACGAACGGTCGCGCCAGTCCTCCCACCCCCTCTCCCTCACCTGTTGGCGGCTCATTCGGCCAGTCAACATCTTCAATGACGTTCCACGGATCGGGGTGAAGTCTCCGAGCTTCGTTGCTGCTTTCCTTCAGACACAAGCAAGCCCGCTGTAACTTTGTTTGTCCTCGGTGATTAACTACAGTAATTGCCGAACCTCGCTTCCGCCTGTCTGCTAGCGAAATGCGGGGTTTCGTGGGGGTAACGTGGACAAGTGCCAGGACCGGGGCGACGCTACTCCGATAAAAGTAACAACTTGGCAGACGACAGTCTATCAACCGCTAACTCACTGTCAACGTCACCTCTCGAATGAGTTAGGTCGCCAGCAACTTATGCCAGAATACTCAAGTTGGTTGTCTTTTACATACGAGCCCATTTGTCTAGCTGGAGCTTCGTATTAAAGGCATATTGTTCGACTCTAAAGCTCCACTCAGAAAGGAACCCATGCATTTTGATCAATTTGGCCATCCTATCAATGCAACGTTAAATAGATCCCACAACAAACAATGAAAGGAATGATTGAAAGGCTGCTTCAAGCATTTTGTTCAAACGTATTTGCATGAAAACCAAAATGATTTGCGGAAAAAGAACTTTGTCGCGCTTTTCTCATCTCCTTCAACGGCACCTCCGTGACCTCAAAGGATGTCCAGAACAAGTATACAAATGTCTCAAATTTTTTTTTTCCCCCTCACATGCTCCATATGACTAAACCTCCGGGATCTCAAAACATTCCCTAATCTTCATCCTACCCAGCATATAGCCCTCATTGAAGCCCTCTGCGGCTATCTTTTTAGAATTGAGCAAGCTCTCGCAGCAAGACTCGAGTGCTGCGCGCTCCCGACATGAAATTTGTCCAAGAAGCTCTTTGCTTTCCGGCGAGAGCAGGTCTAGCGATGAAACTGCAATTGCGGCATGTAGATCAATGAATGACGAGGTAAGGCCCAGTAGGACTGCTGCATTAGCTTTGGGGCGCATTGAAAGGTCTAACATCGTCGTGGCAAACTCGGCATCTCCATTTTCCATGACATCTTTCAGTGACCCTGGAATGGGAATTTCGTCCGCTCTTTTGACTATTTCCAAGCCAATTTCGACGAGACCGATGCTACCCGATCGTCGAATTTCGTCCATGCCATCTACCCAAGGTCCTTCAATACCAAACCCAAACTGTGCTCGCAGAAGGCGCGTGATTGAAGACATTGCTGAGCCAGAAGCTTCGAAAGGAACGCTAATGAATGATTCCAGAAGACATGGATGCGCAAACCAAAGCGGTAAGAATTTTTGCATGTCAATCTCGCTGGTCATTAGGAGTTCGGCCTGAAGCGACTGATCCAGTATCAAATGGCTCAATGGCAGCAACTGGCCAGCAGGAGACGTCGAAGGTGAGAATACTGGATAGTCCATAAAGATGTCGAGTTTTTGAGATTCTGTCAAAGCGTTCGGGGCGCAGCCTATAAAGGACCAGTAATTATGGGGGTTAGGGGCGGCGAGGGAATCGATCCATTGCTTCACCACTTCAATCTCTTCACGGGTGAAAGATCCGAACATTTTTCCGCCCCAACCCAGCTCTTGCACTAGTCTGCTTCTGTTGCTGTCCCCTTTATAGACCCATGGTTTTCTATTGCTCAAAGCATCGAGGAATTCTTTTTGCCATTGCGGAGATTCAAACGCAGCAGGTTCTAACCAATCGACCAAAGTTCGACGACCAATTTTGAAGCTCGTGTTGCAATGAATTTTATGTGCGACCACAGCTTTTGCCTTGAATATCTTTGCCACTCTGTAAGCCCAAGGATTGTCGAGCTTGGACTCTTGCGCTTGAGCTGGCCGTAAAACTGGTGTAGTAGGAAGGCTCTCAGACAGGACAAACCCAGTCTGGACGCGCTTCCAGACTTGCTGTGCTGCTGTTTCGCCCTGGGTGTGTCGAATATGCTCTACGTATTCCGCAGTTGCATGTAGTGCCATTGCAGTGTGGCCTGAATCAGCGTTGTCAATCGTTACATGTAAGACAAAATAATATGGGTTGATCTTCAGCTCCTCCAACTCCTTGGAAGCCATAAGAGTCTCCATTGTGATTCCCTCGAACGACAGATTGAATCCTAAGATTTCAGGCAAAAACTCGTGAGGAAATAGAGATATAAGCAACTGAGAGACTGCGGCTTTCCAAACCCGAGGCTGATCAAGTCCGGTTTTGGGATGGATGTAGTCTTCACTGTCTCCATCTGGTAAACCGGCCTCGATTTCTCTCATTAATTCACGATAAAGATGAACATGATTCTTTGCTTGGTCGCCATCTCCGAGTTCTTCGGATAAGACTTGCCATGCGTGCTTCGTGATTGAACGGAGGTTGAAAGGAGTTGATATCTTGTTGATGTGCCCTAGCCAGGCACCGTCGACGTAGCGGACCGGCGAGCTCTGCTTTAGCCACCAGCTCGCCTGCACTGCGTCCTCAAATAGCTCGCGTGGAGCCCCAGCGTTTCTTCTCGCGATGTATTGCTGCCATCGCTCCGTAATGCTATTTTCCTTTTCCTGGAGAAAAGATGCTAGCGCATCCCTGGAGTATTCTTTGACAGACAAAATGCCGTCGTCCGGATTTGCACTGGCTAGCGCCTCTGCGAACATAGAAACCAGCGTATCTTTCGCCTTAGGAAGTATGTCCGGAAAAGTTTCAAGATTTTGTAACTTGTAGTATAGTTCCTTGTAAAGGTCTGTTGTCTCGCATTGCGAGCTCTGCGAGACCGGGGAAGAGGCGTGCGAGGGTCTCTCAGCTTGGTGTGTAGATTTTGCTGAGGACGCATTCGAGAGTGGGTGCAAGAAAAATGAGGGGTACCATTCACGGCTCTTTCCTCTTGACTGTCGAAGCGTACTCCGCAAAAGTGTGGTCAAGTAACCAAAGATTACTACGAAAGCTATGCCCGGGAATATGATGGTAATCCTCTCAATGAACAGATCCATGGTGTCTGCAGTCTTCCGTATTGACGGGCAAGTCTGATCGTCAATGGGTTAGCAGAGCACCAACAAGTAATAATCTTATATGCTTCATCTGAATTGTCATTGCACGGTCTCCATGATCCTCTTCTCCTTTGAGAACTCTGAGGCAACACTCAACTTGTTCGCAATGTGCGATTAGGAGGCTATAGGAGAAAGAGAACAGTCGTCAACTAACCTGAAAGGAGGCAATCGATGACTCGCAGTTGAAACGTTGACTTTGCTTCGTTATGGGTGTCTAGGGATGCAAAAGCTGGTCCGATCTCATAGGGCCTTATGTGAGATCGTAGAGTGACGATCCCTTATTTGCCTTGTTCGCATTTCGTATTCACATGAATAATGCTTGATGCATGTTGGCATCACTGTCAGCTGCATCAGGATCATCGGACAAATCCATGCCAGAACTGAGAATGTGGATCCAAGACTATTAGCTGAATATCCCTGCTCAGGCTTCACAATGAGATCAGGTCTCAGCTCTTGGGAGGATGAAGGCGCATCAAGGGCCCCTGGACATCGATCTCTCATTGATGAGAGGCATGAGCTTTTTTTTTTTTTTTTCGCCATCATTTCCCTGAAGCGCCAAAGCCGATGACGATCGAGCCAATGGCGAGTGCAGCCACTCGTGTCTCCAGAATGGTAAGGTATCTACACATTGCATAAAGTTGTTCGGCGGATCATTTCCGGCTTTCGCAGAACTGGAAGCCAAAGCATTACTATATGGAAACTGCAAGTTCCCTTCGATGTACTGGGCTTTGTTACACGACAGCCCATGTAGCAGGGGGAAGAATGAACAGCTGGGGTTGATGCGGGACTGTCCGCTAAGCTGTCACGGCTGGGCCCGCTAGGGTTCGAACTCAGGGATTGTCCCCCGCTATCCTTTTGCCCTTGCGGTGCCAACAATTGCATCACCCTCAACTGTATTTCAGCACGCCAGCAACCCCTTTTTTGCTAGTTTTGATGCACGAGTCGGCCCACTTGATTCGCAGATGCTCCCTCGAGTTGAATAAACTGCATGATGCGATCCGAAATTCTCGCCAAGCCTTTTTCAGTAGGTATCTGATGTAGTTCGGAGTCGAGTCCGAGCACAACCTCGGTGAAGATGCAAGAGCACGTCCGGCTCGTTTCCACAAAAAAAAAAGCTGCTGATTAGTTGCGTGCCAAACCATACCACGGATCCGAGCTCGGCCGTGACGTCTAGCCTTGGCCTACCAAATGATTCGGATCATCAACGGTGACCGTAACATTCCTATTCTCCAACCCCGCCCGGCGTATCATATTCCGCCATCACAATAACAGGTATCAACCAGTTGCATACGAAACCAAGTTACCCACGGTCCTCTTTGCCATCTGGCATACTTCTGTAACTTCATGGGTGAGGCTATCGATGAATCTCATGCGCTTCGACCCTATCCTCTTGGTGATATCGAGAAGCTCTGGATTATAATGAAATAGAGTAAGAGAGAGATGAACATATCCAAACTATAAATTCCATTTTACTGTACACTGCTTTGTCATTGATCTGAATTTGGTAATGCAAAACTTAAATACTCAATTGTAATACTTTATGACTGACTAAAACAAAATGTGCACTTCCGCTGAGCATGACTGATGTTGCGCAAATGAAACGACTCCTCAATTCTGCATCGCTATTTCCTGGCAGCGTACTCCTCAGGGTACCCGAACCGATCAACTTTCTGCCATTCCTTGTTTTCCTCAAAAGACCGTCGCAATGGTGCAATCAGATCATTGACTGCAGCAGCGACCGCCCTTCGCAGATTTGCTGGCTTGATAATGCCCTGAGCGAAGTCATCTTCAATGTGCTGATAACATCCGTAGTGCTTCAATTGACTCGGCTCATCGCCAGTATTCTCGCCAACGGAGACGGTAAAGACCGTGCCTTCGGGAGCATCTTTACTGCAAAATGGTCTCAGCGGTAGCCCGTAGAGGATACCAAATCCATTAATATCCCTTTCAGCATTCACGTGTTTGACGTTGGATCCGTTTGTCTCGATGTCGTTGGCGTGATGACCATTGACATGAATATCATGGAAACCCGAACCATTCAGGTCAATCCCATTCGAAGAAAAGCCATTGCTGGGAAAACCAATGTCATTCGTCTGGGCCACCTTCTCATGGCGGGTCTCTCTCGTCTCCCAGCGCAACTCGCTGACTGGGATCAAGGCAAATCGCAAGAGAGCAAGGACACCGTTCTCAATAATATCCCCTTCGTTGCAAGATGCGATTGCTATCTTGCGGCTGACTTCTTCGGGCGGGTCCAGAAACTCGATTTTCGAGTCCGGAATTGAGGAAGACATCTTGGGGCCGGAAAGACCAGGAACCATTGGGTTCATCATAAATCCCCGAGTACGATATCCCATCTGGGATAAGGACTGTTTATTGAAGCGGAATAAACCACGCTGCATTCAGAAAACACTGTGTTAGCTACCATGCTTTGTGTTGGTGTAGCCGCGTTGGACTTTTACCTGGTCCTCGCCGCCGAACTGGAAATCAATATTGAGATACTCCTCCGCCAGCGCCGTTATTCCGGGCGTGAGCAGAGGACTCAGCTTTGATGTGTCGTGAAGTTCATCTCCGATGGCCCTCAAGTCGGCCTGTTCAGTCAACGCTGTGAGCTTATAGAGCTCCAACGTGAACTTTGGCGACAGCTCATAGGATGACCCTTCGACAAAACGTATTTTAGATCGTGGTACTCCCAGCACGTCCAACACGGCGCTGATCATAAAGCGATACCATTGTGCCCGGAGTCGAACCAATTCATATGGATATTTGAAGTTGATCAAGAACGCGTACAGATCTAAGAAATTACAATGCGTTAGTGACACATCTTTTTGCGAAGGGGGATCGGTTGATATTATCATACCGCAGATGAGCACCGTGACCTATATTCGTTAAGACATATGTTAGCAAACCTTGGGAAACTCTATTGAACAATCAGAAGAAACGTACATCAACTCCCGCCCTCGCAAAGTCCGCAAATTTTGTGATTGGGACAAAGTAAGCGATATGTGCTGGAACAAGTTAAAAAAAAATTGTAGAGATAGTTCTTTGATCAAACAATCTTACGTTTTCCAGTCGGCGCGGTCGCTTTGAAAAATTTTAAAATTGGTCAATTACAGCATGATCCCGTAAGGCTTTCTCTTTTGAACATACCCCAGAATGTCTTCGGACTCCGGCCTTCTGCTAGGATAGATTTCACCAATTCCAAACCATCCACTTCAGTTAACCTTCTAGTTATGAGATCGAGCTTGCGTTGGAGAATTGCATCGGAAATAGAGGCCATATTGGTGGCGCAGAATACTACCCAAGCTCCCTATCTGAATGAGTTTATGTCACCAATTGAATCGGCCGTGAAATAGGAAGAGGCGTCCTATATGCTTCTAATGGGGATGAAGCACAGGATATCTTCGTTCCAGTCTCGAAGTTCCGTCGAAGAGAAGCCTATCTTCCTCGCTGAAAAAGTATAAAAGAGGAGGCAGCGATCAGATACCCAGCCGCTGCCTCCAACAATATTAGCTTTCACATGTGCAGCTTGTTTCCCATGACGTTCGAAAACCCCTGTCAGAGTTGGTCGAGATGACAAACGTGCGTTTGATTACCAGAAGACATTCCGAAGCAAGAGTTGATGGAAGAACGCCGAGCAAGGCTTTCTGTTCCAGCTCCCTCGTGTTATGCTGTGTTTGTCTGCATAATGAACCCTGGCCTCTTGGTCCGCGCTTTGTGCGCCGAGAAATTGCGTACTCTTCAAGGAGCATTTTACGTAACTGCATATGTTGACAAGGATAATCAGTCATTGGTTGAAATGATTGAGAGAGGGTCATGATGGCTGTATTATTATCCAGGGTCTTGAAGCAGATTCTTTTCGTCAAGGGTGCGCCTTTCTGGTGGTCGGCCAGCGAAATACGCATAACTGTGGAAAAGGGTTAGTAGTCCCAAGACATGTACGGACCGGGGGTTGGTCTTTTGGCTTCTCCCCTCCGCACGCCAAGCTGACAGTGGGTCGCTGAAATACTCCTAGGGTAAAATGACACTGCGGTAAAGGGAAGGAGACAGGCTAACTCGGGTAACACTCCAGCCAAACAGCGGGACGACCCGCTGGAGCTAGATCGTGAGGCTGATTAACTATTTTACAGCTTGCCATATCCAAGTATGAAGATGACGCTGGTCGCTCCGATCTCGATGCAGAACAAGCGTACGCCCAGGACCCCTAATTTTGAGGGCTTTGCATTCCTTTGTAGATGCGGGGAAAGCTGGTCCCAGCAAAATTGCCCTGCCCTGCGAACACACATGGCGCTTGAGACCTTGTGTTCGCGCTCAAATTCTGTCCCCTCCGGGCGATCTGCATTCGGGCGTTCAATATAGAAAGCCACCACTTGGGATTAGCCTGAACCCGCAAAACTCGGCGAATCCAATCCATTGGTGTCGTTGGATCCGAAAGCCGGCATGAGATCCTAAAGGAATCTACTCCTGAACTGGAAGTCAACGTCTGGTTCCGAATATCATGAACGGACCGTGCTGATCCTGCAGAGATCGTCTTACGCCATCGACTGACCAGTTGATATCACAGATGGCTTGTTCCCATGATAGTAACTCGTGTCGCTTTCTGTGCTTATGGTTGGCCTCTACGAAAGCTCCTTGGGAGAAGGAGTAGCTCGATGCTAAGAAACGTCCCAAAGGAAACCATCAAAGTGGATCTTTTAGCAACCACGCATGGCGGGATAGCCACCGGGTTGCCTATTGAGGTGTTAGCTCAAGAAAAGTGTGGCAGGCGACAACTCTGTCACTCGGTGGTTTGTAGCTGGAGGCGTCATTCATCCAGCTAACACCTTGCACGAATTATTTCCCAAGCCTCGCGAGCCAGCTTCCCCTATAGCTGGTATCCTTGTGTTGTTTATGGCGGAGCCAAATGAGAGGAATTTTCAAATCCTTGCTTTGAATCTGACCTCTTTCAACAGCCCAGCAACTGGTTCATGCACGGATTGGCTTCCCTCTTTTGCAACCGCAACATCAGCTCACGGCGGTGTGGGTCTGTCTACTCGAGGTGGCAATGTGCAATTGTTGGTTCATTTTTACTCTTCAAAACCATGCTTTGTTTCCCTTCCAAAAGGGGTAAGAATGGAAGGAAGCAACCTGTAATGTGTGTGGTTGGCGAATCTTCAAGTCGAAGTGACACAGCTCCACACTGCCCAAGCACTCACCGTCTCTGCCCATGTGTCTCTTTATGTCTCACCGCAGTACGAGACTACAGTTTATTCCGATTATCCCGGCCGACGGAGAAAACCTGCCGGACAGGGCGGATAATTGCAGTCATTACAGCAATGACACCGGAGTAGTCCCGATTCCGGCTTGCCCTCGCAAGAGCAATGATTCGCTCAAACTTCCATGGTCCACATCCCTGAGAAAATGGCTGCAAATATTCGCGTTTCTTGTACATCACTGGGGAGTAATTTGAAGAGCTTTTTCCCCTTAATCTGACAAGACGGAGAAGGCTACTCAAGACTATGGACCAGCCAGAGCGCAGACCACTTATCCAGAAGCCCGGTGGAGAAGAGGTAGAGGACAGAGAGAATGGCTCGCGCCGAGGGTTGCACGGCGCCAGTCCGCTTAGTATTGCGGTGGCACTATTTGGTAAGTCTGAGGCATCTTGCTACGGAGAATTGAAGTTGTAATTGATCGTGTAGGCGTCTTCTTGGCCGGCGGAGATGAGTCGTTGGTCATCTCCATGTATGGCGAAGTGGCATCTGAATTCCAAAATCTGACAGACGGCCCTTGGCTTATGACGGGCTATACTTTGGGATATTGTGTCGCCTTACCTCTGGTAAATTCTTTACCCGGATGCTTGTGTGCCGATACTAACTGAGTTCTCGTGGGTTGTAGTACGGAAGGTTGAGTGATATCTACGGCCGTAAAAGACCTCTCTTAGCGGCCTATTGTCTGTATTGTATTGGTTGCCTCACTTCGTAAGCTTCTCTCCGCTGCCCAACTCGGATATGACCTTTCTTAAAGATGGAAGAATACTCATTGCTGCCCCAGGGGAACCGCCGTCGGTCTTTGGCAGGCCATCGCCGGCAGGGTTGTGAATGGTATCGGCGGGGCAGGAATGGTAGCCCTCATTTCAGTCATTATAACCGGTAAAGTGCGGTACTTCCGATTTCATCTCTCACAAGCTAATAGAAAATGAATTAGATATTGCAACTTTGGAGCAGGTGGCTGTTCTTCGAAGCTATGTCAATGTTGCAGCTGTCGCAGGTCGTAGTGCTGGCCCTCCTCTCGGAGGCTTCTTGGCAGATACGATTGGATGGAGATGGTGAGAGAAGAATTTCATGCAGCTTCGCTTCTGTGGTGAGCTGAGGCTGATGGGATAATAGGGCCTTTCTTGCACAGGCACCGATTGCATTACTATGTTTGGTACTTGCTAAATACACGCTTCCCTCTGGGCCTGCCCAGTCTCACAATGAGCATTCATGTCGGTCTTCCAAAAGGGCAAAGTGGAAGGATGTTGATTTCCTTGGTGTGATAACATTCGTCATCAGCATGGTTTCATTTCTCCTTTTTCTTGATCTTGGAGGTCAAAAGCTACCGTGGAGCCATCCTGTTGTTATTGCGTTAATAGCTGCTTGCAGTGTTTGCAGCTTGGCATTCGTCTTAATTGAGAAGTTTTGGGCCGTAAAGCCCCTAATCCCCTTGTGGTTGATCAGAGAAAATGGAGTCGGGATCTCTTGTTTGGTTCAAATTCTCGTTTTCTGGGGTCGACTCGCGGTAAGTCTGTTTGAAGTCTTATTATGCGAACTTCGCTGATAAATTTGGTGCAGACCTTATCACATCTTGCAACATTCTACATACGAACAATGGATGCCACCAACACTGTCGCTGCTGCTTTCATTGTCCCTTCAAGTGTGGGTAATGCTGTTGGAGCGCTGCTTTCCGGAGCAGTCATCAGTAGGTACGTCTGCATGATTTTCATTTACTAAAGCTTCATAACACCAATTAATTGTCGATCTGAACAGGACATTTCGTTATAAGACCCTATCTGCTATTACAATAATAGTGGCCTGCATCAGCTATACTCTCGTCGTTTTGCGATGGCGCCATGGCGCCAATATTTTCGAGTCATTCTATATATTTCCCGTCGGTGTCACTTTTGGAATGGTCTTGTCTGCCCAGTTCGTTGGGCTCTCAGCAAGTGCACCAACAGCCCAAAAGGCCATCGCTATAAGTATGTATTATTTGAGCCAGCAAGTCGGGACCGTCATTGGAATTGGGAGTGCGGCAACTCTTTTACGGGCAGACTTCCGGAGCAGGTTATTTGAGAGACTTGTCGGCTTTCCCGAAAGAGATCAGGTATGATACGCGGATTTCTTTCTCTTTTGACGTTTTTAATACACCTTATCTTTATCTTGCCCGTGCTACTAGGCTGCTAACACCTTTCTGAAGCTGATCCAGGGGATACTTGATGATGCTAGGTTCGCAGCAACCCTGCCTGCCAAGCTGAAATCTGTAGTGCGAACAGAGTATCTGCAAAGTTTCCAATTAGTTCCGAGTGAGTAGCGTATAAATGGCCAGATCGAGCGTTTCATATTTGCAGATAAGTTGCTAATTTTATTATGTCTTGCAGTCATGTCACTTGTCACTACCGCCTTAGCTTTACCTCTGATATTGTGGCTTAGGGAGCATCCATTGAGGTAGAGAAGTATCAGTGTGCATTGAGAGACATTCTCACGCTTCTTCGTCTGCATGGTGCCATACTCCTGCGTACTCGCTACGAGGTAGAGATTTGTCTCAGCTGTATCAACTTTGCATATTAGACGGGCATAATATTCTTAGCCAAGATAGATTGTGTATACGACGGGTTACTGGATGGATTGATATTATACGAAGCTTTTGTGCAAATAAAGATAACGACATGCTGAAATATTGATTGGAATATTATGGATCCGTATAGATTTTTTATTGGAGCTTGACATTGTGTAGAATTTCACGAACTGGCTTCGTGGTGTTAAAACAGCAAATCCAAAGAAACCAAAAAAAAAAAAAAAAAAAAAAAATCAATAAATAAAATAAATAAAATAAATAAAATAAAATAAGAAGAGTAAACTAAAATAAAATTAAAAAGGGGTATGTATTCCAAATGGTCTGTGTCAATAACCTCAGACGTGCTATTGGATGAGGGGTTGATCAGGGATTCAGTTTATTTGGTCAGTTCATGTGAGTACCTTCTATAACTGGAGAATTTTTACTGAAGTATGGTTAGCTACTTTGCGGGTACAAGACAGTTATGACACCAGGCATTCCGGGAGCGAAAATAGGCGATGCTCAGTTACGAGATGCAGCATTCAGTTGGGTTTGGAATGTTGTTCAGGGCTCCTTCGTGGCATGCGCATGGGGGGGGGGGGGCAAAAGCGGCATGACACTGGAAAGGGACAGAGAGAAAAATTAGTTATTCATCGATCATTTGCCCCCTGGTCCATACGTTGCTGATATTAATCCTGGTTTTTTTGTTGATCGTCATTTTCGTTGCCCGTGGAATTTTGGTCGGGTCTAATTGGAGGTTTGCGGCATGTCATGAGCTGCTTACCGCGGCAATTCTCGCCTCACTAAACACAGATCGACAGCCTGAGCTGTGAAAGATGCCGAAGCAATGCAGCTGAAGCCAGGTGAAGATCGTCGATGATGAATTCTCTGCTTGACCAACTAACGTCAGTAACAGCGTATGCTTCTCCTCTACCGGTGGGGGAGCCAGAAATTGTGACAATTGACGTTTTCTTCCAACAAGGTAGTGTAACCCAAATCGGCACGAGTCTACAGCGGGGAAGATTATTAGGAGTTGATCGATCCATGGGAAAGCACTACTTTAGGGCGCACGGGGCGACATCCGGCATAACGAGGGTGCCCGAGGGAAGCTTGGACGTTGCCAGGGACCCCGAACACACGACTTCTGCATCTTGCATCCTGCATCAGCTTGCTCACTAAGTCTGCAGGCGCCAAAGGAAAGCTGGGGCCCCAGCCGAGCGAGAAAGATGGATAGACCTTGGTCACGACGATCTACCAAAACAAGGGTTTTGTTATTCCGTGGCTAGTTTGGTGGACGATCCTAGTCTTGAGATCTGGACGCCGGGCAAGGAGCTATGCAAATCTCCACTCCCGCTCGACCGTCAGTTTTTGCTTCATGCCCCTGTTATGCAGCTGCATTGATGTATACCCCTGTTTCTTTTTTTCCCCTTCCATGATTTGTATTGTTGTACGACATCAATGTGAAGCCACATGAGGTTATACGCAATACGAGTTACGCAACACGTAATTCTTAGTTTGTCCATGCTTTTCCATGCCCTTAGCTTTCTGCAGACTGCAAGCTGCAGTCTGGCTCTTGCATTTTATTCTCGTTCAATGTGGAAGCTGGGGCGGGGTCGCCGGTCAAAGGAGGGGAAGTCGTTCAAGTTGAGGACAGCTGAGGGGTCGCGATTGCGTTCGTCCTGATTTATTTCAATGGATCTTGTCATTGAGAGATGAGCAGATGATATATCTACCTTCTTTGTAAGAAGCAGTAGAAAAAGGGTTTCATGCTGTGCGCTGAACCAAAGCATCTCTAATCATCAAAAGGTATTTACTTCCTACTACCAAGTTGCCGCGTATCAGCCTCGTTTTTCTTTTTTTTCTTTTCTTTTTCGCCCCTTTGTGAGCTGTACAACCTTATGGATTTGCATTTTTATATGTCCCCGTTGAGCTTGGAATACCTTGTTGACATTATTGGCAGAAAACGAAGACGCTTGGGTCACACCCGTCCCCCTCCTCGTCCATCTTCCAACCAAAAGTCTTATTCTTATTCATCACCTCCCTTTCAGTACATTGCCAAAATGGTCGGAGTTGCTAACGGCACATCTTTGCCCGTTACCGTCGTCCAAGGCAGAGGCATTGAGACGGCGCCGTTGGAGACTGTCAATTACGAGCGTCTCACCAAAAATGACTCTTTAGAGATTCAGAAACTCTTTAGGGTCGCCCAGTCCCCGGGATTCTTCTATCTCGATCTTCAGCGTGGGACTCCACAGGATGGGTACCTGACGGATCTCAAGGGCTTGTACAAGCTCGGCGAATCATATTATTCGCAATCCAAGGAAGTCAAGATGAAGGACTTTCGAAAAGATCAAGACAGAGGGTATGCAACAATCTTTGCGTTTCCAATTTCCTCTGTGTTTTCTCACATCTCATGACATCTTACTGATCATTCAGATACAAATCCGATATTGACGCGGAGACTTTCGAGGTAAGTTGACGCAATCTTCTTTCAAGCTTCATCCCTCTACAGTTGTGCCCTGGACTTGTATTTTCGTTGACACTTCTGCAGATTGCCCGCGAAGAAGCTTTCAATACCAGCTCTGCCAGCTTTCCAGCCAGCATGCGGTCCCATTCAGGGCTCATCAAAGACTTCATCTCATCCTCGCATACCATCACCATGACCATGCTCTCTCATCTTTCCGACAGCATGGGGCTCGAAGGCGACGCACGGTTCGAGCACCGTCATCGCGATGGTCAATCGAGCGACTGCGCCCTGAAGATGGAGTCGGCGCCCATGTGGGACCGTCTCGAGGACATTCCCCCGTCTGAGCATACCGACATGGGCACGCTAACTCTGCTCTTCTGCGACGATTACACGACTCAGCTCCGCATCCCCGGCACAGAGGACACGTGGGCCTTTATCAATCCCAAGCCCGGCCATGCCATTGTCAACGTGGCAGACTCCTTGCAGGCCATGTCCGACAAAAAGCTCTTGTCCTGCTTGCATCGTGTCAGTCAGCCTGTGCCTGGCGCAAAGAATCGTTTCTGCGTGCTGTACTATCTTCGTCCAGAGCATGCCTGGTTGAACCAGAGAAAGGAGGAGAGTAACTGAATCGTTATAGCTTGAGAACAGCTAAAAGCTGAAGTCTGAGATCCAGTGGGAAATTGTCTGACGTGGGGGAAAAAAAGGTATTGCATACGCTGTACTTGTCTAAAATGAAACTCCTCCGTTTTGTTATTATATATAAGGGTTTCGCCGTGCAAAACAAAAATATATTTTATGAGCATCATGTTTTCCTACGCAATCTTTTCATCCCCGAAAACGTCATGGCTGTAGTTCTCATAATCTTACCTTAAGTTCCCTTTTTTTTTTTTACTTCTCTAACTTCATGCTCAAATATTGCATCTACAATTCAACTTTGCTCTTGAACTGAACTGTAAGTTTTGGCATAGTCGCAGCGTTGCACATGTATTGTAGGCGAATTTTAGCTTCGTCATATGGCAGAGGTACATATAACGTAAATGTCGCAGCCAAGACAAGCGAGAGGTCCTATGGTGTAGCGGTTAGCACTTTGGATTTTGACTGGGGTTTCAGTTAAGTCTGGGCCTATAAAACAGAATGTTCCAACGACCTGAGTTCGAATCTCGGTAGGACCTCACTTTTTGTGTTTCTAGATTTCGATTCATTTCCAAACCATTATTTATTTTTTAAATTTTCCATGACACCCATGGATAGATAATCCAAAGAAAACCATGTAACAATTTCTTTTTCAAAATCAACAGTTGATGGTGGATATCTCTAAGACATTTTGTTTTGATATTCGAGAATGGTTGGTTGGAAGTGGCGAGGGAGTTTCATCCTAAGCTACGAGACAGACAAGCTTAGGTGTATCTATTCTTTATTGGGAAATCGAATTGATGAGAATATGGGTTTCATAGAAAAATCAAGTCAAATGAAGTGAACATGTCGACTGGAAGACAACACAAAGACTTCGGGAAAGGAGCAGGAGGGAAGAGAAGGAGGAAAGAGAAGGTGAAAGAAGTCTTGATAGCATTCATCCAGTCCAAATATTTATAAAGGGGCATAGAGTTAAATCCTAGTTCCGCCCAAATAATGTTAAAAACGAAAAGATAAGCTAAGATATTTTGCTTAATCGCAAGCGCCTTGAATTGCACACTCCAGACGTTGGCGCGCGGGCAACACGCACAACCCTCTAGATATTCCCTCCGAGTAGTTTTTTGCTCCTCGCCGCCAGTGTCTACTGGGCATATCCTCAAAGATGATAAAGGAATAGAAAAAAGAAAAAGTGACACGGAAAAGGTCATTGATACCAGATAATCTCAAAGGGAAAAAGGGAAACAAGGAATAAATGAAAGTCAAGGTTGATAGAATCTCCCATTTTACTCCTCGATAAACTTGAGGTATTCCTCAGCATTCAAGAGATCCTTGATCTCCTCCTCCGCCTTCTCTGTGAGTTGGATCTTGGCGATCCAGCCCTCGTCCTCGGGGCTCTTGTTGATAGTTGCGGGAGATTCCTCGAGCGCGTTGTTGGCCTCGACCACAACGCCCGATACGGGCGTCATGATGTCGGACGCGGACTTGACGGACTCGACGGCACCAATGGAGTCGCCTACGTTGACGTCCATGTCGGGAGAGGGCAGCTCGACGTAGACGACGTCACCGAGAGATTTGGCGGCGTAGTGGGTAATGCCGACGGTGCCTTCATAAATCTGTTAGAGCATACCAAGGAAGGAGGGGGAAACGGAATTGGAAAGAAAGGGGGGAAATGTGAAAGAGAAAGAGAAAGGAAGGGTGGATGGAGCATACCGGTCTTTCCGTCCTGGGAGACTTCAATCCATTCGTGGTCGTTGCTGTACTTTTTCTCTTGCACTATATTGATTGAATTCTGATCAGTAAGGGTTTCTTCCAGGTTATTTAGGACTAGAGATTCAAAGCGTAGAGAGAATGAGATTGCTGGAAGCTGGGATAAAGCCGAGATAAGAACAGGCCGGACCGCGCCGGATGATAAGTCCAAGACATGCGGAAAGCAATTCCATGGCACCAGATCATCCCGCGAATGCTTCAAGACAATAACCACAAAGGGATATTGTACAGAATTTCAAACGAACACAGAAGCGTTGAAAGACTTACGCGCAGCACTGATGCCAAAGGACCGCGCACGAGGAACAGCCCAGAACTTGGGCGCAGGGCGGGCGAGCGAGGCGCGCGCGGAGGCCCGGAAAGCAGGCGCCGCAACGCGGGAAGCAAGCGGACGAGCAATGGTAGGGAGAATTGCGGCGGCCATTGTAGCTGAAGAATAAGGCTTTGTCGACCTGAAAGGTAAGAGGATAAAAAGAGAGCGGGAGAACAGAGGAGTCCAATACAGGAGCGGGCGAGAATAATTGAGTTGAGTGGAGAGTTTATCAGGTGTTTTGTGACTCTTGGTGAGAAATGTTGTCGATTAGCTACGGGTTAGTATTAACGTAGTGGAGCTTGCTTCTCCCGGTAAAGAAAGTCGTCTGAGGTCAGTGCCAGTTTAGCTACAATATCAGCCAATCATCTGCGATTTTACTCCAGTCCCGGAAAACGGTTACATTGAAGACACCCCGGCCCGGTACGATCGAGCTGAGAGCATTACATAAGGCCTGAGTCATCAATATATTCCAGAAACTCCATGCGGACTTGATATTGGACAAGTCCTTGAGCACGATAGTATCAGACATTGTCCGCCATTGCCATCATGCTGTACGAATTAATTGCAATTGTACGTCTCAATTCCTTCCTGCTCTCTCTGTTTTAGGGGAAGCTCAGAGTTATACAAATAGAAGAGTTACTAATCATTCACCGCAGTGCCGTCCCGGCAATCTCGCCGAAGTCAGAGAGTGCGTCGTCCATTTCGTCCCTGTTTTCAAATACAACAGAAGCCGTCGCATATATTCATCTATTGCTCAACGGCGAATTGACAAAAGCTTACAAAAAATGTTTGTACAGTATTGCTCGCACAGCCGGCTCGCTGGTACTCAACAACGGCGGCGTCGTCCGCGGTTTCACCAACTGGGGTCCCTTTCTTCTTCCTAAGCCTCTGCACGTTCACCAGGCGACACATTCCCGCGGCCACTACTTTATTATGCGCTTCGACAGCTCTGCCAACACGCAGCACATGGTCCGCCGCACGCTGAAACTCGATCCCCGCATGATCCGCTTCGGTATGGTCAAGATGGGCAGCAAGCTCGAGGAGATTGCGGACGTTCCTGGAAAAGCGGAGTGGAAGAGCGACGACAGCGATCGTAGAGGATTTGCTGATGGACTTGGTGGATTTGCGTCTTAAATTCTGTGTTTGAGAGGGGGGGGAGGCCCTCTGCTGAGCCGGAAGCAATGGGGGAGCGGCTGTCAAGAGGTCCCCAGTTCAACTCGGCGAAAAAAATATCTCATGGCAATGGAATGAAAGAGGCGGGTCAGATAGGTAGTCGGTATTTCGGGATGGTCGATGAGGGACAAATACATAGCCGTGCTCCTCGGCGGACATAAGACGAAAAGAACGGGTGCCACTGATTGTCGGTGGGAAAAGCGAATGGGTTGGTTATACCCGTACAGGACAGAACATGCATAGAGTGGCGTATATGGGTTTGGACTACTTTTTTTTCCGAGTTTGGTAGACGATTATTCTTCGATGGGCCTGTTATTATTGCCCTGGCCATAGTGTGTAGATTCACACAATGTATTACTACAATTAATTTTTGTTCAAAATACCATTCATCGTTCGACTATCAGACATTCTCACACTCATTCAACTTGTTGAGTCTAAATTTTGATCGAGACGTGATAGACGAATTGCTCACTCTTAAATTACTACTCTGTACATACTACTAGTAAAGCACATTGCTCGATAAAACGCCCAAGACCGACCAAACCATCTTTGACGCTCGCCGACCGATTAATTGAAAGAAGTATATTGGGTACATGGGATGGTATAGTTGATGCATGATAGTCTGACAAGTAAAGGATCCGTCCAGGTTTGGAAAGGACAAAAGAAAGGACATGGCACCACAACTATATTGGCAGATACCATTGAGCGCGCGAGAATGATAACGTAAGCGCAGAGAGGAAGAAGGGGAGAAGAGAGGAAAAGGAATAGGACTATAAAAGAGCAGGGAAGTGCTGTTCCACCAGTAAATAATCGAGCGGAGAAGTAAGCAAGTAAACACCGACTAAAACGAGACAAAAAGTTCGCGGCGGACCCAATACAGAGGGTATTGTGGTAAAGAGATGTTTTGAAAAAGCCAGCCTGATCCAAGGCTAGGTGACGTAAGAAATGAAATTGATCAGAAGAAACTCCATCCTCGTCCTCGCTCTTTGGCAGCGGCTGCTGCTTGCTGTTGTGCGGCCTTGGATCGCTTCTCGCGGCCCTCGAGCTGGCGTAAACTCTCCATCTTTTCCAACACAAGCTCGAGCATTTCCTTGCGACGGATAATATCAAGGTGGCGTCTGATTTTGGGATCTTCTCGCGCGAACCGCTCGACTTCCGTGTCGGAGAGGTGCTTGCCAAGTCGGGAATCGAGCTCACGGGGGAACTGTATTTGATTGAAATGAAAGGTCAGTAAACTCAGACCGGAACGACTGGCTATAACATTGCAACACCTACGTTGTAATAAAACTCCGAAAGGAGCTCAACGTTCAGGAATAAGACAGCCGTTGCAGTCAATTTGTCGGCAACCACATCCAAAAAGACCTCTGGGCAGTAATACTTGTTCTTTTTTGTAGCGCATTGCTTTGACTTGACCGCCAAAAGTCGCATCTTGATGATATCCGCGCGATCCCGAAGGAAGGCTGCCTCTCGACCTGTATTCACTTAGCTATGGTTTTCAATTTCACGTCATTCAAAGACCGTACCTGTTGCCAGAAGAGCAGAGCTGAAGCCTCCAGCACCGCCAACACCATCTCCTTCTAGTACTACATCTCCTTTCCTCACACGCTCCACGAAGCCCAGTACGTCCTTCAATTTCCGTTTGCCGCCTATGCGGGCCTCGACATCTTTCATAGCAGCCTCTACGGCCACCAGCTCCTCTTTGAGAGAGCCGGTGACGTTCTCACGACCTTTGGACCACTCATTATCCTCCACTTCAATCTCAAATTTGTACGGCTTGATGCAGTTCTCAACCTGGTCGCTTGTGCCGTAGAAACGCTCGTTAAGAATGCCAGAGGCTGCCTCGGAGATGGCCTGGCGGGCAAACGGGTGCGCCGAAAACGTCGAGGTAGAGATCAGATGATCAACATGCGCCTGTAGCTGGTTCGCAAGGACAGTAGTGGCAAGTCTTCCTACGCCCAGCTTTGTGAGAGAAGATGCAGACGCGTCGAGCTTTCTGTGCCAGAAGAGAGATTCTGGATCAGCCTTGGGAAGCCCACTCAATGGCTCGGGTTCAGCTGACGCTGGACCTAGCTCACTGATGGGCTTGTTCCAATAACGCTGGGCAAGAATATCCAGGACCCGCTGATCGAGCTCGCGCTTGAGGAGCTCTCGTACTTGGGGACGGCCAAAGTGTTCGGCAAATTCCTTAAAGGAGTGCTTGAATGCATCTAGGCTTTCGGCAAGATAGGATTCGGCGCTCAGCGGACGGTCGTTGTACTGCACCTTGAATTCATAAGTAGCTTCTTCCAGCTCCTGGTGAATTGCATCACTTGTTCCTTGGAGGCTAGATGCCATGGTCTGTTCAAGCACCTGCATGAGTTTCTTTCGCAGGGTGCTCGTACCCACGAAGAGCTCTGACTCTGGGCCGAACTCAAGAGGGTGAGCAGAGAAGTAGGCATTCTCGTTCTTCACGATGGCGTTTGTAATATTTCCGCCGCCCCGGGAGAAGAGACCAGTGCTGTGTGGCACGCGGCAGACAACTCCAACATATCCCAATCGCAAGGGGTATTTCCGATCCCCCAGAATGCTGGCGCCCCGTTGGGCATCGACCAAGTCCATCTTGGTAATGACGCCAATTGTACGTTCACCTCTTGGGTCAACTCGGCGGCTAGCACGCAAGGCAGTCGAGTTGGCAAGGTCGACATCCGCAGCGGAAATCGCGAGAATGACGTTCGGAGGTTGGATATATTTGTCACAGAGCTCCGAGATCTTTTGCTTGAGCTCCTTTGGTTGATCATGTCCTGCAATCTGGATATATCCAGGGAGGTCGATGAGAGAAAGGTCTGGGACATTAGGAGAGTAAATGTGGAGCTGGATTGGATCGTCGGAGACACATTTCTCAGCTGGGACGGCGAGGTTGAGATCGGTCAAGGTCCGCTGGATCTGAGAAAAGTCTGTCATCTTGCCAAGACCCAACGACGGGAATTCTCCGTACTCGGCGTGCGCATCGGGAGTGTTGACAAGTGTAAGCTCAATGGGTCTCCTGGTTACCATATTCGAGCCCTTGGGCAGAAATTCGTGACCGACGATGGCTTCCAAAACGGAGCTCTTTCCGGACGACTGTGATCCAATGACAACGATCGAGGGCAGCGTCAAAGTGTCGGACTGGCCAATGGTCTGCAGCATGTTTCGAATCTCAATCATCTTCTTCGTCAGCATCATCATTTGGTCGTCCCTTGCGGTTTGCTCTCCAGAACGATCGTCTTCCTCAGATGACTCGCTGTACCCAAAAGCCGCTCCAGTCGCGCCTCCCACGGCCGCTGCTCCAGCTGCTCTGCTCTGCTTTGGGGAGCCTTCTGGTCCAGAGGATCCACCTTCTCCGCCCTCTGACCCAGCTTCCTTTCTCAATATCAATCGTAGCCACTCTGGTAGTTCGACGTCATCTTTGGTGCGCTCCCACCCTCTCCGTGTCTGGTCCACTATATCCATGGCACCGCCAAATATGCTGCCAGCCGTTTCGCCTGTAACGTCACCAGCTCTTCGAAGCGCGTCCATGGCATAATTTCCTGCCTCTATAGTCCCAAGAAATCAGCACTAGTCATTGGAGACAGTAGGTTTTCCGAATCACTTACGCGTGGCTTGGTATTGGACGTATGCAAGACCTGCAATTGTCGCTCCGCCAAACAGGGCCGGCAGTCTGGCTAACCTCAAGACCAGCTTGGGAAGTGCGCGCGCAAAGGAGATTGTGCGCACGGCGGGGACATTATGAACCGAGAAAGCACCCTGGGGCCAAGGCCGACGTTGAACAGTTCGTAAAAGACTATTTTGCACTCCTAGAAGTCCACCAGCTCTGGCACTGGCATGATGCATCACTCGTCGAGTAATATGGAGGGGAGCCCTCCGGGCCAGTGGCGGCAGCCGGGATGAAAATAACCTGCCACTCATGCTGTGCAAAAGCAGTCAAGGATCAGCATAAGCTTCAGCTGCCTCTGTCTGGCTATTATCAAGCCATCAGAGGTGAAAGAGGTTTCGCATGAAAGGGTTGTTGTGGTTGTAAGATGGATGAAATCAATGCCCTGGGGAAGAATGAGGATCTAATCGGGCGCCTTTGACGTCGGCAGGCAGCCGAGAACACAGTACTTGGTGATCCCGCCATTTTACCAGGAAGTCAAAGTACCCAACTTTTGCTTCACCGCAACTTTTGATGTTAACTGAAATTCAGTTAAGAATGCAGTTAAAGAAACCATATCATACCGAATCCCAAAAGCGTCAGGAGAGTTCACACATTATCAGTGACATTGTAATAATAAAAACATTTACCACAAAGGTATCCTAACAATTTGAGTCCATTCATGTAATTCCGCAAAGAATGCAGCATGGAAATGCAAGATTGAGCGGAGCATAAATAAAGAATCACTAGCACAATATTATGTCCAACCTCCCAGAGTGAAAGGACAGTTTGAGAGAGCGAGCTTCATGATAAGATGAGTCATGTTATTTCAGTAAAAATCAATTCTCTTGCCTTCAATAATTGAGAACAGATTCCACTGTAGCGAAGTGAGCTATTAGGTTTTGTGTTTGTCACACCGCAGGTGGTTTCACTTGAGGCGGCAATTGCGCCATCTCGGAACTCAGCTGAACACTCGTATCGAAATAAAATACACTCATTCCATCTATCTGAGCTCTCCTCCTCCTCTCTAGCTCACAACAAACACAACCTTCTCTGCAACTGCCTCGACGTATTTCAACAATCCGCTAGGCACTCGTGTCAGTTTTATATTTTGCCAGCATGTGCAGATTTCTTGTGAGTCTGCGCGATAGGAATTATCTCCGGCTACATACTATAGATAGCTAATCACACAATACATCTCTATAGGTCTTCAAGGGCAAGAACGAGATCCTTCTGTCCAAGCTGATCTTGGACCCTTCTCACTCTATCTTGACCCAGTCCTACGACTCACGATTGCGTCTTGTACGTTTGTCCGTCCCCAAAAAGCTTTCGACCTAATCCGCCCGTTACACTTTCTCCGAACGGTGTACTAACCCAAACCCTCTCTCTCCAGGACACTCGTCGACCGCACAACGGCGATGGCTTCGGCGTAGGCTACTACACTCATCCTGAGCTTGGACCTGAGCCATGTCTCTTTACCTCGACTATCCCTGCGTGGAACTGCATCAACCTGGAGCGACTTGCCAGCAAGACGACCTCATCACTCATCTTTGCGCACGTGCGGGCAACCACTGAAGGCAGTCTTTCCGACAGCAACTGCCACCCATTTCGCCACCGGAGCCTGATGTGGATGCATAACGGCGGTATCGGGGCATTCAAGTACGTGAAGCGGCCGCTCTGCGACTCCGTTGCGGACCGGTGGTTTCTGGGCGTCCAAGGCAGCACGGACAGCGAATGGGCATTTGCGTTGTTCCTCGACAGCTTGGAAAAAATGGGCTACGACCCGAGTTCAGAACCTGCGGACGGATTTGGGCATTCCGTCCTGCGCAAAGCGATGCTCAAAGTCATTGAGCGGATCAACGCCGCAATCAGGGCTATCCCCGCCGAAATCAAGGGCAAAGACCTGGATACTCGGAGCTTGCTCAATTTTGCCGTCACCGACGGACACAGCGTGGTCTGCACGCGCTACATCAGCAGCAAGACGGACGAAGCTGCGAGCTTGTATTTCTCCTCTGGCACCAACTGGAAACAACACGACGAGCCGGGCAACTATACCATGGAGAGACGGGACAAGGGAGCTGATATTGTCCTCGTGGCCAGCGAGCCCTTGACTTTTGAGAGAGGTATGCTCTTCCCCTTTTAATCATTCCATAACCGTACCCAAGTTTACAAAAAACTAACATCTGGCCGCAACGCACAGACAACTGGGTCACCGTCCCAACCAATTCGATTCTAACCATCCACAAGCAAAACGTCCTGGTCCATCCCATCATCGACGAATTCTACAGCTACAACCCCTCGCACCAGCGCTCCTCGTGCTTCGCCGTGTCCAAGGGCCTTGTGAGCAATGCGCCGGGGGGTACCGTGACTGAGGACGACCAAGCCCCCGAGTCTGTTTCATCATCGTCCACTTCTCCCACTGCAGAGCGCAACCTTCAATTCACAGTCCCCGTAGTAGGCGGAGGAGCAGGCGGTGTAATGGACTCATCCGAGCCTGAGCAGATACGAGAACTTAAAGCCCAATGTGCCAGCGTAGCGCTAAGTGCCTGAGCGGCATGTTAGGCGCTATATGCTCTCTCTTTTTCCCTTCTCTTACTGCAGCCGGTGCAGGAATTCAAATCATTCAGAGACTCGGGCACCGATGCCACTATACACACACATCCCCCCATCCATTTCGACACACAGACTTACAACATCCGATGCATCAGCGAGGGAGTTTTCAGCATCATTATGAAACAATCGTTTTTAAGGAGATAGCAGGGGGGTAAAATTGGACAGGGGATGTAATGGCGTTATTTGGTTCAGTTTCGGAGACTTTTGTACCTTAATTAATACCCATTTGAATCACAAAAAAAACCTTACATATGACCGTACTTGCGGTTTAACTGTGATAGTAATATAGTAAATTCATCATACCGTTTTGCCTACATTACATATTTGTACAAATCATTCATATTCCATAATCAAAAAAGGGAAATGACTGAAGTTTGTTACTTCCTATGACATGCTAAACTTCACTATTAACAATTGCCCTTTTTTTCTTCTGGCTATATACAGAGCCAACAAGCAACGCCAGACGTGAAGAGTCGTTCATGTACCCTGCTGCTCTTTCAAAGCGGCGGCAACGTCTCCCTGCATATCGGGCACTGCAGACGAAACCGCATCCAGCCCTCAAGGCAATCACTGTGAAAAATATGTCGACACGGGGTAACCATGTACGCACGACGGGCAAGGAGAGTACTGGTGGTACCACCACCTGTGATTCCACCACCACCGGATTCATCTCGCCCTCCTCCTTCGGCCCCGCTACCGGCTGGGATTATCGGGACTTCGATGTTGTTCATACAAATAGCACAATCGAACGTGCGTTTACCGCCTTGTCGTCCGGACGACGAGCCTGGAACGGCCGCCGACGGAGAAGAAGGCGATCCAGCTTCAGCCTCAGCTTCTGCGGCGGAAAACCCAATCGGCATGGTCGCTCCGCTTTCCAAATCATCTTCTCTTAGGACAGGATGGTAGTCATACGCCTCGGGGGCCCATCCGCGGGGCACGAAGAATCTTGGCCCAAGGACCTCCTGGCTGACTAGCACGCAAATTTGGATCCAGACCCATCCGATGAGCACGAGGGCGGCAGTGCGGTCGGTTTTGGCAAAGAGGACGTTACCAGGGACGGTGTAGAAATACATAAAAGGCGCAAGACGCAGGATTGATTGGCCCACGACGTATTCCCAGCGCAGAGCCTTGCGGCAGTTGCGCATAATGTTGCGGTATATTTGGGGGACCCAGAACGAGAGATAGGTCAATGCGAGGCCGTTGGTATATGCCGAGCGTAGACCGGGTGGCCAGGACATAGCGTGGAGAGAAAGGAAGATGAGGATGAGAAGGAGAAAGTAGAATCGAGAATAGAGGGCGCCGAATTCGCGGCGGGCGGAGCCAGGAGTTTGAGCGGGTGTAGTGGTATTGGTGGTTGTCGGGTTGTTAGGGGCAGGAGAGGGTGTTGGAGTATCAGGCGGAGAGTCTTGATCTGGCGCTATAATGATGGGCGTTGCGCTGGTCTCATTGGGACGCCGGGCGGTGACAGGGAGAGGGAGAGTGTCTGCGCCAGAGGCCGTTATTATTGGCATTGAGGTTGCCGTGGTATTGGTTGTGCTGTTAGCAGCTTGAGCAGCGGCTTGTCGCTCGCGCTCGCGTTCTTGTCGTTCCGGTGCTTGCACGGTCCAAATTTCCATGAGGAATTTCATGCCAAAGAAGCTGACGCAGAAGAGAGACAGAAAGGAAGTAGCGATGAATGGAAGGAAAACAGAGTCTGTGAACAGACCGATGGCAGAAAAGGCCATGGTTGCGAATCCATCGCCCATGGACATCATTGCGATAGTGTAGAAGCTTATTCGGCTCCGCGTAGATGGAGTTGAGGCGTCTTTCATTTGTCTCATCAGGAGGATAATTTGCATAATCATGATGCATGCAAATAAAAGACTGTAATTTCTCGCTTGAGATATGTACGATTCAATCTTGGGACCCGTGATATGCAGGCTTTCTGCGGCGGAAGTTTCAGGCTGACTCTTGGATTCGAGTAGTATCCCGCAGTCAGGAGAGAAGATCAGGGCGGACATGACGAGTGGAGGCGCGCTGGGAAGCGATGCACCCGTTGGATAACGAAGCTCGTCCTCAATCTGCCTGAGCACCTGTTGATTGCCTCCATCTTTGTCGCTGAAATCCGCCGCATGTTGCTGTAGGTATACAATGTATTCGCAGCGAGGCTTGGATGGTATATCTGCTGGATGGCCAGGCGTCGATGACCATGGATTTAGGGGTGCCAGCCAACCCTTGGACACTTGGCTATTGATCGAGGAGGATATGGTTCGGTTCAAGAGGCGTTGAGATAGCGAGTAGGTCCGTTCTGAGAGGGAGAAATGCGGCAGTGCGAATAAGCCAGCGAACCTAGCATACAATTGTGAGTACGAAGCTGGAGAGAGGGAGAGGTAAAGACCCAGTACCTTTCGCTCGTCGTTGTCAATACAACAGCACCAAATGTTGGATAATGCACACCGTGTAGTCTTGCCATCCAGCCATCTCCGCCTGACACGTCGTCCTTGATCGTCATCTGTGCGGTGACTTCTCGAACCAAACCAGCATCATCGCCCTTTAGTGTCCTGCTGACTTTCTCATCCAAGTCAATTTGAATATCTCCATTCGGTCCCGTCACATTTCTTTCAAAGGTCTCGGATGCAAAGAACAGATGCGGCACAGACTCCGTGAGGTTGATATGCGGCACTGGGATCTGCGGGACTGCTTTTGACCGAACCCATTCCCCATGAAGAAACCCGGTAAGATTCTGGTATAGGGGAATCACAGAATGCTTGAGAGCTTCTGGGAGACCGGCTTCGGGCTCGGCGGCTGGCGGAAGTTCTTCAATATTTCCTTCGAGTTCTCGTAATCCACGCTCGCCAACCGCGCCCTTGAGCTGTTCCCTGGCCCTCTCCTTGATCGTGGGAAGTAGTTGCCACGCAAATCCATCCTCTTCCCGAAGCCCAGTTATATTCAGCCAGCGGTTATTCGGTGCGTCAAAGTCGCCGTATCGTGTCCTGTTCAGCAGGTCGAGACGGCGACGTTCTTCAACAATGAGGTCATCGAGCTCATGCCCTTGGGTAGGACTGGGCTGCTGGGGGTCCGGAGAAAGAAAAAGAAAGAGAAGGATAAGAATCAGGAGAACTGCGCGAGGAGTGTCCATCAGCGCTATTTCCTCTGTAATTACCTTGTCATCGTTGCTCGTCCCTTCTGTGTGTTCGAATGGTTCTTGGTGTGATTAGCTCAGGGTCCAAAGCTCAGTCATCGGAGGTGGGGAGAGTTTCACCCCGACGGGAACTCGGCCATTGTTCTCTGTTTGATCCATTCAGTGAACAGACCACCGTCTACATTTATACTTTGAGAGATATATAAAATGAAACAAAACAAAAGATTTATACATTCAACTGCTTTCTAGCTTTTGCTATGCCGCTGTGTCTTCAAATGTACAAGAAATGATGCCGAAATTGCTCAAATACAAAATCCCGCTGAAGTCGGTTATTATTCAACGCCGCGTAAGAGCTCTTGTACGCCTGCGCCGATCGATGTGCTTCGTTTTCAGATGCAAAAAATTTTTTTACGAGGTTTCGTTATTAGCAAAGCCTTTTTTTTTTTTCCTTTAATCCTTTTCCATGCTCATCTGAGTGGAAACTTCCCATCGTTGGCCGCCACCACCACCGTATCCGCCTCCTAACCGGTTGCGCACGATGCTGGTTACTCGATCCCTCAATCGTAACATTGCATCTTCACCACCTCTTACTCGAAGCTTCAGATTGGCCATGCAAAGTCCATAGTGTACCTGCCAGAACTTGGCCTCTTCAACGTAGGTGACGGAAGGATCATCTTCAATCTCCCGCATGGCCTCCGACACGCCTCCCCCAGAATAAGACATGAGCAGCATGAACCCAAGAGTCTTGCTCAATCGGGCACCAAGCGTGCACATGGAAATGGCAATGGTACCGGAAAGAGCGCGATCAAGCCAAACGTACATCTGGATAGAGAGGAGCGGAAGGAGAAGGAGTAGAGATGAGCACGAAAGGGTGAGAAAATGGGCTGGGTTGCTCAGCACCGATGGGAGAGATTCAATGTAAGCAAAGCGCATGGCTTTCCCGATTCTGGCATGGTTCTTGAGTCCGATAGCAGAAACAAGTGTAGATAGTATTGCAAGAAGTGATGCGAGGTCCACGCTACCGGGCGAGATCCGGGCATGCTTATGCTCATGGTGAGGTTCATGGCCGAGACCCTCGAGCATATGCTGAAGATTGTGAGAGATGAGGTCGAGTCCCATGAAGACGAGGAAAACCGACATGGCAAACCCGGCTAAGACCTCTGCTCTCTCAAGGCTACATGGCAAATTAGATTATTTTTATTCCGTGCCCAATAGAAAGAGAGGATATGCACATACCCAAATGGATGTCGAATACTCGACCGCTTCCAAACTTCGAAATTGCCCAACACGTCTACCATCACACACAAGAATGCGCCCAGCGCATCAAAGCAGATAAGATGGGAGAGGGCAGTGAGCGCCAATGACTCTTGCGCGCTCCAGAGCGTGTATGCGGCCACAAACATGTGACAGCAGCACCAAATGATGCGGGACCGCTGTTCTTTGGACATACTCTTCCGGCACTCCAGAAATGTCGGGATATCTAATGACGCCGGCAACGGGAGAGGAGCTCGAGGCTCTGGCTCCAAGAATATCTGGTGGGATACACTGCTGTGCTTATACTTGTGTCCTCGACGTTGGCCCATGTTCTAAATGTTGTCATGTCAGTAACTATCTCTCATGAACAAGCGTGGGGGTTTCCATACAGATTTCGCAACCGGCGATCGTGCCAAGGTCGTAGTCTGGAAGTTGAAAGGACTTCGGGGAATCCCATTGGATCCATTGACAGATATAGCATTCTCGCCCGTCATGGGACTGTAGGCTGTTGCAGTACTAGCAGGACTGAAGGTGTTGGCGGGTGAGGGCAAGGAGCCAAGACGGCCTGGAAATGTCCAGTTCATGGGCGATAAGGTATTTGGGTCATATGAGACCGTTGATGAAGAGTTTGGAGGCAAGCCTTCAAGCCCTAGACCCAGGGATTGCTGCTGCTCCTGTTGCTGCTGCTGGAACTCATCCTCGTCAGGAGGCGGCGTGGGCGTCTTTGGAGGGACGGGTATTGGGAGGCTCGACGCCATATTGCCCAACAGTCGGGCGTGGGATTCACAATAAAATCGAGCCTCCCGATCGCATGCAAATTACATCCAGGATGCACAAGACAGCACTGCGATTGCTGTGAAATCAGGTGCGTACTGAGAGGGAACAGGGTGCGGTGGAGGCGTGGGTGATAGTGATATTAAGTTGGGGAGAGTTGTATCTGTCTCTCCGCAATAGTTATAGGGTTAACTGTATCCACAGCGCGTAACATCAGAAAAGGAATAGACACCCTGCAGGTTAAATGTCCGTGCACCGCCATCAACGACCTCACATGCCATTCAGCAACAATCCGAACTCTTTATCATCAATTCACCACCCCTGCGAAGCCTCCAATCTTCCTACGTATCTTTCCCTTATTCGTCTGAGCAATAATTGTGCTCAGTTTTTCTGCTTCACTATGGACCTTGGATGACCTCGCTATTTGCTACCGACACCCTGAATCGAAACGAAGCTCTGAGCTGCACTTGGCTCCATGCCACAGCTTCATGACGCTGGGATACGTGACTCGAACTCTGAGTGGGAGACTTGTATAGAGACGTGCAATAGAGCTGTGTTGGACTCAGCAAGGCTCGCCACTTTCGAGAAAAATGGAAGATGGAGCCATTCGAGTGCTGGACGCTGAAACCGTTGTGCAGCCTCAACTCGATCAAAAGAAGACTCTAGGAGATGTATCGAAAGCCAATGGCAGAGCAAAACTGGGGCATAAGCGAAGCCTTTCGGGGAGTATCTTGTCCAAGCTGTCTTTCCTGAGAAATGGGCAAGAGGAAGATGACACACAAGAGGAAGAAAAGCTTGAAGGTACACAAGATGGAGTCGGGCGTGATCTGGGGGAAGCGGACCACATCAATAAACCACGGGGAGCAATGGCAGGGGTGGTCCAACAGCAACGATCTAGGAGAAGAAAAGGGTCGCTGAGAAAGACTGCCTTGCTTGGCACTGGCAAGCTGCACCTGGATAATGAAGACCGCCGCCGCGGAGAAACCGCCGTGAAGGCGTCCGCCAGACAGATGCCCTCTGAGTTTCCTGCGGACTTTCATTCCAGTCAGTCATTGCAAGGACCAATGTCGGATTCGAAAAGAATGGATGCGCACTCTTCGCAGGGCTCCGAGATTCGCCTGGTTGATGAACCCGCGTCTGACAACCTGGGACAAAGAACTGCGTATGCCATTGGCTATCCTGGATCATCCGAGATAACGAAAATAAACACCTCGGCGCAGAATGCATCGCATGCTCTTGGCTCGCCCGTTACAAGTCCAACGTTATCCACTACCGACGACGATGAAGTGCTAACTTTTCCGCATCGATATGTGACGCCATCAGCGCTGCGTCGTCCGTCGTCTGGATCAGATTCCTACTTTTCTTCCCAGCCCAGTGCACTGCAGCGGCGTCGTTCAGGGAACAAGTCAAAGGCAGCGGCTTTGGTGCCTGATCCATCAAGTTCTCTCGAAGAATGGGACTACACAGAGACGGAGCGCTGGGGCTGGATTGTCCTGGTCGTGACTTGGATTGTATTTGTGGTAGGAATGGGAAGCTGTTTAGGTGTATGGAGCTGGGCGTGGGACGTCGGCGAGACACCTTATGCTCCTCCAGAATTGGAAGATGATCCAACTCTACCCGTTGTGGGATACTATCCGGCTCTGATAATACTGACTGCGGTAATGGCCTGGGTATGGGTGGTAGTAGCTTGGGTGGGCATGAAGTATTTCAAGCATGCACAGATTTCCGGGGAAGATGTTTGAAAAGGCACACTCGGGAATTCTTGTAGGCGATAGCAAAACTCTTTTGGATGCATTTCTCATTTTTGTTTGTGCAGCTGATGATGCCACTTGTTGTCATGCAGAGTGAATATCAGTCCCGTTGATGAGTTGTTTCCCTCTCCGCATCCTCCTCTTCCTCTTCTTCCCCCTTTCCCTCTGTCCAACTTCAACTTCTACGACACTCTCAATCTTTTATTTCCTTCTGAACTCCAATATCTTGACTTAAGCTTTGACCACGCCTGCTCCTGCCTGCTCTTCACATTCAGACACCAAAAATACATCTTTTCCCGTTCCGAGTCTTCATTAATCATGTCTACCCCAACGCGAGTCACCATCACCGTTCCCGCAGATGAATATCTCTCTCAGTCAAGTCTCACCTGCGAGCAGGTCTTTATTAGACAGGCTAATGATCTACACCTGACCCAGGCAGCGGCCTTCAATCTGGCTCGGACTACTCACTTGTATGCATATCTTTGCTTTTATTCCATTTCCTCGTTGTGTTTCGAACCACCTTTGAATGTTAACTTTTGTGTCCCTTTCTACCATTGTATACCCACCCATTCTCACTCACCTTTAATGTTCTGCCCCTCTCAAACCATGCCCTGAATTCCTCTCTATTTTCCTCCATCCCCTCCCCCCCCGCATGTTTCATTCCCAATTCCTCACGACCCTTCTCACCTCACTTCTCAAATTATACTTCCTCCTATTTTTGCCAATCATCTCCTGTAACCTCGCAACCTTCCAAAATTTCCATCCAAACCTCTTCCTCCCCCTGTCCAAGAGAACTTATATCTTTCTCCGCCCATACCTTTCCCCCATCACCACCTCCATCTCCTTCGTTACATCCTCCTCCCAACTAGTTTCCACCCGCAGCTAACCTCCGCCCTCCTAGCGCCGAAACCTACAGCAACAGGTACGGTTGGCAGAAACCTCGCTCTCCCCGTCCACAGCACACAGCACGCGACCAACGCAGCGGAACATTCCCTTTTCTCAAACTCCCTCGAGAACTCCGTGATGAGATCTACGAGCTGGTCCTCGTCTCTCCTGAGCCCGTTCATCTTGACGCATTCACCCGCGCCAGGACCAAGTCCGACGACAGCCGCCCCGCAGCTCGCCTCCCGCTTTTCCGCTTGAACAAGGTCATCTACGGCGAGGCCTCATGGATATTCTTCAATTACAATACTTTCTCACTCGTGTCCCGCCCTATGGCGATTCAATTTTTCGAGCGTTATCTGACCGAACCTGTGTGCATTCCCGCGGACACTCCCATGTCATTCACCCAGCGGATCCGCCGCCTGCGTCTCTCTGTTACTGTGTGTATGTGGAAACGTAGCCATGAATCTTCCCTCGATTTGCTGAGTGCGTTGGTGCCATTTTTCAGGCCGGAGGTGTGGCCCGAGGCGCTGAACCAGGACGAGGCTGAGGGCGAACGTCTCCTGAATCTAGCTGCATCTCGGGACGGTGATCTGTCCCAGGCTGTGACTGAATTGCAGATCCAGGACCAGGACCAGCCGGCATCCGAGGACGAGTCGATGTCTCCCTATCTCAAGGCCATCTTGGAGTTCGAGGCGGCGGAGCGCAAGAAAGTCCATATGCCGCTCCATTTGCCTCAGCTCAGAGAGCTCCGGATCGAGATTGGCATCTGCAAATGCGTGTGTCCTCACCAGGACGGCGTTTTGACATGGCGACTTGTTTGGGACGAGGAAGATCGGGTGGCAGCAGGCCCCGGTAACGGACTTGTCATGCGGAGTCTGTTTCGGACTCGCAGATGGAGTGATGATCCAAACGGCACAATGGCCGATCTCGCTCGGCTTATGAGGCTGCGAGTGAAAAGGATGATGATGAGAAACAGACGCGAGAGTGACCTGGAGCAGCTTCTTTGGCCGTTGAGTTTCCTTAAATCCAGCAATGATGAAGCTGGTAGTCAAGGCGGTCCGTACAACTGGTCAAGCAGCAGGAGGAGCATGAGGACGGGAAGGAGAACAGCACCAGCTGAGCAGGGTTACGGTCACGAGAAATTTGCCAATCCATGTTCTCCGCGAAGTTCATGACATGGTTGGCGCGACGGAGGTTGGAGTCTGGCTGGCGGGGATCTTGTGACTAAAGAAAAGTGACGGGACATGGTGAGGTGTCGTTGTTGCTGCTGTTTTTCTTACCGCTCCTGCTGGTGGGGATTGTGGTGAAGATCCGAGTCTGTTTCGTTTGTTTCGTTGTTTTGTTCTTCTGTCATTACTCGAACAAGAGAGTTCGTTGGTGAAGGTTATTTCCAGACTGTTTCAGATTGATATAAAATTTGTCTACATGACGATTTCAACAGTGGGGGTTGAGATTAAGATGTTGCTTTCCACTGCATTCAACTGGTATTTGTTTTTAACTGGGAAGAACATTACACGGTGCGACTCGCATAACAAATTACAAAGCCATTTAGATGTGCCTTGTTACTGCATTTTATTCTTTTGTATCTGAGCAATAAAGATTTTCATCTGATAAATTAAAAATATTAAAAAAAATGAGAGGAACTCAGTATTTATGGTATCATAGCGATCAAAACAGTCATTAAGTCCAATTGTCGTGATATGCCTCAGCCGTTGAAATCATATTATGCAAGAGGCCGAGATTCCAACCCAGAAACTCCGAAACCGACATGTGATGGGGAAACGTGACGAGGAAAATCAAATCTCTATGACCCTTCAAGCATCCAGAACGCATCGTCAAAATTCTCCCCTCCTTCACCATTGCCGGTGTCTCCATTTCCATCAAAATTAAAGTCCGAGTTTGCGAATAAATCATCAAATGTCGAGTCGGGGGGAAGTAAATCGGCGGAAAGATCTCCGGTATTGGAAAAGTTATTTTCGCCGGATTGATCTGCTGTTGCTGTTGCCGTCGAAGTAGAGTTCTGTGGCGGCGCCGTGGTGGCGGAAGCGGCATTCGTGTTGCTTTGCTGGGCTTCGCCTGGGTTTTGGCCTTGAGCGTTCTCAGCGGTATTGGTAGTATCTAGGAAATTGAAATTTTCCGTGGCATTGGCGTAGTTTTCAAGTCCGGGAAGCAAAGACGTGACATCGTCATTGGATGTCTCGCCGGGCTTATCACCTGATTTGTCACCCGACACACTCAGATCCGGACCAAAGAGGTCGTCATTGAAAAGGTCATTATTGTCGTCGTCAGGTCCGTCTGTAGGGAAGTCAATGTCGAAATTAAGATCATGTTCGTCATTGTGAGGCGGCTCATCTGCGCCGCCATCGAACATGGCACCAATATTGAGATCTTTAATGTTCGTGTCTCCTTGTGAGGTCGAAATGGGGTGTTGTTCAGGTTGCGATGTGGCTTTTGAAACAGGTTCTTCTGTCTTTTCAGTTGCTTTACCCTCGGTTTTCACGGGGGGTTCGGTTTTGGCAGAATTTGATGCACCATCCGGTGGAGCGGTTGTAGATACTTGATCGGAATATTTGGTCTCTGCCGGTTTGGCTTCAGGTTGATCCGCTGATGTTGCGTCTTCCTTTTTGATCCCGTTTGTTTCAGGTTCAGGTGCTTCCGCCATTACGGTGTCTTCTTGTTGCTGAGATTGCGTGTTGGCGTTCTCGTTGAGAGCTGCGTCTTCCATAACGGCATCTTCCTGTTTGGTCATAGGTTTATCTTCGTGTTCCATCGTTTCTTCCGCAGCCAAGCGGTCCTTTTCAGCCACCGCTTCTCGCTCGCGCTCCGCTCGTCGAGCTCGACAGATGGCTAGATCTCTTTCTATCGTTGCCTTGGCTCGAACCTGCGGCAATTAGGATGGTGTCGTCTATCTTCTCAGGGTGTGCTTACAATCTCTATTTCGACATCATCGAGTGCGTCTTGAAATCGGTTCAATGCACGAGGGATCAAGTGCCGTACACGGATATTTGTTGAAGTGGTGTTTTTGGCGCCTAGTTTGGAGGAATCTCGAAGGATACGACCAATGGAAATAAGCTATAAGCAATGAAATGTTATTATGACAGTTTCTAGTTTTCGCATGGCATCGATGCATACCACGAGATTTAGCATGCCCGTCATGCTACTGTAAGGATCCGTTGGTTGTTGTTGTTGTTGCTGCTGGGAAGGCGACGGGCCTGTTGGCTGCGCCATGGTGAGAGAGAACGGTAGGATAGACAGCGGCCAGAAAGGTGGCAGAAACGGATTGAATGCAATTGTACCGGAAAAGATATTTAGGATGCGTGTTCTTGGGTGAGTGGAAAGATTAAAAGACAAGGTAATAAAGAGCTCTGGTGGATATTCTTCGAGCCCTTCCCCAGGTGTGGTCATAGCATCTCTTCAAACTAGGTCTAGTATGGCTATTCGCACAAGTGCGGAAAGCGGAGGTTCAAGCGTCGGAATAAACCGTTCAGCTTAGGCATATTTCACCAATCAAGTACCGGCAAGGTCATAGCAACCAGCTACCAAAGAGTACTTTGATGCAGTCGATGTTTTGCTCTTCTCACAAGTATCCTCAAGTCTATCATTGTATGGAACCACCTGCACCCATAAGGCGGTGAGCTTCTAGTTCCGCGACAGTGGAAATGTATGGACCCTGCCTGTCTGGTTCCCAGGCCGGCTCAGGGGGGATCGTACTGACAAAACCCATCATCGGCGCTGCGAATATGTCACACGCATTTACCGTGGACCAGGGTTCGATCTTTCTCCAACGGCTGAGTGTGAGCTTTGAGAGAGGCTCGGGGGTCTGTGCAAGGCACACAAGTGGCATCTTTCCTAATTACCCGCTGGTGCGGGAGAGGCTAGGAGGTGAGCGGCTGGACTGGTTATCCTTCCTGCTGGGCGCTTCTACTGCTCAGTGAACGATTTAGCCGGGAAGGCTAAATCGGTTGGTTTAAATATGCAATAGGCCGTGGTAGAGTTTACCCTGCTGTAGGTTCGTTTAACGGGGGAAAATAGGTTAAGCAACCCCCGGGCACGGCCCACTAATCAATATTGATTTTCACCTAATTTAGGTATAAGCAAACGCACACATTCAATTGAGTCCGAGGCTGCAGGACCATCAAGCTTGCCAGCATCTTATTCGTATGAAAAGGAAAATGTCATGACCATACCAAGTATTGTTGAACGTGACAGCTCATTGATCTGCACGTCTAGTAATGATGCTGCTACTAATCCATTATTTTTGCTAGTCTTGCCTTGGAGGTTGATGACCGGGGCCTGAGGAATATGCAGGAGATGATATAGCCCCTCTCCTTGCTCTTGCTCTCCTCATGCTTTTTCCACTTTGCGCTCCCTGCATCATCCCGCACTTGGTCCATCTGCACGAGGAGGAGACTCTCTTCTGCCCCCGGTAAAGTATCAGAAGGCGTGGGAGCAGGTGGCTTGATTGGTTCCGTTTCCCTGTTTTTTGCCCTTATACTCACAATTCCACTTATCTCTTTGGTCTCCATCTCTCTCTCTTTCTTTATTGTCACTTTCTTTCTCGTCATCTTTATATGATTTCAATTAATTTCCCTCCCCCCCTCTTGATATCGCTCTTTAGAACGATTTCGGCTCTTGACCTCGGCTGAGCTCCAACGTACCGGCTTCGGTTGGAGATCCAGTCAAGAAAGCCCATACTATGGGTAAACCCTCCGCGACACCATCACTAAAGTTCACACTGCCTTTCCACTACTGTACGGGCTGTTGGACCCTTGACCGGACCTAAAAGCAGATGGTCCCCTCTAGACTTCCTGGCGGCGACTAAAGAGAAACCTCCGTCCTCGCACAAGTGACACCCAACCTAAACCCTGCCGGCGTTATTTGCTCCTCCACCTTTGTCTGTTTAGTGTGCTCCGCTGCGACCAACCACTAACTCCCTACAGTAGTCACTTTGACTACTCCCCCCCCTACCACTACAGTAGTACCGCCCGCCGCGACTACTCTACTGTTACCGATACCCACGAGCGGCTCGTCTACCACTCTACCACTTATCCTCTCGCTCGCTCGTTCATCCACTCACTGTCACTTGTGCTGTTAACTTTTGCTCGCAGCTTCTTTCCTCCATCTTCTTCCTCCTCCCACAAACATCTATTCTCTTCCTCTCGCCATCTAGCTTCAGAACTTGGTTGGAAATCTCCTTCTCCTCTTCTTTCCTTCATCTTCCCCTATCTCTTTTTCCTTTATTTCCTTTTCATTCGTCCTTCCTATTTCGCTGCGTCTTGTGTCATTGAGCTTGACGCCCGTGCTTTCGATTCTGTTCGAGGAAGCTCTTGATTTGCATTCTGCAGCTCCCCTCGGTCATTTCACAAGTCCTTTGAAATCTTGTGAGCTTGAATTTAGCACACAAATATCCACTGTTGCCAGGTCCGTCCCCTTTTGGCAAAATCAACTGCCTTTTATCTCTTCCCCAGCTCTATGCCGCCTGCTCAAGCAATCAACATATGCTACGTTCCTTGGCTGACCGCGTATAGTGCTTTTGATTTAGCCTGCCTAATATCTTCTCTTACTTATCATACGCCCTTGAATTGAAAGTCGACTATTAATCTATTTCCAATCCCATCTCATACACTTGATTTTTACCATGGCCGACAACCAAACTGCTGGTGCCCCAGCTTCGCTCCCCCTCCCCCCTCAGGCGGCCGGCGCGCCGGGCCAGCAGCCCTATGATGCCTCCCAGGCCGCAGCAGCTCAAGGAAACCCCGGCCATATGGCGCCTCCTCTGGCTCCTGTCATCATTCCTCAAAACACGAACCCAATTCCGACCGCAATCACCTCTCCTATGTCTGGTGTCATGTCGCCTGGAAACACTGGAGGTGGCTTCGTTCGTCGAGCGGCCCCTGAGCCGAACAAGCGCGCTCTGTACATTGGTGGACTGGACCCACGAGTGACGGAAGATGTCTTGAGGCAAATTTTCGAGACCAGCGGGCACGTGCAGAATGTCAAAATTATTCCTGACAAGAATGTGAGTCGAAAGCGATCTTCATTCAGCACAGCGGTCTGTTTTCAATACCTGCAATTGCACTGGCAATCATTCTTATCTTTCCTTGTTGCTTGATTGGCTTGCACTGCATGCTTTCCAGTCAACTTTCATGGTTGAATTTGTTCTCTCTTGTCTTGCTATGCATTTCATCCTAGCTTCCGGTGCTTGCGACTAACCGTGAGAATAGGTTCAGAGCAAAGGGTACAATTACGGCTTCGTGGAGTACGACGACCCTGGCGCCGCTGAGCGCGCCATGCAAACTCTCAATGGCCGCCGAATCCATCAGAACGTGAGTTTTGTCGAACCGCGCCCGTGCTACTATTGGGTAGCTAGAAGGCTCATGCGTCATTATCGATGTAGGAAATCCGCGTAAACTGGGCCTACCAGGCCAACAGTGTCAACAAGGAAGATACCACGAATCATTTCCACATCTTCGTCGGCGATCTCTCCAACGAGGTGAATGACGAGGTCCTCCTCCAGGCTTTTTCCGCCTTTGGTTCTGTTTCGGAGGCGCGCGTTATGTGGGATATGAAGACGGGCCGTTCCCGCGGCTATGGCTTCGTCGCCTTCCGCGAGCGCGGAGATGCCGAGAAAGCGCTGAGCTCCATGGACGGAGAATGGCTTGGCTCTCGCGCGATTCGCTGCAACTGGGCGAATCAGAAGGGTCAGCCCTCTATTTCCCAGCAGCAAGCCATGCATGCCATGGGCATGACTCCTTCGACGCCGTACGGCCACCACCACTTCCCCACGCATGGGGTGCAGAGCTACGACATGATTGTGCAACAGACCCCTCAATGGCAGACGACATGTTATGTTGGTAATCTGACTCCTTACACCACCCAAAACGATCTCGTTCCCCTCTTCCAAAATTTTGGTTTTGTGGTCGAGACCAGGATGCAGGCCGACCGTGGTTTTGCCTTCATCAAGATGGACACGCATGAGAATGCCGCCATGGCCATTTGCCAATTGAATAGTTACAATGTGAACGGTCGGCCGCTGAAGTGCAGCGTAAGTCATCCCCTGACTAGAAATGCTTTGCTTGAAAACCGTGCTGACGCTTTAACCGCGACTCTAGTGGGGCAAGGACCGCCCACCGACTGGACAATTCGATGGATTCTCCGCCGCACAACAGGCGCAGGCGCAGGCTACTGGATATGGCCAGAACCCTTCCGCCTTCTTCCCTCAGTACGGCGGACCTGGTGGCCCAATGGCTGCTTCTGGTAAGTGGCCCCAAAAACCCACAGCAGATCTTTGTCTCCCACTTTTCTCTCTGCCTCCCCTGTCATGGTTTTCAATTAACCCGTTCTTGCTCATCCACTAGGCCCGAGCCCTGCCGGTCAGCGTTGGGGACAGGATCAGGCTGCTTTTGGTGGCCCTGGCATGGCCACCCAGGCTTATGGTGGCATGCCCGGCGGTGCGGGTGGATACGGTCGCGGTAACCAAGCTCAAGGCTCCCAGTGGGCTCAGCCGAATACAGGCGCCTTTGGCAATGTCGGCAACGGTTTTGCCGGTTACCAAGGTTAAGCATTGCGTCTTTTCGAACGGAAGCGCAGCTGGGAAGGTCTTGCTATGATAACCAATCCTTTGCGGAAAGTGTACAGTACTTGGGCCTTCCCCCCATATTATTGGCGACACCTGCTGCTGTCCTCTCTGGGTCTCTGGCATTTTTGAGAGGGGCGTCATGGCAAAGGCATTCATATCAAGTTTGTGATGCTTCCGGTGGACGGTAGATGGAAGATTTGGAGTTCGAATCGCTTACTTTCTCTTTTCGCTGAAAACCTGTTCAGGTCTCCACCTGGACAGCCAGCTTCATATTCCCTTCTTTTTTTGACAGCATAATGAATCTCCTTTGTGCATCTCCCAGTTAGTGGTTGTTCTTCCAAGTCATCTTCCTTTTCCCGTCCTTTCTTTTTTAATAAAAAGTTGCCATATATTTGACTTTTCTTCTCTTCTGCAAGCTGCTGGTCTCTTTATTTTCAAATTTCTATTTGGAAAGCACTAGTCTTGTCGGTACTTAATCGTGTGCGCGCCTCGCATTATTTCCTTTGTGCCTGCTATGCAATCCTTCTCTTTGGTTTAAATAGCATTCTTATCTTTCCCCGTCCCATTCTCATTATCCCTTCGTTTCGATACCACCCTCGCGTTCATTTGTGTCTGCTACGCTCTGCATCTCTTTCCTGCAAAATTGTCGATATACCTTTGCCGCGTCTGTCGTCTGAGTCTTGCGAGCATGTTTGGGTTGGTCATCAATGCCCCTTGTAGTCCCCTCTTTTTACCCTTCTCTTGGGAAACCCTTTGAGTGGAGGAGAGGAACAAGCTATCTAGGAAGAATCCATGAGCATTGTAAGGGGGAACTCGTTCAGGAAAACTTTAACAACCTTGTGAAAGCGGAATTGAGCTTTGGGTGTACGGAATAGTCCAATCGAAATTAGGCTGTAGATCCTGTAATCTTATCTGCGCGACTTATCAGATTGATCTTGATGTTGAGTCGTTAGCGCTAATAACTTTGTAACTCCGTACACGCCCTCGCGATAAGACTTCGCGTCCAAAAGACGCGAAACCGATTAACTACTAAATGCACTTCAAATATCGACCCTAGGTATATACGACTTTGGGAGTGTTTACGTTACAGCGATCAGTGGTGCTAGTAGGCTCCAGTTGATCGTTCAGCTCCACTTAGAGCTTTGCATGCCATTCATACCAATTCACGCAACGATTCGCCGGGCCTCTATTTGCTCGTTTTCATGTTATGACCCTGCGCGTCTGTTAGGTCTTGCCCAACCCTCACCAATATCAGCCGTCACGTTCGTTCGACAATTTTATTCCCTTCGAAATCCTTCACCAAGCTGCGGGATGCTGGCGAGAGAGGTCAGCCGGCATAAGGCCGCAAGTACTCCCTCCCAGTCTCTCTCGCAGCAATTGTTTCCCTCAAGTAGTCCCAGTTCCCCTCAACACGCTGGCAATGGACAATATTCAAAACGCCCGACTAAGCAACCGACGATAACTGGATCCATTAGCATCCTCAACCCGACAAACTCCTCTGTTCTGAATTTCTCGAGCCAGCCAACTGCGCAACCGATGGTGCAGAATAAGGCCCCGCACCGTTCAATACAGACATCACGACTCGCAGACACCCTTGATCGATCAGATTCTTTTCACGATGTTCCCGCCAGCAGACCGGTAGCCAAAGTGGAGACGGAGACTAATCCGCTAGCACAACTCCATGAGGCTGTATACTTTGACGAGAACGACTTTGTCGACGATGACGAGTTAAACTTAGATGACGATGATTCGATTAATAATTTGAGGCCTCAACAGAAGGCGGCGGAACCCATGTCGAAACCACCATTGCCCCCAGTGCATAATTCACAGGCCCCTTTACACCCCTCGAGGCCCGCTGCTCAATCCAAAAATGTTATTACCATTGACGACGACGAGCCGCCTCCCCCTCCAAGCAGCATCCCAATACCGTGGTCTTCCTCACCGCTAGAGCATCTAACGGCTCAAGCCAATAAACCATTATCAATGGGTAATCCTGAACGAGGATATGCTGGAGCGCAACCAAGTGTTTCAAACATGATGATTTCCGATAGGCGTCCTAAACCTCTGGCACGGAAGTCGTCGGATAGTGACAGCCCGTGGGGATGTAAAGAAGTGTCCGACTCAGTCTCTCGGCCCAGCAAGAGACGAAGTGGAACACTTGAGGAGTCCAACTCGGATTTACTCTCAGGTAGATCTATGCCACGTGAATCGAGCCATCGTGAGGCTCTGGAGACCTCCTCGGTGGACGCTGCCGGTCGGCCCCCAAAGAAGAGAACAATACCTTGGCTTGGGACAGGGGATCAGAATGAGCACATGGGTAAGTCTCTCATTACGTCAATGTTATATGAAATTGTCTTGAGCTTACATTGGAATATTCAGATGGTGAAGCAGAACACAGCATGAACACTTCCAAACATCAAAGAGTGCCGTTGAATAAATCACGCGATGAAGACCTTACCAAAACACCTCATATGAGACAGAAGAATTCCGACCCCGTGTATGCTTGGGAAAAGACTGCAAGCGCAGTCAAGGAGGAACAGAAGCGGTTGAGGCAGACGAACAGAAAGTCGACTCTCACCACCAAGGCTGATGAGGAGTTCGCACCTGAGCAGGATGAGAATTTACAGATGCCAAAGAAAAGGGGCAAGAACGTTGTGCCGGCCCCAATTTTCCTAAGTGACGAGCAACAGCGGGTCTTAGACATGGTTGTAAATAAGAACAAGAGCGTTTTCTACACGGGCTCTGCAGGTAAGCCGCTAGGTGCTCATTGAGCATATCTCAATGTGCTGACTGACGAATTCAGGAACGGGAAAATCGGTCTTGCTGAGAGAGATTATTTCAGCGCTTCGTCGAAAGTATATTCGTGAGCCGGACCGCGTTGCGGTGACAGCGTCCACTGGGTTGGCCGCATGTAATATTGGGGGAATAACCCTTCATTCCTTTGGCGGAATAGCTCTTGGAAAAGATACTCCAGAAGTTCTTTGTAAGAAGATTCGAAGAAATATAAAAGCAAAGAATCGGTGGCTGCGGACCAAGGTGCTCATTGTGGATGAAATCTCGATGGTCGACGGGGATTTGTTTGACAAGTTGGAGGCAATTGCCAGAAAAATCAGAAACAATGGTCGCCCATTTGGCGGAATTCAACTCATTCTGACCGGCGATTTCTTTCAGCTGCCGCCTGTACCGGAAAGTGGAAAGTTGGCCAAATTTTCGTTTGAAGCGGGCTCATGGAATACATCTATCAATCACACCATTGGATTGACGCAAGTGTTCCGACAGAAAGATCCAGGTATAACCATATCCGTTATCATAATTTCATCGCAATCCACTAATCTGATTTCTCACAGTATTTGCCGGCATGCTCAATGAGATGCGTCTAGGAAGATTATCCAAAGATTCGATCGATGCATTCAGAAAGCTCGCTCGCCCTATCGAATATGATGACGGTCTAGAGGCCACAGAGCTGTAAGCGCAAATTCCAACCCCATCGATTTGATATCTCCATGCCTATGCTAACGACAGACTTTCATCAGGTTCCCTACGCGTACTGAAGTCGACAACGCCAACAATATGCGGATGCAAAGACTGTCTGGCGCGAGCATGACTTTTGATGCCCATGACGGTGGATCTCTTGATGACAAAGAGCGGCGCGACAAGCTTCTCGCAAACTGCATGGCGCCTCCACGCATTGAGCTCAAAAAGGGAAGCCAAGTCATGCTGATCAAAAACATTGACGAGACACTTGTCAACGGCTCTCTCGGCAAAGTCCACGGCTTCATGGATGAAAAGACGTTTGGCACATTTTCCGAAGACGGCGACGAATATCGGGGTGCAATGACTTCGCAAAAAGTCAGTGCCGACGAAACCCAGCTCAACAAGGCCCTTGCACGTTTAGAAGAACTCCGCGGTTCCGACGGACTCGGAGACGATCCCCAAATCGCCGCAGCCTTGGCTCGCCTCCAAGCAATGAAATACCGTGGCAGCGGCGTCGGAAACTCCGCACCAGGGATGCCCCCCGCCGCCGCTAGCCGCGCCGCAGACACGGGCCGCAAATGGCCCCTCGTCCGCTTCACCCTCGCCGACGGCACGTCCCGAGATCTCCTCTGCCAGCCAGAAACGTGGAAGATTGAGCTCCCCAACGGCGAAGTCCAGGCTTCGCGAACCCAAGTCCCTCTCATTCTCGCCTGGGCCTTGTCCATCCACAAGGCCCAAGGCCAAACCCTGGAACGCGTCAAGGTCGATCTCGGCCGCGTCTTTGAAAAGGGCCAGGCCTACGTCGCGCTCAGTCGAGCAACCTGTCAGGAGGGACTGCAAGTCTTGCGCTTTGACCCGCGCAAAGTCATGGCCCATGATAAAGTCGGTGCGTTTTATCGCAGCTTGTATAGCGTCCATGATGTCAAGCCCGGCCGACAGTCCAAGACACCGCTGAGTAGAGCATCCTCTGTCGCAGTGAGTGGTGCAGCAGGGGGAGGAGGAGGAGGAGGGATGGATGAAGATAGCTTATTCGTGAATTGACCGTCACGAGACGCCTGGCATTAATAAATCATTTTATCTTGTTATCGTACCCTACCCACTATACCAAAGAATTTCCCCTCTCTCTTTTTTTTTTTTTTTTTTTTTCTTATTCAATTGCATTATTGAACGGGCGATTAATTACTCTCTCTCTCGTTCTCGGAGGTAGACGCAATGGAGTCATGGGTAGATGAATTATGTATTGAAGAATCTACACAGAACATCCTCTTCCCTACGCAGCTGAGCTAGAAATCCTTTTTGAGTTCAAGAAAAGTTTTCAAAGCCATGTTCCGAGATTGTTTACTGCTTGATTTGAGCGGGCAAAGAGAACCCATGCGAATGGATCGTAATATTTGTATTAGTTTTTAGCTAGACTTGTCTACGAAACTATCTCATCTTCTAACGTTTCTAAATTGATATGGATGCTTGTAGCGCCCCTTTTCCCTCCTAACTTGTGCGTTTAATGAATAGAAAATAACAAAACCAACCGTTTTGGAACGGAGACTTAAAATATCAAGGCAAAGTAATGCGTTTGCGTGTAAGCAAGCCACTGCATAAACTAGAAATGGAAAGGAAGGAAAACAAAATAATATGCATCTTCAAAATCTCAGGCGTCTCCATGACCGTAGCGCAGGCCTATAACCCAGGAGCATCCAAAATCTACACCTTTTCTGCCTCGTCGGGTACCATATTGTCGGCTCCACGCGGCGTTACTGAGCCCAATATCTGCGAGGAAGAGCCGCCATCCGAGTGCTGTAGCGGTACTTGCTGCTGCTGCGGCAGTGGCAGCAGTGGTGGCACCTCCAGCGCCTGCTCCTGTCCCCGCTACCGACGCTGTAGATAAGATTGCAGAAGCAGCAGAGACGTCTCCAGCGCCGTCCGCATCAGAAGCCGTTGTTGATCCGGCGACAGCGCCAGCAATCAAAGCATTAAGTAGACCGGTCTTGGGAGCTCCCAGAGCGACGATAAACTTTGCGCGAATGCAGAGCGGTTCATTGTGGACAAGTGAGATGGCTCCTAAAACAGTGTGATATCAGTAACCGTCTCTGTAGACATCTTACTCGCATGAGGAGAGAAAAAAGAGAAGGACTTACCAGTAGAACCATCAATACCAGTAGGAATATCCACTGACAAAACACTCGCCTTGCTGCGATTTGCCCATTGAATGAATTCAAATGCAACAGCTTGGTCGTCTGCGCGAAGTTCGTCAAACGGAATATGAACGCCGAGCATAGCATCGATGATGAGCTCGGGTGGCGCATCAAGAGCCTTGAGGCGTGCATGCAAACGTTCGGAACGAGTGACTTTCCCACCCATTTTGCGGAAAATGTTCAATTGTCGTCTCACGCTATCAAGCAGTTCAGATTCGCGCTCGAGCCCGATGACGCAGCACACCACACGGACGCCATGGTTGCGGAGATGTCTACCGCTGGCAATAGCTCGGGCACCGCTCTTGTGATTGCCCGCAAGGACAACGGCCACTGGACTGGCATTGTGGTTGTCATATTGTGCCGCGAGTCGCTTTCCGCCAGGGCTAAGAATCGATAGTGCAACTTCGGCAATGCCGCGCGCCGCGTTTTCCGCAACCATGTCCTCAGAGAGTCCAAGTTCTTGTTCGGCCACCTGTTCGACTTCCAGCATTTGCAGAGGGCTCACAGTTGGACAGCTCCGGTTTGAATCAGAAATATGGAGGGATAGTTTGGCAGCTGCGCCGAGGGGAAAGGGAGAGGCGGATGGTGAACGGCCGCGGCCGGAACCGGGTCTTGGGCTCCCTGTAGTTGCGCCGTGAGGGGAAGAATAGTGGCCGCGATTGCTAAGAGATCTTGGGGGAAGATGGGACGAGGAAATCGAAGCAGGGATTGCCGCGCTACCTTTTCGAGATGAGAGCCGACGCATGCGACGAGAACTTCTGGATCCGCTACGGATCCCTGGGTCCTCGACTTCGTCGGTCACCTCGTCTTCTTCGCTCAGACTGTCACTGTCCCAGTCGTCGAAGCCGTCGGATTTGGGTCGGTCTAGAACATTTTCTGTTGGATGATAGTTCTTTCCCCCAGCCGTCAAGGGCTTTGCTTGGATTTTGTTGAAGCTCACGAGACGGTCTTCGTCGGCCGTTGTGTCTTCATTTCGGATTTGATCAAACACGGAACGCTTATCAAATTTGGATAAATTTCCAGCGAAATCAAACTCGCCCATTCCTTGGATGTCCGTAGCCTCTTCCGTTGCCCAGCCGTCCGTTTCGTCCATGTTCTTCTTCGGCTTGCGTCGATTGCGCTTCTTGGCTGAGCGTGGGGTGCTTCCACTAAGAGGTCCAAGTGATGGTTTTTCAGAAACATCAATGGTCTCGGTGAAAGAAGTTTGTCGCCAGCCGGTTGATTTGAAGTCGCCATCCTCGGAGGCAGCCGTGGTTGTCTCAATAACGTTTACAATGCTTGGGTCGTTCGGAATCACAGACTCTTTACGGATGTTGACACGCCCGTTCTTCTTAGGCCGTTTGCTTGAAGTATCCCTTTTAGCAGGAACTGAACCAGCAAAACCTGAAGTAGTAGATGGGTTTGCAGCATGATCAAAGCCGCCCGCTGTGCCATTGATGTCAAGTCCATTGAGCGAGTTTGCTATCCCAACAGGTGATTCAACATCATTCGTCTTTGAGGAAAGTGCCCGCTGAGGTGCTGCTTTTCTGACCATGTCCTGGACAGAAATCTGATTGCTCAATGCTGGAGACGCATTACCACCAGCCAAAAGCCCAGCCTGTCGGCTCATTGCACTTGTTCTGGTTGGCAGATTTTCTTGGGCTTGCCCGGCACCTGCATATGGTCGGGCCACACTTTGGAAGGCCGTCGGCGAGGGAGTGGCATGGACTGGTGTACCCAGAAGCTCTGAAGGAGTATGTGACGCATGTTGATGTGCGGGAACGATTGGAGAAGAAGTCGCTGGTTCTGGACGTTTCGAAAAGCTTAGGATGGCGGGATCAACAAAAGGTTTTGGTTGAGGAGCCGCAGCGGCTTTCGGTATCTGCACGGATAAAGGGGCTAATGGAGCCCCATGAGGGACTTGATGAACCGTTGAGGCGTGCGGAACGGGAGCATGTCGCGAAGCCGGTGGGCCGGCTGGAGTAGATGTTTGCTGGGGCAGTACAGTCGGCGGATGACTCTGTATAGAAGCTCGACCACGAGGAGCAACCTCTAAATCTTCAATTTCAGAACCTTCGACCCGGTATTCCTGGAAGTGTTGTCTCAGGGACGGGACATAGACTGGCAATTTATACATTAGTGAACAAGTTCATGGCATGACAATTGCATGTTTGACGGAGAAATTTGTGAGATTCTCATTTATTGCTCTTCAAGACATGCATCACAATTGAATAATCTTATACATACCATCTCGTAAGGTAAGCTGCTGTCCAGCTACGTCAGCGACGAGACCCTCGAGCTGAGTGTTTGGTGGATGCTTGAGCGTGAGAAAGACGTTGACGCCAATGAAATCGGCCGCCATGGCTTGGAATAATTCTTCAGAGACAAATTAGCCGACCATACCAGGGCGGACGGAGTAAGACTTGAGATGAGTTGTTGTTAAGACGAAAGATGGAGGGCCAGAAGCAGCTTCCAACTTTAGAAGAATGAGCAGTCAAGATGCTCGTCAGCGTTGTGGCTCGGGGATTGCCGGGGTTCGAAACTAGCGTGATGTCTCAAAATCTAATCTTGTCTAGCGTTCATCTAATCTGATGACAGCCTCGTTATCAGATTATTTCCAGGGTCCAAAATACTCTCTAATTAAGAAAAAACCGGTAGTGAAAATAGTTTCACAATCATTGCTCCGTAGTAACAATGGTATATTTCGTTAGAAATTCCTGATTTTTGCATGAAAGTCATGGGGCAGGGACCGCAATATTGGACCGCCAAATTAGGTAGTTGCACGTGAAGAAGCATATTGGCCACGATGACCCTTCAAAAGGGAATAAAAGATTCGATTGAGGTGAACGACAATTCCAACAATACTAAAGTCTTCAGGAATGAATTATTAATGTAAAACGCTAAGAATAAAGCCATGTGTGCAACTAAGCACAACGATAGCAGTAAAGATACAGCTCCGATGGTAAGGCTTCAGTCGGAATACCATTCGGCTATTCTATCATCAATCGTGATTTTCCTCAGAAAGGAAAAAAGGCGAATTCCAAAAATCCAAAATGTACAAAGCGGATCTCAAAGAAAGTCTTCTCGACAAATTCAACCGATACAAGATAAGAAAACGCAAGATCCGTAAGTGCTAATTCTTTACCGGCCAATCAATCAATATTTGCCGCCCCAACTGCTGCCATGCGGTGGCTGAGGCTGGTCATTATGGTGCATTTTGTCAGAAATGAAGTCGCCGGCCTTATTTCCGAGAAACGCTCCAGCCACGGCACCTATAAAACCGTGACCTTTCTTGTGGCCAGCCCAATAACCTGCAGCTCCGCCAGCTAAAGCACCACCTAGACCACGCTCGCCTTCTTCGCCGGGAACGCCTCCGGGACCTGCTGCAGCGGGATTGTTGGGGTCGTAGGGAGCGCCACCCGGTGGAGCCTGTGAGTAATCATGTGGAGCGCCTTGATTGGGTTGGTATGGAGAGCCTTGTTGAGGGTACGGAGAAGATTGCTGCGAGGGGTCCTGGTACGGTACAGGGGCGTTGTAACCTCTTGTGGTGGGATCATCGTGGGGTTGGCTACCGAAAAACATCATCGTTCGCAGCAGTCGCTTTAAAAATATATTCTCACGAATAACTCCTAGATTAACTTACTAGTATTCAGGATGACCTTGAGGGTTGCTTGAGTCGTAAGCGCCGACCTGCTCGCCCTGTTGGGCGTGCTGGAAGCCGCCTTGGGCCGGAGGGCCGTATGCCGACTGGCCATTGGGATCATAAGCTGGCTGCTGGTATGATTGATCCTGCGGGGGATATGGGCTGTATCCTCCTTGGGGTGGGTATCCATATTGCTGATTGGCATCGTATGGGGGCTGTTGGCCGTAGCCGGGCGCCGGTGAGGCGTATTGGGAGTGAGGGGGATAGGGATTGCCGTATGGATCCGACATGTTTAGACTGGTGATAATTTTTCTCAAAAGACCGAGAAGAAATGGAGGTTTTCGTTCGGTGAGCTATCTCTTCAAGACAAAAGCAGATATCGTTTCAGTCAAGTTGGGGGTATCAATGCTGTGGTTGCGGGTAGAGCAAACAGTGCGGGGTGGTGAAAGAAGGGAGTGCTTATATATCTTCCAGAGTTTAGCGCTATGCATGGATATCGGAGGGCGGCAACAGGGAGGCGTGTGTTTGATCTAATAATACGTTACAGTCATAAGCATCCGATACTTTCCACAACAAGAAGCCCCGAGGAAGTTTCGAGTGCCCAGCCTGCCAAGCGGCTGACATGAGGCGCAGCTCGCTGGTCTCAGCTGTGTCTTTTCGCTAATCAAACCGCCCCAAGGGACCCTCCATGACGTGTTGGGAGCAGCTACCTCGGCTTTCGGCGCGAGTCAGCCCCGGGGCGGTGCATGGCTGTGCTTAAGGGTACCATTGTAACTTGCTGCAAGCCTGGGTACCTTACGGAGTAGTTATCACTACCTATATCACTCTCAGTTTTTTCTCCATAGTAAAATATATATTGAGGATTTGTTATTCGTACATCATAGTCGATAGCGATCAGTCGAAGACTCTTCTTCATCAGTAGATATTTACAAAACATATAAAGCCCCAGCAATGAGCAAATTGGAGGATATCCTAATTGCGAAACAACACCATCCGGACGCCGATATGGTTCTTCCAGCTTTTTTGTTTACCAACCATCAAAATTGCCAAATCCTCCAGATTTGATCTTCTTCTTGGCGGGTTCTTGGCTAATTTCTTCCTCCCACTCACCAACAATCTCATCCGCGCTGCTGTCGGCCGGTGTGCTTGCGGCAGCGACCTTCAAGTACTTTCCTACGCCTCCCGAGCCGCCAGAATCCTCCACTTTGCCGTCCCCACGGATACGCTTGCCAGTCCATGTAGTCTTGTCATCTTCAGTGCCGCCTTGCAATTGGATCTGTTCTTTGTGCTTCTCTGCTTCGTCCTTTTCGCGACGCTCCTTTTGATACTCTTCAAACGGATCAACAAAGACCACAACATCTCGCATGATAACCTCATCAATGGGCCGATCAGTACTGTCAACTGGCGCATTTTCCAGCCGCCCAAGCGTATCTGTACCGCCGACCACGCGGCCAAAGATGGTATGTTTTCGATCAAGGTGTTTCGCAGGACGATAGGTAATGAAGCTGTGATTCCGTATGTATGAGCTTTGTTTATCCTTTGGCAGTCACCGAGGACAGCAAGCCAAACTTACAATTGACTAGAATTAGTATTCTTTCCCTTATTTGCCATTGACAAGATTCCTCGCGAATCATGGGTCATAGGCCCATCAAACTCATCTGCAAAGTTCTTTCCCCAAATGCTTGATCCGCCTCGTCCAGTACCTGTGGGATCACCGCCTTGGATCTGCATCCTTGTTAGTTGAATGGCTTAGTGTGAGGTCTTTTGAATCGTACCATGAAATTCCTAATGTTACGATGAAATAGCACATCCTTGTAATATCCCTTCTTTGCCAACTGGATGAAATTCCACACTGCCTTGGGCGCGAACTCAGGGAGTAGTTCCACGTTAAGATCGCCCATGCTTGTCTGTATTCTCGCATAGCCCTTCGTCTTGACGCGCTTCGGCTTCAGCATATACTCCTCTTCCGAAAGCAGTGCTCTCTCGCCGGACGTATGCGGTGTCAACCCTGTGCTAGTGAACGACGCGGCTGCCTTTCCGGTCGTGTGCTGAGCTGCATTGTACGGGGTTGACTGAACTCGTCGATTTGCGGTGCGAGCCACAACTTCGCCATTCTTCGAAATCGCACCCGAGCTACCGGCTTGGATAGCAGGCGTCCGATTTGGATCATCCCCACGGCTGGCTCGGGCTCGGGCAACAGCTTCCTTCGCCTTGAGAATTTTGCCCATATTTCCCATAGCATCCAAGTTGAGATTTTGATTTGGATCATTCCTTTCTTTTTCTTGGTCCGCACTCAGGGTGTTCATGCCATCCTTGAGATATTGGAAGGAACTAAGGTCTCTCGCAGTGACATTCTGCGGATCTTGCAACGTAATGATATCCGCCCGGACAAAAGGCTCATCCGAGACTAGATCGCGCCACATCTTCCCTTTGATATTTAGCCTCTCTACCGTGTCCCATGCGAACACATTGCCCGTATTCTTCAACGCAACAATGTGCGTATTGTCAGTGAAGACCTTGAATGTGACTGGATCCACCATTTCTCCGTCATCGTTCTTGGCAAAGTTGAGCTTAATCAGCTCCGAGCTCTTCAGTGGCTTGCCGGTCACAGGGTTTGTGCCATGCTTTTTCAGCCACGGTAGGATGTTTGTGAGATCGAAAATATGGCCCTCGGCGGTGCATACGGGGTGTTCGAAAGGCTGGAGAGATACAGCGCAGTAGTTAAATGGAAGGCGCCTAAAGTTTGCGCCAGGAACGTTTGGCTTTGCGACACCAGCACCAGCGCTTGCAGAATAGGCGTCCTCAGACGCCCACTCGGAGTGAGTGATCTAAATGACAATAGAACGATCAGCAACTGAACTTTCAACGGTCAGGTGTGAAGTTGTCGGCGTACATAGAGCTTGTCCGTCCCTGTGATCAGACGTTAACACCATGGAATCCAAAGACGGCTGCTAATACAGCTTTACTTACCTTTCCCCATTGCACACTGTCATTCAGCTGTACATCTCTGGTCACAGTCCCTTATTTTGCTGTTCGAATCGTTCAAAAGGACATGGAATGGTGACGGCATTTGCCGCGGGAACGACGTCAACCGGCCAAGGACGCTATAGCGTAAAGACGCCTCAAGTCCTCAGGGGCGTCCTCATCGCCTAGAACCGCGGAAGCAATTTCAAACAATTAATTATGGAGGGCATGGTTCCAGATACTCGAAATTTGCTCGATTATGTTTTTCCGAACATACTCCGTATACGAGTTCACTAAAGGCCATAAACCGCTGCAATGAACTTCGTACCATACAACATGAGTTTTTAGAGGGAAATAAAGCATTTTCTGCATCCATACAGATTCCTTGTGCAGTTAAAGTGCGGAGAATTCACGGTCTGTTTAAGAGGACTTATGCCCAAACATCATACAATCTAGCCGTTGAAGCCATTATTATCTATTCTATATGATCCAAATAAATGTGCACCAATGTGACCTTGAATACCTACGCCTGTAGTGTCGCTTAGAGATTATACCTTTCCGTCGATGCTAAAGAGAGATACAAAGGGGCATTAACGTCGTGATATTTTGAAACATGATAACGCTCAGATGACTGTTAGAGGCCATATGTAGAGCTGCGAGCAGTAGGTGGGAACATGCTACTGGCATAATCGGAGTCATGGTACATGGTCGTCCGGTTCTCATCTTCGGTAAGCAGCTCCTTGATCTCCCAATTATTCGATTTGATCCCAACGCTAAATTCAAGGTCTTCCTTGGTGATAGAGTCCCAGAACTTGGTAACAGTCAGCATTTGACCAGGTCAAAAAATATTTTTACCCATCACTGAGTACATACCTTGTAAATCATCATTACTGCTAGCAGATTGGTGATGGTAGCGACGAAGAGGGCATCCAAATAATGCGAGGAACCTCTGCAGATTGGCTCTGCGAAGACATACAATATAACCTGGCCAGCGACAAAGAAAAGTACGCCAAAAGAGATATGGCCCAATGGCCATCGATCCTGGAGAGTGTTGACCACTAACAGAATCTGCATGATAAGATATACGACTACGCAAATAGCGTTCAGAACGTATAGCACGACGAATAGACCAACCGTATTCGTCGGGCTTAGTCCTGCCAGTCCTTTAAATGTGAATAGAGACACGACAAATGAGACAATAAACATGGCTATTGAGCTCGATCTGAGGAGCCAGACTGAGAGCGTTGTTCCGTCTTCGTAAAGTTGAAAGCCGACAAAGCCATTTATAAGGAGACATGTGCAAAGTGCTGAGACTAGGCCACATTGTACTGCGGTGAAGTATGGATAGGGCCCAGAGCCTGGCGGGACGACGCCAGCGTCGAGAATGAGCGAAAAAATTGTGAGCGTCAGGTAGAGGTAGAAGAAGGTTGTGATTTCTTTGCGGCCTGTCGGAGGAGTTAAAAGGTGTTTTCAAAATGCGCAGGATAGAAAGTGCTCTTCAGACAACATACCAACAGCAGTGAATTTGGATCTGACATGAATAATCATAATTGCAGTCATCACGAGAGAGACGATATGCATGACATCTGCTGCGCCTTCAAAGATGAGGGTGTTGGCAACCTCAATGTTGCGAGCGTAACAAGCTGGTTGAATACCAGCAGACCCCGCGATTGACGAAGGGGGTCCGACGAGAGCGCATAGAGGGAGAGGTGCGCGCTGGCAGATCCAGTCAAAATCCCCGAAACCCATTCTGAAGCGCACTTCTTCGCCTACCGCTTTCCGGTAGGTGAAGCAATTATTCAAACAGAGAAATCGATGGCGCTAAATTGTAGTTAAAGCGATTTCCACATTGAAGCGGGCGTATTGAGGAGCAAATGCAGCGATTCAATGTGTGATAGAAAGAAAACCTCTTTGAAAATGTTCATGAAACACAACAACGAATGTCTGGGCTTGAGACCCTCTTGCTTGACGTAAATGGAACAGATTGTTGAAGTTGAAGTTGATGATCGTAATTCTATTTCTAGCAACGATCGATTCCTAATGAGGCAAGGGCTAGGGGAAAGGGCCTTTCGGGCCCCTTTCGCGAAATCAACATTCAAGAAGCCGGGTACTTGAAAAGTCGCACAATTTAGCCTTCTTTCAATGTAGCCTATACTTTTATGGTAAGACTGATCGCGTTAGAATCGTTTTGCGCCAAAGTTCACCAAACACATGACTCGCCTTCGGTTGCCAGGGATACGCTATATCGTCCAGATCGCTCCACGTGCCTGTACAGATACAGTGTCCTCCTGCGGTGTCAAAAGTGACGGCTTGAGTAAAGCACGGAGAAACGTCTTCAAAACATAAGATATCATGATTTACCTAGTCAAAAGCGCCCATAGCATCCTAATTATAGGCTTCACTATATCCAAAAAATTCGTGTATTCAAAAATACCTCCCTTGCCAATTTTGAGGGTTTCTTTAGAAAGACATGGACATACCCCGCCCCGTGCGTTGTCCGATGTGAGCCTTAACGATTTCTCTCTCATCACTAATTAATTCTTTTTCTCCGCATATCCCATGACCAAGGCATGCTACCGAGTAACATTGTTTTAATTTATTTTCATTTTCCGGGGCAAAGGAAGCCCCGCTTGATGTCAATTTTGTCCAATATCAACGGCAGTCACGTTGTCCCCAGGAGATATTTCACCCGAGGCCCAGGCTCTGTGCATAAGGTAAGTACCCAACACCATGACATGGCAGAAATCTCAACACGCCAATATCTGAAGCGCCCTGAGCACCGTCTTGAGGCATCTGAATTTACAAGGAATCCCTTGATTACTCATACTTAGCAGAAACGTTCCTACGAAGTTTGCTGGTATACTTGGTTCTTGTGATAACGAGCAGCTCTACTTTGTTGAAAATAAATAAGAGCACTCACTTTCGTTTCTTTATGAAATTCTTTAAGATGTATTACTGGAAGATCAGAAACGTCTTACTTTAATTTTAAAACGGAAAAATGGAAGAAGGGAAAAATTCTTTCCACCACATAATGTCAAAGTGCTCCATCTTCAAGATATCGCTTCCATTTCCTATCGTACTCGCCTCCATTGGACACCCTCTCTGCTGCAATCTCCGACTATCGATGAACACGTGTACAAACCTCCCACGCAGACAGAATCTCGACTGCTGCTCATTAAATTTCAGTTGACCGCAACGCTTGCCACTCCATGCTTCCGCGAAGAGATCACGTCAACCCACTTCATGGTAGATATGGTTGGCCCATGCGCAAAGTCAAAGGGCCCTTGACATTTGTCTCGCTCGCCAATGGCACAACTAGGGTTTTGCGCCCCTCTTTCAGGGGTTCCTTCTGAGATACGTTAGTTTGACAAGTGACGCAGACATGAAGCTCGGCCGATTTGGGCGAGCTACAGCTTTCAGCCACGACGACCAAGCACAGTGTCTTCTACACGTGCATGTTGAGGGGTGCCAGGACCCCGTTCCGCTCCGCCCCCCGTCGCGTGGGGTTTCGCCTCCAGGCTGGTTCATGCACAAGGCAGCGAACGGGAATTGGCCGCTGCCACGAATCAGCATGCCTACTGCCATGGGTAACTATTCTCGACCAGTTGTAAAACTGTTTGCTGGTCACAGAAAAGAGGTATGTCGGGGTTGTGGGAGGGGGAGAAGCGCCATGGGAGTTTCGGGGAGACGGCACCCAAAAGGTCATTGAGGCCCATGCTTTCGGGAAGATCTTTTGCCGTCTTTGCATGATCCGTCCCGCCAGTTGGCGTTTCAATCGCAATGCTCGTCGCAACCCCAGCAAATCCACCGCTATGAATGTGGCCGTCAGTTTGCCCTCCCGTGGGCAGTTACTCGTTGTGCCTTTCTAAGAGGCCAAATCAGCGACGTTTGATGTGGAACTTTTGTCAATACATTTCTTCTCGGAAAACTAATGCTTTTGATCCAGTCAAAAGTTAGTCATAAGAACATCTCTATAGTTTAGCGACACATACCGGCGACTATGACTAAAGCCTTGGAAGCAACTCACCAATGATAACTAGTTACAGTGATGGGTCTCGTTATCGAGACGTTGGCTTTAGTTCAAGCTTTCGGCCGCTAGACATGGTCATAGTGCCACTACCCGTCTAACGGGCTGCCGGAAAGGAGCCGGAAATGCCATCGAACGATATCGATGGCTGTGAAGATGCCATGGTGGCTCAGTAGCGCTCTTGAGAGTGGATTGTCGGGAGCTTCTCCAATGTCCGTGAATGCACACGGGCCTCCTCTCCTTCAAGGATGATATTGTAGGTTTCCAGTATCGTGTTGTGGCTCGCGTCCCTTGGCGGACAATTTCGACAATCTCGACAGTAACGAGGTTGCCTCATCCATCTTTCATATCCAGTGTCTGGTCGACCGTACCTGTTCGTCCAGCTGGGGTTTCCTTGCCAATTGGCCCCATTCATTGGACCCTTCGCCCATCCTTCACCAAGCAGCATGCAACCCGACATATAAGATGATGTGCTCGTGCACGCTCAGTCCATCCACATCATGGTCAACCGAATCTTACTTTTTATGTTATCCATCTCTCAAGGTGAGTCAGAGCACGGGTCCTGGTTTCCCGAAAATGAATCAAAGCTGTGGCCCAGGAAGGTACGCAAGAGGAAAAGGCTAATAATGGCAGATTTAGTTGTTGAGCATCTCGATTGATCATACTGCCCACTACAATTACTGAGAATGTGCAATTACTATAAAAACTTCCTCATTTATTCCAACTGCCACGACCCAGGCTCACATTTCATTGGGACCACAACCGATGGGACAAAGGATCCGGGCTGTCCTCTTGGACCTCACGAGCGCTACGTTGTAGTAGACGGGAAATGTCCACTTTGTTGAGTCTCGAGCATTCTTCTCGATGCCGACGGAGGCTATACACGGTGGTCTGTGCGAAATCGCCACAATATGCATTGAGCAGCATTTTCGATTCAGGGTCTGCCCTACATACACCACGAGGATATGAGACTCTTGGGACGACGGCGCACGGGCGTCCATGTTATTGAGCAGGTCTTTAACCCATGAGACTTTTGCTCTAGTTCGGATTCCCTTTTACTTGGTCATTTATTTCCTGGGAAGCAATTGCACGCCTTTTTCCGCTCCAGATTTATTTGTATTTGCGATTAATCTTGTGCTGGATTCGGTTACTAAGGTAATTACTGGTTTCATGAAGGAGGAAAGTAGCAATAATACCTGGCGCTATAATTAATAGTGGGGCTTAGGCCTTTTTGAGTTTGTTGGGCAGACGGGAAACGGCACTCGTAATCAATTCTCATTACTCAAATTGAGACAAATACTTTCCAATTGAACCCAATGCAGTAGAAATTGGAGTACAGAGAGAAGCACGAGTAGTCAGAATCATGAGCATTATCAATCTATGTGCACCGATCAAGGTTGGGGATGGACTTTCAAAGCGAATGTCCACATGTCAAAGTTTTGGTCCTCTCGAACGTCATGGTTGGTCCTGGTCGGACCCCTGCAGAGAAGGACATCAGCCTTGAGCCCATGCAGGTGTAACCTGCGATGCGTTCAGCACTGAAAGCTCATCATACAGTTGATTTAACGAGCTGCTGTACTGTTTCCGTCTACGGAGCGAATAGCATGCCACATCAACCTGGGGGTTATAATGAAAAAGAAGCGTTGTCTAGGCATTTTGTGAGCATTTGAGTTGTATCGAACATCCGTCTAAACTGACAGAGGTGCCTTCATACAGTTAGTATAACTGACAAGGTTCCGCGAGGCAACGGTTGCCTACCTCTGCACCGCTGTACGCCGTGCCGTGCCGTGAAGGGCAATCCAGCGAGGTGGCGCATGGCGAACCGTCGCAGGCCACTATGATTTCAAGCCCAAATTTCAGCACAACTTCGGAGCTAGGTGCCGGCTGTCGGGTCTGTCTTTGATCAGCACGAGGGAGCAGGTGCTTCTCATGATTGATTGCCTTCTCCACTGGACGTCACCAAGAGGGGATACTTGCATATATTTTCAGGAATGATCATCCCCAACTCCCTGCGTTGACGGCTCGTGGCTTCTTTCAAAGGAGTTGTTTCTACAATCAAGAAGCATCCTGAATCATATCGGGAAAGGTCAAATTTTTTCAAAATTCCACCGGTAGGGTATCGAACAGTTGGCCAAGACTTTCAGGCCCCAGGGTATATTGGAAACTCAATTAGACCCCGTCAAGCTGGGAAACAGCATACTTATGGCATGTGAATGCTTTCATCGTTACGAGTGATGTAATGCAGCAGAGCAATCCACAATCATGGTTCTCAAATGAACTTGATCCAACTGGACGACCTTGCATCGCGTCTCCCAGGGATGCGTGCCGACTAGTACGTCGAGCGTTGGACATATTTGGTACGCTTTTGACGGTCTCTCCCTCACTTGAGCGAGTTGTTGGTTGTTTACTTTTGATTATTAAGGACGCAGCATCTGCGCTACGGGTCCGCTGCGATGAGCTAAAAGTTGAGCTGTGTCGTCCATCAATTGGCGACTCGCTGCGTTGCAGACATGAGGCCTTATGCATTTCCCAAGTCTCGATCATGTTCAATAACTGCACAGCAACGAATGAGGATATAGTGGAGATCTTTTCTGAGAGAACGCAGAGGTGGGCAGTGATTCTTAATTGAATTTCCCTAATCTGGCCCCTGATGCGCCATCCCTTTAAAAAATTCGGTGAGTGCGTCTGCATCGCAGCACTTTAATTTCTTTCTTAAATGGTCTCATCTTCCATAGCTAACTTGGGTGTCCTTCGCTCATTTAATTTAATTATTACTGGGTTTAGGGGACCGACTTCCCGGCATAAGGGAAGAACTTTATCGATTGCCTCCCGTCTTTATTGCAAAGGCCCCTTTTTGGAAAGTGTACCAAGACTCAGTGGCTCCTTTGAGCCTTGGCTGCCTCGAGCGTGAGGGCCTAGCCTAGAGGGTGCAGTTTACAGAACGTGGCGCGTATTGGTTCAATAGAACATGACCATGAGGGGTGGGAGAAAATTCCCGTCTCTACTCTCCACTATTGAATAGGAGAAGTCAACATGTCAGCCAAGAGATGGAGGAAAAGGGGCGCATCTAAATAGACCCTTGGACAGAAGACCTAGTTGCGAAAAGACTGGGGCGACCGCCTAGTTAAACAAACTCCTTTTTGCTCTGACGTTAATGTTGGTTATTCGTCTCAAGCGAAAAGCCGTCGCATCGATTCTGCATCGCGTCGCGTCGCGTCCCGGCCCGCTTCGGCTGGGCCGGCCCGAGGATCAAGACACATGGTCAGTTAAAACAAAAGTACTGCGCTGTGCTGTACATGACGGTATGGTAAATGTTACTATAACTCAAACTCGCAGATCATCATCTCATAAAATCATAGCGAACAATTCTGGAACTGAAGCATTCTGAAAAATGTGCAGTTTCGGGCTTATCCTTGACAGTCTGACAGATTGTGCAACAATGGGAGAAATTGCTCTCAGTCACTCTTTCAAGTTTCTCCTGTAGACCATCAATGTCCGACATCCTAGAGAAAAACGCAAATATATATCTGGAGCTTCTTATTTCTTTTACGCATACCTACCTACCTAGCATATTTTCTGCAAATCTCTTGGCAAATGACAGCAATGCCATCTTCGTCTTGGGTTACCTCCGGTCAATACAGAAAATTTTAATATTTCATCATCTCATGTCTCATATATCAGTCGAAAATTTTTCTTCTTCTTCGCTAAATATTGTATTCATGGAGTTAATGCGAATTTAAAATAGTGAGGTCTCGCATCGTCATAATTTTCCGACTGGTTGTCAGATGAAGCAAATTACTGTAAAAATGTGATCCCTCTCTGGGCTTCGGCCCACTTGCGAGTTTTATAAGATGGCGTAAAAGCTGATACCGTCGCCGGAGATTTTGATATGTCTTAGAATCCCGATTGCTTCTCCTTGAATGTGAAATGGTAAGGCAGCATGATCCATGGATAAAAATTGACTATTAATTTTTTTTCGATCCCACGATTTTATAAGATAGTTTTCTACTACACAGGTGTCACAGACTAACTTACGCTGACTACCGTAGTTTCTTTCCGTTTGACATTCGACAGCGTTGAGGACATTTTGTTTTTCTTTTTACGAGAAGTGAAAAATCAAGAGCTCATTTTTGAAAAATTGACACACGTGTTCAATGCTGCTAGTGAAGCCCTTTGAGCAGGTAAGATCTAGAAGCTTTACAGTAATACGAGTGCTAATTGATCGAGTTCAAATTGTCTATCACAACTAGAAGATGGAAACAGGCAGAAACGGAGTTGTTATTCTGGCAATTGAAGACTTTCTTCTATAGTAATCGACCAAGAACGTTCCAGACTTCCCACTTTTAAAATTGCCGCTGATGGAAGGAAGATTTGAACTATCAGTGCAGCTGAAGTAAGATAGCGTCAAATTTTCCAAAACTAGCTTTCCTAGGGTCATATTATTACGCCAGTAAGCCAAATCATTAACATACCACGGTGAAACACACCTGGGCGATGCATACTCGCTATCTTGAAAGACAGCTGCAAGATGAAGAAAAAGAGTGGGATGAGTAATATTTATTCTGGCAACATCTGCAAACTAACACGACTTCTTCGGCACACTACGCGGAACAAGCAAACGGCTCATAAACGGCACGAGACGCTATACGAGTCAGGGGCTGCAGATGAGACTAAAACCCTGCGCAAGTCGGAGCATTCGGGCATTCCTTGAGGCCCAATACGAGACCCCACCTCATGTGGGTAGGTAAAGCCGTCGGAAACATCTTGAGATGCTTCACTATTCTTCAAAAATTTCCCTCAGGCGTTGAAAGGTCAATTTTACAAAGAAATTGTTAAATTGAAAACAATTTTTTTTGGTGAAGGAACTACTGGGCAAAGCCCGCTGTTACCGTCCCATCATGCAGTATGCAGCAGCAGTTGCAAGCAATTGGAATGAGAGTTTGATGTCCTTGCTTGCGTACTACTACGCCCCTTGAAGCAGCACTTTTTCCGGTCTACCTCGATCATTGAGATTCGTTTATCCATGGAAAAACGAGCGAATGCTTCGGCTGATCTAGATCGGGCAGGCTGCAGCGCGATTTCCCCACGCTGGTTTCACCGCCTGCAATATTAGGAACCTGGGAACAAGGGGAGTGGAGCACTTGCAAAAATTGCTCCGTAACGCGGAAATCGGCAACTTGTTGATCGCGAGGCGGATACTCAACTGCATTAACGAAATACCGAGAGCACAAACCAAAAAGGAAGGGCTACACAATGCGAGATTCAGTAATGAAGCGAACAATCAAGTGTTTTCGAAGCCCAATCGCATTTCCAGGATGCTTGGAAAGGCCGGGCCGGCCCGTGCTAAGCTTTCTCTGTTGCTTCCCCCACAAACGATATATATCAGGGGAGGCTCGCAACGTCATTCGTGCCCTCATCCAGACTATGCAGTAGCGAAGCTGTCACACTCTCAAGAGGGGCGAGAGAAAGAAGGAAGGGGGGGGTTTACGGAGTAATCCCCTAGGATGTTCCCCTTTGATCCTGTGACACTTACAAGCCATCGTTGTTCAACTACAGCAGCTAGTCAAAAAGCTTCACAGAAGATTACTTATCCGCCGAAAATGTCTTTCCCTTTGGATGAGCGCGGGCACTAACTGTCAGCTTACCAAATATATCTGCAATCCATGCTACTTTGAGGTCGGATTTGCCTGCGATCATCCTCGCGCATTGCTGCTCTTGTAAACTATTGTTACTTAAGCTTGACGACAATACGAGGACGCCCTGGGCTCATGCGATACCACTTGCACAGTACCCCACAGAAAATACGAGCGTCGTATCAACCGGAAAGCGGAATCACACGTCATTTGTGTGGTCGCTGCTGTACTTTTGAACCCTCATGGAACTGCTTGGATGTGCTGACCCATCACATTGTAAGCCAGTACTACTACTCATCCGCCCTTGCCTGCGCGGAGCTCGGACAGCATGGATGACCTTGATCGCACTTACTCTTTTCTATGCTATTGCACCGTTTCTCCTCAGGATATGAGATTTATATAAAGAGGGTCCCATGGGAGGGGAACTCATAGTCGTTCTTCCTGCAGGGCAGAAAACTTCCAAAGCCAAACAGCAAACCACTCTCGGCCTAATTACATTCGTTTTGAGAGGACCTCCCAAATCGCAACTGCAATTCCTCCAAAAGCCAAAGTAAATCTTTTGTTTACTGTTTGTACTACTACCACTAGTGTTTTGAACAGTCCCGATTTTACTTCCTAATTCCCCCATCTCAAAACACCAAAAGCAAAAGAAAGGATGAGGTTCTCACTCATCGGCGCAAGCCTCTTTGGCCTCTTGGCCGGCCTGACCTCATCGGCCATGGCCCAGTTCACAAACCAATCTGCCCCGTTCTACTTGGTCGTCATTTCGCAAAACCATACCATTAACGGCTCCGCGCTCGTCGCCTGTCACGAGGGCGCTGCCATCGAGGGTCTCTGTGTCGGCGGATCCATTGCGACCTCTTCTCCCGGCGGCATCAAAGGCGTGTCTCAGTACAACTTCAACGGCTCTTCGAACCCATATATCCAGAATGCGACTCTCGGCGAGACCGGTCTCTTGACCTACGTGCTCCGCGGCGGCAACTTCAACGAGTCTGAGGCCATGGGCTTTGCCACCAACCCGGCCTCCAATGTTGCCTTGCCCTTGTTTTACCCCGGCGAAGACAACTACCAGCTCATTGCGTTTGATAGTCACAACAGACTGAATATCCAAGCCTATGTCGATGACCGCATCGTCCCTGCTTACTCGGGTATCGAGAACAAGGCTTACTACCGCTGGTATGTCTGCTCGACGTATTATACGGGCTACAATTACGAGACACTGGCCTGGGTGTATGGCGACCACAAGCCCCAGAACCCGACGTGTCAAAAGGTCGAAGTCAAGAGAGTCTTTGTCAATTAATTTTGTCAATGTGTCAAATATCAGAGATTGTGCGGGGTCTTGTTTGGTTGGAGGGGAGGGGAAATGATGAAGGGAATTGGAGAAAGAGTTGGACTTTTACCATAAAGTTTCTTTCCCACTTGTTTATCCATCTCGGAAAAGTGAAAAGAAGGTCAATGATGGATTATTGATTTGACTCAATATATTTTTTTCGATTTGGTCTCTCAATCCCGTTCACACCCGATGCCTGGGCATATCGTGATGAGCTCGATTTATATTTCAACTTCTCTTCTTTTTCCCCTTTCCGTGACATCTTTAGCTTCCTCCACCCTTTGCAATCCCTCCTCCCCTGTCATTTCCTTCACTCTCTTTCTGCTCTTTTCCCGTTTTTGTCTTCTCGCTTTGGCTCCAGGCACCAGTCGGCCCAAGACTTTATAATAATCTGTACCTTTACACTTTACAATGTATCTCCCCCCGCTTTGTTTTCTCCCAATTCACCGCACAGCATGTCCTAGCATACACTCATTTGACACAGATATGTCATACACAGCATCACAACTTGCTTAATAATATTGTATCCATGTCAACTTGAGATAACCTGATAATATAATATATGAATTGTCTGTCTCTTGTTCTCTGTTTGTATCTTCTCGTAATGTCTGTTCAAAGGACTGGAGTGAACCAAGATGCTGATAGAGATAGAATGCAGTGATTACATGATAAATACGATGCACTAATTATTCAATTTGAATCAGGAATCACATTATTATATCAGTTTTTTCTTTCCCAAGTCAATATTATTCCTAACTCAATATTATTCTGGGGGAAATTACGTGTAGAAAATGGAGTTATGCCAACCGAGACGCGTTTGGACGGATGGGTGGTGGGGAGAAAGCACAAGCGCAGACGCATCTCCACAAGTCCAAGTCCATGACAACATACTCCGATAGCCCTCCCTCTCTTTCTCCCAACTGATATTAGTTATCACAACACTCTCCCTCTCTCGACCAGACCTAACGGCCAGGCCTGCCTTTTCTTTCAAGCAATGCAGAGAAAGACGACGAGATCAAGATGAAGAAGAAGACAATCTTGCTCTGCTTCATCCATGGGTTCAAGGTAAGTCTCATTACTGTCAAGTCGCATTTGCGATCCTATCACCGTATCACACCGCCGGGAACCCCACCGCAGTGCGGCTCCTCCGCGCACAAAATCGCAACATAGCATCTTCTCTCGAATCCTGCTCGAATGAGCTATGTTCGGACATGACACTACATATTTGGCGCATGATAATACACTGGGAGCTTAATACATTACACAGGAGACTAATACGGCTCATAGGGCGGCGATGACACATTTGGCAATTTCCCGCAGCACTTGCGCCAGCTTCTCAGCAATGCGCTGCCCAAGGTCGACATCGAGGTGCTCGTGTATCCCAAGTTTGAGACACGCGGAGACTTGAAAGAGGCGGTTGCAAGATTTCGAGACTGGTACGTATGCGATTCATGCCAATTCGATAACTTACAACGACCTAATTACCTTCTTGCTGTGCTAACTGTACCCCCAGGCTACAGAACAAAGTCATAGACCTCGAAGTGGCCAAAGGCACATCATCACCGACAATAGACCCGTCAGTGCGCACGGTATTAATCGGGCATTCCATGGGGTAAGCCTACCCTTCACTTCCCACTCTTCCCACTCTTCCCTCGCATCTACAAAAGTAACAAAGTCTCACATAACCCTTTTTTTTCTGGTGCAGTGGTATAGTCGCCGCGGAAACAACCATATCGATAGCATCCGAACGACCAGTGGGCGACAACTTCTCTGAAGCGTCGTCATTCATGTTTCCTTATATCCAAGGCATCCTCGCCTTCGACACGCCCTACCTGGGCATCGCACCGGGCGTAGTCGCGCACGGGGCTGAGGGACACTACAACACGGCATCGACAGCATACGGGTACTTGCGCGACGCCGGCAAAGCATTTGGATGGGCAGGCGGGTCGAACTCTGGCACCTCGAGTCCTGGCTCAGGCGCACGAACACCGCTCGGTCTACTACCCGGCATTGGATCATCCGGGACACCTGGCACGTCTACTCCCACTGGCGCTGGCACCGGCGAAGCAATATACACGGGAGGCGACGCGGCAGCCATGCCCGCGTGGCAGCGATGGGGACGCTACGCCATGTTTGCCGGCGCCGCAGGAGCAGTCGCAGCCGGGGGCGCAGCAGCATATATGAAGCGGGACCAGATCACCGAAGGATGGGGCTGGGTATTTTCACACCTGGAGTTTGTCGGCTGTCTGGCGCGCGGAGAAGACTTGAAAAAGCGAGTTGCTCGCGTCGCGCAGCTCGAGACGGAGCATAATCTGGGTTTTGCAAATCTATATACCTGCCTGGGCAGCGCGGCCGCTGCAAAGTCTTCTGGCCGCGTGAGCAGCGGCGTCCTCGGGGCCGAGCGAACGTTTTGCTCACTGCCCAAGAGCGAAGTGCTGAAGAAATTCTTCCACAAGACGACGAATGACGCGGCAAAGGACGAAACCATGGCCCATATGAGCATGTTTTTGCCAAGGGATAATCCAGGGTATTACGACATGGCGGAGCATGCGCGAGAATTGATTACAGGTTGGCTCCAGAATGAGTGGTACGAGTCGGCTGATAGTGTGCAAATCATGGAGCAAGGCGGTGATGATTCTCGTAATGTTGAGCTGGGTGTTGAGTCGGGCCCGGATCAGACGCAGACGCAGGCGCGGACCCCTACGCCTGAATTGATTGATGCCGAGGAAAAGCCTGACATGGTGGAGGCGGAGGAAGAGGGGGAGGAAGAGGGGGAGGAAGAGGCGAAGACGGAAGCAGTTGCAATCTCGTCCTCTGCGGCAGAGACGGCATTTAAACAAGATGGCAGATCTTGAGGGTGCAGTATTCGTCTCTTCCATTTCTTTATTCTTTCTTTCTTTCTTTCTGTTTTCACAGTCGATGCACAACTTCCACCTCTATTTTTTTTTCTTTTCTCTCCGTTCCGGCGTTATTGTCATCATCAAGGGGTATGAGAAGACATGACCGGCGTTAATTCAGGCGTCCCATCTCCTAGAGTCTTTGGAGCGAGTGATACAACTTTCGGGATTTGATCACTTCTCGCATTTTTTTTTTCCAATACCAAGCAGTATTCACCGGCTGAGTAGTATACCAATAGGATAAGCATAACTTGGCCACAAGGATCTTGGTCTAGTATACCAAATAAACCAAGAACGGCGTTTTGAATAGAAATCATTTCAATACTACAAGTGTGCGTCATCAATATCATCATGTCTATGATTGAACAATACAGGGGACCTTGTGGGGGAGCCACATAAGCAGGCCAAATATCCTGATTCCTGACATATTGCAATTCTGGCAATAGCAATCAAAGATTGTTTCAGTTGTCCTTTGAGTCTCTTACATTGTAGTGCATCATACAGAGCACGAGAGTGTGGGATGAATCGCGTGTCAGTCTGAGAGAACGCGGAGCTTCAAAAAGATCATAGGACTTTGATGGCTCATGGCTCATGGGCCGAACGAGTTTTATATGAGTATTCTCAAGACGAGATGCATCAGAGCAAATGGACGAGGGAAGATAAGGAGCCGGATCTTGTTTTCCTACTGCTGTCAATGTAAACACAACATCAACTTCTAGAATGATCTGATTTGATCTGATCTGAGTGAGTGCGGTGTGATGTGACGTGGATAAGATTAATTGATTAATTGCAACTAGAATATGAGCTGAGCATTGCTCGGTATAGAAGCGGACAGAGTATGTGCTCCGTGAGGGCCTGAGGCAGAGTGTGACTCTGAAAAGGGTGCAGTATAATATATATATATATATATATAGATATATAGATATAGATAGATATTAAGTGGATGAAGCAGTATCGTATCGCTGCAGTAATATTCGACAAAAGGTGAAACGTGAGGAGTTTATCTTTGTTTCAGAGTTCGACAAAAATTCCAAAAGGATTAGAAGGTAAGTTTGTGTAAGAAAAAAGGGGAATAGTAGTTGGAAGAAAGTCCAGACGGGCTTTGGGAGAAAATGTAAAGGATGGCGAGAGGGGGATAAGAATTCCACAGAAGAAAAAGAGATGATGAACGAGGACAAGGACACAAAAGACAAAGAGATGACGAAATGAGAACGAATACACCACAAAAGAAGAAAAAGAGATGACAATAGTCGATAGAAACTTCTAAGATAGAAACTTCCAAGTTTGGATATGACCGATGAGTGGAGAATACCACCACCTCTCACCGCGTGTTTTTTTTTTTTTTTTTTTTTTTGTTCTTTCACGAGCGTATCATGATACAACGGTGGTGATGACGAAGCAGCTGAGCCACCTGCGGCCCCTGCGGGTCTCCCCCCAAAAGAGGGGCAAAGATCATTCAGTTAGTTACTGCGACAGTTAGTATGCTAGGTAAGTCTGTAACTTAGTTGGTGCTCATATCGATGACTTGTGTAATCATATTTGCCGTTGTCACAGAAAATAGCATAACGTAGCGTAGCAGGTTCTAGTCATGTATGGATCCCGGCACATGAAACTTTGATCCTCTAGGCCTCGCAGATCTAGTCCGAGAAGCGGAGCGATTCGAAGCAAGGTAGACCATGGAAACTTCCATAAATTTGGGAGGGAGAGTAAAATCACGACCCCGACCTCGACCCCGACCCCGCACGTGAAGAGGAGAAGAAAAAAAATAGAGCTGCCATTAGGCCCGCATGGTTGCCTTCTCGGAGAAGAACAATGAAAAGGGGCAAAAAAAAAAAAAAAAAAAGATTTGTGACAAGACGGAGACGGGATTTTGCTCATTCGGACGTACTTCATAATTTGCACATGTACCGCATCGCGATGGGAAGGAAAGAAAGAATAGAAGAGAGCGGCAGCAGTTGGCTTGGCTTGTCTTGTCGTTGAGGATTTCCATAAAAGGAACTTTCCACTCATTTTGCCCCCCTCAGGAGCTCTCCAGGCCCTTGAGAAAGTACTCTGATAGGTTGGACTGCTTAGTACCTAGATTTTGTCCCAGTAGCCGCACACGGGGGCGTTTGGGGGGGGGCTGCTTGAGGGCCAAAGCCACTGTAACATGTAAGTTAACTCATGACAGCGTCATCGAGATATCGGAGTACACATAATGGCGAAGGCGAGCTCATGCTGTTCTAAATGAGTACGTCGCTCCTCGTTCCCGTCACGCGTCACCCTGTCATCTACTTACCAGTTTCCAGGTAGGTAAAGAACAGAGGAGCGGCAATGAATCGGGGCCCAGTTCGTGACGAGGTTGAGGACATGGTTGCGATTAACATGGTCTGTGACCATGGGCTGGCAATGGTGGCGCCAATCAAACGACATGGTCCTTTTACCCAAAAAAACACGGAGTTAATGTGTGAGAAACTGGCTGATGGAGAAAAGGGATGATCACCATTTTGGATCCGATCCAGATGGGGCGGAGAAGGAAGATAGGTGGCTGAGAAGAAAGTTGTGGGTGTGAGTAAGCCAGCCAGCACGCAAAGCGACCAGACAATGCCTTTTCCAATGGCAAAGAAGAACAAGACGAAGCAAGAAGATGATCTTTCCCCAAGGGCCAAGGGTTCCTGTTTCTTCTTGGGCATTTGTCCGAGCCCCGCCCTCGGTCTGATTCCATCGTAGAAAGAAAAATGACCCCCAATAGACTTTCTCTCTTATCGAAACAACGATCGCACTCCAAAGGTTGTGTGTGGTCCTCTGGGTAATCAATCACGAATCCCTGTGGCGCCGCAATCGTATCGGCCCCAGTTCGGACGCGTGGCAATAGAGCCTTCTTGGCTTCTGATGCACGCGATGGCTGTGCTAGAAAGTCGGACTTGGATACTCTTGTCAAGGATCGACACTATTTGACAGGAAGCCTTGGATGCATACGAGTAACCGCCAATTGTAAACGACTCACAGATGCTCAGTTTGGCCTAATTGATTATTAGACTCACGTACAGAGTTTGGATACGCATCAGATGTTGTAAAGGAATTTCAAGGATCATATCGTCCTATGGTCATCAAACAAGAATCCAGAAATATCGGAGTACAGTCCAATAATAGCTCAGGCATCCCTCAAGGTAATCGGTAGTTCATATTATTACTGATATCAACCGAATATTATTTGATGAGTGGTACTGCAGTATTATTGGACTGGCCGCTTCAATAATCTACTCGATAATATCATACAGTGGCAATAGAAGAATCCACACCGTAACCGAAACCGTGCAATTATTCTCAGGGATCCTAGGCATCGTCCGAAGAAATCCCGGCATAATTGTTTCGCTCCTCGTCATGGTTTGGACCGCTTTGTCCCTGCCGTTCGGTCATCCTTTTAAAACATGTCATGTTATTGTACAGCAAGACTGCGCTCATACTTTTTTTTTTTTTTTTTTTTTGCTTTCCTTTCGCATGCTGTCATCATCATTATGCTGGGTTCCAAACATCATGCGTGCATGTCTCGGATGTCAGTGCCCTGTCTGATAATGGATTTAGCCAGCCGCATTTTGATTCATACCGTGGCTGATCAACAACAAAAATTGCTCCTTGACCAGCCAATACATCAATACGAAGTGGTATAGTGATAAAATGGCCGTACTGTACACTGTACGAAGGTACATGCATACGATGCATCATGTGCACTCCGTGGTGACTCCTATCGATGAAGTGCCAAACCTGCAAAAAGGAGCCGCAAACCCAGAGCCTTGAACATTTCGTGTGGGGGCAGCCAAGGAGCAGCAGAAGCAATATAGGGCGTCACATAATAATGTCGCGTCGAGTCTCATCAAAAGACCGCATAATACATACAGCCCTGAGGCGCTGAATCAGAACGCGAGAGTAAATTCGTTTCCCTTGCGTGGCCAGCTCATCACACAAAAACGTTATTTACCTATGCCCTTGATCGCGGTGCCCGCAAATGCCGGATCTGGCTTTTCCTTCCGTCATCTGCCTGCCTGATCAGACTGGAAGATCTACACTGTTCCAAATTCTTTTGGGCGCCGAGAGGTCCACCAGAACTGCAATCCAGAACTATTTCCGACAAGCCTCCATCTCTTCATGCGTGTGACGATGAAACAATTTGATATAGATATGTCTGGGAACAGGTATCCGGGATGGTGGCTAGTCAGTTCTCCAAAGGGATCTTCCGCGGATTTCTCCCCTGTTTTATTTGCCTGAGGTGGGCATGGTACTTGGAAGTTCAGACACTTCTTTTTTTTTTATGACAACGATGATGATGATATTGATGAGAAACGGCAGCTGGGAAAGCGCTACGGGTCCGTCACCGACATTCGCTCAGAGTAAAATTCTAGCCCCGCCATCTAGAACGTTGAAACATTTCGAAATTTGAGCATGCCGAGAGAGAAACCGAGCATGACAAGTGGAGATGAAAAGATCCCTTCACTTTCAAAAAAAGTCAGTGGAGCCCAGACATGTCATATTCTGGCGTGCCTCGGGGGCTGCGATCCTCGGTCCCAGTGTGATTATGACGCGTCGATCCTGCGTTAAGTGCGCGGGAATGATGGAGCAAACGAGAAAAAGTTCAGCGTGGTCTGCCCATAGACAGCCCCCGAGGGCCCCAGCTGCCAAGTGGGAACAAGAGTAACAATACTGGGTCAGTGCGGGAAATGGCCGACGGAACTATAGTACCGGTACGTGCCCATCGTTTTCTCGCGTGCCACCGTTTTTCCCGGTGGGCTCTATGCTATGTCCGCGCCAGGAAGAAGATTGCCCTCTGTGTAACCCGTGAATTGATTAGTTAGGCAGGCAATAATTAACGATGCTGCTATTGAAAGTGGATATGATTACTGACCCATTCTTCGTCGTCTTTCTGCCGAACTGAGCCGGTTCGGCGGTCTTTTAGAAACCGCCGAAGTCATTCGACAGGAGCGACGGAACGAACATTCCCTGCACGACTGATCAAGGGGCCTTGCAACGATAGCACGAAAAAGGTGTTGTAGTACCAAAATCGTGAAGCTAAAAGTTCACACCCGTTGCAGCAGTATTTGATGCTTGAGTAAGGCAGTTCGTGCCCTGGAAATATCCATCAACAACATCGGCGCCGAAACTTTAGTGTATCTGTCCGTGAACAGCGTCAAGACCCTTGGCACCTAAGCAACCTTGCGTATGTCTTGTGAACTCACTCTAGCCCGCTCATATCTCAATGGCCACATCAACTAGCCATAATCACTTGCCTTGTTGGCTCCTTTGTGCAGTCTCTGCGTTGCTTTTCCACTCAAGTCGAGAAGCTCACCTCGCTTAATCAGACTCGCAGCCGCCCCTTGGATATCGAAGGAGCTTGACTTGGTGTTGCATCCCAGCAAGGCATCCAAACTATAGGCACACCCACTGTTTGTGCACATTTCTCAACCCAACGGCGGCTGCAGCCTGACAATTTCCTCTCCTTCCGCTTTCTTGCATATCTTTCTAAACGTCGTCCATCCAGCCAATCAGCAGACGTATCCAGTTTGATCTGCAATCATGTACACTAAAATCCCCTTTTAAGGAAAATTAAAAAGGGCCTGTCCTGTCAGTCATCTATTTGCACGTATCGAGGTTCGGGAAAATCCATACAAATTAGAGGTCATCTTTCCGTCACTTTTTCTGTATTGTCATCGGTCGACTCGTAATCATCATCATCATCAATCAATCAATCAATCAATCAATCAATATCGGAATTTAGCACTGAACGAATTGATGTCTAGGCGTATTCGGATCCACGCCTTTGACCCACATCCCTCGTGATACGCCTGTTTCGATAATTCAAAGCTCTAAGTTATTGATCTTCATAATGAGAACTAGTAGTTAGTCTTGCGGCAGTTTGCCCTTGCGTTTTCGGCTGTTCGTATCACCGTTTTGACACCAGTGTTCCCGTTCAATACACGAAGAAAAGGGCTAAATTCACCAAGGACAGTACGTAGCACGATACGAAAAAAGGGCAAATGGTGTAAGCTACGTGTGTGGCAGAAGTGTGAAGAGGAAAATGCCACGGACGACCACCATAAAGGGATTAGACAGTTCGCTTCGGCCTATCGCCAATCGCCACCCGGCCCTTTTTCAGCTGTCTCCATTCTTTCATGTAAAAAGTCGAGGGTTTGGGTTGGGAGCAAATCTTGGGACCAACTTTAGCGAGAGCCCGAGGAGAAAAAATGCTGACCACGGAAGGCACGGAGATGAGAAGGTACCACAATTACCGTACATATCTGAGTTCACGCTGCTTTGGACCTGTAACTTTCCCTTTTCCCCCCACCTCCCACCCCCCCTACTACTGTAACATGGATGACCAGACATCTTTCCCAGCTCGGCCAAGACAACAATATACACCAGTTGGGGTGGCTCAAAGGACAAATGGGTTCTGGGATTACGGCAACACCTCGCGTCTGTGACTCTGCCACCTATCCACCCACCTTTCCCCACCACCCAACCAACCTAAATCACCCTCTCGGCGTCAACATCATCATCCGCACCATCATCAAAATCATCTCTTACTTTACTTTGTCCCGCCGAGAGGGTAAGTCCCCGGTAAATTATCCTGTCCATCCCCCATGACTGGACCCGTCTCGTACACGCGCCTTCCGATCCATACGCGCATAATCACAGCTTGATTGGCTCTTTTGCTAAAAGGCCGGTCCCAAAATTGGACTTTTATTATTATCCTTTCCATGACCCCTTTGAATCTTGCCCGCAACTCGGAACAGAGATTTTCTGTTGGCCCCTCATCGACGCATCATGTCACCCAAAGGAACGAGCCCGATCATCTCGCTGCGTTTCTGATGCCGCCCTTGTTTCTGCCCCCAAACCCACGTCTGTCCTCCTGCCGAGACGGTGTCGCGCGCTACCGCCCCGCCACACGCAGGCCAAAAGGAAGTGGCCCTGGTCATTTTCTTCCAGAGAGCAAGCTCGTCGGATCTGATTCCCTCTCCACCCTCATCATGTCCTGACTTCCGTGTTCGACTGACTGGTGCCGGCATGACTTAGCATGGCGGTTTCGGTGCTGCTGTGCCATTTTGACCCTTACGAGAATCCCAGTAATAATGTTGATCCCACCAGACCACTTGCCGCCGTAGCAGCCAGTTGTACTCCGAGTCTGAGCCGACAGTTTTGGTCAGAAGTTCTCGGACACCAGACTCCATGTACATCACTGTCTTCGTCTTGCATCTTGTTGGACAAAGACCCATGGCCGTGAAAGGAGAGGACACGAAGGCGCAATTCAGGAGGCCCGTGAATCAGTACGGATCAGCGGACATGCGCCCTTTTCCCATGTCCTTGTCCGCTGGACCTTGTGGCATCAACCCGCATCATGCTCTCCTCGATGCTTGCATCGGTCTAGGCAGCTTTATCACATAGTCCCTGAGCGGAATGCAAACAGATGGAACGCGTCCACGCGTAGCTCTGGCTCCGAAACCCTCTCTAACAGGAAGCAACATAGTCACAGCTGCCGTTCTTTCATGGAAACGCGCCGTGTACTCTGGGAGTGAGAGCCTAGCTTACTGGGATCTTGAGATAATGCATCTTAAGGGATACTTTTGTTTGGTCCGGATGCTAAAGGGGGCCAACCGTCGTGATACGGTCATGATGACGAGCTACAGAGGGTTGTCAAATAAACCCTACTCCATAGTCTTCCTTCTACGAGGCTCTGTATTCGTTGCTCATAGCTCGGTCGGAATACAAGATGTGATAGTCTAGACTGTATCTGCCAAGACTAAAATTAATTCTTTCTTCTCCCGACTTTTTTGATCGGCCGTCCGAGCATGGACCGATCGAGCGAGAAACGGACGTAGAAAGGAAGTCAAGGAAGTCGTCGGTTGGCCGGTTATAGCAATGTTCCTTTAGAGCCAAGAAGAGAAGGGGGAAAAGTAACCATCTCAAAACTCATTTGTTGGCCTGCGTGTCGGCCGGAAGCATTCCTGCTAATCAGCTCGATCTTGGACGGATGACTTGACTGAGCCAGGCCGATTGCAACATGAAGCGAACCGGGCGGCCGATCTTTGACTGATCGATAATAGAGTGTCGTTCCCGTAGTGGGCCAATTCATTCTTTCGGGCCCCTTATTCGGAGATGGGTAAGACAATCACAAAATGAGGATCCGTTGAAATGAAAAGAAAATAATTGAAAAAGGCTAAAGTCGGACGATGCGTGTAATGGGGCCGGGACAAGGAGAGTCAGCAGGCGGACAAATGCTAAGGATTGACTAAATGTTATTGAAGGGCTGGATGCAAGAAGAGCCGGGAATCACTCGGCCTGGCAAAAAGCCACGGAGAAGGGTTCCAAGGCGACAAGCAACGAGGGAGCGAATAGCCGTCGACCGGCTCCAAGGGAAAGAGATTGAAGCCAAAGGAGCAGGTTTCCTCTCAACCATGGGGCCAGACCAGGGGACCAGGAGGGGTGGACAAAAGGGCGTTTCGTGCATGTGTGCGTTCGTTTGTACTTCTGTGCAGCACAATAATCATGCAGTTAGCTTGGGGGGGAAAGTCTTGTGGTGGGTGGAGATGGAGGGGGGGAGAGGCTCTGGGTCATCATGGATCTCCTATGGGTCCTTGATCTGTGCCAGGTGTGCGGTCTGACTTTTTTTTTTTTCTCATCTTTTTTACTTTTCTTTTTCAGCATCGGGGCTCCGAAGTGCTTGCGAACCAAGCGAGGAAGGTCTCTCAGCAGGAGCGACAGGAGATTGCATGTACCCGGTACCTGGTCAGAAATTGGATCTCGGCCTTGTGCCTGTACTCGTACTGATCCTTGTCCGGTCGCCGGCATGCCAACGTGTATCTCCCACCGCCCTTGTCTGAGCCAGATGTGAGTTGGCCATATCGGACCGGTACTTGTCCGGTTTCGCTCGTCGGGACTCGGATGAAGTATCAGCTACAGCGTGGATTCCGTTCCTTGCGACAAGAACCCATGCCGGCTGAGGCAGCCCTGTTTCGTTCCATACGAACGCAGCCCGCCCATGGATCTGAGTTGGTTCGATGGGGAAGGCAGTGGTCACTTAACCGAAAACGCACCAACGGGACATTGCGCCTTCAATAATCATACTTTTTGGTCCTTTGTTCCATCATCTCTCATCAATCATCCACGGCCTAGCTAGTCCCAGTCGTCGACGCCCAGCCTAGTAGCACTGTAGGACATGCGACGCCGATGTTGGTGCCGGAGCCCACCTATTCCGTTGCTTTCCCCATTGCATCCTGTATTATTGGTGCTTTACGATGAGTACGGTATTTTCACACCATGTACCCCCCCGTACTCAATTAATGATCTTGCTCATGCTTTTCTCTTGGTTTTGTTCGGCCTTGTCTGGCATGTCCCGTCGTCACCTTGGCCCCTTCGCTTTTTCCCAACCCCCACCTAGCCGACGCCGGCGCGGCTGGCCCCAGAGTCAGTTCAGAGCAAAATCATGCCCGGGACTCCTAGGGAAAAGTCTTTTGGATCATCCTTTTTCGACGCTATGATAACTTTTTCGGGCTCCCTGCACACGAACGGGCTTGTCCTTGCCTACTCGCCTGCCTGTCCGCCTAGCTACTATACCTACCTGCCTGCTTGCTTTGCCTTTTGGATCCAATCCGATTATCCACATCCCACTAACTACACACACGCGCCCACATGAAATGCTTGTCAGGTTGTCCATCAACAACGCCGCGACCAAAACCGCGCCCCCCCTTTTACCCACAAGTCAACTCGCCCATCACCCTTTTCCGGTGTCACTCGATGACCAATAGCGCTCCCGAGGAGGCATGAGAGAGAAAGAGAACAGGAATTCTTTAGGCGCGAGGCTAGGGACACCTCGTACGTTTCTGTTCCCAGAAGATTCTAACCGGCATGCGCATCCCCATCTCCCATTATTTCGCCCGGTCACCAAACGCTGACCGCCCGTACCAATACCCATTCTCCACTTGATGCTTGCACTCTCTGACTTTCTCACTTCTCGCTCAACCCACACATCTCACACACACGCAGTGCACGCACGCACGCACGCTTTCACTTCTCGCTCACAGACACTCCTTCTACGAACCATGAACCAAACCAATCCACTATAGCTTCTGCCGCCGCCGCCGTCGCCGCCGCCTCCGACCTTTCTTCCACCCTTCCCACTCTTTCCCTCCCCCCTCCCCCCTTCACCCCTCCCCTCCGCGTCCTCGCAGGCGAGAATCTTCCCAGCATTAGTATGATTGCGGCACGCGGCGTTGATGCGACCATTTCGGTGCTATTCAAACTAGGGCTTTTTGTTTGATGATGGCGCTCTCATTGTGTTGCTTGGCCGGCCACACCCAAACCAGACTAGCGTCGTTCTTCCCACAACCCAAGACGTCGGCTCTGACATCAACCGGCCCTGGTCCTTGGCCGCTTTTTTGGAGATCAGCCTCTTTCTTGACCTACCCGTAATGGGTCTCCCATTGTCAGTTGGCCGGATGCCGTGGAATGTTTTATCATGTCCTCGGTGTCCACCTGCTTAGGTTGCAATTATGATAGCAATAAACGACCTTTTCTCCTCTCTCCTCTTCATCCAAAAGGCACGTTGTTGACCCCTGGCGTGCTCCAACATCTCCTCTGCTCTCCATTGTTTTGATTCTCCCTTTGTACGGCTTGCAACGCTGAAGAGCCCTACCTACCTACCTACCTTTTATAGTCGGCGGCTTCGTTCGGTTCTACTTAAAAGCTTATCCGTTGGAGAGCTTGATATCTACGAGATACGCGTCTTGTGCAACATCATTGTGACGGCAGGACCTGTTCGATAGTGCCCTCATTGCTGGAAGGAACGGCTTTGGGCTGCACCTTCCTTGATCTGTCCCGCTCCGTCCTTGATCACTCCTTCACCTTCCATTCCAGCATTCACAAGACGGCTGGACATCCGTCCCATTTATTCAATAGTATTCTGAGACGACGACGACGACGACCAACTCCATCACTCATCATCCGCTTCACCAGTTCGACCTGCTCCGTCTCGACCTCATCTTAATACTTCTATCTGTCATAGACCCTTTCTAAGGCCTTTTACAACCTGCCTGTTTCCTGAGCAGGCCCCGTCTCCATGGTCGACGTTCAGCCGTTCTCATTCATGTATCAACCATTTTCGTCGAACCCGCCGTTGGACTTTCTCGCTCCCGCCGTCCATTCCACCTACGACTCCCTTCACGGCATCGAAACCGCTGAACGATCATCCCGCCCAAAAACCTGGTACTCAAGCTCGTCCAACCAGACGCCAACGGTGGCCGGGGGCGTCCGAACACCCCCCGAGGATATGAACGGATCCAAAATTAACAATCTCGTGCCTCTGAGCTATGGTGGTCGATCATACAATACTCTAAAGAATGCATACTTGACACCGATCAAGTCTCATCGACTCTCAAATCCTCCCACTAGAGTGCCGAGCAAAACGATACCCGGATATTATAATGGAAACGTGTCTGTAGTCAACTCCTCGAGCCAACCGTCAAGTCCCAGTTCACGCCGAACCGCTCCTTCTGAATCGGCTCAGCGACGGAGAAGTTCAAGCGCCAGTTCCATCATATCCTACCTTCAGATTCCCTCATCCATCAATAATAGCAAGGGCAGCCTTGCGGACTTTGCAGCCGGAGTGAGTTTGATTACAAGGCTTTGCAATTGGTGTGGTGACGGAAGTGCTAACCCGCAATACCTAGATTACTTGCCTTTTCTGGTTCGAGTCGTCTGCGAATCTGCAGCGCGTGGAGGATTCGTCAGTTTCTCTGGTGCCCACGACGCTTGTCAGGGAAGCTCTTCCTTCAACGGGTTTCAGGAAATGGGTCACCACGATTTTGTCGACTACGCAGGTGACTCAGAATGTAGTCTTGCTTGCCCTTCTCTTCATATATCGACTGAAGAATATGAACCCTAGCGTCAAGGGCAAGCCAGGCAGTGAATTTCGTCTTTTGACCGTTGCCTTGATGCTCGGTAACAAATGTAGGTGGCTGCAGCTATACAATATCAATGGCCCCATTTGAAAATGATCACTAACACGAATATAGTCTTGGATGATAACACGTACACGAATAAGACATGGGCTGAAGTCTCTGGGATCTCGGTTCAGGAGATTCACATTATGGAAGTTGAATTCCTCAGCAACATGCGTTATAGCCTCTTCACCTCGGAAACTGAGTGGAAGGCATGGCAGATGAAGCTGGCCAAATTTTGGGACTATTATGAGAAGGCTTCGAGGCCGTCTCCAGTTCAACCCTTGCAACCATCCGTTTCAAGTCTGGCTGTCCCACCATCGTTGCCATCGCCTCCTGCTTCCACGCATGCTTCCCCGCCCTTTTTGGGAACCACATCGCCAAGCCACTCTACGTTTGCCCAGTCTATCCCAACTCTCCCTCGCGCAAGCAGCTTTGTGCCGCCACCAGTTGGTCACAGCCTCGAGCCTGAACAGCGATTATCGAGTCGAAAGCGGAGCTACGATGACAACGCTCAAGAACCGCCCTCGAAGAGAGTCACGCTCTCCGGTGCTCCGAGCGCGACATCCAGTTCGACCTCGGCGCCTTCTATGGTTCCGATGGTCCCTCATCAAAACATCCCACGGCTGCCGGTCCCAAATCTCTCTCTTTCAACAACCCCCGTTGGCAACGGCTTCAACATTCCTCCTCCGTCGACGCAACTCCCTCCTCCGACCACGTCACAGGCCATGACGACTTCTTTTCCTCCACAGCTTGCTTGGCCTCAGCCAAGTGCAGTGGCCCCGCCGCCACTGCCCCCTCCTTCTGCTCAACCGACCTCTCAGCCGTTTTCTATTTCGCCCTTTGGTGACCAGTCTCGCCGACAGAGCCCCTACTCTCTTCCTTCAGCCATGTCCTCTCCTGCCTCGGCGGGCTTGCCTGGATATGTGCATTCGCAGAGCCATCTTTCACCCTCGTTTATCTTGGCACAGAGGAACTCGCCATACCGACCCGTGCGGAGCGTGAACACTCTTCTCGTTCCTCCTCCGTCAGGGTCGATTAACAACCTTCATCATCTTGGCTTTGACCAGATGCATTACCAGCCTTTGGGCAAGTCTTCGAACGAGCGCAAAACTGGTGTGGTTCCGTTTTATTCCCATGATACATGGTCAAACCAGACAACTCAGTGGCCTCCACTTTCACAGCCTAGCTTTTATCATTAATCGTTGGACGCCGCTGTCGTGGTTACTATTGTCATTATGCGCATCGTCATCATCACTATCACTATTCCTATTTATTTTGAACCAAGCGCATATCTCTGCCTTGCTTACCTTTCTACTTCCACTTCTTACCCTTTGATTGCATCATACGCTTTGGCATCTTTTCTTTTCGTGGCATCGGTTTGGTTGCATTAGTATGGCGTTTCAAGGGCAAATTGGAGCCTGGGAAACCATTTGAACTCCTCGTTGTATATATATTCTATTCACGTTCCGGGCTAGAAAGGAAGGTTGTTGCTGCTGCATGTGGCATCTGCCTTTTCTCTTCTTGATCCATCTCGTGTTCATTTCTTCCTTTTTTTGAAGCATTTACGGGGATAAAGCGACAGCGTTTTCCACTTCCCCTTTTTAGTCGCATACATTTTCGGGTATAGGACTGGGTCTGATTGGGATGGGTTTTGCATGGTATATGGGAAGCACAGCACGAAGCAAAAACGCTTAATGGAAATGGATGCATTTCGGAATGGGTCCTCACGGACATGAAGTACTCTACAGGCGTTGATGGGAAATTGGCATGCCAAATTTGATTGGCTTGGCTTCTTGCTTGCCATGTCCTCACCTTGTCATTGGTGATCTACAAAGTCACCTTGACTGGGTTTGTAGAAGAGTAGAGAATATCAATACACAATATCTCTGTTAAATTTGATGTTCCCCAAAAAAATGTTGGATATGCGATGCACAGTGGCGCTGCGGTGAAGACGGTAGAGAAGTGGATGATGTAATCTCTTTGTACGGCATTCTGATTGGTTGGAGATGGGTCCGTTGTTGCATATCTACTTTGTGCCGAAAACTTGATTTATGCAAATTATGCTGCGTAAGATGAATGACTAATCATTGAGCTCTCTTGGGTAACCTATCATGTAGAACTAATATATATATATATTTGGAATATTAGATAATTAATGATTTGTATCTGTTATTATAGAGAAATTACATACTTTTGTTTAAAGAAGAAATTAGGCATATGGAGGTTTGTTGTTAATAAAAAATGTTATTACATTCTGAGAATATTTTATGGGGGCCAAATACCCGTAGCGTTGATAGAGACTGGGCCAGGACAATGACATGATAGCAAAGCCTTTACCCTTGTCTGATGCAGTACAGAAAGTGTAACGCCGCTCCGTTCAATAAGCACCTACTCATTACATCCGCGAGAGCTCATTGATATCATGAAATTACTGGGAGGGGGACCGGTCCGACCTAAAGACTGCCTAGTACAAAGTCAGGCCAGGCAAAATTATTGGCTCTCTCCAATGTAGAGTCCCTCATCACTAATCCCGTCAAGTGCCGGCATTTTCCTTTATCGGTATCATATACCTACCTAAGTTCTACTGCCATACAGCTGGACTAGCCAGCCTTCCCTCGCTCGTAGTCAAATTGGCCTGTGCGTTGTCCGCTAGTCCAGTGTACAGGCAATAGACCGAGAAGATTGCGCCATGCTCGGTCAAGGTTGAAGAACTGATGTCTGATGGAGGACGATGTCCCAAGAAAACAGTTGCTGTACTTTGTATCTGTCAATTACTATCATGACTCCAAACAGCAGCGTCACTTGGTGCCTCCTGTCCTGGGATCTGTCGGTTCCGTGGGTCCATCACCCCGGGTCCCCTGTCGACTTCGGCCTCGCCAAATTTTAGTGGCTTGGCTCCCACGTGGTTCCCTGGTCCCTTTAGTTTCTGGCTCGGGCTTCCTTCCTCTATCCCACGTTTTTTCATTCCCCTTTTGTTTCCTGCTCTCTTGTAATCTTCTTTGAGGATATTCAAGGATTGTGTGCCTTCCTTTAAAAATTTTTCTTGCATTGTAAATTGATTTTTCATTTACTTATTTTATTTTATCACAAAGTTGGCATATAGATTTCTTTTTGCCTGTGTCGAAGAGTGTTATTCCTTTTGGACGAATTGGATATAGAAACACACGCATCCAGCAAACGATTGAAGGTTAAGCCAACAACATGTCGACCTCCGATCTTTACGCCAATCGCGTTGCCTTTGCCCAATTGATGGCATTGGAGCAAATCCCCGGTCAATCGGATAGCTATCGCAATGTGTCCAAGCCGCATTCTCCAGGTGGCTTCACGACTGCTTTTGGCGGGCACGTGTACGCCCAGGCGGTGTATGCGGCATCGAAGACGATTAAGGAGGGGTACTTTGTACATGTAGGTCAACTCCCTTCTTGTCTTTGTATTTTGGTTCTGTACTTCCTTTTATAATTTTGCCAACCTGCGCCACTTATAACTCTGGGCCAACGGGATTTTTCTTTTCGGTGTTTTTGGCTGCCGCCGCCCCCTTTCGAAGAACGATGTTTACACGGAAAGTGTTTTTCTGTTTTCAAAGTCTCTTCGGCTATGATGTTTTGCACTGATCGTGGAATGACTTTCTATGGGTCTGCTCAATACCGTTTTAATATCTTCTTCGTCATGCGATTGCCGTATTCACGGTTTTTTTGTGTTTCTGAGGCATTTGGACTAACATCAATAGAATGTCACTGGTTTCTTTACCTCCCCTGTAATGGTGAACCTGCCTCTCCACTTCACTGTAACCCGGATCAAGGATGGTGGCTTGGTCTGCACTCGCTCAGTCAACGTCAGTCAACCCGGTGGTGCGGACAACTGCTTCACCTGCATCTGCTCGTTCAAACGCAACGAAAAGGGGTCCTACGAGCACCAGGAGGATACTACTCCGGCGCAAAAATACGCAAAAGTGTTGGATGGAAAGAAGCCCGAAGATCACAAGTTCTCTCCTGCTGTAGATATTCCTTGGTATGTCTTCTTACACAACCCTTCTCCATCATTCGGCAAGGCTTTTATGCACTCTCCCGAGCGCAGATTACGGGACTTCAGCACCTTGCATTGCTTGCCAAGAAGTTATAGCAGTATCCTGACTAGATAACAGGTATTGGGAGATAGCTGATAGGCACAATTTCCCTGACGTCTTCTCCGGTATGGACGTACGCAAGGTGGATATGACTCCGTACAATCAAGGCCGTCCGCCCTACGAGTACAGGCAACTGCAGTATTACCGTGCGATTGGAGCTATAACTGCAAACGACCCCCATCTGCACGCTTGCGCACACCTCTACGCATCGGACCGCAACTCTCTCTTTGTACTTGTCAATGCGCTTGGCATCAAGGACTATAGCCGCATGGCAAGTATCAGCCACAGCGTCGTGTTCCACCTGCTCGGTGACGATCTGCTCATGTACGACGCCGACGGCAAGGAACGGTGGTATCTCCAGGAAGCCTGGACCGGTCGAACCGTCGCCAACCGCGGTACGCACGAAAGCAAAATCTGGGATGCCGCTGGTCGGCACATCGCCAGCACCTGGCAGGATGGTCTGCTCAAGACTGCCGGCAGCAACACGCAAAGCGCAGGTCTCAAAAAAGCTATCGAGGCACAGATGGTCAAGGCTGCCTCGAAAATATGAGAATCGCGCGCGTTCTGACCGTTTCGGGCATTCTTTGAGCATTTGAGCGACACATTGTACACTTGTACATACGATATCCCACCGTTAGACTTCTTTGCTGTTTCTTTGCTCGGCTTTTTTTTTGTTTCATTCATCTTGCATTGCATTAGACCATCTTTGCATCTAGACGGATAGAGTGGGTTGGCATAGTCTCTTTTTTGGGGGGGGGGGGGGACCGATGGCATGGCACTATGATACCTTGTTTATATAGAAACTTTCGACTAGAATATTATCAACAATATGACCTTACGGAGGTATATATTTTCTTTGAGGGGGGTCAACACCAAAACAGACATGACAAAACAATTCGGGATCGTCAGGCACCATGAACCATGCCTCTCGGGTAAAACGGGTGGGATGATATGGGCTGATTACCACAGAAGGAAATGTGGCTCGAATCGAGATATAGCAACTACCTGAATAGCCGGAAGATATCCGAGAAAAGAAAACATTATAACACTGTCCTCATCGCCGTCATGGAGCGATAGCCTTTCTTTTCTTTTCTTCTTCTTTCGCGTGGAATTAGTGAGCCCAGGACGACCACACAGAGCGCAACTAGTCCTAGCGGTGTTACTCTTCGCCACAGCCACGAACGCCGCAGCTTCACAAGAACAATTGTGGCCGAAACGAAGGCAGCAAATGGAAAGAGAAGTGTCGGCTGAACAGAGATCAAAGATCACAAGCATGAACTGTGCCGTATAGCAATACAGTCGAACGCAAATAACGACCCCGATTTCATCCGAGCGAAACAACAACTTGAAGGGAAGCAGAAGCACATGCCGAGCTTCATTCGGCAGAAATAGGTTGAAGAGGCTCGCAAAGTCATGATTCAAGGAATCACAGGATCACATGACATTACAGCTGAAATGGGTATGATCCCTGGGATGCTTGTGATAGCGATTCCGTTGCTCCTTTTCATTTTCCGTTGAGCCGGAATGCCGGAAATGGGGGATGAAGGACTCGAATGTACCCGAGCCTGAGCGCATATTACTTGCTGTTGGGACTTATCGTGGTAGACAAGGCCCGAAAAGCTCTTTTCCAATGATCAACGTCCTGGCAAGCTCCTATTGAAAGCTTCAAAGCACTGGATATTCTCTCACCGATGCTGCAGGTATCGAATATTGGAGGGGTTTAGAACAAGCTACAGCATCTTCAAGAGAGCAGCATCAGGACGTCGGCTGAATTACTGGGAGCGGAAAAAGATGCGATCGAGCGGATCAAGGGGATAATCCCAGGTACCTACTGTATGCGAATATGCAGTAAAGTGACCCCACGTGGGACCCTCGATTCGAGCAGCCACTCTTGCTATCCAATTGTCCAATATCCTTTGTCAGATCTAAATTATACTTTTTGATCGGCTCAAGACGTCACCGAGCGTCAATCTCGCATCAAGGGATACGGACGAGGGGAGGGGAGACCGAAAAAAAAATAAAAAAATAAAAATAAAAATCGCCAGATCAAAACAAAAGGTACAGGTACCATCATACTCATCATCATCATCATCACATCTACGGCAATACGACTATGAGCAATTCGAATCATTATTGGAGAAACTGACAGGGCGTAGCACTAGTTGCGCCTATTATTAATCGGCACGAGTCGAGAAAATTGCCGCCATTGGATTTTTCCCTAAAGGAGAAGTGCATGATCGGGAAAAAGGCAACGAGAGGAAACAAGAAGGTGAGAAGAGGGAGAGAGAGTAAGGTCGCTTTGTCTCGACAGAGTAAGTCTTATCTCGCGCGCTAAACCTGGTCAAGAAGCTTTTTTGACTCGTTCGACTTCACTCACCAACAGTAGTAAATTGAAAAAATTATTGCGCCAAAACCGATCAAGGAAATTCTCACTGAACTAGTGGCTAGTCCACCGACTTGCGAAACGAACAAAACGTGCACAATCCAATTTCTGAAAAGAGAGAAACAGAAGAAAGGAGCTCAGGTAGGTTGGAAAGCCAGTTACTGTATGTGTTGTGTGCGTGTGTGTGTCTTGTGTGGTAAAAAGCCCGTCATCCGTTAAGTGTTTGTTACCTAATAACCGCGCTCTAACTTTATCAGCTCGCCGTCAGGATTTTTCGTCACACCTCTCAATCTCTGTCTTTTCTCACCAACTCCCTTAAACCTTTCGCCTTTGTCGCGATAACCCACTCTACCAATCCACCCCACTCGCCTCAATTGCCATCGACCTTCCATCATGGCAGCTGTGGCAGCAGCCATAAGGCCAATGGTCTCTGGACGAGTGCTGGCCAATGGCTTCAGCGCTCGCCGGGCCATAACCACCGCGTCGCGCTCTTCCACCGCCAGACCGACCGCGTCCCTGAAGCTGAACAAATCTCCTCTGGGATCGACTTTTTTCCGGAGATCCTATGCTGATGCCTCCGAGGCTGCCAAGGTCGCCGAAAGGCACCCTGCGAAGAAGCCCAAGGCCACCACCATCCTTCGCAGTACCCTGCGCTGGACCTGGCGTGTCACTTACATCTCGTCCATTGCTGGCTTTGGTTATCTCTCCTGGATCATTTACCAGTCTCGGAATCCTGTTGACCAGGCTGAGCCTGACCCATCCAAGAAGACTTTGGTTGTTCTCGGTATGTTGCCAATTCATTCCTGGGCGGATGGCCCTTTTGGACAAAATTTTTTTTTTGAAGACTGACTCGGAGCGTCGATTCGTTTGACAGGCACCGGATGGGGCTCCGTTTCGCTGCTGAAGAATTTGGATACCGAAAACTACAACGTCATCGTCATCTCCCCGCGCAACTACTTCTTGTTCACCCCTCTTCTGCCATCATGTACCACCGGTTTTGTCGAGCACCGTTCGATCATGGAGCCGATCCGTAACTTCCTCCGCTTCAAGAAGGCGGCTGTCAAGTTCTACGAGGCCAATGCCACCAAGATTGACTATGAGCGCAAGGTTGTTCACATTAGCGACGAGTCTGAGATTCGTGGCGACACCTGTGCGACAGAGGTTCCCTTTGACATGCTCGTCGTCGGTGTCGGCGCCGAGAACGCTACTTTTGGTAGGTTAACCCCGACGAGATCAATTTACAAAAAGAATCAAAACGCATGAGCTAGAGTGCTGATGCGCTTTTCCTTTGCAGGTATCCCCGGTGTCCGCGAACACTCTTCCTTCTTGAAGGAGGTCGGTGACGCCCAGAAGATTCGCACTCGCATCATGGACTGCATCGAGACTGCCACCTTCAAGGATCAGACCCCCGAGGAGACCAAGCGTCTTTTGCACATGGTTGTCGTCGGTGGTGGCCCCACTGGTGTTGAGTTTGCCGGTGAGCTGCAGGACTTTTTCGAATCGGACCTCAAGAAATGGATGCCCGAGATCCGCGACAAGTTCCACATTACTCTGATTGAAGCTCTCCCCAACGTAAGATTTCCCCATCTTGAATGTTTCTATCATTTCCAAGGGTTCCCGTCTCTGATAAGCAAAAAAAGGTCCTTCCCATGTTCTCCAAGCAATTGATTGAGTACACCGAAAAGACTTTCAAGGAGGAAACCATTTCGATCCGCACCAAGACCATGGTCAAGAACGTCACGGAAAAGTACATTGAGGCCGAGTTCACCCAGCCCGACGGCACCAAGGTGATGGAGCAAATTCCCTATGGTCTCCTCGTCTGGGCCACCGGTAACGCCGTTCGTCCCATTGTTGCCGACCTCATGAAGCAGATCCCCGCCCAAAAGGACTCTCGCCGCGGTCTCGCCGTCAACGAGTTCCTCGTCGTCAAGGGCGCCGAGAACGTGTGGGCGGTCGGTGACTGCGCCATTGCCAACTACGCCCCCACCGCCCAGGTCGCTGCCCAGGAGGGTATGTTCTTGGCCCGTCTCTTCAACTCCATGGCCAAGACCGAGGCCATTGAGAAGAGGCTCGAGGCGCTCTCTGAGGAGCAATCCAAGGCCGCCGGCGAGGACCGCACCCGCGTCCTCAACGACATCAAGGATGGCCAGAAGCAGCTCCGTCGCGTCAAGCAGATTGGTCCCTTTGAGTACTCGCACCAGGGTAGCTTGGCCTACATTGGTAGCGAACGTGCCGTCGCCGATATCAGCTGGCTCAGCGGTAACCTCGCCACTGGTGGTACCCTGACCTACTTTTTCTGGCGTAGCGCCTACCTGAGCATGTGCTTTAGCAGTATGTCCTCCCAGAATTTTACTCCCTTTCTCTTTTTGTCCAATGAAACCACAATAGGCTGACATTTATTTTCCTCATTTTAGCTCGCAACCGGATTCTCGTGATTGCCGACTGGATCAAGGGCACCATCTTCGGTCGCGACATGTCGCGCGAGTGAATTATGTTCCCCTTTTGCAGATGATAAGAGACGCCAGCGAGTTTGAGTGGAAGAACGTTGGCGCGTCGACATGTTAATGCATGTCGAAACAATGCGAAGAGAGGCAGAAGAACCAGAGGATGAAGGAACCATGTTTTAATTCAATTGCTACAACCCTTGCGGACCTACCACAAAGATGAGAAAGACCAAACGAACAGATGGGAAGGACGAAGAAGGAAGATGGGAACCGGACATTTTTATCATTTTCACTGCTTGATTGATGGTGGTGATGATAACGAAGGAAAAAAAAAAAAAGAAAGCAAAGATACTCCTTTTGTTTTGGGGGAAGAACTACAAACTTTTACATATACCAACCTCGAAACCAACCTCCTTTACAACACTGCTCTCCTGTCCTTTTTTTTTTAATCTCCCTTGTCTCTTATCTCTCTATATTTCTCTCCTCTCTCTCTCTCTCTCTCTTTCTCTCTTCCCTGACCCTTCCCTCTAACATTACACTATTCTCTCACGACAAACATTCTTAAACGCATATAATTTTTTTTTCCCTTCCCTCCGCCTTTCCAATCTCTTATCTGTTACCTCTCTTAACTTTCAGACTTTTTATTATCTCTTTTTCTTTATATTCTTCGTCAATAAGGATTATCTACTATTATTTTTTTCTGAGATATTTCAGTTGTTCTGATTGTCAAGAATTGGCTGCTGTCAACGTCTAATCTCTTGTGTCTTTTGAGATATGATGTTTCCCGTCGTGGTCATGTGTATCCGGTAATGTTGCAGTTATGATTCGCGTCTAAATGTACTCTAGAGTGTAGTCTACTTATGGCAGATTTTGTTTTAATATTTTATGCAATATGAGTTCTATGCTGGATACTTTTGATTTTCTTAACTGTATTGTTTTGTGATTTCCTCACTTACTGTATTGTTTTGTGTGTGAAGTTACGGTATTGTTGTACTGATGTCAGAATGTCCGAGGTCCCCTGGTCTCATAGTCTGTCAATTGGCTGCACATCCTGTTCGGCTCGCCCACCGTAACGTATACTCACACGTAAACTATGCGTATATGTACTTTTAATTCCCCTCCAGCCTGTCTCTTTGTGCACCTCGCACGGAGCCTGGGAGCCAACGAGCCATCGGAGTAAAGTTACATAGCCTGATAGTTACTCCGTAGTCCCCGGATGGGAGAAGTTGTGACAGGTGAGCTTTTTGATACAGCAGGGCACAGCAGGAATATATTGAACGAGACGGTCAATAATTGAGGTATCTGTTTTGAGTATACGATATCATTCTCGGTATATGTTATATTTTTCAGTATACCTTTGCATGTCAAAAGTTGAATACCGCTCGACACCGGCAGATTAGCGGGTGTCTTTCGCACGTGCTTGCATCTTCTTACGGGTTGAGAATGCTTGGAGGTTGAAAAGGTATTGCAGAATCGAAGAAGACACAAAAGAAAAAGGGACAAGAAGACAAGAAGAGAAGAGAGACGAGGAAAACGGAGATAATAAAGAAAGGAAATTATGATCGAACTCGGGCTTGCCCGCATCGGCCGACTGCTCAGCCACACCAAGCTGCCATGGCGCGCCATACACGTTGCTGGCACCAACGGCAAAGGGTCCATATGCGCCTACGCCTCGGCGATGCTGCGAGCAGGCGGCATCCGGTGCGGAAGATTTACATCCCCGCACCTGATAGACCGGTGGGACTGCATCACGATCGACGAAGTCACCGTCGCGGAGTCACTATTCCGCGAAGTCGAAAAGGAAGTCCAGGCGCGCAACGAGAAAGATGCAATTGGCGCATCGGAATTCGAAGTCCTCACTGCTACGGCATTTGAGATATTTACCCGCGAAAACATCGAGTTGGGTGTCGTTGAAGTAGGCCTGGGCGGCCGCCTTGACGCTACGAATATCCTTGAGAATCCACTTGTTACTGTCATTTCAAAGATTGGACAAGATCATCAGTCGTTTCTTGGAAACACGCTCGAGCAAATTGCCTGGCAGAAAGCAGGCATCCTGAAGCCTGGTGTGCCCTGTGTGGTGGACGGTACGAATCAGAGTGTTGTTCTGGATGTTGTTAGGGGTGTTGCGAGTGAGGTTAAAGCGGGATCTGTATTTGCTGTGGAGGATACGGCACATACTACAGAAGCTGGAGATGCAGGCAATGGGGAACACGTCGGAGGTGCTGGAAATGCAGGAAGTGAGGGGAACGTCAGAGTTGTAGTAGGAAACGCAGGAAATGCAGGAAACGCAAAATCTTTTAGTTCCCGTGTCTGGGAACACCTCCCCCAGACCGACTTTGAAGACCACCAGCGCATGAACATCCTCTGTTCTTTCCAGGCCTTCATTCTCGCGCTCAAAGCTATCCGGCCCAATTTGGACCCCTGGCATTTACTACCCGCCGTGGCGCGCGCGCAGTGGCCAGGCCGCTTGCAGAGGATCAACATCGAGTCCTTGACGGGAAGAAGTGAAGATGTTTTACTGGACGGCGCACATAATGCCCAAAGCGCAGATGCACTGGGCGCCTACGTGAACAAGAGACTACGACAACGACAAACCGCAGAGTCCCAGCCGGGACCAGTCACGTGGGTCTTGTCGCTTTCCAAGGGCAAAGATGTATTGGAGATACTCAGACCCCTGATTCGAGACGGAGATTCCGTTGCGGCTGTCATGTTTGGGCCCGTCGATGGTATGCCGTGGGTAAAACCGGCCCTGCCGGCGGATATTCTCGAGGGGCTGGACGCGTTGGGACTGCATAATGTGCAGAAATATGATGGTAATGATGATATCCTGGGCACGCTGAAGTGGGCGTCACAGTCTGCGCAGCAGCGGCCGCTAGTGGTGGCGGGAAGTTTGTATCTTGTTTCTAGCATGCTGAGGCTTTTGAGAGAGAGGAGTATTTGATTTTGTGGCTGTTGCTGTTTTTGTTGTTGCATACCCTGAGATCTGTTGATATGGACTGTCTCTGCATTTTATTTTATTTTGTTTTATTCTTTTCCGGGCTCATTACGTTCGCAGCTCATTTTCTTAGAATATCTTCTATCTTATTCTATTGCTTTTCATTCTCCATTTTTTTTCATTGCACTGGGATCCATTTCTATGTATACATACCCGATTCTATGTAAATATAGCTGCAGATTTTACTGGCAAAATAACTAAAGGTCGAATACATGGCATTGAAAATATCAGGCACACATGAACGAGAACATGGTTCAGGTGAGCTGTCCTTTATTGCGTATCCGTCATGCTAGACACATTTAAGCCATTGGAACATACATACAAAATCCTCTCAGACTTCCTCACTAATTCTATAGACGAATTGACCAAGAATTATTGTTTAATATTGCCAATATACCTGATACTGTCGTTTATGTTCGAGGACAGTCGGCATGCTCGGACGTCGTCTACCGAGCCGAAGATCGGTCCAGTTCCAGTACGGCGGCCCTGCGGACCTGCGGACGGACCCTTGGAAACAACCCCTCTCTGATCAACAGCATTATCTTCAAACCAGACAATTGATACAATCTGACAGCCCTTTGAATTTATTGCGAGACCTCCAACTACTAGACTGCAAGACCCATCACCAGCAAAACCAACGACACGGACTCAATGGCGTCGAGCACTACCCCCGCCGCCGCGGTGGCAGCTGGAGGTAAGACACTTATAACGATCAATTGCACGGGGGCAGAAACAATGCATACAATGTACAGAATCGAATTGCTAATATGCTTCACACTGCAGAGAAAGAAATCGGGATTGGCACGCGCAAGTCTCTCCTTGCCAGGATCCAAGCGGACATGGTGCAAGCGGCGCTGCAAAAAGCGTGGCCGGACAAGAAATATGCCATCCACGCCATGAGCACCATGGGCGACAATAACCAGGTCACGGCGCTGCATGATTTCAACGCAAAGTCGCTCTGGACGCACGAGCTCGAGGCGCTCCTGTTGGAAGGGAAATTGGATTTGATTGTGCATTGCTTAAAGGGTGGGTCCTTTTCTTCTACGTTTCCCTCTTGCAGAAATACCATACATATGAATCATGAAGAAGGAGGACGACGACGACGCCGATGACAGCAACGAGAATGAAACCCAATGCTAAAACTCCTGTCAAGATATGCCCACCCAACTCCCCCCGACCCTCTCCATCGCCGCCGTCATGGAGCGCGAAGACCCGCGCGACTGCGTCATCATCTCCGCCAAATACGCCGACAAGGGATACACGACACTGGCCTCGCTGCCCGCCGGGTCCGTAGTGGGAACCTCCTCCGTGCGCCGCAGCGCGCAGATTGCGCGGCAATACCCCGAGCTGAAATTCGCCGACGTGAGGGGCAACGTCGGCACGCGGCTGGCCAAGCTCGACGACCCTGAGAAGCCATATACCTGTCTCGTCCTCGCCGCCGCGGGCCTCAAGCGGCTGGACCTCGCCGCCCGGATCTCGCAGTATCTCGAGTCCGACAATGGCGGGGTCCTGCATGCTGTCGGCCAGGGCTCGCTCGCGATCGAGATTCGCGCGGACGATGCAGAAACCCTACAGCTCCTCGCCCCGCTCGAACATGTCCCCTCCAAACTCGCCTGTCTCGCGGAACGCTCCCTCATGCGCACCCTCGAGGGCGGCTGCTCCGTCCCGATCGGCGTCGAGACGAAGTGGACGGCAGAGAAGCAGCTGTCGATGAAGTATGCGGTGGTCAGCATCGACGGGACAGAGTCTGTGCATGGCCATATCGAGCGCGCGGTCACGACGGTGGAAGAGGCCGATCAGCTGGGCTGGGATGCGGCGCGGGATCTGGTCGAGCGTGGCGCGGGAAAGATTCTGGAGAAGATTAATCTGAATCGAAAGTTGGTTGATGCTTAGTTGTTAGTTCTCTCTCTCTTCTTGTTTCTAGCATGACTATTGCACCTATCCGCATCCTTGCATCCTTGCATCCTTTGCATCTACTTGCTACAGTCTATCCTCGTGGCGTTTTTGGGCGTTCAAAGCAATCATTCGCACATTCTATCTTCTTTCTATCTTCCCCTCTCACCTCTTATCTTCTCCCGTCTTGTTTTTTTTTTTTTAGATAGGAAGATAGTTTATCAACAAGACAATCTCCATTTCCATTTTATATCATATATCATTTTTATTACCACTCTAACGTGATACAATTACAACATCTAATTGTAAGCCAAAGGTTCAGCCGAGGCGCAAACAAAGTACGTATGATACATATACAAAAACCGACAGACACTTGCGACAAGTCACATGGCAGGTAGCAGGTAGCAAGTGGGGGTATGACAATGACAAAAGGATGAGAAACGGGAGGGAAAAAGGGAGCGAAAAAGGAGAAAGAAGACGCAATAATGATAATAATGATGAAATGGAGATCTAAAAAGCATTATATGCGTATTTGCGATTTTGAGTCATTCCCACTTGTGTCTGAAATGCAAGAACGCCGAAGCTATTACCCTGAAGAATGGAAATAGGTGTGTAGAATGTGAACAGCAAAACGGCAAAGGGAGAAAAAATAGAAATCACCATAGTCCTTCAGACGCGTCGGGCATGGGATGCTTGCTGTCGTAATCGTCGAGTTCGCTGCCGTCGCCAAAGTAGCCGATGCGGTCGCGGTTGTCGTCGATGAGACGACCGTATTCGAGGAGCAGGCGGAGGGTGTATATCTATCGGACGCAGGTGAAATGTTAGTCTTAGCTGGTTCACAGAATGGGATGATCTGATTGAGTTTTCTTGGTTTATGCGAGGAAATAGATTGCAGGGAGGGGAAAATAGTAGACTGGGAAAATAGTACTGGGAAAACCAAACAACAACAACAACAACAAAACATCGGAAGTATAGATAGCAAAGTACGTACAGCAATGTCGTCTCGTCGGAGGACCTTCTTGGCCCACTCGCGGCTTCGTCGGGCGAGCATCTTGGCCTCATACTCGTGCCGAGGCACGTAAATGTCTCCCTTATTCGACGTTCCATCTGGAGGCAGCGTCGGGCGACTTGGAATTCCAGTTCCAATAAAGTACGTAAGCAGAGTATACACGTCGTCGAAGCGGTTGTCCATGGGGACGAAATGTCTCCAGGCAAACAGTCTCGAGTCATGCCATTCGCGGAAAATGGTCGCTTTGAAGCCTAAGCTCTTGCTCTCGAGAAAGGCGCGCCATCTCCCGGAAAACGAATGGCCGTCGACGTCAATGAGATACCGGTACTTGAATTGGCTCGACAGAGTAGTTTGTTCTTTTAGCGCAAACACGTCCTTGTAGAAATCGCAGTTGGGCACACAGCCCCATGTCTCGACGAAGCCGACGTCGGTGTGTTTCTCGGCAAATTCAGAAGGTTGGAATGTCCGCACGTTTTCGTATTCGCCTTTGCGTTCGGGGTTTTCAGCAAGGATTCGGACGTCCTTGTCGGCCATTTGCGTAGAGTTGAGGAGCTGGACGAGTCGTTGTCGGTGCATGCGCTGCCAATTCGATTCCAGTTGGACACCGCCTGAGGTGACGCCCCGCCAGACTACTTGGTCGTATTTGTCTTCCCAGGGGAGATCGTGCTCCTCACTGTAATCGTACCGGTCGTCGTGTTTCCAGTACATGTTGGCCGGGAAGAGAATGTCGCTGTTGACGTTTACTTTACATTCACCAAAGACGGGGAGAAGCCGTTTGGACGCAATGAGACTCGATGACGAATACAAGAATCCGTGCTTGTTTTGAATCTCCGGACCAATCGTACAGAGGTCGCTGGACCGGTTGAAGTTTGTGACCAGTCCGCCTTCGTGAGTCTTGTATAGGAGCTCTGAATCCTCTTCCGTGGACGTGGAGTCGCGTGCATGTGACTCGGGAGGACATGCAAGCTTGCCAATGTCCATGTATTGCTTTCCGGGTGCGCGGAACCATGCTGGATCTTCAATCTTTTCCTCCCCCTCTTCTTCCTTCTCTACTTCTGTAGGATCACCAGCCTTGGCGGACTTGGGAGGATTGAAAATATTCTGTGCCAGGCCAGGAAGGTCAGGGGTAAATTCATAACTGCCTTCGGGCGGAAGATGGCGCGTTTTCTCCTCAGTTGCGAGAAGAGCTTGCATGTCTTCCCAAGGAACGACGATACGTGGCTGATCGAGTCTATTCATGGCAATGTCCATGTCAGGAAGAATTTTGGGAAGATCGTTGGAAATCTTGTCGATCAGAGTGATAAAGGTGTCAGAGCGCCAGCCGGGGTTTGTCGAATTAACCACCTTGTGGTTCCGAATGTGAATCCCCGAAATACCGTCCTCCGTCTTCTCCCACATGTGCGCGGCGAGGTTACGGATGACTTTGGGCTCGACGCCCCAAAAGGGCCTCAGATCATCCATAGCCTGGTCAAAGTCATCAATGTTGTAGACATTGCGGTCTCGAGCGTATTGATACCACTATCCTAGAGGATCAGTATGGAGTTTCAAAAGGAGCTTCAAATTTGGCGATTCTGGAGCGCACCTCTCTAAAGCCCGGCGGCGGATGGCGTCCGTATTTATTCCTGTAATGCCTCACAGCCTCCCGGAAATTCTTTGAGCGGCCGTCATCGTATTGCCTGAACTGCTCATCCGCCCGTTTCATCAGCTCGGAAATGGGATGGTTGTCAAGAGGCTCTTCATCCTATTGAATCCGTTAGATATGTCGCATCCCAGTTTTGGCTTATTCCTTTCTCCATCCTTTCTGGGCATATGTATACACTACCTTGAATTCTCCATTTGTTGATTGTCCGTCGTCCAATTCCAAAGGCACCTTGCTAAATCGGCGGTCGACTCCGAACAGGACGAAGACATTGAGCAAGATAAAGCAGCATCCCACGAAAGCAATTAGCAGAAATAATCGCTGCTTGCTATTATCGAATTTCGACATCCTGAGCTGGCGACTGAATCATCTAATCTCATTCGGTGCGGCCGTAGTGAGGAGAAAGGGATGTAAAGAAGCCTCCGTCCTGGGGAGATGATGGGTGAGTCGCGTGCCCGAAAACAATTAATGACGCCTCATCGAGGTCGACAGACTGATTCTCCAGCCCTTGATAGTTGAATAAGTTGGAAAATACGCAGCGAGAAAAGAGTACACAGTTTCAAGTCTCCATATTAAATGTGGCGGTGCTGAGGAGACCGGACTCTGAGGGCGGATTGGGGAGATTTCGCTTCGCGACGAAACCGAAAGTAAATCCATCTCCGACGGGTCTCTCTTGGCCTCATCACCATCAACGAGGATTGTGATTGATTGTTTCTTCAATCCTTCGTATCCTCAAACACCGCCATCATGCCTCCCCGATTGAATCCCCTAGGCTTAGGCAGCCTATTGCGTCCAGCATCGAAACCGTTATCATCTCTTTTTGCGCCAATTGTCCCCCAGCAACCCCAGCGCGCCGCATCAATTCTTTCGTCTCTCTCCGATAACACCGGTGCTTACAACAAGCGCATTCGTCGTGGTCGCGGTCCATCTTCAGGCAAGGGCAAGACTTCAGGAAGAGGTCACAAGGGTCAAAAGCAGCATGGAAAGGTCCCCGCTGGCTTCAATGGAGGTCAGACTCCAAATGAGGTCGTCCACGGCCCGAGAGGATTCGACAACCAGTATGTGCTAGCAAACAATTGGCTCCTTTATTTTTCGGAGGGAGATGGAATAATGAAATTATTGCTTACAAAACTTCCAGGTTCTCTGTTGAGATGTCCCCCCTGAACATTGACCGTCTTCAGTCGTGGATCGACCAGGGTCGTCTTGATCCTTCAAAACCCATCACCATGAAAGAACTCAATGAGTCGAGATGTCTGCATGGTGTCAAAGATGGTGTGAAGCTGCTTGCTAGGGTAGGACTGTGATGAACCTTATCGACGCCAAACATTGTGCATGCTAATTTGGACTTTCTCTCAGGGCGCTGAGGGAATGCGCACTCCGGTGAACATTGTCGTCTCGCGGGCATCTGCTCCCGCCATTGCTGCTATTGAAGCTGCCGGCGGAACTGTCATTTCTCGTTTTTATACCAAGCCCGCCATTCGACGGATACTCCATGGCCAAGCCGATGCCACAATTACCGCTCCAAACTCCTTCCCTGCGCTTTCAAGCGACCCATCGAAACCGTTTGCATATAGACTGCCCGACCCAACGAGCAGAAAAGACATTGAGTACTACAGAGACCCCGCTCACAGAGGTTATCTCAACCACTTGGTCAAGGAGGGCGAGGGTCCCAGTTTGTTCTTCAAGTCTCCTGCGATGATCAACAAGGACCGCGCCAAGGCTGCTGGCACTGGCGCCAATGCCAAGTCAAAGAGCGAGAACAAGCTGTGGTAAAAAAAAAGATACTTTTGGGAGTCTTGGGATAGGTTGCTCATTTTCACTTCTCCGATGCAAACATTTTCCGGAGCCAGCGGTGAGCCTTTGTACATTACTTTATTTTCTCTAGTGAAATCTATTTGTATATCATGACGCTTTATTTTCACAGATCCTTTTTGCACGGATCCTTTTTGCCCTTGTGCAATCTCAAATTCCCTATTTAGTATTTACTCTTTTACGTCACTACCTCTTTGAAGTTGTTACGTGAAGTTAACCATAGTGACGAAAGCATTAATTTATGCCGGAACTTCACGCCATTTGCCGTCACTGCTAGACAAATCAACCTCAATTGCCAACTTTCTGGGATTTTCACCACAAATCCGTTAATATCTACCGTGAAATATCAAACTATTCGTCACACTGGGATCTTTCAATTGCTTGGCATTAGAACCTGAAACTTACCCTGCTCTCGGAACTAAGATATAAACTCTGGACCCCCCAGCATTCAGCCGAGCTCCTTTCCCTCTGGTCAGCTTCATTATACTATATATCCTTGTGCAATCCTGGACTCAAACCCGATCGACAACTTTTACTTGTTACATCATTAAAAACTCAACACAACGCAATTGCAGAAAAGAATCGAATCCTACAAAGCTTTCTCTGAGCAGTTTCATACTTTTTAAATCTAACCTCAGCTGTAGCATGACGCTTTCAAGCTGTATTGGGAAAGAGTGCGCTTCAACTTCGGTGGTGTAGAAGCAGGAGGATGACTGGGCTGATCCCTGGTTTCTCGATTTGACACTCGGCCTGGATCAAAGTTGAGCCATCTGTGCTCGCTGCTTGCTCGTTGGGAATCCGGAAGAGTTCGAAAAAGAGAAGCAAGTCAATTGGTGAAGTTGAAGACGACAGCCGGTGCTGTTGATGACAAGGAAGAACGAGGGTCAAAATTCAGTCGAAAATGACCCCGGCGATGGCCCTGCAGATGATGAAGATTCTGCCGATTCAATTATCAGTGACAGCCTCCTCATAGGCTACTTGACAAGCACAGTGGCTGCATCTGATGGTGCGGACGGACACAATGAAAAGGGCGATTGCCTTGGTTCGCTCTGTCATGCTATAGAAAACAAAAATCTCTTCATTCTCCTTTCATGTCATTGTCCACTGACTCCGCCGTGGAGTCACGGATCCTCAAATCATGCATCATCGACGCAAGCTATTAGCAAATTCTACTTCTCAATACAATGCTTTGCCAATTACATCGCTATCGGTAATTCGGTATCCAGACTCGTTTTGCTGCAGCTAAAGAAGTTGCCCATCTGTTCTACATCTTTTACGGAAGCCCGATGGTCTTGTCTGGCAGAGGTTTCTTAGCGGAACTCGAAGCCAGGAATAGATTGAGAGGAATACTTGCTCATGAGCTTGGCTGGTATCGTTAATACACACTCGCAGAACCTTTTAGGCCTGTCAGCTTATCCGAACACCTGCAATGTACAAGCTCCAGCCCAGATTGGAACCAGAGGCGTATTGTTAACTTTGGGAATTTGAAGCTCCTAGATTGATTTTTCCAGTTTATTGAAGAACTGGAACACAAGTCCCACAAATTAGACCTCAAATAACAACGGATGCTTTCGAATATTTGATCGGAGACGGCCATTCAAGAGGTGCTATGAGCCATAGCAAAATCGCAAGCGTCACTACGACCTAAAGATGAGGGGAAATTATAGCATAACAATGCTCGTCTCGTTCCATCACCTGGCTATAATTTCTTCCTATTAATACATCTCACATTCGACAATTATGACAATACCATTCAGCATTCTGTTAACCGGTTTCTAAGTGAAAGATTTTGGACTCAATAACACCGGATCGCGAGGGCAGGCACTGTTCTATGTGGGGCTGTCCCGTGAGACTTGCCAGAACGTGACATAGCCAGTGAAGAATTTAATTATACAAGCTCGAGGCTTGAGAAATCTGCGTCTACTCTTTTTCTTTCCACCTTTCAAAATGTCTTAATCGCCTTTCAAAAAACACTCCGAATTGTCCAACGATCTACATCTTGGAACGCATTGCGGAGCTTAACTCCAAATCCCTGAATCTGGGGTTTTTTTGGCTCCTCTGGAAATGTATCTGGCATTTACCAGTGGCCCAAGCCGTCATGATTCTCTTGACAAAACTCCCGGCTTTCTGTCTCCCTATGCAGATCAACAAACGTTTCATTGATCTTTCCTGACCGACAGGTAGATTGGACCAACTAAGAGGCCTCGATCCTCGAACTTCTACAAGTTTTCCAGGTCTAAGATGTAACTTAGCTCACTGGGAAATAACCCAGGGGTGCTTGAAGCCGCTTCTCATTTCTCTTAGGCCAGATCGAGCCAGGCTTCAGCCGAATGCCCGGTGGCTGGCTCTGCGATTCAAGTAAACATTATTTATGGGCATCATGCGCTTTCGTTGCATTTTCTGACTGCAGCTCAACAGAGGATGAAACCAGATTATCGCCGCTCAGCCTTTTGCAGTTCTACTATTTCTCTCAAAGCGGTCAAAAGTCTAACACCTACTCTACTGTCAAACCAGTATTCCGCGGAGATGCAAGAGAGAGAAAGAATAATTTTAGACTTCCGGTCTTAGAAACTTTTGGGATCCACTTCCCAAGACCTCAAGCTCTTCGATTTTACAACTCAGTGACAGAGCTTGTGCCAGTATCACAACAGCCAAAGCAGACACTGAGGACATCATTTGCCCGAATGGTACTGCATCTCATGCTTTCTTTTTTATTTTTATCCTTCATAAAGGATCCAGTCTTGAGAACTTTATCAAATGCACCGACTGTGCAAATCCTTGACTTGCGGCTAGAATCTCACAGTTAAGACCATTTTTGATCTATCACGGACTAGACCTCTCCGGTTCTCACCAGGCCAGCGATGATCCTGCAAGTCGAAAAAAAAAAGACAAATGCCAAATCCCAAGTGGAAGCTCAACAGCAACAGTGCAGCACATTACAGCAATTTGGAAAATAGAAGACATCTACTCAACTGAGATTTCCGACAAATAATTTCTTACTTTACTACAAGCTTATTTTCTCTCAGAGTCTCAGTGCATCTCAAGCTTCGGAGGGACACCTCTTTCACCTGTCAAAGAAGCCGAAAGAATGATGGGTCAATGAAAATATCTTTTGCAACAAATTCAGCCAGTTCCAAAAGGAGGATCACGCCGGACTATTTCCAGTGGAGTGTCTAACCACAAATATACCTTTTGATCAAATGACAAGGCGATATTTGAGATAGCCTAGAGAATGGCGGGCGAACATGTCCGGAGTCTGGCCAAAAGGCTATCACAGAAGACCATAGTGTCCGTCAAGAAAATATTTGTCCGCTTGCGCCAAATTGAAAGAAGCTGAGTTAAGCCGTGCTTCGAATACTGAATATATTCTTGACCCTGCATCGATTCATTTAATTGATAGCCTTAATATTGATCACCCAGTCATTGCAATCACTCTTTAAGGCTTGCAAAATATCATCATCGGGAATTCGATTCCTTCAAAATATTATTGAGTTAACACAAATCCCACATACATACGGGACCTACGAAGAGCAGCGAGTATATTCTTTTCGCTCACTGGGACGAGCACGTTACAGCTTATTTATCCGGGACCATTGCATACCTCTGAAAGATCTCCAGGTCACGAGCACCGACTCGGCCTCAATTGCCGATACATCTTTCAGCCTTCAGTCTGAATTTGACAGACTTTAGAATCTGAACCATAAAACCAAGACTCCCAAGACACGGGGCACCTAAATATCTTGGGAAGCCAAGTTTGCAAAAGGATCAGAATATGAGAACTTACTTATTAACCATGATCTTCTAGAGTTTCAAAGGAGCTCCGAATCAAACGGCCTTAGTCCAAAGCAAACTGTGCAGCTTGGTCGCTAGAACTCACCAAGTTATAGGAATTTTTTCCTCGAAATGCGCTTCTCAAGTGTGTCCGGGAGACCGACTGGAAGAGTTACAGCATTACTGCGTCTCACTGACCAGAGTTAGAGAACCTTAAGAAAATTCCAGTCCTAGGAAGGGCTGTGCCAGGGGTACATTAAACCGGTCGAGTCGCTGTTCTATCTCGTTTAAGGAAGAAGACGACGGGAGTGGTCAAAGAGCTTCATTGAACAGAACTCATAAGGTCTAACGGTGAAAAGAGTATCGCTTCTTCAATTGGAGAGCATCAATGTCCCTAAAGGCGTTGGACGAATATTAATGACTTTAATAAACACGTCAGAACAGGTAAAAGAAGTGATCGAAACAACATGTGCAAACAGATCGACGTTGAAAGAAACTTCTGCGAACAAAATATCCAACAGTAGAAGCGGCAATGGAACTCCTCAGATCAAATAGAAGTTAGCCCCTGGAAGAAGGAGGAGGTCTCAAGAAAACTAGCCTCCGGCATGTGGTCGAAATTGCCTGGAGAATTTTTCGTTATTCTTCCAAGAGAGTGGTTCATACCTGCTGCTCCTTTGCAAGCTCCTTTGCAACCGAATTGGTTTCAGAAGCAATTAAAACAACATAATGCAAACACATCGACTTTGAAAGAAAATTCTGCGAACAAAATACCCAACAAAAGGAGCGGCAATAACACTCAACAGATCAAATAGAAATTAACCCCAGAACGAGGGAGGAGGTCTCCAGAAAACTCGCTTTCGGCGTATGGTCAAAGCTGCCATGCGAGAATTTCATAATTTTTCCAAGAGTATGGCTTATACCTCCAGCACTTCTACAAACAAAACCCAGTACAAGAATGATCTGTTCTTGTCGAAGGAATGATTCATTTCTCGTTGTTGGATATACAACACAGTATATCTTATACTCAACGGCGTACAGATGTACACCACAGCAACGGCAAGGGCTTTTTAAGATTCCTGGAAGGAAAAGACTGGACAGTGGCAGTTGAGGAGAAGAAGATCGAAATTGATATCTTGTTTTGTGAAAGAGGGAGCAAATAGAAAGGAGGTTCAAGCGGCAGCCAGCCTGATTAGGAATTAGCACATTTGATGAACTTTTGCTCCTCAAAAGTGGCCGCAATCCTCTTCCTCCGCCGCTCAGTCGAATGAAAAAGCAGCAAATGGCTGACTCTGTCGGCGGTTACGCGATCTTAATAAGAAGGAGAACACCCTTATGAATAGACTTTCCTGTCTCTCCCATGACTTCGATTGCTCCGATTGCTCTTGAGCCCTAGCTAAAGCTTGGGAAGTTAAGGAGTTAAGACAGATGCTGACGGATACATCGCACACAATACCTCAAGAATATCGAACATGCACCGTGGCAATAACAATCAAGCCCTTGTTACAGCCTACCAGGGTGGGCTGGACACCTTCAAATGAACAGAAAGATAAAACACCTAACCGATAAAAGAACTATAGGACTAAAGCAGAGCTGCCAAATAGCTCATGCTCATGGCTTCAATCAAAATATGGATCATTACCCCGCTTTCAGAGACATCCTCTCAAAGAAGCCCTTGAACGAATCTCCAATAGAGAGAAGACTTTATACATGACAGTGAAGTGGGAACCATGCAAGAAGTCATTTGATTATTTCCTTCTCCTCTGATATTTTTGAGCTCAATACTCCGAACAGAGTCAGGATGAGAGAGAAAGCATTGAAGTCTCCGGAGTTCTTTCTCATCCTTCTTGGTTTCTTCTTCAGTTTTCATTTTATTATCCAAATAAACGCGCCGAATCCGAGCCATTGAAAGAATTTTCTCTTCGAACAACTGTCTTGCTCTAGACTTATAGAACTCCGTTGACACACGTACGACTGCCATAGGAACAGGCATCGACGATACGTCATCTACAAAGGCAGCGATAACGGCAACGGTAACGGTAACGGCAATAGAACATGGTACGACCTTGTCCACCCAATAAGTGGAATTGATGATTCGTTACTTCCCTAAATGATGGCACCGCTGTATCACACATTACTGCGCAATGCAGATGGAACGTGGCACCTGCTGCATACTTAAAAACAGAGCAGAGCCCAGAGTCAGGAGAAGGAACTTGATGCTGCGGCTGAGATACACGTACACACGGGCGGATAAGAGTCTTCGACTCTCCGGCATTCATCTCCCCGCTTTCGACGCAACGAGTCAACGAGTCAACGAGTCAGTGGGGCTCTGCTCTTCATCTACTCATCAACTGACGAACCACTCTAAAAATCCCAGGATCAGTGTGGAACTAGGAGATATGAAGACAACTGGCAAAGCAATAGACCTTATGGAGTCCTCCGAGCTTATTCGGTCTGCGCCCTGGACCACGACAGCTTGCGGGGAAAATGTATCTCTTTTTGCCTTTGTGCATACTGAATCCAAATAGCGCATCTCAAGCAGGGAGGGACATTGCGTTCTGGGTCTTGGGCGAGCGTATCCCCTTCGATCCCACGTCCATTTGATATTTAGCTCTCCTGTACAGCCAAACCAGACAGTTATGTTGTGTCGTGCTGTCTTGGCTGGCATCGGCTCCTGTTCCTGCTGAAGATGAGAAATTACTCAAGACACGCTGATATATGAAGGCTTTTGAAGGCTCTGGAGACCCCTGGATTTTGTCTTGTCTGATGTAACTTGCTCCAAATGAGCAAAGAACAAAGGAAGGCCGAGAACCCAAGCCATAGTCTGGCTCCAAGGCCGGAGTGGTATACCATTGGGTTTTGGCGTACCTTGAAAAATCAATGAACGCCGTACCGGCGGATCGGTGTCGTGACGTTTGAAGCTGTCGAGGCCGTGTGAACGGCATTGCATAAGAGTCTCATAATTAAACCAGCGGCAGGTGGCGGATAGGTACGGCGGATTGCGGTCTATGCATGCCTGACTTCGAAGGAGAAGGGAAAGAAGAAGAAAAAGAATAAACGCAAAGGTGTTCAAACTGGAAATTGTCACAATGATGGATGAGACGCAAAGATTGATTGCACCACCATGTTCTATTGCGATCACGGGTCAGATTGGTATCCACCAGCAGGAGAGAAATGTTTAGTCTGGTCTATAGAAAGAAAGAAGGAACTAAATAAACAACTATTCGTTGTAAATAGCTGTTGTTGTACGGATACATGCAGTGGAAGCTTGGGGCGGCGGGGCATCATTTTGATCCACGTGATAAAGAAGCCAAAAATTCCCAATCATATCTTCCCTGGTAAACCTCTATTGCTACAAGATTGCGTTCTAAAGTCTCTTACTAACTTTTTGTTTGTCTCATGATGACCATTAGCCGGTCCATTTCAGGACTACGGCTTAAGCAAAGCCTTTAGAGGTTGATAGCCGTGCCACAAACCTATAATAAGCGCAGCGAGAATAGACGACGAGCCTGTGAAAATGATTGTGCTTTCGTAGAGACCTGCACCGAAACGCCCCGGTGAAGCCTTCCCAGACACCAAGGCGGCGCTGATAGGTCCCACAAGGATATTTCCAATTCCCTGCAAGAACACAAATATGGGAAAGGTGGCAAACACATTGGACGGATCTTTGGTCACTGCAAGACCCATTGCGACGCGCATGGTTCCAAATGCGAACCCGAAGAAGCCATATATAAGACTAAAAACAACAAGCAGCGGCATAGATTTTGCCGGACCCCAGAGTCCAAAGGACGCCGCCGCTGCTACAATGCAGCAGGCGATTGCGAGAAAGCTCACCGATAGGTTCTTGTCCGACAAGAAGCCAAAGAAAAATTGACCAAGAACCTGAGCGATTGACATCAGGGCTGAAAGCAGAGCACCTTTGATGGTAGGCATTCCAACAGACGTCGCGTAAGAGGGCAGGAACACGACCGGGAAATAGAACCCAAGGCCCTGGACAAAGATCGAACATGCGTAAACCCAGAATAGAGGTCGCTTGAAGAATGCCCAATCAATCCTTGCCAAAGTCGCAGTTTCAGAAGGTGGTAATCTGCCCCTAAATAGAGGGAGCAGCGGAGCTGTGAGGATAAACATTGCCACTGCACTGGCCCGAAGGGTTATTCGGTGTCCGTACTTGGCAAGAAGAGACTCGAGGATGAATGGCATCGCGGCGCCAGTGGCTCCTGAAGCAGCAGATATGAGGCCAAATGCCATGCCTTTCCGAGCAACCCACCACTCATTCACCATGCTGATAGTGGGATAAGAGAGTGTCACAAAGCCTATACCGTAGAGTACACCTTGAGTCACGATAAGACCGTTGACAGAGTTCACGAAAGATGCAGCTAGCAAGCCGATGATGCATAACGGCCAGCCAGCCCAGATCTGCTGTCGTTGGTGTTTGGGAAACCTCTTCGTCAGGGCCGCAGAGAACGGAGCACCAACGGAATAGAGACCTTGAGCTAGGGTTCCAATGATAGGGATGTTGGCTCGATCATTTTTGAACTCGGGGAGATCGGAGTAGTAGTTCTGGAATATGCCAAAACACATGGGAAAGCCTGCAGCATTGTGTCAGCCAGCCTGAAGTGCCAGAGAAGAAAGAAAGATGGCCCAGGATAATACCCCAAAATAAGGCCTCGATAACGAAGGTGGCGATGAGAACGATCCAGGCATCCCGTCCACGGTCAACAGGTTTCAATTCTTGCCCTTGCGAGGCCGCTTCATGAAGATCGCCATGTTCATTAGAATGCTGATCTCGTGATTGCAGCTCGATGGTGGGCAATTGATGCTCATCTGTCGTAGACATCTTGTTCACCGCAGTAGGCCTGTGAGCCACATTGCGGAAAGAAATATAACCCGTGTGCAATGAAGAGCTGCGGTAGTGTTATGACATCGTTGTCCTTATCTGCAGACAAAAGGGCTCACTTGACTCATAGCCATCGCGCAATGGTAACTTAGCTAAGAGGAGTGGTGTTATCAGTACCGAGTATAACCGTTGTCTAGCGGTGGACTCCCGATGAGCTGCGTATCGCTGCCCCTGCACTCTCCACTTTTTTCAGATATCGCAAGCACGATAAAATGCATATCACTACGCTAGGGCATGGCTTTGTATAAAATGACCCCAAAAGGGTAAATCAAGTCATTGGGGTCAATAATATAAACAGTTGTAGAAACATGTTATAGCATAGATATGAATAAAAATAATATCGTTCATCATGCTGAGTGTTAAGCTATCAGAGCCCGCTGGTGCCATGTTTACGTGTGTTGCCTTGCATAAAGAGTTGCCGGAATCCTAGTACTGCCATAGAAGTAGACTCTAGAAAAGATAAAAGTAGACAGGTCATCATTGTACCATGGTAACACCCCTCTGTGAGGAAAACATTCCAAACAATGAGATTGAAGCGAAAATGAGAAATGTAACAAAAGCAATGAAAAGGAATAATGTCATGAGGATAATGATAGTGATAGCGACAATGATAATAGAAGAAAGTCGTTGACGGGAAACAGGATGCATGAGAAAGCATCCCTTCTGAGGATCCACAAGATCACCAACCGGTTCATTCTGCCGCTGTAAGACTCCAGAGAATAGTTGTCACGGCAAAAGTCTAGGTCGGCGGCTGATATGTTGACACATATCAACAATTGCTGCCGAGCTGTTTCTGATTCGAATCGGTTTCAGTCGGAGTTAACTCCGGCCCCGACTCGCCTTCACTCTCTTCTACTATACTCTGAGTGGTCACGTTCTCCAACTCTGATCCACTCTCTTGAACTTGTTTCTTGGCCTCGGCAACGATGGCGTCTGCCTCGCTGATGCCTCCATCTTTTGTACTCGATGGATCGCCTTCAACGCCAATGGGCTCGATTTTCCGCTCGACTGTGCCTTGCACAGCTTTACTGTCGAATCGAATGACCATGCATGAGAGATTGTCTGTTGAGAAGCGTGAGAGTGCGTGATCGACGAGCTGTTTTGACGCGGCTTGCGGGTCAGCAGTATGTCGAATGAGATCAACGGCTTCTTGATCCGAGCAGACGTCCCAAAGCTATTTCGCAGGTTAGCAACATTTCTCACTCTTGATCAATTGGAAGGGACAAACATACACCGTCACATGCGAGAATAAGAAATTCGTCAATGTCTGGCTGCACAACTGTCTCCGTCGTGTAGGGGTGACCAGTGACAAGATCCTTCATGTACGAGTCACCGAGAGCCCTGGTCACTGCCAAAACGCCATTGACGCGGTTGTTCAGGATAAGGCCGCCGGCATTGGCAATGCGTTTTCCTTCATTATCGTCACTACCCTTGTGATCGTAGGACAACCGCAGGGCCTTTCCGTTGCGACAGAGCACAATTCGAGCGTCGCCGACATTGGCCGTGTAAAGGACTCGTTGCCGCGAGGCCGACTCTTGTAACCGCAAATGAGCAACGGGTGTGGCCAGGTTGCTTGATTTTGAGTCGTCGCCAGCAGTGCCTGACACATTCGTCTGCGATTGCGCTGCTAAACTCGACGAGTCCGCGGCGAGTCCTTCCCCAGAACTAGATCTGAGAGCGGCAGCTGTGGCAGGGGCAAGGGCCATGGAACCCGTCGCAGAATGCGAGTTAGGTATCCTATCCTCCCACCGCAAGACCGCAACAACTGCAGTACACCCGCTGTTCTTTAAAGGCAGTCTCTCTAGCTGGTGGTCGACCATGGTGAAGGTCTGGTCAAGCAACTCAGGGACCGGTGTATTGGGATTCCGTCGAATACAGTCCTCGAGCAGCAAGTGCAATTTCTTGCCGCACCAGTCGGCAGCAAACGTGCCGGCATGACCGTCAAAAATGGCAAAATATCCATTGTCGGTTTCAACCACTTGTGATGAGGAACCGGATGCGCTCGAGTCTGAATTGGAACGGTCTGAGATGGCGGATTTGTTGGGCGGGGAGCTCGAAGGAGAGCCAACGACAGGGGCGGGAGTGGATAGGAAGTTGTAAAGGTACGCATGCGTGTCTTCCATGGTTCGACGGCACTTTTTGTTCTTGTCCTCAGTCACGCCGACTCGAAAGGTGGAGCGTGGGCCCGGGAACGATTCACCGGCCGAATTATTGAGAGAGCCCTGCGGCACGCTGAGAGCCGGGTCCTTCTTCCCGAGCTTCTGAATCGGTGTCTGAATCGGGCCATCGCCAGACGAATTTGAGGAACCAGAAAGATGCAAAGAATTCTTCGCGCTGGAAAGCAATGCGCTCGCTTTACTGACGCCACTACTTCTTCGCTTCTTGTCACCAGCTGAATGGGCCTGATCGTCCTTCTTTTTGGCCGATGGACTGACGCTGATGCTGTGTCGCTTCTCCACCACATAGTTATCGCCACTCTCAGGGACAGTTAGCCCGCCATCCGGCTGAGATTTTGACGGCACAGACTGGGCCCTAGTCGTGTTCCCATTGTCCTTGTTGGATGTCGATGTGGCGGTGCCGAACATTCTGTTGAGCAGCCCTCCTTGTGAGGAGAAGCTCAAACGCTTGGAACCTGCCAGATTGATAGAGATGAGCTGTAGTCCCTTGACGAGGACCAGCAATCGGGAGGCCAATGGGGGGTGCAGGAACCGTTCTGATGGGAGAGGGGTTGTCGGATAATATCGATAACGGTCTCGTGCGCTCGTCAGGGCGGGGATGGATGCGGAGTGAGGTCGGTGGCGGGGACAAAGGTACCGGTTTTAGCGGTCGTTCAGGCTTAGGATAAACGTGCGAATATTGTAGATTTGTCGTCTGTTATATTTTCGCTGGTCCTGTACAATCGATATTCCTTTGAAAGGAAATCTAATCATTTGCGTGAGCAATCAGTATGCGTTGGACATGCAGCGCTTATAAGTGACGGGCGACAGCGCTTACATGATTCTGGGAAGCGCGTCCTTTAAGCCCCCCACGACAACTCCGGGCGTAGGTATCAATGGCGCAGCGCCGGAGTAATGAGAGTCTGAACCGGTTCGAGCAGCGCAATGCAAGACGTGTCTGAAGTGGCTCACAAGGGCAAATAGACGGAGAGTAGGAAATCGAGAGGATGGACAGTCTGAAGAGGGGAGCGTTGGTGCTCAGGTGGTGGATTGTCGTCTTTCGGGGTTAGTAGAGGTGGATAACGAAATCGGGGGAGCTTAGACCCAACTGCCGACGGACTTGAGTCCAGTGAATGATGGATCCTTTGCCCTCTTGGTATTTCGTTTCGGGGCGGGAACGATGACACAAGTCGCCCCTCGCCTACTTGGTAAGGGTTCCTCTTCACGGATGGACGTCAGGACGTGCAACGGCAAAGGTTAAGTGAAGTTCGGAAAACTCAATTGTCAAGCACCTTTTATTTTGGGTTGAAACACTCTCGAATCATCAATGTATGTTTAATTTTAGTTGTGACTAAGGATTGAATCCCAGCTTCTGTAGAATTGAAAGGGTCGTCCTCGCGTTGTGTAGTACCTTGCCAATGCGTGATGTGTTCCACTTCAAGCTGTCTGTTCACTACGCTGAAGGTAAGTATCAATGACAAGTTGGGCCGTACTGAAGTATACAGCTTCATTGACCGGACGGCATACCAAGCCTGCGAAAGAAGAGAGACAGCCGGATAGCTTTGGGACGCCAACGGAACTTCGGGCGGCAAGGCCGGCAGATGCGTCAGCGGCAGGAACACACGGCAGAGAACCAATTTAAGAATAACCTAGGAAGGGAGAGAGAAACAAAGGGTTTAGACACTGCTAATAATGAGAGAGAGAGCTTGAGGCGATATAATTCAAATCAAGGATCGAGGGGAAACGGATGGGGAACGGGCCCAGAGGATGTGGGGTTGGTCAACGCCACTGTCGCCCACTAAACAATCGCAAGCACTTCCCTCTATCAAACTATTGACTTTAGTCCCTGACTTGGTGCACAATGACACGCGGACTTTCCTCAAGTGTTCCTCACCTATAAAGTGGAGCATTATTGGATCCTGGTTCAATACCCCCTTAGTCCTCACTTTGATAGCTATACAGAAAGACGTCGATAGCAACAACAATTAATCGTGAACGATTTTTGTATAATTTATCTAGCCGCGTCTTTACATATTAAATCTTAGACGACACTTACGTAGGATGATGACTTCGAATATTCCTGATCGACATACCATATTAAGCAACTGAAATTCTTTATGGGACCGTGATAGGGGTTTATCAATGGTATCTATTAATTATAAGAGTTCCAAATCCGTGGTGCATATATGTTAGCCCATGGACCCATTCATGCGTATACACAGGGGGAAAAAAGATGAAATCTGCCATTTGACTTCGGAACACCAAAGCCATGCGAATAGTACCAGGCCTTTGGTCAATACAATCGCATGAAGTCCACCTCAGACGGATATATCTTGAGAAGCTGTTGATCAAATTTCACATAAAATGAAAGAAACGAATAAATAACCATTCAAGGGGGGTTCAAGGTTCGAAAAAGCGCTTTAAACCAAACAAACGCCGCCTCCTTCAAATATAGGTATGTGGCAGATTGCATCCGCCTTGTCGGGAGTCAATCCACCTCTTTATCGCCGCAGGCTGTCCAACCTGGCCTGGAGGTCGTCGTCGCCTGGATCGCCACCTCCAATAGCCTCGGCCACACGGCCATCTGAGACCGCTGTCTTTTGTAGTCCAGATGGAGTCTCTCCGAGCTGTCATCGTTCCCATGTCAGTAGCTCTATCGCGAATTTGGGTCAGGGTATCACATACAGCCTGGCCCAGGTCGACGCCGATCTCGTCCAAAACCTCCTTGACAACTTCCTCTCCTTCCTCTTCGTCCTCAAGGCCGGTAACGTCGTCTATGGCATCATCCATCATTTCTTGTCGTTGATCCATTATATCGTTTTCGCCTTCAAACTCCATCGCAATGCGTTGAAGAGCAGGAAGATTCATGCTGCGGTTCATACTTCCCAGAAGAGCCGTGGCGCCTTTCATCGACTGCATCATCTGCTCATTGCTACGAACCGTCTGGGTTGTGTCGTAGGTTAGAATCTACTCAAGAAAATTGCGAAGGACAGGGAAAGTACCTGAATACGCAGAGAGATTGCCTGAAGTTGCGTGCGCATCTGGTAGAACTTCTGAATGTATCTGGTTTATTGCAATCCCATAAGTATGTTTTCGATTCTGCGAAGGAACTCCGGGACCGCGAGCGCGCCATCATCCCTGCTTCTAATAGCAACTATACCTTCTCGTTCGAACCAAATCTTTCGCCTGAATCTTGCAAGCGCCAATTTGGCCATTCTTGGCACTCTTTTTAATATCCTGCACCAGCTTCTTCTCCTGGTTCTCAAGCTTAACGCGCTCCCGATCAAGCTCACGTTGTGTCTTCTCTAAAGCTCGTTGGTGCTTGCGCAGACGCTCCGCTGGCGTCATACGCTTTCCAAATGCCCATTCGACAATCTGTAAATTAGCAGTTAGTTCGGCAGCCGTGAAAGACTTGCAGCTCATAGAAGCTCCCTCTGCGTACATTCATGGTGTCAGTTATGATAAGCTCGACGGTGGTGAAGAAGGTGTTGCTCTCGAAGATAGACAGATAGAAGTCGATCAGCACGAGCACATCTTCCTAGCTAAATTTAATGGCTGTGTAATTCTCTTTCGTAGAAAATTATTCGGAGTCTGATGAATTGTAGACCGAGTAGCTGCCTGTGAGCTCTTACTTGCTGCTCGCCCCTCCCGCCATCATGGGGCTGGTGACAGTTATCTTATCAACAAATCTGCGTTATGAGCTCTTTACAAAAGCCGTAGAGTTACGGTAACCGAGTAGACTCAAAACTCACGCCACCAGCCGAAGACCCAAAGACGCCAAGAAAATGCATGATGATGATTTATGATCAAACCATAACAGTCTCATTCCCAGCAGCTTGAGCACCCCCTCGGCGCCCATAGCTTCGATATTATTCTGCATAACTCCAGCACTGAAATACGTCGAGGAGCAGAGCTTCAGCTGACGTGCGTGCTTCACCATGAGCCAAGATCCTCACTCCGGTGGCGAGTCCTCTTCCGCCGGAGGCTCATCCTCCAACAATGATCCTGCTTCCGATTTGCGTGCTGTTGTAGGACAGCCTAGAGGCTCCGGACGACCAGGCTATATGACAGTAGGCTCTGGCGCCACATCGGCTCATGCGGCAGCGCTTACCGCAATGCTCGATAATGATTCTGGCTATGGAGGGAGCATCGCTGGAGAGTCGTCCGACGCTATCGGTGGATGGCATCCAGGAATCACAGAAGACAGACCAACACCAAGTCGCTCGCCACTTGGAGATCCAACTGCTGCTTGTAAGTGTTCATCCGGAAATACAGATGATGCATCAAGTTGAGCTAACCATGACGCGATTGAAAAGCGGAAAATGAGCGAAGAGTACTCGCAAGCCATATCCATCAACTATACTAGTATGCGAAGCTGGTGTATGCTTTATTGTTTATCATTGTTAACTATTTTATTAGCAATCAGAACCGTGTCGCCCTTGGTCGAGCCATTAACCGCACCATTGAAACCTTGAAAGAACTTCAGCAGATGAACACAAGCTGGCCGGCCCATTATCCTTCAGTTCAACGCACAAGCTCGCCTGCGAGGTCTCCTGCAAGGTCGCAGACTGATCCTCGGCCAGGTATTGTCCACACGCATTCGACCGCTGGCGACTTCGTTCACTCTTCTGACCCTTCCGCTCCCCGTCCTGGAAGTCTAAGGCGCGCCGCGACGTTTGCTGGCGATGATGCGGGCGATGATGACGAGGCGGAATCAAGCGTCTCCGCTGAACAGAGACGCGCGTCTGAACCTCGGCTTCTCAGTCACCAAATCGCGCAGGAGTTTTCGGTTCTCAAGATCGACCTTAAGTTGGGAGCTCTATCACAATCGGAGCTGGTGCACTCACTGGAGAAAGGATCAATAGCATCCTTGCTGGATGGGAAAATCGGCCACAGCATTCGTCATCTTTTGTCTTTGCGAGACCGCATTGAGGACATTTCGAGCAAAGTCCTTGTTACCGGTGACCTTAATGCCGGGAAATCTACATTCTGTAATGCTTTACTGAGACGCAAGATTCTGCCAGAAGACCAACAGCCATGCACGAGTATCTTCTGCGAGGTTCTTCATGCAAGGGAGAATGGAGGCGTCGAGGAAGTGCACGCGGTTCACAAGGAAATGCAGTATGAGCGCCACGACGAGAGTACATATGATGTTTATGCCCTCAAGCAACTTGAGGAGATTGTCATCGACAATGACCGCTATAGCCAGTGCAAGGTCTACGTGCAGGATATTCGCAGTGTGGACGAGTCTTTACTGAACAATGGGGTGGTGGACATCTCTATAATTGATGCCCCTGGCCTAAACAATGATTCGTTGAAGACCACTGCAGTGTTTGCACGCCAGGAAGAGATTGACGTGGTTGTCTTTGTTGTCTCCGCTGCTAATCACTTCACCCTTTCGGCCAAAGAGTTTATCTTCAATGCTGCTAGAGAAAAGGCGTACATTTTCATGGTTGTCAATGGCTTTGACAACATCCGCGACAAGAACCGATGCCAGCGGATGATTCTCGAACAAGTCGCAAACCTTAGCCCGGCTACGTTCAAGGAATCTGCAGAACTAGTCCACTTTGTCTCCTCCAACGCCATTCCCGTCGCGCCTGGCAGTTCTCCCAATGGCGGAGGTGGTGACAATCCTTCAGGCAACGGCCCCAGTGGTGTGCCCAGGGATGGTGATGGGGGTGATGACGATGACGAGGAACCAAAGGGCAAGCATGGCGAGCCCGGATCGCCACCCGAAGAAGGCAAGGGCAAGGACAAGGGGAAAGGCAAGGAACGTGAAAAGATTGAGGATTTTGAAAATCTCGAGGCCGCCCTTCGACGCTTTGTCCTCGAAAAGCGGGCCCGTTCGAAGCTTGCTCCGGCTAGGACATACCTGCTCAACATCCTCGGCGATCTGCACACTCTTGCCAACGTCAACCGTGATGTTGCCCAATCCGAGCTTGATCGCATGACCAAACAACTTAATGAGCTTGAGCCTGAATTCGAGAAATCAAAGCGCGCGCGCTCCGAAGTCAGCGACGACATTGACCGAACGATTGAGCAAGGCTGTGCGGAAATTTACCAGCAAAGTCGTGAGACCATCTCACAAACAATTGCTCGGGTGGCCGAACAGGATCTTGGCGTTCCGTATCCCGGTCTCTTCCAAGCGTTCCAATACGCCGAAGACATACAGACCGCTATGCTCCAGCAAATTCAGAATTCCGTCACTTCCTGCGAAGAAGCAGCTCGCGGCCGCACTGTCCAAGGGGTCAACACCATCAAATCGCTCGGCATTCTTCATCTCGGCGAAAAATACACCGACCTTACCTTCCGCAGTGACATGATGTTTACACGCAAGCGGGATGCTCTCGCTCGCCAAGTCCATACCGACGTTGAAGTCTGGGACTTCTTCGATATCAGCGGTCTTTGGGAACGCCAAGAGAAGGTCGCCGGTACCAGCATGGCTGTGACTGTTGTTGGTGTTCTTGGCAGCAGAATGATTGGCGGAGTCGGTTGGATAGATGGCGCTCTTGGCGCCGCCCGGGTGCTCAGCCGCAACGACATGCGAAGACTCATCGTACCAGGTATGTTTGTCGCTGTTGTTCTCGGTGTATCATATGCCCTAGCATCTATTCCGCAAGCTCTGCCGCGCAGACTGAGTGCCAAACTATCACAAACACTCGCGGCCATGGATTATACCCATACCAATTCCAACCGAATCGCCAGCGAAGTTCGAAAGGTGCTTCGCTTCCCTGCGGATAACCTGCGGATGGGACTTGAGAAGAATGTCGAGAACTTGGGCATTCGGCGCGACGAGACTGAAAAGATCAAGCGCGAAAGCGAGGTTGCAAGAAAATATTTTTCGAATCTCTACCGGGAAAGTCGCGACCTGAGAAGGAGCGTCGAGACAGTCGATTTGGACGGTCCCGCACCAGGCATTGCCGGAGGCTATGATCTATGATAATAGCCTGGCTTTTCCCTCAATTTGTCGTAGATGACGTTCTTTGTAAGGCTCTGGGTTATCGGTTGATCGGTTCTACGGCGTTTTTCTCTTTTTTTTTTTTTTTTTTTCATTTGCATTGTTCCCATACACTTCTCCGTACGCAACGGCGTCTCTTGATGATCTTTACCTTCTCAACTCATGGCCCCTCACCACTCGGTCCTCTTGTAGTTGTGACTTGACCTTGTTTTGCTTTACTTCTCCCTTTTTCTTCCTTCATTCCCACTTCTCTGCCGGATCAATGCATTGCTGGTCCACAGACAAGTTATTCTCCTTTCCTATCCCTCATGAACATGATTCTCACTGATCCTGATACCTGTGGTTATTTTCCTTTCTTGGTTTCGTTCATTTTTTACTCCTTTCCTTCTTAAAGTTATCCTTCTCTTCTCGTCCTATTCACTCACCAGTCTTTTTTCTTGTTTTTTTTATGTGCGTCTTTCCTCCCGTCAATGATTCAATAATGAGTTCATTTACAGCAAGCAAACAAGCATGCCCGTTTGTACATAACATAGTAGCATAGCTTTCGCACATGGAACGTGGAATTGTCTTGGATTGTCAGTGTGCTATTTTCTTCCAGTCCTATTCTCTCCCAGTCCGATTCTCGTCTTGTCCTTTTCTATTCACTTCTAAATACTCAAGATGCGCATCTTGAGCCCTTTTTCTTTTCGTAGCATTATCTTTAGTTGCAGTATTACTTTCCAACGTCCAACACTCTCCTGGGTTCAACTGTAACTAGGGACTTTCAAAGTCCCACTTTGACGAGCAAAATAGCGCAAACCCCTCGCCGGAGAATGTTTGGTTTCTTTCTTTTGGTTTCTTTTTTAATTTTATTTTATTTCATTTTATTTATTTGGTTTACTTATTTGGTTTATTTATTTCATTTTATTTCATTTTATTTTGTGTGTGCATGTGCATGTGTGTGTGTATGTGTGTATGTGTATCTACATCTCTAAGTCTGTCAATTCCCTTCTGTGTTTTTTGATGTTTGATATCTGTCGTCTGTCGTCCGTGTCTTTGTGCATTCGTCAATGTGCATACAAAGTACCTGGGATAGCTTAACGAACTGATGCATTGACACTGTCCCCAGACTTGCTGCCAGGACTGTGTACGGCCTGCCTGCCCACTGCCTGTCGTCCGCCTTGCTTTGTCACCCTGTCACCCTGTCGCGACTCACCAGCTAGCCCGAGGGCCCCTGCCTGTTACCTGCTCGCAACGAGGGCACCAGGCACCTTAGAATACAACGACAAGAAAACAGTACAGAATATGTTAACCGACAAAACCACAGTTAGCATACACATGACATCAACAAGTGGGGCGTATAGCTCAGTGGTAGAGCGCCCGCTTTGCATGCGGGAGGTCTGGGTTTCGATCACCCATCCGTCCAACTTTCTTTTTGACTTTTTTTTTCTTTCTTCTCTTTCGAAAAGTCTTACTCCGTACTTTTTGCATTCGATCAATTTGTTTGGTACAGTATTTGCGTTTTTTTTTTTCATTTCCCCCCCCCCCAAAAGGTACGGTTTTTATTCCAAGAAAAGAATTATTTTTTTCCTAGGCGGACTGACCTATATGAACGTTTCAATTCGAAAAGAATTTCCTCTTCCCACTTATAAATAGATAAATAAAATAAAAAAATTAATAGAAAGAAGAAGAAGAAGAAGAAGAAGAGAAACAAACAAACAAACAAACAAAACGTGGATGTAAAATAATTTTACTTCGATTTATTTATTTTGTGTATTTACTTCCAGGGCGAAAGGAAAATAAAAGGGAGAAAAAAGAAAAGAGAAAAGAGAAAGGAAAGAACCAAAAAAAAAAAAAAAAAAAAATCAGTAAAGTTGATAAATGCAACAAGATAACACCTATGATTACAATATACAAGTGAAGCAAAAGATTAGATTTCGACTATATAATCTCTGTCGGGGTATATATTCGTAATGAAGAGCTGCTTGACGCTCATAAAAGAAATTGCAATGCAAGACACTGTAAATGCTTCCAACCCAACCCAGTCCAAGCCAACCCGATGCAAAGTTTCAATATCATAGCAAACCCACCCAAACCGAGCCAAAACCAAAGCTAATGCAATTGAATCAGATCCAGGGGGCTGAATACTTTCGTTGGAAAAATGTAAACAATGTAAACACGAAGACGACGCAGGCAATGCAAAAGGCAAGTAAAAGGGTAATAAGTAATAACAAGGAAAACAGTCAAGAAGAATCTGACTAAAAACCAGGTTGTCGTCTCTGTCTGGTGACCCTCCCTCGTCCATTCTCTCTCAAATCCTGCACGACGCCGATGCTTTCCCTAGGTCGACGTTTTTGGCGTTCAGCAACCAGCAAGGAGTCATCCTCGTCAACAGGCTCGCCGCTCTTGCCGCTCATTTTGCGAACCATTTTTTCGCGTTGGGCTTGTACATGTGGGTCGTCATACGAGACTGCCTGGCTAGGTAGAGGAGGATGGTCTTCATTGTCAAAGTCCTCTGGAGGAAGGGAGAGACTGCCAGCGCTAGTAGGTCGCGAATCAGCCGTGTTTGCACTCGTCCCTGGCGGCGCAGATTCTGAACCGCTCACAGCAGGATCAGCATTGCCACTGGTGGTTAGATCGGCGGATTCGCTGCGCGAGAATGAATTGGAGAGGAGCGAGGACAAGTTCGACGGGGCGCGGCCAAACAGCCGACGTTTCTGAAGACGACGAGGGGCCTTCGAGGGATCATCAACCTTGGGAGCGGCGGCGGAATTATCTTCCGAGACATTTTCGCTTGGAGGGACGCTTGCGGTGCGCTTCATGGCGAGGAGGGAAGCAAGGGAATTTTTGAGATCCTGGCTGAAACTATGATTCGATGTGGACGATGCGAATGATTTGGATTTGGAGGAGTTTTTGGGATTTTCGGCCGTCGTTATTTGCGGATTACGAAGTTCGTCTGAGAAACTCTCATCTTTCGCCGCACTGTCAAATGATTTTGCGCCTTCAGGGACCGTCTGAGCATCGGGAACGGGCGATTGTGAAGAGCGCTTTTTGCGAGAGTTAACGGCTAGTCCAATATCTTGAAGAGGTTCCTGCGGCCGAGGTAATGTTGTAGTTTCGTGATGCCGCAGTAACGAGTGCACGCGTATTGTTGAACTTGCCTTGGTTGTGGTAGCTTTGAATGCCGTATCTACAGGCATACCGATGCTTGCGGACTTTTGTAATGACCTGCCTACAGACCGATTGTGGCTATCTTGTTGAGGGATTGCTGACGATGTGTGAGGCTGTTTAACTTCGCGAGCAGAAAACGACTTGCTTCTGCCCAAACTATTTCGCTCATGAGGTGCACTGCCACTCAAGCTCTTGGACCTCTCTAGCACTCTGACCCGGCTCTCATTTGAGACAATCAGGTATTTCTCGAAAGGTTCTACCTGAGCTTGAGCTATGCTGTCGTAGAGCCATTCGGCTCGAACCGCTGGAATGTCCCATTCTAAAGCATGCCGGAGCTTCTCCTTGTTGGACAAGCTGGAATTGCACACAAGAACAGACGCTTTAGGTGTCAGGAACTCGTCGTATTGAGCACCTATACACGGCGCATAGTCAGAGAGGGAACACGAATTAATAGGAAGATGACGGTGAAAACCTACCAAGCTGCCTCGATGCTTTGGCTACATGCATAAGGTCGGTTCCGCTAAAAGCTGTTGAACATATTGCCAATTTTTCAAACCCTGCTTAACTGTAAGCCGAAGTCGAGCAACTACAGAGAAATTTCAGCTACCTAGTATGGGAAACGATGGAAACGGCTTGCTCATCACATCGGTCAAAGGATCGACCCGGCATTTTCGATACAAACAGCGTTCTAGCCACCATTCAGTGACGGTCATGGGCGCGCAAACACTCTCGGGGAATCTAGGAATATCCGAGGATTCCATATCATGAGGAATCATAAGGTACGAATTTAAAGCATCCTCACGAGACTGTGACGAGATGCCATTAAGGTTTGGGACAATATGTGCATCGTGGGAATGAAGATGATCCGTAAGGATTGCAGCCTGTTCATTCAGAATTAGTGATAGGGTCAACGTCAGGCTGCAGTTACACTTCGTAGAATATACCTTTCGCTGATTAAAGCCATGTATGCAGAACCGTAAGCCATGAAGCATTCCCGAGTCCGTCCCTCCTGGAGACTGTACTTGTTCACCCTGACCACCACTGATGGTCGGAAACGACCGAGACGCGATGGTCTTTGGAGGCTCTGGGTCCACAGCGTCCGAACGGAATGATGCCCTCCCAAATGAAAGGGTTCGGCCATCTGGAAGAGGGGAAGGATCATCCTCCTCCCATTCATTCTTTACGACCTCTTTAACTGGCGCTGCAGCGCCGACAATATCATTCCAAATTCCTTCGTTTTGGCTTCCGAGTTTTGTGCTTGCCGTGCGTCGTAGTTTCCTCCTCCCTGGTTCTAGTGCCATCTCACCAGCGTCTCGGCGAACTCTCTTTTTCGCATTGAACGGAGATTTTGGCTCCCGTACCCAGGCACCCTCTCCCCTAGCCGCTTCTGGTATCAATGGATGATAGAGATTCTCGTCAAGTCGCATGCCTCGCTCCAGGCTATCGCTCAACCATTCTCTTGCCACCACCCGTAGGCCCCATTCCGTAGCATATTGGTATTTTTTACCCTCTGGCGTATAGGCTATCAAATGCGTGACAGCCTTTGTTAAATCTCCATGGTACGCTGCCCCGTTGTTGATAATTGCGTCGATTAGGGCCTGCCTCTCCTCGACTATTTCCATTAGTCCATGCGCCCATCGACCAGCTAGTATACTTACGAATATTGAACCCAGTCAAGCAAATTCGTAAGCCTTCAAAGGAAGGAAGCTTGTGCTCTTCCTCAAGCGCCTTCACATCCGTTTCACCGCCTTCAAGCCAGGTCTCCCGAACGGCTTCCACAAAACTCGGACTCAAAGCTTGCACATCTGGGCGCTCCTTGGCAACATATCGGTATTTTGGAGTTTCTGTATCGCCAACGATCAGATGTGTCACATCGGCGGTAAGATCCAGCTTGTGTACAGCCCCCATCTCGGTTGCCATTGCTGCAAGTTCAGTCTATGCGCTCACATTTTGAAAGTTAGCATCGACGCTTTGCAATATCATCCATTGATAGCCATATCCAAGATAATTGTGGGGACACAACTCACACGTCTTTCCGGAGTTATTGAGGTGCAGCACATGATAACCCCCAAGAGCGGGAGCTGGGAGGTTGCTAAAAAAAAAGGTCAATCTCGGCGTCGAAAGGCAGCTCATGAATAGCTCTGTGCATACTTTGTTCTTCATCTTCCAGCATTTTCTTGCCCTTCCACCAGTGCAGTCACAAAGGCATGCAATGGCAGATTGTTGGACTTATGCTTTCCTTGTTGTTGTGATTCCCTCTAGAGCCAATAATGATGTCGATTGCTAAAGCGATCAACCTGATCATGCTTTCTGTCTTAGAAGGGTTAGTGACTGCCATTGACGCGACTCGCGACTGGCTTGACGCGAATTGGGAGGACGACATCACGTGAGGCAAGATTCTAAGCAGAGAACCTTGTATAAAGTACTTGTACACTGTGAAAGCCTGTGCCAAAACTTTCTCAAAAGTACTGGTTTAGAGCAAATTTATCGTCCCAAAGAGGTTACTGTTCAATATGAAGTGCAACAGTCCAATCTTATCTATCATCTATGATGTCATCAATAGTCTAAAATTACTCTAAGCTGCCCTTTTTCGCCCGTACGCTGTGCACCTGTGGATTACCCAAAGAAACATTATTCAATCAGGCTTCAACATTACATTCAGAATTGAAGAGTCCAGTAGCAGCATATCGAATGAAATCTACGTAAATATGTCCCGGCCGGTCCGGCCGGTGGCTAGATGATGTCATTCGCAACAGGAGGAACACGAGTTTCATGACAAGTTCAAGATGGCACTTTATCACCAATGAATGAAAATTGAATAATTTCGTACAAATGATCTGAAAGACACATCACTATGTCATCAACAGACGTCCATCATTGCATTGTTGACAAAGACAACGGCAAGCTAGGGCTGACCAATAGGGTGGGAGCGGAGTCAACGGAAGAAGACAGGTTTAATTCAAAAGATCCATGCTACAAGTACTGTGCACACCTAAAGCCGCCGACCTGGTAACTTTATGAGCTTACACGGACGGTTGGGTTCCTGCAAGCAATAATGTGCCAGGGTTCAACTCATCGTCCAAAAACAGAAAGAGAGACACGGGGTATACGCGTCGCCCTCTTCCGAGCCATCCGATAACCCGTTTGGGTCTTTGCAAAATCAGTGCTCGTCGGTGCTCGTGCCGGAAGTTCGACCAGGGTGGTGGGGCACAGTATTCCCTTACCGCTGATTTCTAATTGTACAACACAGCCCCCTCGAGGTACTGCGGGATAGGTTTCCGGCCCATCATGAACTTTGTGAAATGGACCAATATCAGCGTCAGCGTCAGCATTAGCAGCCACCACCCCATGGGGGCCCGATGTCAAAAGGCTTGGTCCCGCGCTTTTGAGAATCGGAAAATCGGAAAGTCACTTGATTTTGTATTGGAATAATCTGCCGGCTCTTTCGCTCTCAAAACAATAATCGCTCTATCAGCTTCTCTCTCGATGATGAATGGGATCTTCTGCAGGATGGTGGATTGTCAGGAGAAATCAAAGACTGTCCGCGTCTTAACCTCATTTAGGGAGAGGTTCAAGGTTGGTCCTGTCGATCATTAGGGTCGGGTGACGCCAAATTGGACTGATTGGGGGGGATGTTGATCCGGAGGTCTCTCGGAGACCATGCTCCATAGAACCAAGTGCACACCGGGCTCAAAAGGGTCTTTACCGATTAATCCGCCCTCCAAAGAGATGGGCGTAGGTAATTTTGGGTTACGGTACGTGCTCGAGACTTTGTCATCAGCTGTTGACCATTTAGTATGATTCCAAATGGCCTGGCCAAATAACCTCGGGAGCAACAATATCAAAACGTGGTGTTTCAGTCGCGTGGTGGGGATATGCATGGGATGAGGTTTGAGGCATTAATTGGAGGATTCGTTTCTCTCTTTGAGTCACAAAATATACCTATCTACAGTAGGGGTATGTTGACTTGCAGTCAATCCTAGCAATATTGATTTTTTTTCAACCGAGGTTCCAGAAGTTTAGAAATCTCATTTCTTCTGCCGGTGAGCCGCAACAAGACGAGGCTATTAAAGTGTTTTGAAATATGCATGTATTATGCATATTTTATTTTTGACAGGATAAATGTCGCTGACACGTTTATGCACTCATCATCAGATCTGGATCATTTTCTTCTCCGAACAGAATGCTCGGACATATCATCATGGCTGTGGGAAATTGCTGCATTCCAGATACTCGTATGGACATGTCTTCTAAGATTCCCCAAGATTTTCCACCTCCGCGGCCTGGTTTAACTCGAGGACACTCTTACCAGGGGTTGGCGTCATGGCCAGGTTGATCCAGGTAAAGGTACCAATTCGGTACGGTACCGGTTCTTTAGTCCGCATTACAGTGGGAACTCCCAACTTTTCCTCTTCCAATCGGCATTCGAGGATTTGACTTGATATCGACCAGGCTTTGATATCTTACCTAAGGTCAAGATGCCGCTCCCCAATAGTCTGAATAATCCACCTATTCGAGACCAGGGCGGGACGGTGGACCGCATTATTGTCAACGGGCTTGTTTTGTCAGAATTGGAGAAGTTTGAGGGATGCGCCTGACTGTTCAAATGCTTGGATACTAATCGACTATACCCTATGGCGGACCCGCATTTCTAAGAAGCTTGGCCAGAGACCCTGGTCTAACCTGTCTCAAAGGCACCGCTGACTGCGAGGATACAAAGAGGTAGGAATCATTCTGCCGTCAGCGGCCTCAACTCCGTAAGAAGTACCTCGGCCGATGGGCATCTGAGGCAAAACTCGGGCGAGAAGTGATGAGCAGTGTGGATTCTTCCCGCAGGACTCTAATTTGACGCAGGGCATTAATTTGTGTTCCCGTCTACATAGTACAGAGTGCTTTGACTCGTCCTAACCGGGAAAAATGGGATAAAGTTTCTTGGGTGATGACGATGGGGCCATGGTAGGGAACCTGACGCCCCGAAAGAAAGCCTAAAAAGGTGCTAAACCTGCCACCGACGACTGTGCTACAAGATAGCTTAAGCTGGGCATATCCTGCTGTGATAAAAACGTTGTCGACCCAGCTTTAGAGTCGAAGGGTTGAAACTTTGTGCTCTCGATTGTCACTTTTTGTTTTTTCTCACGTATATTATTTTCAGCTTTGGGATCCTTGAAGACAATTGAGCATCAGAAACCCCCTAATTTGTGCTCGTCGAATCCCATCGAGGAGCATCTGTGCGGTGTTTGGCCTTTGCGCCTGTTTTTTTTTTCTCCCCCGCTATCCGATCTATCCTCTTGATCCGGCTTATCCTGTTGCGACGGATATTAGTGAGCCGACTGGCGGCGTCGCAACGAATACTTGTACCCGCACTTCTCCTCTCCTATTCGGGCGCATCAACGCATGCTAAAAAGCCCCTGGTCGACAACGAAAAGTTGAGTCTGCACGTTTTGCCCGGCCTTTTACTACTGCAGGTAAGGCAGGACGATTATCATAATCAATATTATTGATGATCTACGAAGTACTCGCTCTAAGACCGGGACCTTGGACTTATTTGAGTAATTGGGAAACAGGCCACCTCATCTCTTCTCCGGCCCAATGATATCTCAAACGGTCTGAAACGAGCCCAAGACTCTCGCGCCGTGTCTCGTCTGGTCTGCCTTGGCTTGAGTGTCGTTGTCGCATAATACCGCCTGGGCCAACGTCGTCACCACCACCATCATCATCATTTCCCACCCCCGAACGTGCCGAACAAGCAACAGGATCGCCTCCCCGCCCAATTCTCCCTCAACCCTCACTCATTATTCTTCATTCACTCAACCCGTCACCGCCTTATTTGGGGCTCCCAACCCTGCTTCAATCTTCCCCACGTTGAGCAACCACCACCACTACTACCACCACCACCATCTCCTCACACATCTCCCGAAAACGGTATGTCTCTCTGTGCTGTCGTCGTGCGCACATTTCCCTTTTTGACTTCACTTTCCCATAATACCACAATTCACCCCACATGCACTCGCTTGCCCTGTATTGTGACCATTTGAACATTCACTTGCACGTCTGTTCCTTTTCCTCCCCTCCCCCATTCCTCTTTCTTTCTTCATCTCGCAACCGTCCCTCACGGCCAAGGCGCGAATGATAATTGTCACACGAGCGTCTTTTGCGGCATCATAGGGCTCATTGCGGCTGTGTCTCTTTTGTTGTTTTGACCTTATTCGCTTTAAATCCCTCCTCTCACACATCTACCTACCGCTAGCGTTAGGCTCTTTGGTGAGGCCATCGCTTGCTTACGGTTCATCATGACAGGCAGGACCCTCGAATCCTATACTTCTCGAGGTCGATTATACTATCTTCCGGAGAATCGAGTAACTGCTGATAGCCCATCTGCACCGTTTGAACCCCGTCGCAGACGTGCGCAATCGATTCGCATCACTCGTCTGCCTCTTGGATATCGTCTGAGCAAGGACGACCTCTACGTCAAGGAACCTGTCTTCACCAAAAAGCTGGCGGGGTCTAGAGAGAGCGCGAAGCGTTTCCTTCGTTCCGTCATTAATCCCCCTTCATCTTCGACCCCAGCACCGCCTGCGGGGCCAACAAATCCTTCGTCTGAACCGGCCGCACCTCCGCGCCCCGCCGATCCCATGATGATACAAGCGGAGCCGACTCCGGCGAGTCATCGAAACTCGATCATTGGAGGATCTCTCAGTGGGATAATCTCGCGACCCTCTCTCAACGACAGTATTCGCACTGCGTCCGGTCGGTCCTCAATAAGCGGCGGAAGCACCTCGAGTGTACCCAAATCCATTCAGGATGAAAAGCCGCTTGCTTCTGGAAATGGCATCTCAGTCTCCGTTTCGTTAGCAGAGCCGGTCCTTTTCTTGCAGGGTTTTGACCAAAATGACGCAGAGTCCGGGTCTACAACAATGCTGCGTGGCAGCCTGCATCTCAAGGTTTACAAGGCCGCTAAGATCAAGGCGATTTCGCTGAATTTCCGCGGAAAGGCGATCACGAAATGGCCCGAAGGTAAGTTTATTCGTGTCCATGTTTTCTGCCATGAACACTTGTGTCTGACTGGTGCGAATCATTGACAGGAATTCCGCCACGCAAAGCTGAATTTGAGGAGATTGAAACATTAATGAACCACACATGGCCCTTCTTTAATGCCCAATTCCCCACTGCAGAGGGTGGCCACTGTGCCGACGTGTGCCATCTTGCCAAGGGTCCTACTACGAGCACGACTAGCCTGGGTGTGGGCAGCTTAGGCTCAGCCTTCGATCAGTTTGTGCGGTCGTCCTCTCCAGTCAGTTCACATGGAAACAACATGTCGTCACGCGATCTCAAGCGACTCTCCTTACAGCTCAACCATTCGCGCAGTTTTGGCAAGGGCGAATCGGGCGGAACTGGTCCCACAGTTGCACAAAAAGGTTACCGGATGTTTCAGCCTGGTGATTACATTTATAACTTTGAACTTCCACTTGACAGTCGTCTGCCAGAGTCTATCAAGGTTGAGCTGGGCACGGTCAAGTACGAACTGGAGGCATCGGTAGAGCGGGCTGGTGCATTCCGTGCAAATCTTAATGGAATCAAGGAGATCGTCTTGATTCGGACGCCGTCCGAAGGTTCATTAGAGCAGGTGGAGCCAATTGCCATTAGCAGAAATTGGGAAGACCAGCTGCATTACGATATCGTCATCTCCGGCAAATCTTTCCCTCTCGGTTCACAAATTCCCATCGCATTCAAATTGACGCCACTAGCGAAAGTGCACTGTCACCGAATTAGAGTTTATGTGACTGAAAACATTGAATATTTTTGCCACAACAAGCGGGTGCATCGGATGGAGCCGACCCGCAAGGTTCAGCTGTTTGAGAAGAGAGCGGACGGGCCAAGCACGAGCGCGTATCCAGGAAGCTCCGTTAGGGTCACGGCTGGAGGCGGTGTTGCTTATGACAGCCGTGACGCTGCCGCTGCTGGAAGAGAAGACTTCCCGGTTCAGGACAATACCAATCTCCTCGGAAATCTGGAGGCATCGACAAACATCGGGCCTACCGAAATGGAATTCAGCGTTCAGCTCCCCAGCTGCGCAGGACTAGGCGAAAAAGAGAGAGCTCAACGACTGCACTTTGATACGACGTTTCGGAATATCCAAGTCCATCACTGGATCAAGGTATGCAATGCCTTTATGCGGTTTCCCCCCCCCCCCCCCCCCTTTTTAATTTTGTCTCAATGCGTCTGACTAATATTTTGTTATAGATTGTGATGCGTCTTTCCAAGCCTGATCAAAATGATCCTACGAAGCGTCGACATTTTGAAATCTCCATCGATTCGCCTTTCCACATCTTGTCCTGCCGCGCCACGCAAGCCAACATTGCCCTTCCAGCGTACTCTTCTCCGCAAGTCTATGATGGCGCGCCAGTCACGCAGGCTCCCTGTCACTGTCAGGATCCCATTTTCAACTCGCGAAACTCAACTCCAGCTATCCCGCCTGTGGGCCACAATATCCCTCCATCTGGTGGGCTCGCCCGGCCTCAAGCTGCTCACATCAACTCGGGCAACGTCCAGCGACCTATCCATTTGCTGCGCAATCCATCATTCAACCCTCCGCCGTTTGAGTATGACTCCCCTCCGCCACCTCTGATCACTCCCCCGCCGCAGTACGACACTGTTGTTGGCGAAGGTGACGGCCTGCGAGACTATTTTGCTCGAATTGCAGACGAAACGCACGCAGATGAAGACGAGGAAGATGAGGGTAGCGACGGTAGCGACGACATCGTCCGTACTCGAAGTCGGGGTCGAGTAGTGTTACCTCTGACCCCAGGTGGCCGCGTCAACCGGAGTATGGACTTGCCTCGGACGCGCATGCCTCTTGATAATGCGGTCTAATTCCAGAACACCACTACTGGAATTGCACGAGTGCTGGCCCCTTTCCATCGGGCTCAAAAAATTTGCTTATTCCTTCTTTCCGATTTTTTCCCGCTTCCCAAAATACTTTTGCTCACGACACACTTTGACAAACGAGATGATACCAATATAGCGATCACATATCTATCAAACTGTTTATAAATCTACGAACCTCGAGTCCCACCTCTTTGCCTCTAGGGCTATGTGCTTTTATCCTTTTCTGATCCATACTACTACCTCCAAGCGTTCGTTGTTAAATCTCTGACCTTCCCTCGTCTCTTCTCTGATGGCATACGCAATATTTACGATACGGATCCGGGAAACTTGCATGGTGTCTTTCTTTTACTTTGTTTCTTTTGTTGATATCGGCTCTATCTTTTCCTTCCCCGGTCTGTTCTGCTTTTCCAATAAATAGCATGGTTACGGAGCATCTCCACCTATTGGCTTTTCCCCCTTACTTTTTCTCGTTTTATTCTGTTCCACCTGTACCGAACAGGTTTATCCTCTTTTAAGAATGGTAAACAAATGACTTTTCCAATGTTTGATATTTGTACCTCTGACATTTGAATTGTGGAAGTTTTGACATGTGAATTGCATGCTGTCCAATTTATATGTTGATATATGCTCTATATGCTTACGTGATATCTCTATGATTTTTCGTCGCTGAATCATAAGTGGTTCTTTTATTCGAGTCCGCAGTCGTTTCAATTACATACACTCGGGTGGTCTAGTACTGCGGTGGTCGAATTGTCTGGCTGCGGGCCTTGCGGGCCTTGCAGGTCTTGTGGGACCTGCGGGTCTCGAATCATGGCGAATAACTATATCGGCATCAGCGAAGGTGATTGTGATACAGTGATACGTGATGTATGATATATGATGGATGATCAATACTCTGCAAAAATAAGTGGTACAAGCCAGAAGGGCGCTGTACGAAAAGAGGAAAGCCAGATGCCAGAAGGAAGCAAGAAAAAAAGGGAGGAAATACCTTACAAACAACCCCATCATCATCGCAGTCCAAATTGCCCGCAAGTCGAAACCCCAACTTCTCATAAATCCGCACATTCGGCTCGTCCTTGCTGCTCTCCAGATAACACGGCACGCCCTCGCGGTCTGCCATGTCCGTGACCGTCTTGAAGAGCAGTTTCCCGACCCCGCGGCCCTGCGCGGCGGGCAGCACGGAGACAATGTTGCAGAAATAGTACCCGCCGGGATTCGTCCACAGTTTGTGCTGGATGAGCGATTGTGAGGATTTCCAAATGTAGTATCTCTTGACGTTCAGTCCGCCCCGTCCATACCACAGATTCATAAAGACTTGGTCCAGCCATAACCGCCAGGACTCGAACCAGTCGGTCCACGATGACTGCGCAGCCGCGCTCGTCAGTGGCTTGGGCCGCATCCACATGGCCACGCCGAGGACGGTGTCGGAGCCGGCCTCCTTGGCGACGAAGAAGAGCGCGTTGCGCATGCCCCATTTGCAGCGCAGCCCGAGTGACGCGCGGTTGCGTTCGGCGCTGAACTGTGTGTTTTTGTAAAGTTTAGCTGAATAGTTATGAGTTTTTGGCTCTGTGGTTCTGTGGCATTGGATTTTGGATTTTGGGGTAGTAATGTGTTACTGCGAAGAAAGGATGTATGGCGGGATATGGTTACATGATGGGATAGGATGCATGAAGAGAAGAAGCAGAAAAGGGGGAGGAGGGGGGAAAGGGGGAAGGGGAGATATAAAGTATAAGAGGAAAGGAAAACATATAAGTTACCTTTGACCGGTCAAAGATCCAGTGATTGTACGGATCATCTGCGAATCCCTGCTGCACGGCATCGATTGCGCCAGGGATATCTTGTTCCGTAATGGGCGTGACCTCGATTGCAGCCATTTTTATATCTTGGGTTGTATTGTATCCCTTTCTTTTTCCTATGTCTCTTTTCCTATGTCTCTTTCCCTTGCGTCTGGATACAGTTGATGAGCTTTGTCGTTGCCTTGCTTCTTCTTTTGTTGTTTTCGTTTTCTTTATCGGTATGAATTGGGCAATATATCTCAATATGCCCGTCTCTTTTTTTGCACTCGATATGAGGCTGCTGTTGCTGTTGCTGTTGCTGTATCCGGTATCCTGTATGCTGTATGCTGTTGCTGGATACGGAATACAATACGCCGTTTTGGTCTCTAAATCCCGAGCCTTCTTTCTGCTGTCCAATGTCCAAAACCCAAAATTAGGATTAACAAACGGAAACAGAAACAATCTCTATAAAACGTCTGAATAAAGTCCAGATTTTGTGAAACAGGATATCCCTGATAAAAACTCAGAGAGTCCAAAGCATAAAGTGCTGCGTAACCATGTACTTATCCACCAACAAAAAAAATATGAAGAACAGGAAAAATGAAGGAGAGCAAGAAAACGACGCTCAAATTGTACTTCTGTACTCCCTATGCTGTATGCCGTATGAAAATACACTGACTTGCACTGACTTGTCCAGAAGGGTGATTTTAATTGTAGTTGTTTTTGCAACTTGATTTGCACAAACAAGTCAATCAACAAAGCCAAAGCTGTACTTTGTATATTAGTGCAGATTGTCATGTAACATAAAAGCTCTCAAAGTCACTGCAGACGATGTACTGTGTAAAAAGGAACAGAGTAATGTACTCTGATATACGAAAGTATAGAACTAGCCATGCACATGCCGCATTTTTCGTTGCGGGCTGGTGTCGGTGTCTGGGTAGGACTTTATATGGAGTCCAAAGCTACTGATAAGGCTTCACCGGGGGATTATTTACGTACAGAGTACAGCACTTTACCCCCTCGCCCGCTCGCCCCTACAATAGCCAGTGACCAGGTAGTCCAGCAACCAACCCAGTTTCACTAACTTTACTGGATTATCGCTAACTAGTTAAGTTATGCTCAGCTGTTCCTACGGCAGAACGGGCGAGGGGGCGGGCTAGACTCGAGTAGGCGAGTCGATTCGACATAACCACACCTCACCCTAGCACCTCGCACCAACGGCACCACGACTTGACAGTGTGAGGGGTGCCAGATTCAACTCCGAGGCTCGTGCCAAATTGGGAAAGTCCATCCGGTGATCGTATCGTGCAATCTAGTGTTCCACTTGGCAGAGAGGGAGCAGGACGTCATGATAATTACAAGTGCCATAGTACAAATAGTACGGCGTTATCTGGGCACCGGGCTACCGGCGGCGATGATGGAGATAGTAATATACCCAAGGATGGGGAAAGACTTGCAGACTTTAGTTTTACACGGAGGGTCAAAGTACGCCGTGTAGCATTAAATCTCATGATGTCATTTCTATCAACACGATAGTGTACAATGCAATTATTCGACACGAGGGAGCGTTTAGTAAAAGAGGGCGTGTCAAAAGTGAAAGTTTACAAATATGGCATCATGGCAGTATGGCAGTACGAAGCAACTTGGGGTTTGAACGAGACTCTACATTTGAGCAATCATGACAGATGATATCAAATGTAATATATGCAATTTGTCCCATAATTGATATAAATGACAGACTACAATTCCAGAGTCAAAGTCTCCGCCGGATAAACATAATATAACCACAGTTCTTGAAAATGTATGGAGATCCATTCGAAACAACCCCTCTGATCTCATAAATGGTAGTGAAGAGCCAGAAATGAAAACGCCTTTGCTGCACCCCAATTCTGCTTCATATCCGAAAAATACCGTTGACATCTACTAAAAAGCTTGCATTCTTTCTCCCATCGCATAAAACGGAAATGGAAAACAAAAAGGAGATGTGAAACCAAGTTGAAAAAACCATTTGTTGTCCTTAGGCAAGATACTTGTATTCGTTGCCCTCTTCTCTTTCCATGTATTCCTTTTCAATCAGCCTACAAGCAGGAGGTTAGCATTTTCAAAGGCTTGGTCATCGGACATGGTCAAACATACTTTTCGATATTCTTCTTGATATCCGCCGGGTCAAGCACACCGCGGCTCTTAGTAGCCGTGATAACTTCGGCGACAAGCTCAGCATGCTTGATTGTCTTTCGACTCTTCATGATTCGGACAATCGCTGCCTGTGTCTCGTAATGACGATCCTGCACAACACGCTCATGCGTCTCCTTATTCTCTTCCTTGGTTTCCTTGAGCTGAATCTGGTTGATCTTGATACGATATTTGGGGTCGGAGAAGTTGAGGTTCACGTTGAATTTGTCATCCTCATTGACGTCTCGACCTTTGGGTGTCTTTGTCAAGACACGGTATCGCGCGCAGGCTAATGATTGCAACGTGCGCTTCAATTCAACGTCGGCTGGATAACCAATGTTAGTTGGCGCTAGCGAACAGACATTATAAAGGAGGGAAATGAAAGAAAATAAATAAGAAAATAACATACGTAGCCCGGTAGCAGCTCGAATATCAGGATACGATAATTGAGTGCCCGAGGCAACATCGTTGAACAAAAGAAGGACGATCGCCTGAAATGAACTAACGACGATTTCTTTTTCGCACCCCCGAAATCTAGCCTTGAGCTGACAATGGGCTAGAGAGTGTTTCCACGTGAGCTTGCGTCCAGTGTGTTTGGATTTGTAATGTTGATCAAAGTCGTTGATGGCGGACAAAATAGTTGGAGGGACATTGACCGTGACGTCGGGATATGTCGGCCAAGCCGAAGCAGACAAAACATTCACATTGAGATCCATTCCCGTCTTCTTCTGCTTGCCCTCCAGTATACTTCGGTATGAAGCCATCTCCTCTCGCGCTAGGTCCACATCTTTAAACATTTGCTCAAGGTTATGCGTAAATCCAGCACCACACTCTGGGACGAAAAGTCAGCATCGGCGAATAAAAACAGGGAATGCGTAAAGGGACTAGAGAAGGCAAAAGCTACCTACCGCTCTTCAGCCGCGTGAGCATACTCCGCTCGGCATCAGCACTCGCACTCCTTCCCATGAGCAACCGACGTGCAAGATCCTTTTTGTAAAAGGCTTCAAATACAGCTTTGCCGTGAACAAAGCGAAATAGGTCCAAGACCTGGTCCAGTTGCTTGTCAAGTTCAGCGTCTTCGTCGCCCATTTCGGCATTGCCTTCCTCATCTTCCACCACCGCCGCCCCCGCAGCCGCTGAATTAGACTTGGAGGAAACAAGGGTTTGTGGGATTGCCTTGGTGCCACTTCTCAGCAATCGATCAACATACTTGGCAATCATTTCCCCTGGCTTGGAATTGTCCGTATTCCAGTTCGAGGTAGACTTCTTTGACTTGTTGATAAATGACTCAAACGTTTCACGGAGGGCTTGACCCAGATTTTCGTGCTCTTGGAAAGAGAGCCTCCAGATGCTGTCAAGTTTCCTCTTAAATTCCAAGAGCCGTACAATCATGTCATTTTCCCTCTCTTCATCAAAGACAATCGCCAAGCCTTGGGAATGGATATAAGATTCAAATGGACCTCGCAGCCGAATGCCAAGCCGTTGCCGCTGAAGTAAAGAAAAGAGCTGCGCAAGTGAGAGTATGTCATCCTTGTTTAATAGTTCCGCAATAGAATTCGGATCTAAAAGATCGGTCACTTTTTCGCCGACTAAAATGTTCTCGAGAAGCGTTAGTAGTTCTCGTCGCGTGCTGCTATCGAGATTGAACAGATCGCAACGGTCAGTCTCCCGCTCCATCAAATTGTTGCTCGCTTTGACGTAGCCAGCCAGGTCTCTCGATATGATTTCATTTTCGGACCATTCAACGAAAAAGGTTTGTGATGCATGGAGCATCGCTGGCTCAAATTCCTTTGTGTAAACCCCGAGCTCGTGAAACATTCGAATAACATCGCGGAAGAGAGATTGTGATTCTATATCGATCCGGCCGGTCCGATCCATCTCGACAAGATTACACGCCCCATGTATGATGCTGGGCCTGAGATGAGGATCCGAAAAGACGTGGGTTCCAAATAAAGCGAGGGCCATGTCATTAATCGAGGGGTTTGAAGAGTGGAGGAGATAGGACCTGTCCATGTAGAAGAAAATCGATCGAATAGTCATCTGGGGTGTTCCATTCAACGTTATTGACGTGTCATCTAAAGTTAACTCAGGTATGTTTCCCTGAAGACTTACCAGCTGGCCATTCCAGGCTGCCCAAGAGTCCAATACTGCCCGTAATAGATCCACGTCTTTGCTGTGCTTCGCCTTTGCAATAAGAGGCTCCCTCAGATTGTTCATCACATGGTCCTTACAACGCTCACAAAGCTTGCCATACAGATTTGCGGCTCTGTCTTGCCGGCACAGATTCTCCACTCCCTTGTACAACTCCTCGAGCGATTGGGATACCTTTTCCTTGTTGTATATCGCCGTCAGAGCTGTGTCCAACTGACCCCAGATCTTGGCAAAGTATTGATCAGGATCTATTCGCGGCGTCTTTCGGAGGTTTTTGATTGTGAGCCTCTTCGCTCCGGTGTGAGGCGTAAAGTTGGACGGTCGTACAACGCCATTGGGTTTCTTTGGTGCAGCAGGGGCAGCGGACGAGCCCGAAGAGTGCGGCTTAGTGAGATCAATGACATTATTTGAAGCCGAATTGGAAGAGTTGAACTTGTACATCTTCTCTGCAGGAAGAAGGCCAGCAGCTTTAGCTGTAGGAGACGAGGCAAGTGCAGCAGCGTGTGAAAGCTTCACCCTCTTTGAGGAGGGAAGGGCTTCCCGATCCGAGTCCACTTTGCGAGACGACTGCGTCGACGGGGAGAATAGCTCCGAGATGGTCCTTTGTTTTGAAGGAGGGGTTTGTCCGTCAGAGCTCAAGGTTTGCTGCTGAGACTGTTTTCGTTTCGTATGTGGTTGACAGTTTTCGGCCCGTTGATCAGCAGAGGACTGCTTTGAATGCTGCATCTATGGCTGAATTACAGTGACGTGCATGAGCACGTAGGTAGCGGGCGAGGAAGTACAAGTAAGCTCTGGATATCTTGGATAATGTTGATGACGATTTCCGTGGCAACACACAACGAGGGTGAGTGATTGCGCATATGCGTGTTGAAGGGATGAGGACTCTTGTATATTATTTGATTTGGAGATATGCTGCAGTTGTTCCGTTGTCCCAAGAGTCAGCGACCCTTACTACGTAACTCTCTCGCACAGTTAATATCGACAGTAGCTGGAGGGGTGGTTTCGGCCTCGGTAAGCTTGTTACCGATTTAGTCAATGGCAGAATCATCGACTGCACGTCATCAAGATGATTTCTACACCACTGCAGAGCAAGGATATTCTGCAAATTAATCTACGAATAGGTCCTTGCATTGAAGGAAAGAAGAGTGGACACGGAATTGCGTGAGTAATACACCACAAATTATCCATAATTTCAACAGTAAATACAAGGCCGTTATCAAAGACACCTTTTGATCCCATTTGGGGAGAGATGCGATAAGAGATTCGACCTGTCCCCAATGCCTCTCACTCAACAAATACCTTGCTCATCAACATCTGGCGGTCGTCACTCATCACCAGCTCAAATGTGCAAGGGTATCCGATTCTATTTCTACAATGCCATATTTTGTGACCCCAACTCCTTATGATGCTCCCAGAACACCTCCAATTTTGATTCATTATGTAAATGCCCGCTTAACTGGCTTCTGCAGACTCGTTGCCTCCTCAAACTGTGTGCCATGTCAGCCTCTAGAACATTCTCTTCCATGTAAAAGGCCCGAATCTATCTGGTATTTCAACTTACATCCATAAAGCCGGTCATGGTGATTAGAAGAACGAAATTCTCGACGACGTCATCCAATGTTTGGATGGACTCGCTTTTCTCCTGTGACTCGATCTTTGCATGGCGTTTGAACATGCCAACCACAGGGTAACGGTGATTAACCAAAAATCTGCGCGCTTCTTCTATTGTTTGTGTGTGTTGAGGACCTCTACTCAAGACTGCGGCATTAATCACTCTGAGAATGGAAAGCAGTAGTTCAAAGTAATTCTTCGCTACTTCCGGGTCATCGAATTCTATTATGGTCAGATCTGCACTTCCACCGGGTAGAGCGTAGTGGAGAACCTACCAGGTCCAAAGTCGGGATCGACTGTGAATATTCCCGACGCGTTCAGCGCCTGGAAGAGTCCAGCGCTAAGCACATGGGCGGCACCGAGTCGGGTCTGCGAAATTCGTAAAAGCAAGGAGAGCTTTGCCTTGTAGTACGCAATAAGAAGTGGCATGTCTAAAAGGCAAAAAAGAAATTAATCCACGAATATGCAAGTGGCGCTTGCTTGCTTACTGACCTTGGGATTTGATCTCTTTCAATTCCGCTTGTACTCGTTTAAAAGCATCAACAAGGATACCGATAAAGTTGAGTCGCACGAATGAGTCTATCACGAATTTTGATCCTTCCCTATTGCTCAGAAGAACGAGAGAATCTAATAACAATATGGCAGAAATTCTGCAGGTGGAATCCCCAGCGTGGACATCATCACAAATCACGTCCACTAATCTTTCCCCAGAGGCCTTGATTGTCTGGGTCGTCAACCTGCCGGACGTAGCGGCTGCTGGTGTTCCATCAGCCATGCCAATTAGGTACCTGTGGCAGATGTTATAGAGTACCTCACGTAGCTCAGGAGTGCTTGTTGGAGAATGAATACCCCTGAGAGCCACGCGGAAGAGCTGAAAGAGTCGATCGCTTACAAGATCTTCGCCGAGTTGAAATTGTTGGTTTTGAGCTTCGTCCTGATCCTTTTCAGACAATGAAGAGGCAAATTTGAAACTGAAAAGTAAGGCCCTAGCCAGTTTTGCCAATTCTAGAGCCTCTGTGGCATTCTCGGAACAATACTTTTCCAATTTTGGCAGGATGACCTGCAGAACCCTGATAATGAAAGCAGTCTTAATAACTGCCTCCAATTCGCTAGTCTCTAGGACGACTAGCATGAGTTGAACCCAAGCTCTCAATGCATCGATGCGAGCTTTTACAAGACTATGGTATTGATTATGCGCGTTGAGGAAGGCTATGATCTTGTTTGCTTCCTGTATAGCAGCTTCCTCATCAACGTCAGTAGAGAGAACACCAGATTTCTCGAGTTCAATTTTCTTGAGTTGAAGCAACTCCTGAACGCTGCTGAGATTGTACGCTGGAATTTCGTCACCGTCGCGCTCCAGACAGATACCAAAATCTGTGTTGGAAAAGAAGCTTAGACACGGCACGTCGACTGTGTTCGGGATCTCTAATTCTGCAAAGTCAAAGAGATCAAAGATGGTTGGGTTCACTATTTCTTGGCCATTTTGCAAGGTACTTCCCTGCAAGGTGTAAAAAATGTCGGAAGAAGAAGCCCCATTCTGCGAAACAAGTCGAACTTCTGTAGATATGTAGTCAAAGAGCGTACCACGCAACTGGAGGAAAGCTAGAAAACATTTCGCGGAGTCGGTATTGTAAAAGTCGGGGTCAAGCATGCTGCGTCCATCCCATAGGGAACTCTGATCAACAGTGGACTGACTCAACATTTGATTCAAGAGAAACCCATTTGACCGAAGCTCCGTCATGGTATAGACCGCAGAGAGAGGTGAGCTCCATAAATGCTTAAAGACGCGCATAACGCTCTCTTTGAGACGCAGTTGCCATGGCGAATAAATGTCGTCTTCCCTACTCTGATAGTTTGTAACGATGGAAAGAATGGCGTGGAAGAGCGAGATATTTTCTTGAATGAGACTTCCGGGTTCAATTATGCTGTCCCTGCAGGCAAAACCGAGGAGCAAATGAGCAATCGTTGGCTTGTTTGGCAATGCGGTCAAGCAGCTGTTAAGGAAGTCCACGATGCTGACTTTGATAACGAATCCGGGTGATTCAGGACCTTGCTCTAATTCTCTCTCATCGAAATCCATCTGCCCAGTCAAAGATCGTGCAATACGATCAGACTCATTGTCTCTGTCTAGGACGCTGAAAATGGAGTTTCGATCAGCACGGCGGCCGAAGGTCGAGGATGGCAAAGAAATGAGCTTCCTCGATGTTGCTAATTTTTCGAGAAGCTTCAATGATATGACAGTCAAAGCTTCATGGCCGGCCGCACAATACAATCCAAGATCCACGATGAGCTGAAGGTTGTTTAACACGGAATCCTCGAATGACGCAAGAGCAGAAGTTGCGACTGGGTGTCGTAGACCAGTAGACTGAGTTTTAATGAGAGGGCGCACAATATCCAAATAAGTCGATTGCAGGTCCATTACTTTGGACATCACTTCGATGCTCCGCAGCAGCGCCAGAACGGCTGGCGAATCAGGACTGGACTGACTGATCTTGTCAACGTCTTGGTGAGCCGCTGCAAACAGTGAGGCCAGCACTCGCTCATTGAAGAGCCATTCCATTACTCTGGCAAATGGATGAAGCTTGATGTAAGCCACTAGAGAAGACGTCCTCATGACAGTATCCACTTGAATGTTGGATTTATTCGCGAAAATAACTAGGTCTTCATTAAACGTGGATAGGCACGTTGCGATGAAATTGAGACAGTTCCATGTTAACAAAGTTATTTGACCTTCATCTTGCAGTTCCGGGAGCTTGTAACCGAAAACTCTGCCAACAGCGAAATCAACGTAGGGCTCTATGCCAGGCATCCGGTAGGCCGAGCCAAGGGACTCGGGAAACGGCAAAGAGTCGTTGAGAAGATCATTATCAATTGCCGGGGCAACAAGGGCTTGAAGTAGACCAACAAAGGCGTTGGGCTCTTCAAAATCAGCCAAGATGTTCTCGAAAATGGCTTCCTCTGCCCAAACCGGTGGCGCCACGCTTGGCACCTTTTGTAAACCACCTAGTGGAGAGAAGCCTCCAGAAATCCACTGATCGAGAGTTGCCCACACCAACTCAGCAACTGAAGAAGTCTTGTTCACTAACAGACTTTCCAAAGTTGTAAAAGCACAAGCCCTCAATCGACTGGGGATGGCGCTGCTGCAGAGCAGGAATAGGACCTCCATCAGTCGGAAACTCGGGTGTTCGAGGATCCAATTTCTTGCTATTGAGCTTTCGCGTAACATGTGGGAAGTCAGTCTCAGGTAACACTCCAGCATGATGGCGCTTTCAGGCTCGTCGATGTCATCGGGGTCAGGTTTGGCTCCATGGTAGGAGAGAGTTTGCGGCACCGCTGGGCGATCTCTGATTTTGGAGGCGTAGAATTGTAACTCGTTGAAAATTTGAACCCAGCTGATGGAACTCATTCTCCTTAACCGGCCAGAGGGTGCTACACCATCCTCCAGCAGGAATTTGTGCGCAGCATCGGCGCATTCTTCACCTTCGGAAATCGCCCGAAGCATTTCGCAAAAGGCGCTTGCTCGTGGGGTGGACTGTCGCTTCGAAGCCCATTGCATGAATCCGTGCAGATTGCCTTCTGGATCTGCCCAAAACGCTAACGATGAATCTGGTCGATGCTCAAAAGCGTAGGAAATGATGACTAAGAATCTTTCAAGGTGCATGTCATGATGAGTGGTGCCAGCAGCAAGAGAACCTCTAAGTTGCTTGCGTTGCTCGTCCTCTTCAATCTTCAACTGACGAAGAGCGTCCGCCATGTTTGTGATAAAAGCATCAGTGAAAGACTCCAGCTGTCCCATGACCAAGCTCTGGAAATCTTGGGTTACAGCAATACCTTCGAGATTGAGAGCAGGAGCCTCTCCGAGAAGAAATTGGGTTAGGCCATACCTCGCGGGATCGTACCAGCCAGCTGGACGGACATCAGCACTGATTGCCAGTAGACACTCAAAAGCACCATCCTGAAGTGCCTCAAAGAAACGCCTTGAGCGATCATCTGCCTCTACCTCTAAGTTGACTCCCTGAAGGGGAGAGCTGATAAACGTGTCGGAATACCAACCACTGTAATCCGCGAGCCACAGAGCGCTGATTGCGGCCTGAAAGTGATGCAGGTTCCAAGGGTTGCTCTCCTTTCCGGCCGCAATGAATTGATCGAGAGACCGTGCTTCTTGTAGGGAGCTTGAGCCGTCCGGGGACCCAAATTGGGTGATCGAGGCTGCGAGCGCTGGCAGATAGTGTAGTAAAACTGCATCGAACCGATCAAAGGATTTAGCCGTATTGAGGAGCTTCTTGAAATCGTCCACGACAGTATGATTGGATTTGACCAGGTACATAGCAATGGCTCCGAGGGACTCGTGCTGAGAGAGCAGACTCAATCGTTGATGGCTCAGTAGCGCGAATTCTGGTTGCTGATTTATTCCAAGCATTGACGCGCTGTGAAAGCGTTCCGCGAGATCATGCAACCACTTTTCTATATCTGCCATGGCCCCAAGGCATTTATTCCAGAATAGAGAACCGCCATGCGCCGGATTTTCTGCGGTTTGCAGAATCAATGATAGAGCATTTCTGAAAGTATTGCGGATATTCTCATCGCTATCGATATCGACTGACTGCTTGAACACCAGTCGTAGACATTCGAGGAGGAAATGCCGCTCCTGATGAAAGACGATGAAAGCTGCCTCCAAGGGTGTACGATCTAGCTCTGCAGCAGTCGCAGATCCCGCAAGCAGCAGTCGCGCGGCATTAATCTCATCAAGGTTGAGAGCGTCGGCGAGCTGAAACGTATTTTGTTGGAACTCTTCATTGAGAGCGAAATCGACATCATCGATGGTGATTGTTCCTAAGCGCGACCAAACTTGTTAGATCATTTCTGACATTCTTGGCCAAATCTGAGAACTTTAAAGGATGTATCTCGAACCTGCAGAAATCGCCCTTCTGCTGGAATCATTCTTCGGGGGCTTGTCTAGCAATTTTCGAAATTCTTCGATTCTGGTCTCGAGTTCGAACCATAACCGCTCCACATTCTGTAAACGGGATTCGTTGACGGCAACAAGGTCCTGATGCAATCCCCTTAGGGAAACTAGAGCTCCCGTATCAGCCATGATAGTTGCGCATGCCGGAGCAGAGCTGGCGACACAGCAATAATTGGCTTTATGAAAGGTGAAGGCAGTTGGCTTTCCAGTAAAACAAAGTAAAACATCAGAAAGCTAAACACGCGAACCTGCACAATTGGTCTTTGGAGTCTTCTGTAATTCTTATTCGCCGACCTCCAATGACACTGGGTCCCGCTTCTACGTTGTTGGTGGGATAGCTTGGTCTTTTGACCAGAATTTTCTGCCTTTTAATCAACTTTATCTGCACTGTCTGGGGTGTTGCTCCTAGACAGAGGCTACTGTCTCTGATACCGAGCCATTTTGGTCTCTCAAGTGATGTGATTTTAGGGTGTCCCTGGAGGCTTGGCCTCTAAGCGCGAGAATAAAACCGTCAAAATGGCGGAAATCAATGTAAATGAAGCGATAGGTAATTAGTCCTGCCTTGTGAAAGAATTTATTCAGCTGCTAATATGCACTAGTCAGGATTTCATCTGAAAAAGCAAAGGACCGTGCTGAAGGCGTTGCTGGTAGCTAAAGCATCTCCAGTTGTCACGGGGTCTTCCACTGACATTCATTGTCATTAGATCTTCGGCATATTTTCAGTCAGAATCGTCGGGGCCTGAAGCTGTTGGTTTGAATTGCCTTTTTCTTGTAGCCGAATTTAGTCTGATCGATCTGTTAGTGATGCACTCACCGACAAGGGCTATCATAAAATCTATGAAGCTCTTTTTCGCATTTCCCAGCAGGAAAAGTCGGTATATTTACGGGCCGATACCAACAGACGCCAGAACGATAGCGCATCGAGGCTCTCATCATACGCTTCGGCTCTTCGCTTGGTTGTTGAATTCGGACTCCGGAGATTGAAAACCAAAACCGTTAAAGCATTAATAGATCATATAATACAGACCTTGCCACTCGCAGACGGAAGCTATTGTGAACCACTAACCTTAGATTATCTCAAGTCCCTCCGCAGCATCCTTGAATTTCAGCCTCATGTGGAGCATCTGGCCAAAACCGAATGGTTTGCCGTGGTGGAATTCTGTTGCCAAGGCATTGCTGCCCTGCCGGCCGAGGACGAGGATACGCCCTCTCATGCTAGCCGCTCAACGCCATATGGGACCAGAAGTACTCATCGGCAAGCTTCTGTTTCCCGGTCTTTATCGATTGCCCCGTCTAGGGAAGATGGGCCACAAAAGAACTCCAGGAGCACCTTAGAACAGCTGTTGCTCGGTCTTCAGCAGCTCGCCTGCTGTTCCAATGCTCCCGTGGTGGATAAGGCAGCTGATTTGCTATCTGCTATTTTTAGCTGCATGCAGTCATCCCCAACAGCAGTTGTTTATCATCAAGCAGCGTTTGCGGCAGTAAACTCCATACTCCTGAAAATAAACACAGAATCAATCGCGCTTACCAAATACGCTGTAAGATCGGTTATCCCGCTAGCTAAGCGCTTGTGGACAACAAAATCGTCCTCACTCAAAGACGAAATTCTTATTGCTTTGAGCGTTGGTGATGCATACTTGCACAGCCTATTGCGTGAAAAAAACAATGAGGATTTGGTGTCAGACGTCGAAAGTCTACTGGAGACTTTACTAGCGGAATACTCAAAACGTCTGGAAAGAGATCAGTTGCAGATTGACGACCTTGGGCTTCCAACGAGACGTCATATCTCTCTTGAGAATGCTCCTCTACATCTTACATCCTGCTTTTTGCGAAATGGACGGACAAGAGCTGAACAAAATTGGATGCTCTTAAGGACCATAGCTCGTCTCAGTAGCTGTCTGGATTCCATCAAGACTCATGCCGATAGTGCTGCTAGTGCATCGGAAATTGCGTATCCCCACAAGCGGCGGCGAATTACTTTCATGCACCATGAACTTCTACGCCAATCACAGTCTCTGCAATTTTCGACTCGGCTCTGCGCATTGCAAGGGATATTGTTTCTTGTTGAGGAAAGAGAGTTCGAGGAACGTGAATTGAAAGAAGTCTTAGAGGAATTGTCCTCCGGTATCGCAGATGAGAACGGCACAATAAGTTCATGGACATTGATGGCAATCACCAGGTATGTCTGATAAATTGAGTCGAGCAAAGTTCAGTAGTACTCACAATTATTCGGCAGCTGCTTATGCCAGAAAACCGCGCGCGCGGAATCTCTTCAAAGCCAATGGCTCCAGATTTGGCAAGTCACTGCCCGTAGTGTTGCTTCACCATCCAAATGCAGACTCTCCTGCCATCTGTTGAGTAATCTGCTTGCTTTGGGCCTTGTAGATTATGGTCTCATAGCCGATTTAGCAGATACCATGATTTCATCCATCGAGGTTTATGGGCCTACTAATTTGACGGACACTTCAATCTGCTTTTGGATCGTGCTTCTGGAAAAGAGGTTCCTGGACACCCCAAATGTGGGGAATGCCTCGTCAGAGCGTGTGCTCCCTTGGCTTTTTAAAAGATTAGCTGCTGGTGAGTGTTGACAGGCTCCGGGAAGTAATAATACTAACACCTGGCAGGGGATTTTACTGAAAGACATTTTGTTGCGCAAATGTCGCAGCATTTTCAACCATCCAACATTCTAAATCTGCTCTTTCTTTGCTCGAACAGGGCTCTGCATCCGCTCAACGATTGCATCTCCTTCTCTTGTGGCCCCATTGCTCAGACGTCGCTGCACATACGCCAATATGATTCATTAATTGACTACTTGTTGATGCTAAGTAGCTGCGGTTCTCCCAATCGCTCTGGTTCCGCCAAATCCGACCCAATGCCAGACCTATATCAAAATGGAGCCCGTTTTCACATTGTCGACAATCTCATCTTGGAGGCGTTGATCTCTCAGAGTAAGACAATCAAACTGCATTTGATCAAGTTCATATCGGAAAGTTCGGGCCAGATGAATGCAGATATGATTCGATTTGTTACCTCCTTTATCGTCATCACCTGTGTAATTATTTCCTGCGACGATTTTCGAGACCTCCATCTGTCACGAAATCTTAGCACAGAAACCGATGCTCTCGTCAAAATAGTGGGCGAATGTATTTCTGCAGCGGACTTCGGACAGGATTTCATCGACGCCATTTTGGAAGTTCTTAACCCTTCATTGTCGCATTTCCTTTCAGCACTATCGACGACCAACTCCGATCTCATTTCCTCCAGCGCTTATCTTTGGGCACCGGTCTTCAATGAGGCTTTCGAAAATCGTCGAAGGAAAGAGGAAAGTATAGCACTCGATGACGACTTAGACGTGATCGGAGAATCAGAATCTCAAATTAGCCAAGCAAGAGAAAACGCTAATCTTATCTTGCCACGACAAGAGTTGACGGCAAAGAAGAGTATTTCCTCGTTTCGCTGCTCAACGCTGGCTTGTCTGAGGCTCGTTGCCTCTATGAAATCTTCAAACTTTTCTCTTCAGCCCTACTCTCACGTCACTCATTCTTTTGTTGATTGGATGACATCCCGACCACCTAGCGAGGCACTTGCTTGCTGGCCTCTTCTACAACAAATTTGCTCCTTGGGACTGCCATTTCAGCCTGAAGATGCATTGCCGCTCCTGGAGTACCTCGGACGAGACATTCTCCAAGTTTATGAGTATGAGAGATGCGAGCTCTCTCTAGCATTTTGCTTAGAAGTCTTGAAGAGTTTGGCGGTATTGTGGACAAACCCAGACTTTGAAGAATTGTATCAGCTTGGTTCTGACATATACCAATGGTTCGTCACTGTTGCGCTCGGAAGGAGTATTGTATCATCCAGAGTTCTGGTAGGCATAGCTTCACTCCTCCACCAAATACTAAAAGTGCAACCAGACTACGCAAGGTCACTATCACTACCATCAGTAAGGACTAGTCTTTTTAAAGTACTACAAGATGGTGAATTGTCAGTGAAATACCATGTAGCTGAACGCATTCCTGAACTATTCCATTTCTTCATCCTGAAAAAGCATGAGGCAATCTTTGATGATGTGCTTGACAGCCTCCCGTCAGATATGGATTGGATTGAGGGAATAGGGTTACGGCTTCTGGTTCTGACTCGCCTTGCATCTTCTTGGTACACTCTTCTTCGCCGTTCGGTGTACCACATAGTTGAAACACCCGGACTTATCCCTGATGCTACGGGCTACGCTACAACGAGTGTCCGAGATCTTTCCAAAGCACTGGGATTGCCATATCCGCGCAATTTGTTACGTCTGTTCAAATCACAATTGTTGTACACATGGCTAGAAAATCAAAGCCTTCAATCCCTTCCCTTTATCATTTTTGGCTACAGCGACCTCAGTGGTCTCCTTAATGATGTCCAAGACGAGATTGTGGGCCAATTTCTTATGCGAGGGAAAGATGACCAAATCGATGAACTGGCGCATGAGCTCCAGATTCCAGCAGAAAGACTTATCGATGCTTCATTTCATAAGGCTGTGGCTTACTGCGTCGCACGGGACATCAGCATGCCCCCTGGCAATGGAAGTCAAAGTCTCAGCGGAGAGGCGAGAATTCGGAAGCGTTTGGGAAACAAAAAGTTCTTAGCCCTTATCGATCGTGATTTCGCGTCTATTCTCGGGCTGCTCTTCAAAACGATTGATCAGGAGGAGCAGATTGAGAGAGCATTTGCCAAGCACCTTGGTTTCGAGGCTTCACGGGAAGCTCTTCATGAGATCAAGGGAATAAGTTCATCAGAGGAAGCTCTCCCTGCTAATCAACAACCTTCGTTCAAGTCAAGGTATCTCATTGACGAAATTGACCACTTCTGCCGGAGATCTAGTCATGACTTGGCGAAGTTGTGGACGCCCGCAATTTTTCTACATGTTTTCCGAGAGCTTGTGGATACTATCCACCCTGCTTTTGGCCCACTTCATGCCTGCTCCGTTATACGAAGGATACGGATACTCATATGTATGGCAGACAATTCAGCATTACAAGATTATCCGCTGGAGAGACTCCTAAGGTCACTACATCCGTTTCTAGCCATGCCTCAGTGCACGGAGGACACAATAGGTCTGATGCAATATCTAATCCAGACGGGCAATTCTTATCTTTTACAAGTTCCCAAGTTTATTGCCGGATTGTCAATGTCTGTACTGACAACCCTGACGCAATTGCTCGCGTCTGCTCAGGCGACCACGACTCAGGAGAGTCAGCATCAGACTACCCTCTCCAAAGCCCGAAATTTTCGATCATGGTTTTTAAATTACCTGGAATCATATGAATCGTCGGCTATCGCTGTTGAAGGCTTTGAGAAGTCATTTAAAGTTTTCCTCCATTCCTTAAGGAATACTTCTGCCAAGGGAAATGCGTTGCCCGGTAGCGCAGAAAGCGACCTTTTAAAGGTTCTACTTTCGGGTTCTGACGAACCTGCTGAGGGAAATTTGCTGGACGTTTCGGCCCGCAACCTTGGTATAAACTTTCTGTCGGAAGATTTCCAGAAATGTCTCAATTACCAGGAGGATATTTTTGGTTCAGATGCTGCCGCCGCGGCCAATGCAACCAATGTCCTACGCACATGTCACTGGGACCAAGTAGGCGATGGCTATTTGCTCTGGGCAGCCCGCGTAGTAGGGCGCGCTTTTATCTCCACAGGCTCCATACATGAAGAGTTGTTGCGGGAGTCACAGCTGCAAAACATTGTTGGGCATGAAAATGGGGCAATGCGGAAACCAAATTCAAGATTCTCGATCCTCAAAGCGCTCAATGATCTCCTAGCAAGTTATGACCGAGGAACTGTTGGGATCGCCGAAACAACACTTCAACTAATAATATCAAGACTGGAAGGCGCTGAGATGGTTGAAGAGGTTTCCGGGGCTTTGCCAGATATGATTCTCAAAGCACTCGACTGGGACACTTATCAGCCGCCTAGATTATCATGGGGTGAGCCAGAGAAACAAAGCATAAAAATAGCTGCTGCGCCAAATGATAGCATGGACAAAAACCTTTGGATTCGCAATCTCTGCATCTCACTGTGTCATGCGTCAAACGACGACACGATTCTGGGCTCGTTATTCCAGGTTCTAAGCAGTACAGTTGATATTTCCGGAAAGCTTTTCCCTTACATCCTTCATCTCGTCTTATTACGGGATACTGAAAGGGAACGCAAAATCAGAGGAGAGCTATCCGAAGCATTTAATTCATGGTTTGAGAAAGCCATCCCGCAAAACGTCCCACAGCTGAAATCAATCATCGTGGCATTGTTGTACTTACGTACACAGCCGATACCGAACGAGGCAACAAAGGCAGATCGAGAGCTTTGGCTCGAGATTGACTACCTGGCTGCAACAAATGCAGCGATTCGTTGCGGTATGAATAAATCTGCTCTTCTTTTTGCTGAAATCTTTTCATCGTGCTCATACCCGCAAACTTCTCGAACTTCTCAATCCCAAAGGATGGTCGATATCACCGATATGCTTACCCAAATATTTCGGTCCATTGATGAGCCGGACTCCTTCTACGGGATCCAGAGGGAATCTAGTTTGAGGTCGATAATGGATCGAGCTGAGTATGAACGAGATGGGGGCAAGTCACTCTCATTTCGAGCAGCTCACTGTGACAGCAATATGCGGCTTTCACGAGGACTTCAGTCATCTGACACATGGGGGACGATTAGAGCACTGAGCTCATTGAACATGAATGGGCTTTCGTATGCTTTATTGGGAGCCCCTGGAATTGTTAATACTGGCAGCGAGGCCACCGCTCACATGTTGTCAATGGCGCGAAAACTGGAGCAGTGGGATATTGCTGTTCCCACCACTCAGAAATCCGAAGCGGGCTTAACATTTCGTGCATTTCAGTGTATTGATACTGCTCTGGATCATTCCGCTATATCCCAATGCATAGACTCTTCTTTTCTTTCAGTGATGAAGGAGCTAACAAGCAGAGATCAAACGGTATCATCACTTCGGTCTTGGCTACGAACTCTGGGAGTACTTACAGAAATGGACGAGGTAATTAGCGCGAAGAGCCTAATAAATTTTGAGGATATCCAGTCGAGAATGCAAGATCGGTGCCATTGGATGCGGTCAGGAAGGCAAGTTAATACGTGATATTGTATTCTTGATCGTACTGACGATTGTATAGATTCGAGGATGTTGCTCAAATATTCTCCTGCCGTGAGAGTCTTTTCAGCTTAATCAGGAGGCGACCTCTAATAGGGTCAAGGCTACATCTTGATCAACGGCAGCAATGTATTGTTGACGCTAGTTCTCTTCTCGAATCTTCACGTATGAGCCGTATTCACGGAGCTCTTCAAAGCTCTTTGGCTACCACCACCTATCTCTCAGATCTTGTCCCTCAATTCGCAGAAAATGGTGCAGATATTAGCGCAGTAGTAAAATACGAGGAGGCAAACGTCCTTTGGGATCAGGGGGAAATTACTGCGTCGATTAGATTACTTAAAAATCTAAATACATATACGTCAGTCAGTTTAGAGAACCAGGCTTTACACCTCGGAAAAGCAGAGCTGTTGGCTAAACTTGTAAGGTTTTCCCCCGCTATTTGCAATTGTGGCATCAACTGATTATGACCAGGGGCACCGGGTTGCTGAAGCCCGTATGGAAAGACCCGACGAGGTCATTGATCACTACTTGCTCCCAGCCATTACAGAACTGAAAGGTGTTACTGAAGGGGAAGAGGCCGGTGCAGTCTTTCACGAATTTGCCGCATTCTGCGACCAGCAGCTGCAAAATCCAGACAATCTGGAAGATTACGAAAGAATCGGTCGACTCCGGCAGAGGAAGGAAGAAGAAATTCTCGATCTTGAGAGCCTCATTAAGAAAGCAACATCAGCATCGAGAGATGATCTTCGCAGACAACGGGCTCGAGCCAAGCAGTGGTTTGAGCTTGATGATCGAGAATTCAAGCGGCTCCGGGATAGCCGTCAAGCTTTCATTCGACAAAGCCTGGAGAACTACCTTCTATGCTTGAGCGCATGTGAGTCATTCAATAACGATGTCCTACGCTTTTGCGCATTGTGGCTCGACCAGTCAGAAAGCGAACTTGCAAATAAAGCCGTTTCACGGCATCTTGAGCGAGTTCCAAGCAGGAAATTTGCTACTCTTATGAACCAATTATCCTCGCGCTTGTTGAACAACGAGAGCGACTTCCAGAGATTGCTTTCGTCTCTGGTCATGCGAATCTGTGTAGACCACCCTTATCATGGGATGTACCAGATTTTTGCGAGTACCAATACAAAGGCAAGGTCTAGCTCGGACGAGGCAGCGGTATCGCGAAACGCATCAGCCATCAAGATAGCCACCACACTCAAAAATCATACCCAGGCTGGGCCGATTTGGCAAGCCATTTCGACCACAAATACGCTCTATAGCAAACTCGCAATGGAGAAGCCAGCGGGCACTCCACACCGCGCAAATTCCAAGCTACGCTTCTCCAGTCTTTCAGCTGGGCGTCACATGAATATGGTCGTGCCGAACCAGAAAATTCCGCCAGCAACAATGAAAGTTGACCTTCGAGCGGATCTTGACTATAGTCATCTCCCGTATATCGGCCGATTCAAGTCTGAAATATCTATTCTTACCGGAGTCAGCGCCCCCAAATTACTGGCAGTCATTGCGTCCAACGGTCGCCGGTATAGACAAATTGTAAGTATCAATTGTTCGTTCATTTTGTTTCCCCTCCCCGCTTTTTTTTCTGTGCCGTCTAACTCGGAAGCAGGTGAAAGGCAGCAACGACGATTTGCGTCAAGACGCAATCATGGAGCAAGTATTTGAACAAGTCAATGATTTGCTTCAGAACAACCGCCTAACCCGCCAGAGAAATATCCACGTGCGCACTTACAAAGTAATCCCCTTGGACAACAAGGCTGGAATCATTGAATTCGTGTCAAACACAATACCTCTTCATGACTATCTCATGCCATCGCATCTAGCGCATTACCCAAGAGACATGAAGCCACAGCTATGTCGGAAAGCCATTGCGGACGTGCAGACCAAGCCGTCCGACGTACGTCTCAAAGTCTATCGCCAGGTCACCGAGAGGTTTCACCCGGTCCTACGATATTTCTTCCTAGAGCTTTTCGAAGAACCAGACGATTGGTTTGAGAAGCGAACCGCCTACAGCCGGAGCACGGCCGCCATTTCCATCCTTGGCCATGTTCTCGGTCTCGGAGACAGACATTGTCACAATATTCTACTGGACGAGGTCACGGGCGAGGTTGTGCATATCGATCTTGGTGTCGCATTCGAACAGGGACGCGTCTTGCCGATCCCGGAAGTTGTTCCCTTCCGTCTCACGCGCGATATCGTAGACGGCATGGGCGTTACCAAGACAGAAGGCGTCTTTCGACGGTGCTGCGAATTCACCCTCGACGCTCTGCGAAAAGAATCATACAGCATCATGACTATCCTTGATGTTCTCCGCTACGATCCATTGTACAATTGGTCCGTATCTCCCCGTCGGCTCCGGCGCATGCAAGAGGCACCGAATGAGACCCCGGGTCCGGGAGGGGAGGACGAGGGAGGAGCAGCGGACCGTACGAAAAAGAGAGATGAGGAGGAAGGTGAAGCACACCGTGCATTGACCGTTGTTGCCAAAAAGCTGTCCAAGAGTTTGAGTGTCAGCGCTACAGTGAATGAGTTGATACAGGCTGCTACTGATGAGCGTAATCTTGCTGTTCTATTCTGCGGTATGTTTTTTCTTTCTTCCTTTCTTTCTTTCTTCCTTCCTTTCTTTCTTTCTTTCTTTTTTCTTTCTTTTTTTTTCTCTGTCTCTTGTTCCGATCCCCGCGTCCTTGATGTGCAGTTGTGAGAGTACTTTGCTGATAAATTTTTTTTCCTTATCTAGGTTGGGCTGCTTACGCGTAGATTATTCGTTTCTCTGCCATTGATCCCGGCGCTTCACATTGCCTGCGTCTGAAGGTCTCATCTGTATATATGCTTCTGTTTTCTTTTGCCATATTTTCGAGTTTAAACCTCTCATCTTCCTTTGCCTTATGCTTTTCATGCACATTTTTATTTTCTACGCTTGCATGTAGATAAAAGTTTTGTTGTGATCGTATTCGACCCGTTTTTATTCCCCGTTTCTGAATTTTCTCGGATCTTATCTTGGTTCTGGAGCATTTCACGATTTGCATATAACAATTGTATGGCATCTATTCAGGGTTTGTCTTGTAAATGATGAGATGAATCATTGGGAAAAAGATTTGAGTGTTGTTGTGCTAGTAGAGCATATATGGCATTTATACACACAAAGACAAGCACGAGGTCGTTTGTGTTCAAAAGTTTGTATTAAATATTCCTTACATGTAAACCAGCTATGACATGAGGGTTGTGTGGAGGCAGATATAGCCGCCAAAATGATTGTAGTGACGAGAAGCCCATATTGACCCAACGGCGTGGTCAATGACGGAAAACACACTCTCAACGCTTAAAAGCGCACTCAATGCAATTAGCAAGACACTTGCAAAGCATCGCTGTCTGGCCCAACCAGCGATATGGAACGCGAAAGATGAAAAGAACGAAAAGGAGCGTGAACTGGCAGAAAATGCAGCGCCAGTAAGAAAAAGCTCACGAATCGAAATTCTTAATATCAGGCATTCTTCCCAGTCCACCTCCGCCAGTGCCCTTGACGGATTGAGCCAAGGAATCTCCATCGACTCGTGCATGAGATTGTCCTTGAATGCCACCTGCAGAACGCTCCAAAACGTGCTTGCGAATAAGGGCTAAAATCTCAGAATCTCTCCATCTCGAAGGAACGGGTCGGTATGCGGGTCTGAACGTGCCAGCGGTGTTTGACCACTCGCCTGGTCTCGGCGCAACTGGAGTACCCTGTGATGCAGGCGTTGAGGCGGCAGAGCTACCACCTTCGGCAGTCTCTTGAGAGGTAGGAGCTGGTTCTTGGGTTGCCCAATAGTATATATCCCAATCGTTCTCGTCTAGCAGGTGGTCATATTCGAGGAGCAATTTCGGACTCAGATCAGCTAGATGTTCGTTGGCGAAGGTGGACAAGAGGAGATCACTTTCGAGACACCCCCGTTTTCGACTCTGGTCTGTAAATTCATCACAAAAAAACATCAATCAGCTCCAATCATTTGGCTCGGCTTGAGAACCGTTCTGGGGAATTTATGTAGTCTAGGAACGAACATAACAACCTAGCACGGGTGGTATTGACATCCTCCCCGCTACGTCTTAGAGGCTCAACCTTGAATTTGATGCCCTCAAATTCTCCAACCTCGAGCTCGATATTGGTGTTCCCGCCGTCCGAAGATCCCTTTTGCGTCTGGCCCGTCATGTGCTCGGTGTGCCCGGGAACGGAGTCCTTGGGGGTAAAGTTGGGGTCTACCGAAGAGATCAAGTCCGGCGGGGGGCCCTGTTTGCCTACACTCGGCATCTCATTGGCAATAGTCGAAGTGGTGTTGGTGAGGTGAGGATTCAAGGGCTTCGATTTCTCCTTCTCACGGAAACCAGGAGTGTTTTCGGGAACGCGCTCATCAGCAAAGAAACGACGGCTCAATGCGCCGATGGGCTGCCGGAGCAGCCTAGGTCGTGCCGTCTGGAATATGCTTCGTGTCAAAGACATGGTGATAGAGCTTCTGGGTTTTGTTTTTTCGTGATTGATTGAATGATTGATAGCTTTCAGTTCGGTAACTATAGTACGGGAAGGCAAACTGTCGGGAGTTTCTAGACGCTAGCTTGACATCATGAACTGAATAGAGCTCGTTTGCTCAGTTTGTTTCGCTGTCGGCAAACGTGAAGGTTTGCAGCGACATTGGATAGATCGAGTACAGAAAATCCTAGAGGTTCGGCCTTAGCGCAAAGAAGTACAGATACTTGTGATACCAGCAATGACAGGCCAAGGCTATGAATAGATACTTTAGGACCACTTCGTTGGCTGATTAATAAATTACTAAGCCATTCACAGATTACATAATCGGATTTTGTACACATGGAGGTCACATGCCTCGGTCATGTTTTATAAATTCTTGTATATATCCTATATAAAATATTCAATTAAGTGATATGGAAGTATCTGCAAAATTCAATATAATCATAACAAATATCTGGTTTGGTTTCTGGTGCGATATGTGCTTGGCTGGTAGGTGACAGGGGCACACATGTCATAATACAGTAGTACGTAGACAGACAGGAGAGAAAAATGGCTCGCAGTCAGCGTGGGATGATGCGATGCCCTCGTGAGCGGATCCGGCCGATCAAACCTATGACGGTAAAACTTAGTGACCCCACCATGAGAGAAAAGAGGAATTTTGTCAGTTGGTGAGGAGCGAGCCAGCTAAAAGACCAAACCCGAGTCGATTGAATCATTCAGTTTGCCCCCCAAGGGCCCCAACCTCTCTCTACTGTGCCCCATGAGTACTTGTACTTGTTTCTCTCCCTATCAGGGCCAAAACAGGATGGTCTGAGAACATTCTTCTCATGTTGTATTATTATTGCTGATGAACCCGCCATCATCCACTCATCCTATCTCTCTCTCTCCCCTTAACATCATAACGGTCATTGCTGCCTAGAGAATTATTATCTATTTTATTCTTCTTATATTTCAATTTCACCTTCCTCATCTATTTCTCGACTGGGTAAAATTCACTACAAATAATTCGCCCTTAACCCGAACTAAAGCAATTCCATTTCACCCTAGCTTGCCGTCTGACCGACCGATCGGCTTACTACCTTTTCTACCTCAACGCCCCTCTCTGCCCCTCTCGTTCTGCTTTCTGTACGGCATTTCTTAGAGTGGTCGTGCTGCTGGGGTTGACCCGCAATTGCAACAGTTGCTTCACCATCCTTTTCCAAATCAAATCAAAATAGCAGAAACCCCCACGGTCAACTTTCGTGCTCCAAGCGCTCAATTTTTCCACTTCGTTGCGCAATGGTTACGAACACTACAAATCCTCCGGAGTCGCTTCCGCTGGCTCCGGAAACAATTTCGCCCACAGTCCTGCCTGATACACAACACGAAGCAATTCCCCAAGACTCAGTTGTCAACGCAATGAATCCTTATTCCTTTCCCCAACAGCGGCTCAGAAGAGTCATGAGGGATCCGTCCAAGACACCCTTGCTTTTGGTAGCCTGTGGTTCTTTTTCACCTATAACCTACCTGCACCTGCGCATGTTTGAGATGGCCGCCGACTACGCCAAGTTCAACACCGAATTTGAAATCATTGGTGGCTACTTGTCTCCAGTATCGGATGCATACAAAAAGGCTGGATTGGCTAGTGCTGAACATCGGTACGCTCTGCAAAATAATTCTATTTCGATAATTGGGACTAACTCAGGGCAGTGTTCGAATGTGTGAGCTCGCTGTCGATCAGACCTCAAATTGGCTCATGGTGGACCCTTGGGAAGCAAGCCAGAAGGAGTATCAGCCCACTGCCCTTGTGCTCGACCATTTCGAGCATGAAATCAATGAGGTTCTTGGTGGTGTCGAGACTGAAGACGGGCAACAGAAACATGTCCAGATTTCACTCCTCGCCGGTGCCGACCTGATCCAGACCATGTCGACCCCCGGCGTGTGGAGCGACAAGGATTTGGATCACATTCTTGGGCGTTATGGCACCTTCATCGTAGAGCGCACCGGCACAGATATTGACGATGCATTGGCGAGCCTTCAACAATGGAAGGAGAACATTTGGGTCATTCAGCAACTCATTCAAAATGACGTGAGCAGTACCAAAATCCGTTTGTTCCTCCGAAGAGAAATGAGCGTGCAATACCTGATCCCCGCTCCGGTGATCAAGTACATTGAAGAGAATGGCTTGTACGAAGACGATTCGGCAGCATCTCACGATAAGCTTGATGTCAAAGGAAAGCAATCAGCAAGGAGCTCCCGATCCGCGACCCCGAGATGAAAGATGCCTGGGAAATTTTGGAATCACTCCATTTCTCTTTTTGACCACCGACTTCTTTTTCCTGTTCTCTATTCAGTCAGGACTTAGCGTCCTCAGCCACTGTGTCGTCGAATCGATACGGTCACCTGCAGATACGGCGACCTGCACCTTCGTCGATCGAAGGATTTTTTCTTTTGCTCCGACCACGATCGCGTCTAGAGCCCGCCAAGCAAGCCTGTCTCTTACATTAGATACCCTCATCTTCGATGTATACATTTTACACCTGCATCGCTCACGATTTTGAATTATTCATACAACAACAGCCCTTTTCAGCTTCTTGTTCTTCACTTGTCGCTCCTTTAATCTATAGATTAGATGTTAGATGTGGTCAAACCGTCAGGACAGCCCTGGCGTAGAACGCGGCGGAGTCGTCTGGCTACCTTTTGACTAAAGAGCAACTCACAGCAATCACCCTGTCAAGCCGTCTTTTGACCTTTGCGCAATTTGAATGGTCGACTGCATATTACACCCACAGGGAGCACCTTGCTAGTCATCATTACGGCGAGGCTTGGCTTTGAGGTCATTCAACAGCCTGCGAAACTTTTGGATAAGATATTCCAACAATAGATCGCCTTCTTGTATATACGGAGCGCGTACATTGGACAGAGAAATCTCTGCTGCAATCATTTCTTACAGCACACTAGGCCACACGCTAATTTTCCTGCGTCCTGTCTCGTGCGCATTGTTTCACATTTATAACAACTATCTGTTTCATTTTATATCAAGACTTTGTAATATTTTGGCCTGCAAACGATCAGACTATATATGATGAGCAATCAGATGTAGATTAGATATAGTCCATTTCAAAATAGAAGTCGAATTACTTCTTTCGAAAAGCTTCCTCCTTTTTTTTTTATATGATATCCAAAAGAAAATATCTGAGAAACCAATCTCTAAAGGATTTTTAAAATAGTCTCAAAAAGATGGTGCTCAAAACCACCCAGTTTATAATATGTTACCCTCTGCCCACTCGCGGCGCTTAATGCCCAGCTCAACAGCAGCACTGCCCCAGTCTTCACCATGGTTGTGGCCTTTACCGCCCACACCCGCTCTCGCCAACGCCTGTTCCTCATTCAAGACTGTCAACAGGCCAAAAATGACAGGCACGCCCGAGTCCAGGGATACACGCATGAGTCCATTTGACGCTGCGTCGGCAATGTACTCAAAGTGCATGGTCTCGCCCTTGATCAGGACGCCGATAGCAATAATCGCATCGAACGCCGCGGTCGAGGCGGAGCTTGCCGTAGCGCTCTTGCTCAGGTCGGTGCTGCCACCGAGCAGGTCTCCGGCTCCGAGAGAAGATGATTTCGATGATTGCACCTGGGATGCAGAGTAGAGGCTATTGTCCAAGAATCCTTCCGAGTCAGTAACTTTGCATTTTTGCGGTTTTTGCGATATGACATTGTGTATGTGTATCGAGGAACCGAGTAGTAGAGTATATGGCCTCAGGAGAACGAGGCAAAAGATTTGGGGGAAATTTGAAGGCTCATCGAAGAGTCGGTCTTACCGCTGCACAGCAATAGGCAATTCCCAGCTTCCAGGAACCGTTTGCACCACAATGTTCTCGTCCTTGACGCCAGCGGCGTGCAAGGTCTTTTTGGCACCGGCCACAAGAGGCTCAATCACAGCGGTGTTCCAGCGGGCGTGGACGATTCCAACACGGAGAGAGGAGCCTGATTTGTGCGTGATTCAATTAGCATTGACCTTAACCTCAAGCTCGAGCGGGGCCCTACGCAGATGAAACTCTGCATGACCACAAAATATTGTGTACGGGAGACAGTGGGCGGGCGCAATGTCTGAAGTAAAAGATATATCAAATGAACTAGGTACTTACCATCGTGGGCCTCAATCTGGCCAGGTTTCTTGAGTGAGTCCATGATCGAAAAGGGCCAGATAAGAAATGGGAACTAGGTCCAAAAAGAAAAACGTAGGTAGATCCCCAGCTACTGTAGCAGCAGTGACAGGATTCTTAAAAATTGAATATATACTACTGTATGTAGTGTTATGGAATGGCGGAATGGCGTAAATATAAGCTGTTGCAGTGACAGTACTCGTATGTGTTACACGTAACGGCTACTGGATATGCTTTACTGTGGGGAATCTCTCGAACTCTCACTTTGTCCCATTCTCGCGCGGGAATGCGTGCGAGGGGTGACAAGGCGGTGGGGCACCTACCCAGGTCCAGCCAGGTACAGAGACGCTGTCTGACTAAGTAAAATACAGTTAACTAATAGCGTAACTGAATCGGCGAGTTGAAGATGAAAATGCCGATGTGTCTTGCTTCAGAGAGAAACGGATGATTACGTAATGTGAATTTTATGGATTTGGCTGGCAAAACCAAAATAATTATCTTAGATTTCTGTGGATGAACAAGGCGTTCCGGGGGATAAAGGCATCTTGATTGACGGCAATCCAACATTTCGTTTCTTCCAAAGTCACTGAGCCGCCAATGTCAACTCGGGCTTCAATAGTGGCGCCTTGGACGGATTGCTTCAATCTTTGCTGGACCTGTTTGCTGGCGAACAATGGTCGAACAACGGCAAATCTTCATCCTCTGAGGCGCACCAGGGCTCAATTGGTGCAGGGTCGTGGCGCAAATCGCATAGACAGGATCGCATCATTAAGGAGTATCTCTACGACTACGAGATTGGACAAGCGTCACACAAATTTTGACCATTTGACACTACAAAGGCAAAGAGCCATTCGCCGAAATTATCATGGAACCGCAAGAGTACGCAAACCATAGAAAAATGACGTGGAAGTATCTAACAATTTTTTTTTTCTTTTCTTTAAGTTAAATGAATCAGCATCACCAGGCCAGCGTCGACGTGGACCAAGGCAAGCTCGAATTGAGCCAATTCCCGAGACGCCTCAATCAACATTAAGCATCCGCGAACGTTTAAAATTATGGGAGCAGGAACATCCTCAGGACCTGAGCACTTCATTTGCCTTCCCCAACGACACGCCGAAACCGTGGGACATACAAAATGTTCTTTCTCGATCTTCAGAGAATTCAGCGCCAGAGGATGGCGAGGAAGCATCTGATGGGCCGGCCAGCTCGCTGGCCACCATGCGCGACGGGGAGACGGTAGACGTTGATATCAATGAAATATTCCTCAAACCGGGCGATTTGGTGGAGCTACGGTACGGGCGGTGTTCAACTACAATTGATGATTTCCGCTGATCCTTTTACAGATCTGGTACAGAAACCACACTGGCAATATTGACCCAAGAGTTTGATACGGAACTGCAGTTTTATACTATGCAGGGCAAGTGGCTGCAGCGACCGAATAGGAATATCCACTTCTCTCAGCCGGATTTTGTCTCAATGGATGTGGTTGAGCAGCTTCTCCAGTATCTCCCAAACGCCGCTGTAGCAGAAGAAATAAGGGACAAAGCAATGATGCTTGACGCCAATGTCCCCCGAGAAGTCGGTGCTCCTGCTGTCCGCGCAATGCTCTCTTTCTGGAACCAGGCAGATAAAGTATACAGAAAACACGCAAGTGTCTTGGAAGAGGCTCACAATCTCTTGTCCCATGAAACGAACAGCCGGGTTACGACAACACGCGATGTGGCTGCGAAATTACTCGGCGACGAGACTCCGTCGCAACCAACCCTCTATGCAGTCCATAGAACTCTAAGAGCGAACGAGTATGGCTTCGGTCACGATGTACGAAATCACCGTGTCACGGGTGAATTCCGAATCAGGCCCAAGAGCGAAGTTCGGCTGGTTAATACTGTCCGAGAATGGATTCGACAATTTCAGGAACAGATTGTTGCTGCTACTACATCCGATGATATAACTCGTGCCACTATTTCCCAGAGGTCACCAGTCCATGGATTCGTTGCCAAAGCGCGCAAATTAGTCGCACAAAGTCGAAATATGCGAATCCCTAGAGAGCACGGTGTAGGCCCGCGGATGCTAGGCCGGGATGATAAAGACACTGATTCGACTCAAAGGGATAGATGTGTCTTTTCGATTGAATTCAGTGAGCAAGAGCAAATGATTATCCGATTTCTGGAAGCTTGGTGTGTCTCTCGTTCGTTTGCAAATCACAGCTCTCTCCAGTCGATCGGACCCATGTTGATACGGGCGGTGGGCTCGTACCAAGGATTTGATATAGACCCGGGAACTGGCTTCCTTTTTCTACAGGAAATTGGCGTCCTTGCACCATGGGAAAACCGAATCGTTTTCGACCCTCAACTTGGATTGCCTGGCCACGGAAATTCTGAGCAAGCTGATAGATTGGCTTATCAGTCTCTGCGTACGAGGTCTTTGAGAGCGCGAGATGCCATGCAGGGTCTCCGCAAGGATTGGGGCTCGATGGAAGTTTACTGCATTGATGATGCTGGCGCCAAAGAGATCGACGACGGATTTTCTGTCGAGTCCGTCCCAGGCACAGAGTCACAGTACTGGATTCACACCCATATCGCAAATCCATCCGCATTCATTACTCCTTCTAGCACAATAGGACAGTATGCGGAAGTGCTCTCTCAAACTGTCTACTTCCCCGAGCGGACATATCCCATGCTTCCTCCTCAAGTCACTGCTGCCAATTTTAGTTTGGCCCCTGGTCGCCCGACCTTGACCTTTAGCGCACGTGTGGACGAGGGCGGAGAGATATTGGAAACCAAGATCACATCAGGAACCGTTCAAAATGTCACGTTTATCACTCCGGACAAACTTCGACAAGTTTTAGACAACGACACAGCAGCACAGCAGCCGCCAGAGACAATCCTCACCGTTGGTGGACAAATGCCACCGCCGTCAAGGGAAGGGCTGGACAAGGAACTGACCGCTTCTCAAATCCATGAGCTTAAGCTTTTGCAAGCATTAGGTCAGGCAAGGCGTGACTTGCGCAAGAAGCGTGGCTTAATCGCACTAAACATTCCTCGACCTGGTGTCACGGTGCTCAACAACCAATTCAATCGATTCTTCCGCAATCCAAGTCTCAGGCAAAGTCGATTCTTCGAGGAAGATCCGATCATTGAATATCGTGCAAAGCATTTTACACTGACAGAGCAGCCAGACTGTACAAAGATGGTCGAAGACATTATGCAGCTGGCTTGCGAAGCTGCTGGTCAGTGGTGCAGTGACAGAAATGTCCCCATGCCTTATCGCTGCACCGTCGCGCATCCGGATAGACAGGATCCTGCAGACTTTCTCCAGAACGTACTCCCTCTTCTGGCTGACGAAGCAGGAAACGTGCCACTTGGCGCCGGCTTACAATACGTCAAGCTTCTTCGAGCAATCGTTTCTACAACGCCAGCGCCGCACATGCTGCTCGGCGCCAAGAGATATGTCAAGGTCACCAGTCCGCTACGAAGATTCGGCGACCTTTTGTCGCACTGGCAAATCGAATCTGCTTTGCGGTATGAAGCCCGTGGTCACTCGCTTATGAATAACGATGTCGATCCATTTCACCTAGCTTATTCCAAGCTTGAGCTGGATTGGAGGCTTCCTCGGATTGGAACGAGGGAAAAGATGCTTTCCCGTGCTGAAAGGAACGCAGACAGACATTGGGCAATCCAACTTCTGTATCGTTGTTTTTACGCCCAAGAAGCCGACCTTCCAGAGACGTTTGAATTCTACGTCTACAGTAAGGGTGCAGCGGCTTGGGCAGGACATGTCAGCGGTTTCATCAAAACGCTGGGTATAGACGTCGATATGATCGCTGCAGGGATTGGCCAGAATGCTAATGTGGGTGATTGGTGGGAGGTGCGCATTCGAGACGTTGACCCGTATCTTCGAAGGGTCGATGTCGAGCCTGTGAGATTGATCAAAAGTGCTACATGAATCCAAATTCTACGGATACATATAGATATAGACTCAGGAATAATTGTATAATATAAAAGAAAATCTACACTTTGCGAGAAACGTTAACTACCTCACATGAAGCATGTGAACTTTTGGCGTATAGGTTTAAATTACGGTAACCGAGAGGAGCGCGCTCGGCTGCCCCGCGCCTGGCGCCAAATTTTTCCGCGCCGCTGAGGTTGGAGCGGCTCTGGTTAGGTAATGCCCGAAAAAAAGTTGACTCGTCAAGGCTGCACGCCGACCTTCTTTCTTTTCTTTCTTTCCCCCCTGGCATTTGCCGGGACAGGCCTCATACTTTTCTTTGTTTTCCTTTTTATACCAATACCGACATCATGAAATACGTTCTCGTTTCTGGAGGTAAGCATAATTTGAAATTCACACTACCTCGATTAGCCATGGACATTTGTACTAATCTGCAATATCAGGTGTCATAAGCGGCATCGGAAAGGGCGTTCTCGGTATGCATTTCTCATGCCAGTCAGTTTAGATAAGAGTATTCTGTGACTGGAATGCCTTTGAAAATTGGCAGAGCTTTTCGCAGAATTGGTGTCGCTCACAAAACACGTTTTACAGCCTCTTCCACGGGTTTGCTGCTTAAGACCATTGGATTGAAGATAAGTCCCCTACGTTGAATTTTGTCATGATACGCTTTGAATGGGCCCGTGGATTGTACTTGGGCCCAATTGGTCTCTGCCTATCATTAGGCTAATTAAGAGCGTTATCCGTGCAAAATTCTATCATTCTCCGGACAAACAAATGCTGACAGTCTATGCACGTTTCTTCAATCAAGGTCGACCCGTACATGAACGTCGATGCCGGAACTATGGCCCCCACCGAGTAGGTCGCACTTGAAGGATATCACATGCACGTATAGAGACTGATGATTGATGCCTCAGACACGGTGAGGTTTTTGTCCTTGACGATGGCGGTGAGGTCGATCTCGACCTGGGAAACTACGAGCGATACCTGAACATTACCTTGACCCGGGAAAACAACATCACTACCGGTAAAATTTACAAGCATGTCATCGAGAAGGAGCGTCGTGGCGACTACCTCGGCCGGACCGTCCAGGTTGTGCCCCATTTGACGGATGCTATTCAGGACTGGATTGAGCGCGTTGCTCGAATTCCCGTGGATGATACCAATGAGGAACCTGATGTTTGCATTGTTGAGTTGGGTGGTACTGTCGGTGACATTGAGAGCGCGCCGTTCATTGAGGCTATGCGGCAACTCCGGAGGAGAGCAGGCAAGGACAACTTTTTGCAGATCCACGTCTCTCTTGTTCCCGTTGTTGGCGGTGAGCAGAAGACGAAGCCTACCCAGCAGGCCATCAAGGATGTCCGCAGTGCTGGTCTTAGCCCAGACTTGGTATGTTTCCTGCACGGTCACAGCATGCATAAGCTATAAGAATACGAGAACATGAGCTAAGAGACTATAGATTGCCTGCCGTTGCATCCAGCCCCTCAGCAAGTCCACGACCGATAAGATTGCAATGTTCTGTCAGGTTGAGTATGAGCAAGTTGTTGCCGTCCACGATGTTTCCTCTACCTACCATGTGCCTCTTCTCCTCGAGCAGCAAGGTCTCATTAAGCTCCTAAGCGACACTCTGAAGCTCGATAAACTCCACCTGTCGCCCGCGCTCATCAACCGCGGCCAGGCCGTCTGGTCTGAGTGGAAGGCTCTTACCACCTCGCAAGACCACACGTTTGAATCCGTCAGCATCGCCCTTGTTGGCAAGTACACGAACCTTCACGATTCCTACCTCAGTGTGGTCAAGTCGCTCGAGCACTCGGCTATGCGATGCAGCAAAAAGCTCAAGATCCTTTGGGTTGATGCTTCGGACCTGGAGAGCGAAACTCGCGATGAGGATCCTGCCCGCTTCCACAAGGCGTGGCACGAGGTCTGCACCGCCAATGGTATTCTCGTGCCTGGCGGTTTCGGCTACCGCGGTACCGAGGGTATGATTGCTGCAGCCAAGTGGGCCCGTACCAACAAGGTTCCTTACCTGGGTATCTGTCTTGGTATGCAGATTGCCGTCATTGAGTTTGCTCGCCACGTGTGCGGCATCTCTGGCGCTGGCTCTATCGAATTGTCTGCTCAAACTCCCGACCCTGTCGTCATCTTCATGCCTGAGATTGACAAGACCACCCTCGGTGGCACCATGCGTCTCGGTCTCCGCCCGACCCTCTTCCAAGACGGCTCCGAGTGGAGCAAGCTCCGCCAGCTTTACGGTGAGGCTACCGAAATCCTTGAGCGGCACCGCCACCGGTACGAGGTTAACCCCGATTACATTGACCGGTTGAGCCAGGGTGGCCTGCACTTTATCGGCAAGGATGAGCGTGGGGAGCGTATGGAGGTTATCGAGCTCAAGGATCACCCGTGGTTTGTCGGTGTCCAGTTCCACCCCGAGTACCTCTCGCGTGTCTTGCAGCCCAGCAAGCCCTACCTCGGCTTCGTCGCCGCCGCCGCTGGATGCCTCCCTGAAGCTATTCAGCGTAGCATTAACGAGGCTGAGCGTATGGCCAACTCTGGTCTCGTCAACGGCGTTGGCAGCGTTGTGATATAATTCTGCGGCCAAAGTTGAAGCGAGCGTTGCTTTTTGGGGGGTTTCACATGTGGCGTGATCACGTCTGTAGCTGAAAGATGCGCAGACGTGTTCATTGCGTTCATTTTTCGGTCGTATTTTTCTTGGTATTTTCTTTTTTCTGTTCAACGTCATAGAATGAGACACGGTCACGCGGTGAGGTGCAACACAACGAAAGAAGTGGACCAAAGAGATGTCTCTGCGTTTGGTTTATCCATCTATCCATCAATCATAGATGATGAAGGTGATGATGGTTCGGCGTTTTTGGGTTCTTATTTCAACGGCCTCAAGGAGATTATTTTCAATTGAATTAAATAATCAAAATAGGATCATTTCGGCTATCGGAACACTCTGCGGTGCAGTATCGTACTCGCGCAGTAGGTAGAATAGAAGCAATTTAGCATTGCTAAATCCAAATATAAAAAGATATACCATTTTGAATATCTTTATTATCTCAACCCTTTTATCTATGCACAAATGGTTGCAATCTGAGGTAGTGCATTCGTCTCAATGCCGTATATATTTGATGTATGACTGGGTCTCGGGCCTTGTCGATATATCTTTTGTATTTCCTACCAAATCTATCCTTTTCGTCCGAGCTACTTTTTGATAGCAATCGAGGCTTTTATTTACCTTTTGAATAATGTATTATACCACAAATCGTCTCGATCGAGGGACTTGGCATGTGTGTTAATGATGGATGAGAGAGTGGGTTGACGCAGGCTGTGGTTTCGTGTGTGTGCGGCATAGAGCGGGAGCTTAACCACCTAACAGGAGTCTAATCGTCGTTTAATACGATTAAACTTTCAGCTAATAGAGCGCTGCCCCTAGTTATCTCTCGCTTATATGTTTCCGCTCGCCTTTCTCTGGTAAATATTGTCGTCACTCACTCACTCTCCTCGTGCTATTTATCTCGAAATGGATTTTGATAATATTGCGAAAGAGCAATCAGATCGAATCTTTCAGGTATGGATACAAAACCTGCTCAGAAACTCACCAGAAGATTTGGCGGGCAAGCTTGCCTCCCGGCATTGTCCCGGTACGCCTGTTACAGCCTTGCGGCTTTCAAATGGCGCCTTTAATATTTGCTATCGAGTCACTTACGAAGATGGGCGTCGTGTTGAGGTTCGCTTTGCGGCCCTTGGTCGGGTTATTGCACGCAATGAAAAGGTGGAGGATGAGGTCGCAATAATGAGCTACATTGGCCGACACACAGCGATCCCCGTTCCAAAGGTCTTGGGCTATGGCAAATGTGTGGTTGGACCGTACATTGTCATGTCTTTTATCGAAGGGAAGTCGTTGAGCGCATACCTCAGAGACTCCGCCCAGGAGACAGTCGCATTGAGTTCGACTATTTCGACATCAACCTTGAGGAGAGCTTATTTCAGTATGTCTGAAATACTGCTCGAGTTATCGAAGCCTGAATTTCCGTGTATTGGAGCTATCAGACAGGATGAATCAGGCTCTTGGACCGTGCTTAAGCGTCCACTCACTTTCAACATGAATCGACTGACTCAATTCTCCAATATTCCCCACAGTATCTTCAGGCAACCACCTTTTGGCACTGCAGCAGATTATTTCGAGGAGCTCGCTCAACAGCATTTCCACCATCTCGAGCTTCAACGTAACGATGCAATTTCAGATGAGGCCGACTGTCGGAAGAAATATATTGCGCGTTGCCTTTTTCGCAAAATCTCGCACGAGATATCGAAGAGACATTGCAGTGGACCTTTCCGGCTATATTGTGATGACTTTCATCCTGACAATGTCCTCGTTGATGCATCTACGCTTGTGGTGACTGGAGTAGTCGATTGGGAGTTTGCTTATGCCGCTCCTGTTGAATTCACGTATGCTGCCCCTTGGTGGCTTCTTCTGGAGCGACCAGAGGACTGGGAACCAGATCTCGATCAATTCCTGACTCGTTTTATGCCGAGATTCCGCACTTTTCTTGAGGTACTGGAAGATTGTGAAACAAGAAAAATCAAAGATGGATCTTTATTACAACACCAGCGTCTATCGATTGCTATGAAGGACTCACTGGGCAGTGGTCTTTTTTGGATCTGCCTTGCTTCAAGACACAGCTCCATGTTCGATGAAATCTATTGGAACATCATTGATCCAAGGTTCTTTGGACAGTTTACAACGATCCAGGACCGACTATGTCTCCTAACCACAGAAGAACGTCTAAACATCGACACCTTCATTGAGAAGAAAGTGCACCAGGCGAGTGAGAGAAACTTGGTTTCTCATTACAGCATCGATGAACTAGTTGAGCTATAATATTATGAGCGGGTTGAATTGCACATAGTGACATAGCATTGCAGGCTCCAAAGATCATATCCTCCAAGCACACCTTTCTCCTTATATCAATTCATTTACTTCACTTCTTCTTTTGAAATCAAAGACTTTCTTTTGCTGCTTGAGTCATAAGATCTTCTCAGCATTTGAAAGATTCTCAATGGCATTCTTTGTCTTCAAAGCCTTGTCTAGGGCTCTCTTCAACTCTTCTCCTTGTTCCGCAGACGGAACATCGCCCTTTCTCACTCCTATTTGAATTTCACCGGAAGAGATCCTTTACACACACTCAGGGGCTTCATCAGCGGGAACATGTTTTTCGTAATAGCTGCGGAGTACATAGATAACGGGAGGGTCAGTAGGGAGGTGATGTGCCAGATGAACACCTAAATACTTAGTCATGCCCGATATCTTTCTCCGAGTGAAATTTTCACCTTTTCACTCCTAAAACACTCTTAAAAAGGCCTCAAATGAGGTGCTTTTTCAATATATTAGTAGATAGATAGATGGAAAATGCATATGTAATTTTTGAAGCTCAAAAAAGGCTCTTTTCATTATGAAATGACTGATTTTTGATGTTTGAGCACATGTAGATCACCTTGCTACACTGACTAAATAGCTACCTTTGAATGTACTCAAGCTTATAGAAGGGTCCTTTTTTAAGTTTCATTTCAAAATGCTCAAGTACTTGTAGTTCTGCTTTAATTTCAAAAGCTTTTACAGGGAGAAAATTGTTAAATTTAGAAGAATTTTATGTCTATATTTAAAAAGGATTACATATAGTGGCTGAAAGATAAAGAATTAAAAATAATAAATTGATATCTTATAAAATCACTACCCACTCTATTTGTATGCAAAAAAAATACAAGTTATTATATTTATTTTCTATTGAGTTATCCGTGAATATATTTTGTGGTCTGGAGGTTGGTGTATAGGGATTGGCTTAGGTGAATTTCAGAGCTTCGTATTTGTTTTGATCGGTGAACGGCCAATCAACTCCTCCACGTTTACATCTACCTGTAGTTATCGCCACTTATCAATAACATCCCAAACTTTCAGCAAGATAAGATTCCTTCCGATGGAAGACAGACTTCAATCCCTGCCAGATATATTCCGGACCATGACCGTCACCGCAAGCAGCAGCGGCACCAGCACTCCTCGACCCAGCGGTATCGTCGTCTTCTCTGGCGGCAGCGCAGCCAACAGCCTTGTTGACGTCTTCAAGCATCTCGCCCAAAGCAAGAGCTGCCCGCTCAGCTATGTCATCCCTATCAGCGACAATGGCGGCAGCTCCAGCGAGCTGATTCGAGTATTCGGTGGGCCGGGCATTGGAGACGTACGAAGCCGTCTAGTCCGCTTAATTCCTTCTGACGAGGAGGAAGAGCATCCCAACTCCGAACGCAGCGCCATCAAAGCGCTCTTCAACCATCGTCTAGCCAGCGACGGGCCTACCGCACGGCACGAATGGCTCGACATTGTCGAAGCCCGACATGCGCTATGGAAGAACATACCGTCTTCCCAAAAGGAGCTCATCCGCTCATTCCTGAACCTGATCAACCTCGAGATCGTCAAGCGCGCACGACCCTCTTCCGTATTCGACTTCTCCTCCGCCAGCGTCGGCAACCTGTTCCTGACCGGCGCGCGGCTCTTCTCCGGCTCGTTCGAAAGCGCCATCTACCTCTTCAGCAGCATCAGCGGGGTCCCGTCCAACGTGGAAGTCCTGCCGGCCATCAATTCCAATTTCTCCCACCACATCTCCGCCGGCCTAGCCAACGGCACCGTGATTACCGGCCAGAACTCCATCTCTCACCCTTCTGTCCCTACGGCACTCAGCCAAGCCCGCGGCGACGATCTCCCCATAAGTCCTACCGCCGAGGCCGAAGCGCAAGACCACATCGAGGACGCAAACCTACCCGGATCACTGCCGACTTTACGCAAACAATATATTAACTTTTCCAAAACCGAAGAAGAAGATCTTCCCGCCCGCATCGAGCGCATCTGGTATATCAACCCCTACGGACAAGAAATCCGGCCCCCAGCCAACCCGCGCGTCGTACAGGCCCTCGACGGCGCATCATGCGTCGTTTATAGTATCGGCTCGCTCTATACCTCGATTATCCCGTCCCTGATCCTGCGCGGCGTCGGCCAGGCCATTGCCACCAGTCTCACGCTCCGGCATAAGGTACTCATTCTCAATGGCTCGCTGGACCGCGAAACGGGGCCGTCTTCTACTCCCTTTACCGCAATGGATTTTGTCGCTGCCATTGCCAGAGCGGGCGCCGAAAGCCGCGGCCTCTACGGCCAGCCCGAGCCCCGCGAGTTGAGACGCTACGTTACGCATGTCGTCTATGTCGAGGGCCAGGGCTCGCCAAAAGTCGATAGGGAAGCGCTCTTGCATCTGGGAATTGAGACGGTCAGGATATATGGCCGGAAGACGACCGATGGTAGAGCAGTCCGGTATGACGAAAAAGCATTGATTCAGGCCCTCGAAGCTATCCTGGGAAAGAGAGATGCCAGACATGCTCGTACCAGACGCATGACTGTCGACACTGGCTCATAATTCTTCTAGTTTATTCTCCCTCGTTATATTTTGGCTTTTGCTTTGCTTCCCCTCTTTTCTTCTTTTTCTTTTTCTTTTTCTATTTATTCATTTAGCAGTTTGCACTTATACCGGTTTCAAAATGGGGACCAAGAACAGTCACTTTGGCCCCTTTGACAAAGTTCATGTGCTCCAGAATTCGGGTCGGCTACAGGCGCACAGGCATTAACGACTGGTGATGTGGGTATGGTGATCAAGGAGCTGGGATATTATGGGTATATGAGGTGTTGGTATGCGGAGTTTGCTTTTATCCTCTGCTTTTCCTTTTTTTTTTTATTTTATTTTATTTTATTTATTTTGGTTTCGATTCTTGCTCATCTGCTCATCTGCTCAATTTCCAATTTGTCTGTTAGCTCATACTGCATTCTGCCATGGCGTTGTTGTTGTTGTTGTTGTTGTTGTTGTTGTTTTTTTTTTTTTTTTCTCTTGTCTTTTTCTTCTTCTCTTCTCTTCTCTTCTCTTCTCTTTCTCTCTTTTCCTTTCTTTGACAATATTTTCTTTTCTTTAAATGATCACCTTGCTCTGCGACAGATCTCTCTCACCCTTTACGACTTCTTTTTCTAAAGCGTCATGTCATTTACACGCATCAAATAGACCCCTTAGAGCTCGAGCTTATAGCACTACTAGTATCAATATAATCCACAATCCACATTCTCACAATTTCACAATTTCACAATTCCACGATTTCACGATGTTGTCAACCATCAACAGCGTAGAATAACAAAAAACATGCATCATGCTGGTCATGCTCATTCCCAACATCGAGTAGCCACTCAGTCAATGACGTTTCAGCTGAAATGTAATCTGATTCATCTAAAAACATCTCATCCAAATAACTAGCCAGGGTTGAAGCCAGTTTGGACCGTTGAAGCCAACATGAGCGATTCCAGCAAAATCCAGCGAAGGCGCAAAGTGTAACTTATCTGTGTATATCTAAAAGGGACTGTCCGGCTTGGAGTCTGTGAATTGAAAAAGGACGAATGCCGGAAGGATAAAGGAGAAAGGAGGAAAGGAGCCAGGGAAAAAGAAAAAAATCAGCGCCTTCCGAACAGAAAAATAAATATATGCTCTCGTGGTGTCATGCTTTGCCGGAATAAGAAAAGAGAGAGAAAAAGAAAAGGGAATTGAATAAAGAAGGGAAAAGAAATGGAAAAAAAGAGGAGAGAAAATAAAAATAAAGAAAGTGGGAGAAAAATAAAAGAGCCAAAATAAAACATAAAAATGAAAACAAACAAAGGGGATAATAAGAAAGTAAGAAATGAAAATGAGAGGTGAAAATAAACAAAGAAAAAAAAAAGAAGAAGGAACGAAAAAGTGGACCAGAAAAACATGAGACTCCTTACACGACGCTCCAGCTTTGCAAGTAAACACAGCTTGCAAGCATACACCCCCGCCAAAAAAACAAAGAAAAAATAAAAAATAAAAAACAGCTCCATTACACCATACACAGCAAGACCTACGACCTATGACCCATGACTATAAACTTGCTCGTAAATCGTGACCGACACGCCCTTATTTAAACTTGGTGATTGCGCCGACTAGAAGGAGGTAATTCGAGATATATGCAGGAATGCGTGCTCCATGAAAGATTCCCTTTCCCAAGCCAGGAGATTGATGCAAGAAACGTCGCGGATGGAGAATAGTAAAAGCGACCAAATGACTATGAAATGCAGAGCAGAGGAAGAGTAGGCAATACGTCCCCTTCCATTTCCCCGCCCCCGCCCGCAACCACAACGACGCATCAATGACTATGTAGGAGGAGTTGAAGTTTCTTGACGCTTCTTGTCGTAGTCGCTGCGCTTCATTACTTTGAGCTCGAGCGGAACCACCTCTTTCCCGGCTCGGCCGACCGGGTTCCGCCGTACTCTGGTTCTGCATACGGGGCATCTAGACGGGGCGGATCCACCTCCGCTTTGTCGTTCGCCTGCCATGAGCGCTTCCATTAAACAGGTGTAACAAAAGAGATGGCCTATCACAAGAGAGAAAAAGAACCTGTCAGTAAAAACACAGATGGCATGATATGAAAGACAAAGGGGACATACCGCAATGCGTAATGGTCAAGTCGGTCGGGACGTCCATGCAAATGACACATTGCAAGGACGTCAGCGTCCGTGGAGCTTCTCCTTCTTTTCGATTCTGAGCGAGAACCTGATCTGCGCGCTGTTTTTGCAAGGCCGCTGCCAGGCCGAGCTCATCGTCGACATCTCGCAAGTCTATTTCCTCTATGTCTTGAAGATGATCTGCTTCGGGGCGCGAAGGTTTGATGCGTTTTGGAGTGCCGGCTTCAGAGGACTGCTCTGCGTCCCGTTGTCGCTTGTGGATTTCTTGTGCCCTACTGGGAGATGACTGGTCGGCGGTGAGATCGACGTAGCCCTGCATGTCGCGACCGGGAAGAGGTTGGCCGTTGAAGCGCGGATGAACGGCTGCTCGCGACGGCCCGGAAACTGGCTGCTGTAAGGAAGATGATGACGAGGAGGCACTGCTAGATGCTGAAGCTAGTGATGAGATCGGAGGGAGTGAAGCGGGCAGATTGTGTCGTTGCCGTTGCGATTCAGGGCTGTTTGTTGTTTGGCGCGGCGAGTGTCGGGCATGGCCATTGGTGGCTTGAAAGTTATTCTGAGTAGATTCGGAAGCGTTGGCAGAACCCCATGAGGGCAAAGGTCGTGCGGTACGGCCAGAAATAGGGTCATAAGGCATTTGAGCTCGTGGTCGGGGATCGTTCGCAAATGTGGAAGAAGGTGCTATGGAAGAAGAGTAGGACTCAAAAGAGGTTGAGTTTGGGTCGAGGTAGTTTGATTCCTGTTCATCCAAATGCCACCAACTGCCATTGGATGAGCTTGGTGTCGTCCAACCATCTGATCCTGAGCCAAGGTTGAGAGGACTGTCAGCGCCCGATTGCTGCGATGGAAAGCGACCGCTTTCTTGTCCCGACATGGTGGCAGGCGGGTGGGACCAGTGCAATGAAAATATGGCGGGTTGAGCTGCAATTTATGACTGTCACGGTATCATGCTGGTATATTATAAGACTTATCCAGAGGGAATAAGCAAGAACATGTCGTCTCCTCCAAACGCAAAGTAAAATCTAGTTTCCCCCTAGAGATGTTCGAGCTGCGAAGAAGTGCGGTCGAGATTCTGGGGTTGTGAGGATTGAATATTTCCTTTTTGGGTAATGCCCCTTCGGCAGTGCATCATTGTGCCGATTCGCTCACCGTAACAGAGGGCTTTGCGACGAGAACGTCACAATTGGACGAAGCTGATGGCTTGTGAATTTCATCTGCGCTGTGTATTCTCGCCACCAGTCCAACAGTTGAGGTCAAACAATATGACTTGATGCTTATGATTGGATGAATATGTTTATTTCGAGGGGCTTCTGCCGCCATGAGAAGCTCATTTACGGCGCAGCACGCGCTTCATGGCGACCAGCGCAAAGAGCTGTTGCATCCCCTTTTTGTCAGCCACCCCGGCGATATCTCGCGGTGGAGGCTGCAGTAAAGGTTTCAGATGATGCACGCAAAACAGAGAGCTTAAATAGTATGATTCATGACCTTGAATTCTGAATAAACCCGAAAAGGAATCGGCTGACTCTGGTTGCAGAGCCATCAACTGCCCGCTTCAATGAAATTGGCGTGCAGCAAGTAAGCAGTCACATCCATGCCCAGCTCTTCCCTGGACCCTCTTCGCCTGCGCCCCCGGAGCTCGTCGCACTGTCCAGAGATCACCTCCATCGCCATGACCTCCTTGGCAAGAATCAGGACAACCCTTCACCGGTCTCGTTTGACCTACCGGCATTGCAAGGGCAGACGTTAGACGAACACTTTCACAAGCTAGGGATGGACGCCGCAGAGCCTTATCTGTCTCAAGCAAAGGAGTATGCAATAGTCAATGCGCCAGCAAAGCCCCGTAAATGGATTCATAGGAGTGGCTGGACGAAATATTACCCGGATGGACGAACAGAACCGGTCGAGGCGCCCAACGAATCCATGCTCACGTTTGATACCGAAGTTCTCTATAAGGAGACCTCGTTCGCAGTCATGGCTTGCGCAGTCAGCCCCACGGCCTGGTATGCATGGTTATCGCCTTGGCTACTCGGAGAATCCGAGTCAGACCGACATCTGATTCCCCTTGGAGACCCCAACAATCCAAGGATTGTCGTCGGCCACAACATCGGATACGATCGAGCTCGCATATTCGAAGAATACGATGTAAAGCAGACGAAAAATGCATTTCTGGATACCATGTCATTACACGTTGCGGTCAACGGAATGTGTTCCCGCCAGCGGCCCACGTGGATGAAGCACAGAAAGAACCAGGAGCTACGGGACAAGATTGCCCATGAGACAAATTCGGCAGAACTGGCGGCGTTACTCGAATCAAAAATGTTGACAGAAGAGGAAGAAGAGTTGTGGGTTGGCCGAAGCTCCGTCAACTCATTACGAGACGTGGCCAAATTCCATTGTGATGTCACCATTGACAAGGCTCAGCGCGAATACTTTGGAGAATTGGATCGAAATGGGGTTGTTGAAAGGCTAGATGAACTTCTAGACTATTGTGCAGCAGATGTCGCCATTACGCATCGAGTATTCAAGAAGGTTTTTGTTCACTTTTTGGAAGTCTGCCCTCATCCCGTGAGCTTCGCTGCACAACGACATCTCTCGGCAGAAATCCTTCCGGTGAACAAATCATGGGATTCATATATAGCAAATGCCGAAGCCACCTATCACCGACTTTCAGACGCCGTAGAGCGGCGCTTGATCGAGCTTACCGAGAGAGCACTCGAGGTGAAAGACCAGCCGGAGAAATATAACGCTGATCCTTGGTACCGCCAGCTGGACTGGTCGGGTCAAGAGATCAAAATGGTCAAAGGAAAACGGAAGAATGATCCGCCACGACCGGCTGCCCGACAGAAGAAGCCTGGTATGCCCAAGTGGTACAAGGATCTCTTCTCTACTAACGATGCCCCCATCAACCTCACTGTACGCACAAGAATCGCGCCGCTTCTTTTGCGCCTAGCATGGGACGGTTACCCTTTGGTGTGGTCGGACAAATATGGCTGGACGTTCCAGGTGCCCATGTCTGAAGCGATGATGTACAATGATCGAACCGTCGTCGAATGTGACATGAACGATGAAACTGACCTTCAGCTACGCGATGACAGAAAGCACAAGTATTTCAAGCTTCCACACAAAGACGGCCCGCAAGCTCGTTGCGGCAGTCCACTAGCAAAGTCTTACATGCAATATTTCGAAAAGGGAAATTTGTCATCCGAATATTCCTATGCCAAAGAAGCTTTGCAGATGAATGCGTCCTGCTCATACTGGATCAGCGCAAGAGACCGAATCAAGTCCCAAATGGTCGTCTACAATGGTGATGCAGCGCTTGCTCAAACGAACAAGACGACACCTTCTGATGTCGGGTTCATTCTGCCCCAGATTATTCCCATGGGAACAATCACGCGAAGAGCCGTCGAAAATACCTGGCTGACAGCCAGTAATGCCAAACCCAACAGAGTTGGATCGGAATTGAAGTCCATGATCAAGGCGCCTCCCGGATATTGTTTCGTCGGGGCCGACGTTGACTCCCAGGAACTTTGGATTGCGAGTCTTGTTGGCGACGCTCAGTTTCGGATTCACGGCGGCAACGCTATTGGGTTCATGACGCTTGAAGGGACAAAGGCAGCTGGCACGGACCTGCACTCGAGAACGGCAAAGATCTTGGGCATCTCTAGGAATGACGCAAAGGTCTTTAACTACGGACGAATTTACGGCGCAGGGTTAAAGTTTGCGGCGACATTGCTCAGGCAATTTAACCCTGGGCTCTCCGAGAGGCAGACTACGGAGATTGCTTCCAAACTTTACAAAGAGACCAAAGGTCAGAAGACATCAAGGAAACTTCTGCATGAACGAGCCTTTTGGCGAGGAGGCACTGAGTCTTTTGTATTCAACAAGCTCGAAGAGTTTGCTGAACAGGAGCGGCCACGCACGCCTGTCTTGGGAGCTGGGATCACGGAGGCACTCATGCGACGATTTATCAACAAGGGAGGCTTCATGACTTCGCGTATCAACTGGGCCATTCAATCTTCTGGCGTCGACTATCTCCACCTTCTCATCGTCTCCATGGACTACTTGATCCGTCTATATAACCTCGATGCGCGATTGGCAATCACGGTGCACGACGAGATTCGATATCTCGTCAAAGAAGAGGACAAGTATAAGGCCGCGATGGCGTTGCAGGTAGCAAATGTGTGGACGCGGGCCATGTTTTCTCAGCAGATGGGCATTGACGATCTCCCTCAATGCTGCGCATACTTTTCCGCCATCGACATCGACCACGTCCTGCGAAAAGAGGTGGATATGGACTGCGTTACGCCCTCAAATCCGAACAAGATTCTGCCAGGAGAGTCACTTGACATTGTTCAACTCCTCGACAAGGGCGAAGCGTCCCTTCTCGATCCTGCTACGAAACCTTTGGATCCTCCGCAGGTTGATCGATTTTCATATACTCCTCGCCAACCAGTCATGGCCAGCCTTCAGACGACTTATAACCTGAACTTTCTCAAAGCACAGATCACGGGTGACGACAAAGAACTTCGAGAAATTATCAAATCAAGTCGGCCAGCTCCCAGCCCTGCCAGATCGATCTCTCGGCCTGGAAAGACGGTTCCAGTGCCGCCACCTCAGACGGTCGAGCTGTTTGAAGTAGGACCCTGGGCGCACAGACCGTCTCCGACCTGGACAAATGGCAAGACCAAGTCGTGGCAGCCCTTGAAACAAAATACATTTCGACAGCGGGTTGCTGGGCGCGCATAGACTTCTCATATTATGGTTGGACCCTCCACTTTTCTCCTCTCTTATTCGCTCTGGTCTTTTGTTCTGTTAGGAGTTGTGGACGGCAGGAAACTTATTGTGCATGGTGTTTATTCCTTTTCCTTTTTTTTTTTTTTGCATAATCTTACAATTTCGGACCTTTGACGTGGGTATTCTTCTACCCTTTGAAGTGGTAATGAGGCATTGGAGTTATGGGCTGAGAGGGAAAAGTTCAGGGCGGCGGTTTCGGGGCTTTGTTTTTTTTTTCTTTGGCATACGATTGAGCATATATTGGATATGGTGCTCCTATATGGCCCTTGTATATTATACCGAATAAAAGGATGTAAGAATGAGCATATGGGAGTCAAGACTACAGTCTTGATGAATTGCACTCATCACGTATTACACCTTAACCCAAGATGTTCTCACAGGGTCACTTTCCATTTTCGGTAGACCCTTTCCCGTTTCGCCTCGGCAAAAGTTGCTCGGCAAATAATTTGGATGATGCCAAGATGCTCCTTCCTTATGTGATTCGCTGGTGCTTCCTAATCCGGGGAAAGGAATGTCAGCAGGTGACATGATGACGTAGTGCGGAGAGACGGGAGACACAAGACAAAACAAGTCAAAACCCATCCGGAATTGCATTTATCATGTCTGATATCAAGGGTATTAGAGTAATATGCCCTGGGTATTATCAGTTGCTCAAGTAGATAGATGTCATCCTCTCCGAATGCCCCGCGCTGGCAACCAAGTCCGAACTTGGCAAAAGCTTGGTGAACTTGTATTTCTATGCCCTTCTTCCCACTGCGACTTCAGTAAATTTAAGCTTGAGCTGCCACATTCTCTCGCCTTTAAAAGATTCACGTATTAATCAGTATTCATCTTTCAACCCTCTTCTGTGACCGTTCTCATTACTCCTCTTGATACCTTGATACCCTGTGATCTGAAACTGTTTCTATTCGACCTGTGCTCATCCCAGACGGTATGTAGGTTTGCGTCGTATTGACGTCTTTGTCACAAAACCTTGTCGGAACTGAAATCTCCGATCTGGCTTCACCGCCTCCGTGAATGAACTTTTTGGGAGCAATTCGTCATCTCCTGCATCACTAGAAACCCTGATTTGACTTTTGGCTGACATTTACATTTCAGTTCGACACATTTCATCTTTGATCTCCAATCACCCACTTCCGACCAATATCAGGATATAATCTCATATCTTAACTACACTTAAAATCACCAACATGGAGACCATCACCAATGCTGCCAACGCCGCCAGCAAGGCGATTTGGGGCGAAAACAATAATGCCAGCGCAGAGACAGGCCAGGAGCCTCTGGCTGGCGAACAGGGCCGAGGAACTGCTGACTCGCCCTACGACAGGGGAAACGCTGAAGGTAACTCCAGATCCATTTCCTCATTTCCCTTTATTTATCGCCAAATTCTTGAATGATAAGTCCTCTTGAGAATAGTTGACTAACGATCCTCTTCGTTCTAGGCCAATCTGGCTCTGCCGGCCCTGACGCAGGTAGCTCCAACCCCGGACCAACCTCTGGCAGCACTGGCACTGGGCTTCAACCTGGCATTCCATCTTCTGGTAGCCAAAGTCAAGGGACCAACATTGCGGGCCAAATCCGACCGGAGCACCAGCAAGATAAGACCGGCGTAACCGGCCTGCACTCTGATGACCCGAAATTTTCCGATCAGCGCCCAAGTGATTCCAATGCCGCATCAACCTCGGACCGTGGCCAAAAGGCGCCCGCGGGCGGCATCGGCGCAGCTGAGCCCTCGGTCGGAGCTTCACCTAGCAGCGGCCAGCAGCCAACGCAGAAGCAGCAAGGTGGAGATCGACCTACTGAAGAACCCTCTTCGGGAAGTCAAAGCAAGAGCGAGCAAGAGAAACAGGCCCTTTTTGAAAAGGCCACCGGCCAGAAGGAGGACCACTCAGGTGACCCGCTGGGCAAGCACTCTGGCTCGAAGCCCTCTGGCGGCGAGCAGGAAGAAGGGCCCGGTGGAAAGAGCACTGGCGAAGGAACTGGCGAAAAGTACGTCAAGTCGACGGGTTTGGCGTCCCAAGGAGGTGACTTTGATGCGACTAAGCCTGGCGCTGGAAAAGAAGCAGATCGTACGTATCCTTTTACCCTTGTCCAGTTCCTCCTCTTACTCCTCCCCTCCTCTTTTTCCCTTGCTCCAATATTTGTGCATCTATTATCTAACATGTCTGAATACAGGCCTTCTTGAAGAACAAGGTGTGCACCATGGAGCTGGTGCGGCCAAGCCCGAAGCCGCAGATACTGGCGCTCATGAGACGGGCGAAGGAAATGGCAATGGCAAGAAACACGGCATGGGCGAGAAGATCAAGCACAAGCTTCACATTGGAAAGCACTAATCTGCCACGGCCTCTGTGCAGTGCGAATTGATTTCAATTTCTGAGTCCAAGGACCTATGCTAGGTGGACTGGGAATCGGGTCTGAGACGTAGCGAAGGCGTAGCTTTTCCTAACGTTTGGCGTTGACTTTTCTTCTACTTGCTATTTGTGCTTGATGGTTTGGTCTTGCCCAACTTGGCTTGATATCTGCAACGAATATACGAATTATACTGGACTGTTTCAGGCAGTAACAGTTCACATCTTTTAATTCTCTTTTTTCCCTTTCCCTCAATTTCAATTATTTCTTTTGCCCTCATGACCCACATCGGTGCTGTTCTAAATTCACAATGACATGATCAAATAACACATGAAAATTGTCCCTCGCTGTCTAAACTGCAAAGATCTTTTTATAATCAAACAATGGCGCGGTTTTCGCGGCATCCTGTCCTCTAGCCAAACTGCTCCTACTCAATCTTGCCCTTGTTCACAACAAACGCCTCGAGCGCAGCTACACCCAGTTAGCAACAACCCACTTTCAAATTGCAAAACAACACGAAAACACGTATGATGGCAAACATGGGATTGCAAGAATGCAACTTACAAATCGCAGCCCAAAGACGGTTCTCCGCCTCGGGGAAGACCAATGACTTGGGACTGTAAAACACTTCATCCGCGACTTCCTCTGGATGTCTCGGGAGACAGTGCATGAACTTCCAGCCCTGTTTCGCACCACCACGCTTTGCCAGATCGGACGTGACTTGGAAGCCCTCAAACGCCTTGAGGCGCTTTACCTTTTCCTCCTCCTGGCCCATGGAAATCCACGTGTCCGTGACAATAATGTCTGCATCCTTGACCGCCTCCTCGGGCACGTTTGTCTCCGTGAGCTTGCCCGGGCTCGCTACACCGTTCGCGCTATCGGAAATGACCTGCTTCATCGCCGCCGGGATCTCGTAGCCCTTGGGCGTAGCCACGGCGACGTCTGCGCCGAGTTTTGTCGCGCCAATCGCCAGGTCGAAAAGCACATTGTTCGCGTCGCCGACCCACGCGATCTTCAGGCCCTCTAAGCCGAGACTGGGCGTCGTGGAGGTAGTCAAGGACGACCGCACATGTGAAGGAGATGAGGGGAATGCTTCGTGGATGGTTAAAAAGTCGGCAATCGTTTGGAGAGGATGGTATGCATCGGACAGTGCGTTGATTACGGGGACGCTGGAGTGTTTCGCCAGGTCCGCAACGTCAGAGTGTGGGCCTACTCGCGCGACGATGCATGAGACCATGGATGAGATTACGACGGAGGTGTCGTAGAGTGATTCGTTGACCTATTTGTTTTGGTGTCATAAAATTAACCACAGGATTTCATTTCCAGCAATTAGGATTGGTCACAGAATTTCGATGATTTTTTTTAGTCTGATTGCAGGATCATGCCGTAAGAGAACTCTGCGGGGGAAAATGAAAAACATACGCCGAGCTGAATGTCCTCTTTGCCCAAAAACATGGGATGCCCGCCCATGAGCGCGACAGCGCTTTCCGTGGACACTCGTGTCCGGGTACTGCGCTTGCTGAACGTCATGGCGACAGTCTTGCCGCCCAGAGCGCCGAGCAGACTTGTCGGCATAGAGCCGGACTTGACTGCGTGCTTGTGCGAGTGGGCATTGCGCACGAGGGTGGTGAATTCCGCGGGCGTCAGGTCCGCAATGGAGAGTAAATGACGCGGCGCGAAGGGGGATGTCGCAGGAGATGTTGCCGAAGCGGCATGGGACGTGGAGTATGAGCGGTGGACAGCGCTGCGGTTGAAGCTACGGAGCGCAGACCGGGCGGTGCGGACTGTGGAGGGCATGGTGGGTGCTGTAGCCGGTCTGCTAGTTGGGGATTAGAGCCCGTCAATTGATGTTTGTGAGAAGAAAAAGGCTGAGAGAGGGGGAATGTGAAGGTCCCTGGAATCGCTGGGCCGAATTGAAAGGGGGAAGAGGGAGAAATAAGTTACCTGAAGAAACGGCCTGGAGTTTATATCAATGGCCAGTGGAGTGTTGGAGCTTGTGAAATATCGAGTCATAAGCTAAAGCTGGAGAAAGATGTGACTAACAGAAATCTAAAGATTAGATGGATGAGATAAGAGGAATTTAAGATGGAGATTAGATTATCGATTCTGCGGGAGGTCCGGTTGTTACTGCTCGAGAGTGTGGGTGTAGTTTGTTTTAGTGGCATTGTATTATATCAGTTTGTCTAATATTAATGCTTCTATAGGACGTTTGAGAGAGAGAGAGAGTATAGAATATCTATGAGTAATATTTAATTTTGAAAATATTTATTATTGAATATATGGATGCAAGATGTACTCGTAGGAACACGTTGGTACTCTATATCAAGTGCACAATACCTCATCAGTTGAGCAGAGAAATTATTTATGTACATTTACAGCTAGCAATTCTATGATCGTGACTTTTGTTAAAAGGTTCCTCAATTGGACCGCTGGTACTACCTTTCTGGAAAAAATAAAGAGACATATAGGGCCTGTCTCGAGTTTGTGCACGAACCGTGGGTCAAGAAGGCTTGGAGAACCGTCCGAGAGTTACTCATCTAATTAAGGGTTTCCTTTCCTCTTTATCCGTTCTCAAGCTCAGAAATAATCAATGAGAGGACTTTTATATCATGCTATTTTTGGATATAGTGCACCCTTGCCGAATGAATCTAGAAAAGCGGCTCCCGGCGGATTACGATTCCGGCAGCAAGGCGCTGTCCATTGCGGCCCCAGACGCTTCGACACGGTATTAATTGTACTGAAAAGCCCGTTGGAATGGGCACTGGCTTTGAAGTGTATAGCGTGAAATGCGTGACATATTTCTCTGCCTGAGAGCTTTCGGCGCTCAAATCCCTGAGGGTCTTCACCGTCATATCTGCGCCGTCAGAGCTCAGAGGTACGGTTGCGAGTGCAAAAGAAGACCCATTTTCCAGCACGCACTGATAATCGGATCCCGATCCAGTCACAGTGAGAGAGACATTACATTGTGCAACTCCCAAGCTGGCCCACTCAATGGCACTTCCGCGAGGGAGTTCGTCTACCTCAACGGCCAAGAAAGGTGGACAGGAGTCCACATTCTCTTGTTCAAATTTGATCCTTTGCATATCAGGCAGAGTCCGAACAGTCTCCTGAGGGGCAAAAGATCGATCATTTAGACGGCCGTGAGTCTGGTCCCAGACATCGATATCCTGGTCGTCTTCACTGTCTCCGCTGTCATCATTCTCGACGCGGCTGTGCATGTGTTTCCAGGCATTCCATGCAATGATTGCACGCTGCTGGTATTTGGTAGCATCCGTATCTGATAACCCAGCAAGGTATGCCACGCCATTTGTCCACCAATTGACACCCATAGTCTGTCCTATCCTCCACAGGTGCTGCAAAGATAAGGTTGTCTGCATGTTAAAATCCATAGGGATCTCCGAATTCTCAGGGCCTTTTACTGTAAGGTCCATGGAAGCAGGCCGTAGTGGAATTTGTCCTGCAACGTAAACTATTGACGGAGGTGTACTCGTGTTCTGTAAGTTATTGAGCGGCGTTGCAATGGATTGTGAGTATGGCCCAATATTGGCAGGAGCCCAATATGATCTGGACTGGACGTGCAGTCCTCTTCTCGAAAGGCTTTCATCTCGATGGACAACGACTGAGAGCATGAGCTCGGCCCCAGAAGGGAGAATGTCTCCGCAAGCAACTGTGACTCTTGCTGGCGGATTAGGCTTGGAAAAGAGCTTAGAATATATTTGATTGACATGTGCAAACTCAGACATTGAGCGAAGAAGGATCGTGCTAAACACAATATCGTCTGGTGACCTGTCTATTCGGGCCAACTCCAGCCTTAGGTGCTCAGATATGTTTGACATTTGTTCCCCAGCAGATAGGCTTGGATCACAACATGTTAAATTTGAGAGGAAGCAATTGCTCTTGCTGAGGGTTTGTCTTGTATCAACCTGAGAAACAGGCACCACATGAACACGCTGTGAGTCAGCTGAAGCGGCTTCGACGGATAATGTATGATCTGCTCGAAGAGACTCGAGAAGAGATGAGAATTCAGTATCAAGAAGATCAGGTGTCCTCAGACTCTCCAGGGTAGTATTCTCCTGAATCTCTCCGGCAGGTTTCTCGGCCATTCTAGCATTTCTGATTTTGACCGAAGCAGAACCTCCTTCGCCAACGACCACGAGTCTTTCCGCCTCGTCGACAGAGATCCTCTTCTTCCACAAGGGCGCCGGGCCGTCAACGGCTAGGGTCTCAAACTCTCCCCCTTCACCAAGAATTGCGCCGCCTTCATTTCCGCCAAATCTCTGCATAGCACGTGCTAACCTTCTCTTGGTCTTTGCGCTTGCCACATTCTCCCACAGGAAGCTTTCGTCCATTCCTCCAGATGCGACCTTGATGATTCTTGCGTCTTGGCCAACTGCTTCCATGTCGTCTAGCAGAGAAGACTGCACATTTGGTGGTAGGTATGGATATTGCCATAGATAAGAAAGCGGTGTCAGGCCGAGTCGAATACTGACAGACTCGACCCGGGTCCGCTGATAGTCTGAAAGGATAGCTCCAGTACTGACAGCATTTGCTTCTGGATGAGCTTCCATCACACGGCGAAGCAACGGTACCAGGGATTCCGTTTCATCCTGGCCCTTTGTGGTGGAATCTTGAAACGAGTAATTCTTGTCCGCATTGACAGCAGTGCCCAGAATTTCTTGCCTGTAGAGAGGAATGCCTAGCGCCTCTTCATATAACGGAATTACTGCATGTCCAACAGTCTGATACATGTAGCTATCCAGATCGTCAATTGTCTCATGACTATCGGGTTTTGCAGCAGGATATAAATTTGCAAGCGCAACCACTTCGTGACCATTGGCCAGGCAGTGCAATATTGAAAAGAGCGAATCTTTGCCCCCAGATATAAGAGCAATTACTTTCAGCCCGGCCATTGTCTATTCCACTTGGCCTGCCATGCGCCAAACGTAGCTTGATATATTTACCATTTCTATTGATAAATTCATAGGGTCCCAGGATATGACCTTCTGTCTCCAAATTATCCAGGTTGCTCGACTAACCGGTAGAAACCCCGACAGCACTTGACAGTCGGAGAAAAGTGCCCCTCCCCCGCCGACGCTCAAAGAGTTTGGGACCCAAGGACGGCTTCACTACGTAGTAAACTTACCCTTAGCTTCCCTTGTTACCGTGTCGCTGAGCAACAATTCCTCGAATTACACAACAGAAGCCGGTTTCTGGTGCTTATACAGTAATCGTTGCATCTAGAGGATTAAACAGCATACTACGACGCCTATCAACATTTTCCAGACAAGAGGATTACCCAGACGGTCGACAGCACAATGGCGGACGCCGCAAATGGAGAAGGAGCGCCTGTAGAGCCTCAGGCCAGGAAGGTCGTATACTGTGGAGGTATGATTCCTGTCTTGCGTCCTTCTTAAGCACTTGCTCAGTCTGCATTTCCGGTTGTCAATCTGAAATTCCGCTTTCTCCATGCTATGCACTTTTCCATTCCAGCTACTTCTCAGTGAAAGCTTGCTAACTTGAACATGACCTGATGCAGTGTGCTCACTCCCTCCGGAGGTACGTTCAGTTCTTTCTGTCTAGTTGGATCAATCATCATCACTGCCTTTTCGATGTCTCCCATATGCACGCATATTTCGGCAACGTTTAAGTTGCGAGCTGTACACTAAGGCCGTCAACGTCATAATCAATCGGAACCTCTATTACACTGGAGACACATACCCTTCCTTTCTTTTCCAAACAAGGGAGTGTTCTATGTGTATTAGAGGAGAATACAATCTACTTTTTCAGCTCCCCTCAAATACTCCATACCACAAACTGACAAGTATCTCGTTCACAACAGTACTGCGAATTCGGTGGCACAGTAAAGAAATGCAAAGAATGGCTAGAAGATGCCCACCCCGACCTTTTCGAACGGTTATACTCTGAGTGTCAGTACTTCCTCCCTTTTCCCTTTTTATCAACAATATATTGTTCCCCTCTTCTCTCGAAAGAGCCGAAGCCAGCTAACACGGAATACGACAAACAGCCTCTGTCGAAGCCAGTCTCTCTACTCTCTCTCTCGACGCGCAAAAACGCGCTGAGCGCGATGCTCAGAAGAAGGCCGCCAGAGCCGAAGCCAGCGAGGCGCGAGAACAGGAAAAGAAAGCTGCCGCCAAAGTGTACATCAAGCGGATCGAGCGCAACAAGCGCAAATACGTGACGGCCGTGATTGGGCTCGAAGCGCACGGCCTCGAGCTCAAAAAGGTTGCCAAGGACTTTGGCAAGAAGTTCGCCACGGGCAGCTCGGTGACCAAGACGGCGAGCGGCACGGACGAGATTGTCCTGCAGGGCGACCTGAGCGATGAAGTTTACGACTTCATTACCGAGACGTACAAGGGTGTGCCGGAGGATAATCTCGAGTGTATTGAGGATAAGAAGAAGAAGAGCGGATAAATTGGATAAAAAAGTCAATGTTGCTGGTCTATATGGGGAGAGGGGGGCGTTGCAGAGTGATCTAAAAGCAATGGAGAAAGAAGATATCATGACGAAGAGATGACATTGAATTGACTGTTGAATATGAAAGACAACCTTTTTTTAGTCCCTCAATAAATAAATAGAATATCCATAATAAGGGATCACGAATATTTTTGATATAAGTGATGGGATAAGATTTTGTTGCTACAATACACACATGGAGAATAAATGAGAATTAAAGGAAATAACACGTAGTCTCACTCTGATTTCTATATACGTTGATGAAAGAAATATACATTACAATGGGGATATCCTTTGACTCCAATATGACCCAATGCGAAAAAGAAAAAGGACACCCCGCAAGACCGCTAACTTTTCCCAACTTCTGCTCGCAAGGGTAAATTTCTGAATTGAACACAATGGGAGATAGATAGACAGATAAATACTGTTCTCGGTACTCCTTAGAGGTTGAAAAAGACACCGAGGGTTCGATGAAGATACGTGCTCAAAGATCAAAGCTAGCTGAGCAGCTCCCTGATATCTTCGAGACGCTGCAACTTCTTTTCTTCGTCGGAGACCATGCCGAGAGAGCTAGCACTGTTTTTTTGGTTCAAACGTTAGCAACGATACATCATTAAGCAATCTAGCATTAAGAGAGCCGGAAAGAGGGGTAGGTGATTAGGTAGAAAAAATAAAAAATAAAAAAAAAAGCCAGATAAACGGAAAATGTCAACGGTATTTGAATGCGGAGAATTTACAAAATTGAGGGAGGGGGAGAGATGTGAAAATAAACATACATGAACATTTTCCGATCCTGAATCTTGAGCATCCTCTGCTCGACCGAGTCCTTGACAATAAACCGATGCACGTAGACGGAACTCGTCTGGCCCATGCGGTGCACACGGTCAATGGCTTGGGACTCGACGGCGTAGGACCACCACGGATCCATCATGAAGACGCGCTGGGCCGAAGTGAGATTGAGCCCGACACCGCCAGCGCGGAGGGACAAGAGGAGGACCAATCCGCCTGCAGACTCGGGGGAGGCGGCAAACTGTGCGAGGACAGCGGCCCGTTGTTTCTGGGCCATGGAACCGTCGAAGCGCAGAAAACGGATGCCGTCGCGAGCGAGCGCGGGCTCGAGAAGGTCGAGAAAGGCAGTAAATTGGGAGAAGACGACGGATTTGATGGAAGGGTTTTCGTGACGGAGGCGCTTGAGGTGGGTGAGCAGGGCGGCGATTTTCGCGGACGTGTGGGATCCGATGCGGCGAAGGGAGATTTGGGACAAGAAGGAAGAAGAGCAGGGAGTGACGTTGGATGTAGATTCGATGGCAGGACCGGAAGAAGGGAAAGTGGGTGTGGAAGTGTGGGGATAAGATTGTATTGAGTCTGAATCCGATGCTGGTGCGTGAGATGTGGAGGAAAAGAAAGGTAAAGATTGTTGGCGGGAGGAGCCAGGAGGTATAAGATTCTCGGAGTGACTGCCGGCGATGATGCCAGTGCGCTTGCCGGAATCATGACGGATTACTTCGAAGATTTCCCGCTCGTTGATGCGCTCGCGGCAGTTGAAGCATCGTGGTGTCTCGCCCTTGTTTTTCTGATGCTCAATGTAGTTGAGTAGGCACTCCTTGCAGGCGCTATGCCAGCATCCAGCGACCGTTTGCTCAATCATTGGTTCTTCTGAGCATATAGGGCATTCGTTCTCCGACTCGTCCTGGATCTGCTTTAGTACGTGTGCGCCAAACCGGTTCGCGTCCTCGTCCCCGTCGTCGGATTCGAAGCGGTTGATGAGATCTTGTAGGTCGATGTCGTCTGCTAGACCGCTGGCTTCGTCTGCTGCTGCTGCGGCTTCCTCCTCTTCGGCCACAATGGTTTTGTTGCGCGTCAGGACGGGGTGGCAGCATGATTGGCGGAGACGGAGAATTTGTGCAAAGATTGTAGTATACGACTTCATGACTGTGCCGGCTTCGACTTTGGCGGCAAAGGTCCGCTTGGCGCGATTGAAGATGTAATCGTATACTTCGCGCTCTTGTTTCGATAGTTCAATCTCTTCGATTTCTATGCGGCGAGGAGGAAGTGGAACAAGCGGCTCTCCGTCTGGAGTCTTCATGTCCTTGGTACGTCGAAGTACAAGGGGTTCTAGTACGGTTTGCACCACGTCTAGAGCCCGGATAAAGTCCTTTGACTCAAAGGGCACGGTGATGAATGTCTTCCAAAACGAAAAGTTGCTCCAGGGTTCAACGCGGAGGAACCGAACCAAGCTGAAGAGGTCTTCGAGGCGGTTGACAATGGGCGTGCCTGTCAAGACCCAACGGTGCCGAGCAGCAATTTCGTAGCAGGCTTTTGCAGTTTTGGATTGTCGGTTCTTGATATGATGAGCTTCATCTAGGATTACTCGGAAAAAGTTGAGCGAGAACAGTCCCCCGTGGGAACCCCGATTGCCGTTGTTTGCAACAACTTGGTTGAATTCAGAGAGAGCTACGCCGTAGCTAGTAATGACAACATGAGGAGCAGAAGCCGCATTGGATTCGCGGCACAGTGTTTGTAGACTGGCCGTCTTATCGCTGCCATAGTAAACAATTGACCTCATCGTCCCAGGCTTGGAGGCATTCTCCGCCTCGCTATGCCACTGTGCAAGTAATGACATGGGAGCTATGACAAGCGTTGTGCACGGCGCGTTTTCTACCGAAGAAGAATTTAAGGGCAATCGAGGTAGTTCGTTGACAGAAGTATGCGTCAACTGAGAAGCTTGGATGGCAATGTCAGACTTGTGCGTATGCACGAGACTGAGCATTTCGATAGTTTTTCCAAGGCCCATCTCATCAGCTAGGATCCCGCCAAGGCAGTTTTGTTCCTGCACAGGAAAATCTAATGATAACTCTCCTGAGTAGGGATTAACGTAAAACTTGTCCTGGTCAACGACCTGAGGAAGGTCTTTATCGTCGACATCTTTTGTTGGCCAAGAGTATTCCTCCCACAGCGGATGCATTGAGACCTCTTTGCTGGAGCGCTTCTCGTCCTTTTCCTTCTGGATCATCCAATGCAGCGCTTGTCGTTGGTATGGACGGAGATCCATGGCAAATGTGTCCGCAGGTTGGGCCACAGGAGTATCAAAATCAAAAGTTTGCGCTTTCTTATACAATGTGTCTAACTGATCTTGCTCCAGCTCCTCACCCTCTTCGGCATCCTCGGACGATGGAGGCGACGAAGTATTATTTTCATCCGGCTTGGGCTTCTTCGATTCATCAAAGTGCTCCGCCATCTCAGCAGCTTGCAGCAAGCCTTTTCGTTTGTGCTTGAGCGTTTGCTCGTTTGACTTTAACGGATGTAAGTTTATTTCGTCAAACAGCTTTATTAGCCCGGTTTGGCGCAATCGAAGATCTTTTTCCTCCTCTGTCTCCTTTGCCTCGAAAAGACCAGTGGTACGGTTATTGTCAGAGGGCTTTACGAAACCTCCTGCCTCAAACGCTCTTCTTAATAGCGAGCACCGCAGTTGCAGATATATCGTGTCATTGGTACGTATTCGAATAGGCGTATACACACATACACCATCAAATCGGCAAATCTTTTGATCAATCAGAGTAGACACCCACGCAGCCGTCTCCTTGGGCAGTCTTCCAATCTCTTCGCCTCTGGAATTGGTGAACCGAACAATAATATCTCCTCTCCGATTTGCTGCGCGCGGGCCTGCTGTCACCTTTCCACTGCGCCCAAGTTTTGGCGTTGGCGGCTGGATTTTTGCGCGTTCGATCTTGACAGATTCGCCATGCCGTAAGAGATTCAAACCACTCTTCGTCGCCCAGCCACCTACTCCAAAGGCGCCTATATATCTCCACTCAGGCATGTCTTGGAGGTTAGATTGGCGTCTCGTCTCAGTTATCGAAGCTCCGGGAATGTCTGTTGGCGAGTCGCGAGATCTTGGCGGTGGCGCTTTCTGTGTTTGTGCTTCAAATACTGAACGAGTGTCATCCACTGGTCGAATCGTCGGCGCTGTTGCTTTCCATGATCCGTCAAAATACATATTGATTGCTATATTATCCGCATGTCAGCTTCCCTTGGTCTGTTTGGCTCGGAGTCTGGGCACGTACCACGCTCCATGTTATCTCCAGACACTTGTCGCAAGGTCTTCATCGTACTTGGAGGAAGCTCTTCTCCGACAAACGTCGCGAAGACTTGGGTATCGAATCCATTTTCCTTGTGCGATTCCTGATGCTGAGTCGCATTTTCCGATACGCCGCTCTTGGCTTTCAAGGATGGTTGATCACTTGAAAGAGTATTCTGACCGTCCGCTGTAGGCTCTGCTCCCATCGCATTGTGGCTACTACTTATTTCAGGGTCATTTCCGATAATCTCCACGGGAGGGGCCTCAGGCAACGCGTCGAGCTCGTCTGTCAGCGAGGCGTCTTTGCGCAAAGTGCTATCAGAGCCCGAGGACTCTTCGGCGAAAAAGCGACGTTTCTTGGTCGGTCGAGGGTCGACATCGCCGTAGCTCATATCGATCAGGTAGGAGGACACATCCGTCCTACGTGTGAAGTGGCCTCTATTTGAAAATACAAAGGTTGAGGATCATGAGAATGTATAAGTCAATTCACGTCGACGTGACGAGTCACGGGAACACGCGAGTCAATTTGCCCATTGTGCCAGCCGAAGACGCCACAGATATTTCCACTGTAGTGCGAGACATCACTAACTATCATATATCAAGTACTTGTGGTAAAATTAGTGGTGAAATAGAGAGCAGAGGAAACCTTTCCTATTTATTTTTCTAAATTTATATCTGGGAAAGATGGTGCTATGTTTTCGTATTTGGCGACCTTTCCACTATCAATACATATGTACCAAAAAGTCATGGAAAAGTCATCCCACTAAAATTGCGAACTTCATCAATCGTAAGAATGACTTTGAGTAACTATCTTGATATGCTTGATATGTCAAGCATCCAAGCAAGGAGAAGACGAAAAGGAGATTCATGAGAATGCGGTCGTCAACGTCACCACCAATATATGTAAAACAATCTATTAACGCCAGTCGCTGTGCAGAAGCATTGAGCAGGGTATCTTGCAAGGAAGCAAGCAGTGAGCAGTAAATGTAAAAATAAATGAGCAGAGGGACCAAAGGTGTCCCGGCTTTATCCCGCCTCAGAAAGCGGGCATCTGCTCATCAGTGTATGAGCGGCTCTAGCTAGGGCTGCCGTGCTCATCTTCATCTTCAGCCGCTCGAGCTGCTGCAACCGCAGCAGCAGCCTCGTCGGAAGCCGGATGAGGTGCACCAGCAGGACCAGTTCCTCTGGGATAGACTTCGCCAGTAATGTCAAGATTGGCAAAGTCGTTGCGCGCAGTGAGAACATTAATACGGGCAGTGTTAAATGCTGCCTCGCCTGGTGGAGTGACGACTAAAACATAGGTATTGCTGGTAAGCCGGGCGATGAAGAAGTTGAATCGAGAAGTTTTGACCTGGAATTCGGCAAACTGGGGTGAAGAGCGCGGAAGTCCAGTGTGCCGACTGAGATAATAATCAGTAGCTGAACATGAAATTGAGATGAGATGCCATGACACGTGCTACTTACGACAGCGACTGTTTGAAAGTCTTAATAATAGTGGAAAGACGCTCAAACCGATCGTGGGCGGGGTTCAAAGCTCCTATCTCGCTAGTCACAGAGGTAACAACGAGGAAAGTAGTACGCTCGAAGAGAATGATTTCTTCGGCTTCAACAGCAGCTGCCAGCTCGCGCAGATAGCCCTCAAGCACGTGGAGATTAGGGATTAGCGTATAGATGATGCTCGCCCAGGCTTTGTACAGGGTCTGGTCCCAGATACTTGTCGCGAAGGATGTAATCTTGAATCCCTCGGAGCGCTCTTTTACAAGATTCGTGCGCTCATCAAATAGCTTCTGGCGATATTCAGCCTGGACCAGATCCATCTTGTGAATGAGACAGAAAACAGCAGCCGAGGGACTATTTTCACGCAAAGCGCGAACGACAGCCGAATAGGTCACCATATCGCGATCAAATTCCCTGGATTCAATATCGAAAACATAAATTAGCACGCCTACGTTGGAAAAGACGTGGTCGCGCTGAGAGGCAAGGTAATTCTCCATGAATGCGTCCTGACTGCAACGATGTTAGCCTCAGCCCATAGCGCTAGTATAACTCCCAAGTTCATTGTCCCATATATCCCAGGTGGTAACTCACCCGCCACAGTCCCACAGGTTCAAGGTCAAATTCCCCAGAAACTTGACATGACTATGCTCGACATCAATGGTCGCACCCAAGCGGCGAGCGTCCTTAGCAACGTAGTTACTGAAGATGATAGATCTCATAGACGTCTTGCCGGACCCACTTTTGCCCATAAGCAAAACCTTCTTTTTCTTGGCCTTCCTGTCATAGTCCATTTTGTTGGGAGAATGAATATCTATCGTCTCGATATATTTTGCGATTCGCTAGGGCACTTTCTCTCTAAAAAAAGACTATAGGTTAGTCGGTGACTATCTCTAATCATTGGCTGCGATTATAGTATGCTGAGGTCGCAAAAGAAAGTTCGACAAAACCCGGCATAAGTGGACAGAGTAACTCCAAAGATTCCACCGAGCATCATCAAAGAGGTAGATTTGCGTAAAGATGCTTGTCTCATCTCCAAAATGAGCATCAAAATGACCCGATCAAGGGGCCTGAGAATAAAGCATTCGAAACGCCTTTAAACGGGATGATGATGGATGTGAGCCAGTTTGAAAGATAAGAAGATCAAACTTACGATTTGAACAATTTCAAAAGAAATTATGCAGCACGACAATGTTGTTTAGGTATAAGATACAGCCCCTCAATATGACCTGATTAGAACAAGCAGTGAAGCCGATAGCAGTGGAACCGATGATGCCAGTGCTATTGCTCTCGGCATTACCCGTCATGAGCATCACCGATGAGCACTATTTTACTCTGCTGATCCCCGTAGAGCGAATGAGTGTTATCAATTTAGGGGCTTATCGATAAAGGAGGGACCGATAACGGTTCAAATGCGGGCGCCGATGGCGACTTTTCTCACCGCCTCCCAGAATTTTGCCATCTGCAAATCAGGTCTCTACTCCGCCCGCTGATCATCTACGATCACCATGGTTCTCCAAGCCATTCGATACCAAAGGGGTAGCCTCCAAATCCTCGACCAGCTGAAGCTTCCTTACTCGGAGATCTATGACCCTATTGAGTCCTCCCAAGATGCATGGCACGCCATCAAGGAAATGCGGGTGCGGGGTGCCCCTGCAATTGCCATTGTCGCGGCACTTGCACTCGCAGTTGAGCTGGAAATCATTGTGAGCCATGGAAAGCTTTCTACGGTACCTGAGGAGGTCAAGGTATTTGTTGATGAGAAGTTGGACTATCTCGTCACGAGTCGACCCACGGCTGTCAACCTTGCAGATGCCGCAGGAAAGTTGAAAAAGGTCGTGGAGGCCGCGGCAAAACAAAGCAACGCTACCGGCAAGGATGTTGAGCAAGCTTTGGTCGAAGCTGCTGAGAAGATGCTCGTAGATGATGTGAGCGACAACGAGAATATTGGCAAGCACGGAGCCGCATGGATCTTGCGCAATACAGATGCGGGCAACGCTACTGGTAAAGTTAGCATCTTGACCCATTGCAATACCGGGTATGGACAATCCTCTCATGTTTCGCCTTCATATCATATTGTATTGAGGCATATTTCTTTCTATTTGCCCAATATATATATTATTCTGGTACCTAATGCTGGGATCCCTTAGGTCTCTTGCCACTGCTGGCTACGGAACCGCTTTGGGAGTTGTCCGATCGTTGCACGGGCAATCTGCTCTTCAACATGCGTTTTGTACCGAAACCCGTCCGTACAACCAAGGCTCTCGCCTGACCGCATATGAGCTTGTTCACGACAACATTCCAGCGACATTGATAACTGACTCAATGGCCGCTGCTCTTTTGCGTCTCAGAGGCCCTACGGAAAATATCGCCGCGATTGTGGTTGGAGCAGACCGGGTTGCTGCGAACGGAGATACGGCTAATAAGATTGGCACTTACGCCTTGGCCATTCTGGCTAAATATCACGGCGTGAAATTCTTGGTGGCTGCGCCGCGCACGACGATTGATCGCAGCACAAGGAGCGGAGCGGATATCGTAATTGAGCAAAGGCCTGGAAGAGAGGTCACTAGCTTCAGAGGACCCCAGACGGTTGGTGACACTGTAGATCTCGATCGTATTGAGACTGTGAGCATTGCGGCCAAGGGAATCAACGTCTGGAATCCCGCGTTTGATGTCACACCGGCCGAACTTATTTCTGGTGTGGTCACCGAGGTGGGTGTCGTGGAGAAGGGCAGCGACGGCCAGTTCAACTTTGACAGCATTTTTTAAAGAGCGATAGACATAGAGAGTTGTATGATTCTTTTGTACAAAGTAATACCATGCGCACTGTTTATAAAAGCACAGCCCTTTCAATGTTATGAAATTTTGACAGAGTGGTTTATAATCAACCCGACAAGTAGAGAAGACCTTTTTGATGTCCAGATGACCCGTCTGTAAAGTAGCAGGCTTAGTTGATCCTGACTAAATATGTCTAGCTGGGCGGCATATTCTGCACCTATCAACTGTAGTGGTGCAAATGTCGCACCGATCGAGACCATATACAATTCTGCAGCTTTTTTAGGGCGAACCACAAGCTGAGAGGTCATCAAAGGCGTCTAGAAACCGACGCCGTCATTGAAATCGCTGAAAATTGGAAAGATATCGAAATTGCACTGCTGACTTTATCTTGATTTCGATCCAGCTTCTTCTTGCTTCTCGGAACGACCTTGAGCGGGGTTCCCGTTGCCGCTTGAGCTCGCATCTGCATTTGCGGCTTCCCTTGCCTCCCATGCTTGGAGGTGATCAGGATCCATACCGGCGAGTAACTCGTCAATCTTCTTCTCAATAGATGAGAGATGGTTTTCTAGCGCAGATGCTGCCCTCTCGCCTCTGATTGTATATTAATACGATTTTCCGAACCAACAACTCGGTTATATATTTGATGACTTTGGATTCAGGAATCTTATGACGGGTCTTGGCAACATCAAGTCGAAATGCTTCGGGGTCGAAGTCAAAAGGAAAATTCACAAAACTTACTTTGCCAATTCTTGAAATGCCTAGAGGAGCCCATCTCTCTTATTAGTCATGTTTATCTTTGCTAAGTTTCACGAAAAGGATAAAACTGATGCAGCCCGCATGTTAAGCAATGGAGAAAGTATTAATACAATTCCCGGATGCGGAACACTGATACTAGGAGGAACACAAGACTGATTTGTTCAGGAAGAGGAATGTTGATTGAGAAACGACGCTTGAACAGGTGATATGCAGTCGACAATATAAAATTGGATGGATTGATAAGGTGATGCCACGGGTAGGATACGAACCTGAGCTAGATCTTGCGCATTGTTGGCCTGGCGCCCAGAGCCTTGATTCTCAGCCGTCATAGCTTAATTAAAGAGAAAGAGAGCAAAAAGGATATTAGTCCAGGTTTGATTGATGATATTTGACCCTTGTTCCTGGCGCGTTGCTGCATGATACGGTTGCTTCCCACATATTAAGGTGAATTAGCGGCGGTTGGATGGGATATAAGCGACATGAGCCGAAATCTTGAGCTGATCAGTGAACAACTTCCTAAGGAACTCTAACTGTCTCACCAACGCCACGGCGATAGGTGTCTCGGCTAATGCTATCGCCGTTCCGCGCTTATCAGCATTTATGACTCTTTGGCAACTTTATTCAACTTTAACTCCCCACTCCGTGCTTGAGAACATACACTTTTGGAATCTACAACAAAAACACCTCCAACAGGGCTCCTTTATACCTTTTTCGGGGAGACAGTCAATTCCTCTCGATTAACAAAGGATGAAGTATGAGCCTTCGGACGGTGGCCTTGGGTAGGACTGGAAGATGGAGCCAGGCCCAGGTTCGTGTTCCGACAAAAAATTGGAAAAGATTTGGACAACAATTTCTGACCGGATCATCTATAGGGTCAGGCTGGGAACTTCTTACCTGTATCATCGGTCCAATCAAGACGCATATTATCTCAATATTCAACTTCCAGTAATGGCTTTTATACATCTAACCTTCCGACGACCGACCATGATGAAAATAAATCAGCCAAAGATGGGATTGACAAGAGAACGAGGGATAAATTTGCTGAACGAGTGCGTATCTACTGTCGAGGTCTCACCTAGGGTGCTTTCCTAACCTTGAAAAGGAATTTTTATTTTCAGTTTTGAGCTCAACTTCGACGAAGCGGGAAGCAAGATCCTACCTCTCACGTTTCAAACCCTGGCCCGGGCAAAGGACGCGCTTATTCGAACAGCAACCAGATAGTTCGACCGCGGCTACTACGGACAAGCTTCAAAATTTTAACTCGTCATCGACAGGCATTAATGGGACGGGTTTAGGTGGCCTCTATCCACCAACTCGGGCAGTGGGCGAGAGCCCTGTTTTCACCCAACATGCTGATAATTCATCCTTGAAGCCACTGCTCAACGTGGTTGAGCCTTTACATGTTGCACTGGTTCAGTTGAGACAGCCGCAGCTCCTCGATGAAGCGGAACTAGAGGGCATTGGGCTCACTTTGACCCAACTTGCTCGCCTTGGCATGGTGAGCGCAGTTGTGTTAGATTGTGAGATGAAGGGGGGGACGTCGACTGCAATCAAGGACAGTGGGCTTGAGCGTAAACTTGTCGTCGAGCAGGCTGAGCGCGTTCTTGCCGGCATTGAGGCAAACCAATGGTCAAAGGCACGTCGTGTTGACGGTGTTATTGGCATTCCATCCAAAAAAGAGCAAACTCAGCGCTCAAATGCGCTCTACACTCAGGCGCGAGTGACTTCTCGAGAGTCATTACTAACCCCCATGAGAAGAGGCATTATTCCTGTCATTACTCCGATCGCTTACACAATGGACACTCAAACCGCCACTCTAATATCATCCGATGAATTATTCATGGCTTTGACAAAGGAATTTGTTGGCATTACCACGCCTTCATGGAGCCCATCCGGAGCTTACCATGCGGACCTCATTCGAACATTGCAAAGACAGACCTCCTTGGACAGGCTTATCATCCTCGACCCATTAGGTGGTATCCCCTCGTCTGAAAGGCCGCAAGGATCGCATGTTTTCATCAACATGGAGCAAGAGTTCGATGACATCAAGGCTGAGCTTAAACGCTACATGGCAGCAAAGGGACCGGCACGTCATCTCGCATCATCCGAAAATCTTTCAACAACGGTTGGTTGTGAGGATCTTGCTTCGTCAAAAAGGTCTCCTGCCGCTGGAGACAATACTGAGCATGATGGACCAAAGGACGCTGGCTCGACTGGATCTCGCGTCGAAAAAGTTCCAGCTCTGCAGATGCATCTTCGCAATCTTGAGGTTCTGCGAAAATGTTTGGCCTTGTTACCGCCTACGTCTTCTGCATTGATAACAACGCCACAAGATGCTGCAAACTCTGGTCGGATCCTGGATAGTCCCCTTGAGGCCACCGGCGTCGGCACTAGACGGACTCGTAACACACTTATTCACAATCTTCTTACGGACAAACCGGCCTTTTCCTCGTCTCTACCCAACCGTCGCTTAGGGCTTCCTCCAGCCAACAATCCTTTCCTCCAGGAAAGTCCTTCCCCCACCACGAGGGCTACCACGACGTTTGTCAAACGTGGAATGCCCCTGACAATTCTTCCCGATCCACGAGTGGCCCCTTGGCGACCACCTCACCCAGGCAAACCCAATTTGACTTTGGATGATCCAAGAATAGACCTGAGTCGGTTAATCAATCTCATCGAGGATTCTTTTGGACGGCCGATTGATGTTCGAGACTATCTATCGCGAGTCAACGATCGGATAGCCGGGATCATTATTGCTGGCGAGTATGAAGGGGGTGCGCTACTTACGTGGGAAACCCCACCGGGGATTGAAATCGATGAGAATAATCCCGAAGCCAGTCGCATGCGCATGGTTCCGTACTTGGATAAATTTGCCGTTCTACGTCGCAGTCAGGGCGCTGGCGGTGTCGCGGACATTGTCTTCAAAGCAATGGTCCGTAGTTGCTTGCCTGATGGCGTCTGCTGGAGGAGTCGACGGGACAATCCCGTTAATAAGTGGTACTTTGAACGGTCCCGAGGCACATGGAAGCTGCCGGATTCGAACTGGACCATGTTTTGGACTACGGAGGACTTACCAGCCTCTTCGCAGACATTTCTTGACTACGAAGCTGTTTGCCGGACCATCATGCCAAGCTGGGCAGATAACAAGGCCGTGATGGATTGATGTTGGCTTTGTCTACTTTTTCATTTATTTTCCCCGTATATATCCCATAAAAGTATTTGTACATGTCATAGTATGGCAATGGCAATTAGCATAGCGATAGGAGGACCTTGTTTAATGTTTTAGTTCATAAGGCATGCCAGTATGAAGATGCCATTGATTTATCTAGTTGGCCTTTTTCATCAAACAGATGAATTTTCAATACATACATGACGATTTGAGCCTTGATTGTAGTTGGGCGACTTTTAGCAATGAACTGTTGGCTTTGTTGTTTTGATTTTCATCGTCTGTCCGCAGTGCAGCTTTCTTAACCAACGACGTCATCGCTGATACCTCCCAAGCAGCACCAAATGCACTTGAGAGTGAATCTTGCCGTTATACTCATCTGTTTCAACCAATCTACAATCACTGGACTTAATTGAATAATTTTTCTGATCATTAATGTCATATCCAATCATCTTCTACGTATTTCAATTGAAAGACATCACATGAATCGCCAATGCTGACCAGGGTCCTAATCCCTGACTCGCCTTCCCCACGGGGATACCATAACCCCATCATTTATCTTTCTCCGCCCTCTATCCGCAATTCCCAACAACAAAACAAATGTATTCTACTCGCGCAAGCATACGGCTCTCACGCCGCTTGTGCAAGCAATATGACACTGTCCATAGCGTCAAAACACCTTTCCGCAGGATCTCGAGCAATGGCGCAGACGCCTCACATACATCTACTCCTTCCGAGTCCGAAGTCACCTCCGCAAGAGCGTACTGCTTGAACCTTTTACAGTAAGTGCTTCCACTCATTAGGGCATGTCCATATCGCATTAAATTGCATTGCAATGCATTGAATACCACAAAGCTAACGTATTCTCTTTCTCTTGCCTTCCGCGTCCAAAGGACATATGACGCCCCATCCTACACTCTGCAAACATTCATACCGACCTCTGCGCGCGATGCATACCTTGCCATTCGGGCATTTAACACATCCATTGCGCAGATTCCCGACACCGTGACAAACGCTACCGTCGGGGCTATGCGCATGGAATTCTGGCGACAGACCATTTCATCCACATTTGCCGGGCGCCCTCCCAAAGAACCCGTCGCTATTCTTCTCTCGCACGCACTGTCCACATTATCTTCTCATTCCCAGTCGCTCTCCTCCTCCTCGTCTTCTTCATCTTTCTCCAGCATGCCCAAAAGCTGGTTCCTCCGCATCATCTCCGCGCGCGAACAATATCTCAACAACGCACCCTACCCGTCGCTGGACGCCCTCGAATCCTACGCCGAAAGCACCTACTCAACGCTCCTCTACCTTACTCTTTCCGCACTGCCCCTGTCGTCGCTCACCGCCGACCACATCGCATCACATATTGGCAAAGCCAGCGGCATAGTCGCCGTCTTGCGCGGACTGCCTTTACTCGCTTTCCCCTCTCCCGCACCGCATCATTCTAATCGCTCTGGACTTGGCCTTGGACTCGGCGCATCCGGGCTGGAATCTACTCGCCAGGGCGCAGTCACACTGCCCCTAGATATTATGGCCGAAGCAGGCGTCAAAGAGGAAGAAGTCTTCCGGCGGGGCGCCGACGCGCCGGGCCTCCGCGACGCCGTATTTGCCGTGGCCACGCGCGCCAACGACCACTTGATCACCGCGAGACAAATGTTGAAAAACGTCTTTGCGGGGCAGGACGTTGGTCACGAGTTTGAGCATGCTGCTGAGCAATTGGAACATCGGGATTATCCTAGTCATTATTCATCCTCTCCTCTTTCTCCTTCTCCTTCTCCGCCTCCGTCTAGGACCCAGAATCGGCCACCCGAGGCGTACGACTCCGCAGACGATCCCTCTGGCGGCGGCTACGACTTGTCTCGCGAGACATACTCTTCATTTACTTCCTACGACACACCCACTCCTTCTACTTCTACTCCAACAAGTTCAGGCTCAAGCCCATTTGGTACCGCCCCTGCGCAGACAAGGCAAGATTCCCTGTCCCCGTCTCTGTCCAGTGGCATCACAGCGCAGAAAGAATACCAGCAGCACCAGCACCAGCATAATATCCAACTGGAAGAAGTCGAACGCGCGTTCGGCGTCTACATGCCCGCTGTCGCGACGAGCTTGTGGTTGGAGAAATTAGAAAAGCTTGATTTTGATGTGTTCCGGCCCGAACTGCGAGGCCGAGAGTGGAAGTTGCCCTGGAAGGCATACTGGGCGTTTACGCGGCGGAGGATTTAAGTATTTGTATTATTGTTATCAATTTTATTTTTCTATTTATTTTTATTTTTCTATTTTTATCTTTTTTATCTATCTGTTATTTTGTTATTTTTATATTCTTTATCTATTTATTATTATTATTATCATTATTTTTATTTCAGTATTGTTGTTATATAGAGCACGATTGAGCAATCTAGGTATATATAAGATCATATCATACCAAGTAATGTCACAGGGTAGAGGTAGCGTGGGGCATTTCACTAGGATTCGAAAGGAACATCGTGCATATTCCTACAGTAGCACAATACAACGGAACTTTACCTGACGAGCCTCCTGCTGCCTAAAGCGGCAGCTTCTGACTCCACGACTAACCCAAAGACTACTGGTGCCTACCAACCCCAGCAGACACACGTAAATGAGAGTGTCTGGCTGTCTTTATAAGGTCTGGTAGTCACAAGATGAGAGGCCTAGGGCCACAGAGGGATGTGGTGTATACTTTTGCAAATATAAATTGAGAGTTTGTCATTCTGGAGATAGTTGCCATCGATCTTCCTTGCCTGCACGCTGTATGCATTTCGCACTTGGTTTCATGATTAGCAGCGTTTTATCAAACTCGCACCTGAAAAGGGACTTACGTGTTTCACAAACATTTCCACAAGCGCTTTGACCATGCTTGCTTGGTTTGTGTCGCGCTCTAATTATATCTCCCGAAAAACAGACGAACCCCCCGAGCGAGACTTACCACATGAGATCCAGCTCACGGCGCGTGTCGCTACAGCTATTTTTAAATGGGCCCCATAATCCAATCAGAGGCACCTCTTTGCCGCCAAACCTGTGGTCAAGCGCTCATGTCGTCGCTAAGCAAATGTTCTATAGGAAGCTAATGCCTCATATTCATCGAGGGATTGTCTTTGCTAGCTTTGTAGACCTTCTCTATACATGAAAGAGAAATGCCACGACCGAGAACAAGCCTTTTAAAAGATTCCTTCCGGAAGCGAAGGCTTACAGTAATGAATAAAGTGCATCAGCTTGCAGCTTGGTCTGGAGCACAAGTGTACCTAGTAGTCCAATTCAACAGCAAATTCTATACGTACAACTCTGTTGAGGACGTGCAATGGCCGCCGTGCATTGAGAGTATTGTAAGACTATATGATCTCAGATCTTACATTGATGCTAACTAACGTGTCTGGCGGCAATCTTACCCACCTCCAGACATGTCCACACCATCCCGCTTCGATTTAGAGGCGGAGGACCCTGCTTTCCTGGTCTTGTTCCAGGAGGACCCCGGTTCAAAACCACCTCCACGAGGAGGTGATGTATGCCGCACGGCTCCAGTGGCGCTTATTCAATCATGGACGACATGTTCACTTACCGTTTTACTACAACATCCCTACCGAATCTCAGCTTTTACGGCCGTGGAATCTGATCCCAGCGCGAAGATCTATGAAGAGCCCGGGTCAGCTCGCAGCAATGAGTACGTTGTCGCATTTTGAAAGAATTGATCCTTCTTATCTTGTCGAGGAAGAAACTCTGAACGGTTACAACCCCAAACATTACTATCCCGTCTTTCTGGGGGAGATTCTCCATGGACGGTACAAAATCATCGGAAAGCTTGGGTTTGGATCAGCATCGACTGTATGGCTGTGCCGAGATCTTCAGAAACGGCATGAGTACGTCGCGATTAAGATCTACATCAACTGCTCTAAATATCATCGAGAAGTTCCTATCTACGAGGAAATCAACAAGCTCGAGACAAATCATGAAGGTCAAACGTATGTAAGAAAGATGTATACATCTTTTGAGCTTCAAGGACCATATGGAACCCATATCTGTCTCGTTCACCAACCGCTCGGCATCAGCCTTGGCGAGCTCAAAGGCTTAATTTCGGACAAGGTATTTGATGGAGAGCTCATACGACAGACGATGCGGTGCATCTTGACTGGCTTGCACTTTTTGCACAAGGAAGTGCGAGTCATACATACCGGTAAGCCCACCTGGAGGCATTAGCTTTACTACTGACGACTCTTACTGATAACTGGAGACTTCAGATCTTCAGCCTTCAAACATGCTGCTTGGAATCCACGATGACTCCGTTCTGGTCAAATTCGAACAATATGAGACCGAGAACCCATGCCCGCGAAAGGAGCTTGGCGACCGCACTATCTACTTGTCGCGGCCAATGCCGCTTACAAAGGGGGAGCCGTCCATAACTGATCTTAGTGAAGCAAGGTTCGGAGACTTGAAACATACTGATCGGGTTATGCCCAATGTCTACCGCGCACCTGAAGTCATACTTGGGATGCCTTGGAGTTATCCAGTTGACATATGGGGGTTTGGTATGATGGTAAGTCTCTCCACTCGGACTATCATTTTCGGTTGCCACCAGTAGTAGCTTGACACTACTTGGGCGAGACAGGGCTAACGAGACTCATGGGTATCACAGCTCTGGGATTTGTTTCAGCCGAAGCGATTATTCTCGCCCAAAGACACGGAAGGTCGATATTCCGAGGCTCACCATCTTGCAGAAATGATATCTATAATGGGTCCTCCCCCTCTGGAGTTCTTGCGACAATGTGGTGAGAAAGCTGAGCAATACTGGGAGAAGAATGGTCAGCGCTGCAAAATAAAGACTTCCTTATTTGTAAGAGAGCTATGCCCTACTAACGCCGCAACGCAGGCACTTGGAAAAACTTAGCCCCAATTCCGGCTACAAACCTGGAGGGTATGGAACGGAGATTAGAGGGTGAGGAGAAGGTGCAGTTCGTTGCCTTCATGAGAAAAATATTACAGTGGATTCCCGAAGACCGTGAAGATTGCGAAGGGGTCTATTGGGATGAGTGGTTGATGGCTGACTTGTTAGAGAGCGGGGAGGTCGGCAGGAAACACTAAGCCGCCGTTGTCATAACGACAAGAGGTTAGGAGCTGGGAGCAAAGATCTAGATTGCCACCAGTATAGATGGACTTCCATCGTGCTGCATCCACACTGCAATGCTCTTCATCCGGCTTTCTCGATCCCTGATAGCCATGTCCTTCCCATTCCAAGCACATAAGCGCAGAAGACCTCTCATCCTATTGGGATTTAGTATATTTGTAGCTATAAGCTTGTTCTAAACGTAGTCGTGCCGGCGCTGGGAACTCCCGACACAGTTCACTGCTCCATTGTAACTCCAATACTCGTAACCGATGCGTTGGGGTTGCATGGTCGAGGGGAGAGAAGGGAAGGAGAAGCTGGGAGCCCGTTTCTTATAGGCAGGACACGGAGCAGACCCATGCGCCCCGGTTGTTGCATCGCCACCCCAACACCGATGCTTCCATCTCCACCATATCACACACCAATTATGATCAGCATCCAATGAATCGCTGCACCCGTCCACCCTCGAGTGGGTGTCTGCGATTCGTCCAGCTGTGCTTTGCCTTGGATGTTCTGTAGGAGGTTGTTGCATTCTCTGGTAGACTTCCACCAGAGTATTGGGCACATGTTGAATGGGTATGAAGAGCTCACCGAAAGAGTGAGCCGGTTGCTGAGATCTTTACCACGCTCCTCAGACGAACTGGACTTGCAGGTGTCCATACACCAACCGAAGCAGTAAGCAAGTCCCGAACGCCGCCAGCAGCAAGACGCAAAGCTTTCCACGGTACAAAGCAGCTTGCCGAACAGGATCCGAGGGCCATCATTGGTCAAAATGCCTCCGTCCATTATTGTAGGCCATGTTGCCCTTGATCTTAAGATCTCTAGCCGGTGTAATCGTTCCATGCAAACCTCCCTCCTCGAACTTCCCCAGGCCGTCGCGATGACTTGATTCTAGACTTGCTTGAGTAGGGCTTCCGGAGAACCATAGTTGACGGATTTGAAAGACTCATTCTCCCCAAATTCTCTCCGCCTTTTGATTGTGTAAAGGGCTTGGCGACAAGCTTGAGAGATATACTCTTCCCTACGCCATGCTAAACTGCGCACAGGGAAGCCAGCCGGAGATGAATCGGTCCTATACGATCAGATGATCAGCGCGTTCAACAAGGCAATCAATTCCGGATCAATGCTAGGTACAATCAAAAGTTCGTATCGGCGAAGAGATCGAGCCTCACCGAGCTATCTTAATCCCTAATCCTGATCTCTTCCTTTCAGACTGCAGACAACTGCCTGAGGGTGAGAAGACAAGGTAGTGCGAAATGAGTCATTCTATTAGCGTAGCAATTCTAAAATTAGAGTGCCCCTTTGGGTCCGCCAAATATCAAATAGTGAAAGCCCCCAAAACCTCTAACATTCAGTTGTACATGTGCTCTGAGCGTTCAGTCTTCAAAAAAGTTCGCTGGAAAACCTCGGTGGCGTCTATAACCTTCTGCAGATGTGCATAGGAGAATGGAGTATGACTCTCTCGTGCCAACACGGAAGCGGTGAAGACTGTGTTCTTAATCTGTGAGAACCATTAGTGTAATTGCCCGATTCATTTGGCTAAAGTCACAACCGACCTCCCGCCCGTTGAAAGGCTTTCTGGCCAGTCCATTTAACTCTTGCTTTGTAATGTTCAACACGCCACCACAATGCGTGTTTGCCCTTTTTAAGTTATTGTCCCAATGCTGCATTCGAGACTCTGGGTCAATTTCGCTGTACTGCATCTTCCACTGGATCCGGCTCAAGACTGCAATATCAAAGTTCTCCACTCGATTTGTTGTGGGGATGAGTATTCCGCGGAAGTATTCCAGCCTGCGCAGAAAAACTGACACGAGCTGGTGCCGGGTCAGGTTGTCAGTGCCCCGTTGCTCGAGGAACACGTCCGCTTCGTCGAGTAGTAGGATCAAATCCCATTGCTGTGCAAGCTCGAACACAGTTTCAAGTCGATTGTCCAGGCTTTCGGCGTCTAACCCTAACTCTCCCGCAGAAATCTTTTCGGGTTAGCCACGAATGTCGTGTTAGGCATTGTTAGAATACTTACAGAGTATAGCGGTCGCTGCATGTGCTCTGAGACAACTTCGGCTGTCAAGGTTTTTCCCACTCCGGGCGGCCCGCTACGCCATGATGAGGTAAAAAATAAATCAAAAAAGAAGAGGGGAGGAGGTGAGGAGGGAAGAAAAGAAATCAAGGGGACCGCTTCAAATGCCAAACAATGGTACACGTATAGAAATGGGCCTAGATTTACTCAACAGGACAATGGCTAATTTGTATAATGGTATGTATGCCACAAAAAAGCCCCCCCCCCCCCCCCCCCCCCCCCCCCCCCCCGGCCCCCAAAAACAAACAAACAAAAAAACTATAAACCTTGCAAACACATATTCACGATTTCGAATCTACCACCTGCCAGCACCGTGTCCCGGCGCACTCGAACCCGAAAGCCCATTGCGCGGGCTGGGGCTGGACAGATGCGGCACGTGCGGGCCGAGATGCGAATGTTGTCGGGGAGGATCCAAGTTCTTCCGAGAAGTCTGGCGCGAAGTGTGCAGTGGCTGAGTTCGTTTTCTACGAGAGCGAGAAATGCCGCGCCGTTGGATTTTGCGTATGATGTAGCGCTCAATGACGCCGCGCCTGTTACGGTTGAGAGAGAATGATCAGCGGCAATGTTTCCAAGATAAAATTGAATCAAATGAAATAAAATGGATTTTCAGGAGTTGAGAGATTGGGGTTGAAACCAGTGTTGGAAAGCAAGGGTGAAAGACTCAGAATCAAGGGTGAAAGTGATGCAGGAAGGTGCAAAATAACTCACATGAGATAGATGGATGTGACAAAGGTGATGGGAATGGCGATTTCCCAGAAATAACTACACGAGGGGAACGGATTAGTAAGTTTGTTATCACGTACGAATTAAGAATCTCAGACGAGGTTGGGTATAGCGGAAGAGGGACGGGGGAGGCACGAGGGAGAAAATTGAAAACACAAAATAAGGGGTTTGGGGGGAAATGAAAATAGACGTAAAAGGAAGACTGGGAGGGAAAGAGAGAAAGGAGCAAGGGAGGTTGGCGGGAAATGGGAAGCGACAAAAAACAACTAAACCTACACATCGCTATGATGCTGCACTCCGGTGAATCTATTAAAGTTCATTCCAAAGTATCCCTACCAGATTATTAGCCAAGCTGATGGACGAAAATGGTACAAGGAAGAATCGTTGCAGACGGGAGCAAGACTAATTTCTCGAAAGTCCGCATCATAGAAAATATCGCACTCATGAATGTCCAACTTGAGAGACGACAATAGTGGTATAACTTACAGTCAAAAATGTCAATGGTAAGAAAAGTATTGTGACAAGGGTAAGTTGTTTCATGCTCTCGTTTTGCAGAGCGCCTGTTCCAGCAGTTAGTCTTGGAAAACAAATTGGAAATTTTGTGGTTTGAGATAAAAACCATAAGAGGGTGGCCTGAGTCAAAATGGAACTGCAGGACAGCGAAGAAACAATCTAAACTTACTAATAGTATTAAAAATTAAATCAATCATGTTATCTGCTTTTCGCATCATTTGGTCTAGGCTCTGCATCATCAAGATACAGTGATCCTCAACGTCGCCAAGATACGTATGCGTCATAGGCGAAATCGATATACTCGATGGAACAGAGGGCAATTTGGGTGGTTGGCGGAAATAATCACCTCCACTTTTGCCGTCGTGAGCGTCCCGGCTTTTGTCCGGGTCTGTTGGTGCGCCTTCGCCTCCCTTCCGATCAGCTCCCTTTGCGCCCGCCGTACCTCCAGGCTGCTTTCTTTCGCCACTGGGCACATTGAGCAGAGTGAATCCCCCGGGCGTGGCAGGAACAAGTTCGCTCTTATGGTCCCTCAGCGCGTTGATCACGCTGGTAATAGGCTGTAATGATGTGCGGAGGAGCGATATCTCCGACGTAAGCACATAGAGCGACGTAGTGTGCTTGATGCTGGGCTGTGTGAGCACATCAAGCTCCAACTCGCCGATAGCGTCTTGATATGCTAGCGTGACAGGAATAGCGAGGTCGATAATGGCATCAATGATAGCCTGCAGCATCATGCCTGCGTCGCACGACCGGCGTAGGATCGTTTCTGAAGAATGAAGACGAGAGAGAATCGGGTTTTCAATGTCCTCTGCTGATCCTTGAAAGAATGAAATGACAGTGTTGTCTGCCGTCAGGAAGATAGAGACTTGCTCGACGCTAACGCTCATGTCCTTTGGGCGAAGGGCAGAATGGCGCTCCATGAATTCAGTGTGCGCTTTGTTCGGGCCGCTGTGGTAGCTTTGTAGCGTGTGAGGCTTCCATGGCGCAGTGGCAGAGGCGGAAAATGAAGAAGTGTGATATTTGGCCGTATGTGCGCCGTCAACCTCGTTGGAAGGGTCGAACATGTCTGCAGGAGAATGAGTGTTGCCGGCATCCTCAGCAACGGGCGAGAGCGTTTTCCGAAGGCGCGAGAATAGCGATCGTCTCTTCTTTTTTGGCTTCTGCCAATGAGATGGAGAGCCTGCATAGTCTTCTATTGATCCAGGGCAGTCTGCATCGCAGTCTGAGTCACAATCCGAGCAGTCTTCGAGGTGAACCAGTTTTTGCAGTGTCAAAACGACTATTTGTTTTGGTTAGTGTATCAGTTTGCCTATCCAACCGTATTCTCATTGTACAGAAATCATAACCGCGAAACTTACTGTATACGTGGTCAGAGTACCTGATTTCGACTGTTAGTACCAGTTCACGTTGCTTCCAAAGTCAACTGTGAAGATTCAGTCAACTTACCAATCGGCCTTAGTTCGGTTCTTTGTGTTCATTAAATCTTCAATGGCGAGGCGATGCAACTTCTTCTTGTTTCCAATACATTTGATCACGTCCCAGCTCAATCCATTAACATTAATCCAACGACACTCCGTCCAGTCAGGACGCGGGTGATTCAGAAACGGCTCCAGCGTCGCATTGTTCAACCGGCGCATGCGCATATTCTCCTGAGAAAAGTCGACGACTGTTATATCGCATTCTTGGTGAAGTTGAGGGATATGGGAGGGCTCTTGACCCCCATGAGGGAGTGTAACATCTAAGCCTGGTTCTTGACCAGGCTGCCAGTTGGAGCGCTGTGGACGATAGGTCTTGAGGGTGCTGGATCTTCTCGGACGTCTTCGCGCGGACTCGGAAGATTGCCGCGCCGTGCTGGTAGACTTGGCTAAGCCCAAGTCGCGATTGCCGTCGGAGGAAGAAGCCGGTGATAGTGCCTCCAGGTCTACATGCGCTGGATCTACCGCTGGGGTAGAGCTCGAACGCTCGTTTCCAGTGTTCATTGTGCCAATATGTTCGAATAAGCGGGCTAGCAATTGATATTTGTGCTATCTTGCCATGCTTTGATGCTCCCACCCATCGTAAGTTGAAAAAGGGACAATAAAAGGGACAATGGATCAAGGATGGCTCCGAAGCAGAGTTCTACTAAGGGACACTCAACAACGGCAGGGACGGGTGCTGAACACCATGACGTCGCTTAAGGAAAGCAGTCCCCTTTTCTGCCTGTCAATCCGTCACTTTGGGCCGAATTCAAGCTTTTTGGGGGAAAGCTTGGCATTCTCCCCTCCACGTCCGTGCACATGACCCTGCAGATCAGAACAAAGCTCATCATATTAACAATAACAGCGCTCGATCAACACAGGTATTCATTCTCAAATATATCATGTACGACGCTACCTTCCGGAGATAAGATTTACTTGCTGAACTAAAAGAAAAGCCACGCCAAATCTGCTGTAAATAAAAGGCCAAATATTATACGAAATGGTATCTTAGATCAAGTGCGATAAATTCCAACTCTAAACCAGGCAAACTCCCCATGTCCCAATCTATTCCGGTCCAACCACCCCAAAAATCTGGTCGAACCAAAGGTTAAAATCATCATTCATCCCCAAGAGACTGTCAGCAAAGTCTCCTTGCTCAGGGTAATTCCCATGGTCTTTGCCAAACACTGCATTGTTCATCACAAGGAAATTTGCCATGACATTGTGAAAGTTCACGGCGCGTCCAGATTGCTTTCGGCCATGGGGTGCAGCGGATATATCAGCTGCTATACTTGGATCAAATGCAGTGGCTTCTTCAAGTAGGATAGTTTCGATCAATGTCACACCGCGCTGAGCCAAGACATCGCCTCTTCTCGCCGCAAGTCGATCTTTTGCCGCGACTACTAATGCCCGATAGAGCTGGCCCCTCTCATCATCGTACTGCTGACGATACATGAGCTCGAGACAAAGGATCATGGCCGCGGTGACACAGAAAGCAGAGTGAGTCCAAATAGAAATGTCGTCAGTCTCTGTAATCTTCTCATGTTCGCGAAGAATAGTCATTGCAGCCGAGATGCATGTATTTCGCGTATAGCTATACTGTGAAGACTGGAAAGACTGGAATAGAAACGGGCGATGGATCATAATAATCTTCAATATGGTTAGCAAATGCTCACTTTGTGTAACCTGCAAAGGGGCCGAACCTTTTCCGCTGCTGTAATAGCGAGACTGCGCCGAGCAATATCTAGCCATGGAGTCCACATCCCGTCCCCGGGATTCTCACGAAGGAGGAATGGTGGAATCTCCCCAACCAATTTGCGCATACGGTGATCGAGCCTGATCACATGCTCGTATTGTTCCTGCAAATTCTTTCCCCGTAATGCCGCCAAACCATCGGCGAGCTCTGGCATTAGGGCGGCCACTAGCGCAAATTAGTAAATGAGAAAGGCTGTGCAGCAGCGCGGAAATCATACCTGAAGCCAAAGTCCTCACGTAAGAGCTGATGGTAGGTAGACTGCTTTCTTTTGGAATAAGATCGTGATCATCGCAATTCATTGGCAGGCTGGTAGAATATTGTGATGGATGAATTACTAAATTGGTCAGCACTGAGTCAGAATCAATCATATCACATTGAAGACCAGGGTGTTCATACTGTATGAGTCTGTGAAAGCAAAGGCAAAATGATCTTGGATTATGAGTTGGCACCAGACCCGCTTTCCAACTTCCCTTTCAATCGTTTCATGCCACTGCTCCGTAGTCTGGATTACCAGAGACTCTGGTTCAGCAATCTGGTGCAGCCCTAGACACTGCGCAATGCGCACGGCGGCACTGAATAGAGTTGCATTCAATTCGCTGAGCCCCAAATTATGTGCAACTTCTGTCGAAATTACAATGGCCTGTACCGAATACACTGCGAATCCAATGATTAAAACAACGTCCTGCTTTAGGGAGGTGACTACCTACGCGAGAGATTTTCCATGAAATTCTCAGAGTAGAGGACGTCGACCATAGCTCGAAATAGGTCTCTGGCGGCAGTGTCGCCAATTTCTTCAACCGACACACAAATCAGCGTGAGAAAAATCTATCAACGTAGAAATATCTTAAAATACGTACCTATATCGAGAGTAGCCTGAAACCTTCTGCTATTTTGCACAGAGTACAGGGCAGTCTAGTTTCCCAATTGATTATATTAGCATATTGTAGAAGATACCCAGTTCAAGGAACAACTCACGCTCACGACAGACAGGTACAAGGCCATCCATAACGGATGATCACATGTGCCATATTGCCAGTAACTTTCACACTGCTCCAAGAAGGTCGGAGAGTGCAACGAGTTATGATGCCACACAACGTGGTTGATATGGAACTGCACCAGTTTACTCGCTACTGGAGGTGGTGGGAGGATGCTTTCATCCTTCAGCATTGCAGAAAATGGTCGATGGATGCTATTAGAGTCGCTATTAATTGATATCATTTCTGATTGACTGCGATGGCTGCCACATGAACAATGTCGATGAGGGTAGCAGGCCCCGTAATGTCTGCCCCAAGCTAAATACTCAAGCGCAGTCACCATAGTTGCCGTTTCTCGAGTCGCTCCATCTTGACCCCCTGTCTGGGAAGATGAAGGGTCCTCTGAGTACGAGAAATCCGCAGCTCTCGGCTGCAGTCCCATTGGCGCTGGCCGCGGCGCAGGAATTTGTCCATTATTAGGAGTTCGTGGGCTTTCAACTGGTTCCTAAATGACGCATAAGGATCACCTGCCTTTATATAGATCCATTGAATTTCTATGCATTGGAACCTACCTCCGTACTTGCTTCCTCTTCATCGTAGCCATGCTCGAGCATAGCAATACGTCGCTTCACATCTTTTACCGGACCATTGATAACACTATTTCCGGCCAATTCCAATTGAGAAGTTAAGTTTTTGAGAAAATCAATTTCCCCGCGATGCTTTGATGAGGCATTGCTCAACCGGACCTTTTCTCGAATGCATCTGCATCCTAATCGGTAGCAGCGCGAACATGGGATTTTCTTATCGCATTTGACTTTTCGCCGTGTACATTCTGCATTGTTCAATATGCCATCCAGATAGATGAATCAATTCGGTGAAAAGGCTTCTTACCTTGGCAAGCCAACGGTCGGCGCTGAGAAACACGAAATCCAGCCGAATCCTTGCTATTAGATGATGAACCTGCCATGGTCGTGCTGGGAGCATGGATGGGTGAGTTGAAAGGTCACCCGAGCGAAGCAGACGTGAAGTTGGCTCGTAGCGACCAAAGCGGAGCTCTCAGCCCTATCGAACGAGCTCATCATCTATCATGGTAATCTACCTAACATACAGAAAAATTTCCCTTTTCTTTTAACTGGCTCTATATTCAAGATTTTTGGGTACTTCCAGGCCCAACAATTGGCGATAGACCAATTTTGACCCCCATATTTGTTCGTGTCTTGCGCATTTCTTCATTTAGTCGTGCCCGTTAAACAGTATTCCATGGTCGATTAGGTCGGCATTTCAAAGCACCAAGTTCAATCATATCACAAGAGAATGTATTAGGCTTTAATTATTACTCTAATCGCATTGCCAAAAGAGAAAAATGATCAAAGGCGGTAAATTAGTGAATGGTATTTCCTAGAATCAATAAAAGCAACATATAATGCCAAAAGCCAATCCCCAAGCCCGGACCCGAAAAAGCAAAGGTTACATAGAATTGCAATACTGTTCAGTCATTAATCGATTGAAGAAAGGTCAACTCCAGGGAAGCCACGAAGACTCCATACCCTTATGTACTCTGTCCAGATATGTCCATGTAAAGGAGTGGTTGCCACGATGAGCTTGTACAATATGAGCCAAAACAATCAACTCGCGGCCCACGTTCATTTGGTACTCAATCCCATATCGGCCATGATTATCCATCGTCGTGTCTCATGACTTAGCTTCGATAGTCAAGTTCGGCGCATGTGAAATGCCTTTGCCCTTCTCCTTAGCGGCTGCTTCCTTCGCTACCTCCGGATTCAACGGCTTCTTGGGATCATAACCTACAGCCTTCACAATCCCAAGGCCTTTTGTTCTTCCCTCACGGAATAAGATGCGATCGCCGACTGCAAGGTATTCGGGGCGTTGCACAAATCGGAAAGCTACAGTGGCACGGTCTCCAGTGCGGATGAAAGAGCGATCAATGTCAATGATGGCACATGTTTGTGATATGGGACCAACATGCAGCATGGCTTGGTACCGAGTCCGGATCGTGGTGGCGTGGCTGAGAATGAGCACTGGGACACATCAGACAATTGACCCTTTTCACAAATGTTGACCGGTCATAGTAGATGAAATAAGAGTCACACTTACCCTCGGCGATAAATTCGCGATATACAGCCGGCGCCTTCTCCAGCTTCGGTAGGACCACCATCCCCTTGCGAACATCTTTGCGTCGAACTCTCTTCAGCGCAAATGATGCAGATTGCCCGGCAGAGCAAACGTGCACAGGTATCCGTTTACGCTCAATGGATCGAATGGTTGTTGTAGTGAACTGGCCAAGCGAGTCTGGCCCGATGCATATGGTATCACCCGCATGAATTACTCCTGAAAAGCATTAGATGGGAACGCTATTTGGAACGTATTTGTCCAATTCCCTTACCGCTTTTAACCACGCCAGAAACCACAGTTCCGACAAAAGGAACGGAGAAGGTATCATTAACATGAAACTCAAAGGGTGCGTCGGAATTGTAATGGCCATGATGAGGCAAGATATTCAAAAATGTTCTGACCAAGTCAAGGCTCTCTCCAGTCACGTTGGATACCTGGAATATTGGGCATATCCGTTGACTGACAAACTGGGTCTTCATGCACATCAGAAATAGGACACAAATATTTCTGGGAAACTGAAGCTGCTTACCGCAGTGTTGACGCACTCCTCCCGGTTCTTAATAAAGATGGGAATTTTTCGTGCGCCAGGAGACTTGAGAATTCGTGTTAATTGAGTAATAGTCTCTTGCAGGATGTGCGGAGGACAGATATCAATCTTAGTGATCACGACCATGACAGGCACATTTAGAGCAAGAGCAATACCCAGGTGCTCCCTAGCAGTTGTAAGCTGAGAACTTGTACAATGGCAAGTGGTGAGGATGCATACTTGCTCATGCCAATGAGGCCATTATTTGCCGCTACCATCAGCAGACAGTAATTTGGCTCACTGCTGAGAAGTCCAAAGACCGTGGTGCGAAGGTAGCGCTCATGACCAGCAAGGTCAGTAAAACTAATAACCTTGGCCTTCCTGCTATTAATAGGGTATTCGAAAAAAGGAAGCTGAAAATGTACGCACCGAGCGCTTTCCAATCTCTTCCCAAGTCAGCTTGCGACCAGCAGCACTTGCCGCAACTATCTCCCCGCGGCTGTCGAAGCCCAGGATCTCCATTCCTACGGAGCTAGTTCGGCCGCTTTCAATTTCATGCTTGTGGCGGAACAGATTTACACGGGCTTTTCCTCTACCATCATCCAGTCCGCCCTTAACAAGGACGCCGAGCATGGTGCTTTTTCCAGCGTCGACTATGATAATGATTAGCCAACTCCTCTGTTCGAGACTAGCTTGCAGCTCAGGCATACCATTTCCAACAACAGCTATTCTAGTTTCAATCACATCCTCCACTGTTGAAGGCTTTTGACGTATCAATATTTTCCCGCTTGCTCCTACTTCTTTGTCATTCGCTGTCTCAGCCTCTTCTGGTCCGCCAACATTCCGCGTCAAAAGGACTCGACATTCCGCATTGTTACGTGCGGCCGCATCTCGTAATCTCCGTAAAGCGATTTCCCATTGCTCCTTTGAAAGTTCCATGGATGCACCATTATTCTCAGCACCAAGATCAAACAAGGTTTCGCCGTGCCCCTCGTCGATCCTTCTGCCCAGAATATCGGAGAGACGAGATAGGCTTTCGGTGGCGGCGTTTGATTCGTCGAGTAAGATGTCCTTTAAAGGCTCATGACTGCTGTCATCTTTGATATCAAGAGCGTCCAAAATAGCTAACTCCGCATGCTCTTCTCCTCCAGAGGCGGCTGGATGTCCAGGAGCGCGCCGCAGCGCCTGCTGCTTTTCGACATAGTCGGCGAAGTCACTCAAGGCCTATGAGAGACAGACAATAAGCCACTGCTTCAGGATCTATGAATGGCCCATTGTATCGCATCACTTACAGATTCGCCTTTGCGCCGCTCGTGAACTGAGAGCTTCTGAGCTCCTGCGGTCATATTGTGTAGCTAATTCGAATAGGTCTGGCAAATAGTCTATCGGCCTGAGAGGCGGTGGAAAGCTCAACGTATTCGAGTGATCATTTGGTTGGAATATATTGAGAAACCAAAATACAAATACGCACAGAAGAAATGAATTAATTGATATCCCTGGGAAGCATAGACCCAATATATGGATTTACAGGAGAGGACAGGTTGTCGGAGGCGGTGGATGACTGTTCGGACTAGCATCTGGGGTTTATCGATAAACTGGGGGCGAGAAGCGAATCATGACGCAGAAGGGCACCACAAGACCAGGGAGATGAGCCATGTTGACTCATTGCTACAATTTGAAAGGTCTGAACTTGAGGCTGAGTTTATTATTACTTTGTTTTCCTTTTCAAATTGAATACAACAACTGGGGTCTTTATGCAATGTGATAGGTTACTGCGTTTCCACTCCGCCCTTGGCTGCGCCGCAACCAATTCGGCGGATTGCTTGGTCCATCCTCCCGGGTAATAATATCATGTCGCTGTTGCCTTGGACCAGCATTGCAGCACTCGATCCAGTTCCATTTCATTCCGTCGTGATTGAATTGGGGTTGTCGATCATGTGGGCTCGGTCGCAGTGTGTCATGACGGAGCTTGCGGGGAGATGAGAACGACGGAATCTCCTATGCAACGTGTGAGCATATGTCAAGCAAGAAAATCATTAGAATATCATAGCATACCTCGTACGAACAGCATTTCTGACTGTTTCCTGATGGTCTGCGCGCAAAACATTAGTCATTTGTTCGCCCCCCAAATGTCTGGGTCCTGAGCTCTGTACCTTGATAGTCTCCTCTTCTTCTTCGTCCTCTTCGACAATGTAGACCGTCTCTTCAACGTCGCCTAGAACCAAATTGCAGTGACTGTCGTAGGCCTAGAAATATCGCATTAGTACTATGCCTTTCAAGCAAGCCTTCTGTTGGATAGAATCGACGGAGAAAACGAACATGCAAACGACCCTTGAGCTCGCGATCTCCTCGCAACTTGACGAATACCACCTCGTCGAGCGAGAGCCTAACAAGGTCCAGAGGCTCTGCAACAGGAGCTCCCGCGCCCTCGTCAGCGTCAGCCATGGTTTCTTGTGGATATGGCTTTTGTGCTGAATTGAAATGATCTAATCGTCCGTTGAATTATTCGCGGCTCTTGCACACATTTCGCGTCTCGATTCGCCGATCGCTTGCACACCGGGTAATCGACTGTAATTCGTTCACCAGCGATGCTTAAGGAAAATTAACATCACCGTAGCGTACGCCAACCAGCATCATTTGTCAACGCCGCTGCGTCAATTGAGTGCCCCGGCGTGCGACTGGGCTGGATTTACGGCATATGTCCAGTCTCCTTGTCCGCCTTGAGGCGATAGAGTCTCGTCTCGCCATAAGAACCCGTCCACGGACTGAAAATAATTCGCTGACATGGCGATGCTGGCGCTGCCGAGTTGCAGACCAGGGGATTCACACCCGGAACTCAAGCACACATGCTTCACCAGAGCATGAGCAGGCATTATCAGCCTCGCTCAAGGAGCCAATTGCTTTCTCTGGACCCCAAGAAGGCTCTCAGGCGCCAAGCCTAAGCAGAACCTCTGCCATCCTGAACGGACTTGCTGCCCATACAATTACGCCGCGAACTACAATCTCTCAACCTGCTCCTCTTTCCGCAAAAGACAAAGTCTTTTACGCACTTCGAAATAAGCAGCACAAGACTCTCCTGAAAGTCTTTCTCGAGGCTTCCAAAGATGAGCAATTCATCCAGTCAATCCCACCGGCAACCTTGACTGAAATCCTCCGCATGCTCGATCCAGATTATTTCGTCGAGCCCATAAAAGAGCTCCACGAGGATCTCAGCACAGCATACGTGCGTCTTCTTGGCATAAAACCCCTCGATGTCGAAGTCAGCGAATACATGCGATCAATCCGTCGTCTGACCCGGATACGACGGCGAGCGAACCACCCTCTCGATCTCACAGACTACACATTTCTTCTCAAATGCGCTCGGGCAGTAGGCGATAGCGAAGCCGCAGATGGAATCTGGCTCGACATGATGCGCGACAAAGTTCAGCCTAATACGACATGCTACAATTACTATCTCGCAGCGCGGTGCTGGGCGGGTCACGCGCACGCCGGTCGACGGCACAAGCTGCGTGTCATGCCATACAACATGGCCATGCGGCAGACTGCAGAGCCATTGCCTGGATTCGAAGGCTTTCGCGTCAAGCGCCAGGGCATTCGAAGCACGGTTTTCCAAATGTTCAATGAGATGGTGCAACAAGGCGTGCAGGGCGACGAACGGACGTTCACCCTCCTCATGACAGCCATGGGCCGTGAAGGCGACATGGACGGCGTCAAATCTGTCCTGAAAAAGGCGTGGAACGTTGACGTCGACGCACTCCTCAAAGCCGCAGACGAATCTACCCTTGCGCCTGTCGTGCCACTCGACAAAGCCACTTCGGCACTATACCCCGGCGACGACTTACTCTTCGCTATTGCGCACATTTTTGGCTCAAACAACGACATTCCTACTGCCATCCGACTCGTCGACTACATTGCACGGCAGTACGAGATAGATATCCCGCTCCGGGTATGGGCACAGCTTTTCGAATGGACATTCGTCCTATCAACTCCTCGCTCTGGCGAGCGCCGGCATGACGGACCGCAAATTGGCCAACTCCCGCTCGCCAGCGTCAGCCAGCTCTGGGAAACAATGACGTCTCCACCCTACAATGTGCGTCCCAATGTGCCCATGTACAACCGCTACGTCAAGAACCTGTACCACAGGCAGATGCTCGGGCAGATGCTTGCCCGTATGGAAGAGGGCATCGAGCTATATTCGCGCTCGGTGAAACAATTCCGTCGGGCGAGCAACAAATATCGCAAGACAGTCGTCGCAGTGCGAGGATCAAGAAACGGACAAAGCCGCGCTCAGCGCAAACAAGCTGAACAAGAGTCCAGCTTGCCCATTGAAAGCCTGCGCTTTCACTATGAGATGAGCCGTCTAGTACGCAGCCGCAACCATCAAATGGTGCGCCGATGGATGCGGTTGTTGCTCGGCGGTCGGCGCTGGTCCGCTGGCCCGAATAATGCGTGGGAACGAACGGTACTGCCTGACATCATCGAAAAATGGAGATCTTTTATGCCTGAGCGCATCGAGTATAACACGAGCGGAGGACGTGTGGAGTTTGACAGTCGGCCAGAAGATGCCGAGAGTAAAACTTCTCAGACAAAGAAACAAAAGGATTCCCGCAAACCTCACAAGGCGGTCAGGAAAGAAGAATCTCCTAGCGTGGAATAGAGACCGGGCACTTCGATATTCACGTATCCTGTATAGTATCATCATCATCATCATCATCTCTCTTCTTATTTTTGTATGGTATCGTCATCGGTCACAGAGACCTACAGAGCGTTTAGGTGTTTATAATTATTTTTGTACAATACAATGGTATAGAACTTTTCGAACCCTATCTACTGTTCAAATGGATACAAATAAGAGTTTTCAACGGAGCAAGAGTACGGTGCTAAATAACGCGCTCCTTATTCAAATCGTTGACAACCATATACCGGCTCAATCCTATCCAGCCCCAGCGAAACCACACCATTTGACTCTTATGCGCATGGGTCATGGCTCGCTGGGCTCTGCCGTACGCGAGCGGACCACTGACAAACATGAGCGGCGTAGGCGTAGATCCTGCCTTCTTGCGCGAGAACAAGGACAGGAGGACTGTCAGCGGCGTGTCCAGCACAGACAGATACTTTCGGAGAATAAAGGTCGTGCGCAAGGTGTATAGGGCTATCGGGTCTGCCCAGCCCGGGTGAGTGCTCTTGAGGCTACTCAGAAAATGCCGTGCCCCATGGTACAGTGAGATGTGGTTTGGGTGGGAAGATATGCCATGGGCGTCGAACGTTATGATTACGTCAATGGAAGGAGTAGGTGGACTTGACGACTGTGCAAAAGAGCTGGCTGATTTGGATTTTGAGGATCCAGATGACGGGACGAAGAATGCATTGAGGATTGAGCTTATAAGCGGAGGAGACCATTTGATTGTCATGCTGTCCGGGAAGTTGCTAACGGGCGTTAGGGTCAGTAGGTGGTGCAAATGTATAGCAGCATTCATCAGAAGATGTTGAAATGGTAGCTTACGGGTCATCGAGAACTAAGACGTCGTCCTCGCTCCGTAGACCGAGGTGCAGTCCGCTTTTGACTAGCTCTTTTTTGCGTATGGATCCTAGTCCATCGGCGTTCCCTGGTAGTTGAGAAGTCAGAAGGTCATGAGCAAAGGAGACCATTTGAGGTGGATATATGAGCATAGGAGTATGAACAGATAGCAGATAATAGTGTTCCGGATACGAGTGTTTCGGACTCGATTTGTATAGCTCAACTTGATGAAAGAAACATAGAGTACCAAAGGGAAAGGCATGCCATGTGAGAACAACTAAGTGCTCAAAAGAATACATGGGAAGCTCAACAGGGGGGCTTCTTAACCAATTCAATCGAAAATAAACTGTGCAAAGTGAAAGAAGTGCAAAAGACAATTATTGCATTTAAAACCAATCACGTAAACAATATGCTTCAGCAAAAAAACATACCGCTGCTCAAACATAGGATCTTGACATGATTCCCTTTACTTCGCTCTGTCAATGATAACAGGGTCGGCGCAAAGAACATTGCTTCATCGTCGGGATGTGCAATCAACAGAACAATGCGCTTATTGGTGAGCGTAGGAAAAGAGCGCTGGGCCATGATTGTGTAGAGCCAGCAGAGTAAGATAGCTAATGGGACAGCCCCCAGAGTTGTCCATTGCATTTTGGCGGCGTCAACAAATTTATGAGGCTGTAAAAGATTTGCTATGAGAGACACAGCATAAGATGAATGATCGAGAACAAATCTAGTAAATTGTTCTTCATTGACGGGAGAAAAGTGGTCGGTATGTCAATTGGATGTTGACGTTCAGTGCCTTGGAGATCACGGAGTCTAAGGGACCGGAAGCGGAGACGGACCGAGGAGAAGCCGATGGTTAAGAAAGTATTATAAGCACCGGACCTGTAGTTAAAGCTAGCTAAACCTCCAGCTACGAAAATTGCCCGAAGCACCAGTTCACGACTTGCATCAACTGACAGAAGTGCCTGCTCCATCATAGAAATACACAGACTGTCGGGCCTACGTCTCTCGATCGGAAATACTCTCCAGCACAAATTAACAGCAGCCAGCCAAGTCTTCAGCAAATTCATACTCGGAAATACGACAACGGCAAGTCAGAGATGAACCGTGCTCAGCGCCGAGCTGCTGCTCGTGATGACACAAATGCCAGCTCTACCACCTCCAGCTCCTCGTCGATACCGCTCGTACATCCCGAACGGCGGACACCTGAAGGAAAGACCCTGCTGCAATTGGCAGAGGAGCGGCAAGCACTGCTGAACCAAGGCACACCCTTTCCCAAGAATGGTGATTCAGCAGCAGGCAGCACTGCAAATGCTCTTTCATCAGAGGGCAACAAAGACAATGAGCAAGTCAAAATATCAGAATTGGACATTCAAAAGGCATTCGGAGGCACAGGGAGCAAGGGAGAACAGAGCAAAAGAAGGAGTACTGGGCAAGGGAAGCAATTGGATGAGCCAATAGGCCGCTTTGGTCAGGCTGTATTCTTTGCTATTACCATGACCATGGTACATTTTACACTGGATGTTCTCATACATCAGCAGTATCGCCAGGACATTGTGTGGCCTGAAATATGGGAGAGAACGTTGACGGCAGCTCCAGGTGAGTAAACGACCAACAGCTCCTCTATAGGGAAAGGACTCCTACATACGCAAGCCCTTTCCAGCCCTTTCCATACGATGCAGTCCATGGACACGAACTATGGGTCTTTTCAAGAATTGCTTGGATAGCAAATAGACATTTGTCTTTCGCACCGTGGAATTTACGCCTATTCAACACTATTAAACGTACTGGCCTAGATAAACAGATTAACTCGAAAAGACGCGGCTTCGCCGCAGTTAAGAACGGAATACTAACTCATTTCCCATTTCCAAACAGCACTTCTCGCTCTTGTCTACTACCTCCGCCCTTATAAGCCAGCGTCTTCGTCAAGGGTGCCGCCTGGCTTATCTCGTGGCGCCCTCTTTATCCATAACATCTTGCTCGGCGATCTTCTTCACCAGTTCCTCTTCTTTGTACTCTCCACAGCCTCTGGCTGCTATGTCGTCCATGCAGCCAATAGGCAAGCATACTATGCTGTAATGAAGCGCGCTCCTCCGCTCGGTACATTATGGATTTGGAGCATAATTGAACTGCGTCTAGGATGGGCAGTAGCAAACTTGGCAACGGTAGGTGGATGGCTTTGGTGGAGAGGTTATTCAATCATGTAAATTGTATTTCGGGATTCCATCATAATTTCATGATACACTCATGCTATTTCAAAGTTCTGTATTGCAATTTGTCCCTTCAAGTATTTATCGTAATGAAACGTTTGACTCGTATTGGCGGCATCCGTTTTGATCTAGCATACCTGTGGGGTGTTATATCCGCCTCAGGGGGTCACTTTTCTCACAGTCCAAGCTCTTTTTACTATCGCCCGAGCGCCGATTAATTCTGCTCCGCTACTCTTCTACGCGCTCTTCTATTCAATGGCCGAAACACGTCAAGGCCGCAGCATTCGCCCTTTACCGTCACCACAAGTCCTCGCTATAGCCCTCGCAATTGTCAAGTCCAAACCTCCAGGACAACAGATAAGAGGGACTTACATGGCTTCTTTCTGTGGGTATATCAGTGGGCTAACCGGCATGTAGAGCACTTGATCAATCTGAAAAAGCACATCAAGGAAGGCAAGAGTCCGGATCTGGCCGCCTGCAATGACAGACACGTCGACGGCGCAGGCTTCTGGAAGGAGGCTTTTCAACGGGTGGAGAAGGAACAGGCAGAACTACGAGATAAGCTTTTTGAACTCGAAAGACGAAACGATGCGCTACGAGCGCAACTCAGACATTCCCAGGCATCAATCTGCCCTCCGCCGATTCAAAAGAAACGAAAGAATGATCAAGAGAATATCAATTTGCAGAAATGCAACGGTAAGCGGGCAAGGTTGAAGCAGCCCACTTGTCAGGATATCAATTCTGGACCATTGGATAGTGGACCTCAGACCGTGGGAGATCCCAATGATCCCGCATTCGCTGAAGAGCTTAACACTGTACCACAAGGTGAGTCTGACTCAAGCCTTGATTTGGCTCCGAGGGTTTATAGTCAAGCGCAGGCACAACCGTCTTGAGTCATTTTTACACTATGACCCGGCTTCAACAACGGCGAAAAATGGATGTTTCTGAGCTGTGTATGGCGACTTGTGCCCTTTGTTCAGCAATAGAGGTTTTCACTGCGTCATCAGTGTTACAATTAAATGGACGGCCTGAAATTGTAGCTGCTTTTCGCAATCAACAGGCCCGTTCTGCCAAAAAAGCAATAATTTCAGCAACATTCAACGCAAAGCGAATGGAAGATACTGAGACAGCTTTCCGATGTTTGTATCGAATGGTGCCAAACATATTAAAATCCTTGGACAAAATTGGAGAGAATCCAGATGGAGCGCATCAGGGCGGACAGGTTGCCCATGCTCTCATCCATTTGTTCAGCAAATTCCTCGATTACATCCATTCCGTCTCACTTACTCAGGCCGAACAAGCCAAGAAAAAGAAGACGGCGAGACGGAAAACGCAAAATGCGGAACAGTGCCCCCATAATCAAAATGGCATAAGTAGCAAAGATGACTTTCAAGGTCAAATATCTCATTTTTTGGTGATACTCTTTTCGTGCTTGGACATGAAAAGGTCTTTGCATTCGCAGCTTCTCGAAGGACTTGCATTTGTGCTCCTGAGTCGCGTCGGAAAGCTACTGTGTACATTTGTTTTTGATGAAGAGTATGATCGGGATCATCAAAGTGAAAAGACCTCACCTCGACCTCATATCAACGGGAAGAACAAGTCTCAAGCAGAAATCGAAAACCTTGCTCGACAAAAGGATGCTTATTATCTAGTAGTATTATTGAAGCAAATTTTGCCTCTACTTGGCTGCCAGTCAGAGGACGTAACGCATCAATCTTCTAGAGGGATCCTTGTGCAAAACGCTCAACGACGGCTCCAGAGTACCTTGGTCAATGCTATCTTTGGCAGCGGTCACGAGGCATTTCAAGATTGTTTTCGGCTTCCTGCACTTCCAAAGCCCGCTTCGAGCATCAACACTCCTGGATCAGTGATCTATGATGGCACGGAGTGGTTTCAACAGGAGATTTGGAGCCTTGTTGGATGGCAAATACTCTGCGAACTAGACGACGACGAGGACGAAACAGGGCACTCGGCAAAACACTGTGAATCGCTTTCGAAAATTTGATATTTTAATAAATTCATAAACGAAGAGTCCTCTTACTGGAGATGAGTGGAGACTCCGTCTACAGAAGGGTTGGCTTTTTTTCTATTGTTGTCTTGAATAAGGGCAATGAATTGCTCGCAATAGCAAGACACCTAACGACAGCAACAACTTGGATTTTAGTAGCTGAGTGTTGCAGCTAATCGCTGCGCCAGATATTCCCCAGCATACACGCCAGGATACTTTTTCCCTTCCTTTTCAAAAGTGCCGGGAATAGCTTCGATATATTTGCTGGCGCCAGGATTGCAGAAATAAGCAATGGAATATCTTGCAGGATACTCCCCAGCCTCGGGCGGAGTTGGGGGCTCAATAACGCGGTGCTTGGTGCTCTTTATCGAATCATTGGACCACCGTTCCAACAAATCACCAGCATTGATGACAATGGTTCCTGGCAAGGGCGTGGCATTGACAAAATTGCCGTTCGGGCTCTTGACTTGCAATCCTCCACGCATATCTTGGAAGAGGAGAGTGATTGATCCTGTTCAGTCATTAGCCATAGTTGACCTATTTGTCGTACGGTGCATTTAGTCCATGATACTCGCCATAATCGGAGTGCTCTCCAGCTCTGACCTGGGCTTTGTTCTTGAGAAAGATTTCTTTTTCTACGGCGGGATAATGCAACAGTCGCAGCGTGTTGGATTTATCGCCTGTATATTCATCAAAGTAGCTCAGGTCGATGCCCATTCCCAGAGCTATCGCCCGCATAATCTGTCGATGGAGCTCATTGCACAGGTCGAAGAAATCAATCATAATGTCTTTGAAGACTTTGCCGTGCTCGTCAAAGTGGTCCGGCCAGTGATTGGGCCTGCCTTCTTCTCCTTCCCTGCCAATTTCAAGACTCTCTTTAAGATCTGGCACTTGCGCTCTGAGCTTCTTGACCTCTTCCTCGTCCACTAGCTGCGTGACCTTTTCTCGGCCCTGCGCAATATAACCCCGGTTTGATTGCGGTCCGCTCCAAGCCAGTTCCTCTTTTTGTTCTCTAGGGCGGTTGAAGAAGTCGGCAGACTCGCTGAATGCGCGGGCTACTGTCTCTGGAGGGATCCCATGATTCTTAATGTAGATGAAGCCAGCGGTTCGAAATCCATCGGCAATGGCTCGAGCAGTCGACTGCTTTTCAGCATTGGTCCCGTGCAGGAAGCGGGAGAAGTCAACGAGCTGTAGTTGCAACCATAGCTAGTCAGTTTATATTACCAGATATGATATCCAAACCACTATACTCCAAGGATCAGTATATGTTTACAGGTATCACCAGGTTGTCTTCAGCGACAGCGGCATCCACAAGACCTGGAGCCATTTGATAAGCCGATGTGTCGAATGGTAAAATACGCAGAAACAACCAACGACTGTCACTGTCTTTTTGCAGGGATAACGAAAAGAAGATGACTACAATATAGTCTGTAAATTATAAAATAAAGCACCTAAAAGACCTATTTCATCTCTGGGAAGCTAGGTGGTTAAGTTCTAGTCGTGTAGCATCACCACCATCACCCCGCACTTTGAGGCTCTGCGCGCATGGTACTCTATCGTGCATATTTTTGTTACACAGGTAAGTTACAGCCTATTTGTTCAAGGGCCGTGCCACTCATGGTCAGAGATAAGAAGTGGGATGATAATTGGAGAGATATCTGCCATGACTGGCTGATAATAAGCATTATCAGAGGTCGTGCAGGGGGAGTCCGTCCCCAAATAGGGAAGTCCATGAGCCCCGTCTTATCTCTACAGCTGCAAGCACCATATCTTTCCCGTGGCATGGGGAGGGAGGAAAATCCCCAAAGAAGATGGTGGTGCGGGAACGGCGGACGACTAACGGCATGCCAAATGCAAGGGACAGGTGAAAAAGGAGATAGCACAGCAGATAAGAAAAAGGTCGAAATGAGGGGGGCTGGCCGGAAGATAAACATACATACGTTGTATGGACGCCATGTCAGATTAGCTTCCGTCATCCCCAGAACAATCACCCTGTTGAGGCTCTAAACTTTGCTTGGACCTCATCTCTTGTCTGTTGTGTTACTTCTGTATGCACTTGTGGCGTTTATTCTGGTTTCACGAGTGCATTTAACTTTGTTTTGGCATTGAGCTCATCTTCGCTGCATACAATATTACAGTGCGCGTATACAACACGATACAATACACACAATACACAATACTCACATTTACATTTGCTACGAGACCGGCAGATCAAATCACAATGACCACGCCAGTTGTTGACGTTCACACACACGTATATCCGCCTGCCTATATGGACCTCCTCCGCTCGCGGAGCTCTGTACCCTACGTGCGCACATTCCCACCAGACACATCATCATCACGGCTGATCATTCTACCGGGCGAAGACGATCCGTCGCGGCCCTCGACGGCGCGCGGACGTCCTGTCGGCCCCGCCTACTACGATATCAAGGAGAAGATCGCATTCATGGACGCCCATAAGATTGACATATCCGTCATATCGCTCGCGAACCCATGGCTGGACTTTCTAAGCGCGGACGAGGCTGGGCCTGCCGCGCAGCGCATCAACGATGACATGAATGCCGTCTGTGCGCAGAATGCTCCCGGACGACTATATGCGTTTGGAGCATTGCCGTTATCCGCGTCCACTGAGGTCGTCGTGGCGGAGATTGCCCGGCTCAAGCAACTGCCATATATGCGGGGAATCATCATGGGGACATCGGGGCTTGGCTCGGGCCTAGACGACCCCGCGCTGGATCCCATCTATGCTGCGCTCCAGGCGCAGCGACTGCTGGTCTTCTTGCACCCGCATTACGGCCTGCCCGTGTCAGTATACGGCCCTCGCGCAGGCGACTATGGGCACGTCTTGCCGCTGGCATTGGGCTTTCCGCTCGAGACGACCGTCGCCGTGACCCGGATGCTCCTGAGCGGCGTGTGGGATAGGTTTCCCGATCTCCAGGTCCTTCTTGCGCATAGCGGTGGAACGCTGCCGTTCCTCGCGGGCCGGATTGAGAGCTGCATTGCGCATGATGCGCATCTGATGAAGAAGCAGGCAAACAGCGGAGATGCGAACAAAGCTCCCCGCCGCCGCCGCAGCGTGTGGGATGTGCTCAGCAAGAATGTTTACCTTGATGCGGTCGTGTATTCCGAGATAGGCCTGCGAGCGGCGATTGAGGCTTCGGGCGCCGACAGAGTCATGTTTGGCACTGACCACCCTTTCTTCCCACCGCTGGAAGAAGGCGAGACGGAGTGGTTGAGCGTGCGCACAAACTACCAAGCAATTCACGCAGCTGTTGGTCGTGAGCAGGACCTCGCAGAGGGCGTGCTAGGCGGGAATGCCATCCGGGTTCTTGGATTGAAGCACGCGTAATTGACGAAGAGTATCATTCGATCGATAATTCCTTACGTTTCATTTACGTTTGTGTTATGGCTCTTACGGAGTGGGTTCAAGAGCGACCCGTTTCTGAGTGCAGCACTACTACTTCATTGCAGTACAGCACAGAGGTACTGTGACTGCATTACGTTTCAATACTCGAGTATCGTGTCATGCAGGGGGCCCCTTTGAAAAACGAAGCCACAGGGGGGAGGTGGATGCAAAGAGAGAAAGAAAAAAAAAATTTTGATCCTGGCGCGGCCCGCACTCCGATGCAAGACGTTCCGCGGTAGGGAGCAGGCCCATGCCGAGCAGCGATCAATCCCAGACTGGGGACAAGGGATGGTTGAGTTTCAGACTCATCCGCAACAACACGCCATGAACAGGCTTTTTCTGTTGTTTTTCCCTGTCGTGTTGAAAAAAAAAAATATTTGCGGGTGTGGGGAAGCGGAGCGCCATTCTTGTGAGCGAGACGTACGGATCGGTCCATGGGTCGTTTGTTTACCTAAAGAAAAAGGGACGAGGGAGCAGAGGTGGGGGGAAGAACCAGGATTGCGTAGTTGGACAATAAATTAATGTGGGAAGTCGGTCGAGGACCGATGTGGACCAAGGGACTGTGGACACTCACAACGAACAAGTATGCACCTTGCACCTCGCACCTCGCACCAAGCTCGCCTTATTTCGGATGCAGGCGAGAGAGGAGGGAAAATCAAACAACGTGATGTCGACGCAAGAACCTTAGTGGTCCTGAGCTTGGCACCTCGCACCAATCCACCGAGCCTCGAGACGAACGAGGGAACGAAGCCTTGACGCCTTGCGAACCATGCAGCCTGTGCATGTTGGCATCCTACGAGTATTCCGTCCATGGATCATTTAGTACGCCGCAGCGATCAGCAAATCGACGATCCAAACACCCAGGTTTCCCCCTGCCTCGCTGGTTCTTTTTTTCTTCCTTCCAGTTTCCATGTGCCCTGTTTTTTCTTTCCAGGGATCATGCAATTTTCCCCTCGATTGACGCGTAGGAGCCCTGGAGCGAGGAGTAGGAGTCGGAGTCGGAGTAGGGGTTTCATGATGCTACGTAGTACACGTCTGTATATACTCAACGACAAAGGTCCTCTCTACCTACGTAGTATTACCTACTACCCAATGCTGCTGCTAGTACAAAGTACGAAATACACGGACATCGGGGACCACCGATGGAGAACGGAGTTGTTCGTCGTCGTTGTCTTCGTTGTTGTAAGTTACCTAACTTACCTTGCCCACTACGAACAGAGGTCGGAGGTACAAAGTACGTCCATTGAAAAAAAAAAAAAGAGGGCAAAAAAATTGTTTGTATGGTTGCGTACTCGAGAGTTAGTTGCATAATAGCCATTTAGCATTACCTAATGGATATCGCGTCTTTTGATGGTCCCATGGTATAATTTATTGTGGAACATGGCCTGCACAGGACTAATTGGACGAGTACTCGTCTGAGTACACTGTAGTCTTGTCGAGTTGACGAGATGTCAGATGTCAAGTTTTGACAGTTTCTGTCGAATCGGAGTCTGTTGTTTCTTCACGATGTAGATGCATGATGCTTGGATGTCCCATGTATGTTGGTATTGATCTTCTATACCGCTACTTCGTACTCAAGTCCATTAAGAGAGGAAGAGGAAAAGGAAAAGAAATTGCGTCATTTGTATTGTTTTTTAATATTGCTCGTCAGGTTCCTCCAGTTTGTTGTCCAGTGTACTTTGTACACATTTCCATCGATTTACATGAGGGATGTGGTATAAAGTGAGCCTATACTGTAATACTAGTGTAATATTACTTGCACTTGATATCGAGTATGTTGTATAAAATAATGACCATAACATTAATATGGGCAGAATATCAGACCAAAGAAATTTGAAAATATTTACACCTGCTCCATCGAAGCGACAAAATCTGCAAAGTCTTGTGCGGTCAACAGTCAACTTAGCGAGTACGTACAGTAGCAGAACACAACACAGTGCAATAATTCCGCCCTAAACTGAAGGGTACTCATACTACGATACCTGGTGTTCGGTCTAATGCCAGGACGCTTCGTCCCGCTATTTAGAACGACTTTTGGCGGACAACGGACCAAGCAGACTACTCTTACCAAGTGGCAAGAAAATTGTTTAGCGCGTTTTGAAAGAATTGTGCGTGCACACTACACACCGTACTGGCGAGGAAGAACAAAGAAAAAAATTTGCCAGTACCAGGCGCCCACGTGCCCGTGCCCGTGCCCGTGCCTGTGCCTGTGCCTGACAACCAGCAAGTACACCATGCTCATCGTACACACAAAAGTATTGGCTACAGAGTTACAGAGTGCCCGTACAACGGTAGTAAACATTACGTAAAATTTTCTTTGGATTCATTGAACAATGGCATCATAGCTGTTACTCTATTACTTTATAGCGCGGTATAGAGTATACGAAGTAGAGTATAGACAAATAACAACCTGGAAAAAAAAAAGTGAAGTCTGAATGTAGGTATGTGGTAATAATGTCGAAGTAATGTGTAGCATGGTAGCATGTGCGTCAGGGCAGGGAATATATTGGCCATACTTACACCGTACATAGTACATAGTACACAAATGATCGTCGCATTGATCTGTACCGGAACAAGGTAAGGTACAGTAGTAGGAAATGGTCAAACACTATGGAGGTAGTCAGGAACACAAAGGTTGGCTGGACTGGGCTGGACTAGACTGGACGAGAGATCTGATAAAAAAAAATTATAAATCTGATAACTGCATCTGTAACACCGTAGTCGTAATGGAAGTTAAAAGAGTTTGACCGCGTTGCCGTAACAGGAATACGGGGTGCGTACTCCGTATTCGGTGCGTGTTCTCGTATACCGAGAACTTAATCCGTGGGTTACGGAATACTTCGTACTATGAGCAATAAAGATGGATGGGATGGTGGATGGCGAATATTGATTTTCGGTTCAGACGGGCGAGATGCCGAAAAGTGGACAGACTGCGCTGGAGAAATCGGGATGGGATACCGAGGTGGAAAGGAACGCCTGGAGTGAGGAAAGAGACCCCGAGGAAAGGGGACCTTGGTGGGAAAATGGATCCCGTACTATGCTTAACGAACGAGGGAAAGTGACTGCGCGTTAACTTAACAATAGACCGCTTGAGGGGAAGATCAGATCATATCAGATGTTTGAGTATCTTCGTAACTAAATCTATAACCAGAGTATAGCTGAACCTAGAGTTACCGTAGGTAAATAGCATATAAGTAAAGTATACTACGTAGCACAGTCAGTGAAGTTGTAGCACCACGGGACAAGGGACAAGGGGCACCCACCTGGGAAGTTCGATGCGATGCCGAATGCTTTCCCCGGGCCGATGCACACTATAGTACAGTGACAATGATCCAAGCTTTGAAGAGCCGCGAATATGAGGCAGAACAAGTACTGGTACGACCGGACCGGGATGAGGGTGGCTTTTCTGGGGAAGGACCAGGGGTGGTGGTGGACGTGGTGGATCACACACCGAGGGCGCCTACTGTACTCCGATACTCCGTACGGATAAAGCGGATCGGCGTACTGTGTACCTGACGACGCGGACTATTGTGATCAAAGTACTTTGTACAATGAACCCTAGCGCTACCTGGGGATCATGTGGTGGGATCATTGGCCAGATCTGGGCATGAATTCCCTGAACGTAACGTCCGAGGGTCCTGGATCTTTCAATATGGGGTTTTCTGGAAAGGAAACAAAAGAAGGTACATGACTGTGGCAGGACGATGAGGCTTGCATTGCGGCTTGTCTAGATGGTCTGTTCTTATTGATAATGGGGTCACTGAATTGTGAGACGTGCAGGAAATATACGGGCTCGGAAGTACTCCATACGAGTTCAAGAGATGAAAGAGGATGCGACGAGTAACAAGTACAGAACAAGTACTCGTGACTCGGCCCGGACAAGCTCATTCGTTCGAGAAGATGCTAGGCTCGCCGGGTCCTGACAAGGGTCTTGACTCATTTCAACGCCATCTGGCGCGACTCTTTATTTACTGTGGCACTACGAATAATACTACTGTTTACCAAGTTTACGGACTTATACGATGAATGAATTAGCACTGCGACTACAGAGTACACCGTACGCTTGGACATGCACAGACCATCTCAGGTGACGGGCCTTGGGGGTCCTGTTTACCAAACTAGCAACAGTAGCACGTTGGCACGCACTTTGCCATGGCGGTGACCTGATGGTGTTTTTGGAAGAGAGAAATACAGATTGAGATGTGTCCCTGATCTGATACAGCCATGTTGCCCGATAGATCTGTCTCGAGCTGAGGTGGCTGATGCATTGGCATGTCCCAGGATAGTATTGAGGATCGTCCAGGCAGGCAAACAGGCATGCATGCATGCATGAGGTGCTTGGTGAGCATGTCGACGCAATTCTGGCCCGGGAGGGATGGATGACCTGGGGGACCCTTGGACATCCTTGAAAGAGGTAGGCGGCGGCTACGGTCAGAGCGGGGGGAATCACGGACCGGGCGTACAAGATTAATCATGGAAAACGGAAATGTGGAGTATACTTGAGAAACACTGACTGGGGGGGTGACCAAGCCTGGAAGTCGAGAGCGAGACGCGCTGAGGCAATAATACTAGTGCAACAAATATAGAATAGTAAGTGATGCATGGTGATGATGATGACGACGACGACGACAATGGGACACAACAGGACGGTGTAGATTCAGTAAAAGGAAAAAGTACAGTGGCATATGGTATATGGCGAATGGGGGAATAATGGCAACGAACAACAAAGAAGTGATGATGATGATGCCATTTCCCCATGGTTGTGGATGAGCCATGGCAGCGTCAGGTCCGAGGAAATGCAAGATCTGGGTGGCTTTCTCTCTGGCGCAGGATTTAGTTATTAACTATAACTGAACAGGTAGGGAGGTTGGGGGCACGGGATACGGTACAGGCCGGTTTACCCCGCCATGAGCAATTTGCCCTGGTATCTTGCGGCATCCGACGCAACCAAAGGTCGTCACGGGGAGAATGGTGGATGGGTGGGATTGGATGGGGATGATGGATTGGTGGTCCGTTGAGTTGTGGAGCTCTCGTTAAGGTTATACTCGTCATGGTTAAACTTCATGGGTGCGAGGGTGGTTTACAGGTAATGGTGTCGGTGATTGTATAATCATGGAGGGGGTGGAAAAGGGGAGGATGCAACTCTTAGTTAAGTGGGTGCACGTGTTACAGGTAAAAGACCTGTCTGTAACTGCGTGTGTTTTGTTTGTATGCATGAGTGTATCCGTGGGTAGGACAGCAAGGTGGCGTGTACACGTTCTGGAAACAGTAACTTTAGTACCTCATTAGTAGGTCTCCAAGAACAAGGAACAAGGCACCCGAAGAACCTTGGTCAAAACATGTGCGGAGAACAAAGGATGAGAGAGAGAAAAGAGAAAAGTGGAAGGTGAAAGAGAGACCGAGAGAGAAGAAAAGGAAAGGGTAGAAGGAAAAAAAGACCCACAACGGGGGCTATTAATTTGTGGAAGAGACTCTAGATGATGCGAACCTTTGGATGGAATTGCTCATCGAGCACTAAATGGTCGTTGTTGGCCCAACCCGGAAAGGTTTCGGCTTCATCCCCCTTTGCGATCCCGCCCATCCCACCTCTCTCCCCTACTCGCGACTTGGGCCACAACCGGCCCTACTAGTTTTTTTTTCTCACCCTAACTCACTACCTACCTACCTACCTAGTACTACTCTGCGGTGACGAGACACGGTGCACTCCTTGCGATTCTGTTCTCGGAGGTTTTAGTTACGTGTTTGATGACTCTTTTTTTTTCCCTCTTTCCTTTACTCGTAACATGATACTTAAACCGTCTGGCATCCCACCCCACCTACATTTTTTTGTGCTATTTCTCCCCTTCTCTTTCTTCTTTGAACACGATCCATCTCACACAGAAATCACATTTACTCGTTGAATTCCTCACTCTGTCTGTGTATGTGTGTGACTTTTGATGGACATTTGATTATCATTTTATTATCTGATTGTGGCGCCATCTCTCATTCGCCCTTCTGACATCCGTCACTACATCACAACCGTGTCACCCCGGCAGCCACCTACGAACATCCCATCTCATATCTTTAGGGCAAATCGCTACTGCTCTCAGTCTCTTATCATCAACCCCTCCCAAGGGATCGACAATCTTCGATAGAGCCATTGAAGCGCCAACCATCGAATAGGGCAGGTGTTATCATAAGGGTTACGAGGGGGAAACAATCCAAAGAAAACCCCCGATACAAAATTAGCAAAAGAAGAGGAGGAGGTGTGAAAAAGTCCAAGTGGGGAGAAATTAATTAGGGAAAAAGTCTGGGAAATTTTCGCGCTATATGCTCTTTCCCTATCTTTTTCCGCAGCCCGACCTTGATTCGGACGAGTCTCGTTCTCTCCCTTCTCAACGCAGCTCCCAATCCAATCAGAACAATAAAAAGGATATGCCAGCCCGTATCCTCGACTTTGCGTTTGCGCGCTCCCCACTGCTGTCCCCGTCCCACTCGACCGATTCTATCCCGACCAAACAGCGTCGCAGTTTCGAAGACCAACGCCGCCACAGCATGGATCATCTCAAGCGTTCCAACCTGGCGGGCAAGACCTCGGGCAAGAACTCGCCCAAGGGCAGCCCTCGTCTGATCCCGGTGAACCCCACACACATGGAGGTTCAGATCGAATCCCCGCCTCTCGTCTTTTACGGCACTCCCCAGACCTCCACCGGCGCCCTCTTCTCCGGTCAGATCAAGGTCCTCGTCGCCGAGCCCGAAATCACTCTTCCCCAACTCAGCCTGCGTCTTGTACGCGTCGCTACCACGAAGCGGCCCATTGTGTCGCATTGCCACGACTGCGCACAACAGACGACCGAATTGACCAAGTGGGAGATTCTCAGGGATCCGACCACGCTGAGCCACGGCGTGCACTCATTCCCCATCAGCTACCTCTTGCCCGGTGACATGCCTGCCACCGCTCAGGGCCCCCTTGGCAGCATCGAATACAAGCTTGTGGCCAAGACCCAAACCACGGCCGGTGAGACGCTGAACTTTGAGCGCGTGCTCAAGGTCAACCGCGCCATCTTCCCCGGCAACGACAAGCACTCGGTGCGCATCTTCCCGCCCACCAGCCTCACTGCACACGTCACCACGCCCAATGTCATTCACCCGATTGGCGACTTCCCCGTCGAGCTGCGCGTCTCCGGCTTGACCACCCGACAAAAGGAGTTTATCAACCGCTGGCGCGTGCGCAAGATCAACTGGCGCATCGACGAGCACTCCAAGATTGTGTCTCCCGCGTGCCTCAAGCACAACCACAAGATTGGCGGCCACAACAAGGGCATCTTGCACCAGGATACCCGCACCATTGGCGAGGCCGAGCTCAAGTCGGGTTGGAAGACGGACTTTGATGGCGAAGGACAGGCCGAAATGGAATTCCACGCCGTCATTGACCCGACCTCTCACCCCGTCTGCCATCTCGACTCCACCGAGGAGGGCGGCCTCTCGGTCTCGCACACGCTCGTCGTGGAGCTCATCGTCGCCGAGGAGTACTGCTCCAACAAGACGCCCCATCTCGCGACCCCGACCGGTTCGGCCCGTGTCTTGCGCATGCAATTCGACATGACGGTCACGGAGCGCAGCGGACTCGGCATCTCGTGGGACGAAGAGCAGCCGCCCATGTACGAAGATGTGCCCGCCTCGCCGCCGCTCTACACACAGCTTACCGATTACGACGGTCCGCCGCTCGATCACGACGAGCTGGAGCGGTTGTAATCGTATGATTGCGCCCCGTTCCTGGTGCGGCTATATACTTGATCCTCTTCCACATCATTCTCCAAAACAACCACTCCATTCACCTTTACCAGATCTTCAACATCATCCCACCGTTTATTTTTGATGCATTTTTACTTTTCGCTCTCGGCGCTTTAGAAAAAGGGTTTGGGTTTTTATGGAGTCATAATTGGAGGGTTTTGATTCGAAACCCTGGATTTTGAGCGGGCTATTTTTTTTTTATACTCGCTGGACGAAGGCGAATTGAATTGCATTGCGTTGCTAAACTTGGAAGGATATACCCGATTACTTTCGAGCAGTTTTTAACATATACTGGGCGTTTCGACATGGTATCTCAGGAACCGTTTGCTTTTGAGAAGCTTCTTAGCATCGACATCTACCAGATGAATGAATCAAAAATTAAGAATAAATAAGTAACAACTGCCTGCATTATTGTGAGGTCTTTGTCCCGAGTCCCAGAATCATCTATAGGGCAAGTAGGTATCGCACGAAGAGCTACCCGGTGTGTAGTTGTGAATGGCCAGTTTCCCGGTGATTAGATTAAGCATCCTGCATACGCTAGACTGCTTTAGTCTGGAATTTGTTTCTTCGCCTCACATTCGTCATTGGTGTGAGCTCTAGGATACTGTTTGCCCTCTTTTCCCACTCATTTTCTTCACGTACTTTCTGCTGCATTTCTTTTTCTTTTTTCTACATTTAGAGATACCCTGCTTCAATTCCTCATGACCTTTTGAGCTTTCAGCATTGCGTTGTGTCTGGATACTATAACACACGGCAACCTCATTCTTAACCCTCGATTAGTCGGTCTCGATCCAGGACTACAGTCTCAAACATTTACTTTTCTCCGTTTTCATCTTCTGCTACTCCCCGTTACATATTTGTCTTGAGTTCAAGTAGGAGTACACTGGCTCTGTCGCCACCATGCCAGCCGACGACCTTCTTCAACACGCGACGAGTTCGCACGACTTTTACGCCCTGCTGGGCGTCGACGCTACAGCCAACGAGTCCGAGCTGCGCCGCTCCTACCGACGCGCGGCACTCAAATACCATCCGGACAAGAACGCCGACAACCCGAGCGCCGTGGAAACATTCCACCTGCTCCAGATTGCATACGATGTGCTCTCAGACGCTGCCGTGCGCGCCGCATACGACAATGCGCGCGCGGCGCGAGAACAGCGCAAGCGGCAGCACGAGCTGCTAGAGGGCAAGCGTCGGCAGATGAAGGAAGACTTGGAGATGCGCGAGCGAGGCGTCAAGCGGGCCCGAACGTCGACATGGGGAGGAGTAGGAGGAGGGGGAGACAATAGCGAAGTAGATGCCGAAGAGCGCCTGGCAAGAGAGATTCAGCGATTAGCAGAAGATGGCAAACGCCGACGGCGAGAACGCGAGGAAATGCTACGACGCGATCGGCTGGAGGAGGAAGAACGCTTGGACCGAGATGGCGGCGCGGAGACAAAGCAAGACGGTGAACAATCCAAAGGAGCGGCAAACAAAGGACAAGATGGACAAGATGGCCGCAGCGGAGAGGATGACGACGATGCCAAGGCAAAAGGCGGAACGGCAGTTCCTGAAATCGACCGAACGGTCAAAGCGCGCTGGGTGCGACAGGGTCTGGGAGAGACGCTGGACAAGGAACGTCTCGCGCGGTTGTTTTCCCGGTTCGGCGCAGTGGAGAATACGTTTTTGCTCAAGGATAAGAAGCAGCGCATTGGCGGAGGCGGGGCCGTAGCCGGAGCTGGCGCAGGCGCAGGAACAGGTGTAGGAGGGGCAGCAAATGAAGGGACACATGGCCGCAAAGTCATCATGGCGACGGGCGTGATAGTGTTTGCGTCTATTGTCGGCGCACATGCCGCTGTCGAAGATGCTCTGAAATTGCGGCACGACAGTCGAAATGCATCGTCCAAGACACAGCCGCAACCGTCAGAATGGGACGTGTTCGAATACGTCTACTGGGCAGCAAACAAGCAGCCAGAGGTCCTCTTGTCTTTTGACTTTTCATCCCATTCTTCTCGTCCTCATCCTCCTTCTCATCCTTCTGCGCCTGCTTCTCCTGCTGCTGCGCCTTCATCACCCACACCACTTTCGACACACTCTCCTTTTCTTGGATCCAATACACAAAACGACCATTCTCGTCCGTCGACGCCTGGTCCTACTTATCCCGCTACCCCCGGCTCAACCTCGACCTCAACGTCCACTCCACTTTCTTCTTCCGTCCGTCGGGTTCGCCCTTTTCCCGGCCTGGATACTCCTACCAAACCTTCCTCCTCCTCTTTTACTGCTTCCTTTTCCCCGTCTGCTGCATCTTTTTCTCCCGCCGCTGGTCCTGCCGCTACCGGTTCTGCTGCTTCCGTTGGTAGCGGTGGTGGCGGTGGCACCAACGGCAGCAGCAACGGAAACGGCAGCGGCCTGAAACGCGTACCGTCATTTGCATCATTCTCATCTACATCTGCATCTGCGGCGAACACGCCCAACAAACATATGCGTAGTGGCGGGGGACAAGGGGCACAGCAGAATAGTCCGAGCTTGGAAGAAATCACGCTGATTCGGCTGAAGAATGCAGAGAAGAGGCGCTTGGAGGAGGAGATACGGCGGCGGGAGAGGGAGGAAGAGCTGGAGCTGGAGCGGAGTGAGTAGGATGGGCGGGTGTAGCGTTTTTGGTGTTATTTACAGGTATCTTTTTATTTATTTATCATTTCTTCTTTCCTTTTTTCCCTTTGTTCTTCTCCTCTTCTCTGGATTTTTTTTATTTTGTTTTGTTTTGTTTTTTCCTCCTCTTTTCTCCATTTTTACTTCCGTTCTTCAATATGTCCCCCCCCCCCCATTCACGTGCGGATGAATCGTTTTGAGAGCTGAGACGGTTAAACATCGACCGTGCTTCCAAATCACAAGGAGCGACACGCAGAAACCCCCCCCCCCCCTTTCTTTATGTGAGGTATGAGTGTATATATATGTGTGTGTGTGGATGTATATATGGATATATCTCTTTTTATATTTTCTATATATTTTCTTTTCTTTTCTTGTTATGTACGAGATGTATATGTATGAGAGATATATGGATATATCTCTTTTCTTTCCTTTTTTCTTATACTAAAGAAAATGATAGTTTGAGTCTTTGAGAAGAGAATGATCAGTTTGAAAAGGGAAAAGAAAAAAGAAGAAAAAGGAAAAGGAAAAGGAAAGAGAAAAGGAAGAAAGAAAGAAAGAAAGAAAGAAAGAAAGAAAAGAGTTAAATAGTTTCACGGTTCACCAGTCCATGACTCCATGAATTTATTGCACAGGATAGAAAGTAAGAAATATACCATCACAGTTCTTAATATTCTAAGATAACGAAAGGTATAACTCTACTACGAATGTTAATGCTACTTGCGTCTGGTGAAACTGAAACATGGCTATCTTTGCTCGCGAACGTCGATGGTGCCTTTGTGTTTGTGCCAGCCGGGAATGAATGCCTTGACTTTGACCTGCTCTTCACCACCACTGGCAGCAGCACCATTACTACTGCCTCCGGCGCTGGAATCCGCCCAGCGCATGACAAACTCATCCCCTGGAGTCCACTTACTCCCTTCGCCCGTGAGGGCCAAGTCGGTCATGACTTCGAGCCGGCACAGCGCGAGGCCAATGTTGCCTATGCCTGCGAGGAATTTGCCTGCGCTGCCACGTGCGCGCGTCGCGTTGGTCGCTTTGAGGATATTTGTTCCTGGGGGTACCGCTACCGCCATAGGGTTCCCGTCTGCACCCTGGGCACCCTGAATACCCTGTATACCCTGTAAACCATTTATACCCTGTAAGGCTTGGGGGTCGTAATGTAACTGTAACTGGCCCTGCTGCGACGGCGTCTCTTCGTGCCCTATAGACGACTGCGCCGGGTCGTACAACAGCACAGGCAGGATCCTCTTCCGGACCACGCCGGTATGATGGGTCCGAATGGTGAGTTCCTGGCCGACATAGCAGCCCTTGCGAAAGTCCACGCCGCCCATGAAGTCGATATTGCTTTCCAGCGGGAGGGCCGACTCGCGCAGGATTTCTGCCTGGCCCTCGGGCACGCCGCGCAGCATGCGGCGCACAGTGTATGCGGCGAGGGACGTCTGGGGGATGCCTGCCTCATCGAGCGCAGGCGGGTGTGTGTTGTTGCGGGTGAGCACGCGGCGGCCCATGCCAGGGGCGCGGGCGTCGACGGTGCTCAGGACTGATGACGAGATGTCGTATTCGTCGTGCGAGTATGCATGGGGTGGATGATGTGGATGGGTCGTAGCTGTAGCAGTTCCACTACTGTCCGGTACATGTCCGCCATCATGGACATGTCTACTGTCATGAGGAGTATGTAAAAGAGGACTCTCGTCTGCGTAGTGCGGTGTCCAGCGCTCGTCCTCGCGCCATAGACTCCAGACGTCCCATTCGCCGGGCTCGAGTAAGGAAATGGTCAGTTTCGAGCGCAACTTGTGTCGTCGCAAGTGCGCCAGGAGCTTGGGCGCCTGGGAGGCATCGACTTCGATTATGTATGCCGGATCGTCGCGCGACAGGGTCCCGGGCAACGAGGAGGTATACGGCTTCGAGTGCGCGGTGGGGTAGATGAAGACGTCATTGAGCACGCGGCCCTGGGCGTTGAGAAATGCGCCGTACAAGCCATTGGTGTGGCCGGGTCGAATGTTCGCTGTTACGAGGCCCTGTAGGAAATGGGGCGTGTCCCGGCCATGTAGGGCAATGAGTCGGCGGTTCGTTAATTTTGCGGCACCTGAAGCTGGCGGCGGTGGTGGTGGCGGCGGCGGTAGTGTAGCGGATGATGCAAGTTCAGAAGAAGAATTGGTGGGAGTAGTAGAGTATGTGCGCCGAGCAAGGCATCGGAGACATATTGAACTTGAGGTTGATCGCGCAAACATGGTGTGCGTGACCAATGGCTATAATAGTGATATCAATGTTGTTGTTGCTGAGGTCATGGGCATGGTTTTGTAGCTAACCTCTCTCATAAAGTTTACTCACTGGCAGGCAGTTTGTCAGCTGCGGCATTTACCGATGACGTGTCTTTCAACATGGCTCTTAACTACAACCAATGGGGATAACAAATTTATAAAGAAACTCATTCAAATGGTAAAAATTACTTTTCATTTGCTCGTAAATATAAGTAAATGCAGAACACGCAATGGCCGAGATTTGAAAATGCAGTTCAGAGGGACAATACACCCCAGACTGCCCAAACTTTACGCTTAGCAAAATGCAAGTGCAGTTTTTCCGCCGAACAGAGCAATAAAAAAAATGCTTCAGAAACAATCATTGACTAATCAACCCCTTCCGGCCTTTGCAACTCCTGCAAGATAACCCAGCAAAAAGTTCTTGTTGTCTGCTTGAGAACCTCTCCGTGTAGCAGTATCAGATGAGATACTTTCGAGTCGAGAGATCGAAGGCTGCTCAGCCGGCAAAGCCGGTTCCGGACGTGCTGCAATTGGAGACGTGAGAGGGGATTCAGTGGGTGCCGCAGCTGGTTTGCTAAACAGTGAGAGCAGTGCCTGCCGCTGCCCGTCAGTTTGGCTCTCACGCCGATCGGAAATGTTCTGGCTTGCTGCCCCTGGGCTAGGGGAGGGCTGAGTTGGACGCCGGAGGATCTGCGGCTGGAACGGTTTGGCCGGCTCTTTGGGTTCCTTTGGCTCTCTTGGTCCTTTTGATTCCCTCTTCGGCTTAGCGGGATGTCTCCGCACCGTTCCAGTATCTGCCAACTGCTTTGGTGCATCGTTCGGTTTGGGTCCATGCACAGAGGCAGGACGAGGGAGGATCGATATTGGCGAGGGCTGGCGTTGCTGAGACTGGGCAGTCTTTTTGAATGCTGGGCTCAATCGCTGGTTCCTTGGACTATCCTTTGATACAGTGTCGAATTGTGGTGGGTGAAGTGGACTCGGAATAATCGCTGGTGCTTGACCGTTCGCGCCCAATTGGCCACGCTTTGACGGTCCGTTGGTAGGGGTGGGCACTCGTCCCGCTGACAAAGGTCGCTTCAAGATACTAGGGGAAGGACCTTTTTGATCTCCAGGTTTCTGTGCGCTAATGGCCGGAATCTGCTGCGGAAAAGGCTTGGTAGACACCTGTACTGCTGGAGGAACCGGAGCAGCAACTGGAGCAGCAACCGGAACGGGAGCTGGCGCTGTAGTCTTTGGCAGAATTGAACTGACCGGACTTTCCAAGGCAGGAGCAGCTTTAGTAGCTGGTTGCTGCTTGAACAAAGCTAGAAGTGCATTTTTATGTGACTCAGGCAAAGCAGTCGCTGCGATTGCTGGTCCGACAGCGGCGGCTGCTGCTGTTGCTGGCGGTGCTTTGGACTGGAGGTTCATGGCAGCACTGAGTCGAGAAGCCAGATCAGATTCAGCAGACCCTCCGTGCTCAACAGCGGGCCTAGGTTGGACATGAGGACGTGCCAGTTGAAACGTAGGAGGCGCCTGAGGAAGGGATCCTAAACCTGCTATGGCCTTTAACTCGGCGGGGTTAGCCGGAGTTTGACGATGACTCGGAGTCTGCCCGGCCCTCAGAACATTAAGCAATGCTAGCGAATGGTTTGAGAGAGATGACGGCGGCACATTCGGAGCGGCGGAGACTGCTGGTATGTGAAGTCCAGGGAACTGAGCCGAGGATGCCAACCGATCGCCTGAGAGGTCGGAAGAGGGCATGTGCAAGTTCGCCAACACTGCAGGAATATGAGGTTGAGGGAGTTGATGATGGGGTGCCGGGCCACCTTGTTGCGCAAGATGCGGCACACCCGAGGGGCCACCCGGACCCGTGACTAATGCTGCGGGTGCTCCTTGCTGCATGGGGTGACCAGGAGCATGAGCAGGCGGCAAAGGAAAGCTGGGTGGTGGAGCCTGCATATGGAACGGAGGTTGATGAGCGTGACGAGGATGAGGAGATTGTGGAAGGTTTGGGTTCAGATCCAACTGCTCGAGCGGAGTCTGAGGCGGCGGAACACCTTGCAGACCACTCTGCGGCTGTTGCTGACGACCCCCTTTCTGGAGCATCGCAAGGAGAGCATCAGACTTGGACCGACTATCTGCAGAGATATCATTTATGATCTCAGGAGCGGCCGGTTGAGGAGTCGAAACAGCAAGGAGCTGCTTCAGTTGTGCGGTCCGATCCTGCACCTCGCCAAACCCAGAGTGTGCAGAGAAGCCAGTACCGTTCTGTGGTAGACTCTGACCAAGGAGGCCACTAGTCTCTCCTCGACATTCAGGACCGCCGTCAATGTCCAGCGATGCCGCTTCCACTTCTGGCGCGAGTTCTCCCAGCGGTGCAGGCGCAGGAATTCCAGGGTACAGAGCTGCATCGCGAGCATCCTTCTTATGCTGTTGAGCAATCCATTTTTTCAGCGGTACAAGAAATGGTGCAACCATGTAAAATTTGATAGCATTGCCAGCCAAGTCTTCTCCTCGACCTTGTTGTTGCTGTTTATTCTTCTTTATGGTCGGCAAATCCGACAACTTGTACCATTGGATTTTCTGTTGCCCAGAGTTAGCACAGACCTTTTCTTCACGAGAGAAGTCCACCGAAACATACGCTAATCTCTTTCCGAGTCCTTGGCTCAAAGGGCGTGTCTTTTGGCACTCCCCGGAATACGTAGAGTCGCATATGTTGTTCTCTCATGGTAACTTCGATAAACTTCATTTCCGACTCCTCCTTTACCAGTCCTGCCGCTTTAATGTCGAATCCAGTCTCTTCATATACCTCTCGTACTGCACAATCCAAGTCCTTTTCATCCTTGTTGATTTTTCCACGAGGGAAGCTCCAATTAGCGCCCTTCTTCCAACCCTTAACCAATACTACCTCGTCCATGGCATCGTTGAGCATGATGGCTCCACGTACGGGCACTCGTGTCTTATAAGCAAGGAATTCAGAGAAAGCTGTCGAGTGATGGTAAGATGAAAAAGCGGAGAGCAACGGACAATGTTGGAAGATTCGTAGACAAAAGTTTCGGAGCGACATTGACGGTAATGAGGGGTCAAGAGGCCGGATGAAGTCTTCGTAGAACCATTGTGCCTCCTCAACCTGGAAGCATATCCGTTCGACGGATTCGAGCTCTTCTTGGGGTAGATTGATGATGAAGCGGACGCAGAGATCGTCCAGCCCTGCGAAAACGCGATGTTAGCTCATCATATTTCGCAAAGCCAACTGGACCGGGTATCGGCAGCAAAAGAGAGCAAGGCCATGGCGCACACGCATCTCTGCAGCCAATCGTCTCCACAAGCGTGAAGCTTCTCAGGACTCTATTGCTGGCCTGCTATGAGCGCAGCATCTCCACAGTTGCAACAAGGAAAGGAAGCTTGCTTGACTCACAATCTACTAGCTGCATTTTTGATTCGGTCATTTTGTTTGAATAATTCGAGCATGTCCAATCGCATCGAACAGTTGCAGAAGGGATATTAGAAGCCCCAGGGAAGTGCAGGGCAGGGTGATTCTTTCACCAGGACTGAACCTCCAAGAGCTGCCAGGATTGGCCACACAGCCGATGTCGCGGCCAATTGGGTGTCGGGCACAGTGAATGAAGAGCCCTGATCCGTGCCTGTCGTTCCTGACAAGACCTCGGAAGCTTTCACAAGCAAATCTAAGTGAATGCGGTAGAATGAATGAGGAAAAGGAGGAAAGAAGCTGTGTGGGGAGAGAATGACGAACAGCGTGGTGGATGAACGTCAATGAGAGTTGCCGAGCTGAGTTGTAACAATGTCCCAAACAGCACAGCCACAGTGCCAATATGGGTGCGAGGTGGCTTCGACAGTGGCGTATATTATATAATCGATCGATTGTGGCTTACAGCTCAATGTGGCTAGTGAGAGATTTTTTTGTTTGTGGCTGTGCAATTAATTTACCGCGCCGTGGGTTTGATTGGGCGACGAAAATCCCTGCAAGGCGGTAGAACAAAATTGACCAATAGTGACTGATCAAGCCCCTGGTGGGCTGCCAAACAAGATTCCGGCAGAAATTAGTAGTCAAGCGCTGTCGTCACCGGACGTTACAGTTGTCGCCCGTCAATATAAATCCCATTTGTTGCGACTCCATCGTCAGCGCTTGTTTGACCCGCGATTCACGTCCTTGAAACACATTTGCTATTCTTAGATTATATCACTGTCTGGGAAACAAAGACTTTCACTGGCTTGCCAATTTCACTTTCACATCAGCCACCGGATTCAAGGGGTTTTGCTCTAGATCTTTATTGTTTGCCCGGCGGACCAGACGCGCAACAAAGGGACGACACAGAGTCTACAAAAGGGTAGCAGTGCTTGCTGTTTGAATTTTTTTCTGTTTATAAAATATCAAACAGAGTGTCGACGTCAAGCATCTAGTTTTCATCCATAATTACTCGGCGAGATATTTCTCACCTGAACCATGAGCGGAGCCGTTGCTAATTACGCGGCCAAGAGCTTTTTGAAGAGAAGGATTGAGGATCAGGCCGCAGAACAAAAGGATGTAAGTATTTGATTTGTATTCCAAATGGTCGCCTCTACTAATGCTGGCGAAATTAGAGCGAGTTCCATGGAGTGAGGAAATTTAAGAAGAATCATCTTCCTTACACCTCGGACAAAGACCTCAAGGTCCTCAACAAGGTCGCCCGACGCGCACGGAGACTTGATTATGGATTGTGTAACTGCTGCGGACTACGCATTGGCTGGAGCGTTATTATCGGCATCATACCTTTGTAAGGAACCTTTCAGAACTTTGTAGTAACATGACACAGAATGCTAACGGCTGTCCAGTGTCGGTGATGGCTTAGAAGTGTTGCTTGCGATGTGGGTGTTGTCAACCGCGTCTACCATCGAAGGCGGAATTCCTCCCATGCTCCGCAGCCGCATGTACTTCAATATTATGGTCGATTTCTTCGTTGGACTTGTTCCCTTTGTTGGCGACGTCGCAGATGCATTCTACCGCTGCAACACTCGAAACGCAAAGCTTCTCTACGCCTACCTCAAAGTCGAAGGTGAAAAGAAGGCCAGTCTCGGGATACAGCCGGAAAAGCCACCAGCCAAGTCGTGGAAAACGGGAATATTTGCTCGCTCAGAGAAAGAAGGAAGACAGCTTAAACCGGCCCATGTGAACCCTAATCCGAGACCCAACCCAACATATTCTCACCACGATGATGACGATGTGGAGCTTGGAATTACTTCAAGACCTTAAACAAGAAGACTGGGTCTACTAAATAATGCTGTGGGTTGGGTATAGATATGTTGGGCGCCTGGCGGAATCCTTTTTCTTTTCTTTTCCGGAAGTAATGGTCTGCATTTGCATTATTCATTTTTTAGTTCGAGCTTATGGCCTGGTTCACAAAAGTTGGACGGTTAATATTGGAAACCCCATTCGAGTGTTTTGATTGCAATCGCAACGCGCAGCGTCGTACATTTTAATTCCATAGTATCTTGAAATCAATGTAAGTTAGTATCAGACTTGGTCTAATTCAGAGGCGAATATCCCTTAGATATACGTTATCGTAAACTGTTCAGTTTGAATTTGCAAATGTGCAAGGGTTTATTTCTCTCCGTTGGGTTTGCGTTTGGCCAAAGACCAAGAGTAGAGAGCATTGGAATTAAGCTGCCGCATTGTAGAGCGTCATTACTTCAATATAAAGCTCGGCGGAAATGAAGTGGTTCAATATCCCTCTGGTATAAAAGCCTGTTTTTCTCGATATGGGAAAGATATCTGTTCGAATTCGCCAGGAATGCGTGGTAGCATTACAAGGCATGCCAGAAGTTGAAATCGCTTCCTTTCAGCCGTATCCGGCAAGTTTCTCGCAACAAATCCTGGATAGGAAGAACAGATGGTTCTTCTCCGCCGGCAAAACACATTGGTCTTTGCAAGCGCTTCGTGGCAGTGATTTGGGCCGTCACGGCGAGCTCCTGATGAATAGCATCTGTGCGATATTCAAAAATGGTCCTGGCATGACTGAGCGGGCTAGCTTGCCCTCTGGTGAGATGAAGAAAAGGCTCCGAATTGGCTTCATGAATGAGGAGTAAAACGGCTGCCCAGGGTAGTTCTAGCGCACCCATAGCACAGATTACCTTCTGGCTGGACCAAACTTTGAGCACTGCTTTCCCCCTCGCCGAGAGATGCGTCGCTATCTGCCAGTGGCAGACCGCATAAATCACATCGAGACTGGCCTTCAGTGACCTCAGGCGCCCGCAGCTTGCTTGTCGTCCGGACGACATTGGCGACAATGCTGGGAAACGACTCTTCGATGGACGCAAAATATTGGCCCATAAGATCGTCAATCGTAGTAGACTTTGCAGGAGCAGATGTCATAGTTGGCGCAGGGCGGCTATGTATAAGCGGCGTAAGGGGCGGATCCACATTTTCAGCAAAGATAACCAGCTCCTTCTTCAAGACATCGCGTAGAGGATGACTGACGTGCAAGCCATATGGGGATTCTCCACCAGAGATTTGCCACGGCAGTGAGAAGCCTCGCCCTTTGGCGGTCTCTGAAATCGTTTTCTCCGCAAGCCTAGTTGCTGAATCCCCCCACGTTATGCTTTGGCAATCATTCTCCTTTGCGAAAGCTATAATGAGGTTGTTCCGCAACGTCTCAACGACGTCCGCTCTGGAAGTCGGTGAAGGGAGCGCCGAGAGCAAGCCCACCAGCTTCTCATGCTTCGAACTCGGAGGAGCTACATCGCCAATGTTAATATTCACATCGCGTAGAGTCGTCTCCAAGTATTCATTTGCATGATCAAAAACGTCTTCCAACGTCAATTCCGAGTACGTATGACGTGGATATTTCTCTTTCAAAACCTCGAGCCGCCCTATTTGAGGCGCATCTGCGTCGACTCCAGACGTGTTGACATGAAGGACATGCAGCTCATATCCGGTTCGATTTGTACGCCGAATCTGTGACTGAAGGTGACCATCGAGCACATGCAAGAGAGATAGAGACGAGACCCCAAATGAAATGGGCAAAAGTACTCGTCGGCGATTGTTTTTGCTCGCATTTTTAATTCGATACGCTTCCAATTGCTTGGCGACCTTTTTCTTTATATATTCAACAAAGCAGTTCCTGTTGATTCATCGTCCATATTAGTCTCATTCTAAAACAAGATAACTTGATAGGGCCCAGGGACCATACGAGCAGAGAGGTTCGGTACGCATAATGGTCGTTGCCTCTATTTCCTGGCATCTTTTGCAGAGTCTGACAGGAGCAGCGCCCATAGTGCGCTCTGCATTTTGTGAATCAGTCGTCATCTTTCTGCCATAGACCTGTATATACAATGTTCGTAAATGGAAGCCGTTGAAACGTAAAAATTCCAAGACCGTCGGGGACTTTTTTATTGATTGCCGATAGACCCTGGAAGTTCCATGAACTTGTGGCTGAATCGGCAGAACTTGCGGCATATTCCGACAGGAGGGACGTGCAGCCTTAGGGCGAGACAACCAATATACGTAGCTGTCCAGGTTCCTCGTAATGCAAGCCGATCCTTAATTCTGTTCTATTACCTTAAAATCTCTCGAGTTGTCGTTGTTGAATTGAAGTTCTGTGTGTGGACCGCACAGTCTGTTCTTCATCGACTCTTCATTCGAAGGGAATTTCTACCATCTGGTCAGCATTCGCATGCGCGTCCTTTAGCTTTGCGCCCTCACTGCAAGAGCTTCGGTCAGCATGCGGTTGTTTCTTCAGGCTGTGACAGCCCTTGTTCTATCGGCGCTGGCTGTTCGAGCCAATGAGGTTGTCCTTGTATGTATTCTAAGAGATACATTTAGAAATGGTTCATTCTTCTCATCAGCTATTTAGGACCAAGATATCGAGAACAGCCAAAGATGCTCGGGCATGTATAGTCGGAAAGCATGGGGAGGAGCCGTCGACCCCTTCATTCTCACCAAATTTGTGAAGACTGGACCTGAAGACGAGGGTGCGGATCCTGTCGTTAGCTTCATTGTCTTCGAATGGAAGGACGAAGCATTGATTGGCAAGAAGGCCACGCAGGGCAGTGATGAGTCTGGAGTACGTCGGTCCCAATTCCTTGCGGCATTGAATTCTATCATTCTATCCCGACAGTGATGACTGTAGCAAAGACATCTTCGACTGACACTTTTTTTTTTAAAAAAAAAGCTTGAATTTGAGACAAAAGAAATGCTCTGCACCGAAGATAGCGTCAAACAAGGCTACTGCAATGAAACACAGCTTGGGGAGTTTATCCTCGAAGAAGGAGCCACAGAACATTCGATGAATCCAATCATCACGCAAGCGGTGCACCTGAACGATCCCCCAGCAATCAACTACCCCATCAAAAATACCGGCTATTACTGCGTGAGCACCTACCCCTATTCTGCTGCCAAATACAAGGCAATTGTGGAGTTCCGCAATGCCTATGGCGAGCTTCCGGCGGCACAGATTGCGAAGCTGCCATTCTACGGCGGGCTGACCATCGTGTATGCCGTGATTGGAATGTATGTATTTATATATCAGATGCTCTTAAAGCGCAATGCTGACCAATTCAGCTTCTGGGCGTTCCTCTACGTTCAACACCGCCATGACATTCGTAAGTCTGCCCGGAGAAATGCTCAGGCCTTTTTTGTCCTGCTGACAGCACCTTAGTTCCCGTGCAAAATTATATCACTGCTATTATTGGTTTCTTAATTGTTGAAATGCTCATCACATGGGGCTTCTACGGTATGCTCGACCAATAAACGTCCCAACTCCGTAATCAAGTACTGACCTGGGAAAAAGACTATCGAAACCGCCATGGCGGCAATGTCGGTGCAAAAGTCATGATGGTCATCGTATCCATTCTCAATGCGTTCCGTAATTCATTTTCTTTCTTCCTCCTGCTCATCGTCTGCATGGGCTATGGCGTTGTCAAACCCAGCTTAGGTAGAACCATGACCCATGTCCGTTGGCTGGCTATTGGTCACTTCACTTTTGGCGTCATTTATGCTGTCGGCAGTTTGACTGTTCCTCCAGAGAACGCCGGGCCCCTCATTTTACTCGTCGTCCTCCCACTGGCGGGCACCCTGACCGGATTTTACGTCTGGACATTGAACTCGCTCAAGGCGACCATTGCCGATCTTATCGCACGGAAGCAGAACATCAAAGCCCTGATGTATAAGAAGCTTTGGTGGGGGATCCTTGCCAGCATCCTCGTCATCACCATCTTCTTCTTCGTTTCCTCCTTTACCTTTGTCGGTCGTGGCGACCCAGACTTTGTCCCCGACCATTGGCAGACGCGTTGGTTCATCCTCGACGGCTGGCTGAACCTAGTCTATCTGTTTGATATTGCCTTTGTCGCCTACCTCTGGCGACCTACCGCGAACAACCGGCGCTTTGCCATGAGTGATGAGGTAAGCATTCTAATAGAGAGATTCTCACGCTTATCTCTTCTTATTACCCCTTAAGAAAAATCTATTTTTCAGTAAGATACTGACCATTGCGTTTCCAGATTGCTCAAGACGACGATGGCTTCGAAATTGCCTCTATTGGTGGCTCCTTGGACGAGGAAGCCGGCGGCCACACTCCCCTCAGCAACCCTACTCCCCCAGGCGAAAGCACAGAGACTTCTCCGCCAGCATACCATGAGCGTGAGCCGACATACGAGTCTGGCGCCTCCGTATCCGCAAAGGAGCATTCTCAGGCGCAGGCCTCGCGAGACTCATTTGACGGAGAGACGATATTCGCGGTGGGTGAAGACGCGGACAGGTGGTCTGACGAGGACGAGTCACCGCGGGATTCAAGCGAGCGGAAGCGTTTAACAGGAAAGAATGATTGAGCGATCTAGAAAAGAATCGCAAAAGTTTGCTACAATTTGTCGTATCTGTATCACAGTCCCAATTCATTTTCAAGTTTTTGTCTCGTCCTGCATGTTGGACGGAAAGTGCTATCCCCCAGGTTTCCATTCCAGCTGCGATTCTGTACCTCTTTTTCGTCCATTTCCATTTTTCTTATCATCTCCTGAAATGTGCCTTTTTACTTTTGCTAACCCCAGACCGTCACGCCCGAATTGTATGAGTCTGTACGGTGTTGTGTGACACTTTTTTTTTCTTTGATATTTTCGAACTTTTAAACGTTCTCTTCTTTCTCATGTTTCCTTTTGGTAGACGATGTTGCATCATCTTGGAGCAAACTGGAAATGGGATTTGATAGTATTTTTAAATATCTGGATGAAAGAATATTTAATTCAAAGAAATGAGTAATACGTATCATGCTCTTAGTTCCGCGCATGCATCTTATCGTCATTTCATCTATCTACGCCCTTTTCCAATTCACTTTCTTCACTCCACGCAGATGGTTCAGGTGATATCTACAATGCTTGACTCCAATGATTCCTGGGTTGAGGGCCCGGGGGGGGGAAGAAGAAGAAGAAGAAGAAGAAGAAGAAGAAGAAGAAGAAGAAGAAGAAGAAGAAAAGAAACACATTCGATATTTCCAATCCCCAAGAGAAAACTCACAACGAAGCCGCTCACTCCCGTCTGTTCTTCTCCTTGCCTACCAAACTGCGCGCGGTAGGACATAACCAAATATCCGGACCTGCAGGTACAACCCCTTGCCCTCGTCCTTCTCCTCCTTCTCCATCTTGCGCCTCCCGCTCTCCGTCTCGCGCATCCAGGTCCTCTTCGACCGCAACTTGGATATGCTTGGCCACCGTCTTATTCGAGGAGAGCGTCGTGATGCCCTGTGCCCAGCCGTACATGAAGACCGCAGTATTAATATCCGACAAGTCCTGTGCGAGCGAGCTGGATATCGTAGGCGGGAGAGTCTTTTCCACCGCGGCATCAACCTCCTCTTGGGCTACAACGGAGATGGGAAGATGTAGATCCGCGGGAATAGAATGCGAAGAGAGCGTTTGGAATAAAGCCGTGAGATTTGCGGAAGATGTGATGCTTGCGGAGCCATGTTTACTGTCCTTGACATTATCATGATTGCCCACTAATTGAAAAATATCCGTCTCTGCATCCGCATCAACATCTCCCAAGAGCACTCTTGTCCGTGCCTTCTCTGTGGGCGTGCCGATAGTGGCGACAATGTCGCGCATACGCTCCGCAGCCTGGGCCACGCAGACGAGTTTCCGGCCGCGCATGGCGGGGAAAAGAACCGACGGGAGTAAGGTATCGCTCTTTTCGCGCTCGATTTGGCGCTTGATGGCCGTGTGGAACCATGGCTGGGGCGTGACGTCGCCGTGGGAAAGGTCCGATACGAGCGCGAGAAGCAGCGTGCAGTCGACGTTGACTGTCGGGGCGAACGACCTGATGGGGTCGATGGTAAGGGATCGCAGGATGGAAGAGGAGAGAGCCGGAGAGGCGGGTATGGTATCGCCGGTCTCGACAACGGTGCCGGTCCGGCGGAGGTCGTCAAGAAGCGCGTCAATGGCTGGGTGTTCGTGCTGGTATATTTTGGGAAGAACGAGAACGACCTGAGGATGGCGGTACCGGACACGGACTGATTTCGCGGCGCGCACGAGACGGGCAGTCACTTTTGCCAGAGAAATGTCGTCGTCGTCATCATCATCATCAGAATACTCGGAATTCGAGGACGAAGCTTGGCTGTCTGCTTCCCAGCCGACCTTGGCCATTTCGAAACCTATTCGAGTAGAAGTGATTGTCGAGACTTTGATCCATTCCTCGCCGCCGCGAGCAACGACGTCGACCAGGGCACTTTTGCGTTTGGGCCGGTGGGCTTTTCGACGTTTAGAACTGGCTGCTGCTGGACCTGCACGGTTTAGTGGTGTATCGACGGATGATGTTGATGGCGAATTAGCGCCAGATCCGGGTTGACACTGCTGTAGGGGCACTCGTCGCGGTGGCTCTTCCCAGTAGAATCGCTTGTTGAATGCTACAACACTCCCGGAACGCTTTGCAGCGGCCCATACCGCGGAGTAGAATGGGACGTTGGAGGAGCGGACTGCATGTTGAGATCGGAGTTCTGCCGTGGCGGGGTCGATTTTTGTAAGCTGTCCATGTTAGGGAGTCTTGTTGTGGGTAGGTGACATGATATTGCAATGTATTGATGAAAGGAGAAAAACGGCCAGAGCAAAATTAAAAAAAAAAAAGTTTACAGATGGTATCTCTGTGCATGTCTGTAGCTCTATGAAGAAAGAATATGGAGTTCCCTCTAATCATACTGCTGAGGCAGAACGCAGGAAACAATGTGATCACTGGCCCCGCGAACTCACCCCAGAGATCTCTTTTGAAGATAGCGATGCATTGAACAATTTTCAAATGGCAATGCCATTTAGCGGTTCTCCAAATTTGCCCAAGAGAGGTCGCAAGGAAAGCACAGCAACCCATCATACACAGTACAATGAATATAAAGCACAATTGGTATAATAACATAGAACAGAGAGGATAAATATTTATAACACAACGGCCAACAAAAAAATCAAAGATAAAATCAAAGCAAATTTGTAAGTGAAATGAATAGCGTACCTTTTCCAGCAACTTCAGCTCCGAACTAATTGTATTTCTAAAATGTCTCAATTCCACCGTCTTGTCCTTTTTGCAACTTGCAAGATGAGTTTTGAAGTCGTCCACTTCCCGCAGAACTTGTCGACACTGCTGCAACAGCTCGTCCAGCGAGCGTTCCTGGCCAGATGGCGATTGCTCGGCCTGATCATGCGTCTGGCTATCTTCGTCTCCTTGGACAAGCATATTTTCCAATCCAACGCTGCCTGCCATGATGGATAAACTCAAATCTGTCGACAAATCTTGCAATGTATGTACACAATCACTGAATTTATTTGCAGTCCATCTGAGTCATAGTATTCAGGCATAAACCAAACCAGTTGGGATGTCTCATGCAGCGCCCAATTAGCAGGGTTGACTTGCTGTATTAACGAATGGTCAAGAACCCGGCAGAAACAATGGAGACATCGGCTGTTGTCAATCTGCCGATGCCTCACAGGCTCACCGCCTTGCAGCTTGCACGTCGACTTCTACGAGTACAACAGAACGCTTGAACCATGTGGGATTTTCACTAACCGTTACCCTCTGTCCTCGAAATTCCCCCACAAGCGCGGTTGTGAACTTGTGAGCTACTCAACTTACCTGTGCTGATATTGCCAGTTATCACGAACGTCTGGTTTGGTAAGTTTCGCAAGATCCATTACTGATCCTCTACAACTAACAAGAGCACTGTCAGACTCCAAATCAATTGCATCTCTATACGATACATTTTCAAGCCACCTACCCAAAACAGCTCCTCAAAAGCATATCCACACCCTTCCCTTTTGTTGCCCTGCCCCGCGGGCACCCAGCAACCACAGAAGATGGTTTACCTCCCCACGTCAGAGCAATGGCTGCATCAGTCATCATTGCTGCTGCAAGCTCGGCCTACAACTGTACGTTTTTTCTCTCTCTCTCTCATACCAGTTCCTAGTACACCCGGAGTCCCGTAAACTTGTCACATCTTGCCTTTCTTCGCGCGGTCTCAACCTTAGACAGGAGACAAGAATACACATTTCCCAAACCACACATGTATTCATATTCATACAAGTCCAAATACGAGAAAGCACGATTCAACCACTCACACTGTACAGACACGAGTCACCACAAAATACTCGATCAAACCCGCACCCATCTCGAGCTCTACACACCAAGCAGCGCCCGGCCAGCCAGCAGGTAACAAGGGCAGTCTTGTGCTGAAAACATACGATCCCGCAAGCGGCGTGTGCTTAAAATACCGAACGGACAAGGCTGCCGAAGTCGGACGCCTGATTGCTTTATTGTCCCGGCTTGGCAAGGGCATGTCGGGGCAACACATTCAAGAAGAAGTTGCTATTGGTATGTTTTTCATTCCTTTGCGTCTTTTTTTCCTTCCTTCTTTCTTTCTTTCTTTCCTTTCCGTCTTTCCTTTCTTCCCCCTTCTTTCCCTCTTTTCTTTTCCCATTCTTCAGCATCAAGATTTTATTCGAGTCTTTCAAATCACACGGCACAAGAGAAGTATCTCTAGCTAACCGCGCTGTAATCAACACGCAGACGCCGCAATGACAGACGCCCCTACCGCACTCGACGGCGAGAGCGGTACCGCTACGCCTACTACAACAACAGGGGCAACTACCGCCGGTGCTACTCCGGCGGCGGGGCAAGGACAAGGCCAGTCGCAAAGTGGCGGAAAGAAGAAAAAGAAGGGCAAGAAATAAAAAGGTTGTTGTGTTTTATTATTTTGGGTGCATTTATTGCATTTACGAGGCGTTCTCCATGTCTTCTTTTTTTCGCGCCCAGATTTCAGCAGGGCCTAAGCCAATTTCTTACGATCTAAGCTTTCTTCTTTTCTTTTATTTGCTTCTTGTAGAGACATTATAGATGAATCTGTATTGTATGTAACTGTACATCATACATTTCTCTTCGGAATCATTCACGTTTAAAGTTTTTGGTGACTCTCGCTTTTTCACTGCGGAGTGCAAGATATACATATATCATATATATTACCTATACGGTGTATAGATATGTCAATATGTTATTAGGACAAGTGCAGCGTGTTAAAAAATCAATTGTAAAAGTAGATGCACTTCGTGAATCGAGCAAATGAACATTATGGAGAGAATTTAGAAATGAATAGTGATTGATTTCATGATTTGATATGCCCTTCGTTAAAATCTGCCGCGCAGAGGAATAAATGTGAAAACCCCAGCTTCCGAGTAGAGATGCCAAAACGCCTTTGAGAAAATGATAAAGAATGGGTAAAGGTTCATGCCCGTCTATACGCAGACAACATAATTTTAGGCCTCGAGACAGAGGGGGAAAACGTCAGGGGAAGAAAAATGATTAGAAAGTGGGATAATGGGGCCGGAAGTAATCCAAGAAAAAGTGGAGCACATGAGGCTCTCCAGAGAGGAAAAGAAACAAAGAGGATTGATGCGTTTAAAAGTCCTCATCAAAGGTGATACCGCCGCCAGCCTCAGCGTGAGCACGAGCCTCAGCACCGGGAGCCTCCTTCTTGGTGCTAGCCATGACACCGGCCTTCTGGTAGTCTCCAACACGCTTCTCGAAGAAGTTGGTCTTGCCGGGCAAGGAAATGGACTCCATAAAGTCAAAGGGGTTGGTTGCGTTGTAGTACTTCTCGTTACCGAGAGCATAGAGCAGACGGTCAGCAACGAACTCAATGTACTGCTTCATCAACTCAGAATTCATGCCAAGCAGAGCCACGGGGAGAGCATCGGTCAAGAACTCCTGTTCAATAGCGACGGCCTCGACAATAATATTCTGCACAACCTGCTTGCTGGGGCGATGGCGCAAGTGCGAGAAGATAAGACAGGCAAAGTCGGTGTGCAGACCCTCGTCACGCGAGATGAGCTCGTTGGAGAAGGTCAAGCCGGGCATGAGACCACGCTTCTTGAGCCAGAAAATGGAGGCGAAAGAGCCGGAGAAGAAGATACCCTCGACGGCAGCAAAGGCCACAAGACGAGAGGCGTAAGTTGACTCTTTATCCGTGATCCACCGGAGAGCCCAGTCGGCCTTCTTGCGAATGCAAGGAACTGTGTGAACACTCGTTAGCAATGGCTCAGGCTGAGGCTCAGGATTTCTTGACGGGTACTCACTAGTGTCAACGGCGTCGAAAAGGAAGGTCCGCTGTGCGGGATCGCTAATGTAGGTGTCGATCAGGAGCGAGTAAGTCTCAGAGTGGATATTCTCAACCATAATCTGGAAGCCGTAGAAGCTGCGAGCTTCAGGAATTTGGATCTCAGAGCAGAATCGCTGGGCAAGATTCTCGTTGACGATACCGTCCGAGGCAGCAAAGAAGGCAAGAACATAGGAAATGAAGAAACGCTCGTCATCGTTCAGACGGTCGTTCCAGTCGGACAAATCCTTGGAAAGGTCAATCTCCTCAGCGGTCCAGAAGGATGCTTCGGCCTGCTTGTAGAATTGCCAGATCTATACAGAGTAGCATCTGTTAGTAAGGGGAAGGACGGAAAGAAATGATGGTAATAGATTGTGAAGACTAACGTCGTTGTACTGAATGGGGAACATGACAAAGCGGTGAGGGTTTTCCTTGAGCAGAGGCTCATCCTGCTCGTCGAATTCGTAGGTCGTGCCCTGGACCAAAGGCTGCTTCTCATCACGATTCTGGATCGCAGAAGGGACGCTCAACTTGGCATCCTTTCCTAGAGGCGTGGGCTTGGCTCCAGCAATGTCCGCCACAGCAGGACGCTCTCTGCCAATGGCCAGCTATTGACGAGATTAGCAATGCCGCAAAAGCAGGTCGACGGGATCGAAAGGACTGTAATCACTCATACCTTTTGCTCGGGAGTCGTCATGGTCGTTGGTGCAAGATAAGCTAGCTGCAGAATATCGATCAAAAGATAAAATGGGATGATCAAGGGAGTGAAGATGCAAGAAGAAGCAAAATCACAGAGCCCGGCAACGCGAGACGCGTGTCAACAAAATTTAAAGTGGTTGCAGGGACAGTTGCAGGGAGAAAGGGAAGAGTGGCGGAGGGGCAGCTGTACGTTTTTGTATCTTTAATGGGTTTTCCGCCCAGTCGGCAGGCGCGGGACGTGTTTAGCGCGTCAGGTCACGTTTTGACGCGATCTGATCACCCATCTGACGACTCTGATGACTTAACCACTTCTTTCTTCCCTGTGCTCCACATCCGTCTCCGACCCTCCACGACGGGCTCATTCGATGGAGCTTTTGTCGTCGCCGAGACACGGCACAATGATCCCTCCTTCCTAATTACTCACTAGCCTCATCCATCTTTTGCATTTTGGCTTCTGCGGAATGGATCTAATTTGCTACATGGTTGAATCAGGAATGACAATTCCAAAGCTACTCCTGCTACCTCGTGTGAGTGTCTTGCGGATCAGCAGTCATGGAAGAGTCAGACTCCGTGAGGCCATTCCCTCTAGGGTAATGAACTGCAAATGCCCTGGAAGACCCTGCGCCATGGCCCCTTGTCCGAACCCGGATGTTGCCAGCTTTTATTCGCGTTTATACTCGTATGGATTGCTATAATTTCGCGATGTTTACGGAAGCATTGATAATGTACTCCACTTGCTGGTTCGGTTTAAGTTGAACACAGAGTGCTTCTCTTGATCTGCTGCTGCCTAAGCGTTTGTGGAGAACATTCTTCGAATTAAAACAGAGCTCACCAAATTGACGCATGATCTTCTTTGTTTATGCATGTTTGTCTCGGAGAAGATAAACTTGACGTTGCTGACAATGTAATTGGTCATTGCATAAGGAGCATGCTCCTCAACTCCATTGGCCCATCCTTGGTCGGCGGAACAATGTAATTTGGTCCACTGAAATGCCAATCTTTATCTGATGCAGAATGGCCCAACCCTACTCACGGCATTCCAGGGGCATCCTTTATAGTTCTTTTTTTAGGCTCCATCTATATTTATCTGTTTAAATAGAGATCCAAGCATGGCAATGCCAAGTTGTACTTGAAAAGACCCAGAATATAGCATGCAATCATCTGTGAATCGCTCAAGGACACGCGACTCAGTACGCCACAATTCTTCTATCACACCTGATGACTTCTAACTTTTTCGAACCATGCGGAAACCGTGCTGAAACAACGCCGTGCAAGTGACAATGAGACTATGTACATGCATAAATGGTATCAAGCTGCACGCTATGAGGCTAAAAGTGGCCCCCTTCTATACGAGCGCTCTTGTGGCGCTTATAACTTCTCCTTGAGCGAGGGAGACAAAATACGGTTCTCCAACAAGCGCATGTACTTGTTGGTCTGCTCTGCTAAACTCAAAGTAAGGACCTATTGTGCAGTTAGTGACGCCGAACATATTTTCCAACGGGAAGTGGAGACAAACCGTGTGGGGAAGAATGCGGGCCAAGTGGGCAAAGAATCCCTTGTAAATGGCAAAGAGGCCTTCAGTACTGACGGTCTTGTATAGGCAGTCGAAGACGCCCTTGTAAAGGTTGCCGGTCTGGTTGTACATGCGCGACATGACCGTGTCTATTCATTCCATGAGTATTGAAGCTTCTTAGCTTTGGTAAAAGGCGGATGACTTACCAGGCGGATGCATGACGCAGCAAACGACGAAACCACTGCAAGTACTGCTGGCCAAATGCAGCGCGGGACCTTCCTCCATGCCCAAGTGTCGCATGAGTCGGCGTTTGGCGAAGAAGTAAGTGGGTAGCTGCACCGAGCTGCCAAAACCCGTCCGGACCATGGCGGCACCGACGCCTCGATAAAGACCCTTAACACCCTCGTTGCCATAGATCTGGCGGAGACCATCCACTGCATTTCGGTAGTGGTGCTGTGTGCCGACGGGCAAGAAAGGAGAGTAAGATTGCAGACGCGTCTTGACGAGGAAGAAAGGTGAGCCTGCAGCAGCACCGATGATACCAGAGCTGGCACCACTGAAAATGTTCACACCGAGTGATTGGACGGCAGGATCGTGGAAGATTGTTGTAGTCAGGTTCTTTCGAATCGGCTCGTAAAAGCCCAGCCGGCAGCCGTTGAGAATCATCTGATAGATGTACTAAAGGCGGGCATCAGCGAAAAAGAGAGGTTCTCTGAATTCAATGGCAAGAGGTAGGTGACGAGCTTACGGCAGAGCCAATGCCTCGAAACAATCCTCGGAATCCCTCATTCTTGATAATGACAGCGACACCATGACCCACACCCTTGTAGAGTCGTGGGGCTTCTTTGCTCGCCTGCAATTCACCCTGGAGTTGCAACCTGTTTTGAGTCCAACCATGCATGAGCGCGAAATGAACCACAAGGAAGTTTCGGAATATTCGAAAACCGGGTTAAACGCACCGAATTTTGACCATTTCGAATCCATGGGTAACGGTGACGGCTCCGCACGCAGCGATACCACCGGCGATGAAGCCACTGTGAAAATGTACCTGTCAGCGCCAGACAAAATCGGACTGATATGAATCAAGCAGGCAGGCGAACCCTAAGGTGGTCGACATGATCGTCGGCGATGTACGGTCTTATCTTATGCTTTCAAGAAGATATAAAGTTGATATTAATTCGAGAGGCCCGTCGTGAGCGAGAGATGGGAAATGAGAAAATAACCAGCAAGGACTAGCAGTGGTATCGAAGAGGTGAGGTTGAATGTGAGTTGTCGGTGGTTGGAGGTAGGTGTGGGTTGTGCGATAATATAATGCGCTTGTAATAAAATGTATGATAAAGCAGTGGATCAGGAAGCAATTAGTCGGAAACAAAAGTCAGGTAAAATCCAAGAGCTGCAGGGAATGTTTCTGCACGAATACCCCGGGATGATATGATTGTGTCGGCCCGTTACAGCTGAATCTCCCCTTCGTGGGCCCCGACTCGCGGTCAAAAGACCGCCACCATGACGGCGAAACTGTCTGGGCTGAGCAGTTAGAGCGGGCCGGAATCGGAGCAAAATCTAATTAACCTCTTTTTGCTTTTTTTCAGGGGATCGACTTGCGCCTTTTGGGAAAGATTTACTCCCCATCCTGGTAATCTTGACAACGGCAACCTCGGAACTTTATTTCTCTGCCTTCCTACAGCCAGTGGCATTATCATTCTGTAGTTTTGTTAAAGTCAGCACTTCCTTCTCACTCGGGGCAGTGCAGCATTATCTGACATAAGATTGCATAAACTTTATTCGTCTCACTGTCACATTCACTGCCAATGGCAATCATTCAATTCACCACAGGCTCACCACACCAAAGGATATATAAAGATGATAATGAGAATAATTAGAATTTGATCTGTTGAATCGTTGTAGCTCGTATCTGATTGAGACGATGATCCAGACTAATCAGCACTAATCGCGACGATTCCCCATACCGTCATTCGCTAGGTGGAAACCTCCAACTCTTCTCACTGAAGCATGCCTGAACGATCCCCACACTGGAGCTTCCACTGATCAATCCAACTCTAAAATCTTCCACTGTACCAGGCATGTCGCGTGTCTGACGACGCTCACTCATCCATACTCCTCTAAAGTCATCATGGCCGGCCCTGTGCCTCCAGGCCAGCAACCTCCGGTGGCCAAGGTCAGCGATGTAGTCCAGAGCTTTCGAGCGACCAAGGTATGTCCGTATCCTGCTAAATTCCATGGCAGTAAATATCATCTCCTCCTCCCCTCAATTCAATGATGCATGTATTGACAGAATATTGCCCCTTCTAGCTCTTCCGCTCCCAAAAGCCCGACGTGTCATTCACCTCTCTCGACTTTGATGACTCGGGCGAACTTCTGCTCAGCGCCAGCAATGACGAGAGCTTGCATCTCTATAGCTGTCGCGAAGGCAAATTCTCCAAGACACTCTACAGCCAAAAGTACGGCGCGCACCTTGCACGATTCACACATCATTCCCAGAGTATCATCTATGCCAGTACAAAAGTAGACGGTACGACATGCCTTCTTCATTTCCTTTCATACGCTATTTTCCCCAAAATCTAACCTGATTCCTTGTCAGATGGCATCCGCTACCTCTCGACCCACGATAATCAATTCATCCGCTACTTCAAAGGACACACCGGACCAGTTACCTGCTTGACCATGAACCCTGGCAACGACGAATTCCTATCGTGTTCCGTTGACGATACTGTTTTACACTGGGACCTGCGCTCATCCTTCCCAGCCGGCAAGCTCAACCTGCATACTCCATACCTGGCCGCATACGATCCGTCCGCGACAGTCTTTGCCGTTGCATCGCCCTCGACCAGCAGCATCCTCTTATACGACGTCCGCAACTACGACAAGCCCCCGTTTGCAACCTTTGACATGGCGCCGCACGAGCACACCTTTACACCCAAGACGGTCGGTCGAGAATGGACCACTCTGTCCTTTTCCAACGACGGCAAGTTCCTGCTTCTAGGCACCAATTCCACGTCTCCAGGCCACTTTCTGCTCGATGCCTTTGACGGCCGTCTTGCTGCTTTCCTTGCGCGGCCCGCATTCGGCAGCGCTCCGCCCACGCGTCTCGCCGCATGCGTGTCACCTTCTTCCCATAACAACAATTCCGGCGGCAATGGCGGCGCTGTTCCAGGTCAAGGAGATGTGTGCTTTTCGCCCGACGGCAAGTTTGTCTTGGGTGGCACCGGCGGCGACCAAGATCTAGCTGTGTGGGATGTTCAAAATGTGCAGGACAAGGTAGTCAAGTCGGTGGCACAGCTACCATTCAAGGCGCGGGCCGCCATGGTCGCGTATAATCCGCGCTTGAATGTGCTTGCCAGCGCAGACAAGGAAGTCGTGCTCTGGGTGCCTGATCCGCATGCTTAATCTGGATCCCCCCTTCGACAATCTATACTGGATTATTCGCTTCCGCAATTGCGACACGTTTGGGAACAACAAGTCGAATATTTATCTCCGCAATTGCTGGGATAGGGACGGGCTTAGCCAGGCGTCGGAAGACCTACTTTGATCGCAAAAGACAAAAGCATTACATGGACCATTTCATCCTTTATCAAAAATCCGCAATATGTCGTTATTTGGGCGGTATCATTTCATGCCAGTGGGCGGCTGGAATTTCCACAGGGTCTACGGTCCTTCTCAAAAAGCATACCATGGCATATCATCCTGGCGAATCACGGCGACGGGCGTTCTGCTTCCACTTGTCCTTTTGTAATGGACATATCGATACCGGGATCCTTTTCTCTTTTTTTCTTTTAATTCTCCCATTTCTCTTTTTCCCCCTATTGAATCATTTCCTCATTGCCTTGAGCTATTTTCCCGTCATTTTTCCTACCACGTTCATCATAGCTATCCGTATCCCACCTTTCATATCAAATCATACCAATTTCGCATCAATCAAGTATCATTCTTCTACCACTTTGATATCAATTCAATCCAAAACCAATGAGAAGAAGGAGAACAAATAGATATTGTTTAACTCGAATGTACTAACATTCGTCAGTCATTCGCGCGAAAGAAACTAAATGCGTTCTCGACGCAGGTATGTATGTACTCTGTACGTAACCATAAGACCATAACACATAATACGTAAAACGTAATACTAAGTTGCGAATAAACCAATACCTACTCCCCCTACCCCATACCCAATACCAACTACCCAATAAACCTGAATCCCAAGCCCAAAGCCCAAACTTCCGGCCCCTGATATTGTTTCTTTCTCCTTTCTTTCTTTCTTTCTTTCTTTCTTTTTCTCCCTCCTCCTTCCGGGGCCACAATAAGGAAGGGGGGCAAAAAGAAAAGAAAAGAACAATGGATACCTCCTCCCGAATCAAGCCCACAAAAACACCAAGTGAAAAGATACGCCCCCAAAACATCCATCATCATTTCTTTCAGCGCTGCAGGTTTTGTCTGAATAGGCCCAACGGGTACATCAAGGAAGGGAGCCGGAATGTGGATATATAAGATCCAGATCACGTTTTACCAACAAACCCAGCACAGCAGGACCGACAAACAACTAACCAATACCATGACGGTAAAACAAGACGAAAGATATTGTCTGAAGGAACAGTGACAAAAGTGGTGACTGAGGTACTAGCCACAAGTACCCGAAATAGAGCCGCAACTTCCCAGGACAGTGACAATGGCCACCGATACCTGAAACAACAATGACAAACACAACGACAACGACAACGACAAGAATGACGACAACACTAAGCAGTCATGCCACAATTCGTACAGACCAGCTTCTGGGGCCCGCCACGCGCCCGAGTTTTTGCTTTGAAACTGGTACTTCCGCAACGGCGACAACTCAGCTGTTCGTCATCGGCATCATCGTCTGAGCTTTCGCCGGAGAGGGGAGATTCTTCCGAGCTGAGGGTGCTGGAGATGGAATTGCGACTGACGACTGACGCGCGCGGGGGACGTAAAAGACCGTTTTGGTCTACGTCTGAGCCTGCTTGTCCTCCTCCTCCCGCTCCTCCTCCCCCTCCTGCTTCTCCATTAGGATTAGGGCCATTGCCAGTGTCGGTTTGCCAGAGATGGAATTGCTGCCCGCGCCAGTTTTGCTGGTCCCAGAAGAGATAGGACTGGTCGCCCTGGAGCGCGAGGGGGTTTTCGTCGGTGGTTTTGGGGAGGCCGGGGATGGAAGGGGCGCGGGAGGATGGTGTGGAGGTGGTGGCGTTGGCGTTACCGGCGCCGACTGCGGCTGCGGCTGCGGGGATGGTAGTGCCGTTGGTTGTGGTCGAAGAGCGATTGGATTGCGGCGGCTGCTGTTTTTGGGATGGCGGAGGTGGCGATGTGGACGGTAATGAGTCTTTGCTTTGGGTCGATGGTTGCTGCTGCTGCTGCTGCTGCTGCTGCTGCTTGTGTTGAGACTTGGAAGTTAAAGGGATATGAAAACGATGATCATGATGCTGGGGTTGCTGGTTCTGAGCCAATTCGAGAGAAGGAGCGCTGGCAGATGGAGTCCGCGCGAGATGGCTTGATCCATTGGTGGTCGGTCTGTGCGCCGAGCGGGAAGATTGGAACGATTTGCGGCTGACGGGTTTTCGGGGCGACGAACTACGATGTCGGTTGCCGTTCGCATTGGCGTAAATTCCGCCGTCGAGGCTCTGGTTGCTGACGATAGAGTTGCGCCAGGAGAGAATACGATCAGACGATGGCTGCGAGAGTCCATGCAGTGCGTTGTTGTGGTTGCTGCGGAGCCGGCCAGCGCTGGCTTTGGTAGACGTGCTAGGGGATCGACCGAGAAAGCCGGAGCCGATGCGTCTGGAGAAGGATGACGCGGTCTCCCAGTTGTCGCTGCGGCGCTTTTGGTATGCGCAGTCCTGGCGAAAGACTTTGATAAGGCCTAGATAGTCGGCCGTGATTATGATATTGCCATTCTTATGCGTGGATCGAGCAATGTAGCCGGGTGATTCAGCTGGTCTCTCATTGGTTGATGGTCGTCTGGAGCTGCCTTTAGTCGTGGTCGCTTTGAGGTTGTCGTCTGAGCGTTTCGACGATATTTCTGATTCGGCCGACACAAGTACAACGGGCGGTGGATTGCAAATATCGTAGAGAGGATCGCCAGAGCGTCCGAGTAGTTGACGCGTCTTGCTCGGCGCAAAGATTGCCGTTGTTGTAATGGCTGGATGTGCTTCAAAAAACTCAACGGGTTGCCTGTCTTTCTTCTCGCCTTCTGCGGGTCCGGTTGTCCATATGTATGCCTTGCGGTCCTCGCTGCCACAAATGACATAGCGCGCGTCGTCGCTAAAAGTGGCGCGGATTTGACTGCATGTGTTTTCGTTGCCTTTAAATTTGATTTCTAATCCCTTGTCCCGGAAGTTGTAGAGTCTGACACGCGAGTCGTTGCTTGTGATGAGAAGCTTGACCTCTCCATTGGGATTGTCGGGAGGTAGATTGATAGCCTGAATTCCGGTAATCTTGCTGCCCTTGGCGTTTCGGCCGTGCGCAGATCTGACGTGGATTTGCGTGTGGTATTTTAGCCCTTCAGTGTCGTAAAAGAGACATACTCCATTGAGACAGCCCGCGATTGCTATGCGACCATCTGGAGTGAATGCGACGGCGGTAACGAGGTCAGGCACCTGGTTCCAGTATGCTACGCTCTTGTCGGGAATGCTCCATAGGCGCAACTTCATGTCCAACGATCCAGCCAAAAAGAACCGATCATCACGCGGATGAAATTGAATAGAGGTGACAAAATCATTGTGTTTGAAACAACAGAGACATTCCGCTCGAGAGACATGCCATAGGCGCACAGTCTTGTCCATTGACGAGGAAAGCAAAAAGTTGTTCTGCAAATTCCCTTGAGTGAGTAACCATCCTTCACATTGTTTGTGGCGGGGAGTGTGGAAGTGTAATTTACCTTGCTCCAACTCAGATCTAATACCGTAGATGTATGGCCCTTGTACACGCGTATTGGATTCCTCTTGAAAACCGGAGCGTCTAATCGGATCGCGTCTTCTCCGGTATGGTCGGCCGTCGCATCTTCTTCGTTCTCATGTGCTTCTCGCTCTTCTTGCGTTGAGATTACAGCCCACACCCGGACAACCTTGTCCTCTCCACCCGCAGCCAGATATTTCCCATCCTTGCTAAATTCTAGCGCCCAGGTAGCGCAGGCTTTCGGAGTTGGTGATGTTTGCGATGCCTCAGCTGTACTGCTATTCTGGAGCTCCTGGGCAAGGAAAAGGCGATTAAAGTCCTTTTCCCTCTTGTTTCGAGACCTCACCTTAATGTATTTTGGAGGTGGGGGAAATCGCGGCGAATAGGCAATGTGTTCCACCGGGTGGGAAAACACCCGAGCTTCCATGCCTTCTATCCTACTATCCCCTTGTTCAGAACCATCTTCATTGTAGTCTGAAGATGAATCCCTTCTCTTATTTCCCATGAATCGACTAAGGAACGAGACACCTTTCCTGTAGGAATCAATGTGTTAGGTCAGCGCAATTCGTCAATTGAGCAAACGCACGTCTATTAGGCCCGAAGGGAGTATGCGACAAAGACGTTAAGAGTAGGGAAGATAACAATACTGCTTGGTTGGATTATCATTGAGGAGCGGAATCATACCTTTTCTCCTTCTGCGGCGCGGCAGCGCTTGTCTCGCCCCGGGCGGGCTCAGCAGGAGCGCTACGATCGCCTGGCGGTGCGACAGCGGATCCGTCATCGCGATTGCCTGCTGCTTCAAGGGCGCTGCTTCTCAGCTTCTGCGGGATAAGGTTCTCCGTATGCGTGCGTTTGAGGATATGCTAGGACCGCATTAGTGTCGGTGCGTTACAGGAGCGCAAAACGGTAAGAGGGCTGCAGATACGGTGGGGGTGGTAGTAGCATACTTGTGAGAGCGGATCGATTACCGCCAATGATGCTTGAGAGTCATCTGCGCTCTGAGGTAGCGATGTCTGGCTCTGGTTCAAAGCGTCTTTGGCTGACAAGTTGCGAATAATCTTGTTTGGGAGAATCTTAGATGTCGCAGTCGGCTTAGCTAGGCCACGGTCAGCACGAGGAATTTCAAAACCGAATGTTCCACAGCTCAATCTCAAACAAAGAATGTGAGCGGGTATAATTAGAGACGGACCTTCTCCATCAGAGCGCGATTTTGGTCCGGTTTCATTCGAAGAGACCGTGGCAGCGAGGCTTGGCGACGGGGACAGCGACGGGGACGCTCCAGGCGACGGATTGGGCGACGCGCCTGGAGAGATGAATTCATCTTCGTCGGGCGCATGTGAATCGGTCACCCGTATCTCAGGCACGGTCTCCGTCATGGTCAGAGAAGCTTCATGGAGCAATTCAATGAAAGTCAAGTAGTACTGCGAGAATTAGATAGGAATAATATGTGTGGCGCGCACGTAAATTGACGCTTCTGTCTCCAATTGATAGTTCCCCAACCAGCTATGACGAAGGGGGTTCGTTACCGAAACTCCGTCCAGTCCCGCTCACTGATCCATCGGCCGTTCTGGATTGTTGCATCGACCTGGAGGAGTCTTGGAGGGAGATTATCATCTCTCGATAAACCCTTGAATCATGATTTCAACTGCATTCGTAATCACTTTTCTCCATCTCCTGTAGCTCTCTCCCAGTTTGACATGACACTATCAAATCCCTTACACCACGCTAACTTTTGTTGCACAAATTGGATTATAACAGTACCAACCTGTCTCCACACACCAGAATGTTATATCTTCATTGCCAGCTGGACAGGTTATAATATAATGTAAGATTCAGCCAACATTAAAAAATGAAAAAAGCATAAGAGCAGGTTGACAATTCGAGTAGAGCGTGAAAGGTCTGGTCATGGTTTATCGTAGTAAAATTGGTCATAATCAATGTAGAATTTTACCTATTAATCTTCAGCTCCAGTAGTGTGATCAGCACTTGGGATGAGTTCCTTCAAGAATAATGCCCCGAATGTACGACCAGGGGTTTCTCACTGCAGCAAAATTATTGATGTTGCATAATTTAATAAGATGAGAAGGCCCCAGACCCTAGGCAAGTAGTTACGAGTGTGCGCATGTATGTACACTATGGTGTAGGGCTGGAGGTAAGAGGACCACTCGCAAAATTGCTGACTGTTGCATCTTAGTTTCCATCGCCAATAGGATCATATTATGTGACGAGCAGACACCGTTGTTAAATTAATATTAAGAATTGCATGGATACAAAAACAATGCACGATGAGTCCATTTTCAAACGGGATTCTACTCACCTTCGTAGGCGTTCCGTGCATCAACCCTTGCTAGCAATGCCAGCAATGGCTTTCGAGGTACCGATAGTTACCGACAGAGACAGGGAGGTCTGTGGTAAACAATGTGGCACGCGGACACATACTGCATCACAAATTATCAGCATCTTCCCGCATTATTACTGGTCTCTCAGCCCGCTGGCATCGTATACGCGACGAGAACTCACTGGAGCCATTAGTTATATATCATATGCCCCCCAGAATACCGGTCAGGCGTTGCATGGACAAATCCAGCTCTTCCTGCAGCATCGCGATGCCTCCATTCCCCTTTCATCTTAATATGACAGGGCTGCCATATCCCTTCCCCCGCAAAAGCAAATGTGGTAAATTGGACCGACACTGGCACCCTTTCTCCGGCAAAATCCCATTGTACTCCGGTATAGGGAATCCGTACCGCAAAATGCTGGACCACGGTCTCAGACTCTTGTTCAATGAGCAATTCCAAACACGTCTTCCCTCATTTACAAAAATTACCTGCACAAGTGCGATAAGTCGATTTGTCGGATCCCACTCCGCGTCCCCGATGCTGATTATCCTTCTGCAGTGCGATGCATGTTGCTCGCGAGGTATCATGCGAATCCACAAATGACCCCTTGATGCCGTAGCTGATTTGAGTACTGCATATAATCCTTGTACGCCCCCGGATCTGGCGTTCTCACCTTTCCGAGAAAAGTGCGGAATTCTATACCTCATGGTTGTAGTGGTTGGTTGGCTGACGGGCTTTGCTCACTCCACCCTTGATGCTTCCCCACAATGCCCCTGCAAAGACCCCTTCGTATAGTGCCGGTTTCTCCGCCTTTTCCAATTTCCCGGTTCATGTCACCCTTCCCTTCTTCAGCCATGGCCACCTAAGGGCCGTTGGTAAGCAAGCGAGGCAACTCGTAATGGTCACCGCTCATCCATGCCTTCAATCCTCCCCATAAGATGCTGCTACCGCGAAGCTGAAAAGTGGCCTGGAAAGGCCATAGCGAGGCGGATCACCATCATCAACAATTTCTTCAACGGCGACAAATACCTTGCATAGACCGAGCATGAACAGGCAAGTTGAAAGAGATTGGTATAATGCTCCTTTGCGAGGATGTGGGAGCAAACATGTCTGTGGATTCTCTCGAAATCAATGCCAAGGCTGGATCTAGCACAAAGCATCAGCTTCCCAGGCTCGGTTCCGCTGATGAGGAGCGTTCAGCGGACATAAAAGGAGCTTCTTCTAAAAGGGCGAGACCCGTGGTTGAGGCCAACAGCGACCTTACAGCCGGGCCAAACAAGAGGCGTCTTCTCCATTCTTGTCAAGTCACTTCCAGGCAGACGCGGCCTTTTGCAGCTCCTGCGCCCCATGGCGTCAATCAAAATTCTTTGAGAGCAGCGATCCGGTCCAGACAAAGAGCACTAGGAAGTGATGGGATGAGGAGACAGGCATGGTTGAACAGTCTGCGGATACGAGGATCTGAATTGAAAGAGCTGGATAGAGAAGCTTTCGAATTGGTGGAAAGACACCATAGGTAAGCCTTTCAGCGAAATCACAAACCTTCCTGCGCGGCCGTTTCTCCCCGGCGTACTGAACAATGAATAGAGAACAATCAAGATCTATAGAACCTGCGCCGCCAGCTCACCCTGTTCCTCGCCTGTTGTCGTCGTCTTTGGGATTATCAAATTATGACGCTTTCGATGCTGAAGATATAATGTTGCAAGAGACTGAAGATAGCGGGCCACCCCTGATATATAGCGATTTCAACTTCACTGATTCAAATACACCGATCGCGCCGAGCGGTATCTGGGACAGCGCCATGCATATCCTTGACGAACCGAATGAAGACCATGAGAGCAGTTCTGAAGAGCTCAAGGAGGCGGAGCAGCAGAGTCGTTTATCGTTCACTCAATTCATTTAAACGCATTCCAAAATTCCAATTACGGCTTCGCCGTTGTATCAAATATCGAAGCGAATCAAAGTATATCCACAGAAAACAAAAAAATCGTCTATAAAAAAATCCGAAAACTCGATTAGGATATCATTTTAACGTCGTGCTGTGATTCTTAGTCCTTGCAAATTCTCTAGACTGAAATGGCAGGCTTCAGCTTGTTCGACCTATCTGCAGCAATTTGACACATGGCCTAGATATTCTCCCCTCAGTTTCGCTCATCTTCAATAGTACGGGTTTTTATCTGGGAATTGAGATACCTTTATCGCTTCCAATTTCTCAGCCTGCAAATCTCCTCTTTTGATCCGCTCTCTCATGTTTTCCATTATGACCGGACGACTCCGTCCATTGACGAAGACACTGAAACGTCAATGTTAGCCATCTTTTGTGAAACAATGGGCTCAGGACGGTGGTCTTGCGTACACGTAGATGAGGCCGGGAAATGTAGCTTCGTACTCCTCATTCAATTTCCGCAATTCTTCCGCCTCTTCTTCCCCGCCCTTGTTCAGCTGCGCCTGCTCCGCCTGGCTCTGAGCACTATCCACCTTCTTCGCCCCTAATCTGGGATGAGCTCCGAGGATCTTGACGAGCCACTCGGTATCGCTTGTCGATGGTGATTCGGCGAGTTCGGTCAGCTGGACGCCTACGCTGGAAATGAGCTCATCGTAGGAGTCAAAAGTCTTTGTGCCAAGCAATTCGATTGATAGTGTATGGAGAGGAACACATGGTTCAAACAGGTGGTCTAGAATTGCGGCCCTCTCTTCGGCAGAGAGAGAGGGAACCGTGTCGATCCCGGGCAGATAGTAGTCGGCCATTCTGAGAAAAGTGAAGCAATTCAATCACGTTGCTCAATGAATCGTCTGGAGAATAAGGACTATTAGGTAGAAATTCAAGGGTATAATTATAGTTCTAGCAGATTGAAGTAAGAAATTGTGACTAAGAAATGAGTTCAAGATAGCTGATATGCACATGCGTAGTAAATTGAATGACATACAAGAACACGAGGGGAAACAACAATAAGGTTAGGGGAGTGATGCAACCGACGGGAGCATTTGGCGGGGGCGCTATGCCGTTTTGAGCCAAGGGTCCGATTTCGCTTCGAAAATTTGGATTTTACACGCCACAGCAAGTCAAACAGAGAGCTATGACAGGGCCTGCGCCATATGATTCATCCGCCCGCTAATTGTAAAGTTGCGCGACTATTATTCAAGAGAAACGGCCCATTATATACTACTAAACTACTACTACTCATCACCACCATCACTCAATCGATATCCTCTCTAATTCATAACAATTGACTTTTCAATTAATACACACACAATGGCCCCGGCTTTCCCTGAAAAGAAGTGCGGTAAATATACCCCCACCTACTATCGTTAATATCGAAACCCCGCCATTGACAAGACTGAATAACAGGTGTTCTGGGCTGCACCGGCTCGGTGGGGCAGCGATTCATTCTGCTGCTCGCACTGCACCCCCACTTCAAGCTGCATGCTGTCGGCGCTTCGTCGAGGTCAGCAGGCAAGAAATACAAGGATGCTGTCAAGTGGAAGCAGTCGCTGCCCATGTCCAAGGAGATTGGCGAGCTCGTCGTGAAGGAGTGCAAAGCGGAGGAATTCAAGGACTGCGACTTGATCTTCTCCGGACTTGACAGCGACGTCGCTGGAGAAATTGGTATGCATTCAATAATTCATTCATGGCTTCAGCCCCGCCTCGAAGATCACTCCCCACGAGCATCTTTTGTTCTTCTGACCAGATCAAGACTAATTAGATATCGACTGATACACAGAGACGGAATTCATCAAGGCTGATCTCAAGGTCTTCTCCAACGCCAAGAACCACCGCAAAAACCCCCTTGTCCCTCTTGTTGTGCCGACTGTCAACCTTCCCCATTTCGAACTCATCCATCACCAGCGCAAGGAATATGGTCTGAACCAGGGCTTCCTGGCATGCAACTCCAACTGCTCCGTCATTGGCGTTGTCATCCCCTTTGCTGCCCTCCAGGCCAAGTTCGGCCCCGTCGACATGGTCAGCGTTGTCACCTTACAAGCCATTTCGGGAGCTGGCTATCCCGGCGTCAGCGGCATGGACATGCTGGACAATGTCGTGCCCTACATTTCTGGCGAGGAAGACAAGCTTGAGAGTGAGGCGCGCAAGATTCTGGGAGGCGTGAACCAGGAGGGCACCGCCTTCGTCGAGCAGTCCGATCTGAGAATCTCCGCGGCTTGTAACAGAGTGCCCGTCTTGGACGGCCACCTTGCCTGCGTGTCGCTCAAGTTTGCCAAGCAGCCCGGTCCCTCCGCCGAGGAGGTCAAGAAGGCCCTGAGCGAATATGTTTCTGATGCGCAGAAGCTCGGATGCCCCTCGGCACCCAACAACGCCATTGTCGTCATGGAAGAGGACGACCGTCCCCAGCCTAGACTCGACAGAGAGACGGACAGAGGGTATGCCGTCAGCGTCGGCCGTGTCCGTGAGGACGAGGCTGGCATTTTTGATATCAAGTTTGTTGCTCTCAGCCATAACAGTATGTCTTTCCCTTCCCCCAGGGGTTGTTCCACTTGTTTTTCCACTTGCATACACTAACTCGATCCTCCAGCCATCATCGGTGCCGCCGGCTCATCCATTCTCAACGCCGAAGCTGCTGTTCTCAAGGGTTTTGCCTAAGCGAAATAAAAAATTTCCTACACCTTTTGTGTATTTTTTAGATATTTACGTCCTATCATCATGTAGAAGAATTACGAAACTGCCATTTCAGAAGAAATCTCATCATCATCATCATCATCATCATCATCAAAGCTTTTGAATCGTACCCCAGAGCTACCATTATGCATTCATGTGACATCTGTGATACTGGACGTGCTCGGAGAAATGATAAGGACACTTAAATCTCAAAGACTGCCGATCGCGGAGAAGACACCCCAAACATCTAGAACATATATTAAGTTAGTGGAAATACTATATTCTCAAGGTAATCAGTATACGGGAGTAATGACCAGGCACCTCGCGCGGGTTATCGATATGTAGTGCCAGGCGTCAGTTGTCAATGGTACTATAGGTGCTTATGACTTACTAGCGCAAGAGCAAGGCGAACTCCAACATAGACAAGCTCCGCGGCGGCCGGAGTCCTCCGCTTCCTTTCCGCTCCTCGCAACGGCGATGGCCACCCAGCTGTTGACAGGGGGTGCGGAAATACAGAGAGCAGTGCTATAATCTTCACCAATGCAGAGCCTCACGACTGATAAGACAGAATAGGTAATGAAGAGCTCACATTCGATAGGAAGAAATAGGAAAAAGAAATAAAATAAGAAAAAGGCAAGTAATATTTTGACATTAAAAAAAGGAATGTAATTAATCGCATTACAGAAGTAGTACACGCAACTAAGAATATGAAACATGGCTTACATAGGTCGGCTCGGCAGGGAATAATAGAAGAAATAACATAACCGGAGAGGTTCTGATAAAAGAGGTTCTGATACAAATGCCAAAGCCATACTTCCGTGACACAGGAGCCTTGAACGGTCCATTCCCGTTGTTGGTCCTTTATTGTTGGTGGTGGTGGTAGTGGTAACGACTAGATTCGCGCGGCGAAACTCGCTCCACAATAAGAAAATTAAAATAAATGCACGCTCAAACGTTGTAGCTGGAAAAGAAGGAGAGGAAAGGGAGAGGTGGGGGAAAAAGGAGAAGAAAAAATGACAAAAACGCAGAAATCGCCCAAAACACCTTGGAGCAATGGAAGCTGGTCGGTCTAAACACGTGATGCGCAATCAAAAGAAGAAAAGGGAAAGAAAATGCTTTGGAGAAATGGAGCTGCGGCGCTGGAATTTACAGCTCGGCCCCGGATAACAGAGAGAGAAAGGAAAGCATTTGAGAAAATGATCGTTTTAGGCATCCACAAGAGTGTGTTTGGGCCCTTGTCCGAGAAGGTCGAGACATCGTCTAGCCAGGTTCACAACCTCACCCTCGCCGTCTTCGCTGTCCTCGTCGTCTGGTTCTATGGTTTTGTCGGATATAGTCTTGATCATGCGGACAATCTCCTCCGACTGCGCAATCAAATTGACGAGCCGCTTGTCTTCAGATTCTAACAGTTGAAGCAGTGTCCAAATCGCAATGTGTTGGAATGTGGGGTCTCCGCTGGCTAAAAATCGCCGCAGATAGCCATGCACGCCTCCATCGGGCTGTGTCCAGTCCTGAATAAAGATGGAGTAATCGCCAACTGCCGAGTGAGGTTAGCCACATGGTTATCCATCAAAAGATCAAAAGTACAAAAGTAAAATAGGGATGGTTACCTTTGGACGAGAGATTGCCCAAGGCTGCTGCACTGTTACCCTGTACCTCGATGCTCTCGGAATCAGTGAGAGGAATGAGCACGTCAAACACTCCCAAGTTCAGCAAATGAGTCTTCAAGTCGTCGCTGAGCGCAAGCACAGCAATTGCTGCCGTCATTTCGGATTGGACGCTCAGAGGCACATCAAGAACGAGGTCCTTGCACTTTTGCACTGCACCTGCCTCAAGAACAAGTTGCTTGTTCCTGTCAGAACTTGCTGCCAGGTTGCGCAAAGTGGAGATTGCGTGGCATTGTATCTCCTCATTGTCTGTGGAGCCAAGCAAATCTACTAGGGGGCGCAGGAAGCCGGCATCGATAATCGGTGATTCATTTAGAGGGTGAATTGAGATGTTACGGATGCAGGCGACCGCAGAGAGTATCAGCGGGAGATACGATGATTGCAGAAGCCGGAGCAAAGGCGGCAGTCCCCGAGCACGGACAATCTCGAGTTGGTATTTTTCGTCCGAGGCCAAATTCCGCAGGGCAAGCGCCGCTTGGCACTGCACTTTTGGAGATGACGAGTCCATAAGGTGGACAAGCGACTGAACAAGTCGGCTTTCTGTTTGCGCGAGCTTCTTGCGGTTATTGGCGTCGACAGCGATATTGCTAAGGGCAGTGGTGCAATAATATTGCACGTCAACATCCTGCGAGGAAAGCAACTGGACAAGGACAGGGATTGCGCCGGCATTGACCAACTGTTGTCTATTATCATCTAAAGGAGCCTGTCAGTAGATGCCGGGTTATGAATATTCAGCCTCTCAAATACCTGAGTGAGTCATGTTCAGCAGCGCGCCGGTGGCATTCCTCTGAACCCGCATGTCTTTGGACTTTGCGAGTCTTGTTAGAGGTCCCAAAGCGCCAGATCTCGCAATCTTGGCCTTGTTATCTTCGTGCGTAGCCAAATTGGTGATACAGCCCACTGCATTACACTGGACCTCGACATTAGGTGACATCATCTGACGGATAAGAGGGGCGAGGCCGCCCAGTTGAACGATGGCAACTTTATTCTCGGCTATGTGGAGGTCAGCTCATTGATATTCATCCTTCTTGAGAAGTTTGATGGATTTGAATACGTACTATTCACGGCAAGGTTGCCCAATGCCGCGCTTGCTGCTCGTTGCACCTCAATGTCGGGACTCTGCAGAAGAAACAATATGGGCTCGAGTGTGTCTCTGTCAACTTCTCTGACATCTGCAGTAGATTCATTCAGTTATTCAGCCGACAGATAGCGATCCTAGTCTGTAGCCTACCTCGTTCGGTGATCTCAGCAAAGGTCAAACTAGCGCTTCGTTGCAAATCGACGTTATCAGAGTAGACCAGAGTACTCAGGGCGCGAAGCGGCTCGCCAGAGAAGAAATCTGTTTCAGCTCGCTGGAAATTTTTCGTCAGTTGTCGTATCTTTGGAACGGTCAGGATGACCAGCATTCCCTTACGTTTTCGAGATACTGAAGTAGATCCGCAACAGCTTCTCGCTCACTATCAGCGAGGACCGGTTCGTAGAGACCATCTTTTTGTCTCCCTGAAAATGAATCGAATTATCAGTCAATGTCTGCGCAACAGATAGGCAGAGCCAAGGAGACTCACTGCGGAGGCAAGAGGAACAGCAGTTCCCCATCCTGATGGCCGCGGTCCAAATTGGTGACGACGAAGTGGCCAAGCTTCTCCAAGAAGTATGACGAGATGGTGCCCAGGCACAATCAGAGATGGAGAAGGGGATGCCCTGAGTCCGGCACTGTCTAGAGATGGATCGGGATGTGGACAACCGATACAGTTGATGAGGTCGCGTCGAATAGAGTTCGGTCAGAGCAACCGCCGATTAGTTAGAGTAGCCTGCACGGGTGTTGTTTGGAGGCTTAGGAGCTTGCAGATTACCCTTCAGGGAACCAGATCATGCTCTAATTGGGGGACCTGGGAAGAGCGAAGCGACAAGCTACAGGTAACTTGTGATAATCTAGCGAAGAGGTACCGAGACGGTACAAGGTTCGGCTCACCCTCCCCACTTTCATTTGGCGGTGATGCCTTAGGATGGAAAGTCTGCAGCGGGTTCTCTCTCGTACTGCAGAGATGACAGGGACAACACATCCACTGGGGCGAGAGATACGGTAGATGGCGGAAGCGGAAAACGAACCGAAGCGATAGGAGAACTGTACACCTTAGGTAGGTAGGTAATCACCACTATCATTCTCTAAGGTAGGTATGTGACATTGCGACATCCTAGTCAACGTGGAGATTTTGCTTAGTGAAAAGACCCTAACTTCACACATTATCTGCTGTGAAATCTTCCTATGGTTAGGTAAAGAGTATACCTCTGTCGTTTGTATATTTGAGATTTAAAGTCTGCTTCAAGTCTGGAGATCTCTTGTGGGCTTGCTCTTTTCAACCACCTAACATGTGATCGTTGTCAATGACTTTCATTCTGTGTGAGAAATTTATGTTTCCAAGAGTTCAAATTGAAGCCCAGCTATTATGTAGGCGAGTTATACACGCCCTGTAAGGGTGATTTATAGACGCACACTAGTAGCGGAGCATGATTGATTATATTATACGCTTAGACTCTTAGTACTATATTTCATTCTCTTACTTCTTTTCTCCTAGGACTGACTGAATATCAATATTAAATCGTAGTTTCGGAGGTAACCCAAGCCTATTCATGTCAAGACAAGAAGCAAGCGACTCTTTCTTTTTAGAAATATACCGATGTTGGTTCTATTAATCATTTGTATCGAGTTTTCATCTCATTTTTCATCTTCAATATCTAGTCATTTACCAATATTTCGTATTCATGGAGCTGCTCAGAAAATTACAGAAGGATACAATACAACAACTGCCAGGGCAGCGCCGTATCAGACTTGCACATGATTCAGTTCAGCCTAGACTCAATATACTATTCTAGCCATGTATATAAAAGATGAACGTAAGATATATCTAATATATATAGAGTGGAATAGAATTTAAAATGATTTATTCATAAAGCAAATAGTGCACTTGATGTCACTTCCCCTAGCCATATCAATCACGATTGGAGGTTGCATCTAATAAGGATAAATATATATTATTCTTCAAAGAATTGAAAATCTTCAGATGGTTGAATAGAAATATTAACTATTGGCTATTTCAGAAGTACTAGGTAATCATCCGATTATCGATTGAGCATAAGTCAAAGAGGGACAGAATGCGGAGAAATCTCAATTCACTCTATCATCATTTTGAAAATTTGGTCTCTAGAGATGTTACTTTTTTGTCAAGCAAGAAGCCTTAATTTTTGGCGTAAATAAGGTACTACTTGGCTTATTTTACTCGAGAATGCTGGTAATGGTATGGCCAAAAGATAAAATGACAGGATAGCTCTCCTATTATATACTCATGTTTCTCGACCATGGTGACTCGTTTTGACTTGATCCATTGTTTATAAGGGGCGGCTGTCTTGGCGAAAGCACTAAGATTTCCGACGCGCGGCTACGGAGTATGCAGGGAGATAACTGCGGTTTTATGACATCAGATAAACCCTTTACATAACAACGTGGCTAAGTCGTGCACATTTCTTCCTTGGTTCATGCTCGGCTACCCCTCATTGTGGCTTTGCAGGTACCCTGCACTAAACTGGCACAACCGCAGCTCAGCCCCAGCTGCTCGTCGTTCCGAAACGTATTTATATCACGCCAGGTTGCAGCGGCATTACAACCTTTTCTTCTCCTTTTGCTTGATTTTCACTTCTTGTGCAAAGCTTGATCACTTAAATTTATACTCGACGCATTTGAAAACTTTCTGACCAACATGGGAGTGAGTGGAGCTCCGCCCTGATAGCCAGAACACTCTTTCACCTGTCTGCAATACTTAGCCCGCCGTACCCCGCCCCCACCATTTCACCTCTCACATTGCAACTTGTAGCGGTGATTCTTCCGGGAATGATAGCTGCTAAACTATTGATTTGATATGACAGTTAGCTTCGAAGCTCGCCGCGAGCCAGACGCAAGGTGGCTATGGTGCTCCTCCAGCACAAGCTCCGGGAGGGTCGGCTTACCCCCCTCAGCCCCCTGCTGGCCAGAAGCCTGGCTACGTAAGTACCGACTGGCACTCGGCTTGGCGTGTCTTGTCACTGATTCCTGCCCAAATCAATGCAGCCTGGACAAAATCAATACCAAGCTTACCCGGGAAATGCCGGTGCTCCTCAGTCTGTAAGCGATCTTCTCTATTACGTTCATGTTCCCTGTTTCCTTTCGATTTTTGGACCGGATTATCGCACACACCTGGACGACTTCGCTGGCGGACCCGTCCGGAAACTCGCACTGTAGTATTTTTTGCAGTATTTCAGCCGCTAAGATGACTGGACGACCTTACAATCAGCCATATCCTGGACAAATGTATTACTCGACACCGTCACCTCAACCTGGCTACCCCGGTTCAAGGCCGCCTTACCCTCCTCAAGCATCTTCGCCCTACCCGGGAGCCGTGGCGACCCCACCGCAGCCGCCATATCCTCCACAACCTCAATATCAGACGGGCCAATATAGTCAGCCCCAATACAATAGACCGCCTCCGCCTCCGCCAGGCCAGCAACCTCCGGCATCATATGGGCAGCCATACCCGCCAAGCAACCCACCGCAGGCGCCTTATCCTCCTGGCCCGCCTTATGGCTACGTTCGTCGTTCGATCGATTGTTCAATCTGTCTTTTTGAATAGCGTACTGACTTTCCTACCCTTGTAGCAGTACCCACCCGGCCAATATCCACCCCAGCAATCGTATCGTCCTCCTCCTGGCAACGCTCCATATGGCGGTGCATATCCTCCACAGTCACAAGCCGGCCCTGAGCAGACTGCCGCCTATAAGCGATTGCTCCAGGCCACTGTCCAGGAGAAGAACCTCCAGAACATCTATCCTCCCAATAGCCCTATTTTGGACCAGCTTGCGAGTCGAGTGACAACGCAAGTCGATCATTTGTGTTCCGCTTGGCGCATCCCTCGCGAGGTCGCCCAAGATATCGTTAAACTTTCTTTGTTCGATATCATCCTCTATATCGGTAGGTCATCGCCAAGATATCACATCTATGCACCAATGCTGATTATTAGCAGATGACAGTGGTTCCATGGTCTTTGAGGAGAAGGGATCTCGTATCGATGATTTGAAGCTCATCCTCAACCGCGTCGCATACGCAGCAACGCTTTTTGATCAAGATGGCGTAACTGTTCGTTTCATGAACCATAATCTCGTTGATGACCCTCGTGCCCCGCCTGAGAGGACCGGAAACAACATCCGGACGGAGGAAGAGGTTGAGCGGCTGGTTTCTGGCGTACACTTCAAGGGCCTCACACCGATGGGTACCAGCCTTCGTGACAAGATTTTACGCCCTCTTGTTCTTGCCAAGGCAGAAACTGGCCAGTTGACCAAGCCAGTGCTCATCATCACCATCACTGACGGTCAGCCGGCTGGAGAGCCGCAGAATATGGTTTTTGATGTCATTCGTGAAGCTGCAGACAAACTTGCACGGCTGCCTCGTTATGGTTCTGGCGCCATTGCGTTTGAGTTTGCACAGGTTGGAAATGATTTAAAGGCTCGGGAATTCTTGGGAAAGCTTGACAATGAGCCTGGTGTCGGCCATCTCGTGGACTGCACATCGAGTAAGTTGTGGCTAAGTTCAAGAGAATGCTCCGGAATAGTTTGCTAAAGACTCTCCAGATTTTGAAGTCGAACAAGATGAAATGTCTCGTGCTCAACCTCCTGTGGACTTGACACCAGAGCTTTGGGTAAGTCATTGGCTCCTGTTTGGGTCTGAGGATCTTTTTAACTGTTTGGCAGTTAGCGAAGCTCCTTCTTGGCGCCGTTGACTCATCCTATGATACAAAGGATGAGGCTACCAACCGTCCGTCTGGTGCTCAGGCGTACGGAGCACCTCCCTATGCGCAACAGCCCTACGGAGCCCCGCCACCGGGACAGTATGGCGCACCTGGAGGTTACGGAGCGCAGCCGCCCTATCCTCAACCTCCTCAGCAGGGATACGGGGCCGCGCCCCAAGGTTATGGACCACCAGGTGGACACTCGCCTCTACCAGGTGGTGGATATCAAGCTCCTCCGCCGCCCCCTCGCTACTAATGGCGCAGAAGGGTGAGGCACCGGTGGGAAAGTTTGCCTTTTCGTGAACAAAAGGGAGATTTGGGACATAAGTTAAGCATTATTCTTATTAATAGCTTTGCATGCTTGCAAGTACCTTGATTTTTGATTATTAGCCGAAATAAATGATGAAAAAAGGACATCTGCCAAGCCTGTTTCAAATTGGAAAGCGTGAAGAGCAAGCACCGCGGGTGCATATTTAGGAGATCGGGAATTTCAGCAGTGAGCTAGTGGTTTGAAGCCTAAGATGACCCTGAGCCCCTGAAGAGAATGTTTGCCTCTCCCTTATCCGAGGTCATTGCATGCGAACAATATTTCTACTGGTACACCTCTCCCAAAATTCTCTGACCATCGTAAATTTGTTCTGGTCATTTTATGTTCGTTCGATTTGTTGCCCTTACGGAAAGCATCTTGGGTATCAATTTCAGAGGATCCTTGGTTCGACCTCCTTAGGGGCCGACGAGTGTCGCGCCTAACTAATCGGGAAGTGCACGGGCCAAGACGCCATACCAGTCAAAGTCGATCAGTTTATGGTGTTGGAGGACGGGAGACCCTCGAACGATCCCGTTCACCCCCCCCCAACTACCAGAACCCACAGCGTTCTGCCTTTGATATGCGAGGCATGATCGCGTAATTGCAATTCCTTCTTTTCCTGCTTGACGCTCACAAAAAGAAGAAAAAAAGGCCTGCTCATCTTCCAACTGAGTCTCTCTTTTGAATCCGGCCGGAGCACTTGGCCCAGTAATAATGCCCTCAATTCTGCGAGATCTAGTGGAGCGCGCCGGCCCCTGAGCTAATCCCTTACAACCCAGCCGCCGAGCAACAAATTATTCTGGCATTTATAACAACAAAGAGCACTTTCAATTCCATTGTTGACGCGACTCATCATGTCTTTGAACGGTCTCGACGCTCAGAGAGTGGAGGAAGCATACAATGCGGCTCTGGCCGAGCCAGGTGCATGGTAAGTCACCAGCAATTCGCGGGGTACCCCACCAATCACTGCGACCGCTCCGTCAACGCCAATGTTTTCCAAAGAATCTGACGATCATCAATGCAATTAGGTTTCTCCTTAAATATGTTTCGAGAGATGAAGTCGACATTTTACAGACTGGCGCAGGCGGTGCGGCCGAAGCCCGCCAAGCTGTCGCCAATTATGTGGAGGTATCACCTCTGTACGGCTTCATGCATTACAGACGGAGGAAGGTGATCATCAAATACCTACCGGACGGTATTTCTCGACTACTACAGGGTATGTCTCTGCCCGCTAACTGCGGCGTTATCTTCGCTCGTGAAAAAATAAGAGTCAGGTCTGCTGACACATTATCCAACAGCCCGTGTCTCCGTACATTTCCAATCTGTCACAGACAAATTCGCCCCACATGATACAGTATTTACTTTCTCGAACCCAGACCAACTGAAAGATTCGACATTATCAGCTGCTTGCTCACTGCACACGGCATCCGGCTCCACTGCTTCTTCCAATACGTCTTCAACGCTACCAAAACTCGTTGATATTAACGAAGGCGCTGAAGATGGACAAACTCCTGACGCGGAATCAAACAATCACATAATCAACACTAACCGAAGAGAAGTCGAACCTAGCGCGGGACCAGGACGCTCTGGTGTAGCCGAGGACTTATCGGCGGCTCGAGATCCTGTCGATTCAATCGCGGAGGAGCCACTTACAAGTGGTTCTGTGAATTCTGCTGCCTCTCCGCCTGGATCAGCCAGTGGCCACTCCAAACGAGCAGTGAGTTATGATACATATGGTTTTTCTTCTTACAACGTTAAACCAAAGGTCAAGTTGGGGCCACGGCCATCAATCGACAACGGCAGACGACCGCATGCCAACTATTTGCCATTAGGCGAAAATAGCTCTCAGCCTGTAGCTACTCTACCAGCTGGATTACGGGCTGCGAACCGGAGCATCGTCCCAGCCCGGCCTCCATCGCAAAGCTCACAAATGTCATCAATGTCAGCATTTACGACCTCATCAAACTATACTAATGCTCAACGCATGCAAGCCGTGACGAGTCGACCATCAAGCTCAGGCACCGTATCCTCCATGACATCCGCCAGGCCGATGTCTTCTAAATCAGCGAAAGGATCATCTTTAACGTACGAGAAGCAGCGGCTGCAGAGAGCCTTGGAACTGCGAAGAAATCAATTAAAATCTCAGGCGGATTCTGTGCCTACATCACCCACGACAGATGGGCCACAATCCCTTCAATCCCTTGAAGACAGTCAGGTGACGCAGCAACCGCCTTCATTGAACGCCCGAGAAAGTATGGTGCCTGAAGACGGTTCTGTCGACCACAGCCAGCATAAGAATCGCTCCGATGGACAAGAGCCCTTATTATCAGCTTCTAGTGTTGCATCCGATTTGGCCTTGGAGCAGTTGGTGCCCTCGTCAAGCGGGCCGAGCCAAGACGGTGCGAATGAAGTACCGCTTGGGCGCGCGCCAAGCTCCGCCGAGGAGGGAGACCCGATCGAAAGGGCAGATCAGTTTATTCCTACTTCCAATTCGTCCACAGTGAATTCTGCTCAAGATGAGATACAAGAAGAAGTCGATGAGCCTGCAAAGTCGGATAATAGCCTCCAAACTCATTTGAGCGAGACGGAGACTATTGAACCAGCTTCCAACGCTGGCAATGATGAGCTTGATCAAACCGATCAGCAGACTGCAGTTGCGAGCAGCCCTCGCCTTCAAACGAGTGAGCTTCGGTCGTGCTCACAGTCTTTGGCGTCGTTGACCTCCCTTGAGCCACCCGCGGATTCTTTTTCAAGTCCCGCAAAAAGCGAGCAGGATCAGGGTGAGAAATACATAAGTCCTCAGCCAAGGGGGCCGGCATTTGACTCTGTGCGGATTGAATTAGCCGCAGAAAATTCAGAGGATAACTATCTCTCGGATGATTCATTCATGGAAGAATTACAAAGGGCAAAAGTTGAAGAAGCTCGACCGATATCTGTTGCGAAGTCTCCAATCGAACCGCTTTTCCCTGTTGGTCTCAGTGATCCATATTCAAGGGAATATTCGCCAGTTTCTCGAGCTGTTTCGAATCCATACACTGGTAGGGATTCGACCAGTACGGGACGTCTTACCCCCGGCACCTTTTTCCCAGAGCCGCATCGCTCTCTGTCGGCCTCCTATGCAGAAAATAATAGTGCCCAGGCTACCGGAGTTCCTGTAGCGAAAAGGATAAATGTCTCTTCGGGAATCTCTAAACGAATCAAGGCTCTGGAAATGCTTTCAAACCGCGAGTCAAGCAATTCACCATCATCGATCTCGCGAGCTTCCACCCCAGATTCCGCTTCTTCATTATCTACTCTAAGAAAACCTTCTGTTCGGCAGGGTTTCTTGAAGCCCCCAACTGGTTTGGTACAGGATCGTGACTCGCCTCGCCGCGCCTCATCTGTCTCAGCTTCTCCGTCTTCACGCGACCAGGAAGGAGTTCGTCGTAATTTTGGCCTAGGGGATAGGGCACGTCATTCTATAATATCTCTCCACTCATCGCAACCAGAGTTGGCAGCACAGGTTAAAACCAGTGCTCTGGGCGAGAAGGCCTTGAGCGGCGAGAACTTGGCTGTTGCCACGGACCTCAATACACTCCATCATTCCTTGCCCTCGGACCGGCCAGATTCTTCTCGTCAGCTATCCGTTAAAAGTAGAACATCCTCTTCCAGCCGCCGAGGGAGCGAGCCAAAGTCGCCAACGGCCAACGGGGCCGAGTCCACGAATGAAAAGGAAGAAAAGAAATCCTCGAGAGCAAGTCGAATCTTGCGTCGCATGTCTGCTTTTTCTTCGCCCACTAAGAAGAGCTCTGCAAATACCACTGGCCCGAGTGTGAAGGGGGAACCGCTTCAAGACCGAAGCAACCAGCAGCAGCTTCCACAAGGCGTTCAAGAGATTGGGGAAGTCAATGTCCAATTTCCTGATACTTTGGTATGGTTTTAGCCCCCTGGAAAATTATTCTGACCTATTTGCTGATGATATGAAAGCTGTGGAAGCGACGATGCCTAAAGATGGATGGGCAAGGATTCATAAGCTTAGCCATGGCCAAAGCTGACGAGGTGAGGCTCCGTTCTAGCAAAAAAGAAGACTTTGGTTTTCTTCTAACTTGGTCCTCTTGTTCGCAGAATTCTCGCGCCTTTACAAAGCGTTACCATCTTTCTGAATTCTACGAGCCTGCCATTCCCGACCTAGACAGACAGGAGCTACCACACAGTGCGTTGGACCCCATCTCTGTTAATTGTATTAGCTCTTGCTAACGAATCGAAGGTGTCATTCTCGACTTTCAAGATGGGGGCGGCACTCTGCAATGCGCTTGCGAAAATCCCACTGGACAGGCACAGCTTCTGCAAGGTAAGCATCGCTGTGACCCTCTCGGTTTTTTTTTTTTCTTAAGCTAACTTCATCACAGTTCTGAGAGAGGCTTACAAAACTGTCAATCATTGAACGTATCAATGAACCGTCACCCAAGGGTTACTTTTTGACGAAACTCATCGCAGACATGTCCTTGCCTTTTGGGACATATGCCGCCATTCTTAACCGACCATTGTGGATACCGATTATTCTTCCATTGGTACATAACTAAATCGGCGTTTTCGGTGACTCACTTTATGGATATCAATACACCGCACATTGCGGTACGGTTAGCAGCTTCTGCTGCATATTCATATTTTCTTCTCTTCTCTCTCTCCCTTTTCTTTTTCTAACAAGTGTTCGAATTGGATTGAATACCCAAAGGTGGAAGCATCAAATTATGTATAGAGGTAGTGTTGATTAGGGAGTGGAAAGTATATGCATCAAACTCTTGTTTGGGCTCAATGTAGATGGAATTGTTGGGATTAAGCTGTGCTTGGATCCTACTAGTCCTTTTCGTTCGTGCCCTGGTGGCGCCATAGTTTGTAGATGCCATTGATACAAATTTCAGTTCTTATCTCTATACATTCTGTATCCAAATATTTTGTGGTTTTACATCTGCCTTCGTCAAAACCACTACTTGCACAAGCTCGCGGTGTTTCTACCAGCGTCTAGTAATCTTATTTTTCTTACCTTCCTTTCACGCAAAATGAATATATCTCTAGCCGGTTCTAGGCAGTGTAGAAGAATTCATTCTGATTGTATTTCACTAACCTACATCCTCTTTCATTCCGCTTTCAGTCCTCTACTCCTTCTTGTCATGGCTCCAAAAGAATGAATATGACACATCTATATAGAGGGAAGAACTTCCCCGCCCCCACCAAAACCGTCTCTCGTTCCACAAACACTTTAACCCAACCCCCACCCCACACCCCACACCCACAACTCCGGGAAAAGAAAAATTCTACTCCTCATTGACCAAAACATATCTATACTTGGCCTTTCCAGCCTCCATGTCGAGAATCGCCTGGTTGGCGTCCTTCATGGGCCGCTGCTCCACCCAGGGCTTAATCTGCTTTTGCGCAGCCAGGGCAAGCATTTCTCTCAACTCACTGGGCGAGCCGATCAGCGAGCCGCCGAGCTTGACGCCGTTCATGATCAACGCGGGAATAGGCAGCGTCAGAGCCCCGTCCTCGGGGTTGCCGAGCTGCACGAGGCTGCCTCCGACGCGGAGAAGACTGAGATAGTCTGCCATTGGCATCTACATTGGTTGGAAAAGGCATTAGCGAATTGGTTTTCCCTTTTTTTTCCCCCCTGTTTTTCTCTTTCTCTATTCTTTCGAAAAGTGTACGAGAAACGAGAAACAAGGGGGCCAAGGGGAAGGGAAAAATACCTTTGAAGAACTAGCCGTCGAAACAATCAGATCCAAGGACCTCTTATGTTTGTTCTGCCACTCTTTATCCTCTGCTGTCGCAATGTACTCGTCTGCGCCGTGACTCAGCGCATCGGCTTTCTTGTCGCCCTTTCGGGAGATGGCAACGACCTTCTCTGCGCCCAGGGCCCGCGCAAAGAGAATGGCAAAATGACCGAGCCCTCCAACACCCACTACGCCGACGCGTGAGCCGGGACCGACGCCATTGTTCTTCAGCGGCGTGTATGTGGTTGCGCCTGCACACAGCATGACAGCGGCGTCGGCGGAGGAGATCGAGTCGGGGATCTTGACGACAAAGTGCGATGGAGTGCGGTTGTAGAGCGCATATCCGCCGTACGATTTGCCTCCGTTCATGTGCACGCCGTTGTAGGTGCCCACGAAGACGTTAGGGCAGTGCTGCTCCTTTCCGGCGGAGCATTCGTTGCATGACCCGCAACCGCGGCCCTGGCATGAATCGGCTTGTGCGCCGACACCGACGCGGTCGCCGACTTGGATGTTGCCTTCTGCTTGGGTTCCAACGCGGACGGCGATACCGACGATTTCGTGTCCGACGCAGCAGGGGTAGTTGGTTGGGCCCTGAGATTGAGGTTGGGAATGTTAGTTTCTTGAGTGTTCCGTGGCAAATGGGGTAGACTTTAAGTGGTGGGGTCTGATTTCGTTGGTATGACTATGTGGAAAAGGAGGGGAAACGATAAATGGGATAAAAGAGAAAAGAGAGAAAGGGAGATATGAAAAAGATTCGGAGAGGAAATGACAACAGTAAACGTACCCAGCCGCTCCGGAGAGTGTGAAGGTCTGATCCGCAGATACCGCAGTGTGTGATTTTGATATCAATGTCGGTTTCTTCCCACGGCTTGGGCTCGAATTCCTTCCAGACCATTTTGCCGTCCGCTGCGCTGGCGTCAAGGCCGAGCCAGCCTTCGAACTTGTAGTCAACGGTCATGATGTGATGTATTTAATTTTGATTTCAGAGGCAGTGCAAGAAGAAGTCCAGGAAAATATTGAAGAATGTAAAAGTTTTCTGCTCGGTGCTCGGTATTCAAAGTCAATCCATCAACGGCTTCAGCTTCACTTATATATACATTGGGGTTTGACTCTTTTATCCACCGGCGATTACAATATCAAAAATCAGCAGCAATCATCTTTAATGCCGATGAGGTAATTAAGCATTTTGTGATCATGACTGCTTTGCTGAGAAATCAGCATTTGAGAAATTCTTCAATTGATACTTCGACGGCATTCGCTTTGGGAGATGTGAAAAGAGTTGTTCGGCATCGAAATGCATTGCGTATATCTGAGATTCTAGCGCGTTCGCGACAATGCCGTAGGGGTTATAATTCCACGTTATTTCCGGGAGCCATTCCTGTTTTGGATTCGGTTCCTCGTTCCTGGAGCCGCCATCCCGATAAACGCTTGACACGCTGCGCTAATGCAAGTTGCTGACACGCTAATCCATATCCGTAATCTCCGATGAGGTCAAACCGAGGTCTAAAGTAATGGGAAAACTCTACCATCTTACTGCCTCGGCATTCCATCGGTTCAGGTTGAGTAAAATTGCCATTTCTTGCGAATTCTTTGGTGTTCCGGGCTCTTGAGTTCTTGGCACTGCAATTAGTTGCAACATGCCTCGCTGATAGGCTTTCTTAGCCTCCTATGAGCTCTTTCGGCCGAGTCTCTTGGTGAATACCTCCGTCCAAATCTAGTCCGATTTAGGTTTCAACGGTGGGAGAGAAGGAGATCCATATTCGATTCCATTGATTTCCGTAATATTATTGGGTAGATTATTCCACGCCTCATTAATGGATTAAGAAATCTCCGTTATTCTGTGACGTAGACGCTCACTATCATCGTAATGCCGCGCACTCTGCCATTGAGCCTGGTTTGACGCATCCTTCCGGGTTTGAGAAGAATGTACTGATTCGGGATCGGATATATCCCAGCATAATGGCTTTTCGCCACGCATTCTTCTCCACCGGTTTGTCGATTCCAGCAGGTCTTTGCAGCCTCTGAGAGTCCAAAACCATTTATTCGTAAAATCTTCAGTGACTTCCCATCCACTCGGGTCCCAAGACTCGCCCCAAACTATTAGCCCCTCGTTGCCGGGTGTGCCGCCGCAAAAACCTACGAGATCTTCGCAGAGTTCCTGCTCATCATAGTTGTCCTCGCCGGTACGAATCAGGTTATCTCGAATACCCGGTACAGGTATGAGGTCAAACCATGGGTGATGAGGTATTGTGCGTTGAATATGGGTTGGACGAAGACTCAAAGGCATGGGCTTCTCCAAGTGTCCATGGCCGGGAGTCGGATTGCTGAACAATGAAAGTGCATCATCATCTTGCACAAACCTCCATGGTAATCCTATAACGTAGGAATTTCTCACAAACGCTCTATGAACATTGAACTTGATCAATGTGAGGAGATGATCGGATGTTGGGGAACCACTGATATAGCTCATGGTCGCTAATTTTTCGAACCGGTCCAAAAGTTTCTCTGCATCCTCGGGATCGAGCTGACACGGCGGCCTGGCGTGTTTTGCTTTCTCGACTTTGTAGATAGAAAGCACTGGATGGCTGGATGTGGGAGATAGCGAGTTAGGGGCCCTTGCTTTTGAGAGGTCGCCTATGTTCGTGCCCTGCAGATTTGACTTGGGTACAGGACGGGGGCCTCCGATGGATTCAACTCCATGAGGACCGAGGGGCGTATGGTGTGGCAAAGAAGTGAAAGGGGGTGAGGAATAGCGTGGGGATTTTGAAGATCTTTGATCCTGCTTCAATTCGTCCGCCTTTCGCTTTCCTGGAGTAACAAAATTAGCCTATTATCCCGTCCTGCAAAGGGTTATCTGGGACGGAATTCGCAACATGCTGACACTTACGATAAGCTCGTTGATTCAGACGATTTTGCAATTTTCTTCGTTCGGCTTGGCTCGATATGCCTGTCCAGTCCTCCTCGGGAGCCAGCACCTGGGTTTGCTGGGGCATCCATCCCAGCGTCAGTGGGGCGGGAGTCATTACCGCCCCATGGAATGGTGTTGCAATGCCGTCCATGTTTCACTAGTCACATGGAATGCCAAGAGTTGTTGATGCAGAAGAAAAAATATTGAAACGCAATATTGTAGCTGATTGAAAGTAGTATCAGTGTAGTCCTGTTTCAGGGATTACATTGTAAATCTGGGGCGTGCAGGCACGGAATATATGCAGCCTGCTTACCTGCCCCACATGCTCACAGTGGCACAACCTGGTCCACAATTCTCGGGCGCATCGCCGTTTAGCGCGCATAGTTCATGCAATTTGCTGACACGCCAAGCGCCAACCAGCGGGCACTAACTCCGGCCCTGTGATTTGGGATCCAAGTGCAGATATTTTGTAGAGTCATTGAGCCCTAACCGCTTCAAATGTTTTCAGAACATATTTTTCGAAACAAAATATTTTGACACATTCTTCCCACTTTTCTAAATTTTTTTTTTTTCAGTGTCTCTTGAGGGCTGTCTCGGCATGCTCAAAGCTTGTCAGGGTATATACACTGCATCATGGAAACAAAAAGCGATGAGCCCCTGTTGGCAATCTGAAATATCAAACATCTCGATGGCAATTTTTCGCCTCAAATTGTACATTTTTCTTGACTTGATCGTTCTTTACAGAGATAATATGATTCGGGGCCTCATAACCATGACGAGCAGGGGCCCAGCGAGCGACAGAATTGCCCAGAACTCGTACTATATAAGGTAGTCTTCAAAACAAGAGATCAGTTCGGGTTTCACAAGACGTTCACAACACAATGCATAATCTTTGATACACGCTTCGGCTTTCTTAATACATCTCAGTAACGGGTTTCGCAGCGTGATGGCACTTCACATGAGTATTCTTGCTGACGCCGAGAAGGGTCAAGTGGCCTTGTTCATGCTGTTGTCTGCCACTCCGGTCTAGAGAGCTACTACATGTCGTATTTGCTGGATTTAAGGGCTTTCGTGGAGACAGATTGAACGCTTAATTGGCTGACGCATCATTTACGGTGGGAGAACAGGTGAAGTAGTGATATTTGGCGCATTCACGGCAGTGTGGTGGCGGAGTGACAGGCCACACTCAGCTTGTAGTGTTCGCGACAGCCTGAAACAGTTAACGGAACAATTGCAGAAGACTGGATGAATTTTGGAAAAGAAAAAAGGGCAGACAGTTTGGCCAGAAATGAAATGCGAAGGCGCATCATCGTGTCAAGGCAATTGGAATATAGAGCATTACAAGATACAATAGGCCTAAGCTGAGGACAAGTACAAGAGTTGGACTCTCCATTAGACGTAATAAAAAGGTGGTCAAGTCCACCCAGAACTTTTCAAAGGTACATTCGTACATACAAAAGGATCAAAAAAGAGGCTCTAATTTACAATATACCAGTATCTTCTGTCTGGTCGAGTGATTTTTGTGTCAAACACTTCATATGAAATCCAAAGTTTAATTCTCTTCAGGAATCCAGCTGACGCGACCGCCGGCACCGTCAGCGCTTGTCTTCCGTTCCAATATCTCCTGTACCTTCTCCTGCACGCCAATCTTCCCGTTGCTTGCCAGGATCAAGTGCTCGAGAATCTGGTTTCTCGTCTTGTCACCGTCACGAACGAGCTTCTCAACCTCCGACTCGGGCGGTAAACCAATCCAGCTGTGGGGATACTCGGAAAAGTCGTGCGGGCTCAAAAGCGCCAGACGATCAGCACCTTCAACCTCAAAAAAGGCATTGGTGGCCTCCATGGTGCTTTCCTCCAAAGAGGCAGGCTGCCACTGGGGAGTATCCGCTGGCTTCCGGATCAAACGAGCCGAAACCCCTTCGACAAAGTCGGGATGCTCCATGAATTTGGCGGCAATGTGGTACTCGCGCTGAAAGGCCTCTGCGATGCTCCATTGCCGACCCAATCGCATTTGTCGCAGGGCAACCCGAACAGACGTTGGCGACCGTTGGTGTAACGTCTCGATGGTCTTTTGCGCCCATTCCGTATTTTCCTCCTGCAGAGCGGCGAGGATTTCCTCCATCGTGTCATATCTGAAGCATCGGTCAATGGCTGCCCGAGTAGCGCTTGCAAGTTTCATCGGCTCGTCGTAGGGGAGGCCGGTGACATATTCTTCGATAGTGGTGTTCAAGATGCGAAGACGTTCCTGGAGCGAAGCGTAGTCCTTGAACACCAGCTCCGCCAAACGCGCTTCGAGGTCGGGGAGAGACGAGGAGTGAACGTAGTGAGTTGCAATGCCAGCATAGCTTTTCGAAAATTAGCAAGAAGCGCTCGGTAAGGATCACCTCGAGAGAAAGCTACATACTAAGCATTGACACCAGTAAGGCGCTCGCTGGTGAGGGCGAGATATGTTCCAATCTCGCCGTCCAGTCTAGGCAGAAAAAAACTGCCACCAACGTCCGGGAAGAAGCCGATGGTGGTTTCGGGCATGGCAAAAAGTGTTCTCTCAGTGGCTATTCTGAAAGGCGCGTGTACGCTCAATCCAACACCACCTCCCATTGTGACGCCATCCATAAAGGCAACATAAGGCTTAGAATACGTAGCAATAATATGATCGAGCCTGTATTCGTGGCCAAAGTATTCGGTCGAGTGGGCTTGTCCATGAGGACCTTCGGTGTTCTGCTTCGCAAGCGTCGCAACATCTCCGCCGGCGCAAAATGCTTTGTGTCCGGCACCCTTGATGACAATGACATTTGCCAGCTGCGATTTTTCCCATTCCTGGAGCTTGTTAGAAAGTTCTCTATCCCATGAAGAGCGCGCCTTCTCACCTTCAGCCTCAGTGTAATCTTTCTTGCCATCGAACTGTTCAAGGAATTCAATTTTGCAGGCCGGTTGAGCTCGATCGTTCGGGCGCCATAAAGAGTATTGAAAAGGACGTCATCCTGCTTCTCCTCCTCAATCGTAACAATCGGCATCGTCGCTTGCGTAACCATCTTGCAATATCTGTCAGTGAGCCGTTATGGGGTTTGTGCGTTGGGATTCGCAGTATCTTACCCTTGCTTGACCAGCACCAACAGCAGGGTTGAGGATCTTAGCTCTCAACGGCATAGCTGGTGAAAAAGCCCGCGAGCCACAGCTCAGCGGCGTCAATGCCCTCGAGCTGTGTCGCAGCAACATTAAGAATTAGAGTGGCTGGTCAAACGAATGTGGTCATTTAATGTTTTCTTGGGATGATGGGGTGGCTTTAACGATTTCGGCATTTGGTGATGCTGCCAAATCGGAATTCCCGAGAGAAACCTCGGCCAGCCCCGGCGGTATATTATAGGAACACATGTGTACAATCACCATTCAACATGTACGGTTTCATGAACGAAATTTGCAACAATGCCACTCCAGGAAGCTTAAAAAGAATTAAAAAATCTACATTTTTCTGAAAAAGAAATTCACCCAAATTTCATAATACAAATGCTAGTGTACAAAGTAAATGCCCTATTGCTGGGCGACGACGGAACGAATGCCTCCGAGAAGATCGCTCTGATGCTCCCTCAGGATGCTGTCCAATGCACTTCTCTCTATAATAACACGGCCAAGCTCAAGGAGATCCTTCACATCAACCTGATCTGTGGTCAGAACTCTTCCCTCCTCTCCAGCATGTCGGAGCGCTCTAAACAAGTTGGTCCGGAACGACTCGGTCACGACGAGTGATCGCCCATCTGCGTTGCCCCAATGGTTCTTCTCAAATATCTGCTTCACAAATCTCGTCTTAGGGTACTCAATGTCGGCGCCGTCTGCGACAACAAGCAGCTCACCCCTTCGGTACCTGTAGCTGAGAGCGGTTCTCCATGCCAAGTCGTAAATCTTCCGGGGCAATTCGGTCGAAAAGTCTCGCGGCTTAGGGCCAAAAGCGACACCTCCTCCTCGTCGAATAGGCGACTTCTTGTCACCTGCTCTGGCGCGGCCAGTGCCCTTTTGAGGGTAAAGTTTGCGTCCGCTTCCATGGACGTCATCTCGCCATTTCGTGCTCGCCGTACCTTGACGGGTCATATCTCCTTCGTACACGACAGCCTTGTGCAAAATATCCCGGCGAAGAGGCAAATGAAGATGATTTGATGGGTATTCGGCGAATTCAAGAGGTTCCATTGTTGGAAAATCGTAGATCGTAGTAAGGACAGTAGGGGCTGTGGATGACGGTCAGCGACTAGCAAAGGGAAACGGACCAATTGATTGGCTACTGACTAGTTGGGGAGGAATCGAAGAGCGTAGAGGAGACAGTATCAGTGAAATTTGATCCAGCAGACGGAGTCTCTGTAGTAATTGATCGCGACGTGAGTGGAGAATGGTATTGCTGCGCAAAAGAGTGTTAGCCGTATATGCGAAGAACAGTCTCCGGAAACCAACCATTCGCGCGCTGCCAGCGATCCTGGGACAAATCCCAGGGCCAGAAAGGACCCTCAAAGGGCGAAGGAGATATTTGGATCCCATGACTCTGGTGTTTCTGGGATGTGGAGTTGGGCGAGGCGCTCCGTGATGGGGGATTTGCGGGAGAGTCGCTAATAGAGGCTCAAAAAAGTTTCGCCGAAACTGCCAAACTTAGAGCTTCCCGGTCCCCTGTTGGAGGATCATCAACCATTTCGCCTCGACAACACTCCAATCCAGCCAGGGGCAATGTCGGGTTGCAAACGGGCCTCTAAGCCTCTGGCCAGCCTTTGGCGGCAAGGCGCAAAGGGTTCATGCCCAAATTCTACTCTCGGTGTCTCCTTCCGCTCGTTCACTGCCGGTCCAGCACGTTTTGATGAGGCCAATGTCCAGTCGAGCAAGGCCGACAATTCAGCATTTCCTGATCCTGCCACTGCTGTCACGCCGTCCGAGGAGGAGAAGTTGATAAAGGCCGGTATTTTGCCAGTTGGCTCAAGACGACGTCGATTAGCATTGCAAACTACGGCCAATATTCCATTCGAGCAATTGCCGTATCAATGCTTCCAAGAAGCCCGCAAGGTCCTTCAGGCGGACCGTGAAGAAAAATTGAAGCAGATTGAGTCCGAGCGGGCACGTATTGCAAAATTACAATCCCAAGATCCCGCCGTCAGCGGGGGAGAGGTGGAAAAGGCGAGAAGACTCAGAAGCATGCAAAACTATCTTGAGAAGTTGAAGATCCTTGCGGACATCAACGATCCCTTGATTAAGAAGCGTTTTGAAGATGGTCAGGGTATGTACACTCATCTCATATGACGTTTCTGTGCATTGGCCATCCGCTGATTCTTTGCCTTCTACGTTTTAGGTGATATGAACAGGCCAATTTACAGATATCTCGCGGATAAGAAATGGCGCGAGTACCAACGCCCTCTGATTGTGCAGAGAATTACCCAAATGAACGTCGTTCCAGATATTCTGCCTCATCTCGACCCCGTAGCCGATGTCCGTCTGGCTTTCCGCCGACACAATATCCAGCCGGGTCAATTTGTCGACTCACGAGTGAGCGAGTCCCCAGCACGACTCAAGGTGCAAGTCTTCGACAAGGGCGAGCGCTTCGTCACCGTTGCCGTAGTGGATCCGGATGTGCCAAACCTAGAGAAAGACAGCTTCGATTACCGGTGTCACTTCCTTGCGGCGAACATTCCAATCTCGCCTACCTCGACTTCTATTCCGCTGTCGCGACTTTCGCAAGACTCTACCATTTTGCCATGGCTCCCTCCATTTGCTCAGAAGGGTAGCCCTTACCACCGCCTGTCCGTCTTTGTCCTGGAGCAACCAAATGGTCAAAAGATTGAGACTGCCCAGAAAGCGGTTGAAAGGGATGGTTTTAACCTGCGGAGCTTCGCCGACAAGAACTCGCTGAAGCCCATTGGCGCTCATTTGTTCAGAACGCAATGGGACGAAGGCACCGCCGCTGTTATGGCACGCGCTGGCCTCGAAGGAGCCGATATTGAGCTCCGGCGGAAGCGGGTGGAGCCTCTCCCGTACAAGAAGAAGGACGGCGCACGGTACAGATAGACAGGGTCTTTGGGGGAGTAATATAGATTATTTTTATATCATGTATTCTAGATGTATATTGTGTTCAATCTAAAAGCGCGCATTCGCAGCACTCTTCTCAATTTATTGACGTATAAGATACAACTCCCACAGGCAACAAGCCCAAGCTTTGCAACTCGAAATGATTCACAACTCAAGAGCCGTGACATTATTTCTTATCCGTCTTCGTTCGTTCCATGGAAATAATACCCCTAGGACCTTGCCCTTAATAAGTGCTAATGGCAGCGGTCCATACATTCGTGAGTCTCTCGAATGGGGAAGGTTGTCACCCACAATCCAGCAATGGCCTTCGGGTATCTGCAATGGGGTCAGGTAAGGGATAATTAATTGCGCTAGAGAATCATACCTGTATGATCGTAGGATTGTCTGAACCCGGCGTCTTTCTCTCCACAAAGTCCCCTGGCAGGCCGATAACCCTCTTGATGGCTCCGCGGCCCGGAACTGCTGGATGATCAGCGCTGACAACATCACCGACTGAGATGCCTCTTCCTCTTCGATTCAATCTTGATATTAAAACCCAGTCTCCTTTGGCTTCAATCGTGGGTAGCATGCTGGGGCCGATGGTAGGTGCTAGAGTGATGACATGTTCGTTGATGATATGTCCAAAACACAGGACTTTTGCGGTCTGTAAGGCCAGATGAAATGGAGATCCATATACGTTTTTTGAAAAGGATCCTTTGAACCGCGCGAATAAGCTGCCGAGATTGGACCCCATCAGGGAGGCATCGTAGCTATTAATACGAAGAAAGGCAGGGTGGTCGAGATGGGCGTATATAACATAGAACCAAAATCCCTTTGTGGTCTGTGCGCTTGTCGGTTTCGCGAAGCTCAACAATCGATGTAGAGTTGCAACTTACAGCCTTGACTAGCACAGTTGGGAACGATAGACACTCCAGCACATTCGAATTCTACAATAGACGACGGGTCGCGACCAGGTTGACAGTACATAATGGGGCGGATACAGCATCTTTGCGGCACCGTTCGTGCCCTCCACCAGGTGTTTGTCAAGTTCGAACCTTCACCACCCGCGTTTCAAGCTCTGCGTGCACCACCTCTCGCACCCTTTCCGCGGCGGTTTCCCTCATTTGCTCTCCCACAGACGAGGTTATATTTCAAGAAGAGCACAAAGCAAATTCCTGCCAAGAAACGAGCAGCTTGGGACGAAGAGATAGAAGCTAGAACAGTCCGTATTGTCAATGAGGAGGGCGGTCTGGACGAGCCTGTCCCACTTCGCGACATTCTCGATTCAATTGATCGCACGATATACCGCCTTGTCCAGTTGACGAAATTAGAACCGAATACACCGGCGATTTGCAAGATAATCTCGAAGAGAGAGCTATTAGAGGCCAGTAAAGCCAAGGCAAAGCCACCGAAGAACCCACAAGCAAGCGCTAAAAAGCTGGAATTGAACTGGGCAATTGCTCCCAACGACCTCAGCCACCGCTTACGAAAGCTTGAAGAATTTCTGGAAGCAGGTCGCCGTGTTGAGGTGCTCTTAGCTCCGAAAAAAAAGAGCCGGATGGCAACTGCTGCTGAGGCCGAGACAACCCTCAAGAGGATACGAGAGGCAGTGGATTCGGTCAATGGAGCAAAAGAATGGAAGCCAATGGAGGGACAGCTGCTTCGTACAGCTACATTGCATTTCGAAGGATTGAAAGACAAATAGGCGGGCAACATTCCTTCTACGTTACGCCTACCAACAGTGGAAGGATTATGCTGTACATAGCTTTGGTCTAGGTGGGGGTATAAGATCATGCACGGCAGGATAAAATGGCTCAGTTATCCCATTTAATGATTGCACATACGCCATCCAATTGCATCACGTTTTGTGGCTGGCCATATGGCCGATTGCAGTACGGTATACATAGCTTACCTGACAACGAAGTTGCAGTCCTTCAGTCAGGCGAATTCTTGGATCATGACGGAGTCACAGTATTGAACAAAGTCACATTTAAAAGCATAAATTCACATAAGATTAGAATAGCTAAATAGCCACAAGCGCCCCAAAAACTACCTTTATAAGTTAAGTCAGGGGGTTTCCGGGGCAGGTCACGTGCACGGGCCTCTCTGTCCAATGGCGCTAAGATTTTTCGTAAACTCGTCGGTAGCCGCGACTTCGATTCAACAAGCTTCACCATTTACATCTCTCGTTGAATCGTGGGTGTATTGTTTGAGGTGTACAAAATGGCCACCTTTGCCCGATCGATCGGTCCTTTCCTGCGGACCACCGGTCTCGCATTGCGACAGGGCAATGCTGCCAGCCCTGTCCAGCAGGCCCTCCGCAAGGGTCAGAATGCCGGCCAGATGGTCAACGCCTGCAGAGGCATGGCTGTTGCCTTCGAAAGAACCAAGCCTCACGTCAACATTGGTAAGTGATCCAATTCCATTCTTGAGGATGTGAAAAGCAGTGCAATTGGATCATCAATTCTGACGACTGTGTGCAATAGGTACCATTGGTCACGTCGACCACGGAAAGGTAATGCAACACACGCGATGCATCAAATCATCAATTCCAATCAATTCAATTCCGAATCTAGACTAATCGCATCTGCAGACCACTTTGACTGCTGCTATTACCAAGCGTCAGGCTGAGAAGGGTTACGCAAACTACTTGGAGTATGCTGCCATCGACAAGGCTCCTGAGGAGCGGAAGCGTGGTATCACTATCTCCACTGCCCACATTGAGTATCAGACCGACAACCGCCACTACTCTCACGTCGACTGCCCTGGTCACGCCGATTACATCAAGAACATGATTACTGGTGCTGCTAACATGGACGGTGCTATCATTGTCGTTGCTGCTTCTGATGGTCAAATGTGAGTCTCCAGGCCAAACACCAGTTCCCCTTGTGCAATTGATCCAAAGTGATAGACGGCTGACAGTTGCATTTCCGCCACAGGCCCCAAACGAGAGAGCACCTTCTGCTCGCCCGTCAGGTCGGTGTCCAGAAAATCGTCGTCTTCGTGAACAAGGTCGATGCCGTTGAGGACCCGGAAATGCTTGAACTTGTCGAAATGGAAATGCGCGAACTTCTTTCTTCCTACGGATTCGAGGGTGACGAGACCCCCATTATCATGGGCTCTGCTCTCTGTGCCATGGAGAACCGCGAGCCTGAGATTGGTGTTGAGCGGATCGACTCTCTCCTTGAGGCCGTTGACACCTGGATCCCCACTCCTGAGCGTGACCTCGACAAGCCCTTCCTCATGTCTGTTGAGGACGTCTTCTCCATTCCCGGCCGTGGTACCGTCGCTTCTGGCCGTGTCGAGCGTGGTGTCCTGAAGAAGGACTCCGAGGTTGAGCTTGTCGGAAAGAGCGAGGCCCCTATCAAGACCAAGGTTACCGATATTGAGACTTTCAAGAAGTCTTGCGATGAGTCCCGCGCCGGTGACAACTCTGGTCTGCTCCTCCGTGGTGTCCGCCGTGAGGATGTTCGCCGTGGTATGGTTATTGCCAAGCCCGGCTCCACCAAGGCCCATAAGAAGTTCCTCGTCTCCATGTACGTCCTCACCAAGGAGGAAGGTGGCCGTCACACTGGTTTCCACCAGAACTACCGTCCCCAGATCTTCATCCGTACTGCTGGTAAGTAATCAACCTCCTCTCTTCAAAATCTATGGGAGATCCGGCGTCTGACATGTTAATTATAGATGAGGCCGCTGCTCTCAACTGGCCTGAGGGTACCGAGCACCCCGAGGCCAAGATGGTCATGCCCGGTGACAACGTCGAGATGGTTTGCGACATCTACAACCCCATTGCCGTTGAGCAGGGTCAGCGCTTCAACATCCGTGAGGGTGGCCGTACCGTTGCTACTGGCATCATCACCCGCATCATTGAGTAAACATCAAGATATGGGAACTTTGTCGCATTTTGCTTAGGATACGGGAGTGGGACGTTTGGTCATGGGAGCGAGGTTTGAAGGCGTAAATATCTTCTTTCCTCGTCCAGGTCGGAGGTCGAACATAATTTTTTTCCAGACAAGACCTCCATAGACATGTTAAAAATTTATAGGGAACCACCCCTCTCTTCTCTTACATGTTTTCTAGATTGTATTATAAATAGCATGGTCCCTTGACAACATTTGCAGAAATATTGGTTGAATGTCAATTTCTTGCTCGTATTGCGAACTTGTTTGATACGTGACACCTCTGGCTGCTTCCAAGTATCAAGATGCAATAAGCCTTGATGAGCATCCGGCGAGATTTGGAGCCAAGTCCTGTATATTCCTCACATGCCGCCTTTCAAGGAAGATATTACACACGAGAGAGAGCGAAAAATAGTCGATGGAAAGGTACGGCGCCTTGAAACACTTCTGAACACGAAAACACTGGAAGCATTCCAACTCATCACACGTGAACCGAAGATGTGCCTCAATATACATTCACACATGGGACAGCAAATAAGATTCAAGAAATCATAAGATGCAGAAATCGCGGCTCTTGTTCTCTAGCATAACAGGAAGCTAAGAACCGAAGACGTCCGACGAGAGCATGCACGACGGCATGGCAAGAAAACCCGACCACTACCGGCGCCCCGTTTTAAAATTATTTTGAGAGAAAAAGACTGGAATTACCAGACCGGATAATATCGCCTCCTTTTCCCGCTCTCGAATCCTCGATCCTCGGATATCCCACACACACCCGCCCTCGACATTTATTGTGGTGGTATGAGTGATTTACCGGAACTGTGTAAACAAGAAATCCAAACGTTAGCCATGTATCCTTATTATCCGGATCTCCATCTCATTGCCCATATTGCTCCCATCTAGGTGGGCCTGGCACTGGACATCCTGGGCAAAGTCCCATTGCTCGTCCTCCTTCGATGAAATGAGCGGTTCGTACCTTGTTGAAGCCAATGTCGGTGGACTTCTCACGGAAGCACTGACGGCAGATGTTAAGGCCGTACTTGCGGATCAGACCAGCACGGTGGGTGCAGACACGGCTGTTAAACAAAACCAAGTCAGCGCAACTTGCCCAAATATACATTTTCCCGGCGTGTCTGTGTATTTGCAACGTTCAATCTTCCTTTCCCATCTCGGCTCGGTGTTCCCGTTACGCAGTCGGTTTCGAATTTCCCGCCCTGTCCAAGCTCATTCATTCCATCGATCCACAAATTATTCCTCCGCGGTTCCCGACCAAATTGAATCTCGGATAGTTGACGCAATATAACCTCCACAAATGACCGTATAGTATGACGCGGAACACGGGAGCCAAAAATAGGAAAGAAGGAATATCAAACGGCAACGGAAGAGTTGCGAAATTCAAGGACAGGGTAGAACTAACCAGCCCCGGCTGCCCTTGCCGTAAGTCCGAGGACGAGAGTACCAGACGGTTTCGTGGGCCATATTTGCTGCGCTCGGTGTTTCGAGGTCGAGGGTTCTAATGATCGATCGAAGAGGTTCCGTGTTAGCCTAAACTGTCTTCTTGAATCCCGTTGTAGATTCCTCCTCTCGGTATACTCCTTGTAGAGCTGAGAATACGCTTGAATTGGGGATTTTCAGGATTTGCAATCCCTCAATTCAGCGACAATATGAAGGGACAATATGGGGACATACAGCGTCGAAAAAGGTGCCTTGTCGTTCGAGCGATAGCGGTCGGAATCGTCGTCGGTCGGGTCGTCGTGATGGACTGGCTGATTTTCGCCTGTTGCGGCTCGCCTAGCAAAGCAGGGCCCGCTTGCCCCCGTTGTGTGCGCTTGAACCCTAATCTAAGCGAGATTCCCCAGCCAACAAGGTTTCCTTTCTCGAAGCGGAGCTTGAAGTCAGGTTAGCGAGCCAGACCCTTAATGCAGATCAGCTTCCCCAGTGATAAGCACTTCGGGGATTCTACTGGATGTAAACATTGAATCTGTTTCGGCTTTACGAGGCAACCTAACAAAATGGTAAGTCAAGGCAACTTCACTTTTGAATGATAAGGACTAATAACAAATTTTTCAAAGTCTAAAGATTCTTCTCGCACCTACGTCCACCTTAATCAACCCCGGGTTGCTGATTTGTTCGAGGTATGGCATGGCACGGTTCCGCCTGCTTCCCAAAGCGTGTTTTCCGCTTTTCATGACGTGCTGGTGACAAGAACAGCTTTTATAACTAACACGAGGATTTGCAGGACTTTTGCCGCGATAAGCTTCCCCATGAGGACATATACGTTCCACCGCAGCACCAACCAATCAACCCTGAAGATGAAGATGACGTCGTCCCGGACCAACATGCAGCGTTCGGCATCCAGCGAGCTACTCAGAAGATGCGAGAACCAGCATGGAAAGATCTTGGTCTGAATGAACTTATGAGCAAGGGGCCAAAAGATCCGTTTACGTTGCCGCGGGGAACATCTTCTGGAGGCAAGATGCCTCGATGACCGCCCGCGATAGTCATCACATAGTATTGATACTAGAAAGTCGCATTGCAGGCGCACTGGCGTTTGGCTGCTATACCCATGTCCACTCTGATGCCGAATTCGGTTTATTGACCTAGTTAAAAAAAACTATACCCAAATGCATTTCTCGCCTTCCAGATATCTTGCACAAAATATTGATTCCTGAACGCCACCGAGTCAGTGTTGTGACCGCAATTACAATGTCTTTTCCCAATTGCCACGTTATATACGAATAATATCAACTCTGCCACGTTCGAAAATCTTATGATCAATAGGCTTATTCTCCGCTCTCTCCTCGTCGCTAATATTCGCCGGGTAAATGGCTAGCTGGGCAAAGGTGCCGGCCCCTCTGCGCTTCGAAAGATTTCCCGGATTGATTACAAGAACGCTTTCTACGACCTGGACGAAATTGTTAGCAGATTCATCGGCTGTAAATAGCAAGGACGAGAACATACTTTTGCAAAAGGTGCAAGAGCACTGGGGCAGATGAGGATGTCAGGTCTAACATTCAACCACTCTCCTAATTTCAAATAACTTGTGTCCAGCATAGCCCCTATAGGCAGGTCATCGTCAAGACCGGATTTTGGATAGGCCTCTCTGGAGACAGGAGGAAATAAGGGAAAGTAGTGGCGCTGCTCGACCAAGTGTCTGGGCAACCTTGCGAGGACATTGAGCTCGCGCGGTTTGCCGCCAACGACTTCCTGGCGACGCAACTCGTAGAGTACATCTTGAGAGGAGATACCCACAACACTTTCATTGATGTTGAGAGTAATGGGATTCGAGACGATTCTAGCCTGCTTTGGTAAACCAAGTTCCTTTTTTGGAAAGGAATCCTGGGGCCATGACACGTGCTTGCTGATCACGTCGCGTATGGATGGTATCATGATGATTGTGATATTGGGGACATTCTCCGCCAGCCGCCGCAGAGGTGCGCCGATCAACACACGGAACACATCTGTCATTGTGGCCTTATCCGGCTCAATTCGCGAGTCATCAGGAAGGTCAAAATCTCCAGAGGCGACAAGGGGATGCTCAACGTCCAAGAAGGGGCCAACCAATACGATGGAGTCTGCATATGTAGCGCTGGCCCTATCGCAAAGGGCATGAAGAGGTTCAAAGTCAAGGTTGTCTTCGGCGGTAAAGGGACCAGACGCAACCAAGATGCTCAGCGGAGGAGCAGAATCAGACTCATCAGAATCAGCACCGCCGCGTAAGCGTTCATTGCAGCTGTCGAGGACTTCCGCGTTCGAAGCAGCCATTGGCAAAAGAGGAATATCGAGAACTTCGTGGACGGTAAAATAATCTCCAGAAGCGTTTACCCCCCTCACTGCGATAATCTGACCCGGGAAAAACTCAAACCGCGCCAATGAGTCGACCTTTAAGGGCACTCGCAGACCGGCGCCCATTCGCCTGGATGTTTCCAAAACGAGAGAAGCAGAATTGGGCTTTCCTTCAAGAGTATCAGAGGCGATCCTGCCAACAGCGATGACCTCGCTGGTGCTTTGAGTTGCCGGATTTCCAAACGCATTGTCTTCGAGCTTGTTGTGTGTTTGAATCAATGCCATAAATTCGTCTATCCGATCATCGAGAACTTCGGACGCTTCTGATAAATGCATCGCCATGGGTCGATATGAGAATTTCTTCAAATCCGTGTTCGCCGTTAATTTGATACGTGGTTCTGCTGATGGAGCCACTGGTGATTCTGCTTCCGGCAGGTGACTGTTAAGAGACTCAATCGTCTGTCCAGCATTTGGTCGTTCCGAAAACGGCACTGTGGCCCCACTACCGCCAATATCTCCCTGCCTTGGTGATGGCTTGATCTCGCTCGGAGAACTGAAAACATTGTTCTTGCTTGCTTTTGATGCCGGCGTCTCGAATGCACTTCTCCGTTTCGCCGAGGTAGCGGTCCCGCTAGCTGCGACATGCCTTGGCGTACTGGGCATCAAACCATCGATCCTGAAACGAGATGGTTAGTTTAGATGGCTTGTTTCTGCAAAGAGATTCCCACAGGCAGCCATACATGCCAAAAACATCGTCGGTACTTGCTTTTGCGCGTGGAGTAGCTCCCGCTGTGCTTCGCTTGTCGGTGGTACGGATGTGTGCCTTGGTCCTTGACTCTCTCTCAAGTCCCTCCTGGATGTCATGTTTGAATGCCCTGGCCGTGTCCAGGTTCAATCTCGTCTCTTCCGCGCCCATCTTTATACTGTATGATTCCCATTTGAAGAAAAGCTCCTGAGGGGACAGGGCATGCAGCCGCAGAATCGATTTGAGTTCGCCGAGGACATCTTGGGGGAGTTCATTCGCAGGCGGAGCTGCAAAGAGCTTGTTCAGTTCGGCCGAAGGGTCTTCCATTGCGAAGTAGCAGAGCCGGTAAGGGTTATCTGCACCTTTACAGTGCTACAAGGAGAGGAGTCCGCTCTTGTTTTTGGTGACGGGGTTGGTTGCTGCTTCTACAAGTATTCTCGACCTCTGACGACGGAGCCAACAGCAGACGTCAAAACACGCGACCCATAGAGGAGACGCGCTTTCCATTCAAGAAATCGCGGGTCCGAGACGCGCTTGCCCGAAGTGGAATTAATTGTATGGGGAGGGACTACGGTAGGCCTTGTCAGCTCGACAGAGCGAGGCCAAAATGTTACAGGTAACTAAGATAACCTACTGTGCACGTATCCAGACTAGAGAGATTGTAGTCTAGCCTCGGGCCGGGCTGATGACATAATCGAAAACTTCTCGATTCTTCGGATGCGACGGAGGCCGAGCAATGCCAACCTGCGGACGACGCGGACTTATTCCTGCCCGAAGTTCCGCCGGCGCTCCCGTAGTTTCATCCTTCCCGAGCGGAGAACGACGAGAGGCCAAGGTCATAACTATTCTCTTCGTTGCAAGAGTCTCGAAGAACGCCTCAACCACGATGAAGGAGTATGCATGAACATGCTAATGCCGTCAGGCAGTAGGATACGTGACCTCATTCAACATCTGCCATGATTAAGCTTAGCTCATCCCCCCTCTCACGCGAATAGGCTTCTTAACTCTATATGTGTCAGCACTTGGGGGAGTCAGCAGTAACTAGCGGCAATCAGCCATAGCGGGACGAGGAAGGGAAAACCAAAAAAAAATTGACAGTCTAGCTAAGGAATGCGGCAAGAGTAACTTTGGCGGTCAACTCAACCTTTGTGGTACCGCTGCATGATTCAGACTGAGAGGAGAGTGTGTGTGTGTTGGGCATGGCGCTGAGATTATCCCTTCTCAGCGCCACAGTGAGCTCGGTGTATCGCCCTGACGGTAGAAATTACAGTTTGATTACTTGCTCCAGTTTAGCCCATAATTGTAAGATTATTAACCCGCTACTAAGGCCCCTAGCTGTTGCCATTGATCTCATTGGAAATTCAGCCTCGGCCGTCGGATCCCCCGACCTGGCGATTAGAAGATTCCCAGGGCGTAACTTAAGGCAATTTTCCCCATCTTTAGCATCACCTTTTTTCGCTCCTTCTCCACGTGTGAGTAACGCCAAGTCGGGTGCAGTAAATAGCTCTTGGTGGTGATAAGCAAGCCGTGTAGCGCCGAGAATAATTCTCTTCTCCAACGCCCTTTCTCAACTCTCTCACTCTTACCACTCTCCTTCCCTCCTTCCCAACCCAAACGTTTCCCTAAGTTACTCATTCCGCCGCAATCACTCTTTCCTTTTAATTTCCGGAGTATTTCCAACGCCCCTCTAGCGCGCAATGGCTACGACGGCAGATCCTCAGCAAGCACCTATTCCCGCAGAAGTGTCGGCCTCAGGCGTCAACGGAACTGCTGCAAAGCTGACCCCCGACGCGAGCGTCATGTCTGATGCCTCAACCGACACGGCCAGTGGAGCTCGTACAGAGCCCACATCGACTGCGCCATCCGTCAAGGAATCTGCACCGGCACCTCCCACGGGTCCGGTCAAGACGCCCTTTTTAGCCCCCTATGATGGAATCAAGCCACCTGCTCCTGCGAAATTGACATCAGAGCAAGAGACCAAGTATGACAATGTCCTGAAGACAGTGTCCAGCTGGAAAGAAATCCCCGACACGTTAGAGAAGAATAGCAAGCTCTCTCCAATTACCGACGATGAGCGTATGTTCCTCACGCGAGAGTGTTTGCTGCGTTATTTGCGTGCAACCAAATGGAACGCCGCAGAGGCTTCCAAGCGCTTGATGAACACTTTGACCTGGCGGCGTGACTATGGTGTCGACAAGCATACAGCCGACTACATCTCGCCAGAGAACGAGACAGGCAAGCAGGTTATCGCTGGCTACGACAATGATGCTCGGCCGTGTCTATACCTGAATCCAGCCAAGCAGAACACGAAGAAGAGCGACCGCCAGATTCAGCATCTTGTCTTTATGCTGGAGCGCGTCATTGACATGATGGTGCCTGGTCAGGACACGACTGCCCTCTTGATCAATTTCAAGGAGAGCACAAGCGGAAGCAATCCTAGTGTTGGCCAGGGACGTCAAACGTTACATATCTTGCAGACCCACTATCCTGAGCGTCTAGGACGGGCTTTTGTTATTAACAGTGAGTAATGCCTGTGGCAAATGTGCATACTTTCATTTGCGCTAATCCAATGCCCTAGTTCCTTGGCCCGTGTGGACTTTCTTCAAGCTCATCAGCCCTTTCATTGACCCGCTCACGCGCGAGAAGCTCAAGTTCAATGAGGGCATTCGCCAATATGTGCCGCCCGCACAATTGCTCACCACGCACGGTGGAGATGCGCAATTCGAGTATGACCACTCCATCTACTGGCCCACCCTAAACAAAATTGCTGCCGAGCGGAGAGCAGCCTACCGCGAGCGATGGGTCAAAGCGGGCCGCCGAGTGGGAGAACACGAGACTTATCTGCGGGGTGGCGATGAACCATGCCTGGTAGAGATCGAGAAGGCAAAGGTCGCGCCCGCACCACCTGCGGCAGAGCCGCTGACAAACATTGTTTCTGCGTAATGGCGTTTCCGGATTCCATTGATTCAGACATTGGGCGAAAGCAGTTGCTTGACGGTTTTCTGGTAAAATCGCAGCGTAATTAGTTTTCTTTCTATTCATACGTTTCCCCTCTGTTCCTCTCGGCTTGCATCTCCCCCTTATTCATTCAAGCTAGTTTACTTCAAAGGCGCATGAATTGTTATGGTTGATGTTTTTTTCCATATTCTTAGAGATTTGCGGAGCGCATCACCCATCTCCCTCCTTGACTAATTTTCTGTTTCTTTTATTTTTCAATTTTCTCCATGCATTAATCATCATTGATGTTACGGCTTTGACCAACACATATAAACATACATATTAGGCATGCCAACAAAAATACCGGAAGAATGGTAACAACAAATCTTCAAATGAAGAAAGGAAACCAACGCTCTTACTCAAGAACGAAACGCCGAAACACCAAAATGTATTTTAAGAAAATGCTAGAAGTATGTAGCAAGTAGCAAGATCTCATTCCTCCATCTTCTCCATCATTTTTCACGTTCATCCGTAGGAAAAGAAGTAGATCATTTTACGAATTCGTACTCAATCTATGCACAACCGGGACTGAGCTCGGCGGCAGAGAGCCATACTCGGTGATAACCATCTTGATATACTCGGCAGGCGTAACATCATACATGATGTTGAGCAAGAGCAAATTATCCGTTTCCCGCCACGTCGACAACGGCGAGCCCTTGACTCCCTGAGCCTCACCTGCTGTCGCCGCGCCGGTCTGATCAGGAGTCGCGGTCGCCGTAGTAGTAGTAGTTGTTGTAGCAGTATGCGTCAAGGGGAGCGGCGAAATTAGCTCATCCGGCGGCGCGACCTCATTGCTCACAATGCTGTCAAGAGCGACTTTTTCAGTAAACTTGACGCTCTCGCAGCACACGATGACCGGGACATCAAACTCGTTGGCAGTCATGGCGACAATGGCTGTACCGACACGCGAGTACAGACGGCCATTACTCATCATTGCGTGAGCGCCCAGGAAGACCTTGGTTGCGTCCTTGATGGCGTGGCTCACGGCGTGCATGAGCGAGTACTGGACTTCCAGGCCGGCCGTGGCGAGGGCACGCGCCAAGTGTTTGCCTTCAAACAAGGGCTTGGAGTCAATGACAATGACGCGGAACTGCACGCCCCGCTTGTGTGCCTCGATGAGGGTCTGCTGCACAATGCTGCTCTTGGCGTACGTGAGAACCACGTCTCCGTTTTGGATCTTGCCGCCCGCGCTGGTGGCAATCACTTGGTCGGCCACGGTGATGCGCTCGCGGATAAAGTTGTCAATGGAGTCGCATAGATCTTCTTTTGCTTCGTTCTCGGGCGTGTCGGGGTCGACTTTGCTGATTTCGAGCTTCAGCCATCGAATCGCATTGCCCATGGACACGGACATGGGTCGGCATGAGACCAGGTAGTCGATTTGAGGAGATAGGTGGTGCGAGGTCAGGTGTCGGCTGAGTGAGTGGCCGGGAGGTGTAGTGTAGGATTCAATGACCTGTTAATGTGTCCAGTTAATGTCTGGGTCCAGAAAAGATAAATATTCGAAATAAGGATTTATGTTTCTTTGTAAGAGGCATGAAGAGCAGTAGACTTGTGGTTTTTGGGCACCAAAGACTGGCACAAGAGCCTCTTGCCCCTGTGCCCCATTGAACGTGAAGCGGAAATTAAATGTGAAAGTTGAAAGAGTCAAGGAATTGGAGAGAAATTGGGAAGAATTTACCCTCTTGAGTGCCAAAAGCGTTGCTATACAGCGCGCATTGCTTCCGCAAATAACGTAGTTGCTCATCTGCAGGCCCAGCGCCAGCACAGCCGGATGCACGTCCTTTCCGACACCTGCCAGAGTCGTCCGTCGTGACTGTCCATATAAATGTCCGAAAAGGGACACCTGGTTTGCATCCTTGGGCGGCTTTGCTGCGGCCTGCGCTCCTCCCTGCGCTCCTTTTCCACGGAGGGCCAAGTTCTTTTGATGATCCGCTGCGGCGGTGGATGTGGTGCGCTTGTGGTGGCCCTTACTACCAGCAACACTGTCGTCTTTGTGTTGCTGCACTTCGACCTTCTGCCATGGCTTTCCTGGTTTTTGATTGCCCGCCTTGTCTTGGCCACCACTGTGCGGCACTCCGCCGCCAGGGCCCTGCCGATCGGCCTTTTCTCGTTCTCGTCGAGCTGCTTTTTCGGCCTTGGCTCGTTTTTTCAATTCCGCACCGGAAAGCTTCTCTCCATTAGGCCCAGTAGCTGTGACTTCTGTGCCATTGGGTTTCGGCTGTGCTTGCTTCGTGTCTGCTTTTGGGGACTTTTGGTCCTTCGCTGGTGCCGGCGAAAGCTCTGCGCCCGCGGTGGGGTTCTGAGGGTTGGTGTCCGCCATAGCTGGGGAGGAGGATTTAAGTTTATTTATGCGCCAAGACTCGTATGAATGATGCGCCGGTTCCGAGTAAATGGTGGATACAGGGTGACTCACGTCCCCAAGGCCTGTGTTGGGTGGGATTATTTTTGTTGTAAAAGCACTTTTGAGTCAACCCTAGGATAGGCGTTCGGTTTGGGAAGTTTAGCTTTTAGCGCGGGGTGCAAGCGCCCGAAGCGCGGTTGATATCAGATGTGATCTTGTCGCTTCGCTTGTTTCGTTGTTCTGCGCAACACTTGGAATGAGCAATCAGTGCGTCACATAGATGCAAAAGTTTGTGCTACAGTTTCTGTCGTTGAAGACTACGAAGTAATTTTGTCTTTACGTTGGGAGCGAAAGCGTGAGATAGTGGTTGGGACTTGGTCAGTAGTGCTTCCTTTTTCGGTTGCTACATGCCTTCTATGAAATCATCTTTTACCAGTGCCGGTCAACACCTTTATTGAAAAACAAATCCATCCAGTTTAACATATAGATTTAGCGTTAAACTTCTATTACATTTGAAGCATCAAACTCATTCTATGTGCGAGAGTAAAATAAAATAAAAAAGTGGAAATCACTTTCATAACGTGTTCGTCGCTACCTGCGTAGTCATTCTTTTAACTTACTTAGGTTTCTATGCTCTGGATCCAGCAGAGAGAAGAAAAGTAGTTAAGATGACTTTATAATCTCCTGAGATGAGAGAGTAGAATCATTACAACCGCTGAAGTACGCAATAAACATGATTGAAACGGCAGATGAAACAGCGCCTTCCAGTCAATGAAAAAAAAAAAAATTAACCCTTAGCTCTGCCTTTGATAGAATAAGCTCCCTTGGGGACTTATAATCTCCGTTCCCAACCCTTATTCCATAAACTGTCGCACCATACAAGTATGACCAAACTTTCTAAGATGTGCTAGCCAAGATGCCGCCTTTCTCTGCTGCACTCGTCGTTGGCTCAAGAGACGCACCCGCTTCAGCGGCTTCTCTCTCTGCTCTCCGTTTTCGCTTCTCCAACAAGCTATCTTTTCGGTCTTGGAGAATCTTAAATTGTCGTTGCTCGACTCCCGTTAACCAGTAACCGAAGCTTCCACCGGCGGCAGCGAAGACCGGATATGCCCACAGAGACTCTTTGTTAAAGAACGGCCGCAACTCCATGCCGAGTTGCCAGAATCGAACAGCGATGCCTATGTCGCGTGAGCAGCCTTCGAGTTAGCTGTGGACAACCATCACATATGGATTTTGTCGCCGCCCATGTGACTGCTAGATTGCTTACCGAAGCCGCTCCAGAAAAGGATCTTGTGAACCATGGTCGGTGGTATTTGTACCAGGCTTTTGATCCGAAGATATTGTGATATCAATGAAACAGGCCACTTGTAGGCGATAAAGCACAGTTTAAACCCTCGGATATACGGCGCCTTATGTTTTTGGGGGGGATGGGATGGGATGGGGATGTGGAGATGCTGGGGATGGTCAACATGGGAACTGCTCAATTCGGTTTAGCCCAGGCCGGGGGTGGCTTGCCGCTCCGATGGCTGAGTTACTGTGGTTGAAGCTCCCGCGAAGTAAAAATGTCCCGTCATTAAGCTCCAAATGCTACCCGCGATAATTCTACATTGCGAGATCACGCATTGATCAATTTCAACAGCAGATGAGCTTGGAACGGAGAGCCATCGCTCAGTAACAGTTGGCAATGGCGGATTTAGAACGCGTGCCCTCCGCGTCAGAGGATGCAGGCCCACCGCGAAAGAAGTTCAAGACTTCAGACTTACCGCTTTCTGCGGCCAAACGCTCTGCGATCGATGGGCTCCTACATACGTTCAAGAAGAAGGGAGAATTCGACAGACTCAGAAAGGCAGTCTGGGCCAAATATGACAGCGGCGTGAGTTTCTCTCTATTCTTGACACTTGGCGGCCATGATGCATATACATCGGCTTGGTTTGGTGTGCATTTGGTACTGATTTTTACTTGGTCAATAGGATGCAAAGTCTTCTCTAGTCAACTCTATAACTGAGGTGGCCGAATCAGAGATTGACCGTGATCCTTCACTTCTTTCGCGGGATCGTGGCAAGGCTGCGCCGCTGATTGAAGGCGCCGTGGATCGAAGCGACATTTACAAATCCGTCGAAGCAGATATTGCTCGTTTCATCGATCAGGATATCACTCACGTCGAAGATGCTCTACGCGCTATACGACAGAACGAAATTGGCGAAGCTGCTGCTGCTGAGGAAGAACGGATCGGTAGCAAACCAGAAGAGGAATACGAGGAAGAGGCAGCGGTTCGACATGCTGAAAGGGAAAGAATTCGCAAGGAAGAACTGGAGAAGGAAGCAGAAATTGAAAAGGAGAAAGAGCGGATCAAGGCGGAAGAGAAGCGAAAACAACGCGAGGAAGACCTTCGACAGGAGGAGGAAGCGCGAAGAAGAGCGGAAGAGCGTGACGAGCAAAGGAGAATTGAACGTGAAAAGGAGCGAGAAAGGGAGAGAGAACTCGACCGTCAACGCGATAGGGAGCGAGAAGAGCGTCGCGAACGACGACGACAGGAAGACGCAAGAGAACGAGACCTTAGAGACGCGGCCTGGCGCGAAAGAGATTCCTCTAGGAGACGGTCGCTTGCCAGGGACGATCGTGATCGAAAATCAACTAGAGAACCTACTCCTCGACCTTTGGAGGACAAAGACCTCGATGATATTGCGCTGCAATTGCTTCTCAAGGAGGGCCAAGAACTCGCGGCCAAAGCGCGCCAACGGCCAGAAATGGAGCGTTCTGAATCTCTTGAACCCCCACTACGTAAAGGACAAGTGGGCAAGCCTTCCCAGCCCGAGCCTCGACCGGCAGACACATCTCGCCTCTCGTCCCATCCTGAAGGAGCAGGCAGAGATAAAAAGGATCGCAGCCCTTCGCCCGGCCGGAGATCAGTACATAATGACCATGAGCGCGAACGAGAGCGAGACCGCGATCCCAGCCGCGACCGAGGCCGTGATCGTGACCGAGCAAGAGACCGCTACAGCGTAGATCGGTCTTATCGAGGCAGCAGGAGCCGTAGCCCACGGCGTTACACTCGGCAATGGGACGATGACAGACGCCCGCACGACATTTATCGTGGCTCGCGCAGAGATTCAACTCCTCCAAGGAGCCTTTCCAGAACACGAGACCGCGACTATCGCCGCAGACGCAGTCCCAGCCGCACTCCTCCGCCTCGTCGCCGGTATGACCACTCTCGCTCTCGCTCTCGCAGCCCACCGCCACGCCGACGAGGCAGGAGCCGGTCTCGCACGCCGCCTCTTCCACCGCGAGATCGAGACCGAGATAGCTACCGCGCTCGATCTCGCAATCGCAGAGTCTCTCCTCGACGGAGATACTCCCGCTCCAGAAGTCCCGGAGGAGACATGGACTCATATCGCCCCGGTGGTGGCAGTGGCGGAGGTCGGAGAACAAGCCGTAGCCCACCTCCGTTAAGCCGTCGAGCCGCTTCCAGAGACCGACACGAGCGACCCCGAGATACTTATGATCGATATGTTCCTGGTGGTGCTAGTGGCAGCGGTGGCCGCGGTGGTGGCGACCCAGACGCAGACAATGACAGATTGCCGCTGCCGCATCCGCCCCCACCCCGAAAACGTAGCCGCTCGAGACGCCGCAGCCCAAGTCCTGATCGACGAAGACGAACTAGTCCAAGTCCCCATCGCCGCAAGAGGAGTCTGAGCCCACCTCCTCGTCGAAGAAGCCACAGCCGAAGACGAGGCCGGAGTCCCAGCCCTCTCATCAGCAGCAGAAGGCGCGACAGGGAGAGTGACCGAGACCGAGACCGTGATCGCGACCGGGTTCGAGATCGTGACGCAGACAGAGACAGAGACAGGGACACCCGCAGAGAACGTGATCGCAGTCGCCGCAGGAGTTATAGCCGGCGCCGAAGCCCGAGCCGTACTCGCAGACGCAGCTCCAGTCGGCCAAGGACGTCCAGGCGGTACGATTAGGTTATTCTTGTGAGGTGATTTAAAATGCGTTCCAGATATCACTATATCCATTGCGGATATCAATTTGAAGGACATCAGTTGGACGATTTTGGCAGGCTTCGTTTTTCACCGGCTGCGTTTGGGTCTTGGCCTGGCCTGGCCTCCAATTATTTTCCTCTCTTGACCAGAAAGGGAACAGTAAAAAAAAAGCACTCAGAGGCCTTGAACTGGAACTATTTCTTTTAGAAACGTTGTACAATATTATTCTCTCGCCTTTGGGGCAGCATTATCCAAAATTTCTTGTCTGCAGAGAGATTAAACAGAGAGAGATAAAGGGTCATATTCATCTCTAAGGTATCAGATCGGACTTTGGCGCTGCGGCACGTAGCATCCTCAATATTGGAGGGTGTTTAGCAGGGAAAAGGTGACTTGAAAAGATATTATCGATATGGTCAAAGTAAATTGATCATGCCAGAGGGCGAATCAGCGGACTGCAGGAGCTAGAGAAATAAGCAATACATATTTGAACTTCATGAGTCGTGGTTTGAGTCCCTGTAAACACACAATAAAGTTTCCTGCCTTATGCATAACGCCTGACTCTATATACGCCTCATATTCAAACTTTTCTTCTGGTCCATAGCCCCTTGGGGGCTTGCTTCGTATTCTACATCAAAAAACCCTTTACGCTCGTACATCATTAAGTCTCAAGCGTTAACTTCCTCCTTTACCGTTTCAGTGTCTTCTGCTTCTCCGCATCCACAACCAACTTTTTGCCTTGAATAAACAAGCCTTTACGACTTCGAACTCGATCCATGTATCTCTTTGCAACGTTCTCTTTGTCTGCCAATTCACCAAGATCTTCCAGTTCCTCTTCAGTAAATGGAATCCAGAAGGGATCGATATCGAGCATTTCAAATCCGGCAAAGATGAGCTGAGGGCTCGCGGCGCCCGAGGTCCGTTTGCGAATCTCGTCACTGAATCCAAAAGACTCCGCGACGGGCAGGACGGATAGGATAGTGAAGAAGGGCGTGCCTTCCTTAAGGGCTTCGGACAGAATGCGGCCTCGACGACGAGTGATGACTCCGTAAACACGTCCAAGGACCTCGGCTGTTTAATAGGAGAGAAATTAGCAAAAGCGCTAAAAAAAAAGGTGTTTGAAAAGGCGGTGAAAATGCAGCAGTGAAAGGCGGAGGAATCAAGGATTGCAACATACTGGATGCTTGAATTTCGCAACTATACATGGCAAGCAGGAGGCGAGGACTCCAGTCAAGAAATCCCTGGTGAATAGAGTCTCGTACGGTCCTAATAACTTCACCGGTAAGGCGACCAAGCTTTTCTCGCGCAGTGCTCTCTTCTTCCGCAGGGATGGCAATGGATACGTCTTCTATAAAGACAGCAACGCCCTGGATAGGCTCATTACAGAGCGGGCCTTGAGCGGTTGCTAATTGGAAGGCGTAGCCGATTTTGTCGGCGAAATCTCGCGCGGTCAGACTATCAGTAGCAGATGGAGCTGGAGACTCGGTGCCATTCGGAGATTGTTCAGACTGCTGTGCATGGCGGAGACTAAGGAAATAAGTTGTAAGTAAACGATGCGGAGCGGTGCGAAAAGGGAAAAAAAAAAATTTTTGTATGAGAGGCTCCATAGTACTTACAATCGCTTAAAAATGCCATTACTGCTGGCATCGATCAAGAGATTTGAGCCAACACGTCTTGGGCCAAATGCTGCAATGTTATCGATTGCACTTGCCCATACTTCGCGGTCAGCCTTGATCTCCTCGAATGCCTTTTTCAGACTCTTCTGAAAGTCATCCAGTGAAATTATGCTTGTTTCATCTCCTCCAGCAGCTTCAATCTCTTCGCCTCCCTCTTCGACAGGTTGAGAGTCACCCTTCTGCCGTCCACGGCGTTCTTCCGCTTTGTTCTGCGAGTAAAATTGCTTTATGGAACTAGCGTTCTTGGAAAGAAAATTGGTCACTGCTGCCGGGAGAGGCCGGACTCTTAACCGAATAGATATCTGCTTAGAGCTCGTCACACCAGCCACTGTACCTCGTGGGAGATCTTTTTCCCTAGGCGGTGCCATCTCGGGAGCACTGACAATGGTTTCTCGATATGGCACGATGGGCTCGCCGGCTTGAATATCGCACTTGGCAAATCTCTCGCGCAGGTCTTTCAGACAACGTTCAAGGTGAAGTTCACCCGCAGTAAGAATGACGTGCTCGCCATTCTCGAGGACTTCGTATTCTGCACAAGGGTCGCTCTGCACCAGAAGCCGCAGGCCATCAATCATCTTTCCAAGATCCATGGGATTAGCCGGTTCGAGTGCGACGCGAACAATAGGTTGGCTTCCCATGTTCAACCCTGCGAGGTTGACGCTGCCTTCTAATTGGCTGCAAAGTGTTCCTGACTTGAGGATGTGTCCCTCCAGTCCCGCAATGCCAAAAACGACACCAGCTGGCACAGTCCGTAGTGGCTCCAAGCTTCGCCCCATCAGCAAATATAACGCTGTGATTGTGACTTTCTGAGGTTCCGGGTGCGCGTGAGGGTCTGCGGGCGAGAATTTAGGAGCCAAAACGTAGACCTCGTCACCAACAGAAAGAGATCCAGAGTACAAACGAGCAAAACCAATCAAATGCTCAGGGTCCTCCTCCTCTTCATGCGAAGCTTCCGGCTCCTCCTCTTCCTCTCCTTCTCCCAAGCTCACAGTAGCCAGAGCACGCGTCATGCCACCGACATCACCAGAGGAGAGTTGTTGGGCACGTGCAATCTCCGCCCGTTTCTTGCGTGCCATCTCGCGAGCCTCCTCTGCACTTAGACCACCTGCTCTGCGCCTATTTTCAGGCAACTCGCTCTGTGGTATAGCGACCATTTTACTAACATATGCAACAGCCGGTTCGGTTTTCTCAGTTCGAAATTCGACCATTGCTTGCTTGACGGCGGGATCTACATGTTCAGCTCCAGGGGACTCTTCGATCATAGCCGGTAACCGATCCGCCTGCGCGACCGGTGGTGACGGCAAGTGCTCGATGGTCGTCACGAGGAGGGCAGTGGAAAGAGGTAGCCAGGCCGAAAAGAGAGCTGTCAAAATTGATCGAGGATCCTTTGATCGGAGGACATGAGGGGGGAGTGTGATAGAGAGCGACTTTGTAATTTTCTCAACCATTGCAGGGTCCCTGCAAAATGCACAACCGCGTTAATGATATATTCCTTTGGACAAGTTTTGGGACAGGAAAAAAAAATTGAGAAAGCCACTTACCCTTTGCCACGATCTCCGTCAACAGACGCTTCATAGACTGCCCAGATGGTCTCTAGGACTAATTGAACAAACATTGGTTTCAAGTTTCTCCCCTTGAGATGCTTCTGCCCAAGAACCCTCTTGGTCTTAGGGTCCAGATAATAATCGCCCCACAAGACCTTCTCAAGGATCGCTCTTTTGATACCCAGCTTCCTCTCGTATATTGCGGCAAATTGCTTGACCGTAAAAGCCCAGCCGTCAATCGCACTGCTGAAGATGACATTATTCCTCTCGGGGGCAAAGTATAAGTCTGCATCGTCCCTTTCTTCGAATTCTCCATGTGCGCTATTCGTCACTACTCCCTCGGCGTCTTGCGCCGCTGCTCCTGTTGTAACTGCAGACGAGTGTTTGACAGGGTCATTTGCAGCAGCGGCAAGCTTCTCTTCCATCTTCTCTCTCCATTTTAAGTCCTCTTCCATCCTCTCGCCCTGATAGAATGATCCAACAACGGCATTTACTTGCTCCAATAGCTTGCTTAGGTGTGTGTATGCTTCGCTGGGACTCATTTTGAGCTCGGTGATTAGCCTATCTATTTTGTTAATCACTAGCAATGGTTTCATCCGTTCAATCCATGTTTGCCGGAGTACTGTGACTGTCTGACTGCAGACCCCTTCTACTGCATCGACCAGTACCACTGCACCGTCGCAAAGCCGCGAAGCTGTAGAAACCTCGCTGCTAAAGTCAATATGGCCTGGGGAGTCTATAAGGTTGATCAGATATTCCTTCATCTCCGGAGCTGCCTCTGGTGCAGGGCGTCGAAGCATTGAGAAGTACAAAGAAATTGCTGACGACTCCATGGTAATGCCTCGCAATTGTTCATCGGGTCGTGCATCCAGGTAACGAATCTTGCCCGCTAACTTTGGAGAAATAATGCCATTTGTCGCAAGAAGTGCATCGGTAAGAGATGTTTTGCCATGATCCTATGGAGAAGATGGGATTAGTCGGGAGCTGAGAGACTCGGGGCGGCCGCTGGGAACGTACAACATGGGCCAGTATGCAAATCTGTTTGCTTAAAGTTAGCTTTCAGGCTCCGCCAAAAGTATACAAAAAGAAGAGAAAGAGGCTCGCCCATACGTTTCTGATATTCTGAGCATTTCGCTGCAGGCTTATTAGCTGTTCGGGTTTCACGACAGGCATGATGTCGTGCTGTCGATCTCCAAGGAAAAAAAAAAGGAAACTGCCCCGCTATGCAAGTTGTACTTCGTGCCGATATACGCAAGGAAAGGGGCTAAATTAGAAGATAAATACGATATATATAAAAGGAAATGATGAAGTCGAGCTCAGGGAGTTGAAGAGAATGTATAATACAATATAAAGATGGAAGGCCCTTCGCCGTGCTAGAGAAAATGACGATGGAATAAATCTGAGAAATTTCCTAATGTGGTAATATACGTCAAACCGCGGGTGTTGGATGCGTCATATCACGTTCTTGGTCACTATCGTTTCCCTTTGTGGTCCCTGGCCTTTCTTGTTGTTTCCCCTTTCGGCTCTCCCCGTTCGCTTCCACAATCAACGCATTCCACCTGATTCATAGCTAATAATCCCTGACTGGTATAACTAGTGTAGTTAAGGAGGTAGCGGCTTTCAGAGGAGAGTTCTTGTGCAAAAGAGAAGGGAGCGAATAAAAGTTCACATGAAGGCCCCGTCAGCCGGATGTGGGTATAAAAAGCATGTGTTTCCTACCACAATACTCCGTATACTCTGTAATAAAATTTTTTGCCCTTTTCCAATTGGTGATAATAGTGACACAAGAAAAATGTTTCGAAAGCCCTAACTTCAATGTCTTCACTAGTAGTGGGTAAACAGTCGAGTGGATCTGCTGTATAGTACTTGGGTCGAGCGCCCCCCTTATTCAGGGGTTTTAAGACCATCTATAGGCACGACCATCCCCCTACCAGCCGTAAGAAGCATAGTACATATGGAAATCTATCATGCAAGTATGAAAGATTGACCGTTATAACTACCAATCGTAATCTTCAAAAGGTACTCTATACAGGGTAGTTAGAGTGGAAAGCCAAAGCAAGGAAGTCTAACTACGGAAGATGGCAGTGGCTGTCTGTGAGCTTGAGCTACACTGAAGTGGAAAAGTGCGACGGTAGCGACAGGAGTCACTAGAAACGTGCCAGAGTCAAAAAGGAGGTTTAGCTAGAGATAGTGGGATCGCCTAAGCTGTCCCTCCGTAATCTCGTTGAGAAATAGGAGTAAAATGGAGCGGCGCGGGGTGGTGGGGAGACGAGACGGCGCCACCTCGTGCGTAAGCCCAATCTACTCCCCTCGTTCCTCGTCCCACATCATCTACCTCTTCCGCCATTCACACACAAGAGACCAAGTGACTGCTTGCTGGTCAGGATTGCCCCAAGCTCTCGGATCATAATAATCGCACCCTTTGCTTGCATCCACAGCTGCATCGGCTATCTGTCTATTACTGCAACAAGAACCTCTCGTTTGTCGCCCCTGCTCGCCCCTGTACTTTTGGCACTGTTCCAGATCGTGGGCAGAGCAGCACTTGATCCCACGCCGCAGGCCATACTCGACGTTACCGTTTTGGGTCATACCACCGCTGCCAACTGTCAACGCTGGTGCGGACCGCTTGCCGCCCAGGTCTCCTCATGTTTATACTGCAAGAATCGGCTTCAGTCTACCTCGGACCCATTCCCGAGCGCCAATGCATGAGTACATATTCCGGCTGAGTTGACGCAAATAATTACACGGCTATCTGAAAGGTTGCGTGTAACGTCTCGTCGTATCCATGGCGCAGACCCTCTCGTCGCCTTCGCATTCTTACACCGGTTCTCAACCAAGGTCGATTCCTCCTCGAATCGATTCTAAAGCAACTTCCCTTCCTTCGATCCCTATTCCCTCGTCTTCAGGGCCGGCCCGGAGCGGACACCTGAATTTGGATACCTTCTCGCCCGTGAATCAGAATGGGAGTTTTGAATTTGATAAAGTCTTGAAGACGGGAGAAGTAAACAAGCGGACACGAAAGACCAAGGTATAGTTCCCCGTCCATGTGGTCTGTTGCGGCGTTGGCGCTTACAATTTGAGTGCGTGACAGTCCTGGAAGCGATGTCATCTCGTTCTACGTCCCAATTTACTCAATATCTACAAAGACGCCGAGGAGACTCGGCTTCACCACCAGATCAATCTATCTGAAGTCACAGCCGTTGCCAATCTCTTAGATCCAAAAGGTCGGCGAGATTACCTTTTTGGTATATTTACTCCTTCAAGAAACTATCATTTTCAGGGGTCAAACAAGGAGGATGCACGACACTGGGTGGATCTGCTCAGACAAGAAGCTCGCATCGACGAAGAGGAGCGAGAGTACATGCTCGCGAGCCCCACGGCAAAATTTGGATCACACAATGGCATTGAGAAAGCAATGGCTGGTCGCAGGCCACAGCGACAGACAGAACGTTTCATGTCAAGTTCACCGGAACCATCAGACCACTACCTCAGCAATCGCTCTCCCAAGGAAAAGGGCGATCCACGATCGGAACAAACACGTCCCTCTCAGAGTATGGATTTTTCCATGAACGAACTCGGCTCTTGCTCGGATTTTTCAGACGTCCCCGGTCAGACAGGATTTGGAGGATCATCATCATCTCTCCCCCACTCGGAGGTGCGCGATGCGTTGGAGGAGAACAAAACGCCGTCAGCTGCCGCTCAGGCGCCAGCGGAGAAATCAGGAAAGGCTCGCAAAACGAGTGGATTGGCTGCTATGGACATCAACCCAGAAGATGAGCGTGTCATCTGGCATGGCTGGCTCTCCTGCCTGAAATCGACTCATGGAATGCGTCAGTGGAAGCGGCTATGGGTCGTTTTGCGTTCCAAGAACGTCGCCTTCTATAAAGATGAGCAGGTAATTCATGCCCATGAGTATAATTTGCATGCGTTGTGGTCTAATAGTATACAGGAGTATTCTGCTCGATTGATCCTTCCTTTGGATTCTATCCTGAATGTGGTCGAGATCGACCCCATATCTAAAAAGAAGGAGTTTTGCATGCAGATTATTGCCGAGTCTAAAACCTATCGGCTCGCAGCTCCTACGGAAGAGGCGCTTGAGAAATGTTTAGGCGCGTTTAAGAGTCTGCTTTCCAAAAGGAACAAGGACGGGCTCACTCAACCGAGGTCTGGCAATGTCTCTTGATCACTCTTCTCCTTTTTTTGTTTCACTTCACTTTGCGGGGTGGGCTTTCAGTGTATGTGTCTCTCTGTGCATGGATTGCGTTGGTAAAGGCCCGTCACTTTTTTGATACGAACTTTTTAATTTTCACCTTTCATTGGGTAGAGGAGTCCCCGTCGGTCGCGCAGCTGGTTGCGTGCTTCGGAGAATATATAATATAAACGGCTCTTGTAAGGGTTGCAATGCTTCCGATTCTTCCTTGGGGGCTTAAACAGGCGTTTAATAAAATTGAAATAAATATCAATTTTATTTTCATTTTGTAAAAATTTTTTTTTTTTTTTTTTTTTTTTTTTTTTAAAAAAAATGAGCCCTCCCATTGATAACGTCCACAACAACTGCCATTTCAGCGCTGGATTTTCTGGATTAATCTCCCTTTTGCCGGCATATCCTTTATCATGATCCCGCTCTTTCCCCTCGGAAATTTATCCTTGGGTGGTAGTTGAGCTTTGTTTTCTTTGAGTGAAATATTTACTCATACTACTACAGAGGAGGAAAGAGCAATGGCAGCATGTAATTCTCTGTATTAGCTGCGAATTCATAGGCGTTTGGCTTCACAAGGCACAGAACATTTTCCATCGAGGGCGGTTGGGTATTGTTATTCGGTGGAAGCCATTTGGTCAAGCTCTGCCTCATCTTTGTAACACTCAAAAGCAGCAAATGGACACGCAGGGATCTGGGGAAGTCATGGAGTAATCCAGTACTTGGCTTTAGGTACAGGGTATCTAATCAAGCGTGATGATGGGAGCATCTTAAGGTATTCAGTACCTGATATTTTTACGAAGCTCGATGTAGGTACTGTGTACTCAACGCTGTAGGCGTCTTTCACGTGCATTTTCGTACCAGGACCTTCTCCCTCTACTTGTAACTGCTTCCCGTCCTCTCCACGCCTGCGCCCGGCCGACCTTTGCTGTCCGCTACCCCACGTTCGTAGTGGGATTTACTGCTATTGCTGCTGCTGTTTGAGCGCCTTGCGAACCCTCGAAATCTCAGTTAACCCCATAGCAGAGGATCCATCCCTGACCTATCCGGTGACACAACAGTTTCGCACCCCACGAACACAGAAACAAGCAACTTTCCCCCTCTCTGACGCGGCCACCCCTCCATGCTGGCTTTCGTTGGGGGTTAGGAGTGCCTCGCAATGTCCGCCGCAGAACCTGACGACCCAGCAAAGTCGGCACCAAATCTCGCTGCACCTGCCAGTACCACTAGCTCTGCCGTCGTCGGTCACGAGGGCTTTGTGCAGCCGTCCTCTTACCTCCGACGACTGCGTCCTCACGCACGACCAATGGCTTCCGCGCAGCCGTTGAATGCCGTTGACAGGGAGCAGCTTCAGGGTTTGGTAGGTTTCCCTTTTCTTTGCCAGTGTTTTCTCGGCGGCTCGGACAAGAGGCCATTCTCACGGCTCCCGCCGATGGCGGGCGCATCGATGGTCTTCGCTCCATACCACCTTAGCAGTGGCTGATACGAATCTCATTTTGCTATTTAGCGTGCTATTAGAGCATTCTTGAAGGTCCGAACCAGCTATGATGTTCTCCCGCTCAGTTTCCGACTCATTGTATTCGACACGGCATTACTTGTGAAGAAGAGCTTGAACATTCTCATCCAAAATGGTAAGCCTACGACCGCATCTGTTAGAAGATGAGCGGAGTTTCTCCGCGTATAGTAACCTAATCTAATGCCGTTGCAGGAATTGTATCTGCCCCCTTATGGGACTCCAAGACGTCGACCTTTGCCGGACTTCTTACGACTTCGGATTACATCAATGTCATCCAGTACTACTGGCAGAATCCGGATGCTCTCAATCAGGTCGACCAATTTCGCCTAAACAGCTTACGTGGTACGCGCCGAGTCGTCTCTTCAGCGGAGCAATTCAGCTCGCAGTCTGCTGACCCTGCTACAGACATTGAGAAGGCGATTGGCGTGCAGCCTATCGAGACGGTCTCAGTAAACCCGCTGAAGCCCCTGTATGAAGCATGCCGGAGTATGCTCGCATCTAAAGCTCGCCGTATCCCGCTGGTTGATGTCGACGACGAGACAGGCCGCGAAATGGTGGTCAGCGTGGTAACACAATATCGCATTTTGAAATTTGTCGCTGTCAATGTCAACGAGACCCAGATGCTCCGGAAGCCTCTCAGAGATCTCAACATTGGGACATGGGAGAATCTTGCCACTGCACATATGGATACACCAGTCATGGATGTCATTCACCTGCTTGTCAAGAAAAATATCTCCAGTGTGCCAATTGTTGATGACGGTGGTAGGCTGCCCTTGCTTCCATGTGTATATCTGCCTTTTCGAATTGCAGCTGACATGTCCAAAGGAGTCGTTTTAAATGTCTTCGAGGCAGTGGATGTCATTACGCTCATCAAAGGCGGCATCTACGATGATCTCAACCTAAGCGTCGGAGATGCTCTCCTCAAGCGCTCAGATGTGAGTATCTGAACTTCTGACAAAAGACGAAAATAGCCGAGAAGCAAGGGCTAACCTCGTCATGTTTCAGGATTTTGCTGGGATTTACACGTGCTCGGAACAAGACCGTCTCGACACAATCTTCGACACCATCCGACGCTCCCGCGTTCACCGATTGGTCATAGTTGATGACAATAAATGCCTCAAAGGTCTCTTAACCCTGAGTGACATTCTCGAATACGTTTTACTTGAAGGCGAAGAGGACAGTTGAAGAATTTCTTCCCCAGTGCTGAAGAGCTCCAGACGAGCTTTTGCGAGTTTTTATTTGCCTTCGCGCGGAAACATCGGCTTTTCCTTGAGACAGCTTGATTTGCCGCCCCTCGAGCATGAAGACAGCTTGCTTTGCTGTAAATCGGAATTTTTTTGTTCAGTTATGCAGCATTTACATATGGATCATGGATGTTTCTTCTCTTTTCGGCGATTGCTTGGATCGATCTGGAGTCTAATGTCTCTTTATATCTATTCTCTTTTGTCCAATTTCATCTTGCTCGTCACAACTTTAATTCTTTGTTCATGTTTAGCTTACCTCGTTTCCCCTACTCGCAAACTCACATCACGAAGAGGCAAGAGACTCTTGTGTGTTCTTTTTCCTTTTGTCCTTTCACCACTATTAGATTGGATGCCTTTTTGGATGGCTACCTATATATATGCATGCCACAGATTTCACGCCTTCGTCTCCTAACTGATTTCGTGCTGTGCTCAGGTTTTCGCAATTTTTCTCGATTGATGACAATTCGAAGCAGTCATGACCAGCTCGATCGTATGGATCAGCAATTATTATGCGCAAAACCATGGGCTTCATAGGCCAACGGAGTATGAACTGTGTTTGTCAGACACCTTACATAGTACGACCCCATGTAGGGTGATCGACAGCCTGCAGACAGGGTTTAAACGAAACCAGACAGATATTGTGGAGGCGCTACTAGGGCACTGGGGGAAGATCAGTGGGAATATGCTGCGTCCCCACCGCCACACAAAGCCACGACGGCATTTGCTTCACACTGGTACAGGTGGTGGGTCAGTCTAGAGGGTGGTGGGCGATGGTGGTGGCAACGGTTGGCCGCCTCTGTCGATCCCTGGATCCGATGCGTTGGGAAAACTCAATATTCGCAGCTATTGGTACGACAAACGGAGAGTCAAGATGAAAATGAATATATTTCCCGCTAAACGAATAATAATCACGCAGGGACCTTGCGGATGCTATTTCTTCAAATCGCCATTAAAGAGACACCAACTTCCCGGCATACATGCAGTAGCATGAACTAGAAAGCATAGGATTGCTAATGCCATATGAGTAGCATGCAATATGCGTCCATCTATCAGGTTTTACGAATTCGATTTTCTCCCTCTCTTAGAAACTGCGCGTAATATCCAAAGTTGGTCGGATTTCGGCCCGCGACCCGACGCAAATCACAGCAGATCAGGCATTGATCAGTCGGAAAGAAACTCAAAGCTGTTTCTGCAACGAAGGCAATAACACCGAAACGCTTGATTTTCTGTTCTTGCACGCATGCAAGATTTAATCTAATCTCCTCTGACTGACGTGATTACTTCTGAGCACTAGATTTAAATGAGTCACAAAGGGAACTGAATTGATATATTTTTGGTAATAAAACTGAACGCAGGAGGTAATGTGTGCTGCATCTTGTGCCGACGAGAGTCCGACAATCTTCCGAAGGATCTTCATGAGTGCGGAGGATAAAAGTTGTCAAGTGTACGTCACGGCATATATATCAGTGCGGCACGGTGTCTCTCGTTAAACTTATGCACTTTTCCCCAACTGCGCCATTCCGCGGCCCCGGGAAAGTTGGCCCGTCTCGCTCTCCGTCCCGTGGGGCTCCCCGCTCGTTTAAGCTGCCCTGATGACCACCGACCAGGGGGTTCCGAGTGGGGTGTCGCTACCTAAAACCAAACAAAAAGGTACGAAGCACATGTGTAATGGTGATGAAGACATGGGGAAAGAAAAGCATTGACTCCACACTTTACCGTTCCAGACCCTACCCAGATTAGAGGGTCAATTGGACCCAATAGCTCTAGTTTGATATTAATCTTGATGCCGCAATAAAGTGGGCACTCTGCCGCAGTAGTCGCTGCAAGGAACGGTAGGTAGGCCGGGCAGGTCTCAATATTACCAAAAGCAATGGTCGTAGCTGGGTAGAACGGGACATTTTCGGATAGGAAGGTGCGATCCAACGATCCCTCCCAACGTATATCATTTCGCACATTGTGTAATGGTTCCGCGTGATCAATTGAATATGCAGGCCTCGCGTCCACCAGAATGCCCAGGGATGGCCAACGCATACGAATTGCTCAACATTTAAGAGTGTCGGTGCATCGTCCAAGCTCGTTACATACTCCCCTCAATTGGCATTACGATTCCTTCAAGCTATCACAAAGCTACCAAGATTCCGCTCGACTAGAGGGAGACGAAGGAAACCAGGCAAAAGACCCCGAACAAAGAACCACAGGCTGTAGTACAGCTTCTGTGAGATATGGCGAGTAAGTGCTCTTGTGCTCTACAGCTTCTCTTAACTTTCATTCGAGCCAATGGGGCAAGCAACGAGGCAATCCCTCTACGCCGTACGAAGGATGTTGATTGCTAATGATCTTCACCGCTTCTTCTAGCCAAACACTTTATATATGATCCTCAACATCTGGTGAATGAGGCATTGCGGGCCATCACCATCAATAATCCCGCTGTCGTTCTGGATGAAACAAACAAGGTTGTTTACAGAGCAGATCCCAAAAATGCTACGCAAGTGCAGATCGTTTCTGGAGGTGGAAGTGGCCATGAACCTTCGTTCAGTGGGTTCGTCGGCCCCGGCTTGCTCAGCGCCGCAGTGGCCGGTACCATCTTTGCCAGTCCCTCGGCGGAGCAGATTAGACGCGGTATCTTGAAGCGTGTCAAGGCCCAGAATGGTGTTTTGGTTGTCGTTATGAACTATACCGTAAGTTATTCCAATTGGGAGAACGCACACACAGATCCATTGAGTAGCTTACGTTTGATGTTGGCTAACAATTGGTTCCTTCTGGGATTAGGGAGATGTTCTGAACTTCGGAATGGCTGTGGAAAAGGCAAAGGCTCGCGGTTTGGACGTGGAAATGGTTGTCGTTGGTGATGACGTGGGCGTGGGCAGGAAAAAGGGTGGAAAGGTCGGTAGAAGAGGAATCGCAGGTACAGCGCTGGTTCAAAAAATTGCCGGCGCTCTCGCTGCTACTGGGTGAGTGGAGGGCCCTCAAAATTTTTTGAACGAACCCGAAAATCCTAACGGGCCTTCAAAAGAGCTCCGCTCAAAGATGTGTATGGAGTTGCGAAACTCTCCTCGGAGAACCTCGTGTCGGTCGGCGCATCCCTATCGCACGTCCACGTCCCTGGTCGAACGCTTGAGGATCCTAATGCAGGCGAAGCTCTCTCTATTGAAGAGGTCGAGATTGGCATGGGCATTCACAATGAGCCTGGCTACGCAAAGGTCAAGATGGCGCTTCCGGAACTTGTGACGACTATGCTCAAACAGCTCCTAGACCAGAGTGACAAGGACAGAGCGTTCCTCAAGATTGCACCTGAGGATGAAGTTGTGTTGCTCATCAACAATCTAGGAGGGGTGAGCCCGCTGGAGCTTGGTGGTATAACTGCAGAAGTGGCCACGCAACTCGACAAAGACTATGAAATTAAGCCTGTCAGAGTTCTCTCAGGGACGTTCATGACAAGTCTTAACGGCTTAGGTTTCAGCATCACCATCCTAAAATTAGTGGATACTGGCCTGGGCCAAGGCAGGTCAATGTTGGAGCTCCTAGATGCGCCGGCGGAAGCAACCGGTTGGCAAGCTGCAGTAAGTCCGGAGACTTGGAGCGAGAAGTTTAGACATAACTCTGTTGCTCTGGATGAGGAGCCACCGACGGAGCCAACCAACCTTAGAGGTATCACACCCCATGGGTCACCCAGTGGGTCTGCTCAATGCTAATATTTTTGCAGTCGATCGCACATATCTCCAGGAAGTCTTAGCATCAGGCCTGAATAGGCTCATTGAAGCTGAGCCAGACATTACTACCTATGATACTATTGCTGGTGATGGTGATTGCGGTATTGGGCTTCGACGCGGTGCTGAATGTGAGTGTGTCCACTTACAATTTCCCCCACAAATCGGACGCTGACAGGTATAGCCATATTGAAATATCTTGAGAAATATAAAGGGACAGATGATATAGTAGTCGCGCTAACGGATATCACACGAATCGTGGAGACAAGCATGGACGGAACCTCTGGTGCTTTGTACGCGTAAGTTAATCCATGTGTTAAAGCTCGGGGCTAGGAATCATTGCTAATTTGGGTAAAAGTATATTTCTGAATGCACTTGCCAATGGATTGCGCCTGCAATCACCGTCAAGTCCATCAGAAGTGACTCCCGCAATCTGGGGCAAAGGGCTGAAATATTCGCTCAATTCTCTTGCAAAATACACGCCAGCCCGCCCTGGTGATAGGACCCTTGTCGATGCATTGGACCCATTCGTCGAAACATTGATTGCGTCAGACGATCCGAAGAAGGCAGCGGACGCGGCAAGAAAAGGAGCAGAGAATACGAAGGGGATGGTGGCGAGTTTGGGACGGACAGTGTATGTCGGTGGTGAAGGATGGCAGGGAGTCCCTGATCCTGGAGCGCATGGACTGAGTCAATTTCTCACTGGGCTAGTTGAAGGACTGTCAAGATAGAATAGTAATGAGAGCAATGAAATATTCTCAATTTTTATTGAACGCCGTCCCATTTTCCAAATCATCAATATGATACATTGAGCGTTGTTATGGCCAATCCGACTGCCACACAAAGCTCAGCTCAACAAGACCAGAATAACTGAATCGCCTCGTAGGAACCTGAGTGGTGAATATTAGCCCCGACCCTATTGTTGTAATGTGCAAAGTCAGACGCCTCATCACTCACATTTTACTGATAAACCTGTCCTTGTTGACCGGTCGGCCCTTCTTCCCAGACGCTAATCTTGGCGTCTCCGTCCACATTTCCTTGACATTTTCTAATACCATATTGCAGTGTCGGTCAAAGGCCTTTACTCTGGCAAGAAGCTTGCGGTTGTTTCGGCAGGAAATCAGAACTTGTGTGTGCGAACGCACCGCGGTCTGTAGGATCGACAGCGGGCCGGAAGTGAATTCATATTCCTCAAGCTGGGCAATCTCGTATTCCCTATTCAATATATGGGTCAGAACTGTGATTCTCGAGATGATTGAATAGGAAGTTGCGCTACTCCTGCTGGACGATGGGAGGCTGGTCAAGAAGGGTAAAACGTACGTGAGCTCGTTGCGCGGCTTGCTTATCAGCTCTCTGCGGGGAGAAAATAAGAAGTCAGCATTTAGACCCAGAAAGAATGCGCTGTCCGAGAAAATGAGTCACATACTGAATCTTTGCGTCCGCCATGGTGGAATATAAGTTGATGGCTACCGTCGTACTGATGATAGCTGTAGTCTCTCACACAGCGTTTAGAAGAAGTGAAGTGCTTGTGTTCCATTCTTGGTTTAGCGCGAAAATCGTCCTGGAGACTTGTGCGCCACTCAATAAAAGCCACGCTATCCTGCTTGAAGCTTAGTGTGGCTGACAGGTCAGGTGTTTACCCGTTTGGCACTCGCGTCTCTGACTGGCTCTTTCCCTTTGGCGATGGCGTAACGCGCAGCTACACGGACACGGTCCACGAACACGGCACACGAAGCTACACGCTTTGTCTCAAGAATTCATTCCTCTTATTATAAACTAATACAATACTACTACTAGCTCAACCTTCAACTCCAATTGTCTTCGCTTTCAGTCTTCTTTCTCTTTGACAATTACCCTCACATGAACTCACTTTGACAATCAACTCTCAATATTTTCCCCTGGTATATCCTTATCAGTCCCACGATCGGCTACAACAGCTCCCCACCATTCTGATCCTGGCAAAACATCTCAACACGCCATCTCACACGGGTACAAATCAGCTCTTTTGATCCCCGATCGTCTACGCGTGCTCGCCATATACAATTTCTTTTATTCATGCCTTTGACTCGCACTTGAACTATCACGGCTTCAGACCCTCTAGACTGTTGTCGGTCTGGTCCTGAGGGGACGTGATGTCTTCGCCGGCGCCAAGCGCGATGAACGCGATGGACTCTCAGACGCCCCCTTCTTTTTCGAGCTCTGGGATGGTCTCAACCGGATCTGCTGATTCAGTTTGTGAGGGTGTTTCTCTCCGTCCCATGAGAGGTAGGTTCCACGGTGCGAGCAACGAATTTTCTACCGCCAGGATTCTCACGCGCAACGTTGGACTATAGTCAAGGTGCTCTACACATTTGATGATCAGAACAAAACAAATTGCCTTGCACGATGGCCCCATGTTCTCAATATCCAGACCGCATTCCTCGACGAGACAACCCAGATTGGAGTCATTGAGCTGAAAACGTGCATTCAAGCCATAGTCGCCGCTAGGTAAGACTATTCCTTCAGCTTTTCGCGTTCGCCACACGAGAGCTTTCCCTGTCCCAAGGCAACAGCAGCGCTAATCTTTTTTGCCCTCACTTAGTCCAGAACTTGTGGCAAAACTTGGTCAAGATTACACAGTATACGCTTACGACTACTCCGAATATGAAACGCCTCTGGTTGGTCAAGGGATGCTATCATGGGTTCTCGCTTCAGCTTCATCCACACCTTCTGCGCCAGCTCATCAATCTCGTACTATGATCACCGGTCGTGTCTGCAAGAATATACTCGGGCTGTTTTCCAGCGGAATACAGGAAACACTGGAGGTGAAGCTTCGGTTGGTGCCAGTACCGACATGCCTTCAAAGCGAATATCTCAACAGCATGGAGAAGTACCGTGAACTCAGCAAGCTCATACCCCAAGGCTTTGATGCCAGCGCGTGGACCAAATTCCTCCAAGAGAATCCGCAAGTTGCCCAACTCGCCAGCCGACCAGACTTTGCAGGTCAAATTTCAGCGTCAGCGGAGAAGGAAGGGGCAGGAATGGAAATAGTTCAGCAATTGCTGAATCAGGGAATGTTATCAAATGCCGGTGCCGACTATCCGAATTCTTTTGAACTGCGGCCATACGAGCGAACTGGAAGTTTTTCCACAATGGATGCCAATAGCCCATCTAGTCGGACTGCTACCCCCGCACCGATCCTTCAGGCGTCAGCCGCTTTGCAGCAGAACATCGATAAGCCTTCAAGGCCATCTTCAAGGGCGTCGAACACATCAATGGCTGGACAGAGAAGACCAGCGGCTGCTGTAGAAGCTAGTGAGGCTCCGGTTACGGAGGAAGGACCCGTGAAGAAACGAGCGCGTGTGACCAAGGCCGACTGGCATGGAAAGTCCTCGCTTGGAACGAACACAGACTCCCTCCGGGTAGCGGCGAGCACTGCAGCTTCCATTCGCGTTTACCGGCCGGTGCCAAAACGTCCTGGGCTTTCTGACCAAACACCTTCTGAGGGAGTGCCTCGCGCCCCCACCCCTCGTCCCTTCATGAGCGGTGATGTGCCCACTCGTCGGGAGACTGCTCCGCCAAGCCGTCTTCGACGCGAATCGATTGATGATGGCTCAACATACCAATCACCTTACGCGTCACAAGACTTTTCTCATAACGCTGTTGGGTCTCCAGCGTTCTCGCCTGAAGATGGTCCCAGTGGGAGCTCAGCACCGACTCCAAGCAACATCGCTTCCTCGCCTCCGCTCATGCAGGCCATATCACCTGTGCCATCAAGCCCTGCCTTGCCGAATCTGCGATCAGACTTTGATTCTGGTTTCATGAGTGGTCCTATTGACGATCTGTTTGAGGACCGGGGGGATGATATCCGGCCACCTCATGACGATGAGAATGAGTATGGCAAGTATCGAGGCAAATCAGCAGGACCGACAGCGGCAGCTGCAATGGCTGCGACTACCTTCCCTCAACCCAACAGCGGATTTGAAATTCGTGAGGTTAATCCTGGGCCGCCCGAACTTTTGCCCAAAAAGATGCTTCCTCGAACCTTTGACACGCAAAGGAAACGAGCAATTCGCGCGCAGTCGGCTATGCTGAGTGATTCCCCCGCTCAATCGGAGGACAACGCGTCAGGGCCGCATCGCCCGAAGCCTGCTAACAGCATCAGACCTAAACCGCAACCTATTTTGCCCAAAGTCGCGTCAACCGAGCGATCGTTGTCGCCTTCGTTGCCACCCCAAGCATCTCACACCATGAATCGAACTGCCTCCACCGGATCTCTACAGTTTCCATTGGTGGCGGCCAGTGATCCTGTCCAGCCTCCACCAAGCAGTCTTCAGCGCTCGCAAACCTGGGCGGCGCCATTGGTCCAGTATCCTGCTTCGGACGCGCCCACTCCTATGACATCTATTGAACAAGCAGAAATTGCCAAGCAGCGGAGCGGATCGGGCGCGAAGCGGAAGAAGGCGATTCAAGATCGACTGGCAACTTCTATTGCAGCTGGAGAGATGCCACCGTATTGCGAGAACTGTGGGGAGATTGAAACACCGACCTGGCGTAAAGCCTGGACAAAGGTATATGATGGGTCTCCCGATCACATCAAGCTGTCCGAGGAAGATGGTGGCGTGCTTGCGTGCGAAGCATTGCAGCGCGACGGCAATGGGAAGACCATCTTATACAGAATCATCAAAAAGTCTCTCTTGGAGGAAGATTCCGGTTTTACGGAGATTCTTCTCTGCAATCGTAAGTTTGGCGTTGTTGATCTCTCAGTATTTTGCGTTACGTTGTTAGAAGGTGAAGGCACTGACCGGCATCTAGCTTGCGGACTTTGGATGACGAAAACCAAATGCATGCGGCCTCAATCTGTTTGGGCGAAACCAAAGAAGGATCCTGGTGAGAAGAAGAAGAGGCCGCCGAAGAAGAGGAAGCCCAAGGGATCGACTCCAGCAGCATCAGACGCTCCTACACAAGCTGATAATCAAGCCTTAACAACCGCCGCTGAGGGTACGCCAGCGGCTGACTCCCAGGAAGAAATCCAGCGGGATGAGGCAGAGGATGAACTCAAATTCCCGCCTGCGAAAAGACCCAGGTCCTCGAGCATGCAGATTCAGACATCGACAAGCCTGGAACGGAGCAAAATGTCTGAAGATGCGGCTGTGGTGGCCCTTCAGCGAGCTATTCAGTCAAGCCCTGCAGGATTCCTCGGATCGCGCCAGAGCCCTATTGAGCTGGATGACTTGACGCCCAAGCCAACCCGACGAACTCTATTTCAATCTCCTCGCAAACAAGGAGAGGTTAAAGTTCTGCAAGACAAGTCGCTTCCGAATATCATTGCTCAGCCGGTTATTTTACCAACAGAGCCAACTCTCATGGACCCTAACAACAAGGAGAACTACCCGCCCAAGGAAGACGGTGCTGTTCTGGAGGGTCACATTGCTCCGTTACGCGCAAGCACGCCTCCACCCAGCAACCACCTTGTTGAGAAGCTTCTCAAAACCCCCAGTGGATCTGCGAGATCCAAGAGTTCTTATTCTCCTGGCATGCTAGATCTCCCGCTACAACCAAAGACTCCGGCACGTTCACCTTCCAAGACTGGCGAGCTAAGCTTGACAGAGATGACGCCGTTTACGCGTCAACTCAATCAGCTGCTTTCCGAAGCAAACTTTTCCCCGGGACGTGGCTTAGATTTTCAGGGTCTTCTTCCTCCACTCGAGAATGCTTCTCCTAATAGAAGATTTGACAATTTTTCGTTTGATGCGCAAGACATGCTCTCTACAGATATCCATATGCCAAGCTCTCCGCCAGCTTTCTTCTTGCATGAGGATGAATCCGCGAATACGGTGCAGCTCTGGAGCGACTATAATCTGCCGGGTAGTCCATCGGCAATGGATATTGACTCTTTCCTCGAAGGCGGCAGCGGAGTTGAAGGCAGCAGCGAGCGGGGATTGACGCAGGATCAGGGGCCTAACAAGTTGTCTCTTGCACATGTACCTTCGTCTGAGCATCGCCAGCCAGCTCTTGGCGCCGATTTTACCGCTCTTATCGACGAAGTCGCTGGTGGCGAGCGTCAGGTGCCGGCCTGATTCAAGTCTATTGCGCCCGCTGATCTCCTTGTCTTGGTACTCTTTTTCCTTTTTCCTCTACCAAACTTCAACATCTTTCTCCATTCTACTTCCTTTTCGGCTTCCGGCCACTACGACATTGTCCAAAAAAGAATCTTTTTCCTCAAAATTATTCGGCCTCATTACTACCACGAGAATCGGCAAGCCGCTTGCCGAGCCATTATCTACCTGGCAAAACCCCCACCGAATTCTTCCTTGCGCATCTTCTTTTTACCCTCATCAAATCTTGATTTATTATGCACTACTAGCGATGGCGTTATGAAAGGTTGGAGAAATTCCTTTGTCTGCCTGCTGCATCCTTTTGCGCATTTGTGGCCACAGCCATGGCAGATTGCATCATCTGTGGGCTTTGTTACTCCCACAGACTCTCTTGATGGTTATTGATCTTTTTCGCACGACCGTCACTTATTGCATCGATACCTTTTTTCCTGTTTACTCACCTTCTACATGTTACTGCAATTTTCCAAAAATTCTTCATTTTTTTTTCTTTGATAGAGATGACACGAGCGTTGATACTTTTTTCTCAACCCCAATTTCTTTTATATCCCCCATTTCAATTTTTTTTTACCCCTCTCTTGATTCATACGACGACGAAAAGCCCCTCTGGGCCATGTCGAATAGGATGTACCCTTTTGTTCATACCTTTGAGGCTCAACTTACTTGTCCTCTTTCCGTCTAACACATGACACTTTTTTAAATTTTTCGATCCTATTCCTACTAGGGGAGTAGAATTACAATCAATACCATATCAGAAATATCTATGACATTCTATGAAAATCATCTGGTCCAAATCAATGCCGTTATTCGTAATCCGGATTTTTTTTTTTGTTGTACGTTGTCCGTTTTCCGTTGTTTGTTGTTTCTTGTCCTGCTGCCCCCCGTTCTACATTTAGTTTGTCCCACGTCCTACGTCCTACGTTAGTCGTACAGTCTCTGCACTTCAAGACAGATTTTCCAACACAACTAGGGGCCGGTGAAATACTTGGAATTTTTAACATTTTTTTTCTTTCTTTCCTATGCAATCCAAAGAGTCAGTTGCCAATCGGAAAAGTACCTTAAGTTAGAGGAAGTACAAAGCACCTAAGCCCATACAAATCACGTGCGAGGTTCAATTGGAATCTTGCATAATTGCATAATTGCATAATTGCATAAATAGTTGCATAAATAGTTGCATAAACACATGACCATTTGCATAACTGCATGATTAGCTACTGCGCTGGCTAAACGCGGCTTCCCACGGCTTGAACTCGACGACACAAAAACTGTAACTAAAGAACGGAGCTAGATACCTTAGATACCAAAGGTAAGTACGGAGAGTGTGTGGTTTTGGCAAAGTTTTTTTTTGCAATTGTATTATTTAAGATATAAGTGGTATCAAGTATCAAGCTAACAAAGCTCAAAAAGACTCTTAAAAAAAGTGATAATGAGCGATGGAGCCAACACACCGTGTGATTTGTTTGCAAGCAGCTAGAACACTTCCCCGCTGCTGCTGTTGCTGCTGAGTCCAAAGAACAAAAGAAATTTTGGACATGATAAATCCCCCTTTTCCACGCCACGGAATAATCATCCCAATTCAACGTAAACCATGCCCGGGAAGAACGAGAAAAGAATGTTACCGAAAAACCCCATATTGACAAGCCGCAGTAAAACGCCCAAAGACCTCCCTCAGATAAAAAGGGTAAATAAAGAAAAAAAGGAAAAAGAAAAGAGATACCACGCCTGCCAATATACCCTGTCGTTTCCTTCGTTGCTTCATCTGCCGGGCGTAACATGGGGAAAAAAAAAAAAAAAAGAATAATGGAAAAAAAAAGGCAGCAGAGGACCAACAGTCCAGTATCAATACCAAAAAGCTGCTCGAATGGCGCCAAATTTTTGTTTCCTCCTCATTTCCACTGGTGGCGCCGCAAAACACCGCAGAAAAACCGAATGGTAATCGAAGTGGGAAAAGAAAAGTATTAAAGAAACGATATCATGGATCGTTTTCAAATTAAAAACGTAAGAAAATGTAAAAGCCCAATTCACAGCGATGCCGCAAAATCTTCAGTGGTAGGGAGAGTCTCTGATTGGGCAGGAGACTGAGCTGAAGAGCCTGCTTGCGACGAAGCCTCTCCTCCGTCAGAAATGACCGATGGGAGAGCAGACATTGCGGGTGATGCTGCGAGGTCTTGTCCGGGAACACCAGAAGCAAAGCCGACAGGCAGACTGATTCGCCTTGCCACCATCTCCTCAAAGCTTGGGTTGCTGCCGGACCGACCTATATCAAGAGAGGCTGCTCGACCCGGGCCAAAGGGAGAATACCCAGCGTCCTTGGACCGAGAAAGGTTGCTGACCTCACGATTGAGATAGTCTCGAATGGAAGCGCAACCGCAGCTACTGTGTTTCAAGAGCTCACCCTTGAGATACAGCACTTCTTCTCGCAGCGAACCGCACATGAGAGCAAGCTGATTCTTCTCATTCTGCAGATCACGAGCGCGTGTCTCTAGGTTGCTTGTCCACTCCTTCTTCTTCTGCCGGCACTTGCTCGCGGCTAAACGATTTCGTTCCAGAAACCGGCTTCGCTTGGGATCTTCCCCAGGATGTTCCTTGGACATTGCGGCCATCATCAACTGCTTCTCCTCCTCTGTCGGCTCCGACTTGACATTTGTACTTTGCTTGCGACGGCGCTTCGGTGAAGCCTCCTCGCCAGCATTGGCGGACGGGTTTGTCTGCTTGGTCCTCTTTCTCTTTGGAGCGGCCATCTTACTGGCAGCTTCTGCTTCCTGGGGAGACTTGGGGCCAGAGCCATTGGCTTCGGTGACTTCATCTTGAAATGTGGGTTGAGGAGGACCAAGGACAGGCGAAGCTTCCTCGGGTGGTGTAACTTGGCCAAAACGGCTGGTTGACGTCGGGCGCTGTGGTTGCTGTTGTTGTGCGTCTTCGAGAGGTAGTGGTTTTAAGTTGAGGGGCCCCGGCGCAGATAATCCGTCAAAGGACCACTCATCTGGTGAGTGGTCCAAAGACGACGGCGGTGTTAATCCTCGCCCACCAAGTGCCGCCTGAAACTGCTTCTCAGATTGTGGTTGTGTCTTGTCTAATGACGCGCCGTCCCAGAGAACCGACGAGAAAAAGTCGTTTTGAAGCGAGGCTTGAGGATCAATGGATTGCGGAGACGGGGCGGCTTCGTTGCCGTTTAGACGCATAAAGGACGAAGCAGGGTTCATTTGCGTCCGAGCGAATTCTTGCTCTTTGTCGGTATTGGCAGCTCCACTCCTAAAAGCAGCATCAAAGACATTTTGGTCTTCAGAGTCAGCCAGAGCCGCCGTGAAGAATCCCGGCGTGGGGAGGGTGTCGGAGAGGGTTGGTGGCAAGTAGCCTTGCACAACACCAGCCATGTTGCTGGTGGCTATTTGGCAACGAAAAAAATATCAAATGCGAGCAAAGTAATGCTACGTCAAGCTATCTTTGCTGTCTTTCGACGAAAGATGAGGAACAAAGATGCAATTTGACGATGATTATGCTTGAGGTATATAGCTCGGTGAACTTGGGAACGCAGAGACAAACAGTGATGCCGTGTCAATGTGAAGTGCAGCAAGAATTAATGCTCTCGAGGATCACGCTCAGGTAAATTGATGGACAAGGTGACCAAGTATACTCGGGAGCCAAAAGTGAGAGCAAGTCTGGATGGTTGCGAAGGCGGCGATAGTTAAATGAGGGAGAGGGGGAGGAGGTATGTGAGGGAGAGGAGGGCGGCTCGGGAGTGTTTTGGGGGATCAGTTTCGGACCGTCTGATCCGTGGGGGAAAGGTTCGAAGGGCAAAGGGAATTAGAGCAGGAGATGGAAAAGTGAAGAAAGGCGGATATTAGCTCCGGGCCACGATATCCATCCAATTGGGGCATCACAGAGCAGCACCATAGTTAAGGGCCAAGCAGATGGGGCTCGGTGGGGTGGCAGGAAGCTTTTGTCCCCTCGGGGGGGGTTTATGGTTGTGGCCGTGCCAGTAAGAAAAACGCAGACTACGTGACTAACAAGAACGAGGGAACTAAGGTATCAAACAGAGTAGCAAGTACCCGGATCAAATCATCTCAGATTATTATAATAGGCTTAGGGAAGGTGCTGCGTGTACTGTAAGCCCCAAGTTCGAACTTTGGGTTGTTTAGGCCGAGTTTGATACGACTATACCGGGTCCAAACAAGATCCCCCTCCAAAAGGGCCCGTTCGCGGCAGAAGGCAGAAGTGGGAGAGAGGGAAGTTTAGGCTTACTGATTGGTCGAGAGGACAATGGTAAAGTCCAGAATGGAACCCCCTCCCGAATGCGAAAAAAAAAATGGCAGTAGAAGCGGGAATAACCAGATACTGGTAGAAAAGTGCCCAGATGACCAACGCTCATTGGGGAAAAAGGCATGTTGATTTTTGGCCTGCGGGGGGGCGAACGAGGAAAAAAGAACGGTAGAGTACAATGGTAGATGCCGATAGCATCATAGCGGGTCTTGGTAGCGGTGACTCTGCTGCGCCCCAGTTTTATAAGCGTCGAGTGGAGACCAGGTAGACCAGCATTTTGTGTTTAGATCGGCGTTTGGCGGACGATCGGTCCTTCGTTTGCATTGCCTCTTCCGGTCGCCCACGGTACTTCAGGCCAAGTGGTGCCATGGCTCGTTCCATCCGACCAAAGTACTGCGGTACAGGGACTTACAGTGCTGAATTCTACGGATCACGAGGTAGATTTCTAGGGAAAAGAACCTTGGGGCAACTCGGAATGATACTTGTGGAGAGGTTCCCGTGGCTGCATAAGGTATGCTTGATCAAGCCACCTCCGCCTGATTCCTCTGTACCGGGACACGTACCGATAGAGGTACCGTTCACGTCTCTTTTGGTCTGACTGTACCACGCCAGAACTGTAGATCCCAGTTTTTTTTTTTTCCCTTGTTCACAAGTCAAGTGGCTCTGCCCGCATTCCATCCACACAACACGTACACACACACCCACCCAGACGAGCCAACCTTCTTTCCCCTTTCACCAAGAGCGTTCCCCCCTCCTCTTGCGCCTCACGTCCCCTATTCAATTGCCTTTCTAACCGAAGAGGGGCGAGGGGGGTAACTCTTAGATTGACCAGAGTCTTGCGACCGAGGGGGACGTGGCTGAGGCAGCTTCGGCCAACTTAGCAGTAACTACGGTGTACAAGGGAAAGTTTACACCACATCCGATCTACAGGGTCTTTGATCTTTTGGCGCTGCCAAGTTTGAAACAGTTCTGTTTATGTCCTGTAATTCCACTTATTGGTGCGGTCATTCCTCCGCGTGCAAGCCAAGCAGCCCTGCATCGCCAATCTGGATAAACATTGCTGGTTACTGTACAGAGGTACAGAAAATGAGCACGCGTCAAAGCTGCTCGCTCAGCGAGTTATCACCGAAAAAAGGATTGTTTTGACAGATTGCCGAAAATTCCGACTCCCTGAGCCGAACTTCAGGCGTCATCACCCCTCTCAAAGAGCTCTGGTACTGCACGCCTTACGTTGACCCTGCCGGGGGATGAGTGGTTGTCAGGACGGCCCAACTGACGTCAACTCGCTGACCCTGTCACGTTTCTAACCGGCACACTATTATTTTCCGATCTGAAAACCCGCATCAACAGTCCTCGGCCCTTTTACCCAAACCTGTGAAATGTAACCTCCCTAATTAAATGACAAATGGATGGGAAATTTTTCATTCAACGGAAATTGTTAGTGAGAAAATCAGTGCCTTTCCCGTGAATCCACTCAAACACGGATGGGCAAAAGGATGCGAAATTTTATTCCATCTAGTAGGTAACTAATGGAGGGAGAGAGAGAAAAAAAAGAAATGGAGCCGATAGTTGACCCGATAGGCTTTTGCAATTCTAGACCCTGGGTTCCAATAGAAGATGAAGGAGGGTCCAGGGATCATTACACTATTCGCCCCCCCCATGGTGCAGCAGGCTATTAGAAACCTTTGCCGTTAACGGTTACGATGATCGGCATGATGGAATGGCATGGATTTGATCTCGATCTCCCATTGCAGTTTGAATATTACGCCCAGTATGAATATTCCGCATCCACATTTCCCCCGATTGGGCTCCCGGGAGAAGAACCCGATCAAACGATGCAATCCCGGGCTCCACTCACTCGCTAGCAACCATGCTCGGACATAATGAAAGCCATGTGAAAAGCCACGCCACGCTCACTAATCTCATGGACTTGTCGTCATGGAATCTTGCTAATCGAACAAATGAGTCTAATAAGAAACGAAATGGTTTGAGCTGAGCCAGCTGAGCCACAGACCCTTCGTCTCCAACGCTCAGAACAAGTGTTGTTCCGTGAGATGGGCAGACTCAAAGGGGAAAAGGCAATTTAATCTCAATGCAGAGTGTCACGTGATTGACGCGTTTCGCGTGTGGAGCGTTTTTGTCTACGAGACGCGAACACTAAGGCGTGTCCAAAGCCAACCACGCAAAGGCGTTCATATCAATATTTTTCTTTATTCATTTCTCATTCTGTATCCGCGCTATCGCCTGGATCAATTGGAAAGGAATTTCACTACATTATCACGCAACCGCTACAGCTCTATTTCTTTTTTCTCTTCCACCCTTGTCGCCCTAGCCTGCAGGCGTTCCGCCGGTCGTTCCCAAGGACCCGGTGTTCCTCTTCTCTTTGCATAACTAGTCGGCCAGGATGATGACAGAAGCCACCCCACGAATCAATGCCTCTTATCTAGAGAGCTTTCAAGGCCAAACCGTACGTCTGATCGGCAAGGTCACCCAGCTGCGTGGTGAACAAGCCACCATTGACGCCAACGGCTCTGTCACCGCCACACTGAATCGGGTACGTCATGTCTATCAAAGAACATCTTCAATGGTCCTTGTTGAGGAGGAAGGAGCAGCCCTATCACTCTCGCTCCCTTTGTGAAACTACTTTGTCGCTGTCTTATATACCTCCTTCTCCGTTTTTGAGATGTCAAAGAACGAACGCATGTGAACCTGAATGGCGTGCTTTAGCTAACCTGTTTGCCATGCTGTAGGATTGTCATCTCGTGCTCAACAATGCCGTCGAGATTGTGGGTAAAGTTAACCCAGATCTGACCGTCCGCGTTCTGGCTGCAACCGACTTTGGCTCTAATATCAGTATGTTACTGTCCTTTATCACAGGCCATTCAAACGCAACAACAGCGCTAATCATTCATTTCCTAGATTTCGCTGCCGTCGATGCCGTCGTAAACGCCACACATCGCCATAAAGAGATTTTCTACGAGAGCAGCGAATGAAATCATCAGGGTTGTCGCATCCGCTACACCAAACCAGAGAACATAATTCCACATCAACATGTTAAGCATTTCTGTCATCATCTAATATTCACTTTCGTTTTAGCCATTTTGAGTCAATCTAGGCTCGATATCTCCTCGCGGTCCAGGAGCATTCATGACAATATGAGTGTTGGCTTTGATGGCATTTGCACAGAATATACCCGCATACAATGAATTGAATGTATTCAACCAATCAAAGGCGTTTAATTTGCACAATACCATCCTAACAACTTCCTACTGGCTCTCCAGGCCTATGCTCAAGCTCAGAAGGCTGCGACAGACTCAGTCTCACGAGATTGCAAAAGTGTTTCATCCTTTGTCCAGATACGTCATGTACATGGTATGATAGCTTCAGGTGAAGATCATATGTTGATAACCTCGGTACCTACCTAGATAAGACGCACGTAGCTTTGGTCTGAACGTGGGGCATATCACAAGCCACGCGTTCTAAACTTGGGGGTGTGTCACCAGGATGGGGGAAAAGAAATACCAGATAATCGATACCCCACGAATCATAACCCGTATGCAATACATCATCCAGCCTAAGGTAAACATAATGTTCATCAGACAAAATGAACCCCCGTCGGGGGACTTGATTGACTGATATGACGTGTTACGTGTTTTTTTTGTGGTTCCCACACACCGGCCGACAATCCAAATCCCCGCAGTTCTCTCACAGGGCGCCCGGACCCTTGTCCTGCTAGTTTGTGTGTTTTTGAAACTCTGTATACTCATACGAGTAAGTACACGTACTACGGTAACGTTATCTCTTCCCTGAGGTATCTTCTCGTACGAGACGAAAGTCGGGCTGAACTCTTCTCGATCGTGCTGGGTAACTTTCTCCCCGACTTACCCAGTACTTCGCTGCCGGGATTGGCATTACCGATGTACCCTCGTACAGAGTACCTTAGTACGTTCCCCCGGAGAATCTTCCGTCCATACACCACCCACCTTGGTCTTTGCTCTCTAGCACTCTCTGGCGTCTTAAGGTAGTAGTAGGTAGCTTTCCAACTAAAAGGTTCCTCTCTTCAACCCGGGACTTCCTCCTCGTGGAACCAATCGTATAGGTACACCCGCATGCGCAACGATTGACTCTACTTCGTATGCACATTCACCTTTTCAGGACTAAACTTTATCTACCTACTTATATGAAGCTCCGCTTTTTCCATCTGGGAGGTTAAACTTTTACATTGATTCCTTGGTTTTGAGAAGAATGAATCTTATTCCCCTTTTTCCCATTCATTCCTTCCTTTCTTTCTTTCTTCCCTCCTTTAGCCATCTATCTTACCAGGTGCCTACACCATAGCTCTGATACGTACTCTATATTGTAAATCAGTAAATACGTTTGGAATCTGGCTTGATTTATCGTATCAATTGGGGGCTTTTGATTTATGTACTCCGTAGGTTGGTAGCTACGGAGAGATTTACGGAGTATGACATCAATTGATATCAATCAATCAATCAATCAATCAACATCAAATTCCCTGGGCCACTCGTGAGTTGCAAAACACCCCCTCCTTGTCTTCTTCTTCTTCTTCTTTTTTTTTTTTTTCTGTGCACACTTATATTCCTATCACGACTATCATTTATTAATCAAACTCGTATTTTTGAGTTTTGACGATAATAATGATTATAAATTTTTATTTTATTTATTTTATTTCCCGCCCTCTCCCCCCCCTCCTTTCCTCCGGCCAGAAGTATCACCTACCCAGTGGACTTACCGCACGTGGACCCGTGGTATAAAACACGTTTTTGGTTGCATACTGCCCAAACTTGCAGCAGCAGAACCACCACCACGGTACCACCCAATCGCCCCGCATCAAGGACCCTTAAATTTCAAAGGTCCACAGAATGGCCAGCGATGTGTACTACGGTAGTCCTGTAGTGTGCCCATTGCCTGCGGCCCTGCCTTTCTCCCCTTCCCCGGTCCCCCCGGGGATCACGGACCCCAAACCACCCAAACCGATTCGATGGCTACATGCAGGAGGGGAACCGAAGAAATAAGAAGGGGAATAGGAATAAAAGAAAAGGGAAAAGGAAGAGGAAAAGGAAGAGGAAAAGGAAAAAAGAACAAATCATTTAAGAAGAATAAAAAATAAAAAAAACCTAAAATTAAATAAAAAAGAATAAAATATAATAGAAAAAAATAAAATAAAATAAAATAGGATAAAAAACCAATACACGCTGATCCAATGACATGGCTTGTGTGCTATTGTGCATAATTCTGCGCTGTGGGGGGCTGATCTGCATGATGACGCTCAGCGATACTGCAGTATGGCCAGTCATGAGAGGCGTATGGGTATGCATATGTCACTAACAGTACGTTTATCCAAGGTAGATAAGATTGCGAGAGAGAGAGAGGAGTGTTGATGCAAGCTTGCATTACGGCTTCGCTTACGCGTCGAAAAGAAGAGGGAGAAGGAGGCTTGACGCCATGCTGAGGCGTCACTCGCGTGCATGTTGATCAATTTACCAAGTACGGGGGTTTATCTTGGTATACCTTACCCGTATGCAGTTACTAAATGTAGATGATGATGATGGTGCGATGAATGTTGGCTCATATTGGGCTAAGGTTTACAGCACGGGAAAAGATTTTACGTTTAAAAAAATATTGAACGAAGAATCCGTAATGGACCTAATGTCTTCATGATTTGTGTGTTTTATTTCAATTAGCTGCGATTACAGGTATCCCGTTCGTAGCAGGCTTGGTGCTGTTAGTAGGATTACTGCTACTACTGGTCTTTGCTGATCTAGTACGCTCTCTGTCATTGTTGCTTCTATTGCCATTGCTATTGCCGCTGGCCTTGAGCTTATCTCCACCGTTTGTGCGGTCGTCCGAGTACTGTTTGTTTGAAGCGGGTTTAGAGTTGGGTTGAGAATCAGTATCTTCCTTTGAATGGGAAGGGACTTTGTTTTGTGGTGCCGTTGGGTGTGGATCGTCGCCATCTCGGCGGTCCAACGACGTTGCTAATAAGGAAGAATCGAGCGTTTCTGGGCGCGATACCGCATTGAGTTTGGATAAAGGATCTATTCGAGGAGTCGTATGGCTTGATTCTTCGGGGCCGTGGAGGTCATGAATGATGCTAGGAGCTTGAGCATTCTTCTGCTCCATGCCGCCATTTTTGAACGACAATTGGCTATCGTGGGCATCTGACTGCTCGTTGGAATTGCTCCTAGCTGGCCCTGATAGGGGTGAACTATTCAGGAAAGAGTTCCGGAGAGGCTTGTTCTCCTCTGTTGGATGAGGTTGAGAAAATTCTTCTGTTGCGGGGACAGACGGTGCTTCTTGGGATAATGGTGTTCGAGAGCCACATGGCGTGAGATCATCGGGAGAGGATTTATCGGGATTGGTTGTTCCATCAGCCGTAGGCTGCACATGGTCTGATAATGAAGAAGAGCGGTCATCGTCAACGCGCTCGTAGAATAACATAAAGACACCGCCCTGGCTCAAAACGTTCTGCTCGGTGACCATAGAAACTTGATCATCACTGAGACGCCACCAACGCTCAGTAGCAATTCCATCTTCTGCCTCGCCCTTTTCTTCTGCAAGACTTGCCGTACCTGCGGTATATGGATGCTTTCTGTAGCAGATATAGTGACCGTTCTCATGACGCCCTGCATGGGTAATAACAGCACGAAGGTCGTAAGAAAACCCATCGGGACAATAAGCAGTCATGCTGTCCTCGGAAAGCATCGACCTCCTGGGATCCAGTCGCCATTGCTCTAGCTCCTCTTGGTTCTGCTTTGGAGCTTTGCTTGCCCGAGAGCCAAGGCACCATGGTCCAAGGTTCAACACCTCGGGAAACTGGACCTCAGCATAGTTCTTCCTCAATGCTCCAGTATACTCGTCGAAGATACTTCGATTGATATGAACAACAAGACACGTTGGTGCACGTGCAATAACCGCCTGTCGTGATTTGGTGGATGTCACTCGACCTTTTGGAGGTATTTGACACTTTTTACTTAGCGTAGTCTCTGAAAAATCTGCTTCTTCTAGTGCCTCTTTGACTGATAAGAGGCGGCCTGCTGCTGGGGCACGAAGAGCTTCAGGGAGTTGTTGGATGTCTTCTTGACCGTCCATGCGTGTGACAGAAGGCCCTTGGAGCAGTTTCTCTAGCTGCTCCCGTCGGCGAAGAAGTGTACACTTTGCACATTCAACACCTTCTATCGACTCCAGTGCGGTGTACTCGTCCAAACAGTCGCGTATGTCTAATTGCCATCCTTGCCCAAGGGGCAATGTTAAGCAGTTGAAAGGGACCAGCGATAGCCCTTCTGAATATCCACAGGCCATGCAGCCAACTCGCTGCGCGAGGAGTCCCTCCAGAGGGTTACGCTGTGGAGCCGGCACAAGGTAAGATCGAGCTTCGTTCTTGGCGTCTGCTTTTTGACGTTTTTCAATGTCACCATCACTACAATCACTTTGCCGATCTATCCGGCTCGTGCCTTCGACGACCTGGGCAGTAGACATGGTGATGTTTCCCAGGCCCCGCATACCCAAATCTCTTCTCGCAACGGTAGTGATCTCTCTATCGACCTGATCCAACACCTTTGAAAAGTATTCTTGGGCATCTTGCTGTTGCCAGCTGCTCATAGACTTCAGCTCGGCCGGCGTCCAGAATCGCCGTCCACAGTTGGCAGGTTCGTTGAGTTTCTCTATAATTTCCCGCAAGGCAAAATTGGTAGGTCCATGGTTAGGGCCGAGGAATTTGGTTGATGAAGACGCAAGAAACTCAGACAGCGATGGAAGAGATGCCAAGCCCTGGAAAAAGCACAATCAATACCCTGCCCAAAATACTCAAGGAAACAGGGGCATACCTGAATAACACTGTTTTGATAGCAGGAGTTATCCCAGTTCCCAAGACCTGGCGGTACTCCACTACTACCTCCCTTCCATACTGTTCCCACACTTGAGATGACTCGGTTGCCCTCGATGCTGGGGAAAAGGTGGCCTTTTTCCAGTCCAAAAATCTTGCGCAGTGCCTCGCTTTTCGCTGCATGACTCCTTGCTGAGAACCCATCGCTCCCATTACCATTTTCGTCTGGAATACTTGCAAGTGTCCGATCCATGGCAGAGATGAGCCGGAAAGGAGTGACGAAGACCAAACAATTCCAAAGGAGTTGATAAAAGTAACGCTGTGGTAAAAGGTCAAAGTAGACGAGAATGTGATATCCTAGGGCCAGTGTCGCCGCCAGATAGAGCAATATTTCACTTGCAGATGTCGTAAAGCCAAGGTCTAACCTGTCTATAAGTCGCATAGACGTTGGCCACTTGGATAGGCCGTTGCGAAGGCTCATCATGGCACGTTCAAATAATGACAGGATGGCTGAGGAAGATATGCCATGGGAAAAAGAAAACTGGCCGTGCCAAGCACGGCTTGAGCTGCCGAGTCACTTGAGCGCGTTGCGAGCGTCGCAGATGGTGCTTTGAAGAAATGGCATTGCGGATTCACGAGAGAGCTCAACTGCAGTAATTATAAAGTCGGTCGGTTGGTCGTTATGCCAATCAGGTCCGCCTGGTTCACTACCCCACGAAGCTGCCTTCGGTAGCGCAAGGCAAAACCTTGGCATTTCCTCACCGCCCACAGAATGCTAGATTATTTTGGCGCACTGGCGAAGGGTCGTATCAACATATCAAACTCTTTCACCTTCGGCATTTTGTAATAGCAAACAAAATGGGAAAGACACCAAAGCCAAAGAAGGGTAGACGTAAGTGAAATGGCTTTTGGAATTCATTCAACGGAATGGACACACTGACTTTTTCTCTGACATAGCCGTTTCTGTGCGCTCCCGAGCCGCAAGAAGAGAAGCCTCCCCGTCCATTGACGTGGATAAGTCTCTTACTGAAACCAAACCGCCAACTCCTTCAGCCAATGAACGACCTTCAGTCTTGGCGCTACACCAAGGCGCTGGGGTTACGAAAAAGTCCAAGAAGGCAAAGCCCATGAGCAGGGCGCAACGGAGACGGCATGAAAAGGGACTTGAGAGAGCCGATACCGTGATCGATCAACTGGAGAAGAAGGTGAACAAGAGCCTTGCAAGAGGTCGCAATGTCGATAATCGGAGGGTAAGCTTCACCAGAGCCATGTTGACATGATCTTGAGTCATTCATACTAACGGTAATAGGCCGAGTGGGAAGACATCAACCTAGCAACTACAACTGCCGCGAAACAAAAGAATCAGGAACAGAAAGACGATGCCGATGAAAAAATATCCGAAATCGACGTGGAACAGCCATCAAAGCGTTTTGATGGCCTTTCTGAGGTAGAGATGGGACCGAACGCCCAAGAATCAACGATGGAAATTCAGACTGAAGTTCAGGCTCGCCAGCCCGAACAGGAAGATGAGGACGGAATTCTTTAAATTATCTGTGCTATTTCCGCGCTGGTTTGGAAGCATTACAAGGCGTTCGGTGGTGGTCACTCTGGCACACGGTATATTGGGTCTTAAAGAGTAGAGGAATCTGCAATCTTGCTCGCTGGCTTCATATTATTTAGAAAAAATTTCTTTTATGTTTATCAAGAGGATCTACCATGGCATATAATGGTTCGGGTTGGCATTTTGGACGTTAGACGTATGTAAAATATAGGGACTGCAGAACCTCCCTGTATAATATGGGCAACCAATGAAGTGATCATTTTGTGCAGTCTCACTCATACTGTGCTGTTAATTCGTGGCTAGTATCTTGCCCGAAGCCAGAGCACTCAAGGTTCAGAATCGAACTTGATTAAAGGTCGATATTGATAGGTATTCGAAGTAGCAGTTGCAAATGAGAGATGAGATGGTCGAAAAAGTAGAATCGATATTGCAGGAATGGAATTTGCTCATTGAGAGGCGACATCTTCACAAGCCACATAAAGTTTTCGCTGCACTTAATACGAGAATTTAGAAAAGGTGAAGGACTACTCATGTCTCCGACAAAGTAACAAATTTCTTGTCAACTTATGACATTTTAAGACACTGCATTTCAGAAAGCGACTAGAGATCTACGAAGTTACGTGATAGCTCTTCCTCAAGCTCCCGCAGCAAGGCTGAAAGAATGATGAAAAGCGACTCGTAAAAGAGTTTAGACCATCAAAAATTGCGCGAGTGAGGGCCCCGAAGGACACTCAAACGGGATCACCTCCGCGCTGTGCAATGCAGGGTTCTCCCATTGGCAAACCGTCTTCTTGATCACGGCCGCCCTCACAAGGTAAGTATGAAGAAAAAAAAACGAGAATTGAGGGGTGAGACGGGATTATATAGACGAGCTGGATTTCCGGGTAACACTCTGTTCAAACGCCAAGACTTCGTCTAAATTCTCGTCTGGCATCCTGGAGCGGTATATTCCGCAGACATGTTTGGCTAACGAGCCTCGGTTGCCCAGAAGGATTGAAGGCGAGCCTATGATGCATTGATGCCGATGTTGTTGACCTGCGAACTTGCTCCGTTGCACCACTGAGACTAAGCATTGTATTCGGGGAAGGGACATCGAAGTTGGCATTACCAAAATGCCTCCGAAGCGTATGACTGCCAATCCGGTCAGGCCGGCACGCTATCGACCCGGAAAAGCTGTTGCAGAAGAGCCGTCCTCCTCGGAGGAGGAGTCTGGAGTTGAAGAAGAACAAGAAGAGGAGTCAGAAAAGCCTACAATACAAGCACCCCCCAAAGCAACATCTTTCCCGAAAGAGGCGACAAAGATTGCGAATAATCTCAAGAATGTCGATCTTAATGAACGTCGGCGGGTTGCGGCTGCACAGGAAGCGGCCAGACTCGAAGCGGAAAAGGCCGAGCGCGCAAAACAAGAGGAAGGCTTTGTGACCGAAGAAAGTGAAGAGGAAGAAGAAGAAGGAAGTGAGGAAGAAGAAAGTGAAAGCGAGGAGGAGGAGAGCAGCAGTGAAGACGAAGCACCGCGTAAGCTTCTCAGACCTACTTTTATCAAGAAAGACCAACGAAAACCCGCCAATTCGGGCCCCGATCTTAAAGCGGAAGATGAGAAATGGCAAGAAGAGGAAGAGAAGCGAAAGGCAAAGGCAGATGAACTTGTCCAAGAGCAATTAGAGAAAAACGCAGCAGCTCGCGCGGCAGGCAAGAAGAATTGGGATGATGACGAGGACGGCGAACTCGAGCAAGTGGACGACACGGATGGTGTGGATCCAGAAATGGAATACGCTCAGTGGAAAATTCGGGAGCTTGAGCGAGTTCGACGGGATAGAGCAGCCATTGAAGAAGCCGAGAAGGAGAGGGAGGAAATCGAGAGACGTCGCAATCTCAGCAAGGAGGAGCGCGAAGCTGAAGACCGGCAATTCATCGAGGCTCAGAAGGCCGAGAAAGAAGGAAAAGGCCAGATGTCATACATGCAAAAATACTTTCATAAGGGAGCTTTCTTCATGGACGAAGCAAAGGATCAAGGACTGGATCGAAGAGATATTATGGGAAGCCGCATCCAGGATGATGTCTCAAACCGCGATCTGCTCCCTGAATATATGCAAATCAGGGATATGGCAAGACTCGGCAAGAAGGGTCGGACCAAATACAAGGATATGAAGAGCGAGGATACAGGTAGATTTGGCGACTACGGTGACAGAGCGCGACGTGGAGGTTCCGGTGGTCGAGACGAGCGGTTCATGTCAGACAGAGAACGGGAAAGATTCGCGCCCACTGGAGCAAATGCCAGTGAAGTAAAAGAGCGAAGAAGGGAAGAAGATACACCGGAACGGTCAAGGTTCGGAAGAGAGGGCGAATCTCGGCGGGAATATTCTCGGGGCGGTCGAGACACGTATGTACCCGGACATCGGGATTCTCGATACGATGAGTCCGAATCACGGTACAGCAGGAGAGACCGGAGGTCAAGATCCTACTCAAGGTCACAATCTCCCAGAAGAGATCGCTATGGGAGTGAAAGAGATCGACGCAAACGCAGTGTTTCACCTGCGAATGAGAGTTATTCACATGAGAAGCGGCGGCGAGTTGACACGAGGTAGTCAACATAATATCTGGCCATGAAAAGAAAAACTAATGATATCCCTATTGTCTTGCAATAAGTTCGCATCTCAAACAAATATTCGTACCCCCACAACGCCCTGAAATGCCGTGACGCCGATGCCCATGCGTGTACAGATTAGCTGTATCTCTTTGAGGAGAAGATTAAAGTCAACCTAACTACCGTGCCTTCTCCAAAAAGGCCTCCCTCTCCATTACTTCAGGTTCGAATTTTATCAAAAAGACAGTTTTTGCTGGCCATAATTCGGTGGGCACGCTGTGGGCGGTCACACGCGCGGCAAATCCTGTTCCATCACAAATCCCCTCTATAATTCCAGCAACATATGCGGCACAATTCAATTGGTTCATCTCCTTTGGTACGCTGATGTATTGGTTGACGAGAGGGTCATTGTCGCTGATCATATACTCGTCCTCGTTGTCTTTAGAGCGTTCCAAAGCGTCCGCTGATCGGGAGAACAAATGCTTCCATAGTGTAGTTGTTATGAATTGTAATAGAGGTAAGATACGAGTCGGTCGCTGGACGGAGCGGGTAGGTTCGCGATAGAGGAGCAGATCAAGCAGTCGGAGACCAAGCGGATGACCTTGAACATTGAGCCTAGTTACTCAAAGATGCAAGAGTTAGTCATGCTGAATCCCTAATTGCGGCTGTCTAACGACTCGAGACACCAAGGTGACTCGTTGGATTCTGATTACATACCTTCGCTCCAGGTCTTGAATACCCGTTACCCGTCTTTGCGCGTAGCTGACCATTTCCCCAAAGAGATAAGCAAAGCTGGCCTTGCTAAGTTCTGATGTCCTGCTGCGATTGAGATTGCGATCGTATATGGTTTTCCGATTCGTAGGATATCTTAAACCACCGACTGAAGCACGCTGAGCTGGCTGCTGTAGCGCGGCCGGCGCAGCCGGCACAGCGGAAGCTTGAGGAGCATTCATGAGAGGAACGTTATTTCCAACTCGATATGCATAGACCAGCTAGAGCGAATATGAGGTAAATCGTGTACCGTCCGTTTCGAGGCGTATCTCCGAGTGTGACTACTGACTCGAGACTCGTAGAGAGTTGATATTCAATTAAAGCTGGAGATGTCGGAGACGCATACGGTGGACTAGAACGAACATCTGCGCACAAATGTACTTCGCCTTGAAAGCGGCAAACATTATTATAGTCCAAGGTCGCCATTACAGGTATAAATTTTAAGCTATCTTTTACAAAAAATTCTTCGCACTTTTCTGCGATGGAGGTATAAATAATCTATGAATGTCATCCAAATACGGCCTACCTGTGAGTTTTTCCCTTTATCCCGAAACGCCGTTCCCAAAAACAAGCCTTTTACACGACGCCGATAGGCTTTGGCAGCCATGGGCCATCCCATTTTGACCACCCGTTCTGCAAGGATGGCTGCGTCTTCTGACGTTTCAGTCGCCGATCCTCATTCCCAACGCGGTCTTCATCCGTAGTCTCCTTTTCCAGAAGCCGTGCGTAGTTATTGCTGTACGCCGCAGCCTTCTCCTCTTCATTCGACTTGGAACCCCCTTCGATCTCTCCCATCTCTATAGTTTGCAACTCCACCAGCTCTCCAAATTCGTCTTTGAGTTCTTGGCTTCCAGACTCAACAAGACGTGTTGAGACTCGGCGAGTCCAATGGTTCGGACTCATGATGCACGTCGCTATTACGCTTCTCACGCTTGAAAAGCATCTTCGTCTTCTTGCTTTCCACGTGTCGGATTCGAGAAGGTGAATGAGCCAAAGGTAGACGGCTTCACGATACGCATCAATTTTGATATCGAGGCGCGATGGCTGTACGAGCATGGCCGCCATCTCCTCTAAGACTGCCGAAAGAAAATCTCGCTCGCGTCCAGTAAGGTATTTGAGAAAGTCATCCCACATCGCAAATGCAGCCTCCATACCAGAACCAAGGCTTTGATTGGTCAGAAAGCAATTAAATCCATTGATAAACCAAAAATCGGTACTCACCTTCTGTTTGAAGGGACAAGGAACTTAGTCTCCAGTAAAACCCCAGCGAGCACGCGGAAGTCCTCTTGTTTCTTTTTACAAATGCTGAGACAACGGTCACAGATATCTGCATAAGTTTTGTTTGAAAGCTCGTTTGATCGGTATGAAAATTTCCCTAGTTTTGCTTGTTCGACTTGAGCTTTGACGTGGGGTCGCAATAGTTCTCGGAATTTGTCCTTGATCGGTATCAATCCCTCCTCAGCTACATCGTCTTCTCCCTCTAGTATATCGCTTCGCACATCAATTGAGCACCAATAGTACCGCCAAAGCCATTGTAGCGAACGGGATGCGGCCTGTCTAAGGACAAGGAGCGGTGGTATTTCTTCGTGTGTAGCTTGATGACGGAGTTCGACAAACGATGCGGGCAGACCGACTTGTTTGGCAAGCTCGTACATCGATTGCTTTCGTCCCTTGGTTTGGTTGGAATCCATCAGCCCAGTGACGAATCTGTAATAGTTTGCATTTCCACGGTCAGCAGATACCGACTGATGTCAGAAGTTCATAATTACCTGCAAAAAGCAGTCGCATATGTTGCTCGGATCGAATAGCTTGACGAGCTGGTTCCTTCATCGTTAAGCATTGCATCGGTTAGGAGGGCAGTGGATTCTACGGTATGAGGGAGGTTTCCTCTAAGTTTCCAGGCTCCGACCTATACAAGCCCAAATTTTAGCTCGGGACTGGGTGAATAAGTATCAAGGGAGGAGGCACTACCAGGTTGACTGCATTTCGTCGCTCGTCTTCCTGGGCATGCGGAGGAGGATAAAATTGTGCGCGAACTTTGACAAGTTCCGAATGATGCCTCCAAGGCGTCACCACTATTTGTGGCATATTTGGATACTTTCTCAAAGCGGCGACAATTTGGGAATGTATGGCGACATTTGAGAGAGCCAGTGAAGGTTAATGGAGTTTTTTGTCCACCATAAACAAAAATTACAAAAATTGGCCTCGAAGGCAAGTGACGCGGGAATGGGATAATTTCCGGGATTAGTCATCTATCGAATCCCTCCTTTATCGGGAGTTATGTGGGGGTTCAGAGGGAAAGTCGCACATTATTGCTTGTCGGCAGGCCGGCACCCTGACTTATCGATTACAGATCGCTACCGTAGCTCACCGGCTAGCCGAACACTGCTTAAACCCCATTGTTGCGCTTAACCCCAGTTGGACTGGTTTAGGCGGTTTACAGTGAGCTTTATGAACAGCCCACATTTATATTACGACTTCCCACCCCACCAATTGACTGCGCATCAAGGCCGTGCCATTGTTTATGAACATACTCAAGTGTCATACATTACATGGGACAAAAAACCAGTTAAGAACCCCAAGTCAGGGTCTGTCCAGACACACGAACACCCCCATTAGCCCTTTAACGATTCTATCACCACGGATTGAGGCCGTTTGGCCTTTCATACCCTAGAGATGAGCGGGTCGTACTTTCCACGCCAAAATGATGTCGTTCCCGACCTCAATGATTTGAAATTGGACGTATGTATTTCATTCATCTCTTGTCTCATGCGGTAGCATTAACCTGCTCCAGTTTCAGGACAATGTGGAATCCGAACCAAGCGACGACTCTGACTATCAGAGCAAGCTCGAGGTTTGTCACTTCCCCTGCCCAATATCGTCTCGCATTGATCTAATTCCTATTCAAGGTTGAGTTTGATGACGAAAGCACTCGACGTCGGAAGTCGTCCCTTGTCCCGAATGAATACCCACGTACGCGCCCGGTAATGCCTCGGAAGAATACATCCTGCATTGTGCATTCTTTATTGGAACGTGAGGGGAAATCGCCCGACGCTGAACCTAGTCATGATGGGATTGCAGAGAGTAGAACTGCAGATAAGCTCGCTGAAGACGAGGAGGCGATGACTCGCTCTCGGTTGCTTACAAAAAAGGAACTGTCAGATATGGCTTGGGGTGTGCGGAGGCTCTCCAAAAGGCTGGCTGGCATTAAAATGAAGCTTCAGGTTCGGACTATATTCATCCTGACCAAAGCGCACGATGAGACTCTCATTGCCAACACAAGAGAAGTGACCGATTGGTTACTCTCATCTGAACGGGATACCGCATATACTGTGTAAGTCTGGCCTAGCGCGTTGATGATCGCCACTTTTTGAGACTTACGGGTCGCAGTTACGTTGAAAGCACTCTGGAGGATAACAAATTGTTTGACAAAGCTGGGTTATTGAAAAAATACCCTTCGGCTGAGACTCGTTTGAAGTTTTGGACGCCCGAACTTTGTGCTAGACGCCCGAACTTGTTCGATTTCCTAATTTCTGTGGGTGAAAAGCTTTCTATCTTTTGAAACCGCTCTCTTCGACTAACTTCAAGAAGCTTGGAGGCGATGGCACGGTTTTGTATGCGAGCTGGCTATTTCAGAGAGTAGTACCACCTGTTCTATCCTTTTCATTGGGATCATTAGGCTTTCTTACGAAATACGACTATGATGGTTATCAGGAGACTCTCACAAAAGGGTTCCGCGACGGTTTCACAGTTAGTCTTCGTCTCAGATTCGAAGGCACCATCATGAGGTCACAAAAACGAGACAAAGAAGGCGTTCGCCGAGACATTGTTGAGGAGCTTGTTGGAGAGGAGTCGGATGATCATCGCACGCACAAACCGGAGAAGACTCATGAAATTTTGAATGATGTGGTTGTCGACCGCGGCCCAAATCCAAGTAGGTTCATGATGAAGGTGATACCGTCTTCGATGCTGACCGGCTTTCAGCCATGTCCACAATAGAACTCTTCGGCGACGACGAGCATTTCACTACTGTCCAGGCCGACGGAATTTGCGTTGCTACCCCAACAGGGTCAACAGCATATAACTTAGCCGCAGGCGGGTCTCTCTGCCACCCTGACAATCCGGTTATCCTTGTCACTGCCATCTGCGCCCACACGTTGTCTTTCAGACCTATTATACTTCCGGATACAATTGTCCTACGTATTGCCGTTCCTTATGATGCTCGGACAAGTTCTTGGGCCAGCTTCGACGGCCGTGAAAGGTGAGTCTTTTATAATACGTTATGGTTTGCGGAGATGCTGAGAGCGTATAGAGTTGAATTATTCCCCGGAGACTACGTGACAATCTCTGCTTCGAGGTACCCTTTTCCAAGCATTCTCCCACCAGGCAGGAGGAACGAAGATTGGATCACAGGTATACAAAGGACTCTACAGTGGAATTCTCGACAGAGGCAAAAAGCCTTTAAAGAATGGGTAAAATCGAAATAGTTGATTGACTTGAACGAGACCTTAACGAATGAAGCCAAGCCGTCTACGAATATACATTAGTTTTGGACTTGGTTGCGTCAAATATACCTGGATAAGTCTGGAAAACAAAACTATGCTTCAACGCTATCGAGATCATACAGTTCAATGAATTCTCTAAACAGATTGAACGCCCGTAGGGGTTGTATAACTTACAACTTAATAGTTAAAGTAGATGAATTAAACTGTAGATCTTTGTCTGACTCGGACAGCGGAGGCTTAGAAATATAATAGTATTCGTAATTCGGGTACATATAGAATCAGGTAATTTATATCAAACTATACGTATACGTAACCTATTTTGTTTCTCTACCTACCTTTCATACCGATTCAGTACATCGATCGCCTAGAATCCTCTGGTCATGCTCCAAATGCACTGACACAAACATTAACCTGGAATCACTATAAAGCTCCTGTTGACATCTAACGAGCGTGGTAAAGCTTCCAGGTAGCGAGCCACCCCCCAAAACTGAACTCAACGAATGAATGCCCTCCACAAATTAACTACAAGTGATCTATTTGGTTAAACAAACCCAGGAAACCCACGGTGTTTTGTGATGAAGCAACCATGATCCACGCGTGCTCAAATGCGGGGCCAGAAAACGGTACAACCAACTCCACCAGCGCCATTAGGAATCGAACCCAATATCACACTCTCGCAACGCTGTTGACAAAAGGGTTGGCGTGGGTGGGACTTAGGTCATCTGGTCGGTGCGGTCGGAGGTACATCTGGAGGATAGGGGGATACACACGCGATGGCATCAACAATGGGATCAATAGATAGATGCGATGAAATTCAATTCAGCTAATTAATGACCTGTATGATTCCCCTGTCGCTCATACATTTTTCTAATGCGCTGTGGCACAGATTCAACAAGCTTATTGATTTCCTCCTGACTGATCGCATCCCATTCAACTAAGATAGCATTCTTGAGCTCCTCTTCCGTGCGAGCCTTCCAGCGCTTTACCCGTTGTTTCAAAATCCTCCATACATTCTCAATAATATTCAGGTCTGCTGAATATGGTGGCCAGTTCATGAAATGGTTGATGCCTTGATCATTCTTGTATTCTCGAACAGGATTGCACAAGCTTCGGGTTCCATGGCTGCCATCTCCATCTTCTTGTAGGATTTTGTATTGACCTTCTTGCTGAAGCCTTTCGAATTCTGGAGCTACGTGCTCCTTTAGAATTTTATCCCTATATTCTTCCTGTGTCAAATTGCCTCCTCGAGCAGCTGTATCATAGAAAACAAGCTTGGATTTGTACCCAAAGCCAACCATGGCCCAACAATGGAATAATGCTGGTGATTTTTTGAAGTTGAATTGTATGCATTCCACACAGTAACGCTCTCCTTTTGTCCGAATGACCCAGTCTGTCCCAGTCATATTGAGGGCAAAATGTACCTCATCAGTAAAGAAGACAGATTTCCATTTCTCAAGGTCCCAATGCTGGTGTTCTGCTACAAAATTGGCTCTTTTGTGTCGTTGCTCTGCAGTCAAGTATCTCTTCTTTGAAGCCCAACGCTTGAAATAACCATGTCTATTCATCTCCCGCTGTAATGTGCGAGAAGATATCTCCCATCCAAGCTCTTCTAAGAGCTCTTCCCAGCTCAGGGAACACATGCAATAGCAATTGAGCTGTGGGATCACTGACTTTATCATTTCAGGAGTTATCTTCTTGGGCCGACCAGTGTGGTTTTGCACACGACAAGTACGTGCTGCTACCTCAAGAAATGCATTGAATATCCTGCTCACAGTTCGAGAAGGGACACCAGTTTTTTCGGAGACATCTTTATTTGATAGGTTCTGGATTTTGAAATGAATGACACTATTTCGTTGAGGAGTATCCCATGGAACACCAGGAGGCATGATGGTGATGGCATTGTTGATGCCATCGCGTGTGTATCCCCCTATCCTCCAGATGTACCTCCGACCGCACCGACCAGATGACCTAAGTCCCACCCACGCCAACCCTTTTGTCAACAGCGTTGCTCGGCACAGGGCCGGTCTGATAAGATCTGCGATAAGCAAATGGGCCAACCGAAATGATTTGACCAAACGTCATCAACAAACACGCCCTTCTTAGTGGTCTGAATTATTTGAGCCCATATTCCTGAGCTTTACTCTTTTTCAATGAATTCGTTGCTTTTCAGGGGGACGCTGTTTAAAAATACCTTCGCAAATACACTTAAACGACCTATTTCTGTGAGTTTTTCCACCTCTGGCTTTCATCGCGCTAATGATAGACGCAGAATTTAAACTCTCGCGCGATGCATATTCAATCGATTCCCATGTGTAAGCTAAATATATTGGATATCTGCGACAAGTTACCAATTTCATGTAGGGGAGGGGTCCAGCGATAACTACGCATATCTTGTGGTCGACGATAGTTCAAAGGACGCAGTGATAATTGACCCCGCACATCCTTCCGAGTAAGCATCCATTAATCGGACAAAATCTGATGCCATTTTACTAAGAGTCTGTCAGAGTTGCTCCTGTATTGAAGAAGCATATTGATTCTGGAAGCATCAATTTGACGTCCATTGTAAATACTCACCAGTCAGTGTCACATGATCCCGAGGATAGGACCATAAGCTAACACAAGTCACAGTCACTGGGATCATGCTGGAGGCAACAGTGAAATGGTATCTTCGTCTCTAACACATGCCAATACCAATCCAATTCTAACAAGGATCTAGTTGAAACTATTTGGTCGTCTTGGCGTCATTGGAGGCAAGGACTGTGAAAGGGTGACTGAAACCCCAAAGCATGGCTCAACTTTCAACATTGGCAAGAGTATCAAGGTTACAGCTCTTCATACGCCTTGCCATACCCAGGACAGCATTTGCTATTTCTTTGAGGATGGAAGTGACCGCGCCGTGTTCACCGGAGACACACTCTTCATAGGAGGTAATCGACTTTCACTTTGATCCAGTTTCCCACCTCCCCAAATAATAAGTATCGTTGCGCCACAAAGGGCTAGAAAAAAAGGAGCTAATGTCAATTTCTCAAGGATGTGGCCGTTTCTTTGAAGGAACACCAGAGGAAATGCACAAGGCGCTCAATGAGACTCTTGCGACCTTGCCTGACGACACGAAGGTCTATGTAAGTTATCCGAAGAACACCAACTGCCCATTTAATCTAATATGCTCATAGCCTGGCCACGAATATACCAAGGCCAACATGAAATTCGGTGCCTCGGTTCTGCCATCAGAGGCTGTGAAGAAGGTGCAGGCTTTTGCACAGTCCCATAAAGAGACTCAGGGCAAGTTTACCATTGGCGATGAAAAGGTGCGCTAGGATGCCCTAATTCAAACTAGATTGGGTAGTCGAGGCAAGCTAACATTGAAATCTGATATAGCTGCATAATGTTTTCATGAGGGTTAACGTGAGTTCAATATTGGCCCAGGGATCGGACTTTGAGAGCTGCATTAAAATAGACAGCTAACCATACAATAGGACCCGGAGATCCAGAAAGCAACGGGAAAGACGGATCCCGTAGATGTCATGGGAGCTTTGCGCCAGATGAAGAATAGTTTCAAGTGATTCAACATGTTCTTAATTCTGCAAGCTTTTAGTCGTCCATGGCTGATAAGTACAACACTAACTACCCTTTGTCCGACAGAATAACACCACCAGCACATTCTAAAATGTAGAATAAATTTTGAAATAAAAACACACTTTTTCACGATAAGGTCTTCTTGTAGGAAACTTACCTCAATTTTATGTAAACATTGGGAGATATGTGGTGTATTTATGACGTCAATTCTATCAACCCCGCCTAATTTCAACGAAGCATGCTTCAAAGGGCGTAAACAAAAGGTCGAATCATCGCTAGTACATAAATACCTCGAACATTGGTCGCAAACAGTGCATGCGCATCATTTTCTTTTAAAAGAATTTAATTTTGCATAGTTTATATTGTGCAATCTTGTTGACAACCCTCTCGATATGAGCTGCGAAGGCCACAAAATCACCAACGACGTCCCCGGTGACCCGCTCTCTACTAAGAGCAGAGTGCTCGAGACCGGCGCTGCCGTTGCACAGGTAAAATATTTTCATCAGAGAACCAAAAATCCGTTATGACTGACTTGGGCTCTCTTTCAGGATTTTACGCCGATCCGACAAGTATGCGCGCATCTCAATGCGTTCCACGCCTACGCCGATGAGCCTGGCCGATGTGTCGAGACGAATCATTACTGCACTCATGTCAACGAAGGTCAGCTCTTTTGCAAACATCGAAATCTTGCTGGCGCAATTGAAGCTGTTCAACCCCAGCTAATCCCCGACTACAGATATGCGCCAATGCATCCTCTATGACGGACCGGGTCCCAACGCGCGCTTGTTGGGCGTCGAATACATGATCACTCCTAAACTCTACGAGACACTAGATTCTGAAGAGCGCAAGCTCTGGCACAGCCATGTGTACGAGGTCAAGAGCGGCATGCTGATCATGCCTGGTCCTCAATTGTTGCCCAACGCGGCGTGGGAAGTTGCTGAAACCAAGGAAATGGAAGATGTCGTCTTCCTCTACGGCAAGGTGTATCACCTTTGGCAGGTTGACAAGGGCCACCAGTTACCCTTGGGCACACCGAAATTGATGACCAGTTTTACGGAGGACGGTCAGTTTGACTTTGAGAAGTACGTGGGCGAGCGTGACAGGCGCTTTGGCGTGGATTCCAAGCAAAAGGCTAGTTTGAGAGAGTACATCAAAGAGCCGGAGATTCACCCGGGTAAGTGAGAAGGGAAACTTCTACCAGTGCTGGATATGGGGGTTTTGCTAACATGGATCGGTAGATGCGGATGCTGCTTGGAAATCTGGCGCGAAGTCGTAAATTCCTACCGGCCCGGTCTGGCCACTGGCTGTTAGTAATACTTGAAGTATTTGTTTTGAACCAACTCTACTCACTTTGGACGCAAGTGGTTTACGTGCAGAGGCGAATGGCGTTATTCTCGGTGGGAAGGGGGGTAGCATAAATCTAACGACGATATCCAGCATGAAGCCGCCCAAAGCGGCATAAAAATATGAAACAACATTTTGTATTCAAAATATGACTTTTATTCTGAGCGGAAGAGCTCCTGTTTTGTGACTATTGAAATTGAATATGTGATATAACAATGATATGTCGTCCCAGATACCAACAACCTAGCCAACGTTACAACTAGATGCCGGACTCAATTAAGAGTCCGGAGGGATACCATGGGAGGGAGATGAGACATTCTTTGATGCGACATCTCCACGATTTACTCTTGCTTCTCTGTCCACACTCACTCGTCCTGGTACAAATGTGTCGACGGTGAGCTCTAGCATTTTTAGAAGCGATGTGTGTGATATGTGCTGAACGTATCGAAACAAAAACAAGTAGCGCCAAACAGTGACTGAAACTGAAACTATATGCAAATTCCTAGAATATATAAAGTTAGTTGGAAATAGAGAAGCAATCCCGTCGATAGCAAGTTTGAGTAAAGTCGACGCATTTCAAGTCGCTGCTACCAGCAATCGGCAAGTGCCCTGAGACGAAGACATTGCGAGGTCATTCTAGACTGGATGCCTGCCTAGCAGAGATATGCTTGTCGAGAGTGGTCATCGAGAATTGCTGAGCATGTTCGCTGAAAGAGGAGCGAGGGTGCACAAAGAAAAAGAAATGAAAAAGCGAGAAAGAAAATTCGCAGCGACGAGCTTTGTAGGCGCGAAAACAAGTTCCTCGCTAAACCTAAGCTACAAAAGAACCCCACATGGCCGCGCCAAACCGAGGAACAAACAGGCCCCGATCCTCCGACAAGAGCCGCAACACCAAAAAGATTCAAGGACGTCACCACCACCACCTCGCACCGAGCTGCCTTAGGTTGAGCTCCGGTGTTGGTCTCTGTGGAGACACCGACTTCACCACCCCGCTCTAGTCATGGTACGTTGACAAATACTTCTCTGCTTTTTACCCCCAGCGCTGAATCATATTCTCTGGAACCTACGTTAAAGAAATACCCTTGCTAATTTATGCCCTTCAACATTCGTAGCCAGCCAAACGACGTCCCGCGACGGCCGCAGCGGCGGCGCCAAAGCCGACTGAGAAGAAAACCCGCCAATCCAAACTCGCAAAGGAGAACAACATCAGCGGCGAAGAAGAGGCCGAGATCCGGGAAGCATGGAATCTGTTCAGCGTGCCGCACGAAGACTACGAGGGCGAGAAAGAGGGCGTGATTCCCGTCGAGGAGGTGCGCAGAGCATTAATGTATGTTCCATATCCGTCTTTTCAAGCCCTCAACCTGTCGGATCCAAACACCCCTGTCGGATCGAGTCACTTGTTGAATCCCAAACCGCGTCGGATCCATTACAATTTATAACTGACAGACGCAAAAAGAGCACTAGGTCTCCCACCAACGAATAAAGACGAGATGCGCGAAATCATAGAAACCCTCGACCCCACCGATGTCGGTTTCGCCACGTACCCGTCCTTTGTAACAATATGCGCGCTCAAACTCCGCACGCGGGACGACGCGGATCTGTCCGAGGAAGTCGAGACGGCATTTAGGCTCTTCACGCATGGTGCGGAGGGGCCAATTTCGCTGGCCCACCTGCGGCGTGTAGCGCGCGAACTGAGAGAGGAAGTCTCAGATGACGTCCTGCGGGATATGATTCTCGAAGCGAATGGTGGGGAGGGCGTGCATCGTGGCGTACGACTGGAGGATTTCGAGGCCGTGATGAGACGGGCAGGGGTGTTTTGAAAAATGATGTCGATTTCCCCACCGCGACTTTCTTTTTTTTTATCAATGGGTTCCTGTGATTTGTTAATGTTGCTTAGCTCTTACGGGCTGCGGGCGTATATGGGACGTATAGGGGGAGGCGTTTCATGTTGGAAATCTTTTTCAATTTACTGAGAACGGGGACTTTTTTTTGCATATGGTTGTTGGTCGTCCAAGGCGCGTGGTATTGGCTGGGTAAGCTGAAGTCGGGCGTTTGCTTCTCCTCTTTGAGGTCATTGCCAGTGTTTACATGGTAGACAGAGTGTACTTTATAATTTAAAATTTCCAATATCTCTTGAAGGGTGTCAAAGGGCCGATTTGGTTTCGTACCAGCTGTTGTCGTGTATACGTTGGTTGGCTCTAGTTGGAGGTTGGTTTTTTCAGAGCGAGTACCTACAACACAAAGATATGACATCGAGTTATCTGCAGTAACTCAAGGTAAAGTCTATCTATTGTTTCATAACACCGTTTGGTTCGTGGAAGCTACCCACAAGATAAAGAGGAGCAAAAGTTCTAAAGTAATTCGTCACCACCCCTCATACAAGTCGCCGTGAAGCAAAACGAATCTAAGTGCGCCGTCCAAAAACATCGTGAGCGCCCGGGTATTGCCAGCATAAAATCATCATCATCATCACCATCATCATAATAATAACCGATTAATCAGAGACCAGGGTTGGAGAGACAGAACCAGGGGAAAGACCCTAGCGAGAAGGAAAGACCAAGCCAGCAGCGGAGCACAGCCGCACCAATCTCAAGGAACGTTCGGCATGGCGAGGCGCTTTGCAGCTTCTTTGCTTTCCGCCAATTCTTTATTGAAGCTGTTGTGTTCTGAGTGCTTCTTATAGTAACACCCGCCTTCTTTGGGACGAAGATGCTCTGGAATCTCTCTAAGCACGAGTGCGAGAATGCCATCTATTGACTTTTGGTTGGACGAGTCTCGGTTCCAGATCATGATGAGATTAGAAGTAAACCGAACAGACATGCTGATGCCGCAAATGTCGTCGCCTGGCGGGAGAAAACACCAATCAATGAATGGAGTCTAATATGAAACGATCGAAGAAGAAACTCACCTGGCTCGACCTCGAACAAATCTCCAATGGCCATGGTCAAGATCTGGATGAAGAATTCCGGCCCATGCGCCTTGGGAATTCTAAAAGTCCAGCAACCACCGCGCGCATTGCGTGGATCCTCCCAGACGGGCTCGGTGCCTAGCTTGAAAAGGTGGACAGTATCCCTGAGAGGCAAGTTTGTCAGAGGGAGGTTATTGACGACTTCCCAAAATTTTCGAATATCGCTGATCTGCGCAAGATTGCTCAGGCGGTCATGGTACGTTGGCGCTGAAGAGGTGCTTTTGCCCATGTTTGGGATGAGTCTAAAGTTAAAGGAACGAAGTCAGAAACAATATTTCAATGTGAATTTGCTGCATGAGAGGTATGAGAGGTATGAGAGGTATGCCTTACCTGTCGTGCCACATTACCCAATGGTAACTGAGAGGAAATGATTCCGGCCGCATGTGCTTGAACATTTTCATTCGAATGGCCTGACGGTCAGCAGCGGCGGAGGCGGCATCTTTGAGAGTATCCGAAGACTTTTTTTCCATCTTGCACTGCTGGGTTCCCGGACTGCAATCTACTTCCTCGAGAATGGTGGGAAGAAGCGCGCTTTGCACTGGAAAAGAATGAAATGCCGAAGCAATAGCGGGAGACTGACCCTCGGGGAAGACGCTTTGCTTCTGTTGAGCAGGGATTGAACGAATGAGCTCTCGGACTCTGTCGGCTGGCAGATTAAACTTTTCCGCAAGCTGTCCAATGGCCAAGGTCCAGAGGTCGCGGAAGCGCTTGATCTGGTGTTCTTCGCTCACGAAGAGAGGAGGATGGCCCTTGAAGTAGGTCTTGAATCTGAAGGATGCAGTGGTGGGGGTCAGAATGCCAGCGTCCAAGCGCTCAACGTATTCGGTGATGTAAAGTGTTTTCTCGGGCTGCGAGCTACCTGTTCGTCTGGTAAATAGGAGTGGCATTGTGAAGGTGCTTCGTGACCGGAAGGAATTTAAAGAATAAAAAAACAGCGAAGAAGTTGGAGAGTAAGAAGATATATGCAGAACGAACATGAGGAACGTAAGAAAAAGAGCAAATTTATAATCCAGAAGAAATTCGTCAACCAGACTAGAGCTATTGTTCAATTGACGAAGCATTGTGGTTTGATAGAAAAATCTGGGTGGCGGGAAATAGTCACGCTCAATGACCTTTGTAAGATCCGACCAATTGAATGAAACATTTGAGAGAGCATTGAAAAACAATAAAATGAAAATACATTTTAATGAACGGATATGACGTAGCAAAAGTTCAATAGCAAAAGCAATAATGAGCCGTAAACAAACCGTCGGAGCATAAATCGGATTGTTACTGACCTTGTATCTAGTGTTGCCATTGAATTTTGACAGCTGAATTGCACTTGGTCTCCCAGTCTATCCACAGAGCAGTGGCGATTCCTTGGGCCTTTCAATCAAGGTGCATATACAGGATGAAAGAAGTGTTTCCCCCGTCTCAGTCAGATCTGCAACGCCGTATATTGAAGAGGGTCACATCGATTAGTCAGCACAATTTAAAGAGTTCCAAGCTCGGACGGAAGAATAAAATGTGTTTTTGGTGGGCGATCTTCTGATCTATATATTTCTTGTCTGGGCTTTCAATAAAGAATATATGATACGGTGATTTTCGGGTTTAAGATGTTTGGTCATTGTCGGCGGCTAAAATTCGATTGGTGTGCAGTCTTTGATCAACGGACAGGTTCCCCCGGATAAACCCTTACCGTGCGCTGATCTTAGTGGCCCCAGGGGTGGTTTCTTTATCCGGGAGAGAGTGACAACAGAGATGATTCTAAGCTATTTTAGTTAAAGGTTACCCGCCCTAGTGTGGCAGATTGTCGTCGTTCTTAACCACAAACGGGACGAGTGGACGAGGGTTCTTGAAGCCACCGAGGCGCAACCTTAACTTTTTTCATTCGTTAGCGCCCGCTGGGTCCTTTGCGGGTTTTCTTTGAATCTTTCCCCACGTTGCTTTGCTTTTCACAAAGCCCAGAAACTTTCCACTCGGGCCTTCAGCTTTCCTGGGATGTCGAGCGGCCATTCGATGAACGAGCTATATTGATCACTATAACAGAATTTACTTGTTATCTCAACCGGCCATCACCAAGACCCTCTCAGTAAGCAGTGCGTTGCTGGGACTCTTCCGCCCCGCGATCGTAATCCAAAGTCTCAAGACATTGAGTGTGAAACAAAATACCAGATTTGCGACAGACACTCGCTACGATAGGAGAAAGCCCCAGAGATTTGAAACGCTCGGGTGACAACCAACTCGACTCTCCCGATTCAATGGCTCCATCCAAACCCGACGTCGCAGATGCTTCTGCTGCGGCTACTCGGAGTGGCTCTTCGACCAAGGCAGACGACGCTCACACCGAGAGTTCTTACGAGTCAACCAGCCCGTCTGCATCGGAAGACGAGACGTCGTCATCGGGAGAGGACAGCGATGAGGACGAGGGCGGTGACCAAAGACCGCAAGCAGGTGATGACATTACGACATTACCTCGTCCGGGAAAGCCTCAGATTACAAACAAATATGCGGCGGACGGTGCAGGTTTGATGAGCCGCTTGTCGTCATTTTTGCCGCAGCTTGCAGCTGCAAATGCTTCTCTGGAAGAAGATCGCGCCGCTGGTCGGCTGGAAGAACGCAGTTTCGAGATACCCGAGGGGACGGATAAGGAACATTATATTGAGATGGTAGGCAAATGCTTTCAATTGTTTACAATGTATATATCAGGGTGCTGATGCAATGTTTTCCAGGATCTGGGACTAGGTGTGCTTGAAGAGAAACACCCCGATGCGACAAGCTCTAGTGGAGGCTCTGACGATGAAGAACATACCGGCAATGACATGGACATTGATCGGTCAAAGGACAAAGATTCAAATATAATGGGGCACTTGATGGGTCAGAAAAATTCCACGACAAAACCAAAAATTGAGGATCTTGGAAATGGATGATTTCAGAGATATCTAGTGTTGCTCTATTGTACAAGCATTTGTAGGCGTTGGACAATCTTCTGCATTTCTACATATCTGTATTATATCAAGGTCATGGATGGTTTTGGAAAAAAAGGATATACCTTGAGTTAAAAATCTTATGTCGGCTTTTTAGACGCCGTGGATATCTATTCAAATGAAGAATTTTTTAAAGAAGGTTATATGCTGAAAGTATATGCAGACACTTGATCATGAAATCTCCTTGATACGGCATTTCCATCCGGATTCTTGGCTAAGGAGAGGAAGACTATAACCGTAACGTTAGCTGGCTGTAACTGATATCCGAGACGTGTGCAATTACTCACCTGGCGCCGAGACACCATCCCAACTCGTTTCCTTTGATCTTCTTCGCGATTCTTACCTCGCGATCCATGGGCATCTCATAGCCGGTGTGAAGAAGAGTAAACATAAAGTTGAGATCCATACACCATTCAGGCCGGTCCTTCAGCTCAGCCAAGGCTCCCTCAACGCTGCCGAAGATGCCCCAGCCACTCTCGCCTTCACAGACCTTGGCAGTCAAATCCTTCAGTTCTTTCAAAGTGAAGGACTCGGGCATGCCCAAAGGCTGTGTACGGTCGAAAAAGTAAGAAAAGATGTACACGTCCTCTCTGGAGAAGGTCTTATCCAACGAGGGTTGGTGGACACCATTAAAGGAGCAGGGCGCCAGTTTGCACTCAGCATCCTTTTTCAGAATCTTCTCTGCAACACCACGGCACTGAGCTGGCGATCCCTCGGGGGGACCAGTCATGTTCACTTTAATTGAGGCACCCAAAGGATTAGACTCTCCTAGCTTCACCTCCACCTCTCGTGACATGCCAGACGCAACGCACGGGTTGATGATGGGTTCTCCAAGCCAAGTATGGTCAGTCGGATGCTCCTCAAGCTGGGCGTCCAGGACGATTTTGTGCATCGCCTCCCTTGCCGACATAAGACCGTAACCAAGATGAGAGTGCTGGTAGAGCGTGAAGTCGCGGCCGCCGAAGCTAAGGTTGTACTTGTGGTCTCCCTCGGCCAAGGTGTCGGGCATTCCGCCCGAGGGGCTCTTGAAGGTAGGCTGGAAAACGATCTGGGTCGAGCCACCGCCAAGGTCAAAAACGGCGGCAGTCGGGGTTTCGTCGGGACCCCCAATCTTGCCCAAAAGGTAATTCGTAGTGATCCATGCATATACACCCTCGTCTTTGCCGTCCATGATTTGCACTCCGCCCTTCTCATCAGCGACGACAGGGAAGGGATAGACTGTCTCCAATCGAGTTCGGACTGCGGCAAGAATCTTTGAGCTCATTTCCGGGCCAAGCAATCTCAAGCCTGCCGTCGCCTTTACGGCAATGGGGGAGCAAGGCTTGAGCTTATCTGGAACTGTATGCATAGCTACTTCCAACAGGGGATCCAAACTCATCGCAGCGCCCTCGGCATCCGCCTTGTATGAGCTGAGGCCGGCTCCACCAGCCTTGGGCTCAGTCATCTTGAAGATCTCGTTCTCCAACTCAGGAGTCGGACCACAGTTGTTGAAACGGTAGACATGGATACGCGAACCTGTGCTGCCTGCATCGATCATAAGAGCGTATTGAATCAACGGCTTCGAGGGATGATATGATTTGGTGCATTTATCCGTGCTGATAGTGGGGTCGATAGCCGTCTGACCGCCGCTATATCCTACGCCCACGCAAATTATCAATATCAGCAAATCACTTGAAAATGCAATTCTGAAATTTGAGGATTAGCACCTACCTCCGGCGATATTCGAAAACCCTCTTTTCTCGCTGGGAGTCAAAAGAAACAGGAGCAGTACGATGAAGGCCAGGATACCCCCGGTCTTCAGATAGCGAGCTCTCTGACTAGGAGTCATTTTGAAAGGCTTGATACTGGATATATAGTTGATCCGACTGCCGCTCAGTGACCTGTCACTGGTATGCCTATCTGGTTTCTCAAAGGGATCGTAGGTGTCGCCTAGTGTAGGCAGCGTAACGGACTCTCGGCGCTGAGGCGATGAGCTGAAGCTGAAGTATGACCACAGGCTAGGACGTCGCCGCACAGAGACAGGGTTGGACATAAGATTCAAGTGGACACGGTCAAAAGTTCGCCCACCAAAACGCCAACCCAGACCGACAGAAGTCGCGCGACTGTTCTCCTTATCCAGTAACCAAGATATGGAAGAAGCACCTCCTTCGCTCGATTAGCATGGAAACGGACCGGACGACCAAAAGGGAAGACGCCACCTGGCCCCGCAATGGAGAGTAATTAAGGAGAAAAGGATGCCAGGGCGAAAGGTTCACTGGAGAGATGATTCTCCAGAAAAAGTGCTATTTTCCTCCTATTCTTAGAGCGACACAGGACCCCTTGCGCCTCTGTTGGTCGGATTGATATTAGACCAAACGTTAATCAAGGGCCAACAGAAAGAGTTACTCGGTAAGATTCTGCTATCAGGTACCTCTATTTCTTACACTGGTGAAACACGCAGCAAAGCCAAGCACAAAAGTACTTATCAATCAGTGGCAAATCTCGTACCAGCCAAGAACACGTACTGGTTTCTCTTCGCAACCGTTGGTACCAGCAACGCTAAGCCTATAAAAGTTAGCTTAGAAAACCCAATTACCTAAGCACATTCTCCCTGTCAGACTTCTTTTCACCGCTCATTACCCGGATTTTGGTCTTAGCCGCATCGTCATAGCGCCAAACGGACGTTTGCCTGCCATGTGATAGAAACAGACGGCGGGTTTCTATGAAGAACCATGAGGATTATTTGAGTAGATTTGTTTCTAGTCGGCTTTAGGCAATACAACTTTACTGTTGTATGACGCGTTCGAGCTCTTGCATTATTTTGATCCTTTCTTCGATATCAATAGAAACTTTCTTTTCCTTGCGTCTTTCCTCTACGTTCCACGATTGTAAATTCAATATCGACTGGTTTCGACATATTCAATTATTTAAGCATCATGGAGGTCGAACTATACGTCTATGATCTTTCTAAGGTGAGTGTTTGCAATAATGATACTCTAGCTAGATGAATCATACTTACCTTTGGATCAGGGACTCGCACGACAAGTACGCCCACAGCAACATTCTATAATCCACTGACCTCTGACTTTGCGGCAACATAGATGTCGGCAGCCCTGCTAGGTGTCCAGATCGATGCGATATATCACACCTCCCTCATTTTCGGCGGAATAGAATATTTCTTCGGTGCCGGTATTCAGACTTCATATCCAGGTGCAACCCACCATGGCGCCCCGATAGAGAAAATATCGTTAGGAGAGACGTCCCTACCAGAGGACGTGATCCTGGAATACATTGATTCGCTCAAGCAAATATATACCGTCGAGGTTTGCTGCATCCCACAGAACTCTTGAGAGAGATGATCAGCTAACCTTTTCTCACACAGTCATACGATCTCTTCGTACACAACTGCAACAACTTCTCCAACGACCTTGCAATGTTTCTCGTCGGCCGCGGCATCCCGGACCACATCGTTTCTCTTCCCCAGACAGTCCTCAACACACCATTTGGACAGATGCTGCGACCTCAAATTGACAGCGCGATGAGATCTGTAACTCAGGCACCAGTTGCTGCTCCTCCGCCAAAACCTGCGCCAAAAGCAGCCGCTCAGACCGCACAGCCCAAACAACCAAGCCAATTTGGTATCGTTCACAACGTCACCAGTCTTGCTGAGGTTGAGTCCCTGCTCAAATCCGCATCCAAATCATGCGCCGTCATATTCTTCACATCTTCCACCTGTCCGCCATGCAAAATAGTATATCCGGCGTATGACGAACTCGCCGCAGAAGCAGGGGACAAGGCGGTCTTGATCAAAGTAGACACTAACCGAGCCTTTGATGTGAGCGCAAAATACGGAATTAGAGCAACACCAACATTTATGACCTTCCTGAAAGGCTCCAAGGAAGAGCAGTGGTCTGGCGCAGACGAGGCCCGACTTCGAGGCACCGTCAGACTTCTGATCCAAATGGCCTGGCCACCTCACCCTCACTCATCTCTAAACCTGCCTGCTCTTCTGCGATCCAATCACCACAGTGTCACATACAGCAAGGTCCCGCCTCTGGAAAAGCTCAGCGCGAAGCTTGGCCATGCCGCGTCTGAGCCCTCCGTTCTCGCCCTTCAGCGCTTCATCTCAGCCAGGCAGCAATCTGGCGCCATTGAGGCACCTTTACCGGATCTCAGAACGTTCAGTGCATTCTTCCATACAGCCCTGAAAACCTCCTCTGCAGAAACGTTATTCCCTTTAGTCGACCTCTTCCGGGTCGCGCTCGTCGATCCGCGTTTCAGCGGCTACTTTGCAGAGGGCGAAGCAAACCACAAGACCATTGTAGATTTATTTCAGTGCATAGAAGATCGCGGTGGGCAAGACTGCCCGTATAGTCTCCGACTGGTGACTCTGCAAGCCGCTTGCAATCTATTCACCTCCCCTCTTTTTCAAGAGCACATTTTGCCCCTCCCCGAGGTTGCATCTGCCATTACACAACTCACCTCTTCGAGCCTACTCGACGACCAGCACAGCAATGTTCGCGTCGCTGCTGCTTCATTGGCCTTCAACGTCGCGGCGTACTGCCACAAGCAACGCATCGAGGCGCAGCGCGAGGTGCTAGGTGAGAGCGAGCAGGTCGAGCTCCTAGCTTCGCTGCTTGAGGCGATTGGCGTCGAGGCACAGAGCGAAGAGGCCATAATGGGTCTCTTATTAGCCGTCGGGCTGATAATTTATGCAGCCCCAACCAATGGTGAAGTGCTGGATCTATGCAAGGCAATGGATGCCGCTGGAGTCATTTCGGCGAAGAAAAAGGTATTCCCGCGAGAACCATTGGTGAAGGAAATCGGAGAAGTATTACTATTTGAAGGTGTTTAATGAGAAGGTTCGAGCGGCATGTGCTGTAGAGTTTTTTCTACTTTTTTATTTCCTTTTGCTTTTTATCCTCAAGCGTGCATGGCTTAGCGGAGTTTTAAGTTATTATGCGGCTTTGGACTTTATGGAGGCATTTTCTTTTTTAGAGCACGATAGACACTTCTTTTTTCTGGCTTGCAGATAGATTTATAGTAGATAAGAAGCGTTTCAAATTTATATCCAACTTTTGATATACAATATACAATATACCTCAGAACTAGTAAAAAACTTTTACCGACCTTGTAAAGAACAAATTAGCTTTTATGACAGAGCACGTCCAGCCCGAGGCTTTTTTAATGCACTATCTTTTCCCCTGCATAGCACAATTTCGTCATCGAATATTCAGCCATGATGTCTTGTGTACTCATACAGAACCACAGCCGCGGCAGTCTGGACATTCATGCTCCTCGTCTGGCCAATCTGCTGAATCTCCACACAGAGATCCATTTCAGCTAGCAGTGCGGCTGGGATACCCTCACGCTCGCTTCCAAGAAGAAGTACAGTCTTGCTAGGAAGTTTCCAGTCTCCTTGGCCAAGGACTTTACTGCGATCAGTCTGCTCGATACCCACGACCGTGTACCCCTCCAGCTTGCGCTGAGTGAGAAACGCGGGGATAGATGCGGGCGGCAGCTCTTCAATGGGCAGCCAGCAGTGCGAAGAGACAGCCACAGACGTGAATTGGGTGTTTTTCATGATCCCTCTGTCTCTGACTTGGAGTGATTTGGCGCCAAAGATTTCGGCCACACGGGATAAGCCGCCCGCATTGAATGGGTTGTCAATCAGAGACGCGATGAGGATGAGTTCGTGCGGTCGTCCCATGCTGTTTTTCTCGCTGTCGGTTTCGTCGATTCCATGTGAACTCTCTGCCGCTGCGCGCCAGGTTCCGCTCTTTGTCTGTAGTGGAGCTTGGCCCGTAGTTTGTGTTTTTGGTGTGGTGGTGGTGAGTGTTTCGCGTGGGATGTTCTCGGGCTGCTTCGTATCAGAAAATGGCCGCTGCCCGAGTGGCATTGCTCCGGAGCGTTTGTGTAGAATATCGGCCGGCAGTTCAGGGTCATGGGAAAAGACGTCGAGGAAATCATCCCGTGTAAGCGTGATACCCTCTGGTGGAGGCAAGGAAAGGTATTCTCCTTCGAACAAATGCGTCAAATTGTGATCGCGGGTTGGATCTAGAGCTTCCAGGCGCCGGATTTGAAGGTCTTCAAAATCCTTTTTGACGTTGCGGATGAAGGCCTCGAGGGGAATGAGGGCCTCGCTCTTGGTGATGGATTCCCATCCATTGTTTGCAGCGCAGGTCCAGATACTCAGGAACGCCCACTGCGCCTCGTGTCGCAGTACTGCCTTTGTACTGACAGCCAAGGGCACAACAAGAGATATTAACTCGTGAGTAAACTTCTCTGTGGCATCAGGGAATTGTGCAGTCATCACGGTAATTTTGAGCACAGAGGTAAGAAATTTCGGGTTAGAATGGTCTCTGGCGCCGAGAGTGTCAAGTAGGATTTGGCGGTCTTCGGCATGCTCTAGTAATTGGCGAGCAATGATCCATTCCAGGAGATAGCGATATCGTGGCAAAGGCTCCACCGACAGGACCTTCATCAAATTTGAGATGTTCGCCCTCCGGGCACTTTTCGTCCCTTCTAGGACCCCTTGGTGAGCCAAAATAAGCATGGCTTGTAGCTGGGTTGTCTGTTCTCATCAGTAAATTTCGCATGATATTGAATGGAGATAGACTGACCTTCTTCCATTTGCTAACCACAGGACCCGAACCTTTTTGTTTGATCCATGGCTGCGAAAGATTGTTGAATACATCCTTTGCAAAGTCCAAGTCATAGCTGTGCAGCCGGTTCAAGATATCGAAAATGCACGCAAGCCCAAATGATTGGGCACCTCCGTAATAGGCTTCGTATGTTAAACTATTGACTGTTAGCTTATAATCTGGAACGCGTGCCGGGAGGATGATCACCTCGGAATAGACTTTTGCAAGCGTGGCACAAGAGTAGACCCTAATATTATGTCGAGATGTACCAGAGGAAGGTTGTTGATAATATCCTCAATATATGCTTGCAAGGGAACCCTCGAGCAAAGACGTTCCGGGAGAAGTATAAAGGCTTTTCGAAGAGCGCTTGCTAAAGCCGGAAAGATATAAGACTTTCCTACGGCAAGTTCTGCCAAATCATTCATGACCTGCAAAATGTTAATTTTGTCGTCTTAACAAATCAATACAACTTCTGAAACCAACCTTGTGAAGGAGAGGATTTAACCCATCCCCATATGTAGAGAGAACAAAAGGGTGAAAAACAGTTCGGGGGATTTGCATCATTGCATCCTTAGGAAACTCCAGCCACTCGCAGGACTCCCATAGAGATTTTATAATCATTTCGACATGCTCGGAGGCATCCCGTAATTGTTCAAATTTGTCAAAGGCAACGGTCATGCACGAAATTGCTGATAAAAGTCCAGCTTCATGCATAAATTGGGTGGCACCTTCCAAGAGGGTTGCGAGGTTCGAGATAACAATCCTAGCATCTGCTGAGCTGACGGAGCCTTGATGCTGAATGACGCATTGGAGGAGTTCAAAGCTTGCAGCTAGATATTTGTCCCGTATTCGTATCTCGTCTTTTCTGTAGAGTGACTTAGCGTTGAAAAACCAGAAATCCGTTTGAACCTTGTCTATAAACATACTTTGAGGCCTTCTGGCCCGTAAAGTTCGATATCCTAGAAAATGCGTTCTCCCAATTGTGCATTGACAGTGACGCACTCCCTCTGTCTTGCTGGATCTGTAAACAACGAGACGCTATCTCCATTTCAAAGGCCTCTCTGTTTTCCATCGTAAAATTGTGAGAAGTCGTCTTTTGGAAATTCTGTGAAAGAATACGCGTGGATAGAGGCGTTGTAGCTGACAATGCAATTTCGCGGAGACGATCAACATTCGTGTTTGCATTAGCAGGAATGCATGTTAATACATGAAGGATGCTGGGAAAGTTTGTGACGGCCTCCCCATTTTCTAACATTTTGACGGCCTGATCGATGAATGCAGACAAGGACCTGAAAAGCACGGTGGATGATGAAATAAGATCTGGAATGCTTGTCAATGTCCCGCTCGAAATCTTTGAGAACAATCCTTACTACTTGTCAAAGAAATATCATAAGAAAACAAGGCATGCAAGAAAGTTGACATGGTGTTCTGCTGCGCGATTGCGGCAATTCTGGCAGTGAAGACAGATTAGATGACAGTATAAAGATTCAAGAGCGGGATTGAAACACTCACAATGAATCCGCAAGTTCTCGCTCTTTATTCTCCATAACGCTCAGGAGATGCACCAGGAAAGAAACGTGTGTTGGCTCTACTTCCGTTGTTTTCCCTAAGGAAAGATCTTCTGAGAGCTTTCTAGAATATGAAACGATTTCCGCTCCATAAATATCTGCAAAATCTCTTATAAACTTTGGGGAAATCAATTTTTCTTGGCCGGAAAAGCTGATCAAAAAGTTCCTGGACTTGAGTCAGAATATCGAACACGGCTGAACTCTGATCCGACAACAGGTAGCTGCAGGTAGTCTTGTGAGCATTAATCACCAACCTTATGAGTGAATCGAGCTGGACATCGCTTTTCTCCAGGTCGAAGGATAAATACAATCTCTGCGAGACGACCACGAACATATCCCTAAGAAATTCAGTGCTTCCATAGGCTTAGCATCCATATATGATACATTCTTGGGAAATTCAGAACTCACTATCTTCTGAAGATCGATATTTCACCAATCATATCTAGATCATTTCTTTCAAACATTAATATCTCATGCTCTAAACCATCCGCAAGCCCAAACAAGAAGTAAGCTCGAGCTGGTGCAAAAAGATACGCCCCACGAGCGTGAAGAAATCTAATGATTGTCCGAGCGCAATCCTGCTCCTTCTGTGAATACCATTTCGCTGTCGTACTTTTGTATTTGGAGAACCTACCAATCTCAAGGATTTTGCTGTGCAGCTTTGCAGTAATAGTTGAATGAACCTAGCAATGCTATCACCATGCTTGCTGATCGGTTGCTTATTTGCCTGCTCGAGCGTAGAACTGAAGTGGTAGCCCGATGAGATATAAGGAAAGAAAATGTCTATGGATCAAGCAGATCGTCAGATAATTTCTTCATTCATAGAAGTCACACGGCAAAAATATTACGATTATCCCGATCAAATTTATGGAGTGGATTTTGAAGAGGAATCGTAAAAATCTTGTCTTATCCGCAACATACCGGTAAGAAATTTCTGGTCTGCTACCAGAAAACGAATGTGATTGGTAGTAGTCAGCCCAAGCAGAAATGATGTGACAAGCTTTCGGACATTTTCTGGCACCTCTGGTGCAAGTCCAGCGCCAAACATGGCCGTAAGCCAGCTGCCGTGAATCCCAGAGTCAGGCCCAATCAGTTGGTAAACTTCGGGCAAGGCATCTTCGACTTGATTTGAAGCTCTTTCGAGAACCAGTACTTCGAAGAAAGTGCAGTATTTCGCCCATTGCTGCTCAAGTCTCTTTTTCTGTTCGACCTTGAATGAAAACTTTTCAGTGGATATGGAGCGCGTGATCAATGGAATGGTCTTCATTAAGATATATAAACATTGCTTTCGGCGTTCCGATTGCTCTGACCTCAGTCCATCTTGAAGCAGGTCCCAGTAGACAGCTTGCTGAATCATCTCTAGTCGTTCATCTGGCATGCCAGACAACAGAGTCCATTTGAGCCATAATGAGTAGGCTATAGCGCGATGAAAGTCTCTTTTTGAGTCTGCAAGGCCTTTGACATGGTCCCAAATCACCTGAATTTTGCTGTCAGTCACGAGCTTGGGTTGACTCAGTACTAAGCGGTACACCTACCTCGAGAAGCGATTCTTGCTGAACTTCATGGGCAGTGCCAAGAAAGGCAAACAATGCGTCTTTAGCAGCGTACGCAAGAGATCTGCGAGGACTATGAAGCAGGTCAAGGATAGACGCTATAAGTGGGCTGTCAATTCTCTTTCCAATTTCCGCGTCCAACCATAGCGATATTTTCAGATATGCAAGGTATCTGATAGTCGCTTCATCTGGGCTCTTTCCCAATTCAGATCCATGCTCTTCGTCATCATCGAGGTCTGCAAGCCGATATTGATCAATGTCTTGACCAACAAATCTAGGCAAGGCAACAATGTATTCTTTAGCAGACTCAATAAGCTCAGAACCAAGTTCTGGATAGTAATTGCAGAATTCGCAAATACTTCGAAGGAAAGTCACTTCCGAATGTCCTTCATTTTTGGTTCCAGTAAGCGTAGCAGTCTGCAAGAAAGAGAACAGCACTTTATGGGAGTAGTCCTAAAAATGGTCAGAGAAAAACATCATTCGTTAGGGCCAGTTATCTCGTGTTCATACATCGGGACATTTTCGGAGCAACTGAGCGGTGAGGTGAGCCGTCGCTAAGTCACCGCTATTTTGCTGCTGTTCGAAGAGCCCGTCTGCAACACTCTTCACGACAGTCGCTTGTTGTGAATGCTCGACATTCTTCAGCAACAGATCAGCCAGAATCTGGGCCGATGCGGCTGTACTGCTTGTCATTGCTTATTGGTCCAAGGATGACTTTGACATTGGTCTAATAGATGAGAAGAAAAATCTGGATTTTTATATTGGCAACCGACTCTCCATTGGACCAAAATTTTGAAGATGCGGAATGAGGATTATTCCGTCACTGATCAATCGTCTCCCTTTTGTTGTTTTGTCCCAAATAATTGCATTCGCCTCGCAGTGTGGAATTATGAAGCCATTTGTGCCCTGCATAGCATTTTGTCATCGCCAAGTCGAAAGAAACTTGAGGTTGAATTATTCCAAGGATGGTTAGATCGTTGCGGCCCGATAAGCCAGCGAACAAGTTCCGCTCCGGTCGATTTGTTTACCCATTACCCGATTCGGATATTTGCGGTGACGAGGTATCCACATCACCTCCACACCCCAGCCAATTAATCCCCAGGGTAAGTTGGGTCGATGGCCGCTCTCTTATGTACACTTACGAGCGACTCAAATACAAGAAGGCAATTCACGTAGTTGGGACCCTTCTTCAGGCTATGGCGATGGATCCTCGATCTTATCCGCGTCTGCCCCCCGAGCTGATGCAGCTCAAATCGTCAGCTTCGACTCCTTCTTTGCGATCGCGAGAATCGGTTGTGGTCCCGCTCGAACGAGAGCGGCGATCCCTGGACAATTCAGGTGGAAATGTGCGCGTTGTGGTCCGCGTTCGAGCCTTTTTACCGCGAGGCATGTTTCTATTATGTGTCACAAACTTGGCAACATAAACGCTAATCTAGTCGAAACAATAGAGATCAACAAGGGAGCACAATGCCTGATAGATATGGATCCTGTCACCAATGTGACAAAACTACTCGTCCCAGAGTCAGCAGAGAATTTTGATCCTCGGACAAAAGGGCGAAAGGTTGTCGAGGAAAAGAGCTTTACCTTCGACAATTCGTTCTGGTCACATGATGAAGCAGATGAGCACTATGCGCATCAAGAGGATGTCTACAACTGCTTGGGTGAAGAGTTCCTGGATCATAATTTTGAAGGCTACCATACGTGCATCTTTGCATACGGTCAGACTGGTTCTGGAAAGAGTTACACTATGATGGGCACGCCTGAGCGGCCAGGGTTGATCCCGCGGACATGTGAAGATCTCTTTCAGAGGATCGAGTCGAACCCGTCTCCGAATATCAGCTATAGTGTCCGTGTTTCATATTTTGAAGTCTACAACGAGCATGTTCGCGATCTCTTCGTCCCACGCCGGGACCCGCCCAACTATCTCAAGATTCGAGAATCACCAACAGAAGGTCCTTATGTCAAGGACCTGACAGAAGTTCCGGTAAAAGGCTACATAGATTTGATGCGGTACATGAGAATGGGCGATCTTGTAAAGACTTAACATGCCTACACAGTAAGAGATGCTCGCTAACGTATAAACTAGAACCGCACAACTGCTTCCACGAAGATGAATGATACGTCATCTCGATCGCATGCTGTTTTCACGATTATGCTAAAACAAATCCATCACGACATGGAAACTGATGAAACAACTGAGCGTCTTGCCCGCATTCGTCTTGTTGATCTTGCTGGCTCAGAGCGTGCCAAGTCCACAGAAGCAACTGGCCAACGACTTCGAGAGGGTTCCAACATCAACAAGTCCTTGACGACCTTGGGTCGAGTTATCGCTGCTCTGGCGGATCCTCGTCATGGTCGCTCTGGTGGAAAGAAGCATAAGGAGATTGTACCCTACCGAGACTCGATCCTCACGTGGCTGCTCAAAGACAGTCTAGGCGGTAACTCAAAGACAGCGATGATTGCGTGCATCGCACCCAGCGACTATGACGAAACGCTCTCCACGCTACGATACGCCGATCAAGCCAAGCGCATTCGTACTCGGGCTATTGTCAACCAAGATTCCGTTTCAGCTGCCGAAAGAGATGCCCAGATCGCCGAGATGCAGGAAACGATTCGTATGCTGCAAGTCAGTGTAAGCTTCCAGCAGGCCGCTACAAGGCGGGAAAACGACATGCAGAGCCAGCAACTGGAAGAGTACCAGAAGCAAGTCGAAAAGATTCAACGTCTCATGGAAGAGGATAGACAAATCAGCGAATGCAAGATTAGAGCACTTCAGACAGAGAATGAGGCGCTCAGACTGCACCTAAAGTTGGCCGTCGAGTCCTTAAAGAATCCGATTCCTGTACCGCCTGCCGAAACCGGTAGGCGCTCCTTGAGCATGGGCTCCAATCCAGAAGCTCCTGAGATCAGCTTCGAAAGAGAGGACAGTCCCACGCCGGACTCGGAGCCAGGACTCGATTGGGATGATGAAGATACCCCAGAGGCAAGCGATATTGAAGCTGTTGAAATGCAAGAGCATCTTCAGGATCTTCTGAAGGATCTGGGACTTTTCAGGAGGAAGATTGCGGATGATCACACAAGATTTGTCAAGCCGGAAACTGGGCCCACGGTACCGGTATTCTAGGGAAGCCGATGAGGGACCTTGGCTACTGGGTTCAGGAATGCGTCACGACCAAATTGTAACTTCTTTTGTTGTATTAGCGTGATAAAGCGTCGGGTTTAATTTTAAACGATGATAATTAATTTGATGCAAGGCGCTAGGCTGTCTTCATTGTCAATGGATATCATAAATACTCAATTAGAAAGATGCTCTAAGTTTCATCATCTCGAACGGGTCAACTGTGAGATCATCCGGTCTATTTCGTTTGCTGCGCTCCCTGTGGCTTTGGATTTGATGTTTTCTAGTGCTTCGACGTCTTTAGCTTTCAAAGCTTCTTCGCCGGCTTTGACCATCAAGCCACACTTCATCCACATTTCTACACGGTCCGCTGGTGTCTGGGTCGTACATTTCGGTATGAATTGAGATGCGAGCTTGGTATTTCCAGCTCCCAAAATTTCGTTGAAGAAGGGCTTAGAGAAAAGGGTAATTGTCAGTTCATGCACGCCGCATCAACAATGCAGCAATATCTAGAGAACTTACCTCCCACCCAATTGGAGATTTTTTAACCTTGGCTGACTCCTCAAGTTCCGTCCAGTCGCGTTTGGCTACTAAAGCCCGCAGTCTAAGCCACCAAAATGTCTTGTCTGGAACCTTAAATTCCGACTGAACCTTTTGCGCCCTCTTCATGTGCCCAAGCTTGGTGAGCTGGAAGATGGTCTCGTTGACAGAAAGACCTGTGAGGTCCGATTCCACGTCTTTGTCAAAAGCGTCCTGCATTTTGAGCAGGCGCTGCGCCTCGTCCATGGCTTTGATCTGAAAAGTGTGTTCCTTGGAGTCCTGAAGGAGCTTCTGCGCCATCTTCAGCTTATCAAACCGAGAGTTCATGTCTTCTACTTTCAAAGCCTCAGAGATGAGCAAGTCCGAGCCATCTAATCTGCGATCATCCTGATAATACAAATCTTTAAGTAACTCCCAATCCTGAGCACGAGCAGACGACTCCACAAGCGCAGTAGCCACTGGCCGATTATTGATCACGCGAAAGAAGCTTGATAGGGATAACTTCTTCTTTAGGTGAAGAAGGACGAAGAACACCAAATCGGTGTCTCCGCTCTCGATCGCTTTGTCTAGTGCGATTTCGTCCTCTTCCATGTTCAGGAGCAGCGGGACTTGCTTGCCCGCGCGAGGTTCGTAGTTTAGCAACTCTGTGGCTAGCCTACCTCGTCCTTCATCATATGCCGCACGGGCAATTTCTTCAAAGGAAATCCCGCGCTTGCCCTCCAATTTCTGGACGATGAGACGACAAACGCTCTCTTCATCTTCTGTCGAAACCCGAACCTTCTGGCTGGCCCAATGTACATAAACCCTATCAGTTGGGAGCCGCAGATATTCTGAAACACGAAGTGCCAGAAGATATTCATGTCGATTGATAAGCCGTTGCACCAGCTTCTCTGGTGACAAACGGACGAATTGCTCGTAAGAAATGGGCAAACCAATCTCATAAAATCGAACGGCGTTAAGAATCCGCAAGACCTCGCACATGTCAACAAACTCATCGCTGTTATAAAGATCAATGACGGATTTGCCAAATGACGCTGCCTTTAATAGCTGCTTCTGCCAGTGAATGCTGAATTCATGCCCAGCCGCTTTGACACAAGTATCGACAGCTTCAACGAGGTTTGGCCGGATGAGCTGAATATTGTCGTCTGCTTTGGGCGATTTCTTATCCAGTTGGTCTACAGCATCCAGTAGCACTGAGGCCGGAGAAGAAGATCCGAGCTTAAAGACATCTTCTGTTACGTCTGCGGAGAAAGTGAGTAAGTTATTTCTTCTAATACGTCGAGGCTCTTCCGCAATCTAACCTGGTACTTTTTGAAGGAACTCGCAGAGGTCATTAGTGATAAGGCGGACACCATCAACGTCGGGCAGTACGTGAACACGTCCATCGTAAAAGTACCTGCTCCATTATCAGCATGATTGCTAACTAGCGCGCCATGAGAGTTTCCTGGGAGAAACGTACTTCGTAGAAGCGCCACTAGGCCCAACCATATGTATTTCATCCTCCCAAGCCAGAATCACGGAATTGTTCCCACACCATTGGACGTCATTGGGGATTGTTTTGACCCGGGAGTCATACTCGCTGAGCTTGTTCTGGAAGTCACTGCTGATAACCCACAGCTTTGAATCCTCTGTATATAGTGCTGCAAATTTCCCATTGGGAGAGACACTGATATGATGGAAAGGTCCATTCTGAAGCATGCGATCCTCGGACTCAGTGGCATCAACAACGTAGATGGTCTGGTCGATGGCAAGGAGAACCTCGACAGAGCGCGACAAGCTATATGCCGGGGGAATAATCGTCCAAGAATGTACCGTCGACTCTGGTGGTGATGCTAATAACTTCGGGCGCGGCTCATCATAATTCGACACGGCGATCAAATGGTTATTGTTCAGGAGAGCAACAAAACCAGTGGACCAGAAGCGGCATTCCTTCACACCGATATCTTCAGCCCCCTAAGTCCATCGTCAACATGGTCCCAGTCCATATGCTAAATAGATCCAGTACTAACGCTTCCGAGTGAAAATTGAGTAAAGTCGCCCTGCAAGTCATAGTAACAGCGCACAGTCCCATCTTGAGTTATGACCAGCAGTTTCTCATCCTCGGACCAACCCAGTCCTTTGACGGAACCTTTGTCCCACTGCAACCTGTCAGTGCCAAATATGAGCCACGAGGGATGTAATGCGACGCACGTTAACCCGTCGAATCAATTTCCCGGCGCAGCTATAGATATCTATGCTCGATTTGGCGGCCTGGGTGCCTCGATATGCATGGAGTTTGTCCTCGTCACGATACAGAGCTGCAGCGCATTGTTAGTCCAAGCTGAAAGACGAATGCAAATATAACCGTACCTATAGCCCCGCCATAGGGTGCAGCTCGCAGGATATAGTTTTCAAGTTCAAAATCCTGATCGAAAACGGCCGTATACAGCTGGACCTTGCGGTAGAAGCGGTCGCCTACTTTATCCCATTCGGCGGTGGGATTCGACATGACGACTGTTGCTCAGAACAAGCGCATCGACCCGTCTTCCGAGAGCTTTGAGCTATCCGCGCCAAGAGAAGGAAGCGCAAAAGCGCTGATAGAGCAGACACAGCTGGGTCTGATGGGTTAACGTATCTGGTCCAAATATCCACAGCTCTTTGGGCGGAGGGACCGGTGCTCCCTAGCGGGAACCGAGCTCTACGCCGCCGCTAAAGCTCCAGCTCCAGATCGTCGTCAGTAACCGTTTCCGCGTTCAACATCACTTGGATTGCTCTCTGAAGCTGTTATCATCGCATGCATTGATAAACTTCGATTTTCGATTTCATAATGTGACTTCAACAGTCGTGAAGTGACAAAGCCAAACTTAGCTCGATGATTAACTGGCAAAAAGAGCCAACAACGTGCTGACGCCAATGGATCTGGGGTCGCTCCCGTCCAAAGTCCAGGCTCTAAGCGACCTGGAGCTTGCGATACTGTTATGTTTGATAGCGGAGCAGCACTGCATTATTGAAGCCCAAAATGATTCACTGGGGGCACTGGAAGTGGAGCTGCGACAGGTCTGTATATGAGGTTTCAATTATATTTTACTGGATACTAAAATTGTGCAGGTACTCTGGGATACTTTCGGCCTGACCTCTGTGGCGTTGAGCTGCAGCGAAGACATGACACTGGAGGACTTCACCAACAGTGTGCTAATAGATGACGATGGGCCAGATCTCTATTCTTCCGATCCTTTTGTATGTTTCCCTCTCATCATTTTAATTTCAAGTATTTGTCTTTGGTTGTCACGTGTGCATTTAATACCATGCTCTAATCCTCCTAAATATTCATCGTTCGTGATCTAATATCATTTGGCAGAGATCAAGTTATCACTCGGCCATAGCAGGTACAAAGTTCCGTTCAATCCGAAGGTCCTCTCAATTGGATACTCCAATGGAGAACAAAAAGCTCCCCAACGTAATCATCGCAAAGGATCTCGATCTCGCAGAGCCTCATATTCAGATCCAAGTCCTCGAGGTAAATGAACCGCCCTTGTATCTTTTACTTGCCATCTATCGGTTCTCTAGCTGATGCCCAATACCCATATCAAGTTGATTCGAAGCAAACGAATATATACCCGAACAGCAGTCCACTCTGCGCCGAAATCCTTTTTGATATGCAGTCTAATGCCTTATGAAAGACCCAGACGACGGCGTCTTCTATCTCATCTTGTCCGTAGCTTCCATTTTTCCTCCCTTTCTCTCCTCAGAGACGGTGTTAATGATCTCGTCCAGAACGACCAAATGTTCATCAGCCACTCGCACGGGCTCGAAGACGAAGCGCCCGAATGGGAAGAGACATCTGATCAGCATTCCACTGACCAAGCATCGCTCTCCTCTGTTGTACGAAAATCTCATTCCTCGCATATGTATGAGGGGAAAGCCTCAACATCTACTTTTAGCTCCGAGGTATAGTACTACTTCTTCTTTACCCCAGTTTTTTCCGGTCTTTCAGTATTTTATTGACACAAGGTATTTTTACTAAGGACATCAACGCCTTGAAACTTCCCCTCCGGTCACTCATGATCACCGCTGAAGTCAAGCGGTATATGCAAAACATCGTCACTTTTCTACGACAGCACCGCGCAGTATATGGAGGAGTTTCGGCCCGCGCATCGAAACATTTAGATCTTCTAGTCAGGTATGTTATGATTTCACTCTTCAGGGCTACGCCCTGTATTGTAGAGAGCTTTGAGCCTTATGTAGATTGTAGGTGTCTCGCAACTCTCCATTTTCAAGACTTTGTAACGCCGTCTCTGGTCGCACTGGCTATCCGCAAAATCTACCCTCACCGCATACTCATAGCTACGCCCGAGAATGAAAGAAGTATGCAATGGGGAAGCGAGTTGGATGCTGTGGCTGCTCTCCTCGACGGGGTTGGTCCGGAGGATGTCATCGAGGATGTTCTGGCGGCGGTTGACCAGCCGCTGTAAAGGATGCTTCAAATCAAGTGTAGTCTGGGGCTCTTGTTCGGTTTTTTTTTTTTTTTAACCAGACGAAACATTTTGGTATATATGTCACGAGGAATCGCATTGGGCTGGCCAGCGAGCGTCCTCTTTTGGCAAGCCCTTTTTCACTGTTATGTTCCAGCGACTAGCCATATATAAGGAAGCATAGCGGCCATACATATTCATGTGAGAATAAGGGAGCTTCCTCATTATCAAGGACCATAAAAAATGGCGAAGTGACAAGTTTCATATATGGTATCTACCTAGTAGAAAGGAGAGGTTTCTGGAAAAGACTCCAGAGGAATGCTGAGCTTCTAGATTGTCAGGAAACTCAGACTTTTTGAACGGTTGTCATCATCCATGATGGCAATGCTGGAAGGCGATCAAACGAATCATACTGCATAATTTCCAATCCTAGTATTAGTACTTTCACCAGCGTTAAGAAGAACGTCAGCATATAAGTCCCTTCCAGAAAATATGATAAGACATGAAAGTATGAAACGACTAGATGGAAAATCAGAATGCCATGCAAAAAAAAAGGCAAGCTCAGATCATGAGACATTAAAACAGAATGCTACCAAAAGAGAGGCCCGTCCCGTCTCTCTTTATCCTTCATTAGAAGCCGAAAATCCAAAAGAAAACCTCGAAACGCCCACAGCCGAGCTATGGATGATCATCGGCTGAAATGCAATAGAAGAATATGCGCTCCATTTAACGTCAGCCCTCGCCACCATGTCCGATTTTCCATTACCATTTCCCAAATGAGGTGAAAGGCCAAGCTCAAAAAAACAATTCCAATACCAATGACGATTGAGAAGGGAGGGGAAAAAAGGTAAGAACCGTTAACGACATCATGCAATTTCATCGTCATGCTAATAAGGGGTCGTGATGTATATGAATTTTATATAGCGCGGTCGGTTGACTGGTCCCTTCCAGCGCCACCATCAAGAATAAAAGGACCAGCATCATTCCGAGGAGTCATAGGCCCTTCCGCGCCAATGGATGCAAGTGCGTTTTGAATATGGGAGCCAGTAGCATTAGGAAGCGACATTGACGACGATTGGCCGTCGGCGGCCAAGTTGAGTAAATCTCCAACCGTGGCATATTGTGGGGTCCCTCTTCGCGAACCAGATTGTGCATTAGGATGGATATCCACAGGTCGCGTGGTGGACGAGGACTCAACACTGGGCGAGGAGACCCCAAACACTCTGCCATTCTCAGCTTGAGCGGGCTCGCTGGAATCATTCTCAGAGTCTTCTGAAGAATCTGACGGCGTTCGTCGAGCCCGGTCGTCTGATGAACGCCGCTCTTCCGTTAGAGCCATGTCGCCAATTTGGCCAGATAGATCTTCAACAGTGGCCTCGCCAGGTAAGGCTTGTGCGTGTTGCGCGGTTATTGCTTCTGACAATAGCACGGGAGGCAAAGGTTCGGTTGAGGCACCATCGATTGCTACGCTCTGAAGATCTAAGGCTGGCTGCTCAGAAGACAGTTCGGCACTTCTGGCTCCTTGTTCATTCTCAGTCGGTTCAACGGCAGGTTCGTCCTGCCACTCTTCATAGGTGCCGGGGTCATCAACATCTGCTTCTAAATCTGCCACAGCTCGACAATTTGGACACAAAAATTGAGGCCAATTGGATCCTGACAGTATCGGGCGTATGCACTTGTAGTGCCATACATGAGAGCAAGGGGCGACAAACAGAGATTGGCAAGGCTGTAAAGTGTCAATTTGGATGATATGGAAACAATATTGGGGCTAACACTCACTGCTATCGACATCAAGCAAATTGCACATTCCGAAGAGTGTGTTGAAGCCGTGTCCCCATCTTTCTTTGTGAGACCTTTGCTCAGATTTCTAAGGCGTTTGTGTGTAGTTACGCTGCAAGGAAACAATTAGCATCGTCATTACGCACAACACAATGTTGCAGATTCCCGTCTGAGACACGATAGCTTACTTGAAGTTATTCAATGACTTCTGCCACCCTCTGTTGCATTCCACTCTCATTTTGACGCAGCGGAATATCATTTCTTCTCCGCCACGAAAATCTATTCCAAGCTGAACAATATCGCCGTCGTTAACCGGAAAGGGCCGAGATTCCAAATTTGGTTGACTCAAGCGGATATGATTGAGAAATGTGCCAGACGAGCTCCCCACATCCTTAATGTGCCATCGGCCGTTTGCGCACCAGAATTCACAATGCTTTCGGCTCACAACCTTTGATTTGAAGCCAACTGGCGCATCTGATGGCACGTTGGGTGCCGGATTTACACTTCCTTCCCGATCAGAGTATCTTCCAACGCGGATGACGGAGGAAGCAGAAGGCAAGGTTCGAGAAATCGAAGTGAACGTTAATGATGGTCTGGCGGAACGAGGGTCTTGGTGCGGCACCAGTCGCAAAGACGGCATTTGTGTGTTGGAAGATAAGGGTGGCTCCATGCTCTGAGCTAGGATAGACTGCTCCAACCCAGATTCAAGGTCAACCGCAACGGATGGTTCAATCGACGTAGCAGGCCGTCCATCAAGTCTCGCAAACTCTGTTGCTGACGCACTATACACGGGGGACGGTATCATGGCTGAAGTATTTTGTAATTCCGACCCAAGGGAGAGCAACCCTATGCTCGCGTCCACATTCGATTCTTGGCCAGTAGCAGCTGCGTTTGAAGTCGACTGGGATCGTGTTGCGACTCGCGAAAGTCCACTGTGACCACCTACAGTGGGAACCCAGCCTCCCGCCGAGGCGACGCTGCCGGCAGCCTGTACGCCTGAGAGTATATCGGGATTGGATCTGGAATGCGATTGGGACCTGGTATGTTGCGGGATCTCTGAAGATGGGGTCGCGGCGTTGGAGTTGTCCCGGGGATCTCGAGATGTAGATGATGGGGCCACGTAACTGTGGGGTCGCGGGCCGGAACGAGGCGACTGCGCACCGTTTGATGAAGGGTTTGAATGATGGTGAAGATGGCTGCTCGTATAACTTCGCAGATAGCTCAAGCCTCTGAGTCTGCCTAATCGCGTTGGAGACGTGGGGGAGGCAGGAGAAGTGGTTGTCGAGAGCGTCGGGGATGAAGGGGCCGGATGCGTAAACATGATAATAATATCATCCAAAGTCGCTCGGCACCTTAGTATTCGTTTCTCACCACCGCCAAGCAAGCAGCAGTAAAAAGGACGAGCAGAGTCTACGACACGATCTATATTATGTGGATCACACAGGGACGGACCAGGCCATTCGATGAGATGAGCATGGACGTCGAAGGACGAAACAGGCCAAACACGCTAGGTGGTTATAACAGTTGCGAGCGGCCCGAGACCTTTTTGCGGGGCCGGGGAAACTCCAGACCACTGTCGAACGACAAAAAATGTCAACGCCTGTTGAGGAAGAGGACAAGATGCAGGACAGAGGAGAAGATTACCTCAAGAAGAATTTCTGTCGATTGAAGTAGAAGTTTGATGATGAAAAGAAATGGTGATTTCGCTTGTCGATTGTTTCATTTAATAATAAAGGGTCATTCACACACTCCGCAGTTTGGCCGACCGACCCCAGAAAGTCAGCCCTGAGGTCATCTGAGCGCATGGCAGTATATTTAACCTATTAATTGCGTGGACATCAACAGATGCGCGCACGACCCAAGGATGATTGAGAACAAGGAGCAACATTATTTAATCTGCAAGGTTCTTTCTAATTGCCATGCAGGTGCATAAAGTACAGGACTAGGGACACTCACAGTGAGAAAAAAGGACAAAGTGAACGGTGAGTCTTTTCGCAGTCTCAGCACAGCTTCCCGGGAAGAGGGTCCAGACCTGGGGCCTAGACAATCTACGCCAAAGTCATCCCACGATGACTTTCCACAGCCGACCTGAATTTCCCATCTCTTTCAGCTCTATTTATCAGCGAATTAAGCACCGTAGATGAGCGCAGGTAGGTAGGTAGGTATATAGCGGGGAGTTAATTTAATCAAAAGCGGCGATACATATCGCGGGGCTCCACGTGAGGGCAGCATAAATTATTCCTTGGCCTGTACAAAGTACGTATTTGATATAACTTATAAGCTGCGTCTAATCCTCATGATAAGCTCTTTGATTGACGCAATGCATCGGAACCCATTGTCCCTTTGATGCTCCACCGCATTTTCAACAGCCTTGGGCATGTGGCCTGTCTTTGCCCTCGTTTATCGCGAGCGGGGCCGATCTTGACACAATCCGAGGGATCCATTTCTCACCGGACCAACCTCCTTTTTATATTGACGCTCCTTGGCCTTCGAAAAAAAAAAAGTCTTCGGTATAATCCGAAAAAGCGCAATTTCTATGCTTGGAGTACCTTAGCCAGGCAATTAACTCTGTAGAGTACAAGGGCAAAAGGAAAGGGCGGACACCGATGGCGGGCTCTAAATTGGATGCATGGATCCCGTCATGGGCGGGGTCTCTTTTTTATTTTGAAGCCAAAACGGCTTCTAGGTAAAGATCAGCCCTTTGGCGTGGTGTCAAGCTAGGCATCTGCCAGCCATTTCCCTATCACCGACAGTCCCTTTGACAAATCGAATTGATAGGCGGTGAGGTGCCTAGTAGGCATATCGGCGTGAGTTCACTCCAGGACGCGGTTACGAGTTCCGGTGCCGTAAAAGCTCCAACGCAGGATAATCAAAGAAATCCTGGTACGGGCAATCGCAACTGCAGCGTGCCTGCATTGCTCACCAACATTCTCAATTTCCCAAAATGGGAGACGAGCTGCGTGGCAGCCCGATGTCAAAGACGTTGCGAGACTTGATCCGGGGCTACGGCAAAGACACATGGGGGCGGCGGTTGCCACCTCAAAGTCACGACAAAAGCATGAGACACGAGCCCCTGTGAGGGTGGCGCAGTTGGCCATTCTGCCTGTAGTCAAGGTATCATATAAAATACCTTAGGGAAGTTAGGGAATCCTGAGGTACAAGAGCGACACTTGGCGGTAAAGTTTAACTGGACTCTTGTACCCGCCCGGCAGGGACGGGGTGGGTTACCGGTACTGTCACCCACTAAGAAGGCGCCTTTCAGCCTGCTCGACTGGGGGGTTTCTCGCCCAGCTCAGCTAGTCCGGGCGACTAAAGAGATGCGAAGCCTAAAAAGATTGGCAGGCGATCAATCACAGCCTGACAACAAAGTGGGTGACCGGCCACTTGCAACCCTTCAACCCTTGCTCACAAACTGGGTCGTTCCCAAGGGTCCCGGTCCCTCAGACTTCACTGCCTTTGATGCTTCCACTCGTTGTGCCATTTTCCCGCAACCCACCTCAGCGGTTCCAGGATTTTTCTTGGGCTTCGTCATGACAATGCTTATCGACACCTGGCTGCCCTGATTCGTGATCAGCCTGTAGGGGCTCCAAGTCCATCACGTTTTCCCCAGAAGTCTGTGGCTGTAATAAATCCCTTTGCCTCCGTCTAGAACCAACCTGAACACCGCCATGGCTGTGACCTCGTAACCTCTTGGGTGGCGGCCTGCAGCGTACAGTGCCCGTTCATTGTCTCACTTGCCATTTGTAACGAACTGCAGTCGTTTTGTTACATTCACTTCTCCTATTTTTAATGCTTGGCCTTTAAACTGCAGCCTTTCGACGTCAAGAGATCAATACTCAAGTGATCGAAATTTCTGCATCTGCAATTCCTCCAAGAGGTGTCTGCAGAAGTTCCGCCTTTTGACCATTCACGATGAGCCATCCACAAATTGGCCAAACCATTGCCGTCTTCGACAAATCAGGGAAGGTCGTCAGTACGGTGAGTACATCTTGATTGCGATGCGATATTGCAGATGCGACTGTATATGGTTTTCGATTTCGAGCACTAAGAGACTAATATTGGCATCGGACAGAGCAAGCATCTTCTCAATATATTTCGGGAAGCAAAGGATGCTTATCGCGAAAAGAAGGCCGAGATCAACGCCCAGCGTAAGGCTGAATTAGAAGCCAAGCGCGCCCGTCGCGCTTTGGAGAATTTTACTTTTGATGAGAGAGCTTCGGCCGCTCCGTCCAAGGTCTCGTCCAGACGCACTCATCGTACCAGACGCTCAAGGGCTCGCCATCATGAACCTGTTTATCAATATGATGACGAATATTATGCCGAAGACATGCGAAGACAGACAGCACCAACAATACGTCGCTACGAACAAGACTACGACATGCCTGCACCGAGAATGGAAATCATTCGTCGTCATACGACCAATGATGCTCAAATTGCTCACCGTCCTCTGCCTACTCGCTCAGCAACGGTAGCTGGGCCAGCCATTGATATGGACCTTGCGTACGGCGAAATCCCGCCACCTCTGCCGCCAAGGCACGAAGATGAAGACGAGCTCAAAGGTCTCCTTTCAAAGCTGAATCTCGCGCTTGATGAAGCCCACTGCGTGCGACATACTGTCACGACTATGGTTTCTTCGCTTCAGAAAAATCCGGACGCCATGGCCGCCGTGGCCTTGACCTTGGCAGAGATCAGTAAACTTGCAGCCAAAGTATCGCCTCAAGTTCTGACTGCTTTGAAAGGTAGCTTTCCTGCCATTTTTGCTCTCATGGCTAGCCCACAATTCATGATTGCGGTTGGCGTGGGTGTTGGTGTCACCGTTGTCATGCTCGGTGGTTACAAAATTGTCCAAAAGATTCAACAACGAAAGGTGGTGGATGCGCCAATGCCAGTTGCGGAAGAGGTCCAGCCAGAGTTCGATCAGCTCGAAGAGATGGATGTTGACCTTTCTGGTATCGAGACGTGGAGACGTGGGATAGCCGACGCTGAAGCCGATAGCGTAGCCATCAGCGTTGATGGCGAATTCCTTACCCCCGAAGCTGCCTCGATTCTGCGCGAAGAGAGGCAGCGGGACAGAACGGGACAAAGTGAAGCTAGCAGGAGAACGAAATCCACGAAGCATACCAAGCACAGAAAGAGTGAGAAGGGGGACAAAGAGAAGAAAAAGAAGAAGCACTCAAGCTTGCGGCTCCTATTCCATGCATAGAACACTCTTGGCATTACCATTAGAACCTTCAAGCGGGGTGGTTAGTGGATGTTTTTTTGTTTTGTTTTTTTGGCCTTCAGCAAGGACTTTTTCTTTATATTTATATGGAAGCGTTGTGGCTTTGGCGCAAGCCTTGAAGTATGAGAAGCTTTAATAGGCGATTTGTCTTCTTTTATTTGATTTCATTTGTTCAGCATTGGACATTTTATACATCCTTTTGATATTTGCATTGGCATAAGCGGATCATTAGACAGGTAGCTTGTCACTAATCTATGCTGTATCATGCGAGATGAACTCATCTGTTGTGCCTACAGCGCATCCATAAACCCACAAAAAGCCGCGCTTCGATAGCCCCTTTGCTGGAGAAACACTTGATTGTTAGGTATGCTGTGCTGTATGAGGTAGGGATTGTTTCTTTGAGTAGTACGTACCAATGGCGGCGGAGTTATCGTACAACATGCCGGCCTCGGAACTTGCCGCCCCGGGGAGATTTTGTCGCTCTATCATCGATCAAGGGAGTTCTGACGCTATCCGCTCCATCGTTCGAAGTCTTGTAGCGCATATGACAAGTGCTGGTTGTTTCTTCCAGCCAGCATTTTGACGATGAGCCAAACAACTCTCAGAACAGGCCCGCGGGCCTTGGCTCACATATCTCGGACCGCTGCTCAGCGTTCTTCAGCACTTCCGCTGCAATCATACAGGAGCCTCGCAACCGTTGCCCCAACGGAAAAGGTCCGATTAACCCAAATAACAGCGTATCGCTTCCTCACACTGATAGTTATAATTTCAGGATACGTCAGAACTTGACCAAATTACAACACTTCCTAATGGGCTTCGAGTCGCCACGGAAGCTCTCCCCGGCCATTTTTCAGGCATCGGCGTGTATATCGATGGCGGATCACGGTACGAAAACGAGCATCTTCGTGGTGTTAGCCACATCGTAGACCGTTTGGCTTTCAAAGTGGGTTTTATCCTTTCATTTTTAAGATACATTGAAAGCCTCCTATTGACAGTAGAATCAATAGTCTACTAGCTCCCGATCGGCCGATGACATGATAGAGAAGTTGGAATCTCTCGGCGGAAACATGCAATGCGCTTCTTCTCGAGAATCTCTCATGTACCAATCAGCTACCTTCAATTCGGCTGTCCCCACGACGCTGGGGCTACTGGCCGAGACAATCAACGACCCGCTGATCACGGAAGAGGAAGTTCAGCAACAACTCGAGACTGCTGACTACGAGATTGGAGAAATCTGGTCAAGACCCGAGCTGATATTACCGGAACTGGTGCATATGGCGGCCTATAAGGACAATACACTTGGAAATCCATTGTTGTGCCCCAAGGAGAGATTGACAGAGATCAATCGAGACACCATCCTCGACTATCGCAAGGCCTTTTTCAAGCCAGAGCGTATGGTAGTTGCCTTCGCGGGTGTTCCTCATGATGAGGCCGTCACGCTCACCTCAAAATACTTTGGTCACCTCCCGAAGCAGATAGAGCCTGTTTTCTCGAGCACCGCCTCAGTCTCGTCTGATTCTCTTTCTGGATCCGAAAGCGGATCAGAAGCCTCTTCGCCATCATCCTCATCATCCATGTCATCTTATTCCTCCCCGAGCCACCCGTCATCCCCTCAGTCATCAAATATTCTTTCTAAGATCCCTTTCTTCAAGAACATCTCCACATCCGCGCCTCATGGTGCCTCAGTCTCATCTCCGAATCTGGCGGGTACCCAGCCTTCCCCACTGGATCTTGCTTCGCCCGCACACTACACTGGCGGTTTCCTCTCACTTCCTCCATTGCCGCCACCGATGAACCCTGCTCTTCCTCATCTTACTCACATTCACCTTGCTTTTGAAGCGCTTCCCATCTCCTCTCCCGATATTTACGCCCTCGCTACCCTTCAAACTCTCCTCGGCGGAGGAGGTTCCTTTAGCGCTGGCGGGCCAGGCAAAGGAATGTATTCACGTCTCTATACCAACGTGTTGAACCAACACGGCTGGGTTGAAAGCTGCATAGCCTTTAACCATTCTTACACCGATTCTGGTCTTTTCGGAATCAGCGCCAGCTGCATCCCGTCTCGGGTTCCGCAGATGCTCGATGTCATGTGTCGGGAACTGCAAGCCTTGACGCTGGAAACCGGCTACCCCTCCCTTCAGACCGTTGAGGTCAACCGGGCCAAGAACCAGCTGCGCAGCTCTCTGCTGATGAACCTGGAGTCCAGGATGGTGGAGCTTGAGGACCTTGGTCGGCAAGTGCAGGTTCACGGCCGAAAAGTTGGTGTCAGAGAGATGTGCCAAAAGATCGAGGAAGTCACCATCGACGATCTCAAGAGGGTCGCTCGAACGGTTTTCCGAGGACTGGTTCAGAACCCCGGCCAGGGCAGTGGTGCTCCCACAGTGGTCCTGCAGGAGGGTGAGGATACCACCGCAAGACGGCGGCCATTTGCCTGGGATGAGATCCAAGACAGAGTCTCCAGATGGAAGCTTGGCCGGAGGTAAATTTATTCTGACGGTAAAAATCATTTCTGCATATTGTGGCATTTTTATTTTCTCCCCAATCAGGTGTATATTTATTTAAGCATTCAAACAGAGGAAGTCGGTTGTACATTTGTTGTATCATAGAATTATAAGATTTTTTTTATTATTCAATTTACTATCCAATTTTGAAACATTATTTATCTCTATAGTGACATGTTCCGCGGTGTCTTTTGCGGTGTCCCTCCACCATTTTCAATTGTTGTGTCCATCATTGTTTCTTCCCTGTTCTTGTAAAACATATCATGAAAAAAACTATAATCAATATTAATTCTATTGACAAAATCAAATCTAAAATCTTATATCAAGACCGTGGTTTGTGCTGGCAACGCGATGTTTCCGTCAGGCAGCGCTTATGTCATCGTCCACGGAGCTAAACCCAATGTAGGCGAATCTGGCGGAAGATCTCCGTGAAAAGTTGTTGTACGAGTAGGTGCAGCGCAAGGCCTAACCAGAGAGCCGCAAAGCGAGCCAAAAGTACAACTTGGGAAGTTCAAGTCTGTCCGTCACATCATCATCCACGAAACAACCCCATTGACACTTTTTCAATTCCACGCTTCCGCCCATTTCAATTTGCGAAATCGACCCGTTAAGTCGCGGTCGATATAATTTTCATTCGGAAGTCTCCAATTATCGTCGATAATTAGCCAAAATGGTCAAGCTACAGGAAGTCGAGGACGAGCACTTTGCGCAGGAGCAGACTGGTCCTAAGCTTGAGGAGAATGAGGAGGACTACTACACCGATACTGGTATGAGATGGTCTTTTCCTCCCCCGTCTGTTTAATTTCATCCCAATCCTTCTCCTTCCTTCGACGAAGGAGAGCGCACGAGAGGGAAGATGTTAGGATCGGATGTGAAATGGAAGAGATTGGATCTGAGGAGGTTTCAAGCGGGACCAAATTGGCCGGAACTTTGGATAGCGGAAATTGATGTCTTGACTTATGAAGTCGGGCGTCTCTTAATCTGCAAGATACCATGACCGCATCGAAGTTTCCCGAGCCCAAGAAGATCAAGGGCCCCAAGGAACCAAGAGCCTCGAGACCCCAATGGCTTACCAATTCCGCCCATTCCAACCTGTCCCCCCATCCATCTCATTGTGTCCTCGTGTCCTTTCCTTCCTTACCTGAGCTGCTCGACTTCAAACTTTCCATCTCGTTGACCGCACACATTGCATTTGCTTTTGCGGGACATCATTGACAAGATACAACAACGGACAAGTCTGAAACTGACTATGATATCAAACAAAAACAGACTCTGAAGTCTCCTCCGATGACGAACCCGAAATCAGCCTCGAGGAGTCTCTCTCCGAGCGTATTACCGCCCTCAAGGACATGATCCCTCCCAAGCACCGTGCTATCGTGACCAACGCCGTCTCGACGACGTCGTGGTGGGTCAAGCGTGGCCTCTCCTTGTCCGGCAAGACCTTGTGGGTTGTCAGCACAAGCGCCTTGTTGCTTGGTGTCCCGTGGGCTCTTGCCTTTGCCGAGGAGCAGCAGATGGTTGAGATGGAGAAGGAAGTCCGCATGCAGCAGAGCGCCAACGAGGTATGTTTTCTCCGCCATCTTCCCAGCTTTGTGATACTCTCACCCAATTCCTCTTTTTTCCCTTCGATGCCTTCTGCATAATCATTTTTGTGTCGTCTATTCCTCTCCACTTCTTCCTGTTTCTCCCCTTTCTTCCAATTTTGAGCCCCTGATTTTTGTGATCCCTTGTCCGATACTGTATTGGATCCATTTGCTGACAGTTCTTTCGAATTACAGGTCCTTACCCCCGGCGCCACCAACCAGCTGAACCAGCAACTTGGCCAGCAGCCTGCACATGCTGCCTTGTAAACAGTTCAATAATAAGTGTACCATAAGTTGCGATTGCGACGTCATGTCCTGGCAGATGTAAATGAAAGTCGGGACAGAGGGAGAGGGAGTAGCAGTGTATGTGGGCGGTGGAAAAATGGAAACTTTTTTTGATCTAGGGTCACCTTATTGATTGCATGGTCAGAAATGCGAAACTTGAGCGTTTTTCCCCCTGAGAGTCTCCTTGACTGGCATTTATTTTGTCGAGATGGCTCTACCACTTGAGGCAACTGGTGTCTCAATATCGCCCTTGTTGTTGCGGGATGCCTTTTTTATATTTTCTACAATCTCCGCTGCTGTAATTTTACATCTTTGTCTTAGTGACAATTCCAATTCTTCTTTTTCGTTCTCCCAATTGCACATGTCACTTGTGTTTTCGAATGGCGGATACATTTGTTTGGCTTCGAATACGCTATGAAGAGTGAATACACTTGGAACGAGCATACTCAGAATTCAGCAGAGAATCGCCAAGGCGTTCCGTGTCGACGAAGGATGCTGGGCAGCTATATAAGAGTTAAAGAAAAAGGGAATTTGCAAAGCAAAAGGGGGATGTCCTTCCTGGTTCCCAAGTCCGTGCTCACTTAAGTTCCAGAACAGCGAAACATCCAATATCCAATCCCTCAATTGCTCCAGCAGCTATGCCAAATATTCCAGCCACAGGCAATAGTCAGAGAGTTGAGATTAAATCGTTATCTGCCGTACGGATCGGTCTTCGCTTCACGAGCAGCCTCCAAATTCGCTCTAAAGTCTCTCCAGAGATTGCGAATCTCACCTTCCTGCTCCATGACGTCGACAATCTCATTCGCGTGGTCGCGCCTCTTATTATTACTCCATTTTGCTCGTTGGACAATCTGTTCGGGATCCATGTACCCTTTTTGCTCGAGATGATCGACAACCCACTCATTCAGATGAAAGCGCCAATGGATTAGCGTGTGCGCAGATTCGGCATTTGCTTTGCAGAACCTGCATTGCCAAATAAGCACGTCAGCTTGGCCGCGTTCTGCAAGATGTATATTTATACTCAGGGAATGCGGGCTGGGGGACAAGATGGGCGGAACGTACCTTCCGAGAAAGAACCAACGGTCTGCGCGAGGAATCTCTCTTCCCTCGCGATCGTGAGTTCCTTGTACCTCTTCGTCCTCTTCGTCGTCTTCTTCTGCGCCTTCTGAATCCGAGTCTTCGCCATCTGAAACATCTTCGAGTGTGTCAAGATGATATGGCTTTCCCTTGAACTGTACTCGCCACGTGACAATGTGCCGTCTATTACAGGCTTCGCATTTCATAGTCTCAAACATATTTGCGCGCTGCTCGCGTTCGATTTCAAGCTGAAGTAAATGTGGACGAGCACTCAAGGCGCGGACAAAGGGCTCTTTCCAACTGGACGATATGAACTTGGACAAGCTTAGGCCTTGCACCTCGTTGTTGAGTCGTCGAAAAGCGATCTCGTAGATGCCGTCTTTTCGTGGAAAACTAGGATTTATTCTGTTATGTACCATCCATTCGACAGCATCTTTGAAGTGCTGTTTCAGTGATTTATGCGCATGTCTGGTGAATTCAATCGGCATGTCGTAGAGGCCGGTCCCGTCATCCTCTGGAGCACCGATCATATCATCAGCATCGTCAACAACGAAATCTTCTTCATAAGTGTCGAGATCTTCTCTCTTTTTATGGCGAGAGCTCCTGGCATGAGACTTCGGTGCATGATCTTCTTCCTCTGCATCTCCGTTGGGGTCATCACCATAATCATCTTCTTGGTCATCGTCCTCTTGTAGGTGTGCTGGAAGATTGGTGATTTCTGTAGGATTATCGCTCTGTGAGTCGTAATCCGCTTCGTCTGGGGCAGACGCAGATCTTCCACCGGCACGACGACGTCTGAGTTTCTCAAGGGTTTGTTGAAGTTTGCTCTTTGTGGATGACTGATGAGCCCGACCACGAGTTCGTGATCTTTGGACACCTACGGTTAAGAATTTAGTATGGCTAAAAGTAGAGAATAGCATATGCCACTCACGGTTCCCTTGCAAGTCTTCCAAATCTTCTTTGAGATCCTCAGCTTCCTGATCATTGACTTCATCGTTTTCTTCATCTGAAACCACTTGCTTCTTTGACCTATTGATCAATCGTCGTTTTGACCCTCTCCTAACAGCAGAACTCGGGGGTGCATCTGAACCTTCAGCATCGCTGTCGTTCTTTCTAACATTTTCTATGACCTGCACCTCTCCTTCAGAACTCTCTCCATCCGGGCCCTTTCCGCCTGTTTCGATTTCCCCTGCTTCCTCACGCAGGCCCTCTGAGCCAGTATGTTCGGATCCGGAGATCCTTTCGCTTTCTGATTCATCATCATCATCGCTGGATAGTACTATTCGGCGTGTCGCTGAGCGTGAGGGAGTAACGGCATCTTCGTGGGTAATTTTTGGCGTCTGAATGTTTTCCTTTGCAATCTTCAATCGCTTGGAAGGCGTATTAGTATGTCTGGATGACCGCTGTGAGTGCGAAAGTGGAGCAGCTCCAGTGCTTCCACCGGAGAGGAAGGATAAACTGTTGCGCGGCGGTTTCAGGGGCGTAGTCTTCGTATTGGCTCTCTTGGGAGTGGTTTGAGAATAGGCAATTGCATCGGACCAATGGAACCCTTCAGACGGCGAACTTTCTGAATTTGAATTGTCTGAATCATCCGAATCGACTGGAGACTTATGGGTTCGATTGGACTTAATGGCTCCAAAAGGCGAGCGATGCTCTTTAATTTCTTTGTTGGTAGCTGCGTGGATTGTAGACTTCGATCGTTTCCTAGCCGCTGGTTCAGGAGACGAGGACGAGCTCGCCATTCTCCTGCGTTTCTTTTCGTTCATTCGCGAAGGCTCCAAGGACAACTCATCACTAGATTCGTCTAGATCGAGCGAAGGGCCTCTGACTATCTCATCATCCTATAGCATTGTAGTATTGTATAAGCATTATGTTTGTAAAGAGTAAGAGTCAGGATACGCAGATGAAAGTTATACTTACTTCATCCTTGATTTCAATTTCATTTGTATGGCTGGGAGATGCCTCCCTTTCATCAATCTCACGGCCACGTCTCACAGTACGTTGACTGTCCATAATTGAATTACGCCATCTATCAAGCGTGCCGCTGCGCAGAGACTTGCGCGCCGGGAGAGGCGAGGAAGGAGGATGGTGAGAAGTTCCTGCACGGGCAGGTAGACGGGCAGTCGGTGAGGACGAAGGTTGCGCAAAGGAGAGACGAGTTTGCCTTTGCTTCGGCGGTCGAGATGAGGATGAAAACATTGAAACTTAAATTGAGGCACACGATTTCAACTACGCAGATGTTTAGACTATATCACCGCAGAAGCCGGCGAGAGGCTAGAAGGCAGATTTGAATCCTAACACTCGATCGTGTACGGTGATGGTTTACAATGCTTCAAGCTGCTACCATTTTCGAGCTAGTAACGTGTCTCTGTAGCACATCGATTGATCAAGTCCAAACAAAGAAACGTGAATTACTATTCCGTCTCCGCGACAAAGAGCGCGAGGCTGCTTCGCGTATAGTGGAACTCGCAGTCACGTGAACATATTGAGCATTTCATTGTATCGGGGTCTACGAACGGTGTCGCCATCATGACACATCAGATTCATATCAGATTGTCAAACGTATCGGCGATCTCAATTAAACATCTGGTCATTGTGGTCCTAACCGAACACTTATCATAAACCAACTTTTCATAACATGTGAGATGTGAGTGAAAGCTTTAGCCGGAGAGTTTGATATATCAATTATAGACTGGGAACCCGGCTCAATGAAAAGAGGAGAGGAGAATCTCCCTGTGGGAGTATTGTGCAAGAACCATTCGCAGCTGCAAGCTACCTGATGCAATATATTTCGTGAGTTGAGTCTCAAAGTTGCAATATCAAGTCTAGAAAATGTGAAGCGCTGGATATATTATCAAACATGGCGTAGAGTAGTAACCTAATCTGACCTTCTTGCATTAGAAGCCTTAGATCCTATCTAATCGATATTTTCTGTTGATTGATTAGGTATGATCCGTGAAACGAATATCGAGGCTATCATTTTCTGAAGACTAGCTAAAATTATGACGAGTGGAGCATATCAAAAAGACTCAACATCGACGGGTTGGCCTGATCGACAATCCTGGCTTGCGCGTCAAGGAAGAGATAATGCCCGTCCTAAAGCATTATGCCATGGGTCGTCAAACCCAGAGCTTGGCTGGATCTTCACTAGAGTAGAGACACTACACGTTACGGCGCCCTTGGTACTCGCACCCTTTCACATTCCCCCGATAACTCGTGTTTTACAAGAGTGACGTCTGCAACGGCGGAAGCTAACCAGCATAGGAATTTCCGTGCTTCCAGGTTAGACGATTTTATGCAATTGCCATGGTGGTCGAGGAGTGGTATTTGCTCGCTTTCATGATCCAATCGATGGACCATCAAGCCAGAACTGCGTCAATGGCGTGGCGGATATCCGCATAGGCCCAAGTCTCGCGAGAGGGCCAGAACTACCCTCGTACAGGGACGGGCACTGTACCCGCATTCGGCTGCACCCTTCTCCAAAGCTCCACTTTCCCCAGGCTGACGTAATTATTATTCGCGCCAAACTGCCCTACGAGAGAGCATCACCACCACAGGCTTGTTCGCATGGCAATTGTTTCAGGGTCGACGACCCATTCCATACTCGTAATAGAACTTGTACATGTCGTGATCAAAGTAGCAAGAGTAGTGTTGATGAAGTTCACGTGAAGAAAAGGGCCTGATTGAATTGGATGACGTGGTTGATCTGCAGGCAAGGGAAGATCCTAGATCGCACAAAACGCATATTGTCGATGTGGAAGGGACAGCCAGGGTACCTCAAGGGCTAAAGTGAAGCACACAGGGGTTTAATCTGCCAACCGACGCGGTGATCCTAGCACGAACGCATAGTTTATCTTCCTCCGAAACTGCTGCGCACACGGAATTTTACCCAAAGCAGGTTATCAGGTGTGTAGAGTAGAGTACAAGTATGTCAAAATTACTAGACTGGTTGTGTTCCTTGTGGCTAGTACAGAGAAGAGTTAAGAGTTCCCTGGGGCGTATGCCAAGTATCTTTGGTAGTTCGTACTCAATAGAAAGTGAAGGATGAGGCAATACCTTGACACCATCCCCCTACCGACCTAAACCCTTTTCCCTGACCTGAGGACCTTGCTGAATTGGGCCCTTTCCCCATAGTTTACCCCAAACTTAGACCCAGGCGCGCTTCCCTGTTTTGGCGTTTACGTCTTGCTCCTTCCATTTCCCGTCTTGCTCCTTCTTCATTCCATCACTTACATCACCCCATCATCAGTCCCCCCCGTACAAATACAAAGCGACTCTCCAAGCTTTTCCTTTCGTCATTTCATCTGTCATTCCATCACCCTATCCCCCACTACCAAAATATTAATCATCGCCTCCTCCAGGAAGCAGAGATCCACAAACATAACATCTTTTACTTGATACCCCCAGAGTTTCCCTTTCTCTTTTCGCCAGAACTTGCAATCTTTCAATTAGCTTCGTGGCCATTGCCCATCATGTCGTCCAGTGGTGTAAACCGGCCGACCAACGTCCAACTCAAGGAGAAGGACGTCAACCAGAAGCTGCAGCTTTATGGAATCTATTCCGGTATGTCCATGGTCTCCCTTTCAATCTCGTCTGTTGCTTCCGGTATGGGCAGAGCGCTCTGCTCTCTCCTGTCTTCATGTACATTGTGCTCGATCATTGCAATTCTTTGTTATCCTCGATCATTGATCGTGAACTGACATTTGACATGACAGCATTCTCCAATGGCAAGGTTCCATCGGTAAGCCTGCTTCCCCGTGCTTGGATGAAGCATTTGACCACGTTCCTGACTGTTGCACAGAACAAGCAAATTGATGTTGCGCTCAATAGCGCTCTCGCCTCGAAGCCATTGACGAGCCCTTCGAAAAAATTGTCAGAAGAAGGACAGCACCTTGTTGCCGACCTTCGTGAGGTCATTGAACAAGCAAAGTTTCTGCTTCTTACAAAGAATGAAGGAAATCTCCTCCAGGACTTCATCTGGCAGACTCAGAAAATTAATGGCGGTGGCGCGCAAGTGCCCTCGGCGGACTTGGATAGAGATACCGCTCAGCAGCATGGAAACCAGGCTTTGGACGGCCTCCGTACCCTGGGAACTTTGATCATTTCCAATGGACAGTTTAGAAAACTCCGTAAGACTGACCTTGTTATTTCACTCCCGATCAGGAACTAACTTTGCTTGCCCTGATGCAGTGAGTGATGCAACTATCCTTGCACGAGATATGGCGGGTGATGCTGCTCAGAAAGCTGCCAACAAGGTGAATCCTAACCAGGAGCAGCTAAATCAGATCGACCGCCCCGCTGAGGACAACACTTGGCATGAAGTCCCGGACTTCTCCAAGCAGAACATCAAGAACCAGATCAAGAACCAGTATGACACGCAAAAACCATTTTCTCAGCAAGACGCCCAGAATGCCCTTGGAGACGCCACCCAAGCTGCGCATCCTGCCGGAACGCGCGATCCTGCTCAAGCGGCGGATCTGGCGGCCCAGGATCAGCAATACGGCACTTCGTCTGGCCTTGATGCCGAGGCGGGCGCTCGGGCTGGAGCTCAAAACTTGAAAGATCGTGCTTCTGAAAATGTTCCTCAAGAAACTAAAGATCGTCAAGCAAAGGCTGTGCACCGTACCAAGAATTACTTGTCGGACAAGATGCCACAGGAGCGCAGGGAGCAGACCATTTGGCGCCTGAAGAAGATGATTGTTGAGATCCAGGGCCATCGTGACTGTAAGTCGATGGAAACCCCTCTGCTATCTATTTGGAGTAGGGAACCTGACAATCTTGTAGATCAGCAGGCTATTGAAACTTTGTTGGATCTCGCTGAGACTTATACTGGTCATGCGAAAGACCTGACGCAGCAGGGCGTTGGAACAGGTAAAGCTGCACACAAGGACAGTGCACTGCAGGCCGCTGAAGCCGACTTGCGAGTAGGTAGATTTATACCTTTTATGCTTGGATGCGACTGATCTTTTATGTGACAGACTCTGCTCGAGCGCTTTGCCAATAGCACATCAGCTGACGATTTATTCGATGCTATCAATAATATTTATCGCGACTCCGATAGGGATCCTGAGCTCAAGAACTGGTTCAAACAAGTCGACAGCTATATCCGAAAGTGTTTGCAAGAGCAGGGATTTGTCCTTGAAGATGCTGCAAATGAAGAATGGAATCGCCTCTACGACCGTGGAAACTTCCTTCTTCGAGAGCGCTATCGGGACCACTTTGACCACCTTTTGGACGAATTCAAGTTCTTGGGTGATCAATTCGAGGCCGACCCGCAGAACAAGGAATTTGGCTTGGCAGTAAAGAAGCTCTTCACCGATCTCGGCAATGATGAGAACGGCAAGCCAGTCTTCAAGAAGCATCTGGTCAAGGACCTCAGCAGCGTTATCATTCCCGCCATCTTTGAGAATGTTCGCTATGTGCCCATTCCGCGAATCGAATACAGCGATCCAACCATGGATGCGGTGATTGAGAATCTTGTCATCGAAAGCGACAATCTCATGCCAAACGTGCTTGAATTTGGCAGTGACAACTATTTCAGGTGGGGTCGCAAGAAGATTAGCAACAAGAAATCGAACAAGGTTATGCTTTCCGTATCTGGCGTTCAGATGGACCTCAGAGGTAGGCGCCCCATGGACGAGGCTCACTAGGGATCTTTCTGGCTGACACTATGTGTAGATGTGAGCTATTATATTAAGAAGAAGCAGGGCTTTCCATCGCTCACCGATATTGGCGTTGCCGATATTTTCCTCGGCGGCCAGGGCTTGAGTTTTAAAGTCAAGCTTGCAACTGCCGAGAAATCTGATAATCAGCATTTCTTCAAGATTGAGAAGGTGGATGTTGACGTCAAGCACCTCAATGTTAAGCTGAAGCAGTCTAAGCACAAGCTGCTCTTCAACGTGTTCAAGCCGTTGCTCTTCAGAGTGATTCGACCCGCTCTGCAGAAGGTACTGGAAAAGCAGATCAAGGACTCTGTCAATCAGCTTGACGGACTTGCCTACGAAATCCACCAGGAAGCTAAGGCGGCAGAGCGCGCCGCCAAGGAGGACCCAGAGAATGCTCCAAACATCTACTCGCGATATGCTGAAGCCGCCCAAAAGAAGGTGATGCAAGGCAAGAAGAAGACGGAATCGATTGTTTCGGAGAGGAAAGTCAATGTTGCCGTTACTCAGAAGGATTCCATCTTCCAGGACATCAAATTGCCCGGTGGAATTTCGACCAAGGCGACCGAGTATAAGGAGCTTGCCGCCAAGGGTGAGAAGTGGGAATCCCCTGTTTTCAGCATTGGATCTGCCTCTGAGTCTTCCAACCTTCCCAAGGTAGAACGCATCTCCCGCAAGCCGCATCAAACAGCAACTGGAGGTATCCGAGGTCCTCAGAATTCGGGCCAGACCAACAGTAACTTTGCTGGTCAGAATGGTACCGGGACGGGTTCGGGTGGATACAGCGATCCGGCCTTTGGAAACCAGAACTTTTTGAAGATGGAAGTTAATGGTGGCCCAAATGCTGCGGACCGCAATAATACTTTCTTTGGTCGAGAGAACCCCGTCTACGCTGGGTCCTCTTAAGATTATCATTCCTCATTGGAATACTTACCCCTCCAAGAGCTTTCTCCTTTCGGCGCTTGTCGAGGCAGTAGGATTTTTAATTGCTTTCTGATGATACCACTTCTGCGTCTTCCTAGTTGGTGGTAATTTTTCCAAGTTTGGCTGGATTGGTCTGACGAAGACGAAGGAGGCTGTTGATTAAATTGTTTGGTGGTTTAACTGCTATTTTTTATGACGCAGCACATCCTTTGTTTGCAATGGCTATTCGTCTTTCTGTTATTATTAAAGTTTTTCCTTTAATCCAAGAGTGCTTTAATCGACAGATTCTTGTCACCCCCACTGCACTCGGAAAAAATATTCTTTTAGTACTCTCATCGGAAAAAACACGAGTTAATGATTAGTCACGTCTGAAGGGTTTTTCTTTAAATGATCATTAGCAAATTGATGATACTTTTGGCAGCAATGACATCTGAAAATGCGTATTTGTAGCTGGTGTATCAGTAATACAACGCCCAAAAAAGGTTTTCTAGAACAACATGAGTGGATATCATACAAAATTCCCAAAACACATAGGACTCTCTCTGACCATGGAAATCTCAAGCCGGCAAAATATCAACCCCCCTCGGTGTTCTGCTCACTGCTCATGACGAATACTGCAGTTCCACGCCAATCGCTCTAAAGGGACCATTTCGTGCGCGGAGATCAAGACTAACGCCAGCGCTAAATAACAAGTCTTTGATTCTGCCTTCCCAAAGCACGCCCACGTTGCAATTCTGATCGACTCGGGCTTTCAGCACGCCAGCCACATCGTCGTTATCGTTACCGTTATCGTTGTGTCTGGCCTGTTTAGTACCCGGCCGTAATGCTTCAGATACCATTTCAGCTTCGTGCTCTTTTCCAAGCTTCGCGTAGACCCAGTCCAAGTTTGACGTGGGCTGTCGAGGCTGGCGTAGCCTCCACAGCTCGCAGCCGAGTTGGAGATCGGATTCGTATGAATAGAAATTGAATCCGAACCGCGAACATAACGCCAGTGACGGGCCAGCTTTCACGGCATATGTCGATGACAGGTTGCCCATGAGCGGGTTCAGCGTTAGTGTCATTGTATATGGGAATCCCGTGTGGCGGGGTAACGTGGTGAAACGGATGCCTGTACTTATTCCACCGCTTTTGTTTAGGATTCCATAGTATAATTCTGCGCCGGCACTGAAGCGGCCATAGGGACCGTGGCTGGAAGGGGAGGGGGATGAAGAGGAGGAAGAGGATACAGTCTCGGACGAGGTGTGCTGCTCGCTAGGTTTCAACGTGTCTGGCATCTCGGGTGGGAAGATGGTAGGTTCTTTGCGCGGGTCAGGCCCGAAATTGTATAACCCTCGAATACCGAGAAGTGCGGAATCAGAGCTGTACAGGTATTCCATGTTGTATTTGCCAACATCGTGTTGCAGGAGACCGAGAATAGTCCCGCCGTTCTTGAGACGAGAGTCGCTCACGCAGGAGAGCTTGAGTTGCCGCGTTGGAGAAAGACGCCGGAGATAAAGCGCCTCGAGGGTGGAGTCGGGGAGGTAGAGTCGACCGTAGAGAAGCGTGTCTGTTTAATTTCGAAGAGGTTGTTCTACCAGTTAGACTGATGTGATTTGACAGCGAAGGTTTTCTGCGACATGAAGAGAGGTGGAGAAGATGGTAAGGTAGATTGTGCATTATGAGGATGACGCTGTAAAGAGAAAGGGCCTACCTCTGCGGTCTATTCTTCTGCCTCGGTGCCATATTTCCCATAACCAGGCTTCTTCTGGCTTCTGGAGTTCCTGGAGGTGCCGGTATCCTTGAATGACATCGTGCAGATCAATGTTTCGGCTCCTGGCCGAATCTTTCAATGGCAATGAGGAGTAAAGATAAGATAGCGAGCCATCGACCAGTCCGACGCTTCCCAAGTTATACGACGTTGCAAAGTTGGGTGATGATAATGAGGAAACATTGAGTCGGAGGCCGCGCGGGGTTTCGAAGTCAAGCAGAGCTGTATACAGGGCGTATAATTAGAATAATGTAAAATGAAAATAGACACAGTTGGATAGAGAGATAGAGAGAGACCAACCTTGCGCTGTAGCATTCAATGATCCATAATTATTGTCTTGATTCCAGCGGGAAGCCTTGAAAAACATGTACTGGACATAGTCCATAAACCCCAACATCTCGCACGGAAAAGGGTATTGCAGATCCAGAACTATTTCAGGAGACTCTGATTAATGTAACCAAATGCTCCTCATAACGAGGCCATGACCAAAAACTCAAGGATGCCCAATCTCAACAAGGAGACCAAAGTGGTTTCCTGCTGTTCCGGGGTAGTCATGGGTAAGATCCGCACTCTACAGGTGAGCGAAGGACCCTCGGGCGGAATCTACCCACAAAAGGTTTAGCGTCGGCCTGTCGCCGAAAAAGTTCACCGATTTCTCGAACCCATCAGGGCCATACAAAGTTGATAGTCAAATTATTATCGATTTTCAATTCTTACCCCATATCGACTGTCACTTTGGTGGAACTCTTTTTTTTTTTCTTAACCACAACAACAACAATAATCAGCCGCCACCATGCCCAAGTCCAAGCGCGCCAGAGTGTTCAATCTCACCAAGACAGAGAAGAAGGGAAAGGAGCTGTCGTTGAAATTATTTTCAAATGTCCAAGAATGTGTCGATCAATACCAGTACTGCTTCGTCTTCTCCATTGAGAACATGCGCAACACCTACCTGAAGGACCTTCGTGTGGAATTTTCAGACAGCAGGTCAGTCTCTGCGGGACAATCCTTATTATTATCACCACCTGGTAAATGTACAATTGAAGCTGATGTAACTTTGCGATTAGACTGTTCTTTGGCAAGACAAAAGTCATGGCCAAGGCCCTCGGAACATCGCCCGAAGACGAGTACCAGCCTAACCTCAGCCAATTGTCTAGCGTAAGCTCACTCGAGGATATATATTTTGGATTTTGGCCATGGTGGAATACTAATCACGGCTGCATAGCATCTGGCCGGAAACGTGGGCCTGCTTTTCACTTCCCGGGAACCCGCCGATATTATCTCCTACTTCTCCTCATACAGCCAGATGGATTATGCCCGTGCGGGCATTGCTGCATCGCGCGAGTTCACTATCCCCGCTGGTGTTGTCTACTCGCGAGGTGGCGAGATTCCGGAAGAGGAGGACGTGCCGTTGGCGCACTCTCTCGAGACCAGCGTCCGAGGCAACGGCATGCCCACCAGATTAGTAAAGGGAAGAGTCACATTGGATTCTCCATACACGGTCTGCAAGGAGGGCGAGGTCCTCAATAGCCACCAGACGGCGCTGTTGAAGCTTTTCGGCGTAGCCACTGCGGAATTCAAAGTGCAAATGAAAGCGTAAGGGAATACCCAGCACGTCGTGTGACAGATTTAGTTTTCTGACAAAAGTCACAGTTACTGGAGTGCGGCTTCAAATGAGGTCAAGGAGATCGAGGCGATGGAGGAGTAAATCTTTTCTTTGGTTTGAGTTGTTTTGGGTTGTTTCGAAAATTTCATGGATGGGCTGGGTCATCATTTTCATTTGCATTTTATAATTGCAGGTTCGGTGTATATCGCACTACTACTAACGAACTCCTATGACCGGTAGAAAATACAATCCCGGCGTATTCTCTTTTGCCGCACCTAAACTGAAATGGGCGCTTCACCGCGGAAAACATAAAGCACAGAAAATAAGACCACAAAAGATCATCAAGTCAGATGCCTGAACAAGCAGACGCTCTTACCTCAGACCTTACCTGAGCCACGATGGTGAACAATAATTTCTCGCTCATTACATACTTACCAAAGTAGACTCAGGAAATACTGAAAAGACAAGAAACTCGTAGTAAAACATGTGAGCGTCTCACCATCCTTAAAACGCCAATCCCCACAAGCCTCACGGTATGTGAGATACCTATCTCAAGGTAAAAACAATGGACATGCCGCTTACAACTCATACCGCAGAGTGTCGACTCTGTCATGCCACCTTTGATCCCGCAAATAATCTCCACAGACTTGCTTACCCACGTCGGTGGCAATCACGCATAGCGGTCCCTCCTGCTATCGCTTACCCTTCATGAAAAGAGAAAAGGAAGCTGTAGAAATTCAGGAACCCACCCGGTTGACCAACCGATTTGAAAATTTTGACGAAAAAGAAAGTAGAGACCCTAGTACCTGCGTTTGCTGCGGGGATCATCATACCCATCGCCGTCGTGGTGTCTCTTCCTGCTGGAGTAATCGTCATCCCTGTAACGCCCGCCGCCGCTGTAGCCTCCGTCCCGGTCACGGTCTCTGTAGCCTGCGCCTTCTCTTGGCTTTACGGGTTCCCGGTTGCTGCCACTGCCATATCTGCCGCCATCGCGGTCACCGTATCCTCTATCGCGGTGGGACCTGGAATCGTCATAACGACCGCCGCGGGAATCACCATACGCACCATTGGCGCCGGAGCCGCCATACCCACCGTAGCCACCAGAGCGGGATCCACCAGGACCAGACGGGGCATTTGGAGGTGGTTGTCCACCAGGACCCCCATACCGGCTGCCGAATCCACCACCGGGTCCTCCGCGAGGGCCGCTGGGCCTATCACCTTTGAATCCTCCTCCTCCTCCTCCACCACCACCACCACCACCACCACCACCACCACCACGACCAAAACCGCCTCTGAAGCCACCGCTGCGGAAACCTCCTGGGCCAGAGGGCGCACCGAAAGCTCCGGGTCCTGACGGCCGAGGAGGAACAGCTTTGGTGTAACCACGACCGCCAAGTCCACCGCCAAATCTCCGAGGTCTCCAGCCTTTTACTGTTCGGCCACGCTCAACATCCACAAGAACTCTTCTGTCCTTGATTCGAATACCATCGGTTTCCTTGTAGGCGGCTGTTGAAAGGAGCAAGAAGATATCAATTGTCAGCTAAATTATCGCAATTTACCCGTCATATGATGATTTGCATAGAAGAGCTTAGGGGCAGATTGTGGCGACCAATGACCTAGAGGTAATCGAGAAATTCCAAGAGGGTAGGGGTTTTATACCTTTCATGTCCTTTTCACGTTCGTAAACAATGAATGCGTAGCCTCGGTGAACCTTCTTTGGGTTATCAGCATTCGCGTCAGTGATTATTCGAATCTAGATTTGAAGTTAGCAAGAATCCCTCATTTCAAAGGAGAGTTAGTGGGATCTGACTCTTTCGATGGGTCCGAAACGCCCAAATTCTCGCTCCAGGTCAGATTCCTTCGCATCATAGCTCAACCGTGCGACAAAGAGAGTTTTGAAGGCATCTCCACGGACTTGCGAGTCATCACTGGGATTATCTGTAATTGAAGGAAAGGCATGAGTTATGATGTTCTTCCAACACAAATCATCGAAGAATCCTACATTTGGCAAACCCCTCTGTTAAATGCTTTTCCTCTTTCTCCTTCTTCTCCAGCTTAATTCGATCTCTTCGCTGAAGCCAACTCTCGGTTGGTTGGTAGCTGTCATCTGGCTGGCGCAGCTGGTCGAGGAACTGGGCAACTCCCGTTATATTCGCGGTCTTGCGTTCTTCTTGAGCATGGTCGCTTGGGGGAAGATAGCGCAGAGGAGGTCGAGGCGCGAAAAGCGCCAGAAGGTTGGGGGGCAGTTTGTCGGTCATCGTGAAGATGAATACGTCATGAAGAGTAAAGTTGAAGCACTTAGGTGAGGATGAACTCTCCGGCGAGAGTTGTGCTCAAGCTAGCTCTCTCTCAAATGATCACAAAAGGTGTGTTCACACCATCCTTGTTCGACGTCCCTCGCGTTTTCGCGAGCCGAAACGATTTGGTCACGTGCAGGTTCCCGGATTGCTCAGGAAAACTATAGCAACCAGATCCCCAGTCAAGCCTGAACGTCTTGAATTTCATATTCATATTCAGCCACAATGCCAGTTCAGGGCCTACGAGCAGTCTCGACTGCCAGGGTACGATATCTTTCTGTGTGCATTTCCTTTTGATTTATGTGGTCACTTACGATGGTTGCAGAATGGCGTCGGCGCATTCATCCTCCAATGCAAACGCTTGGATTTCCACTACTGCGACTGGGCAGGCAGTTCACGGGGCATGAAGTTCGTATAACCTTTGCGATTGCAATGCGCTTCAGGTGCTGACCAGGAAACTAGCGCCTTTCTCAAGAATACTCTTCCAGCATTCGCCCGCGCAAATCCCCAGGTTGAAATCAATGTTTCGCCCCGGCCGCGGAAGCACCCTGTTATCAAAGGCACATACATCAATGGTCGGGAAAAAGCAGTTTGCGTCAGAAACTTGGAGAAGGAGCAGATCCTTAAGAAGGCAGAACTTCTAAGGGATGCCAGTGGCGAGCAACTGAAGAGAGTCACCAAACCGATCAGCAGCACGAACGAGAGTGTTAGGGGTATCTGGAGTCCCTATCACGGAGACAGTCACACTCTTTAAATACCTTTTTAACGATTTTTTCCATTGCAAAAACTACTTGGATTGTATAAATAGGGCCCCACCCGGCGTCAATTGGTATCTGTTCTCATGGATTGGTACAAATAGCGAAATATCATAGATCACTCTGCATATACAACAATGTAATCACAGTCATTTGAACTCTAGTTTGCTTCTTTGTCGGCGTAATCGTGACTCTAAGTATTTCTCATATACAAGAATTCGTAAAGGTGTATCTTTTATGTGGTATCGCAGACCCGCCCGGCAGGGAGCTGACCCAACTGTAATAAAAAGCTAAACTAATAATTCCGAAGTGTGGATATACCCATTACGCGTTTACTGGTTGGAGTTGATGATGTCGACGACTAGAAAACAATCAGTATATCATCTTTACATGGACTGGAGTAAGTTCCAAAACTTACAAGCTGGCTTCAAGCTGGCGCCACCGACCAGGAAGCCGTCAATGTCGGCCTGCTTGGCGAGCTCCTTGGAGTTCTTCTCGCTGACAGATCCACCGTAGATGATGCGGGTCTTCTCAGCAGCATCCTTGGAGACGGTCGAGGCGAGCCACTTGCGGATGGCAGCGTGCACCTCCTGAGCCTGCTCAGTGGTAGCGACCTTGCCGGTTCCGATAGCCCTGTAATACGTTAGAAAATGGTATATCTATCCATCCTGGAAGTTCTTTGCTTACCAGACAGGCTCGTAGGCAATGACGATCTTGGACCAGTCCTGGACCTTCTCGGCAACAGCCTGGAGCTGCTTGGTGACAACTTCGATGGTAGTGCCAGCCTCACGTTGCTATTCATGTTGTCAGCGCAGTTCAATTCCCATTGCTTTTATCAGTTATTCTTACGTCGAGGCTCTCGCCAATGCAGAGAATGACGCTAACTCCGCCGTCAATAGCAGCCTTGGTCTTGCCGGCGATGAACTATAAATGCGTATTAGTAAAGTTTCTTTTACCTCACGAGAATAATAGGCTGCAAACTTACAGCATCGTCCTCCTGAAGGATGACACGGCGCTCAGAGTGACCGGTCAAAGTCCAGGTGATACCGGCATCCTTGAGCTGGTCGACGCTGATCTCACCAGTGTAGGCACCGTTGGGCTTGTCGAAAACGTTCTGAGCAGCAACCTCGATACCCTTGCGGAGAGTCTCACGGGCAGCGGTGAGGTAGATGGAGGGAGGGGCAACGACGACCTCTGAAAAAAATTTCGTCAGCAACGATTTTTCAACCCGCAAATATCAATTGAATGGGCAGCTTAAGAACCTACCGACGCTGGAGTCAAGCTGAGCCTTGTTGAGGTTCTCAATGATCTCTTTGGTGGTCTTCAAAGATCCGTTCCTTCAAACTTGTCAGCTGAATCTGCTCCGAATCTTGCTCTTTCCAGTCGATTGCACTCTTACATCTTGAAGTTACCACCGACAAAGAATTGACGCGCCATTTTGAATGATTGGTTTTAGTGAAAAGGATAAAGTTTTCGAGATAAGAATTGAAAGAATGAGCAGAGTTGCGGGTATAGCGGGGTTGTAATGTTCCTTGAGGTTGGTGGGGGGAGGGGCAGTTCGCCAATGTTATATACCTGCCTCCGTCGACGTAATAGGTGAGGGTCCGTGGTTGGGCCGACCGTCAAAAGCACGCAGATGGCCTGATCAAGGATCGGCTTTCGTCTAGATTCTATCAACAGCTGATCTTCACTCTGCCCACTTTGGATATGCCAGAGAAGCCCCAGATTATTGCGATATCGTCTCTCACAATTTTTTTCAGGGGTAAAAAGGGTATCTTTGAGTTACGGAGTCAAAAAGCTTCATTCCTATTGCTATGACGCTCTGCCATACACCATAATGATGCTATTTCCATTAGTTTAGTTCGCCAAGCGAACCCTCAACGAAACAACATGACAGCACTTGGAATGGGATAGAACGAAATCGTAATTTGGTATACAAATCATCAAAACTGCCCCTAAACAATGCGATTAGATGGCATCAATCCAATAAAGTTCAACAAAATTGGTAGAATATTGCTTTCTCTGCGTTGCATGAACAACATATAAGCTGGTGGAGTAAGCTAGTGAAATGGCGCGCGAATATTGCAATTGGATCTCCGAATAATTATAGCCGGCCTACCGATGCGGGCCTGCATTGAACAGGCACTCCTGCGCGTCGCCGTCCGGTTATATCCCGCGGGTCAACATGCATATATGCGTGGGAAATATTCGGTCGTACTAGCATGTTTCTCTTCTCTGGGCTGCGCCCTCTCTCATTGTCCAGGTAATGTGAGGCATAAGGGACTTCAGGAAAGATGCCTGGATGTTGATGGTGAGACGTGAGAAGCGGCTGCTGGAATATTTGCTTATTGAGCAATGCCGCTCTTCGTACTTGTGCTAGAACATGTTCTCTCAAACGGGGGCAAGATTCCTGACGAGAAGATGCAGCGAGCTGATCCCGCAAGCTCAGTTGTGACAAAATTTCTGAGATAATGTCTTGGTCTCGTCGACTGAGGCAAGAAGAGGTGTCCTCCGGAGCCTTTCTCTGGTGCCACTTGTAGACAGGTTCGGTCCTGTGACCACGATAGAGGCTTCCACGTCGGTGAGCCAAATCGGGCGAGATACAGTCAGTATCAACGCTTGTGTTGGTCGTTGAGTCCGTTCCGGAATCATTGGTTTTGTCGAAGATATCATTTTCCTTTTCATATTCACTTTCTTCGAGCCAATCATTGATTCGAGCATATGAGCTAGCATGTGCGGCTTTTGGTTTCTTTTGCTTTCTGTGAAGTTTCTCTTCCTGCAGCATGTTTTGTGAATTCCTTCTTGGTTTCTGTGCGACATATTGACGTTTCTCCTGTTCTCCGATACCTTTAGAGGGCTCATTGACCCCTGGGCGACCCTGCGATCGAGCAGCTTTATTTTCTTTGTTTGCATATTGATCTTGACCGGAGATCAGGACGGTCCTTGAAGGTTGATATGCGTAGTATTGTTGTTTGGGATGAATTTCTGTTTGTGGCTGAGGCAGCGTTGGGTGATGTTGGGCCACCGGGACTCGAGAAGTATAGTATTGTTGCTGTGGAAGCCCCCCATGCGGACCCGGCATATGAGTCTGAGCAGGAGGCGGAGGCGGAGGTGGGGCAAAAGCAGTCGGGGGAGCCTGATGCTGTGGTGAAAATTGGCTGGGCTTTTGTTGCTGCAGATCTCCGTACATCTGTTCTTCTTGTCGACGTTGGTTAAAGGAGTGTAACGGATTGCTCGAGATTGCCCCTTGGTGCATGGGTTGATGAACTATAAAGGGAGCCTGTGTTGGGTCCGGAGGCATTACGACAATGTCTGCACCCAAATTCTTTGTTTGTCCGACCATGCCTTTGGGCTCTGCTTCCACCACCATTCGACCACCTTGCTTAAAGACATCTTGGCTCGCTTTCGCGCCTGTAGTTGCTTCCATTGCATGGTCATGCTGAAGAAGCTTGACGGAATTTGTAGGCAGAGCATGTGACGTAACAGTTGTTGATTTCCCCCCAGATCCGACGTACTTCGGTATCATATTGATGACCCTTTCCGTTTGCAATGCAGGGGTTTTCTCGCAGAGAGCATTTTCGCTACTCGACGGGCTTTTATCCTGAGCAGGCTTGCGTGGTTCTCCCTTGACGATCACTTGCATCGACACAGTTTCCTTTGTCCACATTGAGACGCTTCTCTCCTCTGTTTCAATGGCTGCAATCGTCCAGGCAAGCGAGTTGCCCTTTTCTTTTTGTTTCTCCTGAATTAGGAGATCGATCTGCCCTTGTTTCAGGGCACTGAGACCAGAATATCGTTGGACTACCGACGCTTTTCCGCGTTGCTGCTTTCGAACTTGTTTGACGAGTTCATCAGAAGCCACAGGCATCAACGCCCTCTTGACATTCCGCCATGTCCTTCTTCCTCCCTTTTCCAAGGGGTCTGCTCTGCGAAATGTATAGCCTTCGTAGGTCGTCTCCCCCGGCCACGGAGCATCGGCGATAGCTGTCTTGGCAGTTAGGAGTTGACCATTCGACTGCTTCTCCACAAAGGGGATCGTCTGTATGGTGGATTTCTCCATATTGCTGAGCTTCTGCCTTCCGAGAGGGCGTCCTCTGATCTTGAACCTATGAAAACCAGCAAATATCTGGTTGAGGGAGCGAGAGCATAATCAAGAAAGCATGTCAACCAGCGGTAAGGTTCTCCTGGGAGATGAGAAAGAGTGCAGAACGGAAGGAAGATAAGACTGTGCATGTCAGAGTATATATATCACATGGATATACAAAAAGCTGCGTAGACTGAAACTCTCGCCACGCACTTGTAAACATGATAGCACCCGGCCTCTTCAAGCCACCTCAACGAACCACCACGGGGAATATTGCGATCTAGTCCATTGAAAAGCCCGTGCTCCGTATGCCGGGCAGATATCGTCTGACCCAGCCATGTTAGATAGCCAAAACTGCAAGTCATGCGCCATCATTCGAAGCCGGCGTTGGTCCGGTGAGATGCTAAAATACGGGAAGCCCGGGGCCGCTGATACATTGAAATTATATGTCGATAAGATAGCGTTGTTCTCGTAGTTCGGCAGAAATATCCGTGTGTTTTCAAGCAAGGTCAAAGTATAGAGGTCGTCAGGGATCTGAATGTAGATATCTACCACCTTTTCGTTCTTGCCAACACCTCTTTAGTTCACTTCCCACCTGAAGTTAGATTGGCACATATATTAGATACCAAGGCAGATCATTGCTTTCAACGCCATAGAGACCTTGCATCACGTAGTTTTCTTTTGAACTAGCCATATCTTATGCAGCATGCAAAATGCAACATGCAACATGCCATACGCACCAACCCCACGCCGGGGGGGTTTGCAATGTAAGATATGAGATATCGCAGACACACCTTTGCTAGCGGAGAACTTTAGGACGGTGCACATGGGCTTGCACGGTCTCCCCGAAATGAATATAAAGCAGGGCGGAGGTTCCGTTGTGTCTCAAACACATATATCCTTGTCTGTTTAATTTTAGTTTGTGAGGTTGGAGGTAAGCTGGAGCCGCGATTCTTGGCCTTGTGTCGAACTGGTCAGTCTAACTTGGGCCATCTATACATTACCTATAGCAAGGGAAAAACATCTTACCGACTCTGGATAGAGCAAGGTTTACTGACCACGGATCAAAAGAATCCCGGCCACCATCAGCCCCCGGTACTCCCCAATAGCTTATCTGACCCCGGTTAAGCTTTATAGGTCAAGCCCGCATGACTTGCCTTTAGTTCTTTGACCAGGGTTTGATATCAGGTTTTTTTTTTTTTTTTTTTTCCTCCTCGCGAATTATCAAGTACTATTATCAGAAGTTGCATGTTTCAGATGACAGTAGGAAGTTGGCCACGAGGGCGCTATTTCTAAACATTTCCCCGATTCGCTTTTCCAGCTTGTGTCTACTATAGACGCCCAGAATGCATAGCTTGCACAGTGACAGAGGCTGGACAGGCCGATTTGAGAGTGCTTTGATTTCAGTATACAAATCATCTCTACGAGCTGTGGAATTTGAAATACAATCTTAATGCTTCCTGGTTTTTTTTTATGAAGACGTATTTCGATCGCCCAATCATACATCGAACAAATAAATTGGAAAGTACCAATATTGGGGCATTTGGATTGATAAGTGGTACTCGTGGTATACCAGACTTGAATGTCATTTTTCGACACTATAGGAATACTTTTGTTGAATACCTTAGGTAGGGTAGGTATGAGGGGAGGGGTGCACATGATGGACATGCATACGTGTATACATCTAGTAATATCCCAATGCATATACTGAGATGGTACCTTAGGTAGAAGAAAACTACGGCCAACAACACTTCATGGTGCGAACAAAAGACCAAATCGAAATAAAAGAATATTCCTTGCGTTATACACCTGGCGTGGATTAAATTCTCCATGTCCTGCCTCAGGAGAACCTTGTTTCGAGGAAAGAGGAGAAGAGATCTATGCCTAACCCTTGGGGAGGTGCTGAATCTATTCACAGAGCGGGATGTGAACGGAACCGCACAAGGCGTGGGTGTGTCTGTGAAGTGAAAAGATATTAAGAATTAATGTCGCGAGCCACGCTGACGCCCGCTTGCCCAAATTAAACCTGCTTTCTCCAGGTTCACCGGTCGTGAACAATATGAAACAAAAAGAAAAAGAAGGAGAAAAAGACTCGCAATGCTATGGCGTTAAAGTATCAAGAAAAAGCTCAACCACAGCCCTAGGATGATCGGTTGTGTTCGAGAAAAATGGAGGCGAGCATGCAGTATGTATCAGGACAGTGGAAAAGGAATACCTGCTTTGCTTCCAAACAGCTGACCTCAAACCCACAAAGGAGACCATGCGTGCTATTAAGTTTCATCCGACATTATGAGCGTGAAACTGGCGTGCTGACCGTCCATTAAAAAGAAATTATCAAGCGATTTTTGAGCAAAACCCAAAAAGAGGCAGCATAACCTGGAACCTGGGTCCAATTCTGATGCGGCGGGGAATTCGAGGAAGAATGTGCTTGATGCCGGAACCATCAGGTGGAATGGACAAACTGATGCATGAGAGAGAGAGAGAGAGAGAGAGAGAGAAAGACGTTTGTCGGACAAAAAAACTCGGGCTTAATACAACGGCATTTTGGTGTCCTCAACGCCTCTCGCCAAGATGTCTTCCATACGCCACCGCGGGGGTTTGATAAGCGCTTCTAGCGCAGCAAGACTGTCATGCTTGGAGTTGACCAATTTCTTGTCCTCCTCGGGTGGTGGGTATTCCAAGGCTGTTTCGAGACCGCCGGCTTTCCCGCTAGAGAACTTCAATTGCAATATCGATCCAATCTCGTTACAGGCTGCAAGGACTCTGTCCAGATCCTCCTTGTTATGTGCAGCGGAGACACACAACCTGGCTCGAGATGAAACAAGTGGAGTAGCCGGATATCCGACGATGACGACGGCAATCTTTCTCTTCAGCATTTCTAGGGAAAACGCAGACATCTTTCCGGGATTGTAGAGCATGACAGGAATGATTGGGGAATCGTCGTGACCGTAGACAATGTACCCAAGCCGCTTGAGACCGAGTCGGAGATATCGTGAATTGAAGGCCAATCGCTGCAAGCGCTCCTCTCCTTGACCGGGCAGGATGTCGCCAGAGATGAGTTTCAACGAGGTAAGGATCTGCATGAGCACCGGGGGAGCGGGAGCTTCGGCAAAGACGGCGGCCGCATTGGTAATTCGAAGCTTGTCGACGACGGCTTTATCGGCAGCAATATAGCCACCATTGGCTCCAAACGACTTGGTCAGGGTGCCCATCAGAATGTCGACCTCTGCGGGATCAATGCCAAAATAGTCGCAGACGCCCCGACCTCTCGGCCCAAGAGCACCAATCGAGTGGGCTTCATCCACAAAGAGATTAAACTTGTACTTCTTTTTCAAAGCGACCAGGCCGGGAAGGTCACACATGGTACCCTCCATGGAATACAGACCTTCCACCGCCACCAGAATCTTCTTCCAGGGGCGGTGAGTGCGAGGCTGGCCCTGCGAGATCGCCTCACGCAGACGCTTCTCCAATTCCTTCATGTCATTATGCTTGAACATGGAGATCATGGCACCAGTCAGACGGGCGCCAAAACGAATCGAGGCATGATTGAGCTCATCGGAGATGATGAGGCAGCCTTTGCTGACCAAGGCCGGAAAGGTGCTCGCATTGGTGACGAATCCCATGGAGAAGACCATGGCAGACGGCTTGCCCACAAATTTGGCCAGCAGGTCTTCGACTTCGATGTGCAAGTCCGACGTACCCACGTCCGCGCGGGTACTGATAACCGAAACACCATATTTTTTAATGGACTCCTCGACGGCATCAGCGCAAGGTCCTTCGGACTGGGCAAACCCCAAATAGTTGTACGAGCTCATGTTGAGCGTTTCGGTCGTGGTGCCGGTGAGACGAAAGGATTCATTGTGATTATTCGATTCTCGATCCAGCAACGTAATGTAGCGTCCCGGCACACCCGTAATGGGCCGTTCAAAGCACTGATCGATGCGCTTCTTCAATCGTCGGACATAAAAGTTGTCAAAGTCGCTGTGCAGCGGGGCGTAGCCATCACGAACTCGCAGGTCGCGATATTTGTGATAGTTGAAGTGTTTTCCGAAAAAGTCTCGAATGTGACCGAAGATGATCAGGATCAAGTAGCTTATGTATGTGGTGATGAGATAGTAGTAAGGAGGCTCATCCATAACCGGCTGCACAAAGGCTTTACCGACATGCTGACTCGTATATCGATGACTCGGGTGGATCAGAGGACCGAATTGAGCATTTGCACGAGCTTGCTTTCGAGCTTCAACGGCGGAAGGAGGTTGGAAAAGGGTCATTGGTGGCTCATCAATGGCTGAGCTGTCCGCGGTGGCCGTCGAAAGCGATATGGTCGGGAGAGATAACGAAGCCGAACTGATGGGCGGTGAAGGAGAGTTCAGCAATGCTTCCTGCTGCGCAGCGGCGGCGGCAATGAGAGCCGATGCGGCCGTCTGGTTGTCTCCTGCCTTGGACTTGGGAGATGTGGAGAAGAGGTGCGTCAAGCGGTGGCCTTTGGATGAGGAGAGTCGACGACCGGTGGCCATCTTCTCGTCAGCCGCGGACAGGATTGAAGCGGCATCGCTATGCGAGGAATTGGTCGAACGACGAGGCATGGTGGTGCAGAGGCGTTTTCGCAACCGGCTGGGGTCTGGTCTGAACTGGAACGAGGGAATTGATCTTGTCTACTGGCGATCGCTGGGTTACGGCCCACTCGGAAAAGACGAGTCACGGTCAAGTTGAGGCAGTGCTGCAGGGTGCAAATTTCGACTTCAAGGAGCTTAATTTCGATTGTCGACGTCTTTGAGACGAAATCTGTCTGTTAGCCTCAACTCGGCCACAAATCAATCTCCAAAGCCACCAGCCGCAGAACGAACGAGGAGGAATAGAGGGAAGAGATTAGGGGAGGGAGTGGAGAGGCATAAAACGATAGAGTAGGTAAGTCCGGTACGGAGACGTCGATCTTTGGGAAGGGCGAAGTGCTCGATGCCCAAACGAGCGCTGCGGCGGACCCGGAACACAAGCGAATTCGCGTTTGCCTTCATCTGGGCTTTTAGTCGGTTTTAGGGGAAATCTCGATGAACATCCGACCCTACCGAAACCATGCCGGGAGGAAACCACGCCGACCCTCCGCCAAATCTCATTTGAGGGCTAGTTATGGGGCATGAGGGTAGGTTGAAAGTGGCATCCAAAGTGTAGAAAGACAAGGTAGAAAAAGACTGATGGAAACCCCAATTGAACTTGTAGTGACACTCACCGTTGAGAAGAATTGTTGGATTTGGCCAAGTGTTGTGATCTACCGTGAGGCAATAGTGATCAGTGCAGCCGTGAGAGCGACATAAAAAAAGTCAGAGAGGCCGGGTGGTGAGTAGAGTGAGTGAGTGTGTGTACGTGCGTGCGTTCCGTGCACGTCTGTGGATGATCGACGCTTGGCCTTGTGGACGTTGTCAACGAACACCCTTATTTAAGGTAAGCACTGGGCAATCACCTGTTTCTGCCAAATGGGAGAGATAAGAAGAGGTTATCGACAAGAGAGATGAGCAGTTGTTCGTAAAGAGAAGCAACGCGTTTCAGGGGGTTATAGTCTGCTTTGAAGAAAAGAGGCGGGAAAAGAGCAGATTGATGTTTAGATTACTATTACCTCAACGCCAAAGACCGGCCCCCAATCCGAACGTGTGCTGCCTCCGACTGATGGCCTGAGGGTACAAATAATCATAATAATGCTGCAATATACCTGGTAGGAAGTTACCACTGTCGGCGCAATGCACTGATTAGTCGACTACAACACCGAATTTCTCCTTTTTTAATTTTCTCTCCCTCTTCCTCTTCAGCCAGGCGCGACCCGCGGGGTTTAATGTGGGAAGGTTTAGACTAAAGCCGTATCCACATGCAGCCAAAAGTTGCCCGCCCCGTTGAGCGCATAAGTATCGAGTACTTTTATCGCCCATGTCCAAACGTGCTGGGCTTTGGTACAGCTACTAGCATGGGGGGTCCCTTGCCTATAGGTACCTACGGTATACCTTAGGTAGAGCCCCTAAGGTAAACTAACGGTAACAGTGCATAAGGTAGCCTGTGAGCAAAAAGTTTGCTTAGCCAGGGGCAGCGAGGGCTACGAGCAATGTAACTGGAAGCCGGATCAAACGGGATTGGTATTGCCGTGCCCCTTCCCCATCCAGCCCACACACAGACGAGGGAGACAGAGAGAGGACAGTCAGCATCTCTGTACTCCGTAGTCATCAAGGTTCAGCTCCCCGGTTTGCCCTTACCAGGCCTGCAGGATAACTCGGCAACTTTTGAGTTGAGCAAGAACACGGTCCAATAAGCAATTGGTCAGATCGAGGGGACACTCTGCACGCTAACTCAACTGCATCACAATCGCTGCCGTAATCTTCCAACGTCGCTGAACTCTGCTGCTCTAATCCCCCATCTCTTGGGGAACGGCTCCTTACTAAACCTGTCATCATCTGATTCAGCCGGGCCGTTTACTTGCACTCTAAGCCTTTTGCATAAACTTATTCATGCAGGTAAAACCCGCAACGGCCAATTCTACCTGTGACGACTCCACTTGTTATTTACCTTGTTTTCAAGTTGTGCAAGGTTATATAGGACAATTCATCTCCTCTGTTTCGCTACAGTAACTGCAGTCGTTGCAATCGGCGCTGAATAGCGTACTTTGGACCCATGCTGTCCTGACGTCACTATCATTCCTCCGGCTATCCACGCCGTCTATTTTGTTAGGGCAAAATGCATGGATGCATGCATCACGCCTCGTTTCCCTTTATCAATTCCAGGCACAGGCCGACGACTGGTCACTACCATGCGTGCGTGCGTGCGTGCGTGCGAGCGAGGGCTGGGCCACACTGTGTTGGCAGAGCCCATGTCTATGGTCCCAATCTATCCGCTCTACCAAAACCCACATCTTTTTCCGATACAATAGTAGCGAGGATAGATAAACCCATAAAAATATCGTCAAGTCAATGCATTAAAAACTCATTTATGTGGCCCTTGCCCGTCCTTGACTTTTCGTGGGAGCATTATACCGTTGGACAGCTAAATACCAAAAGTACCGAGGTCCATGCACTGGTCCGACCCCAGATTTGCTACAGAAATACCTGCGAGCTTGCCGCGGATTTCCGAACCCCGAAGGAGTAGAAACAGCTTGGGGGGGGATCCTTTCGCACACCGATGACCCCTAATATGAATGAAACCAACCGTATCATGAGCAAATTGAAAACTTATCTTTTTTGATACTATATCATAATGAAATAGCAATCCTTTGAAAATATCTCTCAAACGTTCTTCCCATCGTGTTTGAGAATCACTACTGCAATGCAACCTCCGCATGAGCTCGGAGCTGCTTCAGCAGCCCGGCTAGAAGAACAACAGACGCATGCCCCACCACCACGAGAATTATGGAGACATTCTTGCCCCGAAAAGACCTCTCTTTATGAATTCAAGCGCAAGATTGAAGAAAAATACGATGTCCTACTCCCTTCATATCGTGATCTACATAAATGGAGCATCAATAACCTAGCATTCTTCTGGGCCGAAGTGTGGGACTATACGGGAATTCGGTCCTCACAATCTTACAGCAATGTAAGTATACCATCCACATCAAAAATTTCACATGCCTTGTTTCCTCAAGCGGATTTCTCCTTCTAGTGAGTACTAGCATGATGCTTGCAAAACTACAATATCACACTCGATTTGAAAAGTAAACAAACGATAACATGCCCACCGTGCCAGGTCCTAGATGAAGATGCACCCATGTTCCCGCCCCCGCCATTTTTCGCCGGAGCTCGGCTGAACTTTGCAGAAAACTTGCTGTACCCCAAATACCCAATCGATGAAGACTCCATTGCGATAGTCGCCGCCACCGAGGAATCCCGGGAGGAAGTAACCTGGAAACAACTGCGGGAGCGGGTGGCGCAATGCGCGGCGGTGATGCGCAGCGTAGGCATTCGACCTGGAGACAGGGTAGCAGGATGCCTAGCCAACCACACAAACGCGGTGGTTGCCATGCTGGGAGCCACGGCCGTTGGGGCCATCTGGACGGGCGTCTCGCCAGATACGGGCGTGCATGCGATTCTGGAACGGCTCCGGCAGATCAAACCCGCAATATTATTTGCAGACAATGCCGTGATTTACAATGGCAAAGTGCATGACGTGCTAGACAAGGTACAGCGGGTTGTGGAAGAACTTCCCAACTTGACAACGGCCGTCATTATCAAAACTGTATCAAGTCACCCGATAGACTTGGAGCGGGTAAAGCCCGTTAGCAGCAACGGCAAAGCATACACATTGGACGACTTTCTTGCATCGGCTTCAGAAAAAGGCGAAGACAAGACCCCTCATTTTGAGCAACTGGATCCAAATCACCCCGTGTATATACTATATTCATCCGGAACAACAGGGCAACCGAAATGCATTGTGCACGGGGCAATCGGGACCATAATCCAGCACAAAAAAGAGCACGCTATCCACTGCGACATCAAGCCCGGCGACAAGCTCTTCTACTTTACGACATGCACATGGATGATGTGGCACTGGCTCATCTCCGCGCTGGGCAGCGGGGCGACCATTGTGCTGTACGACGGGTCCCCCTTCCGGCCGCTGGACAAGCAAGGCAGCGGCGAAATGGCCATGCCGCGACTAATTGAAGAACTAGGAATCACGCATTTTGGCACGTCGGCCAAATACCTCTCCATGCTCGAGCAAAAGCAGATACTGCCCAAGGCGGCGCAAGTGCCCATGCGCCAGCTTCGCGCAATTTACAGCACAGGCAGTCCCCTCGCTCCGTCGACGTTTGAATACGTGTATCGTGCATTTGGGCCGGACATCAACCTGGGCTCTATCACCGGAGGCACGGACATTATTTCCCTGTTCGGCGCCCCCTCGTCGCTGAATCCAGTATACGCAGGCGAAATCCAAGTGATAGGGCTCGGAATGGCCGTTGAAGCCTGGGATTATCAGGGCCAAAACGTCTCGCAGACGGGCGAGCCTGGCGATCTCGTATGCACTCGCCCTTTCCCCTGTCAACCTGTCCAATTCTGGGGTCCCCAGGGCGCGGACCTCTACCGACGGAGTTATTTTGAGCACTTTTCGGGCTTAGCTCGAGCGGGAAAAGAAGACTGGCCGATATGGCACCACGGGGACTTTATCCGCATCGACCCCGCAACAGGCGGGTTGATTATGCTTGGCCGCAGTGATGGCATTCTCAAGCCCGCGGGGGTCCGGTTTGGCAGCGCAGAGCTGTATAATCTTGTCCTCCAACATTTCCCGCTCCAGGTCGCCGATGCGCTGTGCATTGGCCGCCGACGCGAGACGGACACCGATGAGACGGTGGTCATGTTTTTGAAAATGGTCGACGGACAGACATTCAGCAGGGATTTGGAAAAGCAGATTAAAGATGTGATTAGAAGGGAGCTGAGCGCCAGACATGTGCCCGCTGTCGTGGATGAATGTGAAGAGATTCCAGTCACCACGAATGGGAAAAAGTAAGTCCCCTTTGTTTCATACTGGTTCTTTCTTGAAATTTTTGGTCATTGACAACACTTTCTAGGGTCGAAGTAGCAGTTAAGCAGATTTTATGCGGCATGAACGTCAAGACGTCCGCCTCTGTCGCAAACGCAGAGTGTCTGGACTGGTATCGACAGTGGACAGCTGATCATCCGTAGAGATTAGATCAAGTGTACTTTTGTACAGAAGTAGCAGCACCTCTAATGCATTTGCATAAGCATCTCTGTCATAACTTAGCTCAAGCGTCTGTTTTTTAGTCAGCATGCTGCTTCAGTTTGCGAATCACAAAGCACAACCCCTATTCCCGAAAAGCAGGAAAGGACGCGAAATTGGGACACATAGTATATCAGGAATCATATTTTTGGACATTTGAACGAAAGAAATGGTCTTGTAGTATGGCGTAGCTAAGTCGTAGACCAAGATTAAAAGTATATAAACTTGAAAAAGAAAAGAAAAGAAATAATGTGGGGACATTCCGCTGAATATGCATTTCCCAACCGTCTAATCCCCCAAATCCCCCTCCCAAGGAAACGAATGCCGTGGAGTTGGGCATGAACCAAAAACGCCGTAAGCGCCACATGATGAGTCTAGATGCGGGTAAAGGTACAGGACTTGTTGAGTGCTATACTACATTATGTCTGTCATGGGAAATAAGAGTCAGCCAATGTTCCTTGAGAGTCTATCCGTAGCAATTGAAGAGTTTGGGCAGTATATCTCACCTTCGCAAAACGCCCTCGAGGCTAGAAGGGCTGAGGGCTCTATCGGCAGGGATCTCGTCAATAATTGATACGAGATTGGCAAAGAGCTCGCCATTGTGGTACGCGAGCACAGCTGGGACCGAGATGGGATCCATCTCGGCTTCTTCGTAGTGAAGTTTTATAAACCGAGTTGTGTCGTGCTTGCGTGCCAGGTTCATCAAGCAGTCTTCAACAAGACCACTGACCTCAGACTGTGATAATGATTAGCTATATAATTCAATTGAAACCAAAATCTCCTCAGAGAGAAAAAAAAAAAGGCCTTGGGAACAGAGAGGTGGATATTGAAAAAGAAAATACCTGATCGTCATATATACACACGGCAACGACGGTGCTTTGCGAAATCTTCTCAACCGCATCAAGGTATCCATCGGCATCGACGGCATCCAAGGAGCCAAATCTCCGCTTGCTGGGGCTCAATCGCCTCGTGCTCCGTTCGTTCGAGCCGGAGCGAATCTCGTTCAGCCGTTTTTCACGCCACGAGCGCATGAATTCCTCTTCGTCCTCGTCCATGGACTCATCCTCGCTTCCCTTGTCCGACGTGGCCGCAGTGATGGTGGTTCGGGATGTTTCAAAAGGCTGGTTCCGGAACTTTGCCATGGTAGGCATCCGGATCTTGCTGCGCTTAGCCTGCTCGAAAGCCTGGGCATCACTGATGACACCCTTGGGGCCAGTGTTGGCATTGAACTGTTTGGAAGGGAGTTGGAATCTGGCGCTGCCCATTTTTGAGTCGGGCGGAAGATCTTCGTCGTTGTAGTCGTGTTCGTGCTTGTCCGAAGAAGGTTCTGATCCGGATGACTCGTATCCAGCGTCTTCAGGATGAGTCGAGAGCTTTTCTCCCGAGTTGTTAAAGAGAGCTGCGGCTTCGTTTTCGGCTGCAGACATGGTGAACAGAGGAAGAGGGGCGTGCAGAACAAGATTTTATACAAGATCTGTGAAGAACAGGGGAAAGGGCAGGTGTGTGGAGTCGCGTGTTTGACGTCTGTGTGAACTTGGAATAGGGACAGCCTTTTTTTAGGTCCGGGGTAGAATATGATGCTAAAGAAAAGACTAATGTGCTAGGAGGTGGTGAAAAGCTGACGTTGTCAGAGTTCGTCAAGTCTCGTGCTCGGTGCTGCGAGTCAGCTTCAAGGCTCGCAGGTCAGGCAACCTTGCAAGAAATGCAGGGACGTCGTCTGCACGATGTGCCTGCTTGAATAGCTAGGAGATCGTTTGCAAACCAGTTTCAGGGCAGCTGGCGAGTGGAGCTTCTTCAGATGAACACTGGGATGTGCGTGTCGGATGAGGTGCAAAGCAGGGATAAAATTCGGGGGCTTTGACGGTCAGATGTGGAGAAATCTGATGTCGATCATGCCCTAGCACCAAAGGATCTTGTAGTGCCTTGTCGTAAGAGCCCGTCAGATAATTTGACGTTTGGTCCAGGCACGAGGAAAACAACTCCTTAGAGCTTGCTATATCAATTCTTGAAGAAGAATGTAGAAAAAGGAATTGATTCGTAGCTTATGAGCTGTCGAAACGTCACGAAGAGATAAGCAGCCGTGAGGACACAATTGGCAATTTTGGGGGGCAAAAGAAAAGGAGCTGAGAATGACGGGCAATAATGAAGAATGAGGAAGAAGCAATGGGCAGAAAGGGTAAACGTCACGTCTGCTCTGTCCAGAACGCCAGGGTCAGCATGCGGCGCCCAAAAATTCCGAAACAGCCAATTCTGCAACAGTCATGATGCATCTCGCTAAACCAAGTTTCCTGCCCCTGAAGGGAAAGCCACCTGGCCCCTCCATGTACTCTACCGTAGTATCAACAGTGTTCGCTGTGGGGGCCGAGCTGTGTGGATTGTCCCTTTTTCCTCAAATTAGCTGGACCATCATCCATCACTTTGTGTAATTTGCATTTCAAGCGATATTTAGCCTCGTATGTGCTTTCCAATGGAGGAATTATTACTGCATCGAGTCATTCAGCGAACCCTGATCGGCATACAAGAACTCCTGTTGATCACTTCATTTCATCATACCCATGGACACATCTCATCTTAGACCCTTTTATGGGGAAGAGAGAATGGACAATGCATCAAATTACCGAATCAAGTCAGCTCGTGTTTCCCTTGGCCAAACACGCAGCAGAATGGAGACTACTAGCTCTATAGTGCGCTCTGACAGTTATTTCTGTCCTCTCTAGCTCCGTACCTCGCCGACTTTACTTGGAAACCCTGAATGCCTTGCCAGACATATTCGTTTCCTTGGAGCTCATTGCCGAATCAAGTAGTGTTAGCTTCTAAAAGTCCCTGCAGCAAAGAGCTGCATCAAAGAATTAAGCTGCTGCCCAAACGCACGCGGACAACATGGACAGATACAGAGTTTTTGGACAACAATTGCTTTTTCAAGTCCAGACAAGCAAAGACAGATATGTTCCGAAAGCTGTAGATACCTCCTTTGCTCGGAGAAAAGTGGCTTAGACATTATGAGGCGGCCTGATCGGAACGCGTGCCGTATCTCCTTTACTTGCCTGCCAGGCACGCCTGAAACAGCTTAGCGTGTAAGGCCAAGACACAGCCTGAAACAAAGCAGTCCCCCCTTTCCAAGGGTTCGGTTTGCGGCCCGGGCGGAAATGTGTCTTACATAACCAGGTCTCTCAGCGATCAACTCCTTGAGCTCATTCATCGATTGAGCGAATCCTTGGGCATAACTTAATTCGAAAGTTCTTTACAAAACAGGAAAAGACTTTCTTAATGAAATAAGGTTTGTTTGCTTTAGCTTCCACCTGAGGTTTGCTGCCATTATTTTTTTTTTTTTGATGCGCAGCCATCATAATTGCAAATTATATTCGGACAAGTAGATCGGTCAGGAGCTCAGTCAAACACAGTTCAAGGCAAAGTGTCAACAGTAAAGATTTAGACATGATAGTGTTATAATATTTCTCAATTAGAAAGAATAGAAAAGAAAAGAAAAGAAATACTACATCTATCCACAAATGTGCACAGATAAACGTTTCCCCTCCATTGGGCTTTATGAGACAGGACCTGGGAGAGGTTACCAGGAGAAGCAAAATCCAAATACAGTGCCTGCCCGGTTCAGGCGTGAAAGGTGCGAATAAGCTCACCAGCGTGGCAGCAGAACTCGACAAGAAGAGAAATAAAGAGTAAATGGTAGATGAAGAAGCCAGGGTTAAGCGCGTACAAAGAAGTCAGATAAAACACTCCAGGGGCGAAGACAAGATGCGGCCCTGGGGGAGAGTCAGTCTCAAAGGACCGCCTTCCACACGGATATAAGAAGAGATGAACAAGGCAAAAACACCGCCGGAACGCGCAACCCAGATCATTCCGGAAAGGGAAAAAAACAAGGGGAAAAAAAAGAAACTTGAGAGATATTCGAGACTCCAGCTTCATGAAAATGGCAAATTAAATAGTGTCGGCCATGGAAAGTCGTGCAGCTGGCCCCTGGACGATCTGGGCTGGCAGAGTACTCTCCTCAACAGCGTCAAACAGAAACTTTTTCTGGGCGAAACTCTATATTCACTTCCCTCCTTCACATGTGTGCGCAGAGTGTTGATATGGCGAAACAGCCTGATGAGCGTGACCCGCAACAGGGATATCGGCGAACGAAGGGGGTTCAAGCGCTGTGATAGGATTACCAAGCCCAGATTTTAAGCTAGAGAAGAAAAGACAACAGAGTTAGCAGATGCTCCGAGCAGGAATGTGAGGCTTGAGCACTTACCATTGAATCCCATGATCCAGTGCACAGGCTTATACCGTCATTGCTAACACCTAAACAGCTGACGCGGTTGTCGTGGCCCGTCAAGGAGCCAACCTTCTCGCCTCGAAGAACGTCCCAAACCTTTTCGACTGGTCAGCAATTGCTCTCCGGTCAAGTCCATAGAAACACCGCATCTGCGAGCAAAGGTCCACAAAGCAAAACTCCGCATTTGATAGATGCAGATAAATGGTG